CGACGAGGAAGACTTTGTTGTATAATTTGTTTATGGTCGTACTCGTACAAAGTTCGTTACAATGTACACTCTTACTCTACCATATATACACATTCATTTGCCATGTTCTGTATGCATTAACGAATCTGAAGTTTTGAACCCCGTCTTGATCAAAATTTTGGCCAAGTGCCATGAGGAGTTGGATCTTGGCAGCTATCGTGTACTGAGGATGTGATGGTGTGTGACTGTTTCAATATTATGTATTTGACTATGATAAAATCAGCATAAGAACTTTTCTAATCTAGAATGCTCAAATAATTTTAAAACCTTTTTTTTACTGGAAAAAATAATTTTAAAACCATGCACAAATCCAGCGTCCAACACATTAACAATCAAGAAAACAAAATATCCATTTGTGCCACATCCCACATATATACAACAATAACATGTTTTGGAAAACTAGAGAAAGCACATATAGCAAATACTCAATTGACATCCCCTAGTACTCTATTTATAACTAATCAAAAGCTCAACTAATCTATTCATTTGCTTTAATTCACACCGAAACTAATCCCACTCATGCATTGCCTTTTGCTCCTATACAATTATTGTTGCATGATGTTTTATATGACCCACCACTACAAATTAAAATAAAGTAGGATACTTCCACCAATTTTGTGTAATTAATACATGATATCAGAGTATTTTTTTTAACACATCCGCTATTAAAAAAGAATTAGCGAGTGGTAATTTAACTTTGTGGAGTACACGAGCTCCCAACTTTCGGAATAAGTCGAGCACTACTCCGCAATCGAAATTCTGCGACCAAGTCAATCATAGACAAGTAGGATTACTATGAGTACTCATGGGCCATAGAGATTGGATTAGTCGGACATAAGTCATTAAAAAAGGGTCAAATAAGGCATAGCAAACATACTAATATAGATCAGCTCAATCAATCGAATCTGGGTGGAGTCGTTTCTGACAGCAGAAAATTGCCACCTCTTTCTTTCTCATTGGAAACAAACCCTGCAAAGGACCATTTGGGAAACAAACGGGTGGACTAATTGCAGAACAAAGCCAAGAGCTTTACAGGGAATATTTGCTAGCTATATATTTTCAAACAGCTAATTTATTTTATTAATTGTGGTTTTCTGGAGCTAAATCTAACACATCTAGTCTAGAGAGTATATCTGTGGGAGCAGCAAACTCGATCGAGGCTGGCTGGGAAGCTAAATGCTTGCTGACAGAAGGTGGGGAATGAATGGTGGTAATGGGGGTGGTTAGGAAAAAGGAAAAAAAAAAAAAAGAGGAGAGGGTGGCAATGCATTAAATATGATGGGTGTGATTAGGTAATGATGATAATATAAATATCATATGCAGAAAGGAAAGCTCCAGTACTGTACTGTTTACTTGCTGCAGTAAGCAGGCAGCATGGGATTCATTTAATCGGACTGTGCAAGAAAGGGAAATGGGGGTCTCACTTCCTCCCAAATCTGTTTTTACTTATCACTATACTTGTATAACTTATTAATGATCACTGTATAGTTTTTATCAATTTATTTTAACATAATTTGCACAAAATTTCAAGATACGAATTAGGTGATTTAGGCAACAGATTAACCGATCTCAAATTACGAAAAATAAAAGGACCTTACCAATCTTATATGCTTTCTACATCGAAAGATTTACCAATGACCCTATAACACAGCTGATCATCTAATGTGTTGTTATAAGTACTATATTAATACAGGCCGTGAAATTAAAATTGCAGAAATCCTGATTTGTTGAAATGTTTCCAGAAGGCGTACATATTTCAAATGTGTCATCCTTATATATTCCGACTGTCTAGCTAGGTAGTCAATCTTTCGCACCGATGTGATATGGATAAAATATTATTATAATAGTGATAATCGCATCATGGTGTGATTGGAACCAAGTGGTTAATAAACCTTTTCCCAATAAATTGCGTTACTGGAATCAAGTGTTTAATTCGTTGACAGCCGGAGGAGACAAGGGTCGAGCAAGCGAGATGGAGAAAAGCATGCTTAAACAGAGCGGAGCGGAGCGGCCAACTTTAGTTTAAAAGTTTTCCGGTGAGAGTATGGCGGTGGTGTGGAGCAGAGCTAAGTGGAACCAGGGATGGGTTTTCGTAGTCATGTCTGTGGAATGGATGGAACCAGATTGGATTGGGTCAGCTCTCCTTTGCTTTTACTACCTTTATTTACTTGAATATTGGTTTATTTATTCCATAATAATAAATAAATAAATTTTGGGAAGGGGCGAGTGAGAGAGTAATAGTATTAGGTTTTCTTTTGTCCTTTTGCATCGGTCACTGCTTCTTCTTCTTCTCTTCTCCGAGCCTTTTTATTTCCTCCCCTCATCCCATCTCTCTCCCCTCGACTCATCATCATCATCATCTCTTTCTCTCAATCTCCTCCTTCTCCAGCTCTCTCTGGGGCGCGTTCCTTCTTCCTTCATTCCTTCCTTCCTTCCTTCCTTTCACGTAAAGTAAGAGAAAAAAGAGTGGTGTGAACTGCGAAGGCGATGGAAGCTGTTAAAAGGACCCTTTTGAGGGGAATGTTGTCTGGCTCGAGGCCACTATTAACACCGAAATCTCTCTCTCTCTCTCTCGTTCTTGATTGACGAGAGGTCGGTTAAAGTCACGCAGCTGTGCCTGGCTTGAAGTAATTAGTGACGTCGGACCAGGCTTCATTCCCCCCAATTGTTAATTTGCTCCCCTGCCTTCCTCCGCTCTTCTCCTTCTTCTTTTCGTCATGTGCATCTGGAAAGGTAGTAAGTGCTCTTTCCCACTGATCTCTGCGTCGATTGTTGGAGATTCGGCCTATCTGGCTTCTTTTTTTCTCCGTTGTTAACACTTTTATTGGTTCCCAGATCCAGTTATTTTGGATTGGGTTGTTTATGGCGGAGGGCGCAGGAGAAGATTGGTGTAATCATGAAGGGTTTTTGACCGCAGAAAGATAAGACAAAGAGAGTGAAAAAGGATGGTGTTCATCATCATTACTCACTCATCGACATTCACCAACTCAGTTTCTGGCAAGCTTTTTGTTTCTTCACCCTCCGTATTATTTCCAGTTGCTGCCTGCCGTCACTTCACTAACTCAGAGTACGTACGTAGAGTTTCCCTCCGATTCCTTTGCCAGGCAGTCCATCTATCTACCCATCGCTTTCCCTCCTGCTGATCCATTTCTCACCGTGCGATTTTACCAAATTTGATTTCTTTTAGGGTTTCTAACTTGACTTAATAACTTTGGAATTTCATCTCGAATTACGATTCTATCTTCAATTTGACAGATTTGTGAACGGCCACCAAAGCCATGTGGGAGATATTGATTAATTACCATGACCCTAGTAGTATAAAATTACCGTTCGTATAGCATAATCATATAGATCCAAAAAAACTGCGTTTGGTTGCATTCAATTGTTTTGCTTGCTTGCTTATGGTGGTGGGTGGGTGGAGGTTGGATAATTAGTATTAAACCGTGGCATGTTCATCAGCATATGGGCTTCCGTTTGCTAGCATCTATCTGTTTTCTTTGTGTTTTTTTTGCTTGCGTGATTGAATGCTGTGTTGCCTTTTTGGTTCACCTTTTTCTTTGAAAGTTGAAAACCCCATCGGCCTTTCCCCCTTTCTTCTTTGTGGTTTCCGTGTTAATAATAGCTTTATGGGAACCGTGTGCTATATAGTCAACTCAACACAATCAATAATGTCTTCCCTTTTTCCCTCCCTTGTTGTTTGCTCTGTTTTGCATGGATTTATGTGAAACGTGAATGCTGCTAGCTTATGCCTATGGGTATGAATGTGGAAGAAACAAAGCAAAGTTTGTCTGACTTATTAGTTTTCGCTGACCAGACTGACTGGACCCAAAATGATAGATTAGTTTAGTCGAGGAGTGCAAGGAAATGTGATGATCAGAATTTTCTTTCTATCTCTTTTTTTCCAAACTCTGTTTCTTTCACTTTTGATCATGGCTCTTCCTTTCTGAGAATCGACTCGCAGTATAGTATAAAATAGTAACTAGTGCGGTTGCCTTCTTACGCTCCCTAAGCTGCTACGTACAGCGGGCGATTGGATGGATAGCTTGATCCTTCCTGCCTGCCACTGCTCCTCACTGAAGCTAGCGTGTGGTTCACCCAAACGAACTCATCAGTCATGCATCTATCTATCACCCATGATATGAAATGTGGTAGAAGTGTACAACGGAAGTGAAGACTGAAGAAGAGAAGGGAAGAGAAAAAAGAATCCTCCCTCGGAAGCAGCACAAGACCAGAGTCTCGGATCTTGCCGCTTTCCACTGTGTATTTCCATGGAGCTGACTCGACAGTCGGTTTAACAGTGGCGATCAAGTTTCTGGCTAGTTGTCCATCGGATCATAGCATGACCATGATGATTTACCATGTTTTTTTTTTGTTTTCCTTTTGATGTAAATGCAAAAGGGCATTGAAATTATGATGAGTAATGTGATGTTATTTGTTGGCGTCTGTATCTATGGTTCGATTGAAAAAAAAAAAACCCTTTTATCTAAGTTTAAATCGGTAAAATATTTAGGGGCTGAATCACGATTTCAACACAAAATAGTACTGCTTAACTTTTCCGATTTAACCTTTCCTATATTTTGACAATGTCGTTTACAACACTACTCATGTAGAAATGTGTTCATATTTATTATTCTTTCTTTCGAACTGAAATATTTTCGGAACGAATCGAACCACAAACACCTTCTTTTCTCACTTTCTCATTGGCTTGGTGTGAATTCGATCTATCTCAGCTTTTACATACAAAAATGCAATTTTCTGGGTATGCATTGTGAATTGTCGTCATCAGTTTCTGACTCCTGAGTACTACTCTCTGAGTCATATTATGGTAACACTACACTAGCTTCATTTTATTTGTTTTTCTTCTGGGTCAAACACAAAATGAGAAAGGGAGGCTTTCAACCGTGCAAGACATTCCGAGGATCAGAAACATCTTCGTTTTCATTTTCAATCGCAAGGAGGAGATGGATAAGGCTTGGGAGGGAAGGCCTTGGCAGCTGTCAGGGAATACACTCCAATTGAAGCCATGGGATGAGCGCATCCGACCCCAAAATATCAACTTCGATTTGGCGGATTACTGGGTTCAGGTACATGGAATTCCAGATCATAAAAGGTCAGTCAACAACATCGAATCTGCAGTGGCAATGTTTCCGAAGATTCACGGCATCGACATGAGGGGACTTAACCCGGATAGATATATGGAGTTTGTTCGGGTGTTTGTCCAAACTGATCTCAAACGACCTCTTCCCCCGGGATCTTATTGCACTACTGATGGGGTGAGAGATTGGCTTGGGTTCAGGTATGAAAAACTCTATATTCTGTGCTACTACTGTGGTCGCCAAGGCCATGTGAAACAAGTGTGCCAGAAGAAGAAAGAAGATCTTGAGGCAGGGATTGCAGCTCCACCAGAAGGGCGGTTCACGCCATGGATGAAAGCTGGAACAAGGGCGGAAAGACCTCCACCGCCACCGAGAGGAAGGGTTATCCATCAATCGCCAGGAGATGCAGGGTCGAGCTCCGGGTCTCCAGGATTTGTGCAACACCATATCTGGGTTTCTGGTCGTGATTCTCCGATGACCGGATCGGTCAGTTTGGGGCTGCCGGCAACACCATCAGAGGGAAGCCCAGGGATGGGAATTCGAGGCCCCCCGGGATTCACGCCTCACCCTTTTCCAACGGGCATCTCTTCGCTCAGCCCAAGGATGTCCCCAGGAATCGATGAACAACGGCTCCAAAATCTGACTCACAGCCAAAATCTAATCATCTATGGATCAATCCCGAGAAGTCCTTCTCCTTCTCCTAACTATACAATTTCAACAAGAAATCCCCTTCCCTTGGTAAGGAATCTCACGTCTGAGATGGAAGGAGCAGGAAAGTGGGCCAGTGACTCTCATCATCATAATGGCTCTCAAAGTGGGCCTAGTCAAGCCCAAATGGAGCAAGGAAGGACTTCAGCACATCAGGCCCATCTCTTATCTCAAGCAAATTCGGGCCAGGGCCTGGTCTCTCAAATGCTGCTGGATCTTAACAGGAAGATGGACCTGAATCTCAAGCCCAATGACTTTGAATATACAGATTATGTGAAGCAGATGGAAGAGGGACAAGCAGAATTTAAAAAAAGGAAGCATGGTCAACCGCTTGATTTTGAGGGGCCATACTTCTCACCTGGGGAAGGGCCGAGCAAACCACGCAACGCAAGGATTAGAGTTAAAGGAAGGAAGGTCCAGCACACCCAGGAGAAGGAAGATTATGGAGATGATGAAGAGGATTATCAAGGTAAATTGTCTGAAGCGCCGGTGGCCGGCTATAAGCCACCCGAGGGTAAATGAGTTGCATAAGCTGGAATTGTCAGGGGATTGGGCAACCCCGGACAGAAAATCACCTCAAAAGAATGGTGAGGAAGTTTCGCCCATCCTTGGTGTTTCTTATGGAAACAAAGAACTCCGAGGAGACTATGGAAGAAATAAGAATCAGCAACAACTTCTATCGAGGGGAGTATGTTAATCCGGAAGGTGCAGCGGGTGGTCTTGCGCTTTGGTGGACAGCTGGTTTTGATCTTCAAATTTTGGATCGTGGTCGGAATTTTTTTGATGTTTTTATTAACTATGGTAGTGGTTTCTTTATGACTTTTGTACACGCTCCCTCCGTTGCTAGTGAGAGAGGAGCGTTTTGGAATTTCGTTTCTAGCTTTAGAAGTGATTGTAGCGTCCCGTGGGTTGTTATCGGTGATCTCAATGCAGTGTTATTTGACTATGAGAAGAGTGGGGGAGGTCCGATTCGTCGTGAGTCGTCACAGCCTTTCAAGAATTTCATATTTGAGAATGGACTCATTGACATGGGTTTTAAGGGACCAAGCTTCACTTGGACAAATAGACGACGAGGAGAGAGGCTTATCAAAAGCCGACTTGACAGGGTCCTATGTACTTCGGCTTGGCGTGAATGCTTTGAGGAAAGTATGATTTATCATGAAGGTTTTATTGGCTCAGATCACAGGGCTGTTCGGCTGGAATTTCATTCCCCGGGCCCGTGGAAGCGACCTCCTTTTCGTTTTGATGATAGATGGATTGGCAAGGAGGAATGTGATCTAGTTGTGATTCGAGCATGGTCAATGGGGGGATCCCATGATCAAAGACTTAAACGATGTGAGGAAGACCTGAAAGAATGGGCCAAAAGAATGTTGGAAGCCCAACGGAAAAGAGAAAAGGAAATAAAGAGCCGACTTGAGATCCTGACTCAGGCGTTTAGATCGGATGAGGTTTTGGAAGAGGAAACCAAGCTCCTGGATGAGCTGGATATTCTATGGAAAGATGAAGAGAAAATGTGGCGTCAGCGTTCTAGAATCCAATGGTTGGCGGAAGGGGATAGGAACACTAAATTCTTTCATCATTCGACAGTCTTTCGCCGACATTTCAACCGGATCATGGGACTTAAAGGACAAGATGGAAATTGGATCAAGCAACCATCTGTTCTTGCGATGCACATTAGGGATTTCTACATTGACCTGTTTTCGGCCAAGGAAACTGGTTTTGATGCTAGCTTGTTGCAGGATTTCCCTCGTTTGGTTTCTGACTCTATGAATGCTGAGCTAAGCAAACCAGTTACTAGGGAGGAAGTTCGGAAGGCTGTGTTCTCATTGGGTGCTCACAAATCCCCAGGGCCAGACGGCTTTTCCGGTATTTTCTTCAGGAAGTATTGGAATACGATTGGGGATGAGCTTTGCAGTGAGGTTATGTCTTTCTTCTCTTCGGCGAAGCTCCCACAGGGATGGAATGACACTCATATTGCTCTTATCCCCAAGGTGGCCACACCAGAAACGGTTGGGCAATTTCGACCAATTAGTTGCTGCAATTTCAAATACAAGGTGGTATCGAAAATTATGTCAAGCAGAATCAAGGGTTTTATGCCTGATCTTGTATCGGAGATGCAAGCAGCTTTCACTGGAGGGAGGTTGATTCAGGATAACATCATTATTGTTCATGAGGTTCTTCACCATTTTAAAAATCGTCGGAAAGGAAGAAAACATGACATGATGTTGAAGATGGATATGAGGAAAGCATACGATCTGGTGGACTGGGACTGTTTGAGTGCACTTCTTGAGGCGTATGGCTTCAATCGAATGTGGTGTGATTGGGTGAAAGAATGCATCAGTACTGTTCGATTCGCTGTGCTGGTTAATGGAGGACCTACTGAGTTCTTTTCTCCCTCTCGTGGCATCCGTCAGGGAGACCCTCTTTCCCCTTTCCTTTTCATTTTAATGTCCAATGCTCTTTCTTTCTTGTTGGATAAAGGAATTGCGGAGGGAAGCATTCAGGGTCTCAAGATTAAGCCTAACTGCCCTTGTCTTTCTCATTGTTTGTTTGCAGATGATACTGTTGTTTTTGGTAAAGCAACACTGGATGAAGCGGAGGCGGTAATGCATATCATTGATAAGTACAAATCAATTACGGGCCAAGAGGTCAATATGGATAAGTCCTCAGTCTTCTTCAGCAAGAACACCCCAGGAGAAGTGAAAGCATCTATTACGTCTTTCCTTGGCTTTCCAGATGCTATCTGTCATGACAAGTATCTTGGGGTTCCTACCGAGTGGGGAAGATCGAAAAAGGAAACGTTTGCTTTCCTTGTTGAGAGGATGGAAAAGAAAGGGGAATCATGGAAGAGCCTCACCCTCTCACATGGGGGAAAAGAGACTTTGATCAAGGCGGTTCTTCAGGCTATCCCAACTTTTATTATGAGTGTTTTCCTTCTTCCTACCTCATTGACCAAGAAGATGGACTCACTCATACATCGGTTTTTCTGGTCGGGTTCGATGAAGAAACGATCCATTCATTGGCGGAAAGGAGATGTTCTTAACGATCCTAAAGGGGAAGGTGGGCTGGGTTTTCGGAACTTTCAGCTGTTCAATATGGCGTTGGTGGCAAAACAGGGATGGCGCCTAATCACAGAACCAAATTCTCTATGGGCTAGATTGATGAAAGGGCTTTATTACCCGAATGGAGACTTTTTGACGGCCAGGAAAGGGAGCACATCATCGTGGATCTGGTCGAGCCTGTGGGAGTCGAGAAAAGCTTTGGATTTGGGAACGATTCGGGTGATTGGGTCTGGGGAGGATACGTGGTTTCACAAGGACCCATGGGTACATCCTATTCAAGGGCATAACATCTCTTCACATTTGGATCCCCCCTCCCGCGTTCGTGATTGGATGTGTCAAGATGGCAAAAGATGGAACATGAACCTCATCCTTCGGCACTGCTCCCCGGAAGAGGCGGAGGCGATTTCTCGGATCCAGATTGGCCCGGACGGAGCACCCGACAAATGGGCGTGGAAATATAACTCAACAGGGAGATTTTCGGTGCGAACGGCGTATCATGGTTTTCGGAATCATCTTAAAGAGGTTAACCAGCCTATGCCGAGTGATCTGAATCTACCGGCCGATGATGATAAATGGAAATGGTTGTGGTCGTTGAACCTCCCGCCGAAAATTAGATTCTTTATGTGGAGGTGCATTCGCAATGCTCTGGCAACTAAGCTCAATTTATTCCGGCGGAAGTGCTCTCCCAATACGACATGCCAACTGTGTAACGGTGAAGAGGAATCGCCAATCCATTGCCTTTTCTTGTGTTCTCATGCGGAAGCTACTTGGAGGATGTTGTTCCCGTCCAATGTCGTCCCTCAGAATATTTCCCAATGGATCTTCTCCTTGCGTGAAGAAGGAAGTGGGGATGTTTGTCGACAGAAGATTTTCTGCCTGTGGAATATTTGGAAGGCCCGCAATGAATTTGTTTTCAAAGGAGTTGTTCCGTCCCCGACGAGGACCTCGATATATGCTTTTCGAGAAGCAGCGGAGCCTCATCTTACCCCTTCTTCTACTTCAACCTTCAACCAGCCTAGGGAAATTCCATCTCACTCATGTCCACCGCCATTTCATCCTCAACAGAGGATTTACTGTGATGGCTCCTTTGATGTTGCTACGCAGGAGGCGGCTTTTGGAGTAGTTATTACTAACTCTGAAGGACAGATTTGGGATGGAAAGGCTGGAAGGATTATTTGTTCATCTCCTATTGAAGCTGAGGCACGAGCGATTTTAGAAGCGTGCCAGTGGGCTTTTGAAGAGAGATCGCCAACGATGATTTTCTCCGATTGCAAAGTTCTTGTGGATGCTATCAATGGATGTCCGTCATCATGGCCATGGAGATGTTATGCATCTTTGATAGCTATAACAAGAATATTGCAGCAAGCAGAAAGACTTAGAATCTCTTTCATTAGTCGTCGTAACAACAAATCTGTTGATTGGGTGGCGAGAAATTGTCGTCATGGCTCTCTCCATCATAATTGGCTTGAGGTTCTTAATGTTATATCTGATAGGTTGTAGCTTGTATTCGTGGCCCTTCAATTGGAAATGAATGAATGAATGTGTTATTCAAAAAAAAAAAAAAAAAGAGAAAGGGAGGCTTTAAATGGGGTAAGACTCTCTTACCGTCTGTCTCACTCTCTGTCTGAGTATTTACTATAATGTAAGTGAAGTCACCATCAGCATTGACGCCATCCATCCATCCATCCATGGAAATGGATTCCTCTTTCTCTTCCTCCTTCTCAGTTCTCTCTTTCTGCAGTCTGCGTCTGCTTCCATTGGCCAACTGCAACTCTAGCCAGCTGCCTTCTCGCCTGCCCTATGATTACCATCATCATTACTGTCATCATTCCATGTGGATGGAGGGCTAACCCTACAATTAATTATTCACAGAATCTAGCACTAGTACATGTTGAACTCCAATGTGGGCGTACGTGTGGCCTTTAATTTGGTTGTCAGCTTAAGTGGTGGGTTGCAAACATTTCTTCTCCGCCATTTTTTCACTCCTCCATCCGCCTTTGTTTTATTCCCATGACCAGCAACTTAAGCGGAACCTTTTTTTCTTCTTCTTTTGTCAGCCTTTTGGTTTTTTTTTTTTAAATAATCAATACCCATTTTCATTCCTTCGCATAGGTTTAGATTGAATAATCCTCCCCCATAAAAATAAGATAACTTCAATGGTGAAGTAGGCCTGTAATAAATAAAAATATAAAATCTTATGGCTAATATTTTACTTTTGCTTGCAAAAAATATCTAGACTCGAGCTAAAAATGAAGAAGCTTTATATTTGTTAGAAATAGAAATAATTCAATCTCTATCACTAGATAATTATAAAAGCATCCAAAAGCATCCAATGTGTGAATGGGCACTCAGCAATTAAAAGGAAATGGGATTTCCACTACAAAAATCAACCGTCAACACATATATATATATCCATCCAAACGTTCTCCTCTCCCTACGATAATTAGCTAGAGATGCAAGCAACACCATGACCAATTCGGAAACACGTACATCATGGGTTACGAGGTACAGTGGAAACAAAAAGGAAAAGGATCAAGCAGAACACGAGAGGACACAATTATTTAGTATAAGGTTTATTTAATCAACAACTTTTTGGTTTGCACCGTCCAGCAAGCTGCCTAGGGGGACATAATATAAATGCCCCATCTTGAAAAAAAAAAAATATAATAATAAGAAAAGCCCACTCGAGGAGGGACAGCACGCAGTCCAAATCACATTCCCTCCCGTTCGGCCATCACTGTATGTTTTTGGTGCCAGCCAGCCAGCAGTTTCTTACTGTTACTGATACCCAAAGTTCCTCAACAGTTACGAGTTATAGCGTTTCTGTTACAATTACTACATATTTATCTTTCTACTGTTATTTTCACTTCTGCTACTATTTTCACTAACTCCCCCTCTACTTGGGGCCATTTCAGTTTTGGCAGAAAGAGGAAGGAGGAGGAGAATGTGAAAGGAATAAGGGAATGAGTAAAGAAAACCAATGAAATCGTTTTATGGGTTTGTTGTTTGAATGTGGTGTTTGGCTGAAAAATGTAGAATATGATATTTGGACTATAGTATTTTATCGAATATTTCAAATGTGGTGCTCTGAAAATATTTCAAATGTCATGATATTTAATTTTCTTAATCTGTCAATATTGGTAATTCTAATGAAATTTTTAAAAAATTTCTTGCTTTTTTTCTTCATAGTTTCCAGTCATCCATGTGTCTTTTGACGTCCCGTTTCTTAATAAAAAAAATGGTATTTACCGACCGCCACAGGTTGCTATTTTGCTGAGTTCAAATTCCACTGTCAGATTTATTTTAGGGGGAACAATTATTCCATGATATTGCATAACTGGGGCAGGTACTATTACATTTCAAGGAATGAAAAATGGCCAAGTCGGGGAAGAGACTACAAATTAAAGCCAAGGCAGACCGACCGAGGCAGCACGGTAAACAATTAAGCCCTCTGGTTTCGAGTGAGAAAAAAAAGGTGAAAATATCAGAGGGTGAATCAGAGGAACATGCATGCTGACAAAACAGAAAAAGTTGCCCGATTACCTTGCTCAATAGAAGATGAAACAACTGCAACCCACCACTTAAGCTGACAAACTTTTATATAGCTACGACCTAGCACACATACTCACACACGTCCAGGTACTAGATAGATTCTCTAAATAACTCTAGGGTTTAGTTTACCCCCAATTCATATGCGCAATGATAACAGTAATGATGATAGTAATCATATATAGCTAGCTAGATGGAGTTGCAGTTGGCAAATAATTGATTCATGATAGTGGGCATGGATTTATTGATCAGGGTGGGTTTGGTTGGGGAAGATAACCAGAAGCAGCCAGCAGAGAGAGAGAGAGAGGGAAGAGGAATCCATGGCTGGCGTCAATGCTGATGGTGACCAAACTTACATGGTAGTAATTACTCAGAGAGAGAGAGAGTAAGAGAGAGATGGTGAGGGTTTCAGAGCATTTAAAGCTCCACCTCTTCCAGTCATCTTTTGCACATATATGACTCAGGTCAGGTCAGGTTCATCACAGGACTCAGAAATATTGTTGATGACAATGCCAAAATGAAATAAATGAAAAGCTGCAATATGAGATGAGAAACCACCCGACGGCAAATGGAAAGAAAGTCACCCACTCCAAACGCAACCCAGATTCTCATTTGTCATCTACCCTATCCCTCACCATTCTGTATTCTCTTTCCCTAACGTTATTATGTACATTCTGTTCTGTGCATATTTCACACATTGATACATACTGCCAACGAGACTATTACTACTACAATACAAAAGAGAAGGAGAAGGGCAAACGAGCAAGTCTAAAGAACCAAATATATGAAATCTATTTTCTTCTTCTTCATCATCACATGCATGGTAGTAGCCAAGGAATGAGGAGATATTTCTTCATGTGAATAAGCAGTAGCAGCAACTCAGGCAAGTTGCATCCCCCACACCGAATAATTTTATTCCAAAGCTATACTCACAAGAAAGAAACAAGAATGTAAGGCCCAATGCAAGGAAAAGTGGAAAACACAAAGCCCACGACAAAAAAATAAGTAAAATAACAGACGCCCACTCCACTCAGAAACGTCAATGTTGGTTCTCCTTCGAATTCACACTTCACTATCCACTCCCAGACTCTGTGTAATTTGTTTATCGATCTCCATTATCATTTTACATGCAAATTAGTTACACTGCAGTCATGATTTTGTCGGTAATCATTGTTTACAGCATATAATCAAACAGACAATCGGCTGCAACAGATGACTGATTGTCGGCGCCATGGAAAAAATGTGAAGTGGGGGGAGCAAGCAGATCCGAGTCTCTCTCGCCCTCTTGCTGCTGCTGCTGCTTCCTTTCGTGATGATAGATAGATAGATGAGTGAGTTTATGTGAATAGCACGTTAGCTGCAGACAGTGAGAACAATAGTGGGCTGGTCACTGGTTAGAATGAAGCTATTAAATCCCACCCCTGCAGTTTAGGAAGAGAAAGCAAAGTAAAATAGCTCTGTTTTACACTATACCATCCTCGTAATAAAAGCAGCTGCTAAACAAATGAATTTTGGGTTAGTCAGTCAGCCAGTCAGGTGGGTAGAAAGTCAGACAAGTAGGGAAATCGAGCTTATTAGCAGCATAGGGCATAGGCATAATGAGCATTCACTTTCCCCACATTTACCAAACAACGAGGTAATTTAAAAAGGGGGGCATAAGACATTGTTATTATGAGGAGTTGACTAAAGTCAAAGCGCAGGGTTCCAGAAAGCTACACTATATATTAACAACACGGAAATCAAAGAAGAAAAATGCACTGCAGACACCAGCAGTAGTACCACAACCAAAAAGGGGACAGCTAGCTACCATTAGACCCGTAGCCATTACTCTCCTCCACATCACTGATTACAAACACAAACACAAAGTTGCAGAAGCATATTTAATTTAAGACACACAGTAACAGAATTTGGGTAATGCTTCCCGGATGGTAAACTCACCGATGGCTCTGTCGCGTAGATTAGTCACAAGTTAGAGGTAGAACAGCACAGATTCCGTAATTAAGTTGGTGAAATAAAAGTCAAACTGAAACCAAATGTGGAACATTGGAAGACGAGCTGTAAAGTTAGGAGAGAAAAGGGGTGGATCGACTGACTGACTGCCCGACTGATAAAGCAAGAAACCCAACACACCAATCTTCCCCTAGCCAGCAAATAGGAGAGGGGGAACCAGAAAAGTAATGATGAACATCTTTCTCTAGTCTGTTAGGAGAGGAGAGTCAAACAACTCCATCATTACACCAATCTTCTCATCCCACCCTGCAATGCATGCCCTCAACGCCCCCAATAATTTCTTTTTCCAATATCTGGGCCAAGAAAACGAAAGTCAATGTATAGTTTCCAGATCCACCAAGAAAAGGAGAATGAAAGAGGATTACAAAAATAAATTAGCAGTGGAAGTTGGCAGTGAAGCAAATTAACACAACAATTGGGTAGGAATGAAGCCGGGTCCGACGTCACTAATTACTTCACGGCCTCTTCGTCGACCAAATTGTCCAAAACCGAAAGAAAGAAAGAAAGAAATAACGAACGAGGGAGAGATGATTCCCCTCAAAAGGTCTCTTTAACAGCCTCCACCGCTGTGGAGATTTGTGGCTCCCTTGGGATCTTCTGCTCTGCTTCAAACATGATATCTCTGCCTCTGTCAGCTTGGAGCAATCCGTTCAAATCCTCTTCCACAGCCATGCAATCTTGTTTCTAGGATTCACTGTGATGGATGCCTTCGAGTTATCCCCAGGAGGCGGCATATGGTTCAATCACTAGCCATGGATTTCGAGTTGATCGGACAAGCTGATTTCGCTCTTGTTGCATTCTAAGTGGTTGGTTGCAAGAGAGATTTCTGATACTGGTGTTTTCAGGGGTTCTGTTGTGTTGGATGGTTGCTGTCAAACTGTGTTGTGTTCTCTGTTCTTGCTTCACTTTTCATGGTTTGATTGTAACCGGGTTCCCTTTTCCTTCCTCCTGTTGAACCATAATGTTGGTTGTTGTCTCTTTGTAACTGATGAGTTAAAATGCAATAAAGACTCTCCTTTGTCAAAAAAAAAAAAACAGCCTCCACCGCTGGACTCATTTTTTACTTTACCAAACCAGCACGAAAGCAGGACAGAAGATAGTAAGAGAAGAAGAAGAAGAAGATGAGTTATAGGAAGAAGGGCTGGGACGGGGACCGGGTAAGGGTTTTCGTAGTCACGTCTTCATATGGAAGTCGGCCCGCCAGAGTCTCCTCCTCTACTTTTCTGTCTTTTTGCTTTCCTTACCTGTTCCTTTTTCCCACTTTTGCGATTAGTGGTTTTCCCTTTTGCATCCTCCATTACTCTTCCCCGTTTATAACACGTCCAATTGGTCCACGTACTAATACATAGTTTTTCCTTTCATTTTGACAGTATCTATCCTGCTCTAATGGCTAGATTTATCTCTAACACAAAAGGGAGTCACCAACCAGAGCATAAGAAGGAATAATTAAGTTGTGCAGGAAATGAGACAAGTTGAAAACTGCAGCTTTCCTTTTGAACGAATGGCTTCTTTAGGTTGTTTTTTCTTCATCTTCTTCTATTTGCAATATAGCGTTGATAACACAGATTTATGTCATCAGATTGTACAAACCTAATACACTCATTGATAAAATATACAATGATAATGTTGCCAATTGCTTCTAGTAATTTAGATCACGAGACATGAAATCCGACGGGGCTAACATGAAATCTACATGCGATAGTAAATTCGCATACCAACCAAACCAAACCAACTCAACTTATCAAATTATCTGTCTACTAAATTGTGAGGAATTATTGTGGGTATAAGGTTTAAACTCTGACGAGATAATTACTGGCTCAAGAATTGACTGTCTATCTTCAGCATTGCCTCAAGGCTACAACTCAATTTACTGAAAAAAATATACTTCTTTTTCTATTGCTTAATTAAGCAGCAGATGTTAACTAACTGGAGTTGAATGAGAAGCGTGGGCATCTTTGTTAAGTCATTTCGTAGTATTATTGTGACTTTGTCCTGAGAAAGAGAAGATTCTCTAGTTTTGGCAAAACGATGTAGGAAAACAATAACATATTTTCAAACTTGAGAAAGAGACACACACTGACTCCACCACAATTTCAATTGCTCGATGCGGTTGTGATGTTTCTCGCTCCTTCATTCACGCTCAAAATTCTAACCCATCCCTTGTATTGATAGGTTAATCCACTCCATCCAACTTCTCTACACTACACAAAATGAAATCACAGCATTACACGTACACTTATAACAAGAAGTATCATGTTCAAATATACAGTTTTTATCGACGGACACGAAAGTATAGACTTGGTGAAGGAAAAGTCAGATAACTTTCTTCCACATGCATACTAGGGAGAGATGGCATTCGCATACACGCATAAGCATTCACTTTCCCTCACATAAATCCAGTCCATGCAAACAGCAACCAAATGGGACGACATTATTATGATGAGTTGACTCTCAAGTGCACGGAAACCACAAAAAAAAGGGGGATTCAATGGAAAAAAGGTGCAACTAAAAAGGAGAACCACAACCACAAAGGTAAAAACACCATTCATTCATTCATCCGGACAAAAAACAAGAAAATTAAAGCTAGGAAACGAAAGGAAAGTATACACATTACACACACTAGCACCGTCTGTCTAACCTCCACCCACCCACCCACCATGTAGAATTTATGAATGATGCCAAATGGTCGGACGGACCACAGATCTGTGAAACTAATCAAAACAAAGAAACCTGTTCGATCTATTCCCTAATGTAAATATCAAATCTGAAACCCTAATAAGATTATATGTTGATATCACAAACACACGCACAGATTGACGGCCAGCCTGACAAAAGAACAGGAAGAAACAAAAGAATGATGAAGAAGATCTTTCTGTACTTCCCTTTTCAGCCGGTCTCTGCGGTCAAAACCCTCCATCATGACGCTAATCTTCTCCTGCGCCCTCGGCTTCCAATCCAAAAAGGTTGGATCTCGGAGCCACAGACGAAAAAAAACAAAACCGATCGAGATATATATTCTGGATCCATTATGAGAATTAAACCACAAACAGATGATGAAAGACACACTTACTCAACTGGGTATCCCAGATCTACCTGTAGAAAGTAAAGAAGAAACCAAGAGTTTTGGGTGGTGGAGCAAATTAACAATTGGGGGGAATGAAGCCTGGTCCGACGTCACTATTTCAATTCAGCAACGCACATATTTATCCGATCGATCCAGACCAAAAGGAACCACGAGATCAAGGAAAAATAGTGGCCTCGAGCCAGACAACATTCCCCTCAAAAGGTCTTTCACTGCTTCCATCCCCTTCCAACGGCTGGACTTTTTAACCAGAGAAAAAGATAGTGAAAGAGAGGAGAAACGCAGAGAAAGAGAAAGATAGAGCTGGTGGAAATTAAGGAGGAAGAGATGAGGGAGAGAAGATGAAGGGAAGAAAGAAAGGGGGCGGACATAAAAAGGCTAGGAGAAGGAGAGGCAGAGTTGGATGGAGGAGATGAGATGCAAAAGGACAAAACCTAATACTATTACTCCTGCCCTCGCCCCTTCCCCAAAATTATTTTTATCGAATAAGTAAAAGGAAAATTTGGGGAAAAGGTAAGAAAACCTTTTGGAAAAAAAACCCTGTCTCCAGGCTCCATCCCCTTATGTATATATATATTATCATTATTACCTAATCACACCTTCATATTGAATGCATGCCATGCCACTCCTAACTAACCCACTACTTCTGTGTCAGCATCCAGCCCCTGGTTTACTGCTCCCAAAAATCTATTTTGATGTTTTCGAGAACTATATTTAATATAATAAACTTATGTTAAATACCCAGCAAATATTCCAGGTAAAGTTCCTTGCTTTGCTTCTAATTGGTTATTTGGTTATATATATATATGTTTGTCTTCTTCAATAAATTTTGTTAAATGGTCTTTGCAGGGTTTATTTCTATGATAGCGAGGTGGGAGTTCCTAATATAATTGAAAAACAGTGATTCATGGTCGGAAATTAATCCTCCAAACTCCGAATGATTTTAGACGTCCTTACTCCTCGTCAATCCAACTTAAACTAATTCAATGATTGTGTCTCTGATCAGATTTGTCGTGGTCGATGAGTAGCAAATTATTATAATGTATTATGACTAGAGATATAACATATCATGACTCGGCCAACTTGAGCTAGTATACATGTTCTAAAAATTGTTCAATGAGGTCTGCAATAGGAAATTAAATGGCCAACTAGCTTGTGTTTCTATCAAGTGAGTTTAGAAAATTACTTTAATCTGCAATAATATTTATGGGAAATTCTATCAATAAAAATTACTTTGACAAATATGTTCACATGACATGACGTACCATTACCTCTAACAAAAATTACAAAAAGCTTATTAGACGTTTGAAAATCAATAATTATGAAATTAGTTACTGGTTTAACAACCAGTCACTAATTACGATAAATTTTCTTACACTCTGACTTTTATTATTTTGTTTTGTTTACAATTTCTCAAATGAATTTATTACTGGTTGAATCAAATGTAGAACCTTTGATTAGTGGATCGGATAAGAATCAGACCAGGGTACACGAATAAGGCCAAGATCAATGGACTTTGGGAGTAATGGATATAAGGGCCCAATTATTGCCCGTGGGCTGGACCACTATATGACCGCCCCAATTGGTGATAACTCTCAAGTCTCATCTGTTCCGCCATTAAAATGATTTTTGGGCTTGCAGCCCTAACTTCGGCATAACTGCTTTTCTTGCCAAAAAGTGGTTAAAGCCCACCGGGCCCCAAGAACGTCCGTAGATAGGAACTCTTCATTGCCCATTTGCCCCTAATAGGCTAAAACACACCCTTCTTCAAAATAGTTAGGGGTGGCAGTTCGGTTATTTTGGTTATAATCGGTAATCGATTGACCGGTTATCGGTTGATCGAAATAACCACTCTCCCTACCAAAAACTGTTCGAAATATGTTTCGGTGTCTCGGTTATCTCGGTTACTGATTAACCGAACCACTTTTAAGACCAAATACCATTTCATCGAGCCTCTGATAACCGACCGTAGTTCGGCTATCGGTTAGTTAATAATCGGCCGGTTATCTGTTAAACCGGCCGACTAACTGATAACCGAACGACCACCCCTAAAAATAGTAACTAGTAAGTGAATTTCAGTTCCGATTTTCTAAAAATAAAAATATCTGAAATTTCTCCAGGTTTCTTTCGATAACCATTTGTAGGAAAAGAATGAAAATGCAATATTTTGACATGACGCAATTTAGATTGTTAGGGTAGTGGGTGACAATTTGAATTGTCTAATTTTTTTCTAAATAAATTATTTGACTTAAAAAAGTTTACTGACTTTGGGATGTGGGCTTCATTGAAAAATTTTGGATATTTTTTGTATCTTTTTATATATCAATTGGGATGAAATGAAGAGAAAAAAGAGAAGAAGTGCATAGCAAGATTGATTTGGCTAGAGACAGCCACACTCCAATAACATTCACATGTATTTTACTCTATGCTTAGTTACTTTGTTCCATGATTTAAAGCAAACTCCGACCTCACTTCACGGTGGAATCTCTTCAAACCGGGTTACTAACTTACACTTCTTTCGAAGTTATAAAAAAAAATCATTTGAACAATCGTAACTTGTAACATAAAGCAAGCATAACAAATGACCAACCATTTTAATACGCTAAAATACTTTTATTTATTATATTTATCCTTCGTATAAGGACAATTTAATTAACCCGAGTCAATTTGGAATCAATTCTGATCCAACCATTTGACCTGCGAGTCACTCATCTTGCCAGATCAACAACCAAACCGGTTTCCACAATCTCGAAAGTTGAAACAGACACACGTTCTGTCCACTTTATTCCCTTCTGATGCAGTTTTTTTCCCTTACCTTCATTATTTCCTCTTCTGTGAAAGGGAACAAGAAAAGTGTACGTACCCTACTACCCCTGAAGCAAAGTTGAAATTCGATGCCATGTTTGTCGGGATGAAAACGAGAACTTTCGGCGACCTCCTCTCCTCGTTCTCTGATTTCACATTGCTCGAGATTCGAGAAAAAAAAAAAAAAAAACCAAAACCAGAGTAAAAAAGGGGGAGAAAAATCCCAACTCCACTAATTAAAAATGTTTTCACCATCATCGGTATTTGTTAGTGTTGTGGTATATGATTTATGATTGAACCTTTCCCAACAACTCGAGTTATTGGGATCAACTGGTTCTTGACATGGTATCAGAGTCTTCTGTGACCGAGAGGTTTTGTGTTCGATTCCCGGTGACTCCCATTTGTTAAGCACATGGTATTCTTGTCTTCAGACACGTGCAAACTTCAAGCCCTTGTGAGTGGCTTTCGTTTGAGGGGGCGTGTTAGTGTTGTGGTATATGATTTATGATTGAACCTTTCCTTGTGAGTGGCTTTCGTTTGAGGGGGCGTGTTAGTGTTGTGATATATGATTTATGATTGAACCTTTCCCAACAACTCGAGTTATTGGGATCAACTGGTTCTTGACAGTATTAATCAAACTATTGACCATATCCAGAAAACAGAGCACAAATAAAAAGCGTTATAATCAACAGATCACGGCGAGGATTCAGGTATATCCTTGCTTGTACTTGCGGAAGAGATCTTCGGTCTTGGCGTTCCTAAAGGCACAGCAGCCCACAACGTAGACGCAGATCAAGGCTATGAGAGTGATGAGCAAGATGACGTCGGCTTTCCTCCACTCGGACTTGAGATTGGCGAGCAGGCCGGCCTTGCAGGAATCGCAGTTGTAGCACAGCTGCGTCTGCTCGTTGTTCCACTGAAGGCAATCCATGTCCGCCGCGTTGTTGATCGGACTTATCCAGTACGTCGGGTTCACGAACGTGTACCCGCATCCCGTCGGCGGCTTGCAGCACCCCGACTGCATATCATCGCAATACCACATTTAGAAGAGAGTTGTTAAGTACGAAGGAGAAAAGGTAAAGAATACACCGATTTAATTAGTTCATTAATATGATATATGTTTTCGTTTCACAAATACTAGAGAAGATACAGATTAATATTATATAATTGAAAAGGTAGATAGAATTAGAAGGTTATATAATCCATGTCCCAAAGGAGCGGACGCAGGCATGTTTATGATTGTTCTGGGACAACAACGCTAATATTTGTAAATGATTATGAATATTCATGTAGTAGTTTGAAAAATAATAAAAAATAGCGATAGTTTATGTGATTTGAACTTGTAATACTATCGTTAGTAATAAACGTATTATCAATTAGAGTATAACTCATTTGTTATTGTATTCAAAATATAAATAAAATTATCACACAACTACCTCTTTTCCTCAATTTTTTTTCAAAATCTGACAATTAACAGCAATATGACCACTGGCTTTCCCTCCACTACCATTCTAACACACACGAAGAACAAACTTCAAAATCAATGGGCCATCGCCTTATAAATAATTGTTTAGTAGAATATATATTAAAAAATATTTGTTGAGCACGGTATAGAGTGAGTGTATTTTAAAACTTTTACACAATATGAAAATAAGTCATGGAGTTTTGTTATAACTTTTAAATATTTTCTTATTTAATTTATATTTATATTTTTTTTAGGATACACCATAAATAAATTTTTTGGATTCTGTCACTAAGATTAAAAATAGCAAAATAATTGTGTACTTTATAAATACACCATAAACTTTCAATATACTGCAGATAATGTGTGCTCAAGTTGCGCTGATAGCATACCTGCAAGGGAGTAATGCGGGCATTGAAGAAATCTTGAGCCATGCGGTAGCTCTGATTAAGCTCTGCACACATGTTAGTCGAACTCAGGCACCCTCTAATCCCGTCCCACTTGAAGGGGCTGCGAACCCTCCGCCGGAGGAAGCCGGAGAAGTCGTCGAGATGGTACTCGGAGTACGCCCGGCTGGGAGCGGGGTGGCCGGCGCCCTTGTCGGTGACCAGGAACACGAACACCACCAAGGAAGCAAGGAGGACGATGAGGACGAGCATGGCGACGAGGTAGAAGATGAGCAGCGCCGGGATCCTCCAGAAGGCGCCCACGAAGCCGGCCAAGGCGACGACGAGGACGAGGATCCCCAAAATGATGAGCGGCCACTGGAGGAGCTTGACGCAGGAGTTGTCCGGCTCCATCGCCAGCCAGATCCCGGCGCCGATGATCGGGATGGACAGCAGCATCGCCACGAAGTTTATGGCGCCGATCACATTGTTGCTCAGCGCCATCTTGGTTCCCTCTTTTTTGGGTTTAGGTGGAGGAATATTGTTGTTTCACAGTTTGGGAGGGGATTAGTAAAGGTATAAAGGTGTGGAGTGATGGGGGAAAAAAACATATACTTGGACTTGGTGGGGAAACAGCTAGACGAGGATGTGAAGACTGAAGAATTCAACCTTTTCTAAGCTTTTGGGTCTTTTGATGAGACAAGAAGAGGACATGGGTACCCACCACCAAAGGGTAGTAATTCGGTCAGAGTGCTTACAACATTAGAAATAAGTAAGTTTTTAATCCGTAAATAAATATATATACATATTTTTATTTGGCAAATTGAGAAGTAGAACCTATATACAATTATATAGTTGTATTAAATTGTGATGAAAATGAAGACAGAGATATGAAATGTATTCTTCATAAAACTGAACGAACTTACATCGAATATATATAGGGAACAATCAAAATCCTTAACAATTAACATACTATCCAATGCGGGTTGCTTTATATATATAGTCATCCTAATCTTAATGAAATTGGGTATTCAGTATACAATTAGATACTAAAACATGCTTAGACCAATTACAGACTCAATCAGCTCTAGGTGCAATTTTTTGTTTGGTGAGAATCTCTGAATTTTTCTGGTATGCTTTGGATGCCTTTTCTATTTTATGGAATATGATGATGATTGTTTATTAAAGTTAAACGCGTGGTTTTATTTCCGAGCTTTTCAGGAAGATGTTAGGACTTCTCTTTTCTGCAAAAGTTTTGATTCTTGGGTGCACGGACCACGTCTTCTTTTCTCCCAACTCCTTATTCCTGTTCCTATGTACATGTTTTCCTTTGATATAGAGCTAATACCACTATATAGCCCAACAGCTATCAAATTTTATACCTCTACAATCTCTAAATCTCAAGCCGCTCATAGTTCAAGAGGATTAATGTTCAATTCATCTAAATTTAATTAAGCCTCAATTAATCAGTAGTGACATTTAATAAAACTTGTTATAAGTTATAACGGTAAACAAGTTTCATAGTTCATTCTGTGATATGACTGAGACCCAAGCACATACTTTGGATGATTGCGAATGGGGACGACGAGTATGGCGCCCCTCCCCCACGAGAGTCTGTTTTGAGAAGAAGGTGAACGATGATTGCCGGGCTTGGCTAGAGGCAGTGATAGATGTAGTTGAGCAAAATTTGTTGGAGCAGTGGAGTGTCCTGTTATACTATATCCGGAAAGAACGTAATGCCCATTTGTTCAACGGCTATAAGCTGGACGAGCTGGAAAATGCATCTTCTGCTGCTAAGATGTTAGACGAATATCAAACGAGACATGAGAAGGAGCTCGGCGTTCAGACAGCTGCCCCTGTGAAGCGTTGGATGGCACCGCCCAATGGTAGAATAAAGATTAACTCGGATGCGGGTATACTCCCGGGAGAAGGAGCAGGGCTAGGTGCAGTGGCGAGAGACTTAGAAGGTAAATTCCTTTTTGCTGCAGCGAAGAAAGTACCAGATATATATGATCCAGAAGATGCTGAAGCTATGGCAGTTGAGCTTGGGGTGCATACTGTTGATGAAGACAGAAACCGATAAACGATGAACAGTAATCGGAAATAGACACAGACACGGAGTTTACGTGGTATCCCTGGAAATCCAGGACTAATCCACGGAAGAGCTTTGAATGCTCTTCAGGCTACTGATTTACTGATTTACGGGAAGGTTACAGAATCCAAAAATGATGATGGCGGCAGGACCACTCTCCCTCTTATACATCTAGTGTCCCTCTAGGTTAAACTCAACAGCTCTACGTCTAACCTAGTGCATAGGCCTGCATGGACATGACGTATGGGCTTAACAATAATTAATGGGCCATACAATCATTAACTACATAATCTCCTACATAAACCCATATAAACCGTAGCCTAGCATGATCATCACTTAACACATACGGCAGCCCAACTTAACCTCAAGAACCCGCTGTTGGAGATGGATTGTTTGAATCTAGTGATAGATATCACTCAGGCCGAAAGAATCAGAACGGAGAAGGGAGTTGTTTGCAGGAACATCCGGCGATTGATTGGTCAAATGGGAGAAGTTTCATGGCATTACGCACCAAGGGAAGCAAACGTTGCAGCTCATATAATGGCGCATGTGGAAACGATTTGAAATGAAAGATGCGTGTGGGTAGATAGGCCACCCATCATACTTGTAGATCAGCTAAATTTGGATAATGTAATCTTTCCTGCTGATTAATGAAAGCTCTACAGGTTCCTAGTAAAAAAAAAAAAAGAAGTAAGAGTTGGAATTATTATTTATGATTTTCACTTTTATAAAACTCACACATATGTGTAGTAGAATGAGGCACGATTATGTTTCAACCATGCCAACCCATCGCAACCCTCAATTAATCACAGTCCTATTATCTATAAATATATGGAAGAGAAATAAAAAAAAGGAAGAAAATTTTTCATAACTAATGAGATCAAGCAGCAAGCACACAGTAGCTTTCCAGTAGTACTTCTTCTCTTCATATTTATGTTTTTGTTGATGTAGCACCAGCAGTAGTAGTAGGAAAACGAGAAAAAAAAAACCTGCCAATCTGGGCCTTGGAGTTGTTGGGCTTCTGCCTCGTCAGCCCACCTCGACTGGACCGACACTCTTTTATGGTGAAATGAACTAAGTAATAACTTTTTATCAATATTTATATCTTTTGCTTTTACGACTAATTAATTAATTAACAACAAGCATCTCGAACCCGGTCGGTCAAGATCCGTTGACCATGCTCACGATGATAACGACGAGGAAGAAGCCCGCCTCCAGATGTGCTCGAGTTCCCTGGCGAAGGCCTTCTGTCGGCCCACAATAATGGTGATGTGGTCCTTGTCGTGAACCACCTTAACTCTGGCACGTGGCACCCTCCGCTGCACGTTGAAGCTGCACTCCACCGGGATGAGCTCGTCGTCGTTGCCGTGGATGACGTTGACGTCGCATTTGAGCCGGTCACGGACTTCGTCGAGGTAGCCATCAAGCTTGCTGCCGGTGCCGCAGATGATGTTGTGGAGGGTGTGCCAGGCCGCGTTGTGGGTGTGGCAGAAGAAACCTTCTAGCAAGAAAGTCCTCACCCTGCCAAAACACAATTCATCGTCACCGTCAGTAGATTCAAGCGGGAAATGCAGGAATTTTTTTTGGGTGTTAAATAGAGGTCATTATCGTGAAGGATGTTATTGTATCAATCAATTCTGAAGGAGAGGGCAGAAACAGAGAGCACCCATAAAAATGCATCTGTGCGGTGCCATACGTCTCAGGAAGATGTTCAGTGCAAGTAGTAACAATAAATGGAAAACCGAAAGAAATTGATTGATTTCTTCTGTCTTCATCAGTTTGGTTGGATGACTTGTAGTCCATCTACATTTGACCCATTTTCAGCCTCGAGTTACTTTCCTTTTTTTCCCTTTTGGCCGGTGAGCATACCCTATTTTCTTTCTTTTCTTTAGTTGATTGTTAACGCAAAATTGAATTCTAAGAACTCCTACTATTATTTTTTTTTTAAGTGCGAAATGGAACACTTAAATGGCACTCCAATCTTTATTTAATAATAAAGCGATTCGTTTGAAACACAATAATGTTATAGTACAACTAGTAAAAAAGAGCAGCATCAGGTGCTGCAATAACATGAGAACCAACAGAACACGAATGCCCTAAATTAGTGATATAGCATGGGAACCAACATAACTTTTATTATTTCGACTGATATATATTCAAACTGAAAAATATTATTAACTTATTATATAGGCAGGTCAAACTTATTTCTTGAGGTTTTTCGGAGGTGCAATTTACTAATTTCCTGAGCATCAAAATGGAATATTAACTAAACGAACTAAAAAGTACAAATATTCGAAACTGTCTTAATCTTATGATAACTCGTCAAACTCATGCGAGATAGTTCATAAATCATAACCTACTTATGATCACTATTAAAAACATTTCTCAAAATAATAATTTTTAGAAACAAAACCCAATAGCACTCTGTGTCAACTATATTTATAATTGCAACTCGAGCCAACCAAACTTATTGGCTTTAACATGGTTGCAACTGTTTCTATATTTCTTGTTAAGGAAATTTAGAGGGACAGTTGGGAAGTGCTTTAGCACCCTACAAGGGAAAACGAGACTGTTGTTGTGCGTCCATCACACAAAATTTTCCAAACAAGAAACTTAAAACTTGCATTCCATCATCAGCTAGGATTTCGGTTCAGTATTAAATATATTGGTGACCTACCAAAACGTCTGGCACTGCCTGTCAATACGAAAAAGAAAGCTTGCTCCACCCTTCCTTCTCTACCTAATAATGTTGCATGAAAAATGCATCCGATGGCAACTTATTATTAAACAAAGAAGGTGAGTGAAAACCCAGTATTGTTTTTCTGAACCAGTAACATTTACGTGTTGGTAAAAATTTCTCCTATAGACAGAACACAGAAGAAAGAAATGCACCACCTGCAGGTGGCAGCTGGGTTCTACTCGTAGAATTTATGGAAGAGGCGGGCCATCTGACCACCTCACGCGGTCAAATTGGGAACTAGGGGAGACACATTATTATTACATGTGTACAATTTTTTTTGGCCAAGTACTCGACCCCCCAACTCTCCATGATGATGAAATTCAAAACAAGTTGTTGTTATATCCAGAAGCTCTTCAATCAATTTTACCATAAATTTTCCTTCAATGGCCTCTGTCACGCTACTTGATTTGGCTTCACAAACTGGCCAAACAAGTCCCACCCTCCCTTTCACTTTTTGCTTCCTTCTCTTACGAAATTTTTATCTATCTATATTTTCGAAAGTTGGGTGCGAATCCAGTTTAATGCTCTCGGCCGACGTGTCACCTAAAATACACAAAAACCACTGCAGTGGGATAAGTTTGTTTTGGTATGTTACGTGTTGACCCAATTGACCGTGGTTAGGGATTCGTGAAGGACAAGGTGGCAGGGACAGAACATCCATCCTTATGAACTAATGTAGTAAAGTAAGCTCGCTTTGAAAGTAATTAGAAGGAGGTTACGTAGGCGAAATGAGTCCTTAGATTTTGGTGGGTGTTGTTAAGAAATACTAATCCTTACTTCCCTCAAACCCAAACCATGCACTAACCACGAGTCGCAGTGACGTACGTACGTGTGATGTTGAAAGTTGAATAAAAAAGTTGAAGCAAATCAAATCAAATCAAATCAAGTACGCGACAAAATTCCAAATTAATTGAGCCGGTAAAATGGTTCGCTGGCTAATTAAGGTACAGAATGAAAAAAACGGATGAATTGATTACCTGTTCCTGGTGACTAGTTTGGTGAGAAATTCCCAGAGGCGGTGCTGCTTGCAGATGAGCAGGCAAATCGTGCGGGTGATGTGCTCGTACCAGCACGCCAGCGACGCGCCGAACGCAATCGGCGGCCACACCCTCCTCGGCGCCAGCTTCCTCATCACGTATTGCGTCGCCTGTACACCTTTCGGCACCGGGAAGTACGGCTGTGGGCAAAGTTTAATTTTAATTCCAATCAATTAGTCACCGTAATCTAATCGAATTGATTAATTATAATAATCATAATAATTTTAAAAATTGGGAGTAGAGTACTAACGGGGGCGAGGAGGGTGAGAGACTTGACGGAACCGGGGTGTTTGACGGCAAGTGCGAGGGCGAGGATGCAGCCCAGCGAGTGAGCCACAATGTGGAAGGATTTCACCTTGTGCGCCTCCAGGACCGATTGCTCGATCATCTCAAGATGCTCTCTCACCGTGTACAGCGAATCACTGGGCTTTGGGCTTCGCCCGAAGCCCAGCAGATCCACCGCGAACATCCGGTATGTAGATTTCGCCGTCGCCGAGAAGTTCGGGAACAGAGTCTCCGTCCAAAACGACGACGAAGAGATGAACCCGTGGATGAACAGAACATCTTCTTTCGCCTTGTTATGATCTGATACATGTAATTTTCCCTAATTACAATTGACCACTTAAAACTCTCAAAATTAAACCAAATTGAGGATTTTGTTTTTTTACCTTTTGGTCCTTGGACTCTGACGAACAAATCCTCTCTGCCGGAAGAGCTCCAACTGGTGCAGAATCTACAGTCGCAGTCGGACCAACGAGGGGCAGGACGCATCCTCTGCCTCTCACCGCCGCCGCCGCCGATCTTCCCCTGCAGCATTTCCACTACGGCGGAGTTGACGGTGAAGCTGGATCTCACCGCCGTCACCGTCGACTCCGCGCAATGCCGCAAAGCGACGCTCCTGACGACCTCGCTGACAGTGAACTTGGAAACCTCAGACACGAGAGAAGGTCTGGAAAACAGAGTATCAGAGACTTCTTCAAGCTCGAGCTTCGTCGAAGTAAGGGAAACGATTCTGGACTCGCCGTGTTCAGAAACCAAGATCTTGCCGCTGCTGGTGATTGCCTCTTTAGCCGACGTACAGTAACAGGGCTTCCACTCTGCCTCAATCAAGAAATCCAGCAGCTTGTAAGCGAAACAGAGGACAAAATCGAGAAGGTCGAGGAACGAGAAGACGACGAAGCTCACTGCCTCGTGGATCACTCTGCCCATCCAATTCAACGCCATTTTGGGTTTTTCCATGGCTAATGCAGCCATTTTATTTTTGGGTTAGGAGGTGATCAAGCAGAACAGGGGAAGAGGGGAGTTGGGGATATAATGAAGGAAGGAAGAACAAATGGCCGCCTCCTTGGTAGGCCAATTAAGAAGGAGAAGCCAAACTGTCATCAACAGTAGTAGTAGCTAGCAGGGGATTGGGATTTGGATTTGGATCCCTTACTTATAATGACACCACAATGCAAATGGAAATTGGGTTTTGTGGGCACCTTCTCAGTAGTAATGTTACTAAAACAGAGTGATGAACCTGGTTTGATTGAGCAAGTGCCAAATATCAGAGAAGAGGGATGGAAATGGAGGGAATCAGGCGTGTGGGATTGGCTCTCCCTTCTCCGTGGCTTTACTTTTTATGGAGGGAGAGATGGGAAAGAAGGGAAATGGGTCAAGTCTCACATTATAAGGAGGAGAAGGAGAGGCGAATTAATGAATCTAGTAGGCTAGTTTGATTGTTTCATTTAACGTACATCGATAATTTCGTTGGCCGAGGGAGGGAGGGAAATGGGTTTGGTTAGGTGGTGGTTGAACCTCCAAGGGGGACAAGACCAAGTTTTCCTGTTTAATTGTAACACAGTGCAATATGACAAACTGGATGGCCATGTAAAGAGAGAGTGAGAGAGGGAGGGAGAAAATAAGGCAAACTGTTTCTTGCACTTAACTCATGGCTGGCTGGCAATTTGTTAAAGGCTACTGTTTTATGTTTTGAAATTTCAATCAATTGGTTTTCTCATCCACTCATTTGGTTTAGTTAAATGTCGCAGTGCACAAGTCATCGTGTAAATGAGCAGAGCAGAGCATCCATGGCTCATATGTAACCTTATTATTAATCCCTATACTATACTACTGTGAAAATGAAAGAAAGAATGAATGAAACATATGGCCATTCACAGCCTCCATTTAATGCCAAAGTAAGATCGAAAATGTACACAGTTGTTTTCAACGGTGAACTGCTTTCTCTGCTGTATTTATTGCCTCCTGTTGTATCCCACATGATCTCCATTCCCTTCCCACTTAGTCGTCTTAGGAAGGATAGCAGCAACTACTATTGCTCCCTGCTCCTCCTCCTATATCCCTTCTTATGTTTACCAGTGCGATGCCAATTTCGACCTGACCCGTTTTAGCCGACCTGTTTTGGGGAGGACGTGGATACCTCTCATCGACCCGACATGCCCTCACCTGCCCCATTCTCGACCCGTTCTTGCCTAAATTACATGTAATTTTAGTCAAATTACATAGGATTTTCCTTTTATTACCTTATATTTTAGGTATAATTAAGTTGTAAGTAAGTGGAAAACTCAATTTCTCCAATAATTTAACTACATTTTATCATATCATGATTTGTTTCTTGGTATTTTAATGAAAATAACGATTATTTCTAATGTTTTTTCATATAAATTACATATTCATTGGGTCGACCTGCCCTGACCCGTGACCAAATGACAAATTACTCGACCTGTACCCTACCTGCCATGAGGCCCCGCCCCGGACCTGCCCCATTGCTATTCCTAGTAACATCCTACCTCTCCCTTTTGCTCTTTGTAAAGCCCCTCCTAACCCTACTATTTGCCTGCCAAACTTAAACCTCAAACAATGTAACCTTAAACTTATCACTGCTAATCTACAATCTACTATGAGTTATAATTACTAGTAAGTATAACTGTACTGATTATTAATACTATCATTACTAATAACGATAGTTAGCTTAGCAGGTTAGATCAATAATACATTGGACTACCACATACAAAAAGTGAATAAGCAAGTATAGTTCGTACTCTTTAAAACGCGGAACAACCTAACTTGTGTACAGTACATGATGCGTCTAGGATTTCCGCCGAACAGCCAATGAAAGCTGTAGGGCACGCATGGGCAAGATGATAAAAAGAAGAACCTAAGAAACGAAGAAGGAAGTACAAAAATAGCAAAACAGCCTGCTTCCATCTCTCAAACAGTCCAACCTAATTTTAATCGCTTGTGGCATTCATATTAAAAATAAACTTCGATTTGGTTGGTTGGGCCTACCTCTCCTTGTTTCCGGTCGCTTACAAGATTCACCACCGTTGCAGTATGACAATGCATTTTCTTAGCAGAAAACTACATTAGCAATATTCCACCTCCGATTCCCGGTCGGATCTTAAATGATCGCTACACTTTTCTTACCCCCAGCTGGGCGGGGAATTTTCATCTACCTCTGTGCATGCATATGCGAATTTTCATGCCGTAACTTAACTTGTCCCAAACACCATTCACGATGACCTGTGGATTCTTTAGAAAGTAATTGAAGGAATCACTATTCACCTACAATTAGTATTGACCAAAGAAAACGAAATTAGGTATGTGTTTAGGCTTATTATAACCGTGGTTTTCATCTACCAATCCTAAATTTGTTTATATGATCTACCACGCGAATTTTTATGTCATTTACTTATTTTTTTTTTTACTCTGTCGATTGCCCTGTGCGTTATAATAATGGTTTAATTACATATGATGATCAACAACATGAAGCAAAAGTCCATATGGCATGTAGTAGTGAACCACGAGGGTTATTCTAGGGCGTCTTGACAGATGAAAAATCTTTGACAACCCTTAATGTGTATTTTGTCAATCTCGCTAACCAATTTCATTTCAATTTTGAATTAGATCAAGAATAAGTTTCATAATGAAATAGATAACTGTTTGAGCCTAACTGGGTGTAGGAGGGAGACTCGGGAAAATGGGTCAAGGAGAGTAGGCAGAAAGGGATTAATCGATCTTGGGAGAACGGAGGAGGTTACAGAAGGGATTGAGGGAGAAGTATTCTAGAGAGAGAAGTCGATGATTTTAGAGATAGAGTCCCAAAAAATCCGATCCCCTCACCCACCGGAGTAAATGCCATATTTATAGGCTACATGGTGGTGGGTGAGTGGTTGAGTTACAAGTGGACACAATGACATGACCGCTGACATGACAGAGATTTAGTCCATGCTTTTAGGACACTGATGTGACTGCTTAGGGCACTGATGTGACTATTCCTGACACAAGCAGGGCTATACCTAGGACTATACGCGGTGGCGCGGCGCCGCTTCTGCGGCTTCTCGATAAGGGCCCACGCCCGGGTGATGCGTCGTCGTTTAGTATTCGCGCGCGCCTCTCCTGGGGCGATCTCTATCAGCGCGCTTGGTTACGGCACGACTCGCGCTCTTGACTTTGGCGCGCTTCACACCGGTGTACTTGCGCGCTCCTCTTTGGCGTGATTATCCTTGGTGTTTCTTCAGTGGGGAAGGATCCGAGTCGCCTGCCCAACAATTGCCCCCCATCCGGGGGTATTCTGCGAATGCCTCCTGCTTGATCTTCACATGATTGACTCGGATCTGCGCGATTCTGTCTTTTCTGTGCTGTTGATTGAGGTCCCCAGTGGCGCGCGCGCCGGGTGTTGCCCTCTGTCGTGTGCGTTACCCCGGGCTGCGCTCGTAGGTCGCGCTGGCTTGTTGGCGCGCGCTGGATCTGCGCGATTCCGTTGCCGCTGATTGAGGTCCCCAGTGGCGCGCTGGGTGTTGCCCCCCTGTTGTGCGCGTTACCTATAGTTGCGCTCGTGGATCACGCTCTCTCGTTGGTGCGCGCTACTTTTGGATTGTCTTATTGTTGTTTTTTCTTCTTCGCGGGTGTGCCATGCCCCCCAGGCGGTGCGCGGCACTTGTGGCGTCATCGACTAGTACCTACTACTTATGCCTACTACATATGTCTATGGGAGATGTCCACGTGTCGTTGTGTGGTTGCCTTGTCTTGGCGGCCTTTTTGAATTTCGAAAATCTCTGACGGTTGCGTATCTCTGACGGTTGCGTATCCCAAAGTAACTTTAACTGTTCAGCTTCCCTTCCTCGGTTATAAATGGCTGACCAGACGGGGAATTGAGTCTTATTCTGCCATTCTGTTTCTTTCGATTTCATTCTCTGCTCCTTTTACGTTGGGTGTGTGCGAGAGTCCTCTCCTTCTTCTACAACCTCTGTTCTTAATCTGTTGTTGCCAAACTCCAGAGTTTGCTATGGCTAACATCAACGAGGTCGGGGTCGTACAAGACGAAGAAGGTAATCTTTCCTCCCCTTCACATGTTTCTAGTGATCCATCGTTGGAACTTGATGATTCTGGGCATGGGGACGACGGCGGCGGTGATGGTGGTGGTGGGGTTCCGTCGACGCCGTCATACGACGTCGATTCGGAACGGGGCAGCCGTGGCTCATTAAATGCTGAGGCTACGGTGTCGGGTAACGTGGCGTCCGGCGGGCGGGAAGTGTTGATTATTAGGCGCGACCGCACGGGTGCGTCTGGGAGCACGAGCCTTGATGCGCGCGGGGAGTCTGAGGCACAGCCAGTGCGGGCGGAGCAGCGTTGCGTCGCGCGCGTATCCGAGGCGATAAGCCGTCTAGGGTTTCTCGGCTTGGGCGCAGCGTACACTATACTTGATTGGGCGGAGATGTGGGGCGATCAGCCAGCGCCTCAAGATAGTCTACTCAGGGGGCCCGATCACGCGTCGATCTACGGTAGGCGGGAAGTCACTGATATCGTGCGCGGATTGGGGCTGCCCCCCCATTGGGAGTACGCGATTCCGTCAACGCGGAGCACCATTGGTAACTGCCCCAAAGGGTGGATCGGGGTGTACACCGAATACTGGGTGATGGGGTTCAAATTCCCCATTGACCCGCTTCTGTGCGCGATCTACAGGCGGCTCAATTGCTCTGTGGGTCGGCTGTCCCCATCCGTCATTATGCACGCGAGCTGCCTTCGACTCGCGTGCAAGAGGCTCAACATCGTGCCGACCTATGGTTTGTTTCGCGCGATGTACAAAATGAAGGAGCCAACGAAGAGGAGTGACTGTCTCTCCATCAGGCGGCGCGACAACAGGCCCGACGGGTTTGTGTACGGGTCTCCGAAGCTGAAGAAGACCTGGTTCGACCGCTTCTTCTATGTTAAGCCCACGCCGGGGGAGTGGGCGAGTGAGTTTATGGAGGAACCCACTGTGTGGAAGAAGGGTAGCATCAAAGGCTACGAGCGCGACCTGGGCAAATATGACAGGCTCGACGCTGAGTATGAAGCGGTGCTAGACCACAAGTTCAACTTGTATCTGAACGGAGTCCGCGAAGCTTGTTTGGCGGAGCTTTTTGATGATGGTTAGTTGCGTCTCTTTCCTTATGCATTCGATTATATTAACGGCTCTCTTACAATTTATTGGCGCAGGTGTGGACTTTTCAAGCTTGGTCAGCATGATGTCTGTTGACGATGTGGTGGCCAGAGCTCCGCGGGCCTCGAGGGGCGAGAGGAAGAAGAAGAAGGAGGTTGCGCCATCTGAGCGCTCCAATAAGAAGGGAGTTGCGCCTTCCGAGCGCATGAAGAGGAAGGAAGCTGGGGAGCCTTCGGCGGCGGAGAATCCCCGCAAGGCGGCTCGCGTAGATGCCCAAACGGGGCGAGTTGGTGAGCATGCTGCTCAAGCTGAGCGAGCTGCTGTGCGGGTGAACGATCGGGAGGTTCAACAGTTGCCGCTCGTTATAGTTGACGGGGACGCATCTGGCGCCCGCGTTGACGCATCCCAGCGTCCGGAGAAATCGGCTGCCGGGAGCACTTCAGGTGCGACGCTTCAACAGCGGCTGCCCGATATGGCGAATGCCATCAATTACTTCCGCGACGTGCGGATTCACACCGGCGCTGCCTGCAACAGCGCGGCGGCGAATACTGCGCTCTGAGCCCTGGGGCCCCACCTGAGTATTCCTGCGCGGATGGAGAAGTCCGATCCGCTTCAAGACCTGGCGCAAATTCACTTTGCAGTAAGGTTATTTTTTGCGCGGATTTGCTCGCTGTATGTTCTTTTGCTAAAGTCTCGGAGCGTTTTCGTATGTAGGGTTTGCTGGCGGCTTTCCGGGCCCAAAAGGAGCGCTCGGTGCAGAGCGCGAAGATGAAGGACGACAAATCGAAGATCGTCCAACTGGAAGGGAAAGTCGCTGGGGCGAATAGCCGTGCAGAAGTGGCGACTAACAAGGCCAACGAGGCCATGGAGCAACTCGGTCTCCTTCAGAGCAGGTTGGCTGCCGACGTGGAGGCAGCTAAAGAGCAAGTGCGGGCTGCGGAGCGTGCCTCTATACGCGCGCAGCTGGAGGCTTCCTATGCCGAGAAGCTGAAGCAGGATCGTGAGGAGCTGCAGAAGGAGAAGGAGGACCTTGTCCGCCTTCATCAAGTCGCGAAAGCGGAGGCTGTTCGCGCGGCCGAAGTCGCGGCCGTTCGTCAGTTCAAGTCCTCCCCCTCTTTCGGGAAGATCTTGGCGGACGCCATGACTAAGGCCGTGATTGCGGTCGGGAAGAAGGTTTGGCCAGAGAATCCGGGGCTCCATTGGGACACTCGCGAGATGGTCCACCATGTCAAGGTGTGGATTGGAGAGAAGCGGCCCTTGGAGTCTGACTCTGAGTCTGGGGAGGAGGAGGATGAGGAGGAGCATCCGGAAGGGGAGAAAGCTGAGGGCGCGAGTGGAGGAGGTGCGAGTGGAGAAGCGGAAGCTGGCGACGACGAGGAGGAGAAGGAGGAGCCTCTGTTGCGTCGCAAGGCTAGCAGAGAGGATAACCAGTCTGATACTGCTGGTGCTTGAGTGTTGTCGCGCTAGGGCATTTGTAGTCTGATGCTATTTCTCTTGTTTTTCCTTTATCTTTTTACCAAGTGTAGTCGCGATATTTTGTTGCTCCCGCCTAATGGAATCCGAAGAGTACTTTTTTATGACGTTCGTTTGTTTTTTTGCGCTCGAGTGAGCGCGGCTAGTGTTGGACTATTGTTTATTCTTTGTTCTTGCGAACTGAGTGAGCGCGAATAGTGCTGGACTATTGCTAATTTTTTGTTCTTGCGAACTAGATGGGCGCGAATAGTGCTGGACTATTGCTAATTTTTTGTTCTTGCGAACTAGATGGGCGCGAATAATGCTGGACTATTGCTAATTTTTTGTTCTTGCGAACTAGATGGGCGCGAATAGTGCTGGACTATTGCTAATTTTTTGTTCTTGCGAACTAGATGGGCGCGAATAGTGCTGGACTATTGCTAATTTTTTTTTGTTCTTGCGAACTAGATGGGCGCGAATAGTGCTGGACTACTGCTAATTTTTTGTTCTTGCGAACTAGATGGGCGCGAATAGTGCTTTCATTCCTTTGAGACAAGACGCCGTGGCATGAGTAAATACATGCTAAGTTGCTTGGTGATACTTCCGTAGATTCTGAGCGTTCCACGTTCTTTGTATCTTATTGCCCCCCAGCTCGCTGAGTTTAAAGGTGTTGGCGCCAACCACTTCGCGGATTAGGTAAGGGCCTTCCCATACTGAGGCGAGCTTTCCGTGCTTGGGATCGGGACGGAAGTTCCGGCGCAGTACTTGGTCTTCGAGGATCAGCTTGTGCGGAACCAGCTTGGCGTTGTGGTACTTGGCTACCTGCTCTTTCATTGCGGCCAGTTTGATTGCTGCTAATTCGCGCCTTTCCTGCGATAACTCCAGCTCCAGCATCCGCGCCTCATCATTGGTTTCCTCGTTGTACTGCGTCACACGGTAGGTTGGGGTCGTTGTCTCGATTGGGATTACCGCGTCTGTGCCATATGTGAGGGCAAAAGGGGTTTCGCCTGTTGCCACCTTGTGAGTGGTGCGGTGCGCCCATAGCACCGTGTTCAGCTCGTCAGCCCAATTACCTTTTGCATCGTTCAAGCGGGTGTGTAGGCCGTGCAGGATTGCCTTGTTGGCGGATTCCGCTTGGCCGTTGGCTTGGGGATAAGCTACGGATGCGAACCTCGCGATGGCTCCCACTTGATCGCAGAAGTCTATCACTTCTGCGCAGTCAAACTGCTTTCCGCGATCAAAGATGAGCGCATTTGGGACTCCGAATCGCGATAATATATTGTTCTTCAGGAAGCGTGTCACCTGTTGTGCCGTTATCGAGGCCAGTGCTTCGGCCTCTATCCATTTTGTGAAATAATCTACGGCCACAATAATGTATTTGCGCTTCCCTTTTGCTGTTGGGAAGGGGCCTAAGAGATCCACTCCCCATTGAGCGAAGGGCCACGGACTCAGGTTGGCTTGGAGCTCGGTGGACGGGAGGTGGTGCTGACGCGCGTTGATTTGGCACTTGTGGCACTGGTCCGCGTATTTTTTCGTGTCTTTCTTAATTCACGGCCAGTAGTACGCGTGAAGCAAAATGGTGCGCTCCATGCTGCGTGGGCCGGCGTGCATTGCGCACAACCCCTCGTGTATGTCGCGTACCATGTCTCGCGCCTCCTCTTGTCCGATGCACTTTAGGTAGACGCCCGAGAACGAACGGCGATACAGCTCTCCTCCAATGAGTGTGCACCGGGCCGCTTTCTGTCTTAGAGTCCATGCTTCTTTAGCATCCTCTGGTACCGTGCCTTCTTGTAGGTAACGCACAATTGGGGCTCTCCAGTCCTCATCACTCTCGATTTGGGTGGTATTAATCGCTATTTCTCGGTGAGTTTCCCCTTCTTCCTTCTGTGCCGTCACAAGACGCGTTGCTTCGAAGTCGGTGGCGGTTGCCAGTTTGGACAGCGCGTCGGCGTGCATGTTCTCCTCTCTTGGTATTTGCACGTAGGTTATCGCATCGAAGTTGGCTGCTCGCAGCTTGACGCGCTCTATGTAGTGTGCAAGAGTATTTTCCTTCGCGTCAAAGGATCCGTTCAGCTGGTTGACTGCCAGTGAGGAGTCTGAGAGTACCCTTATCGTTCTTGCGCCCAAATCGTGGGCAGCGGTCATCCCTGCCAAGATGGCCTCGTATTCAGCCGCGTTATTAGTTTTTAACGCTCTGAATCTGATGGCAATCTCGTGAACGACGCCTGTTGGCGTGCGCACGACGACTCCCGCGCCAGCGCCGTGCTTACTCGCCGCTCCGTCCACGTAAACTTCCCATACTCCCTCTGGTGTAGTGTCGAGGGTGACTCCTTCAGCGATGAAGTCTGCTAGGATCTGGGCCTTGATTGCTGGTCTCGGCGCGTATTGGATGTCGTACTCCGAGAGTTCGACTGCCCATTTCACCATGCGCCCTGACACTTCCATCGAGGTTAGGATTTTCTTTAGTGGGAGGTTGGTTAGGACGGTGATCTGATGTGCTTGGAAGTAGGGGCGCAACTTCTGTGACGCGCTTACTAATGCCAGGGCTGCCTTCTCAATTGGGGAATATCTTGTTTCTGCGCTAATTAGCGTTCGCGAGGTGTAATACACGGGCTGCTCGGTGTTGTCAATTCTTCTGGTTATTAGAACGGCGCTCACTGCTCTTGTTGACACGGCAAGATAAAGGAATAACTTTTCATTAGGCTTGGGAGCTGTCGACACAGGGGGGATACAAGATATGATTTCAGCTCTTGGAAGGCCGCTTCACACTCCTTGGTCCATGCGAATTTTGCGCCGTTTTTGAGTGTCTTGAAGAAGGGCGCGCACTTGTCGGCCGACCTCAGGATGAATCTCCCCAGTGCTGCTATCTTCCCATTCAGGGATTGGATGTCAAGTGCGCTCCTTGGGGCCCGCAGTTGTTGGACCGCCGTGATTTGTTTTGGGTCCACTTCGATGCCGCGTTTGGTTATCATAAAACCCAAAAACTTCTCTGTTTCCGCTCCAAAGACGCACTTCAGTGGGTTCAAGCGGAGGCTGTGCTTGCGGAGCGCCTCGAATGTTTCTCGTAGATCCTCCAGGTGCGAGTTCCCAGCCTTGGTTTTGACGATGAGGTCGTCTACGTACGCTTCGATGTTCCGCCCCCTCTGATGTGAGAACACCGAATCGATCATTCTTTGGTATGTCGCGCCCGCGTTCTTCAGTCCGAACGGCATTCCGATGAAACAGAAGTTTCCGAAGGGAGTCATGAACGCCGTCTTTTACTCATCTTCGCGCGACATCGGGATTTGATGGGACCCTGAGAACATGTCCAAGAAAGACAATGTCTCGTGGTCGGCGGTGGCGTCGATCAGTTGGTCGATGCGCGGGAGGGGGTAAGGGTCTTCCGGGCATACCTTGTTGATTGTTGTGTAGTCGACGCACATCCGCCAAGCGCCTGAAGATTTTTTTACCAAGACCACATTCGCCAACCACTTTGGGTATTTGACTGGGCGAATTAGCCCTGCCGACAAGAGTCGCGACACCTCTTCCTCGATGGCCTTCAACTTGTCGCCAGTAAAGCCGCGTCGCGCTTGTTGTCTCGGAATGGCGCTTGGCGGGACCGCGAGGCAATGTTGGGCCACATGCCTTGGTACTCCTGGCATGTCTTCTGTGCACCAGGCAAAGAGCTCCTTGTACTCCTTCAATAGCGCTATCAGCGGCTCAATCGCGTCATCGCGAACGTGAGTCGAGATGCGTATTTTCCTGGTCGGCTCGGCTGGGTCGAGCGCGACCTCGAAATTGGAATCCATTGATTCCGGGCGGGGTTCTTCCGGCCTTGTGTCGACAATGTTCGTTTTTCGAGGTTCTCCTTATAGCTTCAGGGCTTCCCACGGTGTCCCGCGCGCCTCTCCGGTTCCCATTTTTGTGGGGAACTTCAGTTTTTGGTGGCCATGAATTTTGCCAAGAAGGGTCGACCCAAGATGCCGTTGTGTGACGACTTGCAGTCGACTATTGTGAACTCGATCTGCTTTGACACGCGCGGCTCTTGGTCTCCGATGACCACGGGGAGAGTGATCACCCCAATTACTGGCACCCTCGCTCCGGAAAAGCCGACCAAGTTCCCTTGAGCGCGCTTGATTAAGCGCGGGTCGACGTCCATCTTGTCGATTGTGCTTTGGAAGAGGATGTCTGCCGCTGCACCCCCGTCTATCAAGAGGCGGTGGATTTTGCAGGCGGCTACTAGGGCGGTGATGATGAGTGGGTCTTCCGACGGAACTCCCTGCGGTAGTTCGGTGTCGTCGAAACTCAGTTGGCCCCCTACTCGTACATCAGCTGCCGCGAATTCGATTGCACGTTCGCGCTTGGTTTTCTTTTTCGGGCGATCTCCTTCTACCGTCACCACCCCTATCTCCTTCCGCACCACATAGTCCGCGGTGGCTTCGTTGTAATCGGCTTGCGGAGGTGGCGGCGGGTTTTGGTGTCCCCCGACTTGCTCTTCTTTTTCTTGCGTGAATTCGGTCAGCAACCCTCGCCGTATGAGGCCCTCTATCTCATAGCGCAGCTCTCGGCAATCCTCCGTCCAGTGCCCCGTCGCTCTGTGGAAGTCGCAATGCTTTTTTGGGTCTCGCATGTGGGGCAAGGACTTCAGGGGCGCGGGCCAGTTGAGCTTGTATCCCTTCTCGCGTAGAACGTGGAACACGTTCTTTACGGAGTCGTTGAGCGGTGTAAATGCGTGAGGCGCGCGCCTGTCTGGTGATCTTCTCCGCTGCGCTTGCTCATTTGGGGGAGGGGGGTGTTGCTTATGTCCGCTGTGCAGCTGTGCTAGCTGTTCTCGCGGCAGCGTGATCTGCCGTCGTCCCTGCTCTTCTCGCGGCTGCTTGGCCGGCTCGAAACGCCTAACAGATCCCGCTCCGAGGGTTTCTTCGAGCGTAATTGCCTTCTCAATTTTCATTTCCAACTCTGTTGATAGGGTTACGGGCCTTTTTGCTAGCGCCCGCTTGAGTTCCATGTTGGTTGTGGCTTCCATAAGGTGATGCGCGGCGGTTTCAGGAGTGAGGTCGCGCACTGCCATCGCTACTCTGGACCATCTGGCGTAAAACGCTCGTAGACTCTCTCCGTCTTTTTGCCTGAGATCTACTAGCGCCTTGAGGTGGAGGGGCCTTCTTTTCTGGGATGCAAATTTTGTTGTGAATAGGAGTATGAACTCCTCGAATGAGCGTATGATCCCGTTTGGGAGTCTGTTATACCAGTCTAGGCATATCCCAGAAAACGTCGACGGGAAGGTGCGGCATAGCGCCACATTGGAGTTGGTTTGGAGCTGCATCCGCAAGCAGAAGGTGCTCACGTGATCTTCGGGGTCGGTCGTCCCGTTGTATGTTGGGAGGGTGGGTGGCATTCCGCTCAGGTGTTCCGCCATGATTTCCGCGCTTAGCGGCTGGTGGAGCGCCTTCTTGGGCGTGTTGAGTCAGAATTGCGGAGAAAGGTGTTGCTCTAGGAAACTGAGGTCGGCCCTTCCTGGAAGCTCAGGCGGCTGTGTTTCATGTACGGGGTGAGGTGGCGGGGCCGTCCCCGACGTTTCTCCGTGGGTTTGGAGAGGCGCGACTAGTATCACGCATACGGGAAGCGCGACTTGCTGCGCTTCGTGTGCGGGGTGCGCTGGTAGGACAGCCGGCGCGGATGGTGGTAGGCTAGCCGGCGCGGATGGTGTCACGCCAGCTGTTGCCGCGGCCTCTTTGCTCATCATGAGCGCCACGACCTGGCTCATTTGTTTTTGCATGTTAGCTATGACGTCGTTCTGCTTCGCCACCAGCTGTCTCATTTCTCTAGCTGTGAGCTCGGGCTCTTCCTCTTCCAAGAGCACCGCGTTGAGATTGCTGGCTTCTGCGAATTCCCTTGGGTTGGTCATCGCCTTGATCGGGGTTGACTCGTCAGGCGAGTCGGAGTTATGTTCTGCCATAGAATGATTTTCTTTGCTTCTCTGCTTGGCCCCACGGTGGGCGCCAATAATTGTTGGGCAGGCGACTCGGATCCTTCCCCACTGAAGAAACACCAAGGATAATCACGCCAAAGAGGAGCGCGCAAGTACACCGGTGTGAAGCGCGCCAAAGTCAAGAGCGCGAGTCGTGCCGTAACCAAGCGCGCTGATAGAGATCGCCCCAGGAGAGGCGCGCGCGAATACTAAACGACGACGCATCACCCGGGCGTGGGCCCTTATCGAGAAGCCGCAGAAGCGGCGCCACGCCACCGCGTATAGTCCTAGGTATAGCCCTGCTTGTGTCAGGAGTAGTCACATCAGTGCCCTAAGCAGTCACATCAGTGTCCTAAAAGCATGGACTAAATCTCTGTCATGTCAGCGGTCATGTCATTGTGTCCACTTGTAACTCAACCACTCACCCACCACCATGTAGCCTATAAATATGACATTTACTCCGGTGGGTGAGGGGATCGGATTTTTTGGGACTCTATCTCTAAAATCATCGACTTCTCTCTCTAGAATACTTCTCCCTCAATCCCTTCTGTAACCTCCTCCGTTCTCCCAAGATCGATTAATCCCTTTCTGCCTACTCTCCTTGACCCATTTTCCCGAGTCTCCCTCCTACACCCAGTTAGGCTCAAACAATAACTATTTGAGAATGATTGTTTGATAGAATATATAGAAAACTAAACAAATTAGGAACGACAGAAAGAGTCATGGAGATTGGAGAGTGGGGTTCTTTTCATTCATATGATGATTTTTTTTTCGTGTAGGTTTTCAGAGCATAGGAGGTAAAAGTGAACACGTAGCTTTTCCATTATTTTACAATTGAATATCGATTTTTGTAAAGATAAATTGGCCGATCAAAATAACGATAATGAGATTAGGTATAATAGTACAATATAAATTGTAAATTTTCACTCGCAAGAGAACGAAATTCACCGAATGAGAAATAGATACAAACTATAATTATAAAAGAAACGTTCCATAATAAACAACGATAAGAATTATATAATTTGTGCATCAAATGAGTTAGTAAAAGAAAACCCAATAAGATAAGTCACTCTAGAATTCGTGATCCTACAACTACAACCGAACTCCATCCCTGTATTTTTAACATTACACATGTAGCTAGCTAGTTGTAATCATTTAAAGTTTTGTAACAAAATGAAAAGAAAAATAACAAGATGTTAAAAAAGCATATATTGGAAGATTAATGAGCAAAACACTTTTTTTCCCAACCACCCTAACAAGCATTACACCATGCTCTCACAACATATATACTCCTCCACTGACGTGATTAATTATAAATCTCGACTAGCTAGCTAGATTTAACTTATGCACATTCTAATTTGACAGATTCCAACGATGACTGGTTCAAAACCTGGCTGCAGCAGGGCCATGTACGTAACGGCTGCAACCACCATTTCATCATCACTAGCTACTACCAAAAGCTGTAGAAGAATCCCAGATACTGATAAAATGATCTTGTCTTCATATATATAGAAACCATCTACAGTATCACTCACCAGCGATATTAACTGTAGTATATACAACCCCGGCCATGAGATACCATGAACATGTTTATAGCGAGAAAATGCTACGGTTCTTTCCCAGCGATGTTAACGTGGTTGCTGCTTGTTTTGCTGTCCTCGCAGTTTCAGCCATGTCCATGCTACACGTCGTTTGTCTTCGGTGATTCCTTGGTGGACGCCGGCAACAACAACTACCTCTTCACTCTGGCCAAGGCCGACTCCCCTCCTTACGGCGTCGACTTCAAGCCTTCCGGTGGCCGGCCAACTGGGAGGTTCACTAATGGCCGTACCATACCGGATATTATAGGTAATAATTAATCGGCTAAGTGATTGATTTGTTGGTTAAATCAATGCATGATAATTAACTACGACGTCGCATTATACGTAGTGCATGTCTCCGTCGAGCTACAGTTCACGAAATTACATGGCTAGGATCGCTTGGATATGCCATCTTTTTTCTTTCTTTCTTTTTGCCCGGCCGGTGGAAAGCATTCGTGTCGATGTCAATGACATATTATATTCTGGGTTTGTCATTTTGTACTCCATGCATGCGTCGCCTTCATAATCTTCCAAGTTTTCTACACTCATTAATGAATGTTGCTGGCACCAGTTTATGAAGCTACTTATTACAAGCCGTTGTTACTTAATTAATACATCTTTTCCCCCGTTTACAAGAAAGGAAATTGTGTTTAGTTTGTTTTTGTTCGTGGGTTAGTTGATTCTGGGTGGGAAACAGAAATAAGAGTACTTGTGGATGAGAGCAGGACTACAGAGTAGCATATTGATTCTATACCTCCAAATCCACTATGTTTCGTACATTGTACGTGAAAAGGTTGACATGACAAATTTTTGTTATGATGCCTAATTTTTAAAGCCAATTAAATGTTAAGTGAGTACATTGTAACCTAATATATGGTTTCCTATATATTATTTTGACACCTCTCTTTCAAGAAAAGGAGACCATGCACGTATATCCGGCACATTTTAAAGTTTGGAATTTATGATTCATAATTGTTGGTCGAATTCGGTATAGGTAAATCGTATCTTCCCACTTTAAATCAATAATTTAAATTTAATTAATGTTACATCCAAATAAAATAAAATCACGATTTATTATTCATATTGCTGGTAGTTATTATTATTTCATCAAATCTACCAGGGCAACAGCTTGGAGCGAAGTCATTTCCTGACCCCTATCTGGCACCAAGCGTTAATCAACTGGAAAATACAGTACACATTGGGATAAACTATGCTTCTGGGGCATCAGGAATTCTGGACCAAACAGGAATGCTCTTTGTAAGCATTACCACTAGCAAATTTTTTTTATTAATTACTAGATCATATTTATTTATCAACTAATTAAGTTAGCAACCTGGTTGCAGTTAATTATCTAACTATCTAGTAACCAATTACAATTGAAATGCGTTCACGAATGTAACATGTAATAACATTGATGACGATGAACAGATTGGGAGAGTTAGTATGAGGGAGCAGGTGAATGAATTCGAGCAGAGCAGGAGTTACATGGTGGAAATGATGGGGGAGAATGGTACGATGGAGTTCCTAAAGAAAGCCATCTTCATCGTAACTACGGGTTCCAATGACATCCTCAACTACGTACAATCTCCTCCTCCATTAGTGATGGGTACTGATGATGTCTCCCCACTTACCCTCCAGGACACAATGATCACCAACCTCACTCTCCACCTCAAGGTTTGGTATACATATACGACCATTTCAGCCGAATCTTACAACACTTATTAATTACTCATTAAAAGCTTCAATTAAGTACTGTCTCCTTGATTAATTAGCGACTGCACGAGCTTGGAGCAAGGAAGTTGGTAGTAGTGGGTGTCGGGCCGCTGGGTTGCATTCCGTTTGTTCGAGCCGTGAAGTTAATACCACCCGGTCAATGCTCGACGGAGGTGAATGCCATAGTCCAAGGCTACAACGGGAAACTAATCCGCGCACTTAGAGGATTGAATCGAGATATGGGACCGGATCGTTCCATCTTTGTCTACGCGAATTCCTACGACATCTTCCTTAACATCATCTCGAATCATCGTAGTTACGGTTAGTAAATTCCTTTCGAATCATGATAATATTTTTCGTGTAACTTTAATTAATTGATTGTGTGGTTGACGCGCTTTATGATTAGGGTTTGAGGAGGCGAGCGAGCCATGCTGTGGAGCACTGCCGCCGTTTCTGTGCTTCGGCGATCCAACTAGGAACTCGTCAACGGGGTCAGTGTTTTGCGATGACCGATCAAAGTATGTGTTTTGGGATGCGTATCACCCTACCGAAGCTGCCAACCTGATCATGGCAAGAGCTTTGCTTGATGGGAATCAAAGCATGACTTCACCAATCAACATACGCCAGCTGTACCACTAGTTATTAATTAATTAATAAGCATTTCATGCCTTTTCCATTGAGCCTATCTGGAGGCATGCAATTTATTATTATTAGTAACACATGAAGCTATCCACGTGGTATGCAAGCCCATGCTGCCCATTTTAATGCCGGCCTCTTCTCAGCCTCTCAGGCCTGCTTCTTCTTCTCTCTTTTTTTCTCGTTTGGGTATAATTAATATGATCAGCCTGAGGAATTTTGTGCAGAACATATGGTAGATAGAGCAGCGACATTTAATGAGGATGCTTCTGCATGCCGACTAAGTCAACCCACTACTGCTGTAATTTAACGACTTTCTGAAACGGAATTGAATTGTGAAGGGCAACAAAAGTCAAACTAACCATTGATCGACCTCCGTAGGATTTCAATTTCGATAAAAAGGACTTACATATAATGTATAGTAATGTATCTTCCTCGGTGGTGTTTTGCATTAAAGGCAGCGCGTTGACCTTTTCTCAGAAAGATCATTTACTTACTGCAGTAGTATGCAGATGAAGAGAGAAAGCATGCAATTCGCTAGCTAGCTAGCAGCTGCTTGGCTAGGGTTTGTGGAGGTTGGAGGGCCGGCCATAACCAAAACCACATGGGTGTTAACAATAATGCAGGGAGGAGGTGCCAAATTAAGTGGGAAGTTGTGGAAGAGCTGGAAGTAGTAGACCATATAGCTGGCTAAGCTTGCTTGTCATTCTGCAATTGGCCATAACCATATATATGGATGGGCCATGAGCCCATGACATTGACCATTCTCTTGGTTCTTGTCTCTCACCAGTAATGCGCATCATGTGGTGGTTACCAACTTACTTTGCTAGCTAGCTATCCTAAACACAATGCACAAGTATGGTTAGTCATCCTAATTAGTCCTACCTATAGGCTAACATCAAGGGAAGTTAAGCTAATTAGCTAGGGCAAGCATGCAAATTTTGGATATCAATGGACGAGAAGTTCAAAAACGATTTGTGCTTCATATAGGGTGGGTGAATAGCGAAATAATAATCAATTCATCACCACATAGATTTATCTACGTGGGAGGCTTGATGCCAATTAGTTGATGGTGAAATTTTACTTACAGACTGTTTGGTACCAAATGGATCGAGAATTCATTTCATTGTAAAATGAATTATCGTGTAGAATTCATTTTTAAATGAAATCTTGTGTTTGGTATGTCATGTTCAAATCTTTAGAAATGAAATAAATTGTCGTGTAGAATTCATTGTCAAATGAATTCATGTGTTTTGGTATGTCATATGTATAAGTAATTTAGTTAATAAAAGAGGATAATCATATCATTATATTAAAAATAGTAAATACTTGTGGATTTCATTTGGAAATTTCATCTCAATTCCTCGGAATTGCTATGACTAGTTCCAATTCCGTAGAATCAAAATTTTAGAATTGAAAATGAATTCTTTCAAATACCAAACACAAAAAGATTTCATTTCAAAATAAATTTCTCAAAACTTATGGAATTGATTTATACCAAGCGGTATGTTAACATGCAACGATGACAATAATGTAGTGAAAATATTCAGGCTGAGTGAGGGTTCAGGACTGTCTCAAACAAAAGGATTCAAAAGCTAAACCAAACCAGCACACCATCATATGATTTTTTTCCTGTCACAACTACATATGGCAAAATGATTTTCTCAATTGGAACCAACATTAACATTAAGAATAAGGTGTCATGCTGTTGATAAGCAAAAATTACTAAATCGCGCGCTATTTCACATGATATATCAAAATTGATAGCTCGATTGTTAAGAAATTTGATATTGCTACCAATACGCAATAACAATATTATGGTTTGTTGTACCAAAAAACCAAAAATAGATAACAAAAGTCGCGAAGCACAAGTTCTACGGTTGTATTAATCCCTTTCTATATTTATTTTGGATGACAAAGCATGATGATTAGATATCTCGAATAGAAAATGGATGGAGAATGATGAAATGGTCGATTTATTAAAATTTAAGAGTTAATAATCGATTTTGTTGCCTCAATACAAGTTTTTTTTTTTTTTGCCGTTATAGATCTCTGGCGAAAACAAAAAACATTCTTGTTCAAACAAAAATACAACCTGTAGAATATACAACAAAGACACAAAATCAAATCTCTACAACAGTCAACATGTGAGATGACAAATATAGGACTTTCCACCTTAACATATGAGCCATCTTGTTACCAATCCATAACATATGAGCCACCTTGTTACCAATCCACAGCCTACAAACTTCAAAGTGTTCCCCTACTTTTATCTAAAAGAATGCCCAATCTTTGCATCCTTCAGATTCTGAGCTCTGCACTAGTCAATGATAACCTTAGCATACCTACAAATCATAACATTATACATCTTCGTCTGTCGCACTCTAGAAGATAATTAGGAGAGTCTGATTCTAGAGCAAATATGTAATAGTATCCTCCCGCCATAATTAGTCTCCCTCCAGCAACTTGAGGAACATAACCTGATGAACCATGATCAACAAACTTGTCCCAACACCAAAGAAAGCCCTCAAATGGTTTGGAGGGACCTCATTTGAAACCATAGGTGTTTTCATCCTCTTCCCATCCCCATCATCCGAATGGGGAATTTGAGCCCAACTGTGCAAGCCGGAAACAATACTCAATATCGGGCTTGGACATTTTGATCTGCTCGTCCATGGATCTGAGTTTTAAACCATTACGAAACCAGAAAGCCCATCCTGGACTGAGGACAAGTAAGCCCGCGAATCTTTCATTACGGGAACCACTCGATCCTTGCCACCTGGCAGGCGCTGATGATATCTGAGCGCGTGGCAGCCATTTCGACACCAAAATTCTTATCCGTTTCTCTGTGTAGAACTTGAGAAGTTTCTTCACTCAGTCTCTGGGGCCATGCGACTTAGAATTTCAGCCATGAACCTGTGACTCTATCACGCACAGGTGGGCAGCTTCTCCGTCACAGAAAGAATAGTGATTTACAATCGGCATTAGGAGGAAGATATTTAGAAATTCAAAGTTAATGAATGAGAACCAAAGCATACAATTCAATTCTCAGGTCAGCAGTTTCTGTTCGGCCTCCAATCTTTGTACTGTAAGAAATCCCGGCAGGAGACATTCTCATTGAAGTCAGATTGTAAGCCGCTGATTAGCAGCTTCCAAGTCGTGCATTTTGAATTCATGGTGGCCCTAATTAGCAGCTTCCAAGTCGCTCATTTCAATTCCAATCCGCCGCAGCAGAATCTCCGGCGCAACCTGCTGCAACATCACCGGCGGACAAGTCTGATAAGGTGTGGAATCGCGGAGGCATCAGGACAGCCGGCGCCAGTCGGGCAGAAAACCAAGTACAATGATGGGTTGTTCGAGAAGCTGTTCATGACACTTTTCGCGCGGAAGATGGAGAAGTTTGGGGCTCCGGCGAAGGCAGGGGACGCCGGCAAGGAAAAGGGATGGCTGGATTATAATTACGAAAGTTTCGTGGATGCGTCGAAGAAGGTTATGCAAGGAAGGAATCGCATCCAGCAGCAGCAGGTGGTTCGCCAGGTTCTCCTCTCCATGCTCCCGCCCGGTGCCCCAGAACAGGTTTCTGCAATTGTGATTTCGTTCTAGGTAGGATTTGAATGGGATGGTTTTTTCTAATGTCCCTTTTGTTTTGATTTACTTCAGTTCAGGAAATTGTTTCCTCCTACGAGGTGGGCTGAAGAGTTCAATGCCGCACTCACAGTGCCATTCTTCCAATGGTTAGTTGGACCTTCAGAGGTAACAAGATTAGCTCTCCCCCACTTCCTCTCTATGATGGTTGTTGCCTGTTGGCACAATGGCAGTAAGCTTATTACTAAGTTGAATATGCATTGGCTTTAAGGTTATTGAAGTAGAGGTAAATGGAGTGAAGCAAAGAAGTGGAGTTCTTATAAAGAAGTGCAGGTAAAATACATGCTTCCCTGTCATCTATCTCATCATATGAGCTAGCAAGAAACAGGTACAGATTTTGATTCCTACCGTGTTGACTGTGGTGGTTAAGGTACCTTGAGAACAGCGGGTGTGTGGGGATGTGCGTGAACATGTGCAAGATTCCTACCCAAGATTTCTTCACCAATGAATTTGGGCTCCCGCTTACCATGAATCCAAGTAAACAGCTAACCTCCCCTAATTCCCCTTTGTGTTGTTAGGTAGTAGCACTAGTGTGGCATTAGGCTGACCACAAGTGCAATCTGAATGTATGTTCAGCTTCTTTGACTGTGTTCTTTAACTATCAGACTTTGAGGACATGAGCTGCGAAATGATTTATGGCCAAGCTCCACCAGCCTTCGAGGATGACCCGGTTGCCAAGCAGCCTTGCTTTGCTAATATATGTAAGCTGTTAGATCTCCAGCCTCGATACCTTAGTCCAGATTCATCGAGTCCAGATTATGGGAAACTCACATTAGTTTTACCATTTGTATGATCAAAGCAGGCTCCATGGCCAATCCCAACTCAAGTATTTGTCCCAAGTTGCAAGCTTGAAGAAGAGTCATATAGTTCTATGTCAACTCCCCAAAGACAGTAATTATCTTCATGATCAAGATGCAAGTTCATATTTTCATCATGTCCAGGGGAGATATATATACTTGTAAGTAAATTGGCGTCATATACACTTATAAACTGTGTTGCAGGTGGCACACGAAGCATTTTGTTCTGTTCCCCAACTCAGTTTTGTGAATCTGCTCGGGATAAGATCAGTAGCTGCAACTCTACTACGACGGATGCAGAGAGCCTGGATAAGGGCTCTCATCCTTGTATCGCTGATGTTCAATTAGAGTAAATATTACCAAAAATATGATTGATTGAAGAATGTATTGCTTAGATGTCTGAAAACAAAGGAAAAGGGTAACAAGAATAATTGAGACAGAATATTCTACCTATACTCTATCAGCACATTACTGAAATGCACTAGTTTACATTGCTTTTCAAATTCGTGATGAGACGGACACTGTGTAAAGAACCTTCCAGGTTCTGTTCTTTATCCATGTCTCCTGATGCTTTTCTCATGCATGCAAGCAAAGAGAGGTGCACATGTGAAACAGTACACTCTGAGTTACTACATTCTAGCTTATGGTCACGGATATCACAGAAAATCTGCAGATGTTTTCTTCATGGCTACCTGCCTTGACTAAATGCGGTGAAAACAATTCACATGACTAAACCTGCAGCAAATATTGACAAAAATTACTAGCTCCTCGCAGTTGGGTTGGGTTGAGGCCTTTAATGGAAACTGTTTTCCCAGCAAGCCGCTTCCATTTCGGTAGCGTAGGGGACTTTTGGACCTCACAGAGCTAGTAACCAACCAACCATAGGCTCATGTGAATTTCCTTTACACTGAAAAACTGTATCCGTGACTTGGCCGCTACAAGCCAAAGACTCATCCTCCGCCATTAATGTAATCAATCAAAGCTAGCTAAGGCATCCAAAGCCTTTCACGCATGCATGCATGATCATCCTGATATGATGCCCATAATGCAATCAGAGAGTTGTGAATTCAGCCAACCGTTTCAAAGATACGGACTCTTTTGCGTTATTTCTTCGCTTGTCTTCTCAGTGAAATGCGGATAGAAGTTCTTTGGAAACTTTTCCATAGGTCATTATTAAACCCCGTTTCTTCTTTCTTATTGTCTCCATGGAAAAGGCCAAAAACTACAGAGTTATATCCCGTCCCCGTGACCGCCTATCCTTTTAGTCAAACGACCAACGAACTTCCTCCCCTCCAACTTCCCCATTCTGCCTTTGCTTTTCTATAAATGGCAACTCCCTCCTTCTCTTCTTAACACGAATAAACTGTCCCTTCACCTTTAACCATGCCTGCTCCACCTCTCTCATCAGAGCAAAAATCAATGTTTTCTTCATCCAAACACTTCTTTCTTCTCGTCAGTATTCTCTGTTCATCAATCTTGCTGTCTAGTGCGTTCACCCCTCAGGATTATGCCGACGCACTTGACAAGTCAATCCTGTTCTTTGAAGGTCAAAGGTCCGGCAAACTGCCCGCCGACCAGCGGCTGACCTGGAGGGCCGACTCTGGACTCTCCGATGGCTCCACTTACCATGTAGATACCCTTTTCCCCCCATCATTTCAGCTTTCGCATTAATCATCAATCGTGGTAAGTAATGAAAAGAGTTGATGTAAACATCACCAACAGGTGAACCTTGTGGGAGGATACTATGATGCAGGGGACAACGTCAAGTTCGGGCTCCCAATGGCATTCACCACCACATTGCTTTCCTGGAGCGTGATCGAATTCGGGAGCTCAATGGGGAACCAAATTCATAATGCCAAGTCTGCCATTCGATGGAGCACTGACTACCTTCTCAAGGCCGCCACTGCAACTCCTGATACGCTTTACGTTCAAGTGAGCAGACAGTCAACTCAAAATTAGCACACCTGCCTGTACAGAATTAGGCATTGCTTATCACAATACTAACAGTAATTAATCAAGTAATCAACGATTATGTGCAGGTTGGAGATCCTAACATGGACCACAGATGCTGGGAGAGGCCTGAAGATATGGACACCCCACGCACTGTCTACAAAGTAACTGCTCAAAACCCAGGATCGGATGTAGCTGCAGAGACCGCTGCTGCTCTTGCAGCAGCCTCAATTGTGTTCAGAGATTCTGACCCTCATTATTCATCCAAATTGCTTGGAACGGCCATGAAAGTAATTAAGATACGTTGTTCTTTCTTTACTTAAGTTGCTCCTTGCAGCTCAAATGAAGATTGATCTCTCATACTTTGTGGCAGGTTTTTAGTTTTGCAGACAGGTACAGAGGCTCTTACAGCGAATCCCTCAGCTCAGCTGTCTGCCCATTCTACTGTTCTTACTCTGGATACCATGTAAGCATCCAGAATTAGCACAATCCACTTAAACACAAAACTGGAAATCAAATTCTATGTGTATTCATTTGATTACTAGGACGAGCTTCTGTGGGGTGCATCATGGCTCCACAGAGCGTCACAAAATGCGTCCTACTTGAACTACATCCAATCCAACGGTCACACTCTGGGTGCTGAGGATGACGATTACTCCTTCAGTTGGGACGACAAGCGACCCGGCACCAAAGTCCTTCTCTCCAAGGTCTCCCTTAACTATGTACTCATTTAACTAAAGTCCAATATTTTGACAATACTAAATCTGATTGTCAGTTCTCTTGTTAATCTGCCGATGCAGGGATTCTTGGAAAGCAGCCAACCAGAATTCCTAACGTTCAAGTCACATTCAGACAACTACATTTGCTCCCTTATCCCAGGAAGTTCCAGTTTCCAGGCACAATATACCCCGGGTAAACTACCAGTCACCACTTTTCAGTCCTAAGTTACGGTCATAGTGAATTCGTTTCCACAATTGCAAAACATTGTACAATAGGGGGACTTCTGTACAAAGGAAGTGAGAGCAATCTACAGTACGTAACATCCACGACATTCTTGCTCCTGACCTACGCCAAGTACCTGAGCTCGAACGGCGGCGAGACCAGCTGCGGCGGCACAACGGTGACGGCAGAGTCGCTGGTGGCACAGGCCAAGAAGCAAGTGGACTACATCTTAGGCGACAATCCTCAGAAGATGTCTTACATGGTCGGGTTCGGGGACAAGTTTCCGCAACATGTGCACCACAGAGGATCCTCGGTGCCCTGCGTGAAATCGCACCCGGCTCGGATTCCCTGCGGCGACGGGTTTCAGTACCTCTACTCTGGCTCGCCAAACCCTAACGTCCTCGTGGGTGCGATACTAGGTGGCCCGGATAGTAGAGACGAATTCGCCGATGCTCGGAGTAACTACCAGCAGTCGGAGCCGGCGACGTACATTAATGCTCCGTTTGTTGGCGCCGTCGCTTTCTTTGCTGCAGCCACGACTTGAATATTTGGTCCTATCCGGATATCCCTACCCATCACCATGTGTATATGGTTCTGCGAATCCAAGCACAGTGTTTTTATTGTATTCTATCGCGTCGTACTGGTTTGTATTCAATGGAAGGTTGTTCAGATTATTGGGGATTTTCTGGAGATTTTGCACTGCGTTGTCCATTGTCGAACTTAATTCCGTGGTGTTGGTAAGGGGATGGAACTCTCTGCCCCTCCCCTGTTTTCTTTCAACGGCTCTTCCAAACTAGCCTGCGGGGACGGGAGGAGTGGCGGGCTTTTTGGTCGGTTTGTGGGCTTATCTCTGTGCAGGTTGGGTCTTTTTCGGACCATGAAAGCCTAGGTCTCATGATGGGCCCGATTCAATGAATGAATGGGTTGGATTTGAACGAACTATCTCCACTTGGGCCTCATCGTTGGCTCCTAATTCGTTATCTCCTGTACTAGTGCCGCAGCACTTTGATTATTTTTAAATTCCTTCAACTTTAGTTTGATTGATTTCACATATATATTGGAATCTAAAGTGTAGTGAAAACATGGTCAGCTGAACATTTTATCCAGATGTTTAAGTTAGCAAAACCGAAAACTTATAAGACACAAATTGTGTAGTGCTGAATGGTACACATACTGATACATATGATTGATGTTTCTATGCAGTTTTAGCCCACATATATCTAAAATCATTTCATAATTTTTGTTTGCTACGATTTGGTCGCCATAGAATCTCATAACCCACAACATCCTATTATTTTTAGACTTCGTCACTAACACCTCGACAATTCGACATAGTGCAATGAAAAACAACGCAACTTTGATTTTGCACCTTTTCCCTATAAAACTAACCAACCAACAATCGAAACATCAATATAAAATACTGTTATGGATACACTTATAGTGATTAATTTTAATAATTTAAAACTAAATAACATTGGTTAAGATATAGGAAATATAATTACTCAAAATAAAAAATAAGGATACGTGGTTTCCTGAAAGATTTTATAAAAAAGAATTATGGCATTAAATATTGTACATTAGAAGCTCAGTCAATTTGGATTGTTGACACAAACTGACGATTGAATCATATGTTTTATAGATATATCAATAAGAATTAAGGAAAGGAACAGAGTTATATTTCGAAAAAAAATTGATTGAATCTCATAATCACTTCATCAGTCTTTCTTTATTGGTTTTTTGCTTCAAATAACACTTCATATTTTTTAACCTCGTAGACATATTTTTTTTTTGGGTAAGAAACAGAGCGCTAGGGGCGTTCTAACTCTTTAATTAACGATAGCCCGCAGAGACTGGGCTCCAATAGTGTCAAAATACAGCCAATAACGTAAGGTAGGACCCGAGACATCAAACATATGAACGAACCCCTATAGGTAAAGAGTGACCAACAGACGCCAAGTAATCCGTAACATAGTTGCCTTCACGAAAGACACGCACAATCTGGATCTCCCAGTCTCTACCCAGTAGTGCTCAGATTGAAGCTATCAAGGTGTAATGGGGATTATGGGAATCTGCATCCTTCAGCAGGCTGATTGTTGTTGTCGAATCAGTCTATAGTAAAATTTTCCGGAGCCCCTCTTCCCAGGCAATACGTAGTCCATGAGCTATACCTCACAACTCTGCGTGAGTTATCGAACCTCCATCTAGATTGAGACCAAATGCCTTGATGAATTTCCCATCACACCCCCTAAAAACTCCACCCGCAGCTGTGCTTTTCTGAGATAACACGACCGAACCATCCGTGTTTAAGCAACACCAGCCTGCGGGAGGTCGTTCCCAGCTGATCATACTACTACGGCTCCCCCCACCACTACTCATGACCGTACTCGCCTTGTTGAAAGCTGAGAGAGTCTAACCATGTAACTGCCGCACTTGGTAAGCAAGTTGGCTGGCTGCCGCTAGCTTTTTTTCAAATACCCAAGCATTCCTATTCTTCCAAAGCTACCAACAAAGTATAGCAAACATGGGGACTTCAACCACACTGCTCATGTCGCCTAAGTAATGCATAACCCACTTATTCGCATCCCCTTCATTAAATACTGCATTGGGTTCACCCTCAAGGAACAACGACCACACAAGCCGAGCATAAGGGCATTCCCTTAAACGTGTATCACTGTTTCCGTCTCACCCCCGCAAATTGGACAGCCGTCCGAGGGAGCCAAGTGACGTCGATAATGTTCTGCATTAGTAAGGAGTATTTGGTGAAGTACTAACCAGAAAAAGGTATGGGTGCGTTGTGGTCCTTCAATGCGCCATGCACTCCTCCACTTCGAGTGATGATGTGGATCCTCATCTCCCCCGCGAAAGAGATCATAATCTATATGGAGCGTAAAGCGCCCTGAATTTGAAAGGCGCCACACCGGGATGTCGTCTCCTGCAACTTGCGGGGTTGGATGGAGCTGCACTTGTAGAGCTATCCAAAACCGAAAACTTATAAGACACAAATTGTGTAGTGCTGAATGACACAAAAAATAAGGATACGTGATTTTCGTGAAAGATTTTATAAAAAAAATTATGGCATTAAATATTATACATTAGAAGTTCAGTCAATTTGGATTGTTGACACAAACTAATGGATTGAATCATATGTTTTATAAATATATCAATAAGAATTAAGGAAAAAACGAAGTTATATTTCGAAAATAACTTGATTGAATCTCATAATCACTTCATCCATCTTTCTTTCTTTGTTGGATTTTTGCTTCAAATAACACTTCATATTTTCCAACCTCATACACATATTAATTTTCTTTCAGGAATTTTCATCGAGGCAATTGACTCACCTAACCGTTAGGAACGGTTCCTCATCTTAAGCAAAGCAACCACCACCAGTCACCATTCTCATTGAGTTAAATAAGATAAAAAGAAATATAACATTCTGTGCGATTTACCGATTTTACCCCTTAGGCCTCCTGATTCGCGAACCATCACGTGTCTAGGTCCTGTAAATATGAACCAGAAGCAATCCCATTTCCGTAAAGTACCCTTCCCTTTTTTCCTGCCATTGCAAGTAATCTTTTTTTCTTGTCCCAGCACGCTTTTCCTACCAAATTTCTAATTTTCTTTTGTTCCATTTTCCACCAGATTTCTTCACAGAAAAGGAAAAACCAATTATCCTTCCCGTTCCGTTGTCTCATCTCGATTGCCATTCCCATTTGTACTTCCACAACAGATTGCTCTTCTTCGCCATTGAGCGAACCAGCCAGATCCTTCGGGAGGTCCGATCCTTCTCCGTCTCCGAGCTCTCTGAATCTCTCTCAATGGCTCGGTTCCTTCTCTTCCCTCTCCTCCTCGCCCTCCTCTTCTCCATTTCCTCCGCCGAGATCCGCTTCTCGGAGGTCCGATCCGACGACCGCCCGATCATCCCCTTCGACGAATTCGGATTCACTCACTCCGGCCGCCTCGAGCTCAACGTCTCCAAGATCCAGCTCTCCGACACCAACCCCGATCTCGACCTCGCCAAGATCGGATTCTTCCTCTGCACCCGGGACACATGGCTCCACGTCCTCCTGCAGCTCGAGGACGGCGAGATCACCTGCGCGCTCCAATCCGACCTCATCAAGACCGTCTTCACCTTCAAGGACATCCCCGTCGGGAAGAAGGAGCACAGCGTGGTCTACAAGGAGAACGAGGCCGATCAATACACGCTCGTCTTCGCCAATTGCCTGACCTCGCTCAAGGTCTCCATGGACGTCCACTCCGCTATGTACAATCTCGAGAGAGGCGGCGGCACTCGCGATTACCTCTCCGCCGGTAGGACGATCCTGCCTAGGGTTTACTTCCTCTTCTCCTTGGTCTATTTCGTTCTATCCGGAATCTGGATTTACGTCCTCTACAAGAAGCGCCTCACCGTTTTCAGAATCCATTTGTTCATGCTCGCTGTTGTGATCATGAAGGCTCTGAATCTGCTGTGTGAGGCCGAGGATAAATCGTATATCAAGAGGACCGGCAGCGCTCACGGATGGGATGTGTTGTTCTACATCTTCAGCTTTTTCAGGGGGATTACTCTCTTCACTCTGATCGTCTTGATTGGAACTGGGTGGTCGTTCTTGAAGCCCTATTTGCAGGACAAGGAGAAGAAGGTGCTGATGATTGTGATCCCGCTTCAGGTTGTGGCCAATATCGCGCAGGTGGTGATCGACGAAACAGGGCCCTATGGCCAGGATTGGATCACATGGAAGCAGATTTTCTTGTTGGTTGATGTGGTTTGCTGCTGTGCGGTTCTGTTCCCCATTGTCTGGTCCATCAAGAATCTGCGTGAGGCTGCCAGGACCGATGGAAAAGCTGCAGTGAATTTGATGAAGCTGACCCTGTTTAGGCAGTACTACATTGTTGTGATCTGTTACATTTACTTCACCCGTGTGGTGGTTTATGCGCTGGAGACCATCACTTCGTATAAGTATCTCTGGACCAGCGTGGTGGCGAGTGAATTGGCCACCCTTGCATTTTACTTGTACACCGGGTTGAAGTTCAAGCCCGAGGCACATAACCCTTACTTTGTTATTGATGATGAGGAAGAGGAAGCTGCTGCGGAACAGTTGAAGCTTGAAGATGAATTCGAGTTGTAATTTTGTTGGGTGCGGAAGATTGTCCTTCCCACTGAGAGAATTAAGGTAGAAAGAATTTACAATCAGCTCTTTCATTGTCTGTTTTGACCGTTTAAGGGCGTCGTTCATATGTGATTGTTACATACTGGATATGGTGCTTCTTGATGTAATTTTTGGATTCATGGTTATTAGGATAGTTTTTCTTTGTTATAATACTTTCTGTTACGTGGAAAAAGTGGCCATCTTGGATAGTATTGCTTTACTCCTGACTTTGCATATTCAGTTACTGCTACTTTGAACAAATTGGGTAGCCTCTCTTTAGTTATCAAGCCTTGACGAAGGCAAAGATTCTTAGATCTGTGAAACTTGAAACTGACTCAGCTAGTGTGCTGCTGGAATGCTATACTGAGCTATCATAGCAAGTCGAAGGGGGACAATGTTTCTCATTTCTTGGGTAGTAAGTTGCTCCATGATGGGTTTAGTACATGCCATTTACAGTAACGGTCTCTCAAGTTTGATACATGTGGGTTGTTCTCTGTCTTGAAGAAGCTACTGTAAGATGTCATGTTTTTGCTGCATATTTCATTACAGTTTCTAGGTTGGAAACTTGTGATAGTATGTAAACTATCCCTTGCCTGCTGTCGGATCTTGGATTCCCCCTTTTCTGTGTAAGAAAGTGGAGGGAGGGAAGGGACAGTGGACCGACCGTAATAATGAAGTTATCAATGAGATGGAGAACTGAATAATTGAGGATTTGCGGGGGCCAACCATCACCATGCCGACCTAGCTTGGAGTTGGACCTCCATTTTCTGATGGATTGTCTCTGTCGAGAAGTTCATAGGGTAAAATGTAATGTCACCCTTGTACCTACGATGCAGTTATGAGTATCAAACTCAACCTACGTATCTTTTCGCTGCTCCGCAAGGTAAGTCAATGGGAGAGTGTATGTAAATAGCAATGGTGGTCACAGGTACTTTTGAGAGAGGGGCTGGCTGGAAGTGGAAGAGAGACCACCACCTCTCAGCCACCTCCATGGTAGCTCTGGTAATAATTATTAAAAAAAGGGGGAGCATGTGATCCAAGTATCACTTTTCTTCTTTCAGGATCCACATCTCCAAAGCAAAGGTCATTCATTTTTGTTTAACATATGGGCCTACCCACATTTCCTTTTAGTGGCAGGAAGAAGAAGAAGGACAGGGAACAGTGAAGTTGGAGAAAGCGGAAAGCCAGCGAGAAAGCCACGACAAGGTGAAGGAGGTAAGTGATATAACAAGAGGTTCAAATGATGATGGTGAGTAGCAGTAGTATTAGTAGTAACTATTCCGAAACTGGGATGAATGATCCATCAATGCTCCATGATGATCCCATCCCCACATCCCCAACCTGGAAGCTGTACCGTAACCCATACTTTATTAGCAATTCATACCATTCTTCTTCTTCTCATCACCACCATAAGAGCCCTCACTTACAGCGGAGCCACAGCGCTAGCTCTCGTGGCACCGGCGCTGCAACTGCTTTCTGGGATCTTACTTTCTTCAAAATGGAAGAGAACCAGACCGTGATGGAGCTCAAGGCTGAGCTGGACTACGAGCGGAAGCTGCGGAAGAAGGCGGAGTCTCTGAACAAGAGGCTGGCCAGGGAGGCGGCGGAGGAGAGGAGCGGGAAGGAAGCGCTGGAGAGGGTCTGCGAGAATCTAGCCAGGAAAGTGTCGGCGGATGCGGCGGAGATGGATCGGATGAGGAGGGAGATGGAGGAGGAGAGGAAGATGCTGAGGGTGGCGGAGGTGCTCAGGGAAGAGAGAGTCCAGATGAAGCTCTCCGACGCCAGGATTGTCTGGGAGGAGAAGATGTCGGAGATTCTGAGCCTCCTCCACGAGAAGGGAATTGAGGAGCATTGGGGAATTGGGTTGGGAGGGAAGGAGGAGGAAAAGAAAGGGAACGACGGTGAAGCTCCTCCGACCAGCCTGGCGGTGACCGGTGATTCCCAAGCAGCTGCTGTGGATCTGCCAGGGAAATGCAGGAAGCTGATTATCGGCGGTGACAAGTGGTGGTGGGATGAGGTTGGTGGTGGCAGCAGGGACAGGGGAATTGCTGGTGGCAGTGGGGTTGGGGCGATTGAGAATCCACATATACGGCGAGGGATCAAAGGTTTCGTGGAGTTTCGGAGAGTGGTCCGAGGCAGTAGTGTTGTTGGATCGAAGAACAGCAGCAGCCGGCAATGGGGGACAAAGCTGGAGTGCCAGAAGGCGCAGCTGAAGATTCTGTTGAAACAGAGGAGCCCCATTCGATCATCCACCAACACCCTTATCATTAGTTGATTTAAGTTTTGTTATTATTACCTATGAAATAAGTACTTCAAGTCGTTTGATGTTGTCCCCTGCCTCCAACTGCATGGCCAGGACAGATTTTTCCGGCAGGTGAGGTTTTTGTTCTGTTTGTTTGCTTGCTGGGTTGTCGTCGAGGAACTATTGCTTCCTTTCTTTTCCCTCTGTTCTTGTTTTTGTTCGAGGGTTGGGGCAATTGGGTAAGCTTTCTTTAGTTTTAAGGGAGCAAGGGTGTGGTGATTATGTTATGTATGTATATTGTAAACAGGGAAAGGAAAAAAAGTGGTGGCTTGGATCTGACTTCTTCTGAGAATCAAATGCAGTAGTACTTAAATTAAGGGGGGCTAGATTTTAAATAGTGGGGAAAGAGAAGAACGATCCCAGTTCTTCTTCTTCTTCTTTGTGGAATGTGGATCAAAGAAGGGCAGAGGCACATGCACATGGTTGGCTTGTAATAAAAGCTAGATAAGGTGGTGGGAGCAGTGGACTTTGAGCCTTTGTGTAATATGCTTTCTCTAAAGTGAAGTGAGGAAGCACCTCTTGGCTCTGGCTTACTTTCTTGATATTTCAGACTGCTCCTTGCCATGTCAATCAGGTAATTGAGGGTTAATTACATACATGCATAAGTTTGGACTGTGGATGATGTGCTGGTTTGTTTACAGGTAGTAGACTGCTTCAAAGTGTGTTCACCTCGGTCCTTTTTTCTCGTTTCTTCTGATGTTTCATATTCTTCAGGATGTTTGTTCAACCAACATAAGATCAAGATCCCAATTCGATGCATTGCAAAATAATCACTTGCGTCTCTTTACCCCTAAAAGTTCATATCATCTCAGCCACCTAAGATCAGTGGTGGAACATGGAGAGATCTCGCCACCAATGCTTTCGGTATAACAGGAATTGGCATAATAGGATCCGAAATTGTGCATGCTCTTGAAACTCGGTGTCCTCAGGTTCTGGCTAAAGCTGTTGCTTCCACCGTAGCCACCGCCGCCGCCGTGCGGGTCAGGAACCGGGTACGACAGCCGTTTCTTAGCCGACCCGGTGCCAACGAGCCCACGGTCTCGCTCGGGAGTTGAAGGCCTACTCCTGGGCGCACTCTGGGATCTGATCCGAGCCTTGGCAGATTCGGTAGCCGCCATGTAATTCGGAGTTCCAGAGTTAGTAGCGGCGGCAGCTCCTCCTGAGTACCTGGAGTATGATGCCGATGTCCTCGACCCGAAGTTTGGGGTTTGGGCCGCGGAGTAGCATCTGGGCTGGCAGCGTGGGCTTGCCGAACGGACCTGGACTGGCCTGGGCCTGGTGGGAGATGGGGTGACTGGTGGGCCCGCCGTTTGGTGGTAGCTGGAAGCTCTGTGGAGTGGAGAGGCCACGGAATTCCGATGAGGGAACTGCGGAGGAGGAGGGTTTGGTTGTTTGTATGATGAGTAGGGTCTGGAGGTGTCGATTTCAAGAGTTTTGATGGAGTCTCTGCGGTCAAGGGACGCTGCTCTGTTGGTGGTGGAGGAAGAAGAGTATTGCTTTGTAGCCATCCAGCGGTCGAGCCACCTTGCTCTGTCCTCTGCTTCTGCCACTTCTTCTTCGTCTTCCAGTTCTTCCCCTGTTCCGCAGGAGTTCCTTTCAGACCTCCATATCTTTGAGGTACAAAAGGAGTGAGAAATTAGGTGGTGTTTACTAGAAAAGCAGAGAAGGAATGAATGAATCATGGATTCAAAGGGAGGACAAATAGAGCAATTGTACCTGGTTACAGAAAGCATAAGCCAGCGCCTTCTCTCGCTTCAAAGCTGCTTCTTTTCTACCATCAGAAACCTCCTCGCTTCTCCTTGGCAGATGATGCTCCCAACCATCTAGCACTGTGCTTAAATCTCGTGACTGCCATTCATGGGCATAAATTGGAATAAGGGTTGATGACATTTTTAGTTCTTGTACTTTTTAATCAACAATTTTTATAAAAGTATCGACTGATCGAATCAGAAATATTGTATATCGAAATAAATGAATAGATAGCTTTAACACTATGAAAAAGTTTGAACTTTAATTTTTTCCAAGATTTTTGTATAAAATAATCCATCATTCAACTTTTCGATATGATTTTCCTTATGGTTTCACAATCTTTTGTTATGGCTTCACAATCTTGATTTTTAACAATGATGCTAACAAAAGGCAAAAGAAGGGAAATGGTCATTACTCATTACGATTGGACAAATAATTTTGGGCTGGTGGGCTTTCACAACTTAGGGAATGAGCCTGAACCTAGTTTCTCATTGTATGGGTTGGACTTGGCCCAGCATTCACGACCATATATAACCGAATATATTACATAGATCAGATTTGGCCCTCCAAATTTTAGAAAGGATGGTCAAATGAGTACCTTGGACTTTCTGTGGCGAATGTCGTGAAGACACGTGGGATCCCAGAAAGCAGCAGCGGGATTGGACTCAGCAAACATGGACTTCCTTCTGTAGCTGCCTTCATGTGAGAGCTGACCAGACCGTTGCTGCTGGTCCAACCCGAACCGCTCTTGAGCCCTGACCAGCGCCTGCATGCACCTCAGCGTCAGCTTGGCCTGCTTCCTCACATTATGCCCTCTCACCAGAGCCTGAAGCTTCACCAGCCCCCTCAGTGCCCGTAGCGCTCTCCTTGCCTTCATCCCAAATCAAACATAACATTGTAATCAAACTCTAACAATCCACTAATTAATTAATCAGGGTCAATTAATTAAGTACCAGGTAGCCTCTGACAGCACTCTGGATGACGACGGCAGCCCAGTAGTCAAGCTGCTGCTGCGTAACAAAAAGTTTAGGCGGCGGCGCGGGCCGCCTGCTGGTGAGCCGAGCCATCTCCACAGCGGCTTGCGCCGTGACAGCTGCGGCTTCAGCAGCGGCCGCGGTGGCAGCCGCAACCGCCATCGCGCTCCTCCTCTGTTCAGCCGCTTCCAGCTCCTTTGCAGCTGTAGTGCCGATTTCTTCACTACTGCTATCTTGCTGAAGTACTACTGCTGCTGGGGCATTGTTTTGACTGCCATTGCTGCTTAGCTTTCTGAACAGCCATCGCCTTTTCTCCCTCTTCTGCGTTCATATAACAGCGGATGATTAAGATTAACTAGTGACTTAATTAATAGTTACGTTTGAGAGAAATAATTATATTACTTGGGTCCGGGTACCTTGTATTCCTCGTCGTGCAGCTGGTCGTCGTAGTCTTCTCTGCAGCGGCTGGTCTTCTTGGGCTTGGTCGGAGACCTGAAAGCCCGTTTGACCATGGTCAACCATGAGGACGGGGAGCTGCCGTTGCTCTTCTTTCCCATTATAGAAAGAGAAAAGAAGGAGAAGGAAGAAGAAGGCACTGAAACTGATGGCTGGCTGGCTGGCTAGGGAGAGAAGGAAAGGATGTATGTATGTATATATAAAAGCAAGCAAGTACGATTGTTAGGAATAGCAACAGTAGTAGTGAGAGTGAGTATAATACAAAGAGAGAAAAAGGGAAGGGATGCTTTTTCCGATTGATTCCTTTTCGTTGGGCATCTTACAATGAAATGAATTATCAAACATGATGAGAAAGCAAAGAACCCAGCCCAGCCCCCAATAATATATCTCTGCAGTCACTCTGTCTGAGCCCTGAATGCGATGGGGAACTGTGAACACAGTAGTTCAAAGTTTTAATGGGTTTATTATTAATTGCACAACCTGACATGATATATTAACTAGAATAATCTCAAATACAGGAGTACCAGCTTTAGCTTTGGCTACACATTTGTATGCGTGCTTTGCTTGGTGGTGTTTGGTAGCTACAGAACAAAGGTGAGTGGAGCCATATATCGTCGTTTAACGGGCGGGGAGCTAGAGCACCTTTAAATTGGCGGGGTCAGGTCCATGTTTTCGATAAGTTAATGAGGTAGCTGCTGCAGAAAGAGGACAGCTATTTCTTTTAAGACCGACGGTTGATCGATGTACCATGTTCATGTATAATTTATACACATACATATCAGAGGTCTATTTGTAATCCAGGGGTACCCTTTAGAGCTTGAACTGTCCCTATCGCCCACATTTTGAGAGTTTGACCCTAGCTAGATAATCAGTTTATCTTCCATAGCATGCATGTCCTAATTTATAACTACACTGGAACATTTCTCAATTAATGATCCTTTTGAAATCATAAATTCAGTTATATAGTAAAGAGCTGGTCTTTGTTTATTTAAGACAATAATAGGCAGAGATGACGGGACGGATATTAAGCGGATATCGATCTGAAACTCTTCTTCGGGGTTTCCAAGTTCAATACTTCTAAGTAGGCTCTCGCCTTTTGTAATTTGATTAGGTTCATGTTAATCATGTAGTTAGAGCATATTTGATAAAAATATGAATAACATGGACAAAAAAGTGAACTTTCAAATTTGTTTGAGAAGGTTTATGAGACATATTTTGAGAAATTAGTTTAGTTGCTGAAACAGAATATAACAGAGGTTAAACCATGTATAATAACTAGGGTTGGTGTCCCTTTTGATTAGATAGGATTGGTTCAATCGAATCGAATCGGTTAGATAGAATTAGGTGTTAAACTCATTATGTTAATTGAGTTGTATAAAGAGATTAATTATAGTGTCTTAACGAATCATCTTTCTAATATCCGTTTTCTGTATCTGACTTTTGATTTTTCATATTTCTCAATCCGTTCAGTAGTTTATTAACAAGGGTTTAAGAACTGAGACAAATATTAAAACAAAACACGAGCAAATTAAAATGACAGTACGTACGTAGTTTACAGATACATCGAACAAATACACCGTTAAGGAAATGTAAAAAGGGGATGCATAATCTTTTTTTACAGCTAGTGAACGAACGGTAAGAATCCAAAGCTCGATGGGTACTTTACTTATATTCTAAACCCCAGCTCGCTTAATTATTTTTTTACCACGGGCTCAATTTTGAATGCAGGTTCCAATACCCATAAGAAAACTTTGCTGGGACGCACTACTGGACTGACTTCACGTGTTATAATCAGAAGGGAGCAGGGCAAGGGGATAGTGAGTCCTTCTGCTCTCTTCTCTTCTTCTCTTTTATTATTGAAGCGATGAGTATTGAACAAAATTATGTACCTCGAAGACCACACCACCAATCCAACCCCACCCACCATTTCACCTCTGCACGCCAATCCACTACCAGCTTCCCAACTATCTGCAACCATTAACCATACAATAACACTACTTACTTCCACATCTTCTTCGTCGTCACGTACGCAGCTCGTAGCCTTGCTATGTACAAACATATATGCTAGCTGCAGTAGTTCGTTTGCTCGCATGAAGTTACTTAATTTCTGGTACTAAATGTTACAAACAGAGATATCAAACATCTCACATTAGTTTAACACTTCCAGGATAAGGTTAAATAACCCTGAACTAGAAACAAAAGAACATCGCCGGCCAAAGGTATCTTTTTTTTTTTTTTTTTTACTGATGTACTTGTGTTATTGATGGCATCTATCTATCGGGGAACAAAGACAAGAGATGTAGTTGGGGTCCGGGTTTCTTTTGCCATTACCCACCGGGAGAATCAATCGAGACCGGTCAAAACCAAACTCTTCTGCTACCTTCTGAAACACAGTCTCACACACACACTCTCTCTCTCTCTCTCTCTCTTTAGATTCCAAAGATGGGGTTTTTGTCTCCCACGTAAATCAACAAACTAACGGCTCAGCTCTTATTCCACTTATATCAACATACAGCGGGCACGGCCTCGATCGGCCTGCATGCAGCGGCTTCATGCATGCATTTTTTGGCCCCTCCATGCTGCTGTCACTAAATTTGCATCTTCTTTTTGAAGCCAAATTTCCTATAAAAGAAAAGAGAAGTAAAGTAATAATCTCAGCCACACGAACAGGACAAACGTTACGTACTTAGTTTCACCGTGTTCAATATTTAGTGTGTCTTTACTTTCAACTAGTTCCCACTCTATTCATTGCCATCCTCCGCATCTTATATACAAATTCAATGCATGTATATATGAGTATGTGTTGACATACATGCATGCAGATCTCATAGACATTATTCATTTATTTTTACATCTAATAAGTGCACATAGTTAATCAATTCCGCCCACCCCACAAAGACCCTTAAAAGTTAAAATGTATATGAACCTCGAGTAAAGGATTCAAGTATCATATTCTATTCTAGTAGGTATCTTGATGTATGTCACCATTGGAGGTTATGTTCTTTGTTGGAAGACAACATTGCAGCCAGTGGCGGAGCTATTCACAGAGGAGGGGGGTGCAAGCACCCCCCTTGGGCTGGAGAAAAAAATTAACGGGTATAGGGAGTTTCTATCCCTAGGTTGCCACTTTATTCATTGAAACTACAGAAAGTAATCAACCCCTTATTTGAATTGAATCGAATGCCCTCCACCACCCCTGCCACCCTGCCAATCCAATTGCTCCTTGCTATATAACCTTCAGAGATAAAAACCAGCCACCCATCGAATTTGTTATAAGAGGGAAGTCAGCAAGCTAAGATTTCTATTCATCCATCCTCTTATATCACATAAAGAAACTGAACCCACCTTTGTTTACCCCTTGCTCTCATTCCAACCGTCTAAACTCTGAAGTTGTATTCTTTTTGGGTTATGGCGTCACACTTGACACTCATTATTCAAGCAAGTTAGGAGGGATCGTTTTCATCCATGAAATACACTCATTCTTCAAGCAAGTGAGGAGGATCATTTTCATCCATGAAATATATAAAAAATGATCTTCGATGCCGAATAAACAATAAGTGGTTGAACGACACATTTATAACATATATTAAATAATATTTGCTATATAGTTCGAACAAATAATGTGTTATTGAATGCTTTCAAAACATGAAATCTCATCGCAGCTCGTTGTAAGTCGCGTACATCAAACTATTTTGTAATTATAGGAAATTTGGGCACTACGTTATTGACTTCTTATTACGTTTAGTTGATTTTTCTATTACATAGTTCATTTTTATGATACGGAAAAGGCACCCCCTTGGCCAATTTTCTGGCTCCGCCACTGATTGCAGCCTATAGTTACTTTGCCTACCACTGAAGCAACATGACATTGATAGAAGTTGACAAGGAGGGATATGGTTGAAAGATCTGATTAGTGATTTAGGTTGACATCATGATCAAATTATGGTTTATTGTGACAACTTGAGTTCTCTATAGGATTGGTTAAGAATCAAGTCTGTCATGGGATAACTAGGCAAATAGACGTGAAGTATCATTTATTGAGAACGAAGAAGATGATGAAAGTAAACATAGTGGACAATTAATCATGCTGATCTATTCACAAAGGTGAATCCACATGACAAGTTCTAAAACTAACTGGAGGACTTGCTGCATGTTCTCAGTTGTTAATGCCCAGAAAGGCATTCTGAGGCATGAGAGAGAGTATGAGTACATATGGTATTTAAGGAAGAATTCAAGTCAAGTTGAATATTTGTTGCTATGACTTGTAGTGCATTATCTGTCATCTCGAAAAAGTGTGATGTTTACATTCTCATTCTTAGTGTAATTTGTATATACTAAAGTATCGTGAAACAGATCTCTACTACCCCTAATTTACCAACAAACATTGTGATATTGAAACTCGCAAATGTATGCATTATCTATTTTCTTGCATTGTTAATTTTATGATTAGTCAAAACATGAGTGTATCCTTTTTTAATGATGAATATAGTATTGAGTATTGACATGTTAATGAATACTATAATATCTGTAACTGAACATCTCACATAACTATTGGGTTTAACCGATTAGGGATGAGCATTCGGTCGGTTCGGTTTCGACCGAACTGAAATTATGAATACCCGGTTCCCGAACTCTCTCAAACCTCAAACCGAATTTGTGAGGCTACTTGTATCTTCTCACTTTTAAATTATTTTTCACCCCTAATATAAACAATAAATATGCAATTATATGCATCATCAATGATAAAATCAAATTTTTCAACGCATAAGTCATAAAATATTTCAAATATTTAAGTCTAAAAACAACTACAAACATAAAAGTCCACCGTTTGGAGGTTGCAATTATAGTATTTCGATTTTTCGGTCGGAATTTTAGAATTTTCGGTTCGGTTGAAGAACCCTAATTTCCTAAATATCCATATTTACATCCCGAATTCCAATCCGAATAGCATTAATTCGATTTCAGTTCATTTTAATTTGATTTCTGTTCGGGTTTACCGAACCGTTTGCCCACCCCTTAAACCGATTCTCTACATTTACATTTTAAAGAGTTATTGGGTTAGTCCACTTGAGAGTAGGGATCGCAACCAAACCCGAACCCACGGGTACCCACCCGACCCAACCCGGTCAACGCGGGTAAAATCCGTGTTAACTGGTTTTGGATCGGGTTTGGGTTTAAACCCGTTCACTATTCACCGGGTTGGGTTGGGTTTGGGTTTAGGTAAACCCGACCCGTGGGTACCCGCACACACATATAATTAATTTTCTCGGTATATTTAATATTTTAAACAACTAATCTTATTTATGTTTGTGGAGACATGTCTAATTTTTTCTTTCTAATTGTGTAGAATGAAGTTTGTGTTATCGAGTGGAGAATGAAGAAACTTAATTGAAAGGAAGAAGCCTTCAATTAATATGTTATTTATGGATAATTTATGATTTACTTCAATTTTCTTGAGTTTTCTAGATTGGTGTTGAACAATTTGTATTGTTAATTTGTGATTTGCTTTAATTTTCTAGAATGATGTTTTAAATATGGATAATTTGTATTGAGAGATTGATATTTGACTTTAATTTTGATAGGAACATGTTATTGTAAATTTTTTACGACAAAAACCTGTGGGTACCCATGAACCCGCGGATACCCAGCGGGTTGGGTTTGGGTTTTTCAAACCCAGTGGGTTTTACCCCGGGTTTTTTTCACGGATAAACCCATGGGTTTGGGTTTGGGTTTTTCAAACCCAGTGGGTTTTACCCCGGGTTTTTTTCACGGATAAACCCATGGGTTTGGGTTTGGGTTTGGCAAAACCCGACCCAACCCTACCCATTGCCATCCCTACTTGAGAGGTAGAGCGCGAGTTGTGCGAGCACCCGGTGATACTGCTATGTGGGCCTAGGTCAACCATCTTCATCCAGTTTGTTTCAACCGGAGTACCGAAACACCTTTAGCCCACATTTAGCCCAACTACCTGTCCGCTAATTTTTTTTGTTCTGGGCTTTTATTTTGGCCCGTTGAAGGAGCACGTGATCCCGGGTCCCCACACCTAGTGGACGAAGAAGAGGGCGGGTGGGACCAGCTCCTTGCCGTCTCGTGTCCCACAACAGACAGAAGCCAGAAATTTAATTCGCTTCATCTCCCCAATGCCACGTGCTGCCTCTACGCTTCTCATTTCAATCTCATCTCTTCCAGCCCCACCATTTCTGTTTGAATTAAAAATTTAGGCGCCCCTTTGATGCTCTCCTCTGTTTCAAATTTCTTTTTTTAAAATCACTTTTCTTGTCTTTGATGGGAGTTTATCCACCGTCCACCGACGTAGAATCCACTCTTTTGTCACTCTTTTGTCCTTAGCTTTTCTCTCCCCCTCCTCCCTGTTCTTGGCCCCTTGAGCTTCTCCATCCCTGCACTCCTCCTCACAACAATCTTGTTCCCAAACCCAAAATAGGAAAAACAAAATGGGTTGCGTCTCTTCGAATCTGCTCAGCAATGAAGAAAGCTTCACGCAACTGGGTGGGTCAGCCCTGGGCATGGGTCATCACATCGTCTCCCTCACCTCCACCACCTATGGCCTCCTCAACCTCGACCCACCCACCACCACCACCACTGCTCCCACTCCGCCGCCGCGCTTCACCTTGGGCTCCGTCTTCCCACCTTCTCTCTCCGACTCGTCCACCGCCAACTCCGATCGGACTTCCCTTTGGTCCCAACCCAGTCCATTCCGCTCCGACCCGCCACAAGAAGTCATCAATTCGTGGGAGCTAATGTCCGGCCTCGACCCAATCGACAGCTTCCGCTTCTCTCCCCTTCCCCAATCTCGAAAGGACCACCCAATTGAAGAAATCACCCCTTTCTCCGTCCACAGAGAAAACGCCAACCCTAATTTCCCTAATCCGCCACCGCCGCAACAGAAACCGCAAAAGGAACCCCCGATTTTAGGTTTGCTGGAGGGATTCGAGCCGCTCTGCCCTCCCAACGGGGAAAACAGAGTGGTAATCTACACTACCAGCCTGAGAGGGATCCGCAAGACGTTCGAGGCATGCAGCGCCGTCCGGGCAGCAATTGAATCCTTTGGGATCCAAATCTGCGAGAGGGATATATCCATGGATCGGGGATTCAAGGAGGAGCTCAAGGACCTGATGGCTAGATCTGGTAATGGATGCAGAAAAGGCGAAGTTGATTCTTCCGCTGCCGCGACGGTGCTGCCGAGGGTGTTCGTGAGAGGAAGGTACTTGGGTGGGATGGAGGAGGTGATGAGGATTGTGGAGGAAGGGCGGATGGCGGAGTTGCTTCAAGGTCTTCCGAGAAGCAAAGCCGGTGGCGTTAGCTGTGAAGGTTGTGGGAATGTGAGGTTCTTGCCTTGTTTTTCCTGCAACGGCAGCTGTAAGGTGGTGACGGTGGTGAAGGAGAAGGAGACTGGTGGTGATGGGGAAGTTGCTGCTGCTAGGTCCGTTGTGGTAAGGTGTCCTGATTGTAATGAGAACGGATTGGTGCTATGTCCCATTTGCAGCTGATTGCTTTGTTCTTGTAGTAATATTTAGTCCTAGACATATAAACTGATGATGATGAAATGAAAAGAGTAAGTTGTCTCAACTTTCTTCCTTACTGTCCTGCTTTACTGTCTGTTATATGAATATGAGGTAGCCAATGTTTAGTCTTCAAATCAGGATTTGAATGCTAGCAAACCCACCATTTGATTGAGCTGCCTCTGCTTGAGTGTTGTCTGAACTAAGGGTGAGTGTCAGTGACAGAGCTCACAAGACATTGTTGATTGTTATCAGTACTTGTGACTGCAAAGATTTGTGCTCCTTTCTATACTTTTCATTTGTAAATTTGATTGATTGGCGCGCTCTTTATCCTTAAATGCATCAGCAGCGCTGCTGTCAGCAATCAAAGTTGCTGCCTGGCCAATTCTGTTATATACACTACCTGAATTACCAAAGTTCAAAGCATCTGATTTTAAGTGTTGGCATGAAAGTTGAAACAGTGTTCGCTGCATTGGATACCAAACAGTTTCCCCAGTCATATTGATTTTAGAAGAGCTACGGGTCTAGGCATCTACATATAGGATTAGGGATTTGATAGAGAATTGAGAATTGAGAATAAAATTAGGATTAGGGATTTGATAGAGAATTGGAAATTGAGAATAAAATTAGAGATTAGGAGAAGAATATTAAGAGAAGAGAGTCTAGGATTTTAAGAGATACTTTCTCGCTAATTTTATTGATTGATTGATAATCTAGCGTAAATTCCAAATTAAACATTTATAGAAAAACACCAAAAACCTAATAAACTAAGCCTACCTTATTAGTCCATACTTAGTCGTCTAACCCTAACAATATTTATAATAATAGTTATGATTTATATTTCTGACATTTTTCGGTCAATTTCAACATCTATTTTCATCCCACAAATAGTCCTCGTGGAATCTAACCGACAACCAAAGACGATCTGATAGTTTTGTTAAGTAGAAAATGATTTACTTATCGTTTATAAATGCAAATAGTCCTCGTGGAATCTAACCGACAACCAAAGACGATCTGATAGTTTTGTTAAGTAGAAAATGATTTACTTATCGTTTATAAATGGAGAATTTGAACTAATATGTAGCGAGGGGCGAAAGCGAGGCTTACTCATTTTTGCATGTATGATCACTACGTAGCTTAGAATCCACCCTAGACTCAAGAGCATTCATACTGCATGGGCATTGCAAATGTGTACTTGGCATTTTGACTTGGAATTGCATTAAGGGATGGGATAAGGTGACATTCCTCAGGGGTTGTGAGTTTGACAATTAAGGGCAATTTGGGTAGTGCAAAGAGAATTTTATTAATTATTTTCTTTTTTATATTAATTACATTTTGGGAAATTAAAACACATTAAATACATTACTTTAATTTAAAATTTAAATCCTATCACAAATATATTTCTCTCTCTTCCTATCTCTCTCTTCCTTTTCCAGAAGCCACTGACTCAGACCGGTTGATTTTTTCCGACCGACAGACCTTCTCCGGCGGTGAAATCATTTAATCACACTCGCTCCGGGAACCTACAAAATAGTACAACTCCGTCAATGCGCTATTGGTAATGATTTTTGTCTAGTGGTACGTAAAAACTACCAAAGGTATCGTACCAGTGAATACTGGTACGCTACCACTAGTCATTGGTACGTACCAGTAGCGCCTACCAGATGGTAGTGGTACCAAACGATAGTGGTACGCTACCACTAAGATCTGGGCACTACCATTTGGTAGTATCACTAGCAACTACCAGATGCCAGTGGTACGCTACCAGAGGAAAGGGGGAGTTTGTGACATCGCATAGGGACCTCGTGGCAGTGGTGGTGGGAGGCAGAGGTCGCGGCTCCACCGTCGGAGGGATGGCGATGCAGCGGTGGTGGGAGGGAGGCGAGAGGGCTACGACTGTGGTGGGAGGCGGAGGGCACGACGAGGTGGTGGGAGGGCTGCGGCGCGGGGCTGTGGCGATGCGGTGGTGGGAGGCGGAGGGCACAACGGGTCGGCGGGAGGAAGAAGAAGACGAAGAAGAAGAGAGAATGGTTGGTGATGGCGGTATATAGAAGAGGGGAAATAGAGTTAATTAGGGTTTTGGGTAATTAATAGGGGTAATGATCTGATGTGGTAAATTTTTTCTTCCAAAAATATCTTTAATCCAATCTGTACCATTAATTTGAAAATAAGAAGAAAGAGAATGAAATAGAAGGTTAAGATGTGGGTAGCGAAATTCACAACCCTCTTGAGGGATGTCACCGTATCCCATCCCTTGCATTAGGGGCGAGCAAATTACAACATTGCTAACGGTAAGATTTTAAATGTTTAATTGTTGATCTTAATGTTTGAATTAAAGTGTGATGAATGTTTAATAATTTGATCTATCATGGTTATTTAAATAAGTACACAAATTTTAAACACTTTATCTATATAATGAGACAATTCGCTATTAACAATCAACGCAAAGCCAATTAAATGTTGAGGGGAAATTAATAGTGAAAATTGAAAGAAGGAAAAATGGAAGAACAAGGAATTAATGAATGAAGCCACAAGTCAACTGAGCGCAGTTGTTTGGGTTAATTTGGGCCCGACCGTCGGTGAACCCAACACTAAGGTCCATATATCTTGGCCCACTAGTCATTATTCAGGACCAGGAGTCGATATCCCCTATGCCTCTCATTGGGGGATTAAGAAAACTAATAGAAAGAACTGGCATGGAATTAGACAACCAGATCCCTGCTAGCATGCTAAAGAGTAATGGTAGGGTGTGCAACGGTTCACTTCAAACTAATAACAACCGTGATTCACTAGTAAAATATATCTTAGACTCAAAAATTGAGTCATTATTGTATTCTGTCTATTTGGTTTAGTTTGATCATGTTCAAATATCAGTTCGGTTCATCACTTTTTCAATAATAGTAAAATTCGTGAGAATCAAAGACCGAACCGAACAGTATTATACTCTGTCATATAGCCCACTGTTTTACTTCTTCAATACGTATGATAGATATAGCCCACTTCTTAGCCAACTAGTAAACATGTGGTCTGGAATCACTCTTGTAGTTGGGCTTTTGACTTACCTAACATTCTTCTACGGTTACATCGGGCTGGCAGCAAAACAAGTTTTTATATAAAAAAGGCAAAATACACTTGTATAGTTAATTTGTGCCAATAATAGCCAAATTTGGCGAAATACCACTTATAGCCAGTTTTTAAAATGTTGTAGGACAAATATAGCCATTTCCGTTTGATACTTTAACGGTGTTATTAACACCGTCAACTTATTTGACGGTTTGCTGGCTACGCGCCAACTCAACAGACACGTCAGCGCCAAATAAGCGAATTGTGACACGTGAGATTTAATATTTACACATCATATTTAATATTTTAATTATTTAATATTTAATTATTCTAATTATTAAAAAAAAATTTACCCTCATATACCTCATCTAACCTATCTTCCCCAACTTTGTCGTCTTCCCAAGCTCCGGCAACCGTTCAACCCACCCACCGACAGAGTCCTCCGCTGATCCTCGTCTCGTCCTCGTCCTCTCCGTTCGTGCAGTCCAACCTCCGTCTCGTCCTCTCCATTCCGGCAACAGTTCAACCCACCCACCAACCTACAGTCCGCCCCGCGGAAATCCAAGCAATCATCAAGAGAAAATGAGGTGCAGGACGAAGGGGCTGAGATGAGAGATAAAGATCTGAAACCCAGCGTCGATTTCCAAACCCAGTGTCGATCCATCTTCCGCCAATGATTGGGGCGATCTCTGGGATAGGCGATTTCCAATAAATCGAGGGAAAATCGAAGTGATTCTCGCGGCGATGACTTCTTCCAATTATCAGCTCCTTTCGAACGATTGTAGAAGACAAAGCAACAACATAGTGTGGGGATTGTGCGCCAAGGTTGACTCCACCTCATCGTCTCTCTCTCTCTCTCTCTCTCTCTCTCTCTCAGCTAATCGTGACAATGAAGGAGAGATGTTGCGCCAGTGACGACGGTGGAGGAATCTTCAGATTTGAGTGGCAGAATGAGAAGCGTGGCGGCCGGAAAGACAGGCGAGGAAGCGATTTCGTGATTTACATGAGGGATTTGGGGAGAATGTTACAGGCGAGGGAAGCGATTTAGTGATTTGAGTGACCGTCTCTGTTTCTCTCCACCATGGATCTGGGCTTGGGGAGAATGTTACGGCAGTGGTGAGGAGGGATTTGCGTATCATTTTTTTTTGTTTTTTTTCATGTAATTATAATAAGAAGTGGAAGGATGGATATTAAAAAATTCCATTTGAAATTTTTATTCCTTCATTTTAGTGTTTTTCTGCTATATTTCCTTAATTTTTTTTTTCGTTTCCTAAATCCACGTGGATTTTTATGGACTAAATTGGCTGGAAGTGCTCGCCACATCAGCATCTCCGTTTGTCCAGTCATACTTAACACTAATGGACGGAAATGGCTATAAGTGGTATTTCGTCAAATTTGGCTATTATTGGCACAAACGCGAAAGTTTTGGCTATACAAGTGTATTTTGCCTAAAAAAAAGGTTATAGCACATTATGTAGCATCCGTTATATGGGTATTACCTGATTAGACCCGCGATGGGGAGGGTATCCCGACCTGTAGTAGTGTGGGACGAGGCAAGATCATCTGCTTCCGACCCATCCTGCCCCGTCTCGTTCTTGGCCAATTTTACCTCAATTTTTTTTTTTACGATATCTATACATATTTATCATAATTTGACTTTTCATCAATTAGTTAGACTCAACATTTCAACTAGTTATACTTAATTATCCTTTCTATTATCACTATTTTTCATTCATAAAGTATTTTCCCCATTCATTTTATCGTAAAAGGTAAAATTTTGGGTATATTTTTTCATATAACATATAAGAGTGGGTCGATAGGCCCCACACCGTACTCGTCCGGATATTACTTGTCCCGACCCGCAATAATGTGGGAAATGAGTATTAAGGTACCCGCCTCATTGCCATCACTGACATTATGTTTCTCTATCATGATCAGGTAAAAATAGGAAAAAATCCCAAAGTACACTAGTTTTTAAAAAAAATTCCCAAAATACATTAGTTATAAAAAAAATTCCAAAACTACACATGTTTGAGCATCACCGTCTTTGTCTAAAACGGTGAAGGTCATCACCGCGTTTGACAAACACGGTGAGTACTTCACCGTTTTAAACTAAAACGGTGAAGTGTTCACCGCCTTTGTTAAAAACGGTGAATACCTCACCGTTTTTGTCGGCCGCGGTGAAGATGCTGATGTGGACAGCACGGGGTATTCACCGCGTTAGACAAACACGGTGAATAACCCGTGTTTGTTTGCGTCAGCATTCCGCGCCAATGTGCTTTCACCGTGGCCGTTAGATGCGGTGAGACGCGGATCGTGGTTTTCTTCCCACGATCCGACGCCTCACAGCACGCCACGTCACCCATACATTCACCGCGTTTGGTTAAAGCGGTGAGTTCACCGCGTTCATCAAACGCGGTGAATGGAGCCCTAATAACTGCTGCGCATCTCCTCCCCCCTTCCCCCAAACTATAAATACCCCCTTCCCCTTTCACTTTCAACTCACCCCACAAACATTTCAATTCTTTCTCCCTCAATTTATCCGCTCTAGTCTCGTTCTAAGTATGCTCTGTGGTTGCGGCTAAGTCCGATCTTCCACATCAGAAAGAATTACTAGAGTTTGACCCTAAAGCCCCCGTCCCGCTAAGTTCCCGTCCCTTACAAAGCTAAACCCGTCGAACCTCTGTCCGGCTTCCGCCAATAATGGACGAAGAGGCTCTTCGTGTAGGTTTTTGGTTTGTGATTTTTTTTAATCGAAACAATTTGATTTATTTTTTATCAAAACAATCTCTGATTATATTACTTTTTTATAGATGGGTGCCGAGATATACGATCCTCGATTGTATATCCATTATGGCCCAAGGGATGCGAGTCTATTAACCGATCAGCAAATGCATCGCTCCCGTGCCATTTGGGATAACAATCCGGTAATTTGATGAACTGACTTGCTTTATTTTATTATTTTCTAATGTTTTATTTTGCTTTATTTAATCTAATTAATTGATGTTTTTCCTATTTTTTTTAGGAATCTCTTGTTCCCGTGGTTCATAAAGGGACCAATAACTTGCCCGCTTGGCATCCAAGGTTGGAGCCCTATATAGCGAGGACCGGTTTGGGAATGTTGCGCCATTTCTTGCGGATCGAGATCGACAACGAGCTGCTTACGGCAATGGCGGAACGATGGCGTCCCGAAACCCATACATTCCACCTTGCGGAGGGGGAAATGACGATCACCCTCAAAGACGTGGCGATCCTCACCGGGCTTCCTATATCTGGAGATGCCATCATTGGGAACACGACCAAACCCGAAGGAGGTTGGGGGCCGCTCATCCGTGATCGTTTGGGCTTCGACATGCCGACCACCACACCAAATCAAGGACGGGGGCATCCACCGTTGAATGCGGGGCAAGTGTCGGTCCCGTGGCTGGTATCTCACATCCAGCAAGAGGTGGAAATCAATGACGAGACACCGGAAGAACAAGTCGAGCGCTACGCCCGCATCTACCTCATCGGTTTGGTGGGTGGATTTTTGTTCCCCGACAAGTCCAACCGGTGGATTCAAGGCATATGGTTGCCATTGCTCACCGGTGACTGGGATGCAATTGGAGAGAAGAGTTGGGGATCGGCCGTGCTAGCGGGCGTATACCGGGAGCTGTGTACTTGCTCGAGGGTTGGGGCAAAGCAAGCTGGTGCTGCGATGTTCATCGTTCAACTGTGGGTATGGGAGCATCTTCCAATGTTCGCACCTCTCGACCCACGTCCATACCGGAGAAACGATGATGAGCTCAACCTTCTGCAAAATCTCCCCTACGGTGTCAAGTAAGTTTATTCCGTACTTAGCCCAATTTAAATTTTATTACATGCTTGAGCTAGATTTAAATTGAATTTATTCCGTACTTAGCCCAATTTAACTTTTTATTACATGCTTGAGCTAGATTTAAATTGAATTTATTCCGTACTTAGCCCAATTTAACTTTTTATTACATGCTTGAGCTAGATTTAAATTGAATTTATTCCGTACTTAGCCCAATTTAACTTTTGATTACATGCTTCAGCTAGATTTAAATTGTCTGCACTTCCGTACTTAGCCCAATTTAATTTTTATTACATGCTTAACTAGATTTAAATTGAATTTAAATTGATTCCGTACTTTTACTTACAAGGTGGATAGGAGCAAATACGAATGACCATCAGCCTGAGCATTCGTTACTGTTTTATCGTTCTGAGTTAGATAAACCATGGTGGAATCAGGTAATCATGTTTTGTCCATATTTGAACAAGATCAATTTTATCAAAGTAAATGGTCGTTAATTCCGAATTTTTGTGATTTTAGGTTATATGGGATCCATATCCACGTGAAGTGGTTGAGCTGCATCATCTTAGGCACCCTCTGGATCACGAGACGTGGTTGTGCAAGGTGCCATTTACCTTCCACTCGAAATTGCGCCTCAACGCCTCTTCTGTAAATGCATCCTGCACAGCGTCTTTCGATGTGAACGCCATACCCACCTCCAGATTGGCCGTCGGATTGTACACTGGCATAGGGACAAAGTCGGGGGGATCATTCTGACTATGTAAAAATTGAGTTGGAACCTGTGTGTAATATGGCGTGGGTGCCTCACGAAATGCCGCCTCATCCTCGTTATCATCAGTATCTTCCTCCTCCTCGCTCACTGATATCAAATCTTCCTCAGTATCCTCGTCGCTTGACTCGAATGGATAGCTCGAGCTAGAAGGATCAACATGACCACGATCACCAACATCGTCCTCTCGCTCATGTGAAGTACGCCCTGATCGAATGGTATTCTCGATTCCATACCACTCTGGCCCCCAAGCAGGCCATTGAACACCATCGGCCTCAACAAATGGGGCTGGTTTAGGAGGTTGCGAGTATTGGTCCCATCCTGCACTACTCGATCCACCGTAGTTGATTGAACCACCACCCTCCCCGTAACCTGCTGTATAACCACCGCCTTGGTAGTTGCTCGAACTACCACCCCATTCGTACCCTCCTGCAAAACCATCATCATAAGAATACTGGTGAGAATGAGATTCACCGAGCGCCTCGGTCTCAACATACACCTCTGCAAGCCGGACTTGGTTATCGCTTAGGAACTGTAACATCATCATAACCGCGTCATCATCGTTTATGACAACTTCTTGGAACACGACCCCGCCAGCACTCATGTCTGGATACCGGTAAGTAATTTTGCCAAGTCTCGTCTGTCCGCTCGTACAAACCCTTTCTGCACAAAGATCATAGAGTTCTTGAAAATTGAATCGGGATTCAATTTTCAGCATAATGGATTCGCCGTCCTCATAATCAATGCCTATGTCAGAGTTTGTCACCCTTCCATTCCACCGAATAGTAAGATGAAACTTCTTGAATTTACCCATATCTACAATTTACAATAAGTATCTATTAGCTTAAAGACAGTAAAATTAACCAAAATCATATTGTACAACTAATATTAAATCATACCATAACTAACGAAAATAAATTCAACTAACTAACAACAACATAATACGAAAATTAAATCATACTATAACTAACGAACATAAGTTCAACTAACTAACAACAACATAATACGAAAATTAAATCATACTATAACTACTAAAAACATAATTAGACCATAATACGAAAAGTCTCAACATACCGAAAAATTTCTGTTCTGTGTATTATGCTCGATTTTGGCTGCTGAAATTTGAAGAAAGGGGAGTGGTTATGTTTTTACAACTGCTGGTGGTGTGGTATTTATAGGAAAATCTGCCTACTATTCACCGTTTTTGACAAAAACGGTGAACACTATCACCGCGTTTGTCTCAAACGGTGAATAGGTGGTAGCTGCGACCTAATTTTGACCTACCAGGGGTGGGAAACGTGGGAAATGATCACCGCGTTAGTTAACAACGGTGAAGGCTTCACCGTTTTTGACCAAAACGGTAATGTATTCACCGTTGTTAATTAACGCGGTGAAAACTTCACCGTTTTGGTCTGATACGGTGAATACTTCACCGTTTTTGTTTAAAACGGTGAAGTATTCACCGTGTTTGTCAAACGCGGTGATGATCTTCACCGCGTTTGTCTAAAACGGTGATGCTCAAACATGTGTACTTTGGGAATTTTTTTTATAACTCATGTATTTTGGGAATTTTTTTTAAGAACGTGTGTACTTTGAGATTTTTTCCGTAAAAATATATGTCTGCTTATAATTCTTGAATACTGTGGCCCTAAACCACACAAATATAACTAAATAATACACGTTTGTGTATAATTTTCTGTATGTTTCCATTAATGAAGGAAAATGCCCTAGTATGGAACACTAGAGACGAGCTGAAAAAGTCGCCGCCTGCTAGGAAAAACGTAGCTCTCAATAAACAACTGCCAACATCTGAGACCTCAGTTTTAACTGTAAATTGAAAAAATGAAAGACTTTCACCAAACAAAAAAACAGGTTATGGTCAAAGGAGAAATCATTATGTACAAGTGTAAGTCATTCTTATTCGATTCAAGTTCTTTTTTTTTTTATAACTAATTATTTGATCAAGTTAATCAATCGTTTGTGAGAGAAAACAAATGGACCGTCAAGGACAAAAGCAGTTTATTTAATCAATCGTCTGTCAATGAAGAAATAATAAGTGTGTAACTCATTTCACTTGACTTGACTTAAATAATTAACTAATTGGGAGAAAAACAAATGCACAGTTGAGGAGATCCCATCAATAATATTAAGAAATACTCAATTTAATGCTATTGATATTGTATACACAAGAGAAAGGGAGAATAAAAGATTATAGAATATAACCGTAGTCGATATATACATAATACATGATTCTATTTGTATACGTAATCTGGGTTTGACTGGGATAGTCGGTTGAATGCTGATAATATACATACATGTGGGAGGTTTGGTGGTGCATGCATGTATTTCGATATTAATTAATCAAAATTGGTCTCTCTTAATTAGTATAAATGTCAAAGGTGTTAAGCCATAATACGTGTGTACTAAATACACCAAGATAGATTATGGTGGAAGCCCAATTAGTAGTTGCTGTGTGTGTTTGGGAGCTGCCTGGATCAGCCACCCAACTCTGATGTGGGCTGCCCACCAAATCATCAACCAATCGAATAAATATCAGCGCTCATCAACCTAAATTACACAAACAGGACGTATGTAACAAAACATATAACATAAGTACCTTTTGAATTTCCTTAAAAAGACTTCTCACAAACACTTTCTTTGGAAGATAACGGGTGCAGATTTTGAAGGGTTAAAGTTGAGAAAAATATTTTATGAACTTGTAAATTTTATTATGATAAAAGTGGAGGGGGAAAATTGTTCTTTGAAATGAAGAAAAAAAAAAATAAGGTGCAACTAGGATGAAAAATGAGTGGTTTATATTATTATAAGATTAAGGAGCATAAGTAAATGTTAAATAATGATATTCCAAGAGAATAAATAACACTAATACACGTGCTCGAATAAGAATAAATACCAAGAGAATAATTTTCAAATAGTGATAAGTTATAACAATTTTAATTTGGGTGCACAAAATTTGTCATTCTTTCGACCAACCTCGATGATTATGAGCTTGTCTGAGCCCAACTCATGGTAAAGACAGATAGCTAACTCATGCCAGCGACTCAAGCACTTATTTGCCGATATGGTTGTTGAATCGGGGTGGAATTGACATATTAACTTATCGATTTGGTCATAATCGGCCATTCTATCATGTTTCCTGACTGAATTAGATTTAAATTAAAAAAAATTTAAACTCATTCATACACTTTCAAACTTATCGGTTTAAAGTATTTATTATTTAACCAAGTGACATGAGTTAGCCAAACCTTTCATCTACCTATTTTTTTCCCCACAACACTTCCTCTCTCATCTTTCAATCACAAATTTAAGTAAACTAAGAGATTTTGTTTAGATCAGACGAACCTTATCCCGCTTATTTGGCTGAATCAAGGATTGGAGCTAGTTTGACAAACTTGCTTACTCAATTAGCCAAACAACAACCCGCGATTTCTCAAAAAAAAAAGGGGAGGAGATGCGAAAAGCTCTCGTCCTTGGTGCCGAAAGGCTTTCCGCCGCTGCGACTATCCCGATTAGGGTTTTGACGAGGGCGATTCTGTGGCTGGCGTGGAAGCTAGCATATTGGTATGTACTCTCTTCTCGATCTGGAGAAGGTGAGGTAGGGAAGGATTCTGATGCATGGATTCCTACAGGAGGCGTGAGATTAAATCGGGAAAGGGGGGAAATCGACTTCCTCGCCCGATACTCCCAGATACGAAAATCGGCCGGGATAATCTCAAATCGGGAGACCGTCCAGAGTACGGTTCTCCGCTTGGCTCCCGAGTGGACCTATATAGTCTCTCAGAGGAGATTTCGAGACCCACCAACGAAAACTCGGTGTTTGCAGTGGTGGAGTTTGTATCGGCGACCAGAGAAGTCTCGCAATCGACGGCGATTAGCAAGAGGTATGAATACCATCTTTGCCTATGGTTGGCTTGGTATTATTAGCATTCTGTGCATTCCAATTGTTGGCCTAATTGGGCTTTTGTGGGGGGTGTACTGGTATGTCCAGAGCTTTCAGAAACAGAGCACTAGCTTTCAGAAATAGAGCACTATGGAGAAGGCTGGGAACTCAATGGAGATGATGGCGCCTGTTGCTGAGGACATCCAGATGAAGGAGCCAACGGTGACTGTAGAACAGCCAGGGACGATGGTAGCTGCTGCGGAGACTTTGGCAGGGGCGGTGAATGAGAAAACGGAGATCATGAAACCGGAGGAGCTGAAAGTTGATGAGGTGGCTGCTGGGATCCAGGCAATGGCCATGGATCAGGTGGTCGAGTTCACTATGGAGGATGTAGCAATGGGAGTCCAATGGGCAAAGATGAGCCTCCTGGGAAGACTGTTTATGGATAACCCCCCAAGTCTGACGGTGATCAGTAAAGCGGTTAATGGGGCATGGAATTGTGCAGTGGAGGTGAAGGTTCTACCTGCGGAAAGAGGGCTGTTTCAATTCTACTTTGCAGATGAGGCTGACCGAGATTGGGTGCTACACCGGTCGCCATGGACGGTGAAGGAGAGAGTGCTGCATCTGAAACCATGGGGCCAGATTACAAAGGAGCTGGTAGACTCATTCACCATGGCTCCGTTTTGGGTTCAGATGTGGGGGATCCCGAATCATTGCCGTACAGTGGCGTTTGGGAAAAGGGTTGCTGGAGCGAAGATTGGCAAGGTTCTTGAAGCTGGAGCATTTGCGATTCAAGGGATTTCTGGCCATTTTATCAAGACGAAGGTCCTGCTGGATGTGACCCAACCATTACGATCTCAAGTGTATGCGAGTAATCCCCTTGTTGGGGAGTTCTGGGTCACTCTAGTATACGAATTTCTCCCTCTCCTTTGCTACCACTGTGGGAGATTGGGACATACAGCTCCTAACTGTGTGTTCCCGGACCCGGTCGGAATCGAACATTATGGACCGGAGCTGAGCACGGAGAACATTGGGTATAGAGTTGATGAGGCTGCTTTTGTGCCACTGCTATTAAGGCAAACACCGCAACCATCTGTTTAGGTTAATCCACACTCTAGTGGTGGGGCGGCTGATGGTGGGAGGCAGATCGTGATCGAGATGAAGGTGAGGGGATTATTGAGGAGGGCCGCCGCCCGGTGGTGGTGGCGCTTCCAGCTCAGGTGGACTCGTTTGCTGGTCATGGTGCTAAGGGCGGACTCGGGCAGAACGCAGGCAGGCACGGTGCTGGACAGCAGCCCCCTCGTGAGTATTATGCTAAGGGCAAAGGGAAGGGAGGCCAGGGGCAGCCTGTTCTCCTAGGCAAGGGGCATATGCAATATGTCCGTGGGGGGGAAGGAAGTACAGCAGCTGGAAGTAGAGGGGTGGAGAAGAGTGGTGGGAAAGGGATGAAGCAGCAGCAGCAGAAGGGTGATGTTCGGCGCTCCCATAGCCGCCAGTCTAATGAGCCGGGCCTCAAAATTCCATCGGCAGGTCCTGGGAACGTGCAGCGCCCGGTGGGATTTCGCATGGTGGCTCCAGATCCTCTGGAGATTGACGAGAAGAAGAGGGCAGCAGGGGAGGTGGAAGGGTTGCAGTTTGACCCGACTCCAGTCAAGAAGAAATGTTTGCCAACTGAGGTGGAGGAAACCAGCCGTGATTGGTCCCAAGCGAATAAATGAAGATGATCGCTTGGAACGTTAGAGGTATTGGACCGTCTCTAACGTTCCAATCGCTGCTCGGTCTGTGTAGGTCAAATAAGCCAGATGTCGTTTTCCTGTCGGAAACGAAATCGTGTAGGCGCGTAGTGTCTCGGCGGATGCGGGGATTAGGATTTCAGAATTTTTTTCTTATTGATGCGGTTAATGCTGCTGGTGGCCTTGTTTTAGCTTGGGATTGTGATGTTCCTTTGACTGTTTTGGAACATGATTCTTTTTTTGTGTCTTTTGGAGTTGGTAATAATAATGATCAGTTTGATTATGTTTGTGTGTGTGTTTACTTATCTTCTGATTTGGGTATGCGAACCCAACAGGTGGGGGTCCTTGGTGCATATTGTTTACAGTTGAATGTGCCATATTTGGTGTGTGGTGACATGAATTGTACTATGGAAGCTAGCGAGAAATCTGGCGGTCTACCTTGGGATCCAAATAAGGGGGCGAGTGTTCGAGACTTTATTAACTTGCTGGCCTTACAGGATGCAGGGTTTATGGGTCCGCAATTCACCTGGTCTAACAGGCGAATGGATGCGGCGTGTGTTATGGAACGGCTGGATCGGGTCCTGGTCTCCTCGTTGTGGGCGGATAAATACCCGCAAACACTAGTTAAGCATTGCACAGACCTGGGATCGGATCACAGAGCATTGGTGATTGCGGATAAGCCTTTTGCACGAGTTAACAAGCCGATATTTCGGTTTGATTCCCGGTGGGTGGAAAATCCTGAAACTCGATTGTTGGTCAGTTATGTTTGGCAACAAACATATACTGGGACTCCGATGTACCGCCTTTGGCAACGTCTCAAAGCTCTTCGCCATCTGCTCTATGACTGGAGTCGAGCAGGTACGAACAATGCAGCAAGGAACATTCGGATCCTGCAGACGGAGATTGAGGCATTGAAAGAAGGCGAGGGTATAGATTGGAATCGTATTAGCGATTTAGAGAAGGATCTATCTAAACAATGGGCTTTGGAGGAGGAATTTTGGAGGCAAAAATCGAGGGTCCGGTGGCTAGAAAGAGGAGACCAGAACTCTTCCTATTTTCATACTGTCACGCGGGCACGTCGTAGACGAAACTTCATTGAAGGTTTACGGGATAAGCAGGGTGACTGGGTGACAGATGAAAGGCAGAAAGGTACGGTGGCAGGGGAATTCTATTCGGAACTCTTCACATCGGAGAGACAGTCTCCGGATTGGGAGGAGAAGATGGATGGCCTGCAGGTACATGGGAGGGTCTCGGAGGAGATGAATGGGGCTTTGACTGCGGAGGTCACGGAAAATGAGATTAGACGGACAGTGTTTTCGATCGGGGCAACCCAAGCACCGGGATCAGATGGGTTTACTGGGAAATTCTATCGGGCGTACTGGGACATTATTGGGATGGATGTTGTGGAGGCGGTTCAGTCCTTCTTCCGGTCAGGACGATTACTGAAAAGTTTCAATCATACCTGGTTAACTTTGGTCCCTAAGGTGGACGCGGTTGAGAGTATGAAACAAATCAGACCGATCAGTCTATGTCAATTGTTTTATAAGATTATCTCTAAAATCATGGCGGAGCGGATGGCTGTTGTTTTGCCCTCCATTATCTCACCTGAGCAGAATGGGTTCATTCGGGGCCGCCAGATTGTGGATAATGTGCTTATAGGACATGAGGTCATGCACTATCTTAAGATTAAGAAGCGAGGTAAGAAAGGCTATCTAGCTCTGAAAGTCGACATGGAAAAGGCTTATGATAGAGTAGAGTGGGATTTCTTATTCGTGATTATGACCAAGATGGGGTTTAGTGACCAATGGATTGGTTGGATTCGGGAGTGCGTGTCAACAGCGACTTTTTCGGTAATGATGAATGGTACGCCGGTAGGGTACTTTAGCTCGACGAGAGGACTCCGGCAAGGGGATCCGTTGTCCCCTTTGTTGTTTGCTATCTGCTCTGAAGGTTTCGCAGCGTTGTTACGCAAGGCAGTGGAGGAGAAGAGATTAGCTGGGGTTAAAGTTAATCCGAGATGTCCGAGTATTTCACATTTATTTTTCGCTGACGACTCTTACCTGTTTTTGAGGGCATCGAAGCAGGAATGTGAGACGTTAGTGCTTTTATTGGGACAATATCAGGAGTTGAGTGGCCAGAAAGTAAATCTGAGTAAGTCTGCTGTTTGTTTTAGCCGTAATGTTGAGCCTAGTGATGTTGATGAAATGGCGGCTATCCTTGGTGTCGGGGCTATAGGAGTTCAGGATAAGTACCTGGGGCTACCGTCGTTGGTTCAACGATCTAAAGTGGAGACTTTTAGGTATTTGGAGGAACGCCTGCTAGCTAAACTTCAAGGTTGGAAGCAGAAGCAGTTGTCTTGGGCAGCGAAGGAGGTGCTATTGAAAGCAGTGGCGGCTGCCTTACCCATCTATGTTATGTCTTGCTTTCTCTTGCCGGTGACGCTTTGCCGTAAATTGGATAAGCACATGGCTAGATTTTGGTGGGGGTATTCAACCGAAAAAGACAAGGCTCATTGGGTGTCCTGGAGGAACCTTTGCAGGAGTAAGTTCGATGGTGGGCTTGGGTTTCGGCGGTTTGAAAATTTTAATCAGGCCCTGTTGGCGAAGGTGGCTTGGAGAATCGGACAAGAGCCGGGGTCTCTCCTGGCTCGAGTGATGAAATACAAGTATTTTGCCAACTCGGCTATCCTTCAAGCGAATCGAGGGTCGAGGCCTTCGTGGGGATGGACTAGCATCTTGCATGGAAGGGATTTGCTCAAGCAAGGATTGATATGGCAGATAGGTGATGGGGCTACAGTACAGGTGTTAGGAGACAATTGGGTCCCGGGGTGGCGACCGGAGGAGATTGTATGTCGAGCCTCTGCGCCTAATTTGAATGCTGTGACAGTGCAGGCGCTAACGATCCCGGGAACGGGAAGATGGTGTCTTGAGTGCTTGCAGCAATGTTTTTATGAGGATGTTGTGGCTAGAATTTGTTCTATCCCATTGCCGGTGCAGCCGGTGAGGGATAAGCTGGTGTGGTCGCGGGAAAATGATGGGGTGTATAGTGTCAGGTCGGGATACCATTTGGCATTCACTCTTAGTCGCCGTTTGCCGGGGTGGAAGGATGAGGTTTCCTTTTTTGACAGTGAGTTTTGGAAAAAGGTATGGGATTTCCCCATTCAACCAAAGTTGAAGTTTTTTGTGTGGCAAATGCTTCGACGTATTCTGCCCACCATGGAGGCGATTGTTGAAAAGGAAGGAAAGGTGCCGGCAGTGATACTGGAGAGCGCGGAGGAAGGGGAGTTGGTCAAGCTACAATGCCCGGTGTGCTGGGCGCCTATGGAGACCTTGGAACACATGTTTCTCTCGTGTACAGTGGCTAGGGCTCTCTGGGAGAGGTCGGGCATTGTTGGAGGAGTAAGTTCTCCTCATGCGAGTAATTTTGCTTTGTTCTTTCGTCGGTTTGTTGAGCAGGGTTCTAGTACTGAGAGGATTGTCCGATTTGTGGCGCTGTTATGGAGAATCTGGAAGAGTCGGAATTGGGTGGTCTTTGATCATGTGCAGTATGCTATTCCGCGGCTTGTGCAGCAGTATGAGAGCCAGGTTAAGGAGTGGCTCTCGATTGTGCAGCCTGTTCCGGTTCAACGTGATTTGAGTCGGGTGGGTGGGGAGATGGGCGGGGGGAGTAGGTGTGGCCAGGGGCCGGGTGTAGTGTCGTATTCCTGTTTTGTGGATGGTGCAGTGGCGCCGGGGTCTCATGGTGCGGGGGGGGTTGGTGGTTCGAGATGCGATGGGTAGTGTTTGTTTTGTTCAAGGCTTTTCTTATGCAGGTCTTGTTGATCCCTTCTTAGTGGAATTGGTAGCCTTCCGTGATGCGATTCAGTGGTGCTTTTTGAAGGGTCTCACTGAAGTGAAGTTTTATGGAGATGCTAAGGTTGTCATTGAGAAGATTCAGGGAGCGGATGCTAGGGACCTGCGTGGTGGAAGGATCTTGGAGGAGATTGGTGGGATCCGGCGGCGCTATCAGAGTTTTGACATTGGTTTTGTTGGCAGGAGTAACAATCGGGTGGCTCATGAGGTGGCCAGGAAGACCCTTTCTTTGTTGCCTGCGAGTGTGGAGAGTTTTGATTTTGAGCGGTGGTTTTCCTTGTGATGTAAACAGTGCTGTCTTTTGGTCTTGGTAATAAAAGCTATCTATTGTTAAAAAAAAAAAAAATAGCCAAACAACAACCCAGGTGACGTTTATATTAACAATAACTATAATGATAATTTTTTTTAATATTATTATATTTATTTAATCATATAAAACTTACTATTACTTCCATAATAATAACATCATCTTATAGCAATTATCAAGAGTAATACATAGATTACAATATTTATAACATTAATATATCTCTATTTGCCCTCTGAAGTGTGAATTACGGACAACTGTATGTAATAGTGAATTTGCACCCAATTTCTTCTCTTTGCCACCATTCCAAAAAAAGTCCAAATTGTCCCAAATACTTTCGCAGAATAATCAAATTGATTGTGGTTTATAAAACTAACATCCACCTCGACGGGAAAATTATTGTTTAACCAGAATAATTATGCCTTATAAAATGAAAAAAAATGAAGCCCTTTTATGCTCATTAAAAACATTGCTAGTAGTGTATGAACTTCATAATGACTTGGCCCTCCGTCATTAAACGTTAGTTTTGGCAACACAACAAAATTAGGGGGAATTCTATGGTGCAGTCACTGCACTAGTACCGCCACTTTATTGTAACCGGTTGAGTTGGTGATTTATTGGTTGACTCCGGTTTAGTAATTTAATTAATAAAACATAAAAAAAACAAAAAGAAACAAAAGGCAAAAGGCAGGACAGTCGTTCCCTTCCATGTCTTTCCATTGTAAATCAAGGAAACCCTTTCGTCGCGGCACTCCACCACCACGTTGTTTTCGTCAATCGACCTCACCAGCAAAATCCCAACTTCGTCTGGCAAAATCAGATGCGTCATCAGCCCCGTACTACCACCAAATGCAAGCTCTGGTCACATCCCTAGATATGGTCGCCGGCAACGGCGTAGCTAAATCGTACACAGCTCTCGCGTTGCAGACGATCTCCCGGCGGTTTCGCAGCCTCCGGGATGCAATCGGCAGCCAATTAGACGCAATCAGGAGGAAGCTAGGCGAGCCAGAAGCAGCATCCCGCTGCATCCAGCGTCTTCGGTATGTGGAGCAGCAGCTCAGGCAGCAGCGAGCGCTTCAGCAGCTCGGTGTCATGCGCCGCGCTTGGAGGCCTCAGAAGGGCCTTCCCGAAAACTCCGTCACAGTTCTCAGCATCGTTTCTGCCGCGTGAATCCATAATCACCATCGCCATTGCGGCCGATCGACCATAACCACCCACATCCCGAATCCCCGGCAATCAATGTCAACACCGTCGTCAACCCAGTTGCCGCAGCCAGGTCACGTCTCTGTTGTGCCAATAAACCACCATTGTCGCTGGTCGGCCATCACTACCCAAATCCCGACACCCTCGAAATCGCCATAGTCGTCAAGGCTCCTCCCCTCTCGTTTTAATCACCGCCGATTCAATTTCCCCATCCATGGTTACACAATTCCTGAACCACCTTCCGTCCGTCATCAAAATCGTCTGGCTGCCCTGTCAATCCCAACAACGTCCCTACCGATCAGTAAGAGACATATATTATTTATAAAAAAGATTTAATTATAAATAGGTTCAACCAAAGGTTCAACAAAATCTGGTTAAGTGATGGTTTGTAATTAATAGTCCTGATTTAATCCAGAAATTCCAACGGCTGACAAGGTGGCGGCACTCAAGCCGGCACTGCACCACAGTAATGGCGCAAAATTAGTTACTATACGTTAGTGTCTTAATTAATTAGTGGTCAATAGCAGATCAAGTACTGAAGCCTGCAGCGGGCTAGTGGATCGCGCTACCTTTTTTCTGCACCATAGAAAAAACAAGTGTACGATCGATGGAGCAGAGTAGTTAGTTGAGGAGGAGTCGTTTTCGTGTTTGTTGTGTTTGAATGCAGTTATATATATATATATATATATATATTTGACGATGAAGACGACGCCATGCCAGAAGTACTGTATTATATCTATTAATTAGATTAACATTGTTAAGGGGAACATGCGATAGATAGATTCAGATTAACATTGTTAGATAAATTCGGTACGTACGTATACATAGTGTGGTGATGAAACAGAAGGAAATGAAGGAAGCTTCCAATGAAATTGGTTCCGTTTGCTCTCTCGTCATGTGTGCATCAGCTTCTGCATCTGTACTATATATACGGCTGATGAATTTCAACAGCGATGTTACATAGTTGTCTTCCAAATTAAGGGTCCTCTATGAGAAATTAGTCTTTCATCCTTTTTAATTTGATGAAGCTTACAATTGATAACTCTAATTTCAAATTGGGATTTTATACTATTTGATATCTGGTGGGTTCAAATGGGTATCATGAAAATGGATATCTTTGCCTTCCCTGCTTGATTTAGAATCTAAATTGTTTTTATTTATTGTTTATGTGCGTCATTAATTGTATATAAATATATTGTGTGTATAATTATTTAAACTAATAGAGTTAGTTTTAATGATGTTAATAAGTCTAGAACAAAGAGCTTCAATGATAAGATGTAGTGTTTATTATTAGATGATGTCGAGAATAAAAGTTGTTAAGGATGACCAAATTCAATTTTATTTTTTTCTTTTGTATTGTCATATATAGAAATGAAAATATGAATATCTTAATTCCATCACATCCTATAGATTGCTCATTGACGACAACAAGTATGCGACTAAGGTTTATACTTCAGTTTCCCGTCATTTTTTGGCGGTCTGTAAAATGTTTTAGATTGGGAATGAAAAATAGAAATACCTACATTCTGTCATAACCATAGGGAAAAAATATAAGGTTGCCATTAATTTGATTTGTAAGTAGGTCAAAGTTTTGGTCCATATTGCTTGTTTTTGTTAGTCTAAATTATAGATCCAAATGAAAGGTGCGATGGAAGTCCTCTTAAATGTTTCTTCATTGAGAATTATGAATGAGAAGGCCAGGATTCCATCATATATATGCTAGTTACGTTGGGCTCTTAAACAATTTTGGTCATGTTAAGCTTTAGGAATCCTAGCTAGTCATATATGTGTCAATGTCTACTTGAATTAGCATATCCCTCATTAAAATCATGTCCAAAATCGATTATTATTTAAAATTTTTTATCTAAATTACTAATAATTCGATTGATTTTATTGATCGCTTCAATTACGTTGCGTGTTATCAATCTTGGGTTTTGTTTGGTGCAGGTAAAATATAGCCCATGTGGTACGTTGGATCTTTCTCTCGTTTCCACAAACATTTTATCAAAACCAATGACCCACGTTAGCCGTGGGAGACATAGATCAAGTCATGCTATCTTTCCCTCTTTTTAGGGTTTTGGCCCGACGCTAAATGTGGGCATTATATGATAATAACATTCACATTTCCTTTAGTCCAAGATAGACACATAAGGCAGGGTGATGGAATCCTGACCGACCGGCAACAAAGTGTGATTAGAAAATACATGCTACCGGCCGGCCGGCGGCTCCAATTAATAGAAGCAAACTCTTTACTGTATATATATATATGACGATAGATAAATCAATATATTCAACGCTAATCAGTAGACCCATATTAACCAATGCCTAGCTAGATCGCACATCCAGCCGGTGGGATTTAGTGGAATAAAATAAAGAAGCTAGCAGCAGGTCGGCCGTCCGTCCGTCCGTCTGCAGATACGTCACATCTTTTTCAAAAAGAGGAGGGAGTATCTCGTTGACAAATATCGAAACAAGATAGGACGTCCGTTTCAGATCAGAAAGCAATAAGTTGGGAAAGGCAAGGCACAAACAATATTTCATTTTCACCACCGGATTCTGTTTCTTTATTTATGAAATACATGCATGCAGCTGCTACACCACTATCAATCATTAATCGTATACATACACGTGTATATGATAACAATACCGTACATCGAACCCTATAGTAGCCACCTCAACAAACCCAACAACAACAACAACAACAAAAAAAAGTAGAAAATAAAAGGTTTTTTTTTTATAAAAAAAAGCAAACACCTCGACGACTTCACTAGACAACCCTAATGATTACCTAAACTCACGGTACTGTAAACTGTAATGAGAGGTTTTTGGGGTATAGTTTTTTTTTTTCTGCATGTGGAGCTGATGATACGATATGGATCCTTTTTTGTATCTATATGCATGTTACATGTAATAGAGTAGTAGTAGCAAGGGCTAGGAATGATGATGATGATTACGGCAGGGTATTAAACCGACAAGTGGCATAATGGGTGTGATGATGATGAGGGAGAAGACGCGGACTTGGTGTTGGTGGTGAAGCTGGTCCAGAGATCATTGCCGTCGTCGATGCTGCCGCCACCGTGGCACATCGGATGGTGGTGGTGCTGCCGCGCTGCTGCTGCGTCATGATGATGACCACCACCAGTACTGTCGTCGTGGTCGTCGATCATGTCGTCGTCTCCGTCGTCGTTTAGCAGGTCAACCTCGTCGTGGAGGTGGCCGTTGAGCTGGGAGGCGACGAGGCGGTCGAGGGCAACCCAGTCATTTATCACCCCTCCTCCTCCTCCTGGTTTGTTGTCGTTACCCGAAGCTGTCACATCAAAGCCGGTGCCTTGGTTGGTGCAGGAAGCTTCATTATTATTCATATTAAAATATTTATGGTTGTTGTTGTTGTGAATATTAATAATATTATTCTCCGTGGTCACTGTCACCATCGCCTCCTCCCCGAATGATTGCTGCTGCTGCTGGTAGCCAATACTGCTCGTAGTTGTACTGAAACAATTGTCTTGGTGTTGCTGCTGATGATGCTGGTGGTGGTGTTGGTTTTCCTGATCGGCGACCAGCCGTGGGAGATGAATGAACCTGTCCTGCAAGTGTTCATTTGCTCTCATGCTGCGGTTGTTGAAGTCACCGAACGAGTTGTCGTAGTTGATCTCTGCCTTGCAGTCGGTATCGCGCTGCTGCTGCTGCTGCTTGCCCATGTACAAGAGTATTTGATCCAGAACTCCATTGTCGTCGTCGCCACTGGCAACAGTTGTAGCTGTGCCATGGAGGTAGCTGGCGGCGGGAGATGACGTCACGATGACGTGTGATTTCGAATCCGCCGGGTTGTGGCGATGGTGATGGTGAAGGATGGAGTTGTTGGTGGAGGATCCTGATCTGGGACTCTCCAGGCTCTTCTGATAGTTCTTCTTCCTGAACACCCGACAAACCACCCACCCTTCTTCGGAGCCTCCTTGGTCTCCTCCAAGTATATAGTTACTCAATCCCTACAAATCATCACATTCATTCATTCATATAAAGCCTATTTGAAGATACATAGGTCATAGGTGTATCACAAATCACTGTGAAACCAGACGCGACAAAATTGGTTGAATCTTGTATGCTACTAAATAGACGTACGTACAGTTTTGATAAAAAGAAGAAGAAAATTGTAGCTAGGGAGGGACTTACGGGGGAAGAGGTGATGAGCGTGGTGGTGGTGGTGTCTGGCGAAGCGGCGTCGTCGAGGCGGTACTCGTGCATGATCCAGTCGGATTTCTGGCCGTGAGGGGCTCGGCCCTTGTAGAAAACCAGCGTCTTCCTCAGCCCGATCCTCTTGTAGCTGCTGTATATGATCTTGTCCCTCCCCGTGGCTTTCCAGAACCCGGCGGCCGTGGCCCGGTTGGTTCGGGTGCCGGTCGGGTATTTCTTGTCCTTGTGGCTGAAGAAGTACCAGTCGTTCTGCGGCGTCGACCCTATCTTGCACCTCTCTGTAGCAACCCAAAAAATCATCACTGGAAATTATTAACCAAAAGTCCTCTGAAAAACAAATTAACTTCATTGTATTTATAAATTGAATGGGTTAGTTCACCTTGGATGTCCCAGGGCTCGAGCTTGTTGAGATCGACCTCGCGGATGACGTCGAGGTCGATCTGGTCGGAGGCGACCTTCTTGCGGAGGTAGTAATGGAGGAGCTCTTCCTCGGTGGGATGGAATCTAAAGCCAGGGGGGACCTGTGACTGCCCATTCACCGATAGATTCACAGGATCCCCTCCTCCAGCTGCTGCTTCTCGCATGATTCTCGCTAGCTAGCTCTTGATGATGAGATTCCTTTCCTCGGTAGCTAGATAGGAATACAGTGCGGGGTCGTGCAGGTACCAAACTAAAGCTGGCTCTAGCTAGATAGCTATATAGCAGTACAATATTCTATCTATCTATGAATTAATGCAGCAGAGACAGAGAGAGAGAGAGAGAGAGAGAGAAAGAAGCTCATAATGGAATGGAAAAAGATGCGAAGAAGGAGAAGAAGAAGAAGAAGAAGCAGAATCAGAGGGGACGCCCTGAAAAAGGGAAAAAGATAGGGAGGGTGAAATGGAAAAAGGGGAAGTTAGTGAGTGAGTGAGCTGCAGCGTGGGCCGGGCCGAGGGGATGGGGAAAGGGAAATGAAGGAAGGAAGGGTAAAGAGTAGTAGTAATGTAATGAAGTTCTTGGAGTCAGAGGGGCATAATTAATTTATAGTAGAGGAGAGGAAAAGGGCTAAAAGGAAAAAAAAAAAAAAAAAAAAAAAAAAAAAGGGAAAAAGAAAAGGAGTATGTCTGCATGGAATAGGTTTCAAATCATGGGGGCTGCCGGTATGTTGTACTTTGCCTTCACTAGGCTGCTGGGGTCAATCCCTTGTTCTATAAGACTTTTACATTTGCCGTGTTTCATCAAAAGGTATCACCCTCAATCTGTTGATGATCTATTTACCACTAACTAGCTACGTAATTGTCATCTAGAATATTTATGTGCGTAAAGATATATTGTATTGGGGTAGCATTGAATTGAACTAAAAGACAGAAATGAGGATGATAATCCAATTATAAATATATTTGATTCGATTTGGTCTGGTCGAATGACCTATTTTTTTCATGCTTAACATAGTTTACGATATCAAAATGTATTCAATGTGAATCTATTTGATTCGAATATTGATCGAGTACGATATGAATCAAATGTTTCTTCACCCTACTTGTGATAGAGCAAAATATAAACCGTATGATTAATCCTTAGTATTTCATAACACCCCAAAACTTACATAGTATCAGGGGCGGACCCACCTTATGAGGTGGTGTGTCAAGCGACACACCTCCGTCTGAAATTTGTGTGAGAGATCTATATTTTGACGGTATAGAAAATTCAAACACGAGACTTCCAACGCACCTTCGAAAATAGTAACCGACACATCTTTATTATGTTACAAAAAAATTGTTGTCTTTAAGTTATTAAAATATATAAATATAGGAGTAATTAGCTTTCAAATTAGGCATTTAATTAGTTAGTTATATGAGAGTAAACAAATAAATGGCTACTTAGTACATAATAAGTATTTAGATAGATAACTATCACCCCAGAGATAACATCAATCATTCGAATGAGAATTAAATTGATTAATAAAACAGTTGAGTCATGTAATTTGATAGTGAATTCCATGTCGTCTTTCCCCATATCATCTTTTCGTCAAATTTTCTAATAGTTAATTTCCAACTTGTTTTCTAGTTTAGTTATTGCGTTACATTTAATTTATACAAAACACTTTTTTCTTTTCAGTTGCTTAATTTTATTCATAAAATATAAATTTGTATGATTTATGTGGCGCGATAATATACTTCTCTTTATTACTCGATCGGTGATTTGCATAGATAAAAATGTTTGATTTGTAACACAACCACAAATATAATTAATTAAGAAACCTTAAAATTCGTAGTGGTTCAATAAAAAAACATGAAATTGTAAAGTTTATTAATCAAAATTTTGTGTTAATTTTTTAATTAATTACTTTTTATTTGTCGACACACCTATCCAATAATCATGAGTCCGCCACTGCATAGAATTCTAGCATTGATGATGTTAGTTGAACAACAAAATGCATGTACCATAGTGTACCATACCCCGATGTTACATTTATTTGCTAAATTTGATTGTTTTTATAAATGATAAAATATGAACTGAAAATAGATATTTCGTTTATTTATTATTATTGTGGTAAGAATCAAATCGGATTAGTGGATGGATCATTTAAAAATATCAAATCAATTACAATAGCAGTTTGGTTCGTTTATTTGGATGGTTAGGAATGGACCGAATGATATTTGACAATTTCAAAAGAACCCAGATGAACCACCTTGGTTTACTAGTACACTGGTTCGGTCTTTTAACAACAAAACAATTACGAAAAAAAATACTTTAGTGGTCATTTGGCTGAGGAATTTTAACGGATCAATTTGGCTAGATTGACTCGTTTTGAGGCAATTCCAATTGTCTGGGATGGGGCAAACAATTCGAATTGACTTGTTTTAAATGACTCGTTTTGTAAAATGAGATAATTAACCATCCAAATTATCTCATTTTCTTAATGCAAATTCTAAACTAAGACCATCCAACCCAAATCATTAATTTTATTTCTGCTTCATTTTCTTAGCTCCGCAGTTTCCTTGCCAACTTTATGTGATCAACTATTGTTTTCCATCCTAAATACTAACTTGAATTTAATAAAAAAATATGATTTATTTTGTGAGATAGTTTGAAGGATTTGTTAGAAGTTTGAAAGATTGAATTAAATGGATTTGAAATTGTTTCATGCTATTGATAAATACAGCCCTAAATTATGTATTATATTTTCTTATATTATAGCACAAGTATGTTTCTATCAACAATTAACCTATGATTCAATAACGATTTATTAATTGAACCATAAATGATTAATTTTTCCGGTTCTAACATCTGCCCTGGTTCTAAATAAGTTAATAGATAGTCTATTATCCCATTAATGACAGAATTTTCCTAACTTAACTCATTTCCAAATATATTTTGTAAATTATTAAGTTGATGATCAGAAATCAGAATAAACACTAATTCGACACATAAGCTCAATCCTTCTAGTAAAAAGGCAAACCACCCAACCACCTAAAGGAAATGGCTGAGACCTGAGAGAGTAAAAGGAAGAGAGAAGGGAAAGAAAATATTGGGACTAGCTAATTGGTAGGCCCACAAATGTTTGGTACTGAACAAGTGGGTCCCATATCCAAAAAGATTTGAGGAAAATGCAGCAGTAGTAAACTAGTAATGCACTTGGGCTTTCAGAGAGGCGGTGGGCCCAATGAGCCACCAAGCGGGGGGCAAGCCCCCATCCCAACTGCGACCCACGACCTTAATATCTGTATGATAGTCACCCTTGAAATAAAACCCACCATTTCCTTTTTCTCTTTTTTTTTTTCTTCCTCCTAATGGTTTTTTCTACAACCATATATATTAAAATTAAAATTAAAATTCTTAATTCTAATTATTAACTTAATTCGTGAACTAACCCTCCTCAGCCTCCCTTGTTTGATGAAAAAATGTAATTAACTAAAATTGCTCGTTTAACTTGTGCAACCACCACAACGACAAGAGAGTGGGCAAGATGATGGGTTCGGGAGGCACTGAGCTTTCGTTGGCCCCTCCCTTGCAACAAATTCAGCCCATGGCCATAGAGACGACTCCAATTAACCTCTTTCTCCACTCTACTCATTATAACCAGCAAACTCATCAGTCATTATCATCATCATCAACCCCTTCCTTCTTATGTGTTCACTAATGTTCTATACCGTATCGTATGAAACAACTAGCTAACGCTACCGGGAATATATACAAACAACGGAATAGAAATCAGCGATAAAAAAAAACTCCAGAACTCGTTCTTTCAAAGTAGCTAATAAAACATCATAATCAATCCATATTCCTTAAGTTCACTCTACTGGATAGTTTATAGTCAGACCAATTATATATGCACCAGAGAATAATGTTAATGCCGGTCAAAAAAATTCAAGCAAATTACAAAAGTGGCAGGAGGTCTGACTCTTGGAAATAATGTACTAAATAAAGGGTCTGCAATAATAGTAACAGACAGAGCAGAAGAGAAGAGAAGAGATGGCGGTGCCCACAGAAATAATGGTTGACAGACAAGAGCCTCTTGCCATCTCCCTTCTCCGCCATTGGGAGCTGAATATAGAAAAAGCTGGCTATCTATCCGCACTTTCCTTTTCCTGAATCTCTGAAACTGTGGCTTTCCGCGATTGAACATCCCAACTGCTGAATCTTTCATCCATCCATCTCAAAACGCTACCTGCTGTGATCGATCTCCTTATAGTAATCAATCCACAGCTCGGAAGCAGATAGTACGTCCAAACAAACTCCATATATATATATGTGGATCTTCAGCTCCATTTCAGTTCTCATTAAATGCGCTCGCAAGTCTCCAACTGGATTCCTGTGTACATGCATGTGCTTTCTCGGACTTGGCTATACTTGACTGATGGATACACGATGGATGATATGGTAATTATTAGGAAACCTTTACGTAGCTGAATTGGTGTTCTTCGAGCAATTGATTTCCCTGTTGAAGTTATAGTACTGTAGAACTTCTCTATTGGATGGAGATATACTGGTGCAAGTGTAATATTCTAATCGATTTACTCAGAATACGGTGAACGTTAATTTTACTGTCACATATAGGTAATAACTAATTAAGTTCTTCGATAGGTGCCATCTTGAAAAAAATATATGTCTAGGTTTAATATTCTTGGATAAAATCATTGTCTACTAAACTGATCGACCAGCCAACAGAGAGCTTAGGTGCTAGCTAGCTAGCTAGCTATGTCTAGGTGCACAAACATAACTAATTACGCACCCATCCGATCCAAACTCATCCTTGGCTTTGATTGATTGCCCCCATTTCATTTTATGTGGGATTTCCAAGTACAAGGGAAAAAAAACAGAATTTTCGTTTAACACAAAACTTATCATAATTATCCGGGTTAATATATTTCTCTGGTCCGAACTTTCCACAAATTTAACATCCTGGCCAATCCTTTGAGTAATTAATATCGTGGCCTGAACTTATCATATACTTTACTAATTTAGCCAATTCCGACCTTTGACCGTTAGTTATGACGGTCAAGCCCGTTGACTAACGGTCAACCCGCCACGTCATCGCCAACTAAGCATCTTTTAACCTAAAATAATCTGATTTTCCACATAATCCCATTTAACTTTTCGTTTTAAACAAAATTAAAAAAAAAACCCTCTCTCTTAAATCGCAGAACAATTGCCCCACCCCCAAATTCGAATACCCTAATTCCCTTTCCCTCTACTCTCCAGTTCATCCCCGACATCTAGCATCGCCGTGGAAATAGCAGCGGCGGCCGGTTCCTATGCGTCGTCGCCGACCCGTCTCTTTCGCCGCCGTGCCATCTCTGTTGCCGCCGTACCATCTCTGAACCCCAAGACGTTGAAGCATGTCGAGGAAAAGCGGTAAAATCGCCGGCGAGGTTTCCACATCTTCCGGATCGACTAACACAACCACGATCTGGTTGCTGTGGTCCCTTGCTTGTGTGGCCCCGTCGTCGTCGCTTTCTCCCACCCGCTCTCAAGCGACAGAAACAAGAACTGGGGGCGACAGCGACAACTCGAAATCTTCAAATGGGTTCGGGGAGTGGAAGGGAATTGAATCGGAGTTTGAGGAGGGAACGGAATTGACTGCGGCGGCGACTTTACAGGACCGGCCGCCGCTGCGACTTCATCGAAGGATGGAGGGAGAATGGGTTCGTCGGAGGGGAAGGGTTTCGAAAATAAGTGGCTGGGGTGAAATGGTAGGGAATAGAAAGCGTCCTGATAAGCTTTTTTTTTTTAATTTTGGTTAAATGAAAAGTTAAATGGGATTATGTGGAAAATCAGATTATTTTAGGTTAAAAGATGCTTAGTTGGCGATGATGTGGCGGGTTGACCGTTAGTCAACGGGCTTGACCGTCAGAACTAACGGTCAACGGTCGGAATTGGCTAAATTAGTAAAGTATATGATAAGTTCAGGCCACGATATTAATTACTAAAAGGATTGGCCAGGATGTTAAATTTGTGGAAAGTTCGGGCCAGAGAAATATATTAACCCTAATTATCCTAGCAAAGAAAAGTCAATTTATGGTTCATGAATTTGAAAATATATCAACTAATTTTCTCTCCGTTTTAAGGTGTCACTCTGGGACCATGGAGTCATAATTCATCATAACACTCTATGGCGTTTAATTCAATTGATCGGTGTTGGAATTCTATCGACAGATTTTGTGGATATGATCGATCTGTATTAGTTAATATAATGTATTTGTTTTCTCCAATTTATCAAGGTCGACTTGATCTTTCGTAAGCCAATCTAGTTTAAGATGTCTACATCAACAACAATTCAAAGCCATGTACAATGACATATGGAGGTTGATCGAAGCACCACACAACCGACCATTTCGTTGAATAGGGTGACGTCTTGGCCTTGGGTTGCATATCAACTGATTTTGAGATTTGATGTTTATGTAAGGAAGTGGTTAAGCACCATACACGGGCCTGTATAAGATCCAACATAACCCTTCTCCCAACAACTCGAGTTATTGGGACCAACTGGTTTATGACATGGTATCAGAGCTGGTTTGTACTTGAGGTCACGTGTTCAAGTCCTCACGATCCCCAATATTGACCGTTGTCTTTCAAGCACATGGTATGGCGGGCCTGTGCAAACTTCAAGTCCATGAGTTGGCTTTCGTTTGAGGGGGCGTGTAAGGAAGTGGTTAAGCACTATACACGGGCCTGTATAAGATCCAACATAACCCTTCTCCCAACAACTCGAGTTATTGGGACTAACTGGTAACTCGAGTTATTGGGACCAACTGGTTTATGACAGTTTACACCAATGTTTTTTTGTTATATCGGTCGATCGCATAGCTGCTGCTATATAGGTCGACGTCCACTTTCGAGAAAACATGTCCATGCATCCAACAACAGTAAGTTATTTATAGTACGTAGTTTCAGTTGATATTAATACTAGTTAAATTATTCTTCTGTCCTTGTTTAGTTAAACATTTCTAATATTGGAATCTTGATTCAACACTGAAAAGTTCGTGGCAAATTGATAGATTATTTTAAAAGAGCGTTCAACCACTATTTCTGTTTAACCATGATTCTAATAATATTATTGATCAACACAACGGATTAACTCGCTAAACTCCAAATCATTATTATACCTTAAATTTTAACAAAATTACCATAGTGTTCGCCTAAAAAAGTACTGTAGCGCTAGTAATTAGGAACGACGGACGCGAAAAGTAAAAAATCAATCAGGTTTGACAAAGCTTTAACCACCGCCTGCCGCCTCGCCTCGTCTCAGCTCCATCCATGGGCAACGCATGCAATAAGAGTATTAGCATAATTAATGACACATCGTGATGTCATAAATCCTTGCCGAATTGATAAACCGACAAAGATGCTAAATAAAATATGTTTCTGGTGGCATAATACGACTTGGACACATATGTAATCATTGTTGTTTAACGGTGGATGAGTGGTAATCGTAAGAAAAACTAAATCCCTACTGATTATGGTCATCATCATCTACCAAAATTATAACAGAATTTTCCTTGCAAAAATTATTCATCCGACAGATATATGGTGGCAGCTGGTCTTGACTAGTAATACGCAGTACATGAATTGAATGAACCTGGGGAAAGAAAGATTACCCCATGAACTCAGTCTGCGCGTATGTGGATGATTTTATTTTGTGGATGCATAATGATGGAGGCATGAGAAATTAAGGAAAAAAGTGGTATTTGAGATAGTGGGTATGGTAATTAACTTGACACCCATTTAATAACGACCTTTCTTTTTGACCTTTTGGGTAGGTTTATATGGTAAGTAACACTAGTATTGGGTAGCCCTGAAAAAAAAAACTAGTGGTTTATGTGTTAGTAAATTATATAAAGATTTATTATTAAATTTCTCTAAATAACTCTAGTTATTTGGACTAACTCATTTTTTACATGGTATCAGGATCTTCTATGATTTAGTGGTCTTGTGTTCGAACCCCGCGAATCTTATTTGTTAATCACGTGATATTCGAACACGTGAAAACTTCAGGTCCGACTCGAGTTAATGGGACCAACTGATTCTTGACATAAAAAACACGAGGTATTAATATTCTCCATCTTAAATGGTCACAATACCTCGCAATACTTCGACCGACTCTATTGGTCAAAATGTGAAATTAATTCTTGACATGGTGTTAGAATTTTGAGCTGAGAGTTCACGGGTTTGAAACTCACTACTTTTAGTATTAAGAGTTTGATTATTTTAAGCACAAGATAGGACATTCTTGAGTAGAATAATAAATTAAATAACGATAAGAAAAGAAAAGACTCATAAGAATAGGGTAGTAAAGCCATTTTCCAACTTTTCCTTCATTGGCCCCTGCTGCAGCTGCTGCTTGCCGACGGTGGTCTTCCGCTTCATCAATTGGATCTAACGGTAGAGCACTAACATCGACCATTATCAAAATTTCAAAACCCTAATCGGGAGCAAAGAAAGAAAGAAAGGTTAGTGATGATCCCTTCCCTACCTACAACCACATCAACATTCATTCATTCATTCATAATATATTAATTAACAACCTCTTTCTGTTATGACGTCTTTGTGCGTGTCAATTCCGAATCATGGCGATGAAGGGAAGGGAGGAGGGGATTTATGTAATCTCTTTCCCTAAATTCCATGCTTAATCATCATCACGATCGAGTACTAATACTACTATTCCTCCCTCCCTCCAACAATTGACGGGGCAACCACCTCCTCTTACTTTCACCCTCACCACTCAAACCTTGTTCAACATCGCAATTAATCAAGGGCTTCTAACTTTGTGTTGCTACTTGGGTGAATTTCATCATACTAATTTCATATAAATTGGATATCTTTTTAAGTGGGTGCAAGCCAAAAGATGTAGTGGCATTGAAACGCCATGTCGTGAATCGATCCGATCCTCAATATCTCGCCATAAACAATATATATGTCAAATCTTCATCGCGTGTGACAGTCGATATGTAATTTCAGTCATGTAATCGACTATGATGAGCCGAACTATGAGTGAAATAGCTTACTATCCCACAAGCTGCAGTGAGTCGATCTCCCTTTGATAAACAATGACCCTTGATAAAAATAACAATAATGATAATGGCCCTTTTTTCTAAAACCTCATAATCATTGAAAATGTACACTTTTTATAAGTAATTGAAATGTGATTTCAAACAGAAAATGGTCCGGAATTGATACTCGGATTAGGAAACCAAAAATCTTATTTCTGAGTAAGAGAATATTTTGATAAGCTCTTGCAAAAAAAAAAAAGGTTTGTATGCAATTGATTAGTCCTAGCATTTTGTTTTTTTTGTTAACTTTTTCAGTGGGGAGAGGATATTCTGCGAACCTATACTATATATGTGAGTATAAGTGGTGTTTCAGAGTACGTTGATTGATTTGTCGTTTTGCAAACTGGAAGTTTAATGAGTGCTTTACGACGGCAAATTGGTGAGATGGGAAGTCAGACCACTACGGGCCTCATCGTCTCCAAATTGAATGAATATACTCGACTAAAATTGAAACTAGATGTGTTTTCCCCGGAATACAAATTATTTTTATTGCAAATAATCAAATTTTATTTAAAGTATAATAAATTAATTTAATAGCAATCAAATGATAAAAATTGAAGTTTATTATCGTCGTGAAATATTTTATACTGCCTCAAAATGTTGAGTTCCTTCTCGTACATAAGCATACATAGCTATTTATTAACTAGCTTATACCCGTCCGTTGGTCGGAATATTTTGAGATATCTATTTCGATGATATATCTTGATTAGGGGTGTCCATTCGGGTTCGATTTTCGGGTTTACCCGAAACCGACCCGATTATATATATTTTTGGTTTTTCGGGTTCAGGTTCGTTTCGGGTTTCGGGTTTTTCAGTTTCGGGTTCAGTTTTACTTATCGATTTTTCGGGTTCCGGCTAAAAACCTCCAATGAATAGAACTCAACTCGTATTCTTAGGCGTTCGGATTTTCGGGTTTCGGTTTTGCTTTAACCGAACCCGATAAGGAATTTTGGGGTTTCGGGTAACCGGAACCCGCAAGTCCTTATCGGTTTTGGATTCAGTTTTAGTGATTTTTGGTTTCGGGTTTTTGGTTTTTTCGGGTTTCGGTTCGGGTAACCGAACCCGACCCGAACTGACACCCCTAATCTTGATAAATAGTTAAATAGATTTTGTTTGGAACTAATAGTTGACTTTTTATAATCGAGATTGATATTATTAAAACATGATAAATAAAACTCAATTCTTAGTATTAAAGCATTCATATGAATTAATATATTGAGAGTTTAATTTGTATACCTTGAACCTTATTGATGAATGGTGTTCTCACTTATCATAATCAATTCCTTGATGAAAATTTTTATACTTGATTGGGATTTTTTTTCTCAATTAATAGGTTTGTACATGATTCCCTTTGGAGTTTGGACAAATAACATGAAGAGTGAATACTTTGAAGTCAGGACATATAGACTGGAAATAAGAACAATGTAAACACCATATAGCAAGGAAGACAGAAGCTCTGGGGAGCTGTCAATTACTATTTTTGAAGAATAGCTTAGATAGAAGGAAAAAGGTTTGCTCTGCTAAATCCACAAATCCCCTCAAATGATACCAAGGTGAGAAAAACAATTCCAATGAATGAAAGCATGGAAGAAAACTAACTGAACTCGAATGAATTTATTTGGCTAAATATGGTCGCATTCACAATTACGCTAATCATTATTAACCACCATCACATGTAGGTGGAGTGTAATTAGTCTCCAAACTATGCAGCATTTTGTGTACTCTCACAATCCACGTCGAATTTTTTACCCCATTAATTATATAAACCCTTTACCCAACACATTCCACTTTGAAACTCATATATCCCCTGAACGGTTTGACAGCTCGTTCACAAATTATCCAAATTAACTACAATTACACACATGCATGTCTCCATCCCCTTTTGGTTCCCTCGCTGCTTACATATATAGCACCAACAACACTACATCTACATGGACCATACTTTGAGCTTTTTAGCGAGCATTCCACTGACTACACTTTCACCCACCTAAGTTGCTTACCCTTACAGTTCTCATAGCGGCAGCAGAAACATTAGGTATCACTGCAAGCACGCGGCACAATTCAATAGACAACACATGAATCTGAGTAACATAAGATAAAGAGTTTGCCAGTTTGGTGAACCATGTTTATCAGCATAAACATACATTCAACCATTCTAAGTATTATGTATCATCACAAACGAACAAAAAAGGCATTGTATTATGTTTCATAACAACTCAATAGAGGAATGTATTTAGTCAAAATTTCCCATTAACAAATGCAAACTTACAAAGAGGAACCTAGATTAAGGAGTCTAACAGTCGAGGGATTTCAATTATAAAACTATAGGTTAGATAGAATCATCAACCTCAAGGGAAAAGTCATTGTTGTATTAAGCCCCAAATCTTCTGAAACATACCAAAATGAGAGAAACAAATCACAAACTATAAAGCCCTGAAAATCTATCTGACATCCAATTACTTTATGGGGATAAATTTGGTTTGTTTCATAAATATGTTATATTATTCATGGAATTGATTGATTCCTGTTGGTTGGTGTAATTAAGGAAACATAATCATCTCACAACAACCATCCCTTTTACTGGTTCTTCCTTCGGCTCTCCACTCTTTCACCTGTAAAGTAAAATTAGTGTTCACCTAGAATCATGGAGTTTTAATGTTTTTCATAAACACCCCATTTGAATTTTTTTTGGCATGCTGCGTTCTTGCAAAAAAAAAAACTGAAATAGCCATATAAAGCTTGAAGTAGCAGCACAAAACCAAAATGAAAAATATAGTGACCAAAGTGATTATTAACACCAAACAAAAAACGAACAAAAGCAAGACATTACCAGAAAATCATTTTAATCTATCATACCGCAACACCATAGCAAACTGGCACCTAAGACATTAGCAAATAAATTATGTAATCCACCGGATTAGAATGAAAACGCAAACCATAAACCCAAACGCAATTGATGAGACTCAAATTACAGCAAACAACCAAAAAGAATGGAACAATTGTAGCAGGATAAAAAGGCAGAGTGGAATGACCTCATCGAATAGAGGTCAAGGTCTCCGCATCAAATTGGTGAAGGCAGCTCTCAGCGAACAGAAGCCACCGGTAGCTGCTCTTTCACCAGTTTCAAGAGATTGAGTGTTCAAGAATAACGAAAATACATAAGCAAACTCAGTCTACTGTTTCTACTCTATACTCATTATTCACACAGAGTTCGAAAACAATATATAGTGGAAGATGTACTTATTTAGCCTAATCTGTCTTCCAAACTGCTTTATTGTCTTTTTTACTGCAGAAGGTTCTTCAGCGGTTCACCTGCACCATGAAAATGATACGGGTGCACTTATCGACAGCCTGCAACCCCATAGAAAACCAGCATTATCCCTTGAACCTTTTGTCCTATCGATCCCTCTCCTTCCAACCTCCAAGGAACAACTTTGAGTCTTTGAGCTGCGTCATGAAAAGGATACTGTTGCTTGTACGTACGCGTTGACCTGTGAACTCACAATGGTAATCATAGACCAACTAACCAAGAGAGAAGCTTAGAGAGTGAGTCCATTATTTGGACAAACCTCATTTTAAAATGTGTATCTTTAATCCAACAACTCTAATCAATTAGGTCTCTTTTCTTTACCTGTGATTCTCGTCCATGACCAAAGAGCTCAAAGAAGGCAGCTCAAGCCTCAAAGGATAAAAAACTACTAATGCTGCTCCAAAGAGAATAATAAAATGTAATGTGTGTTCATTTCTCTTACCACTCTTTGAAGAATAGGCTATAAGGATGAGCAAAAGCAGAATAAGTAAAGGCTCTAAAATGGGTTATTTGTTCTCCAACTTTAATTGTCAGACAGAACTCAAATCTGATATAGATCTTGAAATTGTCATTGAAAAGACAAACAAAAAGAATCACCATTTTCATCAGCTATGATCTTCGATTTCCTCCTTTCATCAAGATGCAACACAGCAAGACTCTGTTAGCATATTTAAAAAAAACATGATGAATAAATACGGCATAAACGATTTTAGTTAGGTACTCATCTTCCCAATGATCAGGAAACCATAAGCCAAATTCCCATCTTGAGGCTGCTTTGAAACAGTCATAGTTTTGAGTTCTGACAGCTATCACACCGTGGGAGGCCTCATCTACAACAAAACTTACCAGAAATTAGTTGCCAACAATCACGATAAGCCCTGCTGATTTTCATGGAATCTAACACTCCTTCATCACAACACGAATCTCCATTGCTGGTCCAATGGGTTCATCACCCACCACTACTAACAGCTTCCTAAAAAGAGGCTAAATAATGTCATATGTGGAGGAAAATAGAGAGAACCCAAAGAAACTTAGCTAACAACAGAGTAAACTGGCAAGAATAAAAGAATGGAAATCTACAAACTCAATCACAAAATAATTGGAGGGACCACTGCTTATAGGGCTTATGGTTCCTTTTCTATTTGTTTGATTTGGGTTCGTCGCCTCCACCATGAATCTCCAACGAAAATCTGTGTTGTTTGAACCTGAAGCACCCATTCTCCCCCTAAATGATATATGGGACAAAGAAGAGGAAGACCGTGAGATACTCTCTGTGAAGTAAACAAAAAAAAAAAAATCGAGATGACATACTTAAGGAATTCCTCGGGCCTAATTCGGATCCACAACTTCGTATTCTCTATTTCCTTGGAAAGATCCATATTCTTCATCCACAATCAGCAAGCCTTACAACCACAAAGAGAGTCCTTCCCCAGGAGAATACTTGGTATGCATCACCTGATCGCTACTGTCAGATCCCCGTGGAATCCAATGAATCAGAATGAAAACTTAAATCAAAACCTAAGTAAACAGAGAGATAAACACATGTGTTTCTAACTTTCTATAGTTCAAAACTTTTCTCACCATCGAAGAGAAGAATTTGACAATCCGCCAATCACCATGGGACGAACACCTTTATGGTGTCTCTTCTCTCCTCTTCTTCCTTATTACTTCCAATGCCACATTGCCCACTTCTTCTTCCCCTAAACCGCAGCGCCACCATACTCAATCTTCCGCTTACCCCGATTCCACCGCCGCTGGACAAAAGTAACTTCAACTCCGTCCTTGTCTCCCTCCTCGACTCCCACTACACCGAGCTCGGTGACCTTGTCGAGAAAGCACTCCCCACGCTCTAGAGTAATCCGTCGGCAACCACACATAACCACCCCACACAATGGAGCCCTCGAGCGTCGCCTCGACTCCGAGTTCAAGCGCTTCCTCCTAAAGCCTCGCAACCTCCACTCCCTCCGCAGAACAACCTTCGTTGGCCGTGACGGAAGATGATTTCAGCCGCAAAAAAGTAGTGGGAACCGACGGTTTATTATCTCTCCTGTCACGCGGGGATTTCTAATTTAATCCCGTGTAACCACCCTGCCACGCAAGGTTGTCAAACCGGTTTATGCCGGTGTGCCGGTTTTGTAAGTGGAATGGTCTGACCGTGGTACAACCAGTATTCATGCCGGTTGTGCCGGTTTTAATAAAATACATGAGGAAAATGGAAATCCTCAATTCCAAATAAATTAGTCATAAAAAAGCAATTAGAAGAATTATTTCACACAAAATAATTTATAGCTAAGAATTGGTAACTAATACTAAACAATTAGATGCTTAAAAATAAAATTTTATTCAATAAATTTTATTAATGTTTATAATGATTTGTGTAAAATTTAGTATTAGATATATAACATATAAAAGGTTAATAAATACAAAAAAATTGCTTGTAGCCTACTGGTGTATAAGTTAAACTAAAATGTACAAGAGGTCCTTGGTTCAAATTCTATGAAAGATGTTTATTTTTGGATATAATATGGGTAACATAAAATTCCGGTTTCTGGTCTAACCGGCCGGAATTTCCGGATTTGACCACAGTTAAATACCGGCCCTTTCCAGCCGGTTTGCTGATCGGTACCGGTTGAACCGGCCGGCATGAAACCGGTTTGACAACCATGCTGCCACGTCAGACTCCTAAAATCACTCTATGCGCAGGAAAAATTTGAATGGGGGTTGCAGTTTTACTTTTCAGCTATAAATTATACTGTTGATTTTTTTTATCAAAATTTACTCGTTTTCCGTGATATTGCCAAATGTCAATACATCATGGCTCCGCCCATGAAGGAATCCGTATGTATGTTGATTACTTGATTTATAAGTTAGGTAGTGTGTTATAAAGTTTGCATGATAAGCAATGTGTTGTAAGTAAAGGAAAAATATCATATCATTCTCTGGTAAGAAAATTAACGAAAACAGCCAAGGGCGTTCAGTTTGTGGCTTCTGACGCAATTAATTCTTGCATGAACGTACGTATGTATGTATGTTGTTGCTTGACATGCAAATGCTCCCAATGGTATTTATTCTACAGTAGAATTCTAATTGCATATTTAGTAGGCTACCAAAAGCCCAATACTTGATAGTTGGGTTGGCCTATCAGAAGGCCCAATTTCAGATAAGAACCGTGCATGGTCTAGTCCTAGAGGCCCTTTATTACGGGAGAAAAGGGCTTTCTGGAGTTGATTACTAGACGTCGCCATTTGAAGCCCAGGACCAGAGTCGAGCCCTATCTTTCAGAAATAGGCCCACTAAGCCCAGCTACGTTCTTCTTTTCTCTCTTGACATTGGATTCGAGCGGCCCGGCTAAGTTTTAGAAAGAATAACAGTCTACCTAAACCTATTATGGCTTGTCGCACTCGCACATGTTCGTTAATTTACTAATTGTCTAGTGCCTAGTGGTGCTCTCAAAAAGACTGGGAATGACCTGGTTTGTAAATTTATAAACCAAATTGAAGCATTAATGTTTCCGCTTCTCTCCCTTGGTATCATTTGACTACCTTGAAACTGGTTCTCGCGTGGACCGCTGAATCCAACGACAATTGAGCCGATTAAGGGAAGAAATAATTCCCAAAAATTAGAGAAGCGGAAACAATAAGGAACATCAAAGACTATGAGGTGGTTTCGAGTTTCGACTATAATTAAGCAGCAGCAGCCAGCAGGCCTAATCACAAAGTTAAAACATCTACACATATCTGTTGCTAGCTAGTATTCATGATTAACATTTAACAAACAACAACAAAAACATAAAACGAAAATGGTTTTCTTCTAGGCGGAATTGATACAGAGCAATTAGTTAGAAGCAACTGCAAGGTCAACCATGCTATGATGATCCTTCTTGGCGGAACCATTTCTGCTGGTACCTGTAGACATAGTAGTAGCAGCAGTAGCGATCCAGTCATCAGAAAACCCAACAACCGACGAAGCAGAAGACGACGACGACACCGCGGCAGAGCAAGCGTTAGAAGTCAGCGTCGAGTAGCCACTACTGCCACCACACTTGGCCACGGCGCTGACGTTATGGACCAAATCGTGAGTAGAAGCCTCCTGAGACAGAATCTGCAGCAGCTGGTCCGGGCTAATCACCAGCTTCACTTTCCAGAACCCCGCCTCCTGATTCTGAACCTTCCCTCCGCCGCCGCCGGCCCTACCGGAAACAGAGGAGGTCAGCGAAAACGCCTCTGTATACGACCTCTTCAGCGCACCCTGCTGCTGCTGCTGCTGTTTGTAGTTGGAGTCCAACGACATCCGGTAAGGCGTGAGGCCGGCGAGAGAGGAAGGGGAGCTCTTCGACCTAACGTGGCCTTCTTTCACGGAGGACAGCGCCGATGACGGTCCCCTGTTAGCAGCAGATGGTAATTTGGAATTGGGCGCCGCCGTGAGTGGGAGGAGGTAGTAGGAGTTTCCGCGGCGGAGCTGGTCGTCGTGGGAGAGCGGGGTCCAGAAGAGATCGTGGGATGGGAAGATTGCGTGACCCGGAAACTCGGCTGCGAGACAGCCTGCCGTTATCGGCAAGTGGAATTCGAGGATGGCTCCGGTGGAGGTTATGACCCTAATCGCTCCTCCTCCCTCGCCGTCTCCTAGACCTCCGAACAGACAGTTCCCCATAATAATGGAGAGGAAATGAAGTGGGATTTTGGGGTGTGGGTCTTTGGTGGGAATGGAAAACAGGGGAGAGGGGAAAGATATGGGAAATGAAATCGTCGGTGGGGATGGTTCTTGGTAATGGTGGTGGGTTTGTAGTTTGTTGTATAGGAGAAATGGATCCCACCACAGAGATGCAGCGAGATTTTGTTGAAAAGAGACAAAAAGGAAGGAAGGGAAAGGAACGCGGGGTTCTTGGTTTCACTCAGCGGCAGCAGCCCGCAGCCGCATTACTGCTACCACTAATATGGCGTATAGTATATTGAGAGAACACGGTGGTGGTGGTGGTGGTGGAGCAATTTATTAATTGATTGTGGGTAGAAGAATACAGCTTTATTATATAGGAGAGAGATCGGAAATCCAGAGTGGTGTGTCGACGACAATTCAACTACGAGGACTAGCTAGCGTTTAGACACATAGGGTTTGGTTAATAAATGTTGGGTGTTATTATGGGTGGCGGTTGGAGGAGAAGGCCGAGGTTAACATCATGATTCCCCGGCTACACAGGCACGACTGGCGAGACTGATTGCAGGGACTCCTTAGTCCTTCCTTTTTCTTGCTAGCTAGCTAGCTAGTTTCCTTGGTGACCTTTTGTTCAATGTAGCAATGAAGATGGATATACAGAGAAACAGGGGAGCCGGGAGCATAATGGTGTAGTACTGGTAGATATATGCTCTTTTTTACTTTGGTACTTTGCATTTAACTCTTTAACCAACTTTTGATTGCCCCACCAGCCACAGGGGCAATTGGCATCTTCGTATTTTAGGTACAAAGAACAGAATCTGCAGTTGTGTTTCAATGTGATCTTCCCGCCAATGCAAATCTTTCGGGTACCTCTACGGATTGCAGTATCGTTTATGGTGAGTGAACTGGACCACTATAACTTTTGCTTATGGTTCATGGTTGATAGTTAGTATTACAAATTTACCAATGTCCATAACTTGTGTTTATCAGTCAAGCCGGCTGAATGTTTATGGCCATGGACGACAAAAGGGAGATGAAGCAAGCAAAAGTAAAAGAGAGTGGGGGGCGGCCAAAAGAAAGAGGGGAAAAAGAGGTGAGTGGGAGAGATTGTGATGGAGCAAGTAGCATCGGCATCTGTTTGTTATTATTGCCTTGTGCCCTCAACTCAACTCACAACCAAACAAGACAGAGTAAAATTAAGTGGGTCATTCCCCAAATTAGGGAACCTTTTTCTTCCACACTATTGGTGGTTCTCTCAACAAGTTCTCAATAATGGAAGAGGCTGGACCATTTTTTTTTTAATTAATGGTTAGAATGAATATGTTTCTGTAGTCAAGCCTCGTGCATTATTGTGGTTAGAAAGTTCACTAATTGATCGAACTCTAATTGTTCATATCTAGCCATCAAGGTTTGGACTCTTTGGTCTTCAACTTATTTTTTATCACAAAAAATTTCATATACTTCATATTTGATAACATAAAACATTTTTTGGTTTTTCCAAACAGAAAATTTACTAATATTAGTACGAAAATTTTAATACTATCGAACCCAAATAAATAATTTATTGTAGAATTTAATAGACATCAATTCCAACTAATTAGACAACTAACTCATTTAGTTTAGCAAACTATATCTACACCTATTTAGCTTGGATCTCAATATTTTTTTATACAAACTAAAATTATACTAAATTGTTCAAGCTGACGTTCAATTTGATATAATTTGAAATATAAAAATTATAAAAAGTTAATGTACGAAAAAAAAATACATCATGATAATAGAGTATATCGTGTTAGTACAAAAAGTATGCAGTACTGTTACAACTTACAACTATTAGAAGTCCAAAAAAATTCCAACGAAAATAAACAATTTCATTTTGACTCTATAGGCGGTCTCTTGATCCACAAGCTGAATAGTTTGTCAATGAAAGCTTTCCTTTGTCTGTTTATTTGCTTATGGACAGATCTCTACCTATTGTCTTCACTCTCCGTTTCAATTTCAGAAGACTTGCCCTCGCTTTCCTTCGTGTAAAACTCTGGTCAAGATCTTTCCGCTTTTCTTTTGCCCTTTTCTTCTTGCTGCGTAGCCAAAGGGTTAATTAGGCGGGCTGAAACTTTTGCTGTTTCAAACTATTGGGAGGGAACAAATTGATTGCGATTGCGATGGCGATGGCGATGGGGGGCGCATGATTATGCCGTGATTACAGCATCGGAAAGAAAGACCGACCCACCGGCCACCCACCGGACGTGTCAACTTGGGAACCTTTTTTCGGCGACGACTGGGCTGCCGGCCTATTAAGCATCACGATCGCATGTGCGTCTCATGTTGGGCCGAAGCCTGCAGCTAATGCTCCCCGCACTCGAAGCCGCAATCAGCCAAGCGGTGAGACCAAAGGCCCATATGTCCCCCATCACGATTGATACGTTTCAGTCTATTATCAATTTCAGCGCATCAGTGATGGATAAGAGGCCAGTTCAAAGTCGAACGCTCCAATAATGGATCAGAGTCTAGGCCCAGCTGACTGAACCAGTTACATGATGCCCGCCGGCCCAGTCATTGTACAAGGAACTGAATCCCTAACATTAAAGAGAAATTGCAACAGCAAATGGACTCACCAATCAAATTGTGGTCATCCATTGTGGTACAGTGGGTGAGTGTTTGAATAATTGATTCCTAGCGACTTATTTTGTTTTCCTTTGTTGTTGAGATAAGATTATGCCATAAATTATGTTTAATGATTATTCATTTTCTTGAATTTTGTAGCTTTTTGCGTTTTTTAATTTTTATGGGGATGACATAAGTTTGTTTTTAGTTAGGGGTGGATTCAAATATGAAACCCTTCAAGCAGTGCTGTTACCACCGGATCAAACCCTTATTCACTACATTTTTTTTGTGTGTTTAATAGTAATGTTTCATGATTTATAATTAATATACTCTTAAATATATTTCAACCAATGTTTAGGAATCATTTTTAAGCAACCGTAAAAAAATAAGTAACCGTACAGAAAATAAGTAGGGATCATTTTTAAAAAAAATATATCACCCAAAAAATTATGAATGGATGAACTTTCCATTCATTCATAATTTTTTGGGTGATAAGAGAGTCCCATGGCATGTACAGCTTTGATGGTTCGTCGTCGGCGTCCCGCTCCATGTTGTCGGCTAACGACAGTCAGTCCCAATCAAGACGCACGCATCGTCACACTCACACACTATACCACCGGTCGACCACCATTGCAGATGTTTATCACTCACTAGCTACTGACATATTATGTACTGGATCCATGACGACGACGGCAGACAGTTAGAAAAACGCGTCCTTTTCCTTTCCTTTTTCAGAAAAAAAAAAAAAGAAGAAGAAGAAGAAGAAGAAGAAGAAGAAAACGTACACAAGACAAGAGGCGGGAAAATCACAATGGCGGAACGACGGATCCGGCACTCACATCACATGGCATTTATCGTAACCACCAGCACAGCTGCGTTCTGTCATCTGTGTGGTCGCCCTCTCTGTAATTCATCTTAGCCACAAGTACTACATATAAATGCAGCCTGCCAGCCTCCCAAATAATGGCGCATGCTGTGTTCTAGAAAATACAATATGATTCACACCCCACCTAGGTGTTGAGGAGGATGTGGACCTACGTCCCTCTTGTGACATTAAATATACCACCAGCAGCAAGCGCCTGTTTATTAGAGGTGGCAATACCAATCCAATTCATCCACCAAATTATCCACTTAATCCAATCCATTTGATCCAAATTCAATTGGATTGGTGGATTCATGGATCAATCCATGGATCCAAATGACAAATTACGATTTGGTACCTATATTTTTTATATTTTACATTTTGGTACCTAAATTTTATATTTTTATAAGAAAAATATCATTGAAAAATTTTATTTTGGTATTTAAAATTTTTCATTATGACATTTTAGTGCCTAAACTTTTCAAAATTTACATTATGGTCCAAGTCTTGGATGTCATTTGGATTCATGGATCAATGCACCAATCCATTTGATCCAATCCATGAATCCACCAATCCATTTGATCCATGGATCCACCAATCCAATCCACGAATCCGATCCAATTGCCACCTCTACTCGTTATCATGTACTGGCCCATTCCATTATGAATTCATAGGTTGTTGTGATAAGATTGCGGTTTTTTTCTTCTTCTTGATATTTGAGCCTAGAATGTTCTAGGCGGTTTATGTGAGCGAGCAGGACGTCTGTTTCAGATGATGGGGGACTCCAAGCTCCTGCAAAACAAGGGTCCGTGGGCGGTCACCAAGGACACCCTCCGATGCTTAAGTTAGAGAGGGAATATGAGCTTTTTGTAATGTTGAGAGAGAGAGAGAGAGTAGTTGGTTTACCATCAATGCAGATAGGAATGTATTTATAGTGGTTTGGGCTGGACTTCGAGCATTAAATGTCATGTCAGGCGTCCTAGATCAAGCTCTGCTTTATTTAGACCGCCTACGGCGGCAATTAATGCTTAGTCCTGCAGTGTTCGAGGTGAGTATCCTAGGAGGATCTCCCATTCTGCCCGTAACGGCTCTTTGTGTCAGGCGTCCTAGTACCTGCCCTGTCCTAGTATGGCCGCCTTCCTTTCTCTGTTCCCCATGCGCTACGTTCCCCCAGACGTATTCTCCTGGGCCCTTTGAACGGGCCTTACCCTTTGGGCTTCCAAGCCCAATGCCGCTCAGCTATGGCCCAACAGGATGTAAACCGTACAAATTGACCCGTCGTTCAGATTCAATTGGACGAGCTTTTGCCATTTTTATGCCATAAACTACTTTCATCGACGGCATGTACGTAATCGAAAGGGTACTTACTACTTACAATCATCTAAATAGTTGCTAGACCGAAAAACTGGTGAATTGTCTACCCGAAATTCTTCCCTAATTCTCACTATTAACATGTGCAAATGAATGACATGGGTTGACTTGACTTATTCCCATTCCTTCCCCAGAAATGCCACCATACATTTTCCCCCGCTCCTTTATCTCCTCTCTATCTCCAGAATGGATGTTTCTTCTTCATTTAATACTGAAGAAATCAAAGTCAAACAATCTGATTCAATTACAGTCCGTCAAAGTCCATGTTCTTCTGCCAGATTCATTGTCCAAAAAAGGTGGGAAAAGTTTGAGCTTTCCACCATTTCTATGCACCATTACCGACTGTGATCGTACCCAGCACTAAATCAGTAGCGTCGTGCTTCCACCCTGATGACGGATCTCATCTTCCAAGTACTCGTTCAGGTAATTCTGTAATCTTCTACCAGTCTCCCGTCCCTCAAGTTTTTGGTCGTTAAAGCAATAATAATTATTCCTTTAATTCCTTCCTCCACACAAACCATATATAATAGGAACTAGGAATTGTCACAACCTTTGATCTGCAACTGAACATCACAAATCCATTCTTCTTCGCAAATTATGTATCTTCAATTCCCCCAGCTCGATCGAACAAATCCCCGGTAATGGAAATGGGAATGGGAATTGGAGGGAAATATCACAATAATTGAAAACAAATAATTTCATGGGGCCGGTCGAATTTAATTTCTTGGAAGTTTGTTACAGGCGGTCAAGTCAAAATTGAGCTGTACCTCAGGGTTTCTCATTTAGACGTCCCGTTAATTTGTCATTGTTTCGTGTCAGTCCAATTTTTTGCCACCATATATATGCCATGCATCATTTCGTCCTCATTATTTAACCAAACTATGTCTCCATATCAAATAGCTTGGCTTGTGGGGAAGTTGAAAGGTAGGGGATGGATTGGCTTATTCGTTATTAATGCCCGGCCCCATCAGTCCACAAGATAGCGAGGAGAGTCTATCCAATATTAAATGCTGCTGCAAATTTTGGTTTCGGATTTTTGGTTCTAACCGAAATCGAATTATCCACATAATTTTATCGATTTCCTTTAATATTTACAAGTCGATATGATGTAAGTGATTTCGATTTCATTTAAAATAAATAAATAATTCGATGATGTAAGTGATTCAACCCCTCCCCCCCATTTCTCCATATCGAAACCAACGGTTAAGGAGCTAATTAAGGATTTTCAATTCTTAATGGTTTCAATTTCAGTTTTGGGGAACTAACCATTTCGTTAATTGTTCGACTAATCTAATCGAACATACAAGCCAAATTAGCATATGTTCATTCTACTGGTTAGTCTAATTCTGGTGAGAAATAAGACCTCTAAATAATGAAATTATAAAAGAACCATATTCAATAGATAGATTTCGAGATTTCAAAATGAGTATGAGTTAGTAGTGAGTCCCCGACTGATTGTCTCACACCTACTTGTATTTTGATAAATTGACCCGAAAAAATTTCATATTTGGTTGTGTACAATGAATGATGTAGATATTTACTCGAATCGGGTTATTTGTCAAGGTCTCGTGTGTATCTCCTCGAGTAATAGTGAAACTGACTCTTTTTCTTGCCTATGAACTAGCTAACATATATTGTATTAGTGAACACGTAAATTATATATATTTTTATTTTCTTTTATTGTCAATTATCGCAGTCCGTTAGTTCTAATAAAGTGCCCGCCCCTATGCCATAGCCAATGTTGCAATACGTCGTAGCAATGAGTGACCAATCCTCCCAACTACCCAACTAGCTACTAGTATTCTCAATATAATGACCAGTGGCAAGCTAACATACAGGTTAGAGGTTACAAACCAAACGGCTTCACTATACACAGGAACAAAGCTAGCTACCAGGCGAGCCGAGGTTCATCTTGTTGAGAGCCAGAAATTTCTGGAGTAGCGTCCTACGTACCTTCTCACCCACGGAATCTCCTTCCATCCTTCCCTTCAATTCGCCGCCTCCGCAACACGATGACCACCGCAGCCGACACAACCACTTCCACCACCGGTACTACCAATGACACCGCCGGCAAGGTCATCACTTGCTTAGGTAAGTACGTAACAGCTCACATATATGCCATTAATATACCCCTACTATTTTTTGTCATAATAATTCAATCAATGATTGACGTGTATGGAAAATATATGTAGCCGCGGTGGCGAGGGCTCCAAACGAACCGCTCGTCCTCGAAGAGATCGAAGTGGACCCGCCGCAGAAGGCGGAGGTCCGCATCAGGATCCTCTACACCTCCATCTGCCACACCGACACCAGCGCCTGGCAGGCCCGTGTACCCGACGCGCAGAAGGCCTTCCCGCGGATCCTGGGCCACGAGGCCGTCGGCGTGGTGGAGAGCGTCGGCGAAAGGGTGACTGACGTCAGGGAAGGGGACCACGTCATCCCAATCTTCAACGGCGAGTGCGGCGACTGCGCCTACTGCAAGTCTGCCGCCACGAATCTCTGCCAGCATTTCCGGGTCGACCCGTTCCGCTCCGTCATGAGGAGCGACGGCGCGTGCAGGTTCAGGAGCCGGGCCGACGGCCGGCCCATCTTCCATTTCCTCAACACTTCGACTTTCTCTCAGTACACCGTCGTTGACTCGGCCTGCGTCGTCAACATCCTCCGTCCACCTCACCCCGATGATGACGGCGTCCCACCGCCTCCGTCTACTCCTCCGTCTCCGCTTCATCTCAAGATGATGAGCTTGTTCAGTTGCTGCGTCTCCACCGGTGAGTATTAAAATCGTGCTTTAAAATTTAAAAAAATTATGTTTTACGTAAAATGTTGCTTTTTACTATTAATTGTAGTCAAGATGTACATTTTACAATTTCTTTTTATGTTTTTACTTCACCAAAACACTTCAGCATGGAATCGGGAATTTGACTGTTTAACATTCTGTGTTACTCAGAATGTTTCTCTATCTAGTTAATTATTTGAAGAGCAATTAGCTGTCAATTGATGCATGAATTAATGAATGGTGTTTCAAGGTGTCGGGGCGGTCTGGAATGTTGCAAATGTACAAGCTGGATCAAGCGTCGCCATCTTCGGGTTGGGAGCTTTGGGACTCGCTGTAAAACCTGCTAAACATTCTCTCTCTTTTTTTTTTAGGTTATAATTTTTTTTAATGCCTGGCAACATATTTGAATTAACGTTAACAGTGTTGATTATTTATCATTTTAAACTAATTTTATCATCTCAAGATGATGAGCTCTGTTCTAGATAGCGTCGGCTGTCCTATCAGTCAGCCACAGCACGGCAGTGTGCAGTTATTAATGCCAGAAATTGCTGCATCAATAGAATAGTTTCAATCAATATTATTGTCCAATCGAAGTTAAAGCTAGTGGAGCCTGGTGCATGGCTGATTATGGGCAAAGTGATTTGGAGGCTGATAATTAATGATAACGATGGACTGACTGCAGGTAGCTCAAGGAGCAAGGGTTAGAGGAGCTTCCAAGATCATAGGGGTTGACATTAACCCCGAGAAGTTCATCAAGGGTACGTATAGGCATTCTTGTCCAATCAATTTTCGGAGACTTTATTTCAAAAATAAGATGTGGTCCAAAACTTCTTTTAAATGTAATAAAAACAAAAACTTCTTGATCCATTTTGATTTGAAATTGTCTTATAAATGATAGAGTTCCGTGTTGTAGAAATTAAATTGACACACCAGATGTTTAAGGAATAAATTTCAATCGTTCATTACAGAAGTGCCCTTAGAAATATAAATTTTCATGGGATGGGAGTTAAACGGACACTTAAATAAAAAAACTAAAATAATGAAAATACTTAAATAATTAAACCTAAAAATACTTCTAAAAGTCGGGTCAAACATAGACATTATTCAATATGCTCACCAACGCATTAAAAGCAAATCAATGTTTTTGATTTTTGTTACACTATACATGACATATTAGGGCTGCCAATTTGGTCCAGGATTGTTTGATTTTATCCGAAACCGAACCGTATAACCCGGACTGGATTGAGACCGGATAGCAAACAATTCAACTCATATTCGGGCTTAGATTTGAGTAAAAAACCCTGGACAAAGACCGGATAAGAGACCCCAAAACTCAAATCCCCGCAAGCTCAGTCTAAAATCAAATATAATTGGGACCGGACCGGATCAAGGAGTGTATCCAATCCAATCTTTGATCCTTATATTCGCGAAAAGACCGGACTAGGACCGAATCAAATTGGTTCAATTTAACCAGACCGGATGGCCAACCCTATCACATATAGCAAGTTATAAAATCTCGAGGAACCAGAGACCCCAACCTCTAGCATGATTTTGGCCTTATATTAGATGCACTGCGTTGTAAGACCAACCAATACAGGCTAATGATCAGTCCTATAGAGATATTTCTCGTAATTAGATTATAGGAATCTACTTAATTAGATTGTTTCATCAAATCCAATTACCTCTCATTTATATTAACATCATATAATTTTCATTGTTGTGTGCAATACACCACATATATATACCTAGTATGCAGTGCATACCCTCCCCTTTCAATTATGCCCTCGATTGAAAGGAGATGTGGGAATAGGTTTTTTCTAGGTTCAGGGGCGAAGCGTTAAAGGTCGAAGTCAGCGACTTGTGGTCATAGCTTGTCTTATATGTTTGACAGGCTCAACCTTCCTTGATATATATAGTTTCTAACCAGTAATTTCTATCAATCCACGAATCTACAAATCTATTAAAATTTAAATTAAATGAATTGGATTGTTTAGATTTTTTAGTGCTTGAAATCGATTGAATTGGTAACTTAGATTCAAATTAACACCGCAATAACAATAAAAGAGAATATGAACGCCAATAATTTGTAGAGGCTCAAAATCCATATTGTTGAATTTCTTTATTTAATTAAACGTGTCTAGTATACCAATTTATTTTAGTTTTAAAATAATGTAAATGTGACTATGGAAGAGAACATTTATTGAAAACAAATAAATAAACATGTCATATTTTAATCATGCTAATTGTTCGTCACTCCTTATTCTAATCATCTGACATATTAATTTGATTGCCAGGAAAGGTGATGGGTGTTACAGACTTCGTAAACCCAATGGAAAGCTCCAAGTCTGTCCACGAGGTTAACTCGCATTCTCCATCATCTCACCATCCTCAGTTTCTACCTATTGATTAAACATTAGCAAACCCAGGAAGAACCTAACGAGAATTCTGAAAAAATCTTTCATTGCAGCGAATCAGGGAACTTACTGGTGGTGGCGGCGTTGACTACAGCCTGGAATGCGTAGGGAACCAACAAGTCCTCCGCGAGGCCTTCCTATCCACCCACGATGTAATTCCTTGCAAGATCACCCCTACAAGCAACTATCTTTTTTTTACCCACACAACTTATCTTTGTGCTTGATAACGAAACATGTTTTACGCAATCAATTATGCACCACATGCAGGGATGGGGGCGAACTGTGCTGGTAGGGATTTATGCATCTCCCCAACTGTTGCCACTCCACCCGATGGAACTTTTCGACGGTCGGAGTATCACAGGGACAATCTTCGGCGGTGTCAAAGGGAAATCCCAACTCCACGACCTTGCCCACCGATGCCTGCAACCCGTAATATATCGCATTTGCTCATACTTCCTTTCTCAGAAACACGAGTTCTCCACTGCCAGGGGATATGATCACTGACAATACTTTTGCTCTCTATATGTACTTATGGACAGGATATGAATATGCATGAGCTTATAACCCACGAGCTTCCCTTCGAGAAAATCAACGAGGCGTTGCAACTACTCATCGATGGGAAAGCTTTGAGGTGTCTCCTTCAGTTGTGAGTTCTAATGATTAACGTGTGTGTAGTAAGATAAACATAATCAGAAATTGCACCATCGATGAATTGAAAAAAGTTGTTCCAAAAGCGTCAAAGCCTCGTCCATCTCTGCTATAATGTCACCATGATTACGAAACCAAAAAAGTACTAGAAACCATGTAAACCTTTCTATCCCTATAAAAACTAGGAACTCTGGCACATTTGTAAGTTGTAACAAAAAAAAAAAAAAAAAAAACAGAAAGCATTGGCTTGCTGTATACACGTACTCTCAGATTAAGCGCACACCGCAGCGTCATGACAAAAGCAAAACCCCTCAGTTGTTGGTATGTTGTCTCTAAATATGTATATATATTAGATACACAGAGCAACTAACAGACACCAACAACATGCTTCAGTTCAGGGGCACATGCGAGGAGAACGCGGGCGAACTGGTGTCTTCGATGGGCTCACCCTGTTCATATCCAAAACAAACCAACATTTATGAGTGCCTATAGATTAACGGATATGACAGGATGAAATTTGTTGATGTTGACGTTACAAGCAAGCATTCTTGCTAATACCTTATGGGTAGTGCACCCAACACCACGCCACTGCAATTCAGGGCAACTATTGCACTCTCAGCCTGCACATTGCTCATGCCACAAACTCTAGACTTCAGTACCACATACAACATAATAGATGCTCTCACTTAATAGAATCTAATAAAAATTGTGGGCACACAATGGACCAGACTGCAAACTCACTGGAAGTCTGGATTACTCGGGTAGAATTCTCACATCTAGCAGACATGCCATCCCCAGGTACAAATTAATTTGTGTTGATGAACAAGTACTAGAAGATAGATTCCCCAATTCATGAAAGATCTTATGAATTCTAAATCATTAATGACTTGAACACAATTACTTAATCACAAAAAATATGAACTTAATAATGCCATATTCTAATGTTGCTTGCAACTTAGAGTGACATCATTTACAACTATGAAATGGTTGTCCTTCCTAAACATCAGTAAAAAGGTGTATTCTTACAGGGACTTCAAGTATCTTGTTCTAATCGAACATAAAGACAAGTTGTTGCAAGTGAATTCCTAGATAGAGTCAGGTAGTCCAACTAGAACATGAGATTTAATCACTGGTTCAAACAAATTAAACAAATGGGGTGAAACTCTTAACAAAAACTAGAGGTAGGCCTTATAAAAGTTTTGTACTTGCTACTTCTTTCAACTAATAAGGAAATTCATAATAAGTTGGAATGAAAAGAGTCAATCTACTCCTCCAAAGGCCTGGCTATCTACTCTTTCTCAAATACCAGTTTCCAGAAAAGGAAGGATCTACCAGAAATCACAAATGTACAACATACAATTAACATGTTTCCATGGGACTAAAAGAAAGAAACCTCTTAGCACCTAGTCAAAATTCTCTATTGCATAAGTATGCCCATTAAAATTCAATGGGAAACGAAGAAGTAAATACCTGCACAAACTCCACAAAAGCAATGCGAGTAGAGTGGTGATAGTCTCCAAGAAGCCTCAGGCGATAAACCTGTACCAGACCACATGCACCAAATAAATGACATCCTTCATAGTATTTGTGCATCTTCATAGCACAAACTGCTTCTAAGCTCAAAATAGGAGGGGAGCACAAACCTCTCCACAAGTAGATTCAAAAAAGAGCTTAACATCAGCTTGAGTCACCTGCACAAAACTTAGTAGTCATTGCAATTTCACGTACATGAAATGGAGGGTGGTATCATGTTGGTAATGGTACATATTTATGACTTATTCAACATGTCACCTTCTTATCGATATTTGTGCAATAAATAGTTCTAGTACACATCTCCCGTTCATCATCATTCTGAAATCCAAAGTACCAAATGTGTGAACATGTAATTCAAAATTATTCATGTAATCAAGCCTCTACTCAAAAGGTTGCAATGTTTGATTCTGAGGTTCTATTTCTCACCCTGGGCAGAAAGGTTGGGTTAACTGGCGCTATGGCAGTCTTGGAAGGAAGCACCCTTACCGGGTAGAATCCCAACAAAGTTCCTGACAGATTTAGTGCAGCCACTGCACCATCTACATGAGTAAAATGCAACATGTGATTGCCACAAATCGGTAGCTAGGCACATGAATGGTAATGGAAAAATATCAAAATAAATGTTTACAAAAGATTGCATCTTCATACCCTCATTAGTGAACTCGATAAAGGCAAAACGCAACATAGAATTGGGATCGCCACAGATGCGACAATCAACAACCTCCAAGGAAGATAAGTAGATAAATATAAGTACTCAAAGAGAAAGCCAACCACTCAACTGCACAACACAATTATATATATACCTGTCCACAAGCAACAAATAGAGCTGCAAGCTGCTCCTCAGTGACCTGATAATGCAAAAAAGAACATGTGAGCACATTGCAAAATCACCTTACCCCAAATGCATTAACATGCAACTAGAAGAAAAAAGAATACAAGTTTATGAAATGAATATACCTGTTGATCAATGTCAGTCACATAGACAGTCCGACGGATTATCTCCTCCCGCTGAGCCATGCTTGTTCTAGTATTCATTCTACGCTTTGCTTGCCCAAAGTTTTTCTTCTGAAAGATAATAAAACCACCATGAACCATTCAGGCTAGTAAAAAAAAAAGAGAGAAAAAAAATCCATCATTCATAGTCATGAGTTTCAAACACTTGAGAGTTGCACCTTTCTGGCAGTTCCATTGAGATTATCATTCTTAGTGACATCGAATACCATAACTGTACTGTTATCGTTGTTGGCATTGTCACGGTAAAAAATAGGGTTGAAAGCATGGAGTGTGGCAAGGGTCGCAGTGAGCAAGTGATTGTTTTTGGCATTGGCATTGACTTTGGTGGGGTCGTATTGGTTGTTAGACAGAGAAGGGGGAACAAATTCCTTGGCCATGGGGTTGAGCTTGGAGAACAAGTCCTCCAATTCCCTTATGTTCCTTTCATACTCACGTGCCTCTTCAGCATCAACATCATCATCGCCGGCAGTGGAATTAGATTGACGGTGACCTTGAAGAGTGTTGGACAGTGAAGGGGGAGGGGGGTTGTGATCATGGTCGATGGATTGGTCTTGATCATTGGCCACGGAGGAGGTCGATGATGCAATCGAGGAGGAGGAGGTGTCGGGAATGGAAGAGGTGGATGATGGCGGAGAAGTGCTTAAACCCACACTGATTTCAGCATCTCCTGTAGCGGTGTCAACAACAACCATCGCTTCGATTCTTTTGTCTGAATCGGTCAAACTTGGGGCTCGACCTTCCGGCTCCGGTGAGTCTGTAGCTTATCAGCATAATGAGAATGAAGAGAACAAAAAAAAGGGACAACTATGATTCAGTAAAATAATAATATCAAGATTAATAGAAATCATAGTAGAGGGAAATAGAAATCCGGGAAAACAATAAAGGGAGAGAGAAAAGAATCAGAATAACAAAGCTGCATAACTAAGAACAACGTCTCCAATTTATTTAATAATAAATTCATTCCAATTATTTGAAAAATAAGATCGTCATGTATGAGAAGAAGGAAGCGAAGAAGTGATCCAACTAAAAAAAAACATATTTCTAGAGAAGAAGATAATGAAAGCAAGTCTTCAAAACATCAGATGGTTAAAAAAGGTGAGCATTATGAAATCGACGACGGCTCCACGCTACCCATTTTGGATTTTAAGAAAAAACTTATCTTCGGCCAAAGTAAAAAAGATAAATTGAATCAATTTCTTAGGCGGATGGTGGTGCTCTCTCGCCCACGCCTCCAAAGCAAACCAACTAACAATTACCTTATTATTCCCTCTAATGCTAGCAGCGCAATAGTCAAATAATGTTTGTTACTTTTATACTTTTAAATCATTTCCCCCTTCCCTAATCGTACCTGTGACGACGGCGGGGATAGATTGGAAAAGAGAGAGAGATGGTAGGCGGTGGTGGCGGCTAATAATTGTGTGTTTTGCGGATGTGATATGTTTCCGGTTGGAATAGGGAACTTAAGGGAAATGTGGGAGTGTGAATGGAAGATTGTGGATTCTTGGATTTGGAATATAAGCTAATTAAGGGGGTGAGAGAGATCATCCTTACTAAAAATGGCGAGAGAAAGAGAGAGAGATAAAAGTGCAGAAAAAAACCCTCAGAGATTTTTGGGTTTGATTTTTTCCAACTTTAAACTGATCACCCCCTCCCTTCTCCTTCTCTGTTGCTACCTTTCTTCTCCCCTCCCAACAACAACAAATCCAAACCGGGAGCACCCACCTAGTGGCATTCCCAAATTGAACACATCACTTCCTCTCGTGCTCTGGTTTTTACATGTTGTAAAAAGGACACCATTTTTCCTCTGGTTATTTTCTCTCGCTCCCCTCTATGGTTAATTTTTCTTACATTTTTTGTGTTTGCTAAATGTTGCACGTCTGATGCCTCAACTATTTTTCAGTCGCTACCGGCTTGTGTCTCTGTTTTTAGCGAATATGATGGAGATGAAGTCGATCGGGGCAGAAATCGGAGATAGGATAAAAGGCAGTTTAGGGATTGTACCACACAAGGCTGGATTGACATCCTCATCGAGAATTAATGCAATAAGATACTAGAATCGTGCTTGTATCATCAACATCATCATTGTCGGCTCTTATGTTTTCTTCCCCAAGGCAAGGCAAAGAGGAAAAAGCATTACGAGACGAAACAAGACAAATCCAGACTCGGAGAAGAGAGAGAGAGATCAGAGAGATCAGAGAGAAAAAAAAAAGGGAAAGAAAATAACAAATAAGGGAAAAGGGAGCAAAGACTACCATGACTACTGCCTACCAGCATCATGATGTTCTTCGATTCATGGCAATACCATCCTCATCCACTCATATGCGCAAGAGCTCTCTCCATGCAATGGCACAAAGAAAGGCTTATGTCTTTACTTTTCACTTTACTCTTCATGGCTCAGTGTTGGCTACCTTTTGACTTTTCTGTGGTCGGAGAGTAATGGATGCATATTGTTTTGTTTTGCTAACTTAATTGGACTATAGCCATTTCCTCACTACTGTTATAATAGGGAAGTAGGAGGAACTGTTGCATCATCGATCAATTAAAAGAAAAAGGGAACTTCTTTCCGACCACAAATTTTTTTTACTACAAAGGGGTTGAGCAACATTATTGATAAACTTTAAATGAAATTCAGAAATCCCAAAATGTAATCGAGAAGTATGTAAGTTAAACGGACATTGGAACCACCAAGGGAGTTTATTTGTAGTTTTGGTGATTAGGTGCCAATTGTGGATTTTCTCTTACGAGCTCCATTTAAATTATTTTGTATTTTTCACAAATAGCAACTTCGAATTGGAGTTCTATGGGTCTTTCGATATTGAATCTGACTCATGAATTTAACGCCCAAATTCTATTCGTCAAAGATTCAATCAAACTTATTGTTTTGTTTGTCGAAAATAATAGGTGCCAACTCTTGTGCGTCGCATAACTTTTCTTTTTTGCTCCTAATCCGTGATCCACTGTGGAAGAACCCACTTATTACTTGTTGGGCTGAAATTTATTACAAGAGATTAGATGCTTCATGGGTGTCTTGTAGGTTTAACTGTTTAAGTCATTTCATTGTGTAAGCTTTTACTACCAATTTTAGATTATGGTGGCGTATCATTATTCTATATCAACACCATTAAATCCACATTCTCCAATGTGTCTGCTTGTTATGGAGAATATGGACATATCTAGATAGAGTTATTTTTTTAGTACTACTAAACCACATGTCGGTTCTATTGCTCATCAATATTCTCAAGTCCGTGAATTTTTCGTGTCCTCTCTTATACTTTTGGCTCCTCATCCTTCTTAATCTCATACTATCTGGGTGCTCCCTCTTGATTACTTAATGAAGTTCAACTTTGATGTTGATGTCAATGTCTGTGATTTTAGATGTTTGTATGATTTAGTGGTGTGTCATTCGGACGAGCATGTCTTTTTGGTGGTCGAGGCTCTCTATTATGGTGTCTCTAATCCTTTTATTGCAGACCTACTTGCTGCTAGAGACGCCCTGTCAGTTGATGTTTCTCAAAGGTTGCTTCTTGTGATCTTGGAAATGAACACTGAGGTGATGGTCTATCAGCTTTGTCATGATGTTTTGACATATTTGATTGGTGGCCCCTTCTTCGGGAGTGTCGTCATCTAGACTTAGCTTTTCCGACTGCATATTTTAGAGCGGTCCGACAAGTACAATATGAGTTGTCCATATTGATTTGGGAGAATTCCACTAATGATGATTTATTTTGTTTTTTTTTTTCCTAATGTTCTCTCTTGTTACATCATGGAGAAAAATCCTACTATATTGTAAAAAACGTAGTATGATGAAACATAGTTTTGTCTCTCTAATATCATTATTATGTGCTAGTAGGGGTGTGCAAGGGCTTCGGTTAGACCCGAACCAATATAACTCATGAGAACTGTAGTCCAAAAGTGAAAGATATATTAGGACCAATGACCGGACCAACAGTAAATTCGACCATTTTGTTCCGGTTTTAAGTGCCAATTCGACATATTCATCTTTAGTATTTATAAATTTTAAGGGATGAAGAGCCATAACACATATGTTTGATTTGATATGGTCTAATCTAAACATCGATTTGATCTAGTTCGGATCCATCCGTTGTACACTCCCTACTTACGAGTAGAATTCATACTAGACTTTGAACGAAAGAGTTTGGAGGAGAGGAAAACATGAACAAGCACACATAAATAGTTAACAACTTGGTTATAAATACCAGGGTTAATATATTTGTATGAATTGAACTTTTCACATAATAAACATCCTGACCAATCTTTTCGATCTATAACATCATAGCTTGAACTATACACCAAAGTAATGAAATTGGCCAAACCTGCAGCTGCTGGATTCTCTTAGAAGCTATTCACGCGCTTTCAGACCTTCGCTATAGAATAAATCTGGGCGAGACCTTTGGCATGGAAGGGTTTGATCCTTTTGTTACAGGAGGAATTGACCGTTATCTTGGATGGTCAAACGCGTTGACTAACGATCAATGCGCCACGTCAACTCCTTTCACTTAAAAAAATTATATTTTCCACCTATTACTATTTTTTTTTCATTTTGAATCAATTTTTTTTTTTAAAATGGAAATTAAATTTCTTGTCCCTACCATTTTTAAAATTTTCAATTTTTTTATTCAAAATTAAAATAAATAAATAGTAATAGGTGGAAAATATAAACTTTTTAAAGTGAAAGGTGCTGATGTGGTGCGTCGACTAACATTTGACCGTCCAAGATAACGGTCAATTTTCGGGTTTAGCCAATTCCGTTATTTTGGTGTATAGTTCAGGCCATGATGTTATAGATCGAAAAGATCGGTCAGGATGTTTATTATGTGAAAAGTTCAGGCCATATAAATATATTAACCCTAAATATTAAATAGTAGAGGATCTGAAGGTGAATTAACCCAATACTGAAATGGCTCTCGAAGCACAGTCTCGTCTATCCCTTCGGTACGTATGATCTAACGGATCCCCCAGCTGAGTTGGAAAGAATTATGAGAGAAGACATTATTGGTGTCAGCTTCCCTCGAAGAGTGCTGCAGAACAGGGCCTAAATTGCTTGCGTTTTATTTGGCCTACCTGGATTTCCTCGTCCTGTTTCTTTTTAGCTCTCTTTTAGAGTTTTGTTTTGCTACCCTCCCTGGACTGATTCTGCTGGCCTGTAGCAGTTTCAGCTGTTTGGGTTTGTGGACTGTTGCTTGACCCTTGGCTTTTTGCCTCCCTCCATTCAAAAAAAAAAAAAAAATGTATCTGTACTTATTTTATCTGTTTAAAACTTCTGTACCAGTATTATTGTCAAGCCAAATTATTTGTTTTTCGTTCATTTGACAGCTCCCGTACTAAACACGTATAAAACATGTATAATATGTTTAATATTCGTATTTAATGAATTAAATTATTAATTTTACTATTTATATATTTTTTTAAATAATTAATTTTATATATTTATGACGTAAAATATTCATACGTATAAAATAAGTAACTTTCCTTTACGAATTACTGACTTATGCTTTGACTCCTTCTCCTTCCTACCCTCCTCTGCACTTCCGAGTTTCGTCCGAGTTCCGCACGTTGACCACTCGTCGTTGGTATGTATGGAACCGAAGCAGGAAAATCCAACTGCGAAGCCATCTTCCTTTCTGCTCCCGTGGCCATGGTGAATTCAGTAGATACTAATAGATAATAGATAGCTACATGTTTGCCGGAACAAAAAAAAGAAAAAAAAAATCCAACTAAAGGAAGAGAAGTAACGCTCGCGGCCGCGCTTCACATCTTTCTAACCTCCAGTCCCAATAATTAATCGCCGGTAGCGCAAGGAAAAGCGTCGGCGGCAGCAAAATCTCATTCCAAGCTTCAACGTTTGCCTATCAGGTACACACGCTTCTCTCCTGCAAACTCTGTTCGTACTCCCTGCAATCACGAGAATCATTCAATGTTGCCTTCGCCTGTGAGAATGCAACCCGGTCAATCAGTATTTTGTTTTCTTAGCATTCACTAACATCATCATCGAAACCAGTCAGGAGCTTTTAGGGTTTAGATTTCCCCCTTCTCCTGCTAATCGTAGGGATTTTGTAGCTGGTTAGGGTTGCGGGGGCGGTGGTAAAGAACATGAAGGGGCGGTCTCACCGTCTGCAGAGCCATGACCAGCACGAGGACTGGTTGGATGGCTCCTGGACGGTTGACTGCATTTGCGGTGTCAATTTTGATGATGGTGAAGAGATGGTCAATTGCGATGAGTGTGGCGCTTGGGTCCATACCCGTTGCTCTCGGTTTGTAAAGGGAGATGACTTGTTCGCTTGTGATAAGTGCAAGGCCAAGAACAACCACTATAACGATACCAAAGAGACGGAGGTTGCTCAGCTGCTGGTTGAATTGCCCACAAAAACTATCCGGATGGAGAGTAGTATTGCTAATGGTGCACCATCTCGCCACCAATTAAGGCTATGGACTGAAATGCCACTGGAGGAGAAAGTCCACGTGCAGGGCATTCCTGGTGGTAACCCAGCCTTGTTCCGTGGTCTTTCTTCAGTTTTCACACCGTAGTTATGGAAGTGTTCTGGCTATGTCCCGAAGAAGTTCAATTTCCAGTACAGGGAATTCCCCTGTTGGGAAAAGGATAGGGACGATAAGAATGAGAAAGAGACTTGTTCTCGTTGTCAAAGAAAAGCGTGTTTTCTGCTCCGATGGCTGCAATAGGTGGGTTTAGTCAAAGAGAGGACTACGAGAAAAGTGTATTTTGGAAAGAGTCAAAGAAGTGTGATCATAGTTGAGGAGAACTTAGGAACTCCGAAGTTGAACATAAAAGAGAGAGAAGTTTACTTCAGCCAGGTCTGATTCATTCAGGAGGAAAAAAGAATATGTGGCTATTTGCAAAGATCAAAGTGGGAAGAAGAAAGCAAGGGTTTTAGATAAAGAGGTCAACTCAAAGAAGAAGGGTCTGCTTTAAGAACAGGTACATCCTTTCGTGTTTCTCTGCTATGCTGAATCCCTCTTCTTTATTTACACTTGTTATCTTTTGTTTGTTGGATAAATTGAAACACTTAAAATCCTTCTGATGGCATGGGCATGGGCATCATAGGCTGGTGATATCTCAATACTGGTAGACATGCACTTGTTGACTCCCAATTCATTTATTTTCTTCTTCTTTTTATGCTTATTACTAGCATTTCCATCCATCAGCAATGATGCCAAAACCTTGGGAACAAACAAATCCAAAGATCTACGATGTCATGGGGATGATGGTCTGGACACTAAGAATGGGATTGTGAAGCAACAAAACTCTCAAAAACGTGGATCTGGCGATCATATTTCAGCGTTCAACAGTGTGGATGATTTCAAGGCCAATGTGGCTTTGATGGCTCGCTCCATAAAGACACCAACCGAACAGAGACTCAAGAAAAGAAAAAAAATATCTCGGAGTTCAATCATATCCTTGTAGTTCTCTAAAAACTGATAAAATGGATGTGATAGCCCGGTAATGTGGCGATGTTGTGAGAAACCCAGTGCCAGTCAAACAAGAGGTATGTCTTGGTGTTCCCAGACTTCCTGTTGTCGTATTTGTGGTTGATTTTACATGTTTTTCCTCTCCCCTCTGTGTATGAATGAAAACTGAGGTGGCTTTAAAGGTCTTCCTTTGGATACAATTACGTAAGATGGCCAGGTGCTAGGCATGTGCTCATTGGACAGGTTGAGTTTGTTAATGACCTAGAAAAAATGTTTTAAAAGATTTTGTCAGTGCAGCATGTCATTTTCCGTTTATTAAAAGCTGTGGCAAGCTTACCATTCTCATGTATACCTAAGAGTTGAAAGAAAAGTACTTTGCCGTCCATTAGCTAAGGTGAGATGGCTTTCAAGCTCTTACTTAGGATGCCAGTACTTGAGATGGCCAGCCGCTACTAGGCATGTGCACCTGCTGGTAGTTAGAAAGATTTTATGAGGTCCTTTTCCTTTTATCGAAAGCTGTCGCAAACTTGACCTTGAGCTAGTAGCAGCACCTGCTAGTCCTTCTTGAACTTCTGTTCTGCTTTTCTTTGTAGGTTTGTTCATTTTCAGTATCTCATTTTTAACCAAAGAGAAAGATAACACAATGTGCACTGTAGGCTTTTGTTGGAAGGAACAAATTTCCGGAGGGCTATTAAGGATGTGACAAAAATTTATAGCCTCTTCATTCACCAATTCGGTTGATAGAGCCGCTCAAAGAGCAGAGGCAAGGGATCTTCCCCAGTGGTCATTAGTACCTGTTAAAACTATAAGCTAAAAACTTGAGTATTGCTGTAAATTAGATGCATGATTAGTTCATCTTCCCTTCAGATATTATAATGTTTAGCTAAGATGATGAAATGAAATTACCTTGCTGTCCATTAGCTTCCTTCCCGTTGTGATCTTGAAGAGAATATCTATTTGTACTGGATCACCTTAGTTCTCTGTTTTTTATGTGCCACTTCATCTTTATGCATATCATTGTACGTAATATATTGGGGCTTAAGGGTAAAGTTAAATTTGCAATGGGAAAGATGAATATATTAAACTTGGTAAGAGCTCGGACCTTGTGCGTATGAATTGACAAGTTCATCTTTCATAATATGCTAGCAATAGCATTATGCACAGGAGAAACTGACAAGCAGAATACTAGTGCTATAACGCTGCAGAATCATTGAATAATCTTTCAGCAAAGCATGGAAATCTGGGTTGGCTGTGGTCTCATAATGGATCTGATTTTGTCGTTTTACTGCCTGCTTTCTTGGCACAGCCTTTGGTTATAGCTCTTTATATCAACTATCGCTGGACAAGTAATGCCTAGGCCTTAGTTTTGAGAGATACTCTTGTTGAAAAGAAAACTCTGACTGTGATGTCACTGCAGGGAGAGAAAGATCTAAATGGGCCCCCTGGTGCCGACGAGATGAATCCTTCCTCCGCTGGGAGTGAGATGAAGCATATAGCTGGAGAGTTTGAAAGTGCTAAACTAGAGGCTATGGCTATCAAATGAACGGTGCTTGGCCACATTCTGCCCCGGCTGTGGTTAGGATAGAAGTTCCTGTTGACAGTTTTACAGGGGTGATGGATTCCCCTCTAACTTGTTCTGGAGCAAAAGATAAGAGAATGTCTTTCAATAGTGGGCCTGATAACATTAAACTTGATGACGTGGGACCGGCCTCATCTCCGTCAAGGGATATGGATGCTCAAGAACTTGAGAGGACTTCAGATGCAAAAGAGGCAGTAAATAAATATGACGAGGAAAAGCTAGTAGAAAATAATTGTCAAGCAGAGGAAGACAAACAGTTAGCTGGAGGTCTTTGTGAGCTTCGTAGAGAACCTAAACAAGATTTAGGCTCAGCTGGAGAACAGTCCACATCTAGCAAAACAATCACAACCCAACTTACATTATCTAGTCAATGCACAATGATTCCGACTGGGGGGAAGTCGTCATCCAATTCATCCAGTGGCATGATCCCAAAGATAGCTTCTTATGATTACTCTACATCTACTGATGCTCTGAATGATATTGCTGATCTTAAGCAACCAGTGTCTTCTCATTCCTTGGATAAGGACCGAACTACAAATGACATTGTCAGTGAGAGGGATGAACATAGCCCATCAAGAAGCAGGTCAAGGGATCGTCCAAAATCTTCTCTGAACTCTATTTCAAAAGCATCCACAAGCAAGCTTTTGCATACATCTGCTTCTAGGAGACTAGAGCCTGATTCAAAAGATAGGATGAAACACTCGTCTTCTAAAGTGTCTCTAGCTCATTCTTCTAAGACAACTGGTTCGTTGCAAAGTGATCGAGGTTCAAACTCCCAGAGCAGGACATCAGGTCTACCTTTGCGGGGTGAAAAATTACATCAGCCTTATAGTAGTCGGTGTGCACCCAAATCAAGCCACTCATCATCCATGAATCCTGCTGTCCCACCCTCTTTGATATCAACACTCACTGATGAAGAGGTGTGGCAAACAGTCTATTTTCTGTTCTATATTTTCATCATATGATTTTCCTATGCACCACCTGACTCTTTCTTTTTCCATTCAAATGTGCCTTTCGGTTTATACAGCTGGCTTTGCTTTTGCATAAAGAACTCAATAGTTCTCCTAGAGTGCCTCGTGTTCGTCAAGCTAGTAGCTTGCCGCAGTTAAGTTCTCCAACTGCAACGAGCTTGCTTATGAAGCGTAGCGCATCAGGCTCAGGAGTGATTCAGTAAGATACTCTTATTGGTCAGACTTGACTCCCATCACAGAGTTTCTCCTTTCCTTTTTTTCTTTTCCTTGCTTTGTTGCCTTATACCATAGTCCCTACAAATTTTCAGTTTTCTAGGAGGAAAGCTAAAGATGCTTCCAAAGATGGCCATCATCGTGCTCATCAGCTAAATGATGAACCTGAAAAAAAAAAAGACAGACTTCTCTCGCCACCTGATTCAAGGAGACAAGATACTGCATGTACTGCAGATGTGCTGTCAAAGAGAACCAGTGGGGGATCTTTGAGCAAAGCTCAGAATGTTAAGAAGAACACAGCTGCAGCCTCCACCTCAACAGCCAACAGTGGTCGTTCTTCCTCTCCTGATGTTAATGACCTCAATAATGAGTCATCCCTGAGAAATTCTCCAAGGAATATCTCCGATGAGGAAACAGGACCTACTGGCCTTTCTGTACGTCGCACACGCTATCAGGTTCAGTTAGCTTCATATTTATCTATGAGTGTGTTTGTTCAGATTTGCTAAAAGATGAGTAACTTTGTCAACATATGTAGTAAAAAGTGTAGAAAAGGCATGTTTGGTAAGGTTTCGTAAAAATGAATAGTTGCAGGAAAGACATTTTTATTTATTTATATCTAGCATTCATTGGATAAAGATATTTTTCTTAAATATATTAGTTATTAATAGAATGATAGATTGTTTGTTTAATATTGAAGAGGTTAAGGGTTCTTAAATATATTCTAGGAAATGACTATTATGACTACAATTCTAAGAATATATTCTTAATCCAAATTCCAAAGTGCCAAAGTTGAAGATAAATACTGAGTTCACTTTTAGATATCAAAGATTTTATAGGTTTAAGGGTTCGAAAACATTAGATTGAAAAGTATTTTTGTCCTTTTTTTTTTTTTTACCTGAAGCTTTTTATGAAGAAAAGGAAAACATCCATTTATATATCATCAATTGTTTGAAGAAGGTAGTAAATTAACTCGTGTAATGCCTGGCCTAATTATCCTTCGTCTTTATCTCCTTATTTTGCATAGGTCTAATCAATGAGATCATGAGCAAAGGCAAGCGCATGACATATGAGGAACTCTGTAATGCTGTTTTGCCGGTATGTTTACTTGAAGCAGTTGTCTTTATCTACTTGTTGGCGATAAAGGGAGCAAATTATCTCTTAACAAAGTTTTGGTGAGTTTTTGCAGCATTGGAATAACTTGAGAAAGCACAACGGTGAACGATATGCATATTCTCGCCATTCCCAGGCTGTTCTTGATTGTCTCAGGAATAGGCATGAATGGGCTCAGTTGGTGGATCGGGGTCCCAAGGTAGGAAATAAACTGGTCTGAAGTTGCATTCCATCATGGTAATGCAATTTTAACTGTGATTGTTGAAACTATTTGTTAACCTATACAGCCTCTTGGAATCCTGAACCATTACATGCAAACATGGGATGGGTTATTAGGGGTATAGATACTAGATTGAAAAACATGCTGTTCAATTTGTTTTTAGAAAAGGTAGAAAACAAAGCCTATCATATTTGGCAGCCTGCTGCTCTCATGTACCAATACGGATGTAGTCCCCTTGATTCCATGATGCAAGCATCATTCCTCGTGCTGCTGGTTAGGGTGTATGTTTGTCCATTTTCCTGGGGACCAAAGTTTATATGGGAGGTAGTTAAATGGTCAACTGTCTGCTTCAGTTTGATGTTCTTTTCCCCTATTCGAGATAAGTCAGATTCTGGTTGATGTTCTTTTTCCCTATTCGACAAAAGTCAGATTTTAGTCGAGGTTCTGGTTGATATTTTTTTTATTTTTTTTTATGGGCTCTGGTTGATATTTTCCCTAGTTCAGTTTATATATGCTGTCCTTCTAGGTCAGAGGTTTTAGAAAAAGTAGAGCTAATGTTGTATGAGATTGTATAAGAATGAGAAAAAAGTTAGTGAGATGGTTTATAGTATGCTTAATAATAGAGAAATGAGTGATATTGGGAAATGGCTATTACGAGTTAACTCTAAGGACGGCTTCTTGCAAAGTTGGATCTGAAACTTTGTTACTCAAGTGGCTTTTAACATTTTACAACTTGTGTAGTGGTTTAGGGTGAAAAATAGTTGAGTAAGTTTGGAAGACTTGTGTTTTGTTTGAGTGGTAAATCAATTACTTTGTAATCAGCTTTTTCTGAAGCTGAAACAAACACATCCTCTGTTCTAAAAGGGAAATTTGGCAATTCATCTGTGACGCAGACAAGTACAAGCAAGAAAAGGCGGAAGATTGATGCAGAAGAATCAGAAGACAAGAGTGAAAGTGGGCAGGGTAGAAGTAAGAAGGACAGAGGACAGAAGAGCGTGGAGTCACAGAGAGATCAGGTGTTTCCGAAGGGAAAGCGGAAGGCCAGGAAAAGGAGGCGACTTGCTCTGCAAGGTAGGGGAATCGAAGATGTCGGAAAGAGACAAAAGACCGCTTCGTTGAGCGATGAGGACAGTGACTCGTTCTCTAATTCAAGCGAGGAGAGCTTGTTCAGCGGCAAGGACGAGATCGAGGGAAGTGCAGCAGCTGGCCCTTTCAGAAGTGATGACTCGGACAATAGCTCCGACGAGAAGAGAACAATCTAAATTATGAAGGGTGGCGGATGCAATATATCTGAGAATTGATGATCAGCTAGTGTATAGTAGCAGCAGCAGCAGCAGCATCAGCATCATAACGGAAGAAGCATGTGATGCTAAAATTTATGCAAACGGGCAATAGGGTGTAATGTACATTTGGTGCAGACGCCTTTGTTTGTTGCGTTCAGTTAACTACCAAAAGGGGTAATACAAAACTAAGTGCGGATTAGTATACTAGATTCGTGATTGCCAGTGCTCAAGTCTGGAGTTTGTCTTTGTTGCTGTTCGAAGAATAGTAAACTGTCTCGGGATAGTAATGACCAATTGTCTTCTGCAAGTCTTACTCGTTAGGTTTGATAACTATCTCATTTTCACGAGACTAATTATTAATTTATAACTTGTATTGGATTGCTAATCAAGTTAGAATTAGCCTTGGGTAGAATATTCCTTAACTTGAACGTAAGGAGAAAGAAGAGGGTAAAATAAAACCAACCTAGTTATTCTGCTAACTTGAAGATTCGTTAGTATATACTAACTAAAATTCAAAATGTATGAACTAATATCCAAGTCTGCTGAGTATCTAGATAGCACAGACTAATATTCAAAAATATCACAAACTAGCATCTAGTTAGCAGATACCAACTAATATCCACAATCAACCAACTAGTATTCAATACGGATACTCTTATGTGTTATCTGTATACTAATTATGTGCTGTATGAATACTATTATGTGTTGTCTAGATATTATTTTGTGGATTTTGGATAATAGTTGATTCATGATGGATATAAGTTAGCAAACTTTGAATACTAGTCTGTGCTCTCTAGGTACTTTAGTACTTGGATACCACTTCATTTATTTTGGATGTCAATTAGCTCTTCAAATTAGAGGATTAACTTTTCCCAGGACAGGAATGTGTAACATTGGTTTCCATCTCCAATTTGGGTTAACGTTGCAACTTTTTAACTGGGGTAGTTGAATGAAGCTGACTTGAGACTTGAGAGACAGGAAACTCCCTATAAGCTTTCCAAGTTTCTATAGGAATGGGGAGAAGGGTTAACCTATAAAACGTGTGTTGCTTGCTTGTGGAGTGGCGATTGATTATCGAGAATAAGGAGAGAAGAAACTAACAGCCGCAGTTTATCGTTGAAAAGAAAAGCTTCCTCTCCTCTCCCGGCTTATTGAACCTCTGTATTTCACGCACACTTTCTGTAATCTAGGGTTCCCGAACCTTCTTGCGTTCTCCATATCTTCTTCCCAAATACGCAGGGCAGCAGCGTACGACCTATTCGATCCTCCATTCTCCGCGTATGGGGTAAAAAGAATTCCCTCGATTGGAGCTTTTTGGTATCTTTGTCATTATGATTCGATTTGCTCTTCCTTTTGATTGAATTAATTCTCTATCTTCTGGGTTCCAATGTGGGTGTGGCGCGCAGGGCTCAGATGGACAATCAGGCCGCCACGAGTTGCTTCGCCTGCAGCCCTGACCAGGAGAAGGAGATCGTAAAGCAATTGTCAGAGGAAGCTGAACTCTCTTTCAAGGAAGGCGATTTGTTCTTTGTCATCTCCGCAAGGTAACCAAAGATTCCTGTATGATTTGCCTGTGCCTCCTTCTGCTTCATCTCCCCCCAATTGATCTCGATCCATCCATTGGATATTTGGCCCCCTTCTACGATTGTAATTTGTTTTGAATCTCCATTCAAAGTCTTCGACTTGGTATCCCTATACACTGCCCCTTTGCTTCCTTTAGAGATATAATGAAACTGCTTCGAGGGTTGTTATCCGGCGAACCGATTCTGCTTCACTGGCATTTCGGTTCGGGAATAGGCGATCATGTTACTTATGGGGTCTACCGTTTGCTTCTTTTCTCCTCTCTCTTGCTCTTTGCATCTCTTTCTTAGCTCTACTCTATCGTTTGCTTGCTCAGGTGGTTCTCGGGATGGGAGAGATATGTCGGTCAAAGTGGCGATGACTGCTTATCTGAGTGGCAGCCATCTGATTCTGATGACTCCACTTCCAAGCCTGCCAATAGACCTGGTCCAATTGATAATTCGGAGTTAATTGAGAATGAAATTCAATCGAAGGGTGGTGATCAGGACATGGTTAGAACCTTGCTTGAAGGCAAAGACTACGTTTTGGTTTCTGAGAAAGTTTGGGCAAAGCTTGTGCAGTGGTAACGACTTCTCTCTGTTCTTGTTCGTTATGATAAGAAAAATGCCCATCTATGATTTTAGCAACATGTAAGATCACTGGCTCAGTCACCATCAGATCTAACATGGCGGAACTTGGGAAAGTAGAATCGTGATGAACTTGTATATCATTTTATGAATTTGTGGCTGGCTTGCACGGTTCTAGAGATGCTATTTTTCCTACCCCTCAACCTTCACGGTACGTCTTCAGGTACAAGGGAGGTCCAGCATTGCCGAGGAAGGTGATTTCACAGGGTGTTTTCAATAAAAAGCAACTCAATGTTGAGGTCTATCCACTTCGTCTGAAGTTGATTGATTCTAGAGATGACAGCATGTACACAATCAGGTTTAGCAAAAAGGTAGCACAATTTTTGCCATTTTTCTCCTGTTAAGTATTTCTAGCTAGACTTTGAATTTGGCTTGCTTTGAGCGTCACATAATGTCTTTTAGATATGGATGGAGTTTTTTGATGATATTAGTCAATTGTTTCACGAAGATGATTTTACTGTTTGCTACTGGTCAAAGAAATTACCGTGCTCTTTTTGTGTGTGTGCACATTAGATACTTATGCATTATAGGAGACTAAGTTTTTCTAAATCTAGTCAGGCTTGCCATTCAACTTGGTTCAGCTATCACTATCTTGGAGAGTTTAAATATGGATACTGGTATTTTCATATTGTAATAATTATGTCTACTAGAAATAAGTTCACGTTTTTGCTCTCTTTATAGCAACTTTGCTGTGAGATGATTTCGTTGTGATGTGGATAAAGATGTGACCTCTAAAGGGTTTGACAATTGGTGAAACAGTGAACGGACTTTAGAGTTTCTGGTCTAGTTAGTTCGCATAATCTACAGGCTTGGGTGCTGAAGTTGATGAAACTGTAGAATGTGAGCTCGATACCTTTGATATGTTGCGATATAGCTTATGAATCTATTCAAATGTGAAAAGCCGAACATTATGGACTGGTTTAGTATATTTGCAGGACTTCAAGTACAATTTTGCATTTCTCTTTTCAGGCTTCTTCACATGAGTTGTATGAGAAAGTTTGTGCACTTAGAGGAGTAGAGCGTGAAAAGGTATGCTTTGAAATATATGTTCTTATCATTCTTAAGGTAAATTCATGCCGTCTTGCCTCTCTAATGCTCTTTATGTGGTTGCTGTATATATTTCCAGTGCCTGATTTGGGACTACTTCAACAAACGTAGGCATTCAAGACTGCTTTATTCCAGTCATACCCTTGAGGAATTGAACTTGCAGATGGACCAAGAGGTTGTTTGACTTACAATGTACATATCATATAATATTTTTCTAACTTTTTTTTAATGTTTAATCAATTAGTTGAGTCCACGTTTGGCGTTTTCACTACGTAGGAAAAGTTGAATGATTTCTTATGGTGATGGTCTTACGTATTTGAAACCCTATGTATAAGTTGCTTAAACTTCCATTTTGTTTGACTAATTCGTTCTGCTACGACAGATTCTTCTCGAGCTACAAGTAGATCGATCATACGCTTCCCAACCTGGAAAAGATTCAACTGGGAATGAATTAGCTGTGATACCCATGGAGCCACAGAGGTCCCACCAGTCAATTGCTGGGGGTTCGAGTGTCTCAAATGGCCACTCAACCTCATATAGCCTCAACATCAAACCAGGCAATGCGAACTCCACCTTTAATGATGCCGATGAGGGTTTTGGTGGTCAGAGTTCTTCTAGAAAGGGAGAGAAGGGAGGTTTGGCAGGATTGCAGAATTTGGGGAATACTTGTTTCATGAATAGTGCTTTACAGTGCTTGGTCCACACCCCACCTCTTGTTGATTACTTTCTGCAGGATTATACTGCAGAGATCAATAAAGAAAATCCATTAGGAATGCATGTAAGTGGTTCCCCTTTTTATGGTCGTGTGATAATAGTTTTCCAGTATTCACTTGAATTTTTTTTTTTTTTTGGTTTCTAACTTGTGTTTTAGTTGTGTAGGGTGAGCTTGCACTTGCATTTGGTGAGCTGTTGAGGAAATTGTGGTCGTCAGGGCGGACCACAATTGCACCACGTGCTTTTAAAGGGAAACTAGCACTATTTGCTCCACAATTTAGTGGATATAATCAGCATGATTCCCAAGTGAGTACTTATAAATGTGAACTTTAGAGTTTCTAGTCCTCTGATTTCATCTGAAATACTTGATATTTTCTATACAAGCAATTTGGTTTAAGCATCGGTAACCGAAGATTGGCAACTGAATGTCCTTCATGCATCCGTAGGTATTATGTAGTATTGTTTAGTCTAAAGTTTTTTGCACCAGAAAAGGATGAGAACTATATGTTAGTGGATGCCATTGAAATTTATATAAGGCAACGGGGGCTCAATACACTCTAAATAAAGTTTGTGGCAGACTCTGACAACATAAGTTATTGGGTATTTCTAGGAGCTTCTTGCTTTTTTATTGGATGGCCTACATGAAGATTTGAATCGCGTGAAACGGAAGCCTTACATTGAAATGAAGGACAGGAGTGGTCATCCTGATAAGGAAGTTGCCAATGAGAGTTGGCAGTATCACAAGGCCCGGAATGATTCTGTGATTGTCGACGTCTGCCAAGTAAGAATATGTCATTGCATTACTCCCATGGAGACATGAATACCATCATAGTTTTTAAATTTGTCTTTAGTATGACGTTTGATTCTAAATTTACTAACTGTGAATATCTGGTCAGGGTCAATACAAGTCAACATTGGTCTGCCCAGATTGCAGCAAAGTCTCTGTTACTTTTGATCCCCTCATGTACTTGTCATTACCATTACCTTCTACAGTCACTCGGTCTATGACTGTGACAGTATTTTATGGGGACGGAAGTGGTCTGCCAATGCCATACACGGTGTCAGTGTCAAAACACGGGCAGTGCAGGGATCTTCTCCAGTCATTGGCTGCCGCATGTTGTTTGAGAACTGATGAAAGCCTTCTGTTAGCAGAAGTAAGTGTTATCACTGGTTTTTCTGTTAGTTTATGTGTCATTTGATTTGGGATCTTCATGTGAAAGGCTAATTTATCATCTACTCTCCTTTGCTAGGTCTATAAACACCAGATTTATCGTTTCTTCGAAAATCCCTCGCTGCTGTTGACTTCGATAAAAGACGAAGAGCATCTTGTGGCTTACCGTTTTCCTGGAAAGGGGACAGGGAAAAAGAAACTAGAGATTATTCATCGAGATAGGTAAGCCCAGTTCTGGCGTTTTTATTAATTTGGTTTGCAAAGATGCAAAGCTCTGAGATTGTTGTTAATATTAATGGATGATACTTTTCTTATGGGTGGTTACATATGGTCAGTATATAGGCGTTCAGGTATGCTAATACTATGTGGTCATACTGATGGCTTCTGGAAACAGTGCTTCCCATGGTTGCTTGTGTTTCCTTGGCAGAATAACATTGGTGTTAAGAGTCCTTTTGTGGTTGGAATTGGTCATGGATCTTGCATTTGTATAGATTCCCGGAATTGCTTGAGTTGAAATTTGCTTACTGTAACTTTATTAATTTTGTAGTTCTTCAGCGGACTTCTTGATTGCTGGCATTCGAAAGAATTTTGGAGCACCTCTGGTTACTTATTTGGAAGAAGATTCACCAACTGGAGCTGATATTGATGCTGTTGTATCAAGATTACTCTCACCCTTAAGAAGAACCAGTTCTTCTATGATTGCTTACAATAATGGTGAAATGTCTACTGGATGCTCAGTTGAGTGTGAACCAAAGGATCAGCCAATGGATGATGATATTAAGGAGGATAATGGAGCCAGCCAAAAACTGACAAACCAGCTCTTCTTATTTGAAGATCAAGGCTTAATTGGGGAGCCTATATCTAGGGACACTGTCATCAAAACTGGAAACCACAACAAGATTTTCCTAGACTGGAGTGAAGAAGAACATAGGTTGTATGATTCTAGTTACCTTAAGGATCTTCCTGATGTGTATCATAAGACTGGATTTAGTGCAAAGAAGACCCGGCAGGAAGCCATCTCTTTGTTTTCATGCTTGGAGGCATTCTTAAGGGAAGAACCTCTAGGGCCTGATGACATGTGGTGAGTGAAAACTATAAAATAGTTCGGTATTTGATTCTCTGTGAAAAATCTTTCATAGTGTTGAGTAGTATAGTATAATTGCCTGAGTTTCTTCTCTATGTTTATGCAGGTATTGCCCCAATTGTAAAGAGCATCGTCAAGCTACCAAGAAATTGGACTTGTGGATGTTGCCAGAGATTCTTGTTGTTCACATGAAACGGTTCTCGTATAGTAGATGGTTGAAGAACAAGCTGGATAGTTTTGTGGATTTCCCGATTCATGATCTTGATTTGAGCAAATATGTGAAGAAGAAAGATGGGAATTCATGTACATATGAGCTTTATGCCATCAGCAACCATTATGGTGGCCTAGGTGGCGGACATTACACAGCATATGCCAAGGTAAAATAAGTTGTCTCTAAAAGCTGCAGTCCATATAACGGAGGGTTCTCCCATTGTCTATTTTCCTTGTTATTGTGTATGTTGGTTGTTTAAGATGATGTCCCTGGTTTCTGGTAAGCTGACGTTATTTCAACCTCGTATTGTACAGCTTACTGATGAGGACAGATGGTATAGTTTTGACGACAGCAGGGTATCTCCAGTTAATGAGGCAGACATCAAGACTTCGGCTGCATACGTGTTATTCTACAGAAGAGTGAAACCTCAAGATCAGCGGGAAGCATCATAAGGATTGTTGCAGTTTCTTAAAGGTCAGGATCAATACCACCATAGCTTGAACCTTTTCTTACCTATCCAGGGAAGATAATTCTTAGAACGATGGCCTTTCCTCTCTGGTGGAGAGGTTGTTTTGATTGGACGATACAAAGCAGCCGCCCTCGTATAGATTCCCCGCGATGGTGGGAAGAGAGAGCAAAGATCGATAGAAAGGAAGAAGGCGTTCGGTTAGCTATGTTGTAGCCTTGTGCTTTAGTGTGTTTTTCTTCTTTTCTTTGCATTAGTCTTTACGGTTAGAAATCCAGAGACGAGTTTGTGGGCAGGCAGGTATACTTAGCTGTAGCTACGGAAATAGTAAAGTACAATAGGAGGGTTATTTCTTTCTGCCTTGTCACGGGGTTTTGAGGAAGACGTAAAGGTGATGGTAGATGGGGAGAGCTGGCTGCGATGTGAACAAATTGCTGCATTTTATGTTGTGAACAAGTGTAGTAGTGATTCATGAACATGATGTCTCCATTTTTTCAACTAAGTTTATAATTATTACCAAGATTTACTATCACGGTGCCTTGCTTGCTTAAATTATGTTCACTACTGCATTGTTCTTATAGATAATTAGCATCAACGGTCACAAACCTACTCGGATCATATCAGTATGGTATATATGTATAAGGAACGCTTGCGTCGGATAGGCATGCAGTCAAATTAACGGCCCTATTGTGCACTGATTGTTCTGCTAACATATCTGTTCGATATGAAAACTACGCACGTTCTTGTTGTATGAATCTGCGCTTTCGGATTCAAAGTTCTTGTCTAGGATTCTTCATGGATGCAAGGAGAAGGTGGAAATAAATGAGAAGACAAATTGGTTGGTTGCCAGGCAGGCAGGTAGCCAAAAATGTAGGACTCCATTATTGCTTGCCAAGCTTAGCTTAGCTGGACGGACCACCAGTATATAGGTGGAACAAACGTCCCTCTAAATATTCTACAGAATTAGATGCTCTAACAGTTGTCTCTGAGAGAGGAATTGCCCAATTGAATCGAGGATAACCAAACAAGGAAGGATGCTTTTCTTACTGTAGATTCTTTAGCTGTTTGCTGCGCACAAGCAAAGGCAAAAAAATGAAACTTTCAGCTCTCCCCCTCTTCCTTTCTTTCTTTCTTTCTTTCTTTCCACCGTCAATTATAGCCGTTAATCGTGGTTTCATATAAACTGAAATCGTCTGATACGATGACATCCATTATTATAAATTAATCTGACAAAGAATAACAGTGATGATGTGATGACATCGAGGCAGGCAGAGCGTGGCTAAAACGACAATCAAACAACAGTATCTCTTCTTTTCCGCAGAGCGACTGGAAGGATCTTGGTACTGCGACATTGCCGCACATGCCCACATGACCAAATCTTGCACCAAACCCTAAACAAATCCAAGTTCAGTTCCCACTACCCAGCTCTCCAATTTCCTTCCGCCGTACTCTCCAAAAGAAAAAAGAGAAAAGATGGAGATGGAAACACAGCAATTCAGCCGCCTCACGCCGACGCAAGGCCAGCAGCAAATAACAATATTCCTCCCCACAGTGTGAACGACAGCGATGACAAGCTGGTCACCATTGTCGTCCCACTCGTAATCGCCAAGTACCCATTTGGACCGTTGTCCGGCGCCGAAGGTTGATTCCCCGAGCTGCTGCTTCCTCCTCCTCCGGCGGCGGGACTGCTCTTGTTTCCGCCACCACCGCTGCTGCCAATCGACGACAGGTCAATCCCCATGTCGTAAACCGGTGTCCTATCGGGCTTAAACAGGCCGTAATTCCGCTCGGAAGTTGGGCCGGACTTCATGTTCTCGTTAAACAACGCGAACACGTAAATGTTCAAGTCCATATTGGGCTTCACCGGTGTGCCCTTCCTCTGGCAGATGGTCTTGATTAGGTTGCTGTTGTACTTCTTGGCGTTCTCCAAACTCGCCCCGGGTTCGTCGGCGTCGCCTTTAGAAGGCCACCCGGTCTCCGAGATATGAACCGGCATGTCCTTGAACCCTAGCCCGGCAAGGGCGTAGTGGACGGCGTCGATTTGGGCGAAAAGCATGTTGTCGTAGTGGAGATTGGTGGCAGGGTCGACCACGCCCTGATTGGGCTGGAACAGAACGAAATCGAGAGAGACCTGCTTGGGGCTGGCCTTGTAGGCGAAGTAAGGGTAGGCGTTGATTAAAAAGGGGGAAGAGGTGTTGGCGTTGAAATTGAGGATCTGGGTGAGGCAGCCGGTGAGATCTCGGCGGAACACGCCGGAGGAAGGTGGGTAGGAGGTTTGGAGGATGGCGAGGGAGTGAGGGGTTGTGACGGTGACCTGGTTCTGGAGGCCGAGGGAGACGACGGCGGCGTGGATGGAGTAGAGGGCGGGGATGAGGTGGGGGATGTAGGATTCGTCGGTCATGGTGAGGACCTCGTTGCCGACGGTGATGCAGGTGATTTTGGTGGCGGGGAGGTAGCACTGGACGTTGGTCTTGACCCAGGTGCGGGCATTGTCGGGATCTCGCATCTGGGACATGTACTCGTTTCCCAGGCCGACGACGAACTCGACGCCGGTGTGGGCGAAAGCTCGGAGGACCGGTGGGCTGGCATCGTAGAGCTTGACTTTTGTGGCTCCGAGGGCTTTGATGAGTGGGACTGCGTCCTCTGGTTTTGGGAGGTTGTTGGCGATTTGGCCGTAGTTGATCCCAATTGAATCGACCAAGGTAGCTGCAGTGGAGGAAACATCGGCATTTTAGTTAAATTTTGCAAACAGCACAAGAGATTGAGAAGAAGCAGAGAAATGGTGGGTTGTAGTTTACCTGAAACGGAGAAGAGGAGGAGTAGAAGAAGTAGAGGAGCAGAGTGGGAGAGGAATGTGAAGTTCTTCATCGTCTGGAAGTTGAGCTTGCTCTCGCTGGTGGCTGGTGGGTGAATGTGGGTGTTGTGAAGAAGAGAGAGTTGATGATCGGAAGAGGGGAAAGATTGATTGAGGAGTGGAGTGAGTGATTGAATGAGTGGTTCTGAACTTGAGATAAGGGTACGGGTATGGATGTCAGAGAAGGTAAAGTTGGGGAAGGAGATGAAGAAGAAGTGGATGAAAGTAAAAAGAGGCTCACTAGACTGTAGTCTGTAGTGTCTAGACTACAGAACAGACGGAGAAATTGGTTGAGCGATATTATTATTTTATTCTATCTTTTCGGTGTATTTTATTCGTTAGGGATATTTACTGATAATTTACTATTTGTTGAGTGGGAAAGCGTGAGAAAGTGTGAGGCTGACGGGGGCGTGAGTCAGGTCGGCGCTGTTGGAGTTTGTTTGGGCCTAACGGGCCCATGGAACGAAATGAGGCGGCCGCATCGTTTTCCTTTGTCCAATCTCACCTCTCTAATCAATGGTAGGATTAGGCGGGGTGGTTTGTATGATTACGAATAAGACAGGACTCATTAGCCTCATTTTACATTTCGTTACCACCCACGTTTGATTATGCAATTATTTTAGTTTTTATTCATCAGAGATATGTGATATGGATTTTGAAATGTGGACAAGAGGCGAGATGAAGGAGAATGCTCGCGAGATTATATCAGTATATTGAAGCATACTGGTTATCTCATGCCGCTAATTTCTCTTATTTTTCTTGCAGATAACTGAAGCCTGGAAACTCCTCTCACTGAGTAGCTAGCTTCAGGAAATCAGCTATGCACATCCAACGTTCCATGACATTTTATGTGGTTCCATCCAGATCAAAGAGCAACTACATTACATATATAGCAAGAAACATTCGTGGTTCTTATTTAACCTTTGCCAGTCTCGCCCACGCACGAGCCTGACAAAGTACTAGAACTTTGGATCTGCCACCGCTTAGATCAGTACATAGAGAACAGTTAGTCAAGTAAGCTTAGCTACCACCAGTACCCTACTTTAACTAATTCTTTATACAAAACATTCTTCCACGACTTAAAACTAATGCAGGAATTTATAATAAGTCAGCCCGAGACATCAACTTATTCTACTACTACTACTGCTGCTGCTACTTCTTTTATGAAGAAGCCAATCTGCTGTCAAAAAACCCGTGCGTGCTTCCACTCAAGGAGTGGCGACATTTTCCTTGGCGAGGGGTGCGATCTCGTCACCTTCAACGCCAGCCTCACTCCCGGCAGCTCCCAGTCCCAACAGCATCTTCTCCCACAGCCTTGCAGGCCCTTTCCACGACAGATCCTGTGCCATTCCGTTCTGAATCATCTCTTCCACGGCTGGTGTCCCAAATGCGGCAATCACCCTTTTCACAGCAGTCACTATTTTCTGCACATCAGCTGGATCAACTGCATCACATTCCACGTTGAATGCTCCCATCTGGAATCCAGTATAACCTTCCTTCACTGTGTCCACCAGCCCACCAGTTGAAGCAACGCATGGCACCTGTTGGGTTTTTTTTTTTTTTTTTTTCCAGGGTTGCAGATCAGTTGATTAGTGAAATCCATCAGAAGATGTAAACATCAACTATAGTGAGTGACAAATTACCGTTCCATATCGCATGGCATGCAGCTGGATGAGACCGCATGGCTCAAATCTACTGGGGACCAACATGAAGTCAGCTCCAGCTGTGATCATATGGGCCAAGGGGACGTTGAATTTCGCCACTCCCCTGACCTTATCAGGGTACAACTTCTCCAGCTGCTCAATCTGCTCCTCCATGTACTTCTTCCCCGTACCCTGCACCCAAAAGCCATCACAAGTCAATTTGAAGCAGCAGCTACACATAGGTTCCACATTCCAGTAGTTCGAATTTAAGAGATGCTTACGAGGATTATTATTTGCACATCCTCCTCCATCAACTGAGGAATAGCTTCACAAAGAATGTCTGAACCTTTCTGTTCTTCCAATCTGCCAATGAATCCAAACACAGGAATGTTCCTGTCCACTGGCAATCCGCACTCTGCTTGAAGTGCTTCCTTCAACAATGGCTTTGCATCCGTGACCTGAAACCCCACAACATGATTATCGACAATCAACATCACCACCCTTGTTGTAGTAATCCAGGGATGCAATTATACTTGGTGAATGGAGGCATACCGTAGTTGCATCGTATTTCACATCAATGTACTTGTCGGTAGCCGGATCCCATTCTTGAACATCCATGCCGTTTGCAATTCCAGTGACGGTTTTGGTGCGAAGGACGTTGTCCAATTCGACGCCTTTATCCTCACCAGAGACCAGTTCCTGGGCGTAGTATGGGCTCACAGTTACCACCCTGTCAGATTCCAGTATTCCAGCTTTCATCCAGTTGATCTTCCTTCCTTTCACTGGCTTATTGTATCTGCAGATCAGTGAAAGCCCTGATCAGTATGGCAAGCAAATAAGCCACAAATATTTTAATCAATCATTGCTCAAAAATTCCTAACCCATCCATGAAGTCGAAGGAGCCCTTGAAGGAATCGGGCAAATTGAGAAGAGAGAAGTCAGCAAAGGCAAATCGTCCCTGATAAGCAATGTTGTGGATGCAGAAGGCAACCTACCATTCATCATCATTCACAAAAGCACACAACGTCAGTCAACAAATGAACAACCCCCTTCTGTGTTTATTGGTAAACTTGAAATGTTCAAAACACCTTAGCATTTGTGTAGAAGCCCCTTGGCTGATACATGGTCTTCAAGTAACAAGGGAGCAGAGCAGTGTGCCAATCATTGGCAATGAAGAGAACATCATCCCCTGCATCCAACAAGAGTAAAAAATAGGTGGTGAAAATTCATCTCTTGGCAATCAATCTATAAAGCTTGGAGGAGACATTGTGAGAAACATAGAGAAGAAATGCACCATATGGCCCGGAGAAATTTTTGCTGCTGTTCAAATTCAGAACCCTTGGTGCCTCTAAAGCAGCCTGAGAGATGAGAAAAAGGGTTTCAATATGGAAAGGCTCCCTTTGCTTGCCATGCTGCAACTGCTTCAGTACTTTAAAGATTGAGAAAAAGAAACTTGAAAGGGTAAAAGTTGCACTCACTTGGCACAGCATGCTGAAACGCAATTGGTTGTCCCTGTAGTCAATTCCTGTAGTAGGGCCATAGATCTTGGATCCAGTTTTGCCCCACACCTTTGAACATTCCAAAGGTAAGTTACATGAGACCACACAAATGAGAATACAAAATGTTTGTGTAGCAAAGATAAATGATTAAAGGAAACAAGGTGGGATTATTAGGAACCTTCTCAAGGAACAAAGGGTGATCAACGAAGACGCGATCAACTCCCCTTTTGTGGCAGTGGAAGAAGCGAACTGTCTCCACTTTATCCCCAACTTGAATCTAAAGCCCTAGAATAATGTTAAATCTCGCCCTGACAACAGCCTCAAAAAAGTGAAGAATAAGTGAAAGGAAAGGGGGCTTTAATTTACCGCGACGAAGACGCAGGTATCCCAAGCATCTTTGTACTGATCATAACGAGGGCAAACCGTCATCACCCTGTGTCCTCTGGCCTGTAACATAAATCAACGCAGGAACAATTGTTCTCATTGCTTTCGGTTCACAAGTTCGATAACCATTCAGATCGTGCCAAAAACTCGATTCCGACAAGAGTAAAAGGAAAGGCGATAAAAAGAAACTCACGGCCATTGCAGCGGGGAGTCCACCGAGGACGTCACCGAGACCGCCGGTTTTGCTCCAGGGCCCACACTCGGAAGAGACGAACACCAAATTCATCCCTGCTCCGCACACAATTTTGGCAGACGAAGGCGATTCAGTGACCGCCTGAGATTTCTTCACGGCTCTGGTCGCGATCGCTTTCGCCTTGGTTCGGATTTGCAGCTTGTCTACCGTGTTCACCGCCCTGAGGCCGTGGTGGCTTAGGCTCTGTGCCTGGAGGCCCACGGGACTAGCCTTGGTCTCCGAGCTGACATGGGAGGCTCTCGACACGAAATGCGCAGCAGTGATGGTCGCCATTGATGAATAATGTTAAAACTGCAACGAATCCCCCTTTGATGATCGGAAGAAAAACAATGAATCGGGAACAATTAGGAAAGGACTTAGAGGAAATTGAACAGAACAAAGAGCAGCGAAAGGAATCGGCGAACAGTAAGGAAAAAGAATGAACCAGTTACCGGATGGTGGAGCAGCGGAGTGTGGAGTGGAGGACTGAGACTGAGAGTGGTTTGCTGGCTGCCACGGAAATGGGAAGGGGAAGAAACAATCGATCATCAGGAATTTGTAGGCGATGGTACGAAGAGCACGTGCCGCATGACACGTGGCGAGACAATAACGGTTGGTCCGCTAACCACTCAGGGCTTTTGCAAATTATATGGGAGCTAAATTGGAAAGATGGTACTAGGTCGTTCACAGAAAGCTGGGCCCGCTGCTTAACTGGGCTCCACCTAATGGGCCGGATCGGCAACGGAGAAAGAATATGCTTAACCAGTTTACCACTAGCCTTTCACTGAGGGGGGAAAAATGGCTATATTCTTTTTAGTTGTTATTTTATTTTATTAAGTTCCCCAGGTTCTTGAGGAAAGCAACAACCAGGGCAATTGGATCGGTCCATGAAGCTGAATTCTATTTTTTCCCCCTTATGTTTTAATTGCGGAGTTTCTGTTGAAAATTTGGAAAGACGGAACAAATCAAATCAACTAGTGGGCTGGAAACGACATTCTTCAACATGACTGATTATTAATCGCCACACAAAATCAAATTGGGAATTGGTAGCTCCACATTGCTTAAACGTCGTCCCACAGCGACATTCCAGTCGAGCTCGCTGCCTGCCAGGGAGATGCCAACTTGCACATGGAAATGGGTACCCGAGCAGAGAGAGAGAGATAGAGAGTCGAGGGCTGCTCCTCCAAGAATTTTGACGGTGGAAAAAGAAGCATGGCCCTGGACAAAAAATATCTGTGTTGTCGTCTGGTGTGCATCTCAATCAATAATTGAACTTGCTTGCACAGAGAGCACAAACGACACTGTTCTTGTGCATGAATTTAATCATTTTATGCCACCATCCATCCCCTCGTATTTTGCTCATTCATTCTTGTGAATTGTGCCTCGCTAGCGATGCAATTTATTCATTTATTTAGTGGTTAGCTTCCGTTCCCAATCCATTGTAATCAGTAATGGCAAGCTCCCAGACCATGAATCTCGCTCAATTTGCACTGGAGAGAGGCAGAGAGCGAATTCCCGGATGAAGGAAAAGTTGGGTAATTAAAAAGCCAATGGCAAAAATATCGTAGACAGCTCGAAAAACCGACCGCCCTAAGGGATTCAGGATCCTCAACCACACATCTCGAACGACTGGTAGTTGAAGCGTTGTCTTGTTCCTCCAAACTGTACTTCTACGGCCACTAGTTGAAGGTGTTGTCTTGTTCCGGTGGTGGATAGACTGATGAAGGTATCCTTTGTCGTAGCCCACAATTTGACAACTGGACGCAGGCACGAAATATCAGGCCAGGCCCAAACTGCGCCTTGCCTCCAGGCCCCAGCCCGTTCCAACCAGCGTTGGAAACCCAAAGGTGAAAAGCAAGGCACATCCCCAACAACTGAAACTGCATCAACCGACCTTCAACAAGGGGACTGATTCTGTTACAACTTGCAACTTTGAGATGATTTCATCTGAATTTTTAGATTCACACAAACAAACTAGTTGCACTTCCGACTAGTGCAAGTTAGCATCTTATGACAGACACAAGAGATCTCAAATCGATCGAGGGAAGGAAAGGAGATTGAATCATTGAAATGGAAGAAGGATCTCAACCGCAAAGAAAGATGGTCTCTTGTCAAGAACCAGTTGATCCCAATAACTCGAGTTATTTGGAGAGGTTCAATCGTGAATCATATACCGTTTACTAACACACCTCCTCAAACTCAAGCCACTCATATAGGCTTGGAGTTTGCACTGGCACAGGTCCGGACACCATGTGCTTAACAGAAACAGAAACAGATAGGAGGTCATCGAGATTCGAACAGAAGACCTTTCGATCACAGAAGGCTCTGATACCATATCAAAAACCAGTTGGTCCCAATAACTCGAGTTATTGGGAAAGGTTCAATCGTGGATCATATACCGTTTACTAACACCTCTAACCTTGTTCATCGGAATTGAACAAAGCAAACAAAACGAAGGCAAGTGCACCGAATTCCAATCATCTCTTCTTCTTCTTTTAATCCACTGACAAAGCTTCAAGGGCTACAGGCTCGAGCTGCACTCTTCCTTCCCAGTAAAAACAAGCAAATTTTGCAAAATAAATACAATAACTAAAAAGAAAAGAGGCAGGCAACATCTCCAGGAAAAAAAAAATCATGATGCACCTCTTATCTCATTATCTGAAGATTGAATGGAGAGGCTTTTCTTGTCCACATTACACACTAAAGGTCCAGCCTAATCTCATGGCAAAAACAGAGAAAGAGCCGAACCTCTAACCCGACCACTTCCCATCAAAGCAAATCGTGAAATAAACCAGCAGAATCAGTAGAACGTTCAGGAACAACAACAGAAAAATCAAAATGGAATATCGCCAAGGATTAACCCTTACTAAATATAAAAATAAAAACTCTCTAGGATACAGTTACATGAATTTCCTTCCATCCCATCCACGAACAAAACTGACAAAAGGAATCCATCACCGGGGTGGGTTAGAACTTAGAAGCATTCATCTACCCCATCATCGACCCCTCATCCTCGCAGCAGGATTTCATCTGTGGGCGGTGACAAGCGTCTCTATGAACCTCAGCCCATCGAATCGAGGAACAAATTTCCCCTGCTCCTCCTCTGGTTCTCGGTCCTGCGCCGAAGATGCCCCCGATCCCTAATTCCACAACAATAACAGCAGTACCAGTCAATAAATCTCGGCCTTCCATATACAATAATCCAGTTTACACAAAGAAGCCGAGAAATCAGAGCAATGTTATCTAATCTTAAAGGGCGGATTGAGAATTGAGATACAACAAAACAGATCTGAAAGATTACAAACAGAACAAAATCCTAACAATTCAGAAAAAGGGGAGATGCAAGAAATCAAACGCTGGAGCAATTAATACATACCTGGCTGACGCTGGGCTGTAAAGCCATGATGTCACGGTCGCTGGCAGAGGTTGGCGACGTGGACGAGGAAGAAGAGAGGGCCATGGTGGAAGCAGCGATCATTGAAGCCACGAGTGTGCAGGACCCCTTCATCTTGTTTTTCGGCAGAGGATCTGTTTTCTTCAATTAAGTAAAAGGGCCTTGCTTGTCTGGAGCAAAGAGGCGCCAAAAGGACGAAACCCGACGAAACTTGTTTCGCCGGATCTCAACCACCGCAGCAATGGAAATCGGATTTGGCACGCAAGTAAGTAGAATAAAAAGGCCAAAGAAAGATAAAGTTGTATTCTTTCCTCTATATAAAATAAAAATGGGCAATGGAGGCCGTTTGGTGGTGGAACGGAATGAGGGGGATTGGAATTTTGTTTTAGATCCGCCCCGTGACCTAGGGACGGCGAACGATCAACAAGCGGAAGAAGAAAAAGGATTGATGATGACGACGATAGCGGGAGGTAACACCAATGGCCTTGAGGCACGTGTCGAAAGTAAAAGCGTTTGCTTAAACTCGATGCCGTTCTGGCCCCAGCAGCACTGTGCGAGCAGTTACTTTACTTCCGCCAAGCGGTACAATCAAAATTGGTCAGAGAAATACAAGCAAAAGCAACGAGATGATAAATTTTAAAAACGAAATGGAAATATACTAATCTACGGAAGATGAAATGGACAAATCCGCCAAATTTCAGGCCAATCTCCACTTTGTGAGCGGTACAGAAACTTGATAACTCGTTGTTAACATGATGACACGTGAATGTGTTGGCCGCTGAAAATTACTAATTCTCATCCTAATCCGATCCTACCTATCCACACACGTCTTGTGGTGTGAGATGTGATTAGTGTTGTTAATGAGTCGAGCTATTAGTGAGCGGCTCGGTTTCGAACTCGATAAAAGTTCGTTCGATTAAAAAAAAGCTCGGCTCGTTTATTACCTTGCTCGGCTCGTGAAGCTCGTGAACTAGCTCGATTAGGTGGCTCGTTTAATAAAACTCATGAACTGTCTCGTTTTGAGCTTATGAGATGTCCCAACATTGTACTAGAGAGCTAACTCGACTACAATTTATGAGAAAATCAATCTATATTTTATGAGTTGGTTTGTTAATGATGCATATAATTATTAAATTGTATATATCACCTCATATGGTGTTTAATACATTGAGTATATGTAAGCAAATACGTCTCATATATGACATAACATTAGGTAATGATCACTTGTATCACATATGACATATAAATATCAGGGTATTTATATTATAAATTATTTTAGAGTTGAGCTCGAGACGAACTTTCGATCTTAACGATGTGTCAAGATTTAATAAATGAGCTGGCTCGTGTTCGACTCGACTCGGCTTGTTAATAAACGAGTCGGGCCTCGAGCTCTGCTCGTTTATAAACGAGTCGGGCCTCGAGCTCTGCTCGTTTATAAACGAGCCGAACGTGAACAAGGTAAAGCTCGACTCGACTCATTAACAGCCCTAGATGTGATACAGCAAACATGAAAGAGTCTCTGTATTATTATATTGCTTAGCACTAAGGTGGTCAATGTGCGGGTTGGGTGGAGTTTGGTTTCAAATTGACCCACTCGCTTATTAGCGAGTTAAAATAATTGTGACCCGCAATCCACCTATATACCTCCACGTGTTGGGTTGGGTGGGTGGCGGAAGGGTGCGGTTGAGTCTTGGGTCAACCCGCAAAAACAATTCTCCTACTAGCCATTATGAAAGTTGACTAACATTTATAATAAGTTTATAGCAAATTAGTAAGATTGTATCAATAATATGTGATTTTGATACAATTAATAATTTATAGTTTTCATCCCAATATTAAATTAATATTAACAATAATTTGCATACCAATATCCAATATCTAATAGATATTGCACAACACAAAACCAATAATAGTAGTCAAAACAATTCTTTATTCTCCACTTTTTGAAGTATATTGTCACAATACTATAGTGCATTACGAAAATATGATTAATATTCTATACTATAGGAAACAACATTTTTCATGTAAAAATAAGATGCGGGTCATATGGGTGACCCTCAATCCACCAACCCACATAAGTGCGGGTGGAAGATTGATCAATCTGCAATTTACCCACATCAATCACCCATTGTATACGGGTCGGGTTATTTGCGGATGGATCGATATCAATCTGCGGATTAACCACCCACATGCCCACCCCTACTTAGTATCCATCAGATGGTAGCCTGGTAGGGCTGAAAATTGCCTCGACCCGTTCCTGACCCTGTCTGACCTGTCCCTGAATGGTCAAGATGTATAACTGACCCATCCGGTCCCTGTCTCCTTCTTGACCCTATCTGACCCTCAATGGTCGGGACGGGTCGAGTCAGTGGGTTGACTCTGTTTGACCAGTCCCTGAATGGTCAAGATGTATAACTGACACGTCCCGTCCCTGTCTCCTTCTTGACCCTGTCTGACCCTCAATGGTCGGGACGGGTCGAGTCAGTGGGTTGACCCTAATCAACACACTGTTTTTTTATAAATTGTATTTTGGTACCCAAAATTATTTTTTCTTACAATTTAGTACATAAAATTTATTTATTTTAAAAATAAGTTCATAAATTTTGATGGTAAAATTACATTTTGGTATCCATTTTTTATTTTATAATTTAGTACCTAAACTTTTAAAATTTTACAAAAGGTCCAATGTGGTATGAGATATTTGTTGTTGCTAAGGGTCACAAGGTCAAAAAGTGACCCGTCCCTAAGTTGTCCCGGCCCTTACAGGATCAACAAATGATTCGTCTCTAATCTGACCCTGTAGACAAAATGACTGTCTTGAACCTCAGGGGAGAGATGGGTCGGGATGGGTAAGTGGGTCTTTCGGGTCAAGCTTACATACCTATCGGATGGTATTGGTATTATTAATGTAAATGAGACGAATTGAGCCATTTTAACCTAATTTGGACCGGTTTGTTAATAAATAAGTTGAAGTTCGAATTTAACTTGTTCATTGAATTTTGACTCGTATTTGATTTAAAGTTGATTCCAGCTTGACTACCAAATGAACTCGTGAGCTCTTTAGAGTTCGGGCTTAATAATAAGCTCACAAGCTAAACTCATTTATCATTTTGAATAGTTCAACCTCGAAACCTTAACTATAAAATATTCTATTAATTCATGCAATAATATTTGTATGTCATATATGATACACGTGATTGATGTTACGTAGTAAAAAAAAATAGTAAATTTCATCATTATTAATCTCGTGTTTATATACTATGTTGATATCATATTATTTAGGCCGTATCTTGTTATTTAATAATAATTTTTTAGTACCTAAAAAATCTATGACACATAATTTATCTTCTTAAATTCGAAACGAGACATATTTGCTCATTTTCTTAAAGTCTTATACTGTCACATAATTTGTAGATATAATCGAACAAGTCTGTGAACTATCAACAAGCTAGCTCATAAACTATAGGTCGATTCTCTCATAAGTCGCGCTGGTCGAAGTGACTAGCTAGCCATATTGTCGAACAAACTCACAAATTGAAGATGAGCTAGCTCACGAGTTGAACGAAGTATTAAATGCGTTTTTTTCCATAGCAAACCGTTTCAGAGTAACTAAGATCATTTGCCACTCAAGGTATCAGCCATTCAGCCCACTAGATTGCTTGCCCTCTACACTCTCTCCCGGAAGAGCATAAGAGAAGAGAACAAAATCCTAAACACACCAAAGCTCAGAAAGGAAAAAGTAAAGACAGAAGTTAAAAACAACTATGAATGGCCTACATTAATATTAGGTGCCCCAAAGTAACTAAACACACAGACTGATGCATCTCCTTTTTTCCCCCACCACCACCAAACATATTCCCAATTTCCATCTTCAACCACCGGCAAATGCCCCCGATCTTCCATAGCTAGCTGCTGCTGCTGCTGAGTGCTGCCCTATCGTAAATAGGACTGCACTTACTGGCTGACATCTGAAGTGGACAACCCACCTTCCATTACTCTCACTTACCTATTAGTTGCGAATTTATGGCTGCTTTCCCAGGAAAAGTTTACCAGAGATCATCAGCTAAACAAGTCATATCACTAGACCACCGCAGATAATGCCCAGTTCCGAAACTATCCAAGAGAGTAACAAAGAACTGCAGCCAAGGCCGCGATACCACGAAGAAGAAGAAGCTGGTCATTCATTGTTCTCGTGTTATTTTGTTCATGCAGCTTAGATTTCATTCTTTCCTTCAATCAACTTGTATACAGCTATTTGCTGTGTATTATGTATCATCAATTCATCATCCACTCATTCCTCAGAAGCTGCAACAGGTGCAGAACAGAAATAAATAAGGGCCCCAACGAAAAGGAAAATTGCAGTAAAAGCTTCTTCTATTCCCGCCTCCTCTCTTCAAATAGGGTGGGCGATCCAAGGACCAAGTCTCCATCCCAGATTGCACCTTTCCCCCTTCATTTTCACCACAGCTCGCGACTATTTGGGGAAGCAAAATGAAAGAATTTTTCGCCATATCATAATCTCCTCCCCATCTTAGCAAATCTTCTAGCTACTCCAAATATGACTGCCTTTGTCAGTAGCCCTCTGTCGAGTGAACATGCTAGAGCAATAGCCCCACCTACTACTAGAACCTTAGGTATGCTCCCTCCTCCCTGCGCCTTTTCGGAAGAATCTCCCGAGGTTTCAATCTCGGATTCAGATGAAGTACTACAAGTGCTGCTGCTGCTGTTTTCCAACAATCTCAGGTAGTCTGGACTCACTTTGGAGTTGATCTGGGCCATGTAACCGGAACGTGAGAGTGGAGCCCCAGAACCTCGTTCTTTCTGATACAATCTTAAACCGGGCTCGATCTTCTTCACAGCTCCCCACATCCCTTGTCTTATTCCAAGCTTTGCAATCTCCCATGGAATTCCCATGTCCTCGTAATGGAACAGTAGCACCTCACATGCAGTCAGCTGTCCATCTCTCTTTGATTCCACTGAAAACACAAAGAGGTGGGCAGGCTTAACTTTCATATATTCCACGTTGGAGACACAGAAAACATGAATGAATCGTCGAGTTGTAATCAAACAACAGAAACCAGGCAATTAGTTACCTGCACGGATGCACCAGCTTGAATAGTACAAATCAACACGGCGTGGCTTGTTACGCCTTGGAACGGAATTGCTTACGCCCTGGGGATGTACAAAAGGGATGCTAGTTAAGATAACTATATTGTCAAGCGAGTGAAACTCATCTCCAAAAGATGGCAGTGCTCAAAGCTCTCTTTGGGAATGACAAGAAATCATTGCCACTATGAAATCTTGCATTTCCTTTAACCACAAACAGTTCATACAAGTTCGACTCCTGTGGGATGTTGATGGTAACTGTGACTAAGACTGTAGAAAAACCAGACTACCTCTTAATCAATTCTGGGAGGTGTGAAATAGACAGATAACTGGAAAGGATTCAACATGTAAGACAGGAAAGTACATCAACAGCTCCCTCATCAAAACACGGTAAAAGCGAGACATTCAGAAGCAATGAGAAATTCTGAAAATTCTAATACCTTTGTAACACAGTAGTACTTTCTGCCCGATTCCCAAATCCGGCGACCAATGATATACTCTCTGTCGCTACAGAAGAAAGGAAACTGCAAGAGAGACACGAGGCAGCTTAGATTAAAGCCAATGGCCGGTATAAAAGTGGACACCACACAGAAAGAGCAATTGTAAGTTTCTCAAATACCTTCCGAACCCACTGGACCATCATGGTTCCAGTTGTGGGGCACTCCTCCAGAGTCTCGGAATGTATGAGCATGTCATCCCACTTCTTTCTGAATTCGTCATCCCAAAAGAAGTCCCTCAACATTTCAGGAGTAGCATCCTCATAAACAGTTCTGCTACGGTACTGGGGAGGGCCACTCTATCAAAACACAATACAAACCCCACTTCAATCAAATTAGATGGTTTCCTCCCATAACTTGGGGAAAAGACCAAAGATTGACAACAATAAGCAACAAAAAGGGGGAAGCTTTACCTCAGGATCTCTTCTCCAAGCTTCGTAGCTCATAGTCTGCGTAGAACGGTCCATCATCTGAATCCACGCAGGGCCGTCATCTTTGACTTCAACAAGCTTGCACAAGTACTGCAAATCATCCGTTGACACAATACTCGATTTCCCCTTTCCCGGCTGCGAAGCACTGTAAGCATCCCGAATTCTTAATCACAAATTGGGTCGACAGTAAAACAGCCAGAATAGAACTTGAACCCGTCAACACAGAGCCAATTCAAGAAACGGCGGAGCGACGCAAACCTACCTTGAATCAGAAGCGAGGGTGGTAGTAGGTGGGGGAGAAGTAGAAGATGAGTTGGGTTGACGGGAATATTCGCTGGAAATCCAAGAGATGCAGCTGGGCAGCTGAAGCTTGAAGCTCGAGGAAGCCGGCGATTGTGGAGCGGTATCGGATTGATTGGCCAAAATTGCCCACTTGGGCCTCCATGACCATCCAACGAGAACGCCTACAAATACCGCAATCCAGAGAGGAGCGACCAGCATGGAGAGCTCCGCCATGACAGCAAAAGGGCTGGGCCTCTGGAGAATGTCGAGCAGTATAGACCACAAAGCCATGGGAGTGGCTAGCTTCCTGGGGGCGGCAAAGAGGGGAGAAGGGAAGCCTTTGAAAACCTGAGGCGGATAAGGAAAGGGAACCCTCGATTGAATGGGTGAAAAGGGTCCAGTCGAGGGTTCCGAAAGGAAGAATCAGTGAAGAAGCCGCCCAAAGCTAAAAAGCAGAGAATAGGAAGAGATAAAGGAAGGAATGGGGGATGAGGATGAGGGAAGCAGCTGGCGGCATAAAGAAAGGGAAAAGACAAAAATGGTGCAAGAAGAAAGGGTGAAGGAGCCTATGGCTTGGATGGGGAATTGGTTTGGTCAGGATAAGGGAGGCAGAGATAAGTGGTAGGAGGGTGTTATTAAAGATTGCCGTAGGTCCCGCATATATATATTTTTTTTCTTTCCCTACATTTTATTTGTTTTCTAGTTTCATATGTATAATTCATTTTTATATTCTGTTTGTTTGAACTTTGAAGAACATACATTTATTTTAATTATATTAGGGCAGTTTCCATAATTGATGCCTTCATTGCCTTGTAATGGAAATTGGAATATCTGGGAACTGTGGGTGGTTTGATTTTTTTGCTTCTAAATAATAAGATAGTTGTAGGCCATAAAATAAGCTAATTGAATAATAATTATTAAGTATAGTTTATTGTATAATCTAATATCAATCATCTAACTAGTGATTAGTGAATAAAATTTTTTTTTTTACAAATATTATTATATTTTTAAATAATCAATGTATACTTTATGTTGCAAGTCATTTAAAATTGGGTTAATATCTTAATTTGGCCCGAATTATAAACAAGTTTTCTACTTTGGCCCTTGGTATCGGAAATTGATATTCTGATCTATACTATGTAGTATGTACCATACTTTCTTATTTGACCCGGAGACGGGTTTGACCGTTAAAATAGACGGTCAACCGAGTTGACCGTTAGTCAATGACCAACTCCTTTAATCATCGCTACATAGTACATAGACAAGCAGAAACTAAACTAAAAGCTTCAAAAAATTTATCAACTTCTAAATAATGTTTCAATAAAAGATTTATACATTTAAGTATCTATTTTTAAATTAAATTTTTTCATTAAGTAGTTTGCCTCAGTTTTTTTTTTTTTTTTTTGTAAAATCCTCATAATTGTTTTTGAAAGCGAGGGTCCAGTACAACTATCCTACCATAGCATTAAAGATGTGATGCACTTCTTGATGGGGTCAAAGAGTTCAACGATCATATCATCAAACAAATTTATACATGAGTTTGAGGTCCTTTTAGACCAAATACCTCCTTTACCACCCAGTTGATTAGCCATTAAAACAGATAATCCAAACACACAATTCAACTAAGAATTAAACAATTAATTAACTTGAGTTTAACACTGAAATAAGCAATGGAAGACCACCGAGATTGATGAACAAACGGAGCTATCTGTATGCTAATATGCTATATCATGTGTATTAGTTTAACGGAGTTAAAAAAAAAACGTATAAAAAGGAAAAGTGGGTCGGACTTGGATTGGAGAAACAGTGGAACGAAAGAGGGGTAATTTAATAAGTCAGTCTAACATTGTTGGCGAGTGGAGATCAATGGTACGACCGGCCATCGCGTCTTCTCCCTTTCTTCACACTCGTTTTTCACGACTTCCTTCTTCCATTGCTGCCCTTTTCCTCCCATGTGTAATTCATTCTTCGTTTAAGATGAAAGGATTTTTTTTATTTGAAAATTAAGCGTTTTGGTTAAAATTTGTGTTTTGAAATATCATGGATCTCGATTTGGGTCATTATTAATTTGAGAAAGTTAAATGTTTGTTTGTTGGATTTATTTATGAATTTTTTAAAAATTTAAATTACATGATTAAAGAAAAAATTATCTTATTTTCCTTAAATTAAAATAGTGATGTAAAATTAAATGATCATAGGATCCTCCCAAGTTCATGATGGATTGAATTTGATACCTAAATCCATCACAGACATTCACGAGGCAAAGACCCCTTTATTCCTTTTCCGTTTTACTTCCATTTCTACTCTAGCTCTTGTTTTATTGGGAGAATGGGAGGATAAAAGAGTGATATGCTCGATCTGTGAAGTTCTAGACATAGTTAAGAATGTTATGTAATATTGATTATCAAGTAAATGATCATATAATTTCATTCTTAAAAGTTATAAATGAGACCAAACGATTAATATATATATATATATATATATATATGTATATGTATATGTATATGTATATATGTGAAAGTAAAAAATTGGTTTATTAAATCGATTCCTAATATGAATATACGTCTCCCGCCGTCACACCTAACTAACTCCCCTTCGTCAATATAAACAATAAGCTTTCTTTGTTTATGAATCCTCACTTTTCTCATTAATTAATTAAGTCACAATCCCGTCTTTTTCCCTGGCCACCATTTGATTATCTCACCCACTATTGCTGATCATCTTTCGACTTAGACTCTTTGTACTTTTCTCATTAACTAATAACATTCTCATAAGGAAAACGTATTGTTAATAAGTGATAACCATATGAACATAAAAAGTCAAGTAGGCAATTTTTAATTTATTTTATGTGGTTCTCTTATGTCAACCATGATGATGAATGTGACTCATGTTATACAATTAAAATCTTTTTAGTTGGACTCTCATATTTTAATTCTTATATTATTCATTAGTTATACACAGAGAAAACTATACACGTATCAAGGTCCTTATTTAGTTACTTGTACAGTATTATGTGTTAGTGTTGTGGTATATGATTCACGATTGAACCTCTCCCAACAACTCGAGTTATTGGGATCAACTGGTTCTTGACATGGTATCAGAGCCTTCTGTCACCGAGAGGTCTTGTGTTCGATTCTCGGTGACCCCCATTTGTTAAGCACATGGTATTCTTGTCTTCAGACCTGTGCAAATTTCAAGCCCTTGTGAGTGGCTTTCGTTTGAGGGGGCGTGTTAGTGTTGTGATATATGATCCACGATTGAATCTCTCCCAACAACTCGATGTATGAGACCAAACTCATCAGAAATTTGTACAATCCAAGTATGAACATCAATAGAGAAAGTACAAAGGAAAAAAGTATATGTGGTGCCCATTTTTTAATGTTGACAATTTATAAATCCAACAATCATATATTTGTCTTGCCTGAATTATATGTGGATCATATAGAAATATACTTAGATAATATCATCCTGCTGCTGCAACAAATAAAAATCGCGGAGCTGAATTGGTTTAAAGGACTGTCTGTAGATATTTTAGCAAATTACACACCGACCGGTGCTCCTCCACCCGCGAGTCAACCAACCACCCAACCACCATGAAAAGCAAGCTCAGTTGGAAGAAAGCAATCAAGATTCAAGTAGCCAGTGATTGGAAGACCACTCAAACTGACACTAAGCATACAGCAACAGCAGACTCAAATATCAACTATGCATCTACCAATTTGTTGACTTGCTCCAATTCCATCTGATCTGCATCCTTGTGCTATTACTTACCATACATCGATTTCGCCGTCCACATTCATAAAGCGCACACTAGCAGTACAAACTATACATTAACTCAGCATGCTTTCCTCGAGCAAAATTCTCTTCTTGTTGCTGCTCTCTCCTCTCCGCCACTCATAAAATTGGACAAAAACAATCTCTGCCTCATTTCCCTCCCATTTCACGAGCTTGAGTTGACTAACCAACCAGCAATGCCCTTTTGGGCCTTTTCAGTTTTCAGTTTCCGGTCAGAACCCACGACTTTCCGGCCGTCGTTATATAGCGGCGGCCAGAGTTTGCAGACACTCCGTTCAAACTAATGATTTGACATATTGGATCTAGTTTCCGCCCAAATCATTAGGTATCTGGGCTTTTCTCTGTTTCGCACATGGGCTATGGGCCAACGCAAAAGCCACATCCAAGTCCAAATAAATTCTATTCGTTCGGTCCAGAAGATGGCGGGAGACTGGGACAGGCCTTCCCATCCTACTCGCGAAGCAGGGAATAATATATTAGTGAAATTAACATCCAGAAATTGGATGAACGAACAATTTTTAGTCGGTCTGTTCGTATAGCATAAATAAATACATTATGGACTCCAATCAACTGCCCGAACATCACACAAAAACCGGGCAGAAGAGAATTCCATTCCATTTGGTCCAGTCAGTCATTCAATAACAGCTGCTCTGCCATCTTCTTCTCGAGAAGGATACATAATATGGTACAGAATGAACAGCGATAGATCAATGAGTCAGTTAGTTGTTCAGGTTAACCATAAATCCATGTACCCAGGTGCAAAAGTTTGCATCTCAGAAACTGGTGTGCCAGATTGCTCCATCACCTTCCCCGCAACGCTGGTGCACGTCTGCCATTCTCTCCACTGACTTGCATAACCCGCTGCACGCCCAATCAAATGACGCCGCGCATGCATTCCCGGCTTGCGCCTTCCACTCGCAATCTGCCACAGGAGATAACACAGCCCAAGTTATTACAGCACAAGAAATGACGCTAGCTAGATAGCAAAAGCCTCCACACGTTTCAGCATAGCATATCAGCCTTTACCAGGAGGTGATCCACAGCATAGGCTCCGATCATCGATATGCTCCACGTCTAGTCCGATAAACCATGACCCCAACGAGACATCTTCATTCGCATATCGATGGAGTATGTGCCTGGAGGGAGAGGACAGCAATCACACTATCATGCATTCAACTAGACCAAATGTGCTGGAGCAATGTGCACATCAATCAAGCATTGTATACACACTACTCACCGATTGACCGAAATGTAGGTGGCCAAATCTTTTGAAAGGGCATATATCTGCCCTGTTGCATGCCTGAAGTACCTATTACCCTCCTCCCCAAACTTCCAGTATTCTGGTTCGTGATACTTTACCCCTCTGCGCTTCGTTCATAACAATGCAGAAAGAGAGTTGAAGGAACGGAAACTCACAGAAGAGCACTATCCACAAGTGAAAAGTGGCATATATCTATTTGCTTACTTCTGAGCGAGGACTGGTCCAGACTTCATGCAACCTATGTACACACGAGGTTTAGATCTATGGCGTGCCAATGTGGAACCAACCATACCTGTCAAAGTGTCGATATTGATTCACCAGCCATGTTAAGTTGTGTCCAGGATGTGGATGAAGAATTATGCAAAACCCGGGGGGGAAGGGGGGAGGGTTACTGAAGCAAACTGACCTAGGTTTGTGTGCACATCATCATCCACTTTAATATAAAAGTCAGCATCCCATTTCGCCACAACAGTTGAAAAGTATATCTGTGTTTTGGATGACAGTTCATGATAACCTTCTATGTGATTCTGCAACATGAACAATTTCAACCAGTAGCATAAGCCATTGCTAGGTCATTTAATAAGAGTAATCAATCAAAACCAGTTGTAATGCAATCCAAATGGATATGCATCTTACCAGCCTCAGAAAATCTTTATGCTGTTCTTCTTCAGCATCAATAGCTCGATCCAAAACCCCACCTGGAGATGCACTGACACCCACAAAGTTTAAGAACTCATATGCTTGTTCACCCAAATTTCATGAAGCCAAAATTTAGAGTAAGTGGCACCTGTGTCCTATAACGAAACGCATGATTATACCCTTCTCATATTCCAGCTTCTTTAACTCCTCTCCTGGAATGGAAAATAACCCACAGGGTGCACTTAGTGTAGTCATTTTTCCTGTTTGCCAGCAATTAGCGGATACCAATATTGAAAGACAACAAAGACTGGACCTTACCATTGGGCATCCATGTCTCTCTAATCGAGTCCCTTCGCTTTCTGCTGCTGAATGCAGTCATTATACCCATAACAAAGAAAACCTTTTGTCTGTCCTTCAAATGCTCGATGCTTGATTTTGTCATTACAAGAGATTCTTCTTCACTGCCTACTTTGGCAGCTCTTGCAGCAGCCAGCTGCATCTCTAGCAAGGAGATTGTTTTGTCTAACGTCCTGCAAATGTTGTCACAAGAATCACACATCTCAAACTCTCACAAAAAACCCAAACGTACAGAGAAAAAGAATAGTATATCATTCAATCACTTATGATTTCTAAACTGAAAGCATAATTCAACTGGTTATAGGACTTACATTATCATATCATGGGTTTGAGAAACTTGCGACAGAATATCGCTGGTTTGTACAGTAGTCTCCTGCAACGACACAATCCAATTACAAAAGTATTCTAGGGGCATTTAGCTGGTTACAGAAACAATTACGCAGTCACTTGACTTACCTTTTTCTCACAATTAATGGTCGGATTTGGTAACTTGGATTGAAGCTCCATGGTTGAAGTTCCCTCATTTACTTTGACTGGATCAGGAATAGACCAAAACCTGTTGAAGGATTCAGATTCGATATTAGTGACAGAGAACTGGAGTTTTTATGATAAATTCCTTCATTTATCTCAGCCAACTTCCAAAAGGGTCTGCAACAATTAATGCTCCAAGTCCAAATCAAAAGTACTGACACATGGGTAAGAGCCAACAACAATAGGAAATTTATCTGCAAATTTGTTAGCTTACACTAGTTGAGTTGGAAAAAGAATAACAAAGTTCAATTTTCCATTTCAATGATTTTACCATTCTGCATAGATGTACTCTGCAGTCTGGACTCATCCACTAACTTTGTTATATTGCTCACGATACCCTATCAAACATTCAACTTAATGACTATGCATCAAGTCCAAGCTGTACAGCAGATGACTATGCCAACACATGTATAGTTAACACTTAACACCAACAGGAACATTGCCAACAAGATAACAATAGCAATTAGGGGTTTCATAAAGGACTCGGTATGCTATTTTTGTAAATAAGCCATTATGGACTCAAATGCCAGCACAATGAACTAGAAAGCATGAAGAAGTCGATTTGACCAGCTTCATTTCAAGCTGCTCATAAAGCAAGACATATGTATCCTTCCTCACTGGGACACACTAACTATGCTTCACCAATCAGCGTAGGTGGTTTGATAAGAAACCACATCAAACTGAAAATTGGCCTTCCAGATTAAGGATCACAACGGATTCCAAGAATAATTAGATTGAAGAATCACAATGGCGGTTACAAACATATGCCGGCTCGGCCTACTTCATATGCATTTTAGGGTAGCATCAAAGAAGTCTGCCTCTTCCACTTAGCTCGGCATATGCAACTACAGGTCTGGACCTACAATTAGATCTCATCCTCGAAAGGGTCTCTCCAATGCATGTATCAACGTGAAGCTAACACCCCTTTGTATAGCACACAATCTAGTTTATCGCAACCGTTTCTTTTAGCTTCTTGGCACAAACCAAATGGCCACAGGGAACAGAACATATACATCATAATTCATATGCATGCATCTGATCCATATGTTAAAAATTAATAAGTAGAAGCTTCAAGCTTCAGATTCCCAAAAAATGGGGAAAGGGAATCGCGTAAAGGCTGGAAGGTTGCCAAATCCGAGGAATCAATCCGTTGACAGGGAGAATACAATCTGCTACTACTTGGGGGAAGGCAGCGAAAGGGTGGCACTAAATCTACTTTTGTATCCTACCCACAATTGCAAAATACTCAATTTCCACAGAGTTAGTAATCGCCGCCACCACCACCCTACCAACTAAACAAGTTAGCAACACAAAGAAGTAACAGCCGCATTAGGGGAAAAAAAACAGAGATCTGGGTTTTGGGGTGGGTATAGAAAGCGGCAATGTAAGGAGAAGAAGCGTTACCTGTCGACGACAAAGACGCCTAAGAAGAAGCTGGCGATGCAGAAAATGGAGAGCCATCTGGAAGAGACACCGCCACTGGACCTCATCGGTCTGATCCCAGAAGCCATTTTTCTTGGAACGTACAATGTTAGAACTTAGAGCTGAAGAACCTGCTTTTTCAACTTCGAAATTTGGGTTTGCTAGTTTAAATCCTCTTTGAAGCTGGTGTCCTGTTTGTAGGAGTGATAGAAAGGTTACGTCTACAGCTAATCACCGCGTCCTCCTAGCTACGACGCGAGGTGGCTGAACAAGGGACAAAACTGAAGCAGCAGCAGCAGACATGGAGAACCCATGAGGAGGTAGATGGAAAATGTGGGCGGAGAGGAAGAGGGATCGTTTTTGGGGTGGTGTACCAGTGCACAGAACAAGAGAGGGGGAAAAGCGAAAGAGAAAGACTTTTTTTTTTTTCTTTTTTTGAATTATGGATCGAAAAGTAGAAAGAGGAAGGGGGAAATGGGTAAAGTAGCAGAGAAGACAAAAGGAAATGGGGTTGGGCCGTTGGGGACTCGCTGCCTGCGAAGCTTGGAAGATTAGCAAGCTGGTGCAGGAACGGTACAATTTTGGTTGTTTGTTTTCATCATCAATTACTTCACAAGTTCACATCTGATTTTACATTTTAGCCTTCCCCCTACCCTGAATATTGAATTGGAGTGAGTACAATGATTTCGTTTGTTAAGAATTTATGTTCAGTTCAGCACTCCTGCTGTAGTTCTAAAGGGCAAATGAATCAGATTCAGATGATGGGGAGGGATGGAGAGAATCTTGCTTTCAATTACCCTTTGAGGTTTCTTTTCGTTTTCCATTTGCTTTTTCTTTAAATTTATGAGTGACAAAGGTCGGGGAGAAGAACAAGAATGGCAGGGACAAAGGTCAGGTGTCAGTCAGGAGTGTCCCAGTGCGGGACTTGACACCGGTTTAATTGGGATACATTTCATTTTTTAACATTAACATCGACATAGACTTTGATATTGGTTGGTGTATCAAGATCTTCATTAATCTAATTCTTTCATTAATAAATAATTAAATTAAATTATAGATTTGAAAGTGAAATTTGAAAAGGTATATTTAATATTTAATTGATAAGTAGATTAAACGATTGATGAATAACTTGATAAACCAACCAATATCAAACTCATGTCCGTGTTAATGATAAAATGAAATGTATCCTAATCTAACCGGTGCCAAGTACCACCCAACACTTTTTTGAGAAGTAGATTAATCCTTTTTATTTATGTAGACTGATATAATGTAACAATAAACGACCAAGTATACCTTTCACTAAACCCAGACATCCAACACTTAACTTATGATTAACCAAGTTCTCTCTTTGGTCATAATCTTTCTATAGATGCTAATGCCGATTTTCCTCTACCATTCTTATCCACTAAAATGTACACTTTTGGTGGATGTAATATATTCAAATACTATTTAATTCTCTTGATTGCTTATAAAATATTGCTAGTCACATCTCACATGTTCATATAGTTATATAACCGCCATTATATGAACAATTGTGTGATTAAAATGTTCAAGAAAATTATGAACAAAAAATGTGCAATACAAAATGAACAGTTGTGGGCCTTGGGCGGCTGTCTCTATGTCATTGGAATTGTTATAATTTTCTACGCCACTGACAACATCACTCCCTTGTCGGCCCACACTCACGGGCCTTGCAATCGGCCCAGTTTATAATGTTTTTTTTTTTTTTTAAGTAAGAGGGCGCCCTGATCAATTACTGGAAAACAAGTTTCGGAAATTGGCTCCCTACAAAATCAAATAGCAGCCAGTATTTTAAGTTTTTAACAGAGGACTGGGAATTGACATCGGATGGATCCCCGATGGCAGGTTCTGTGTGAAGTATTTCATCATCTAAGTTTTCTAGAAACCAATAATTTCACAGAAACTTCCCACTCAAATCCAAATCCCTGCGTATTAATACTTTCCAAATCCACACATTACGACATTGTGACCCACGATACAATACTAGTACACTATTTAATTAATTACATCAACTAACAACTGGCCGGACGGTTGGTTGGGGATGCTGCCATGCCGGGTCGGGTTGGCCTACGTCATCATCGGTCGATCGATCGTGTGGTCGCCTTCATCGCGGTCACGGCCACGTTCCTGCTCGTGATCCGGTGATGACATCGACGGCGAAGAGTAGGCACGCAATTGGGCCAGGCCCAAACTACCGGGGAAAAGCATCGCCCGACAGAGCGGGCAGGTGACCCGACCCATGTCCACCCAATGGTCAAGGCACTCCCTGTGAAACACGTGCTCGCAATTGCACAGCTCCCTCACCTCCTCTTCTCCCATTATCCCCTCCATGCACACCGTACACGTGTTGATCTCCCTGATCTCCGCCGCCTTCCTGTGGTCGCCGGCGCCGGCTTTCTCGAGGAAAGAGGCGTAAGTGATGACCGGGAGACACCTCTTGATCACCCTCATCAGCCGGTCCACGGGGACGCACATCGGAGAGCATCCGTCTATCAACACGAAGTAGCTGTCCATTGTGGTACTAGGTTCCGACGAGGTGTCCGTCGCCGCCGGCGACTTCAGCAACCCGACCCGGGCGAGTCCGGACACCACCACCCAGCTTATGTAACTCGCCGCCATGTCAACCCAGCTCGTGATTTTCACCTCTACTTGGTGTCGGAATCCCATGCCTGCAGCCACTTCTTCACCTTTTTAGTTGTGAAAATTTGAGGGAGATGTGTTGAGCCAGAGAGAAAGAGAGGCAGAAAGTGAAAGATGGACAGAGAGAGATATGTAAATGGGAAGGCTGTATTATATATAGAAAACAGGAAAGTTCCAATTCGGCACGATTTAAGTTACTATTATTTTAACTAAAATAGTAGAGAAAGAAGCTTGATTGAATTAATTAAGAAACAAGAGCTGTAGTTCGATAACACTCTGTGATTAGTTGGGAGTCTTCATTACGAGGTGGTATCAAAATTTTGTTGAAGGGTTTATTGAAACTATGTATAATTATATTATAAAACCAATGGCCGGCCGTCTTAATATGCTTAAATTTCTAAATTCTAATTACAAGCCTTACTTTTTAAGGCTTCTGGTGACGTTAATTATACCCCAGAAGCAAAGTTATTAATTAATAGTCAAATCTATGGCGGACTACTAAGTCGCGCTAGATTTTTTTTTTTAAGAGAATCCACAATAATAGATACATGTTTGTCGTTGAACATTAATCGCAATGGTTCAATGGCATAATAGTTAGCCGCCTCCTCCTCCTTCTGTATGTTTGATTAGGAAGCTGTGTTTTGTGGGGTGAAAATAGTGTGTCGGGCCCATGGGAGGTGTTTTGAATCTTTTGATTAGCCGACTTATTGTCTTGCTAGTTGCCCGTTGCCGATCAATATTCCAAAGTTAATTAGTGGAATAGGAGATGGTGGAACTACGTGTAACTCGATATGTGTGTGTTATAGGTATCGCAATATTTGTTTCGAATAAGTTAGAGTGACTACTAGCTTTTTATTAGTCATTGTGGCAATTTATTAAGATATGTTATAAGTATCATTCTTCATTATATCTATTTTCCCTTTTTAATAGCCATTATGAACAAATAAAAAAGGATACATTACTATTGTATCAATTAAAATAGTATTAATTAAAACGATACATTACTATTTTTGAAATTAAAGTTAGAAGGAAAAAGATAAAGGGCGATTAAAAATGTAAAAATAAAACAAAATAAAAATTATTAATTTTTATTCTTTAGCTTTAGTCTCACTTAAAATTATATAGGTCTAGATCTTATTATGCATTATACATAATCAAGGGTTTGCACCCTATACTGTATAAAAAAAATTGCCTGCAAATCTTAGGGGTCGTTTGGAAGTTGCGATTGTTAAATAGATGTATTGTTGAGAATGCATGTATAATATTATACATGTATTGTCGAATTTGATTCATTGTAGAATACAACGTTTGGTATGTGTGATTGTGTATGTCGCATCAGCTAAAAACTGAGACAAAACAATCTCAACTTAACTATCTCAACAATCACAACTAAAAGTTGAGATATAACAATCACTCAAAATGAGTGATAGTTTCTGTCACATCACAGAAACAATCCATGTATTGTTCTGCTAAAAAAACAAAAAAACAATGCATTGTAAACCATACATGCATAATGACAATCTCAACAAAACAATAGCAACTTCCAAACGACCCCTTAGTAATACAGCCTACGCGACACAGCTAAAACACGTATAAGCATTAAAAACGGCCGCCCGGTGTAATATGGTTCCATACCTATATAAAATATAATATCAGACTTATCTTCCATAGGCAAATTCGTAATTATAAATTAATTAACTAATCGTTGCGGACAAACTAATGGACACTATATAATATATGTTAACGAGAAACCACAATTAACAGAGACAAACAAGTTTTGTCCATTTTTTTAGTGGTTTAATGGCATACTTAGCCGCCTTTCTCTGTGAGTTTGATTAGGAGGATGCCTTTTGTTTTGTTTTTCTCCATATTTGTGGGGAGGATAGAAGTGACTAATGTTGTGAGTTGTTTAACCCTTGTTGTGGTTTGTCTTTGATGTATTCTTCTTTTTCTTCTTCTTTCTAGATGTATTCACCTCAAGGTTGTGAGGCCGGATTAAATCATCAAATCGGTTTGATAAAAGGTTCAAGATTTAATGGTTGGATTAGGATTCAACCGGTTTAAACCGGTTTTGATGTAATTTACTAGTTGTTTAGTAACGATTGGGGGTCATTAGCCTGCAAATTCTCTCTCTTTTCCCTTCAATCAAGCCCTCTATTTTTCTTTCTTGAATTTTCACTTTTGCTGATTGTAGGAATGACAATGGGGTAAGGTCCGGTGCAGGTTTATTCGTTATTTTATTATAAGACCAAGAAAACAACACAATATTATGATAAATGTAGTTAAATTATTAGAGAAATTAAGGTTTTCACTAATTTACAACTTTCTTATAGCTAAATTATGATGTAATAAAAGAAAAATCCTAAGTAATTTGACTAAGATTACATGTAATTTAGGCAAGAACAGGTTGATAATGGGGCGGGTCAGGACAGGTCGGGTTAATGAGAGTACATATGCCCGCCCCGCCCAAAGTAGGGAAAAAAGGTCGGGTAAAACGAGTCAGGTCGAAATTGCCATCCCTAGTTGATTGGGTTTCCACTTTCTACTTCCTCCTTCTATGGTCGACTTGGTCATTCGATCTTGACCAATCCAATCCAATTGGTTGATTTGTGTTTCCATATCCTTCCTTTTATTTCTCTTTCCTACTTCTCCTTCTCCTCCTTCATCCTATGGGCGACATGGTAGATCAGATATTGCTAGCGGGATATGCGGTGGTGGATGATGCGACAGGAGATGTAGCGGCTATGACGGGAAGATGAGGGGGGCGAAAGCATAGGAAGAGAGAGGGAAGGAGGGAGGGAGGGAGAGAGAGAGAGCAGCCGGAGATGCGGTGGCAGATGTTGATAATGATAATGAGATGCGCTAGCTGTGTCGGGAAGATGAGGGGGTCGAGAAAAAGGAGGAGGATGCAGGGCCGAGGCAGCTGCGGCATCGGCCAAGTTGTGTGTCTGCTTCATCAATCCCCACCCCACCTTAGACCTTGCTAGGGTTTGTGGCTAAAATGGCGTCATTTAAGTAAATAGTGGAAAACCGTTTTAACCGGTCAGACCCCGGCTTTTATCGATTTTAACTAGCTAGTGGCTAGCTGTAAAATATGAATGGCTGGAACTGTTTTTATACCTGGTTCTGGCCTGACTCGGTTCGACCGGCCGGTCGAATAGGGGTTTGACAACCTTGATTCACCCCCATCGAAAGTATTTAAATTACCTGACTTTCTTGCCTACCTAGTTGTACCGTTGATAATCAACAATATTTTTTATTTAAAATGACTCTCGAGTGACATAGATATGTGTAATTAGAGGTGGCTTGTCGGTATCCGGTTAGCGGCCTACCGGACAGTTTAATCGTTAAATGCCGGTTAGCGGCTAAAAGAAAACCGACTATTTATATTGTCGGTTGTATGGCAGAAAGAGATAAGGGTTGTTTGGTTAGTCGAGTAATCGGAGGCAATTAACCACGGTTATCCGGTTACCGGCCCCGCTCAAATATGCCCTAAACGGTATCGTTTTTCCAATTCAAATAAAAAACCCTAACCTTATTGAAACCCTAATCATCACTCTCTCAGTCTCCCTCCCTCATCTTCCGCCTCCTCCCCCCTCCAAACCAAAACCCTTCATCAACCCCTTCCCCATTCCGCCCGCCGTCTCCCCTTCTAGACCTCGCGCCTCCGGCAACGACATCGCCCGCCGCGCCTCGCCGACTCCTCTCCTCGCCGACTTGTGCCTCGCTCCTTCCTCTTCTTCTCTAATCATCCGAACAGAGACAGAGGAAAAGACAAAATGGATGGAGGCAGGCCCCCGCCTCTCGCCCCCGCGACCTGCGCTCCTCCGCTCCGCCGGCCGGCCGCTCGCGGCTCGCCCCCTTCCTCTTCTTTTCCTTGCTGGCTTCCACAACGACTACAAAGGCGGGCAAAGACAGTATAGAGACAAGGCCATCAAGAATTCGATTACACGGCTAAGCGGGCCAAAAACCAGAAACCGAAGGTCGATTGCTCGGTTAACCGTGCTTCCCCTGTCGGTCGGTTGTCATAGCTCGCTTCGGTTACACGATAATCAAGTTTTTGTTTTTCCGTTAAACTGAAATCGACCGCCCTCCAGCTCTATGTGTAATATGGGATGAACTATAACATTTATGTATATTTGATTTTAGGTTATGTAATATGATGGAATATGATCTACCATTGTCCAAGGCTCGAGTTCAAATTCCAAAACGCTATCATGGTCTTTTTTGTATTCAACTCTCCTCGCTATTATTTTTTGACGGAATAATCCTACTCATCCTAAATTCTGACTTTGCCATTAAAAATATGGTCTATTGTCTTCATCTCGGATAATTGTAAATATATATATATATATATATATGGTGGCGTCTTCGGTGCACTCACTTTTTTGGGTGCATTCAGTGCACTCGCTTTATAACCGTTATTTTAAACATGCGATTTATGTCAAAATAATGTCAATCATCACTTATGATGCGATGAACAATAACGCACATGAATTTGCACAAAAACCATTAAAGATTTACTTTAATTTGAAGGATTTAGAGTTTAGAGATTTAGGGTTAGGGTTTATAATTTGGGATTTAGGGATAGAACTCAACATTGGAGGTCTAGAGCTTAGGGTATCCGCTAATTAGTTGTTATCATATGTTATATCATCATATTACACTAATTCTACAAATTAAAATTCAAAATCTGACACCTTAAAGGCTAGTTTTTGAGCTGGGTGCATTGAACGCACTCATTTTTTTTTGTCGAACTTTAAGAAGATGAATAACATGTTCTTGAAGGGTATGGTAGTACAACAATGAAGCTAGCTCAATACTTCACTCTGTTCATATAGGAAGGAAAGGAAGGGGAGGGTAGGAAATGGGTGGAAAGCTTTAATTTCAAGTCACATAACCCTGTTTTCTAAATTCGGAACAGTGGCAAAAGGAAGGAAATGGGGGAAAAGTTACTGTTCAACCTAAACCTCCAATTTTGAGAGAAAACCTCCACTACCCATTAATTCCTTTTTTTTTATTTGTCCTCTCTCCTCTATCTTCTTCCTTCTCCACTAGTATAATTAAATTATTTAATTATTTTATCATCAATAAAATATAATGCATATCACAATTCCCAAATCCCAATCTATTTTTTTCTCTCCCATTTTCCTCCATAAAACAACATTTTCTTTCCAATTCCCTCCAATTTCCCTCCCACCAAACTCACCCTCCCCTCTAAATTTTCCTAACCTCCCCTCCTTTTCCTCTCTTCATTCGAAACATAGTAAGAGTTTTGGTTTCCCATTGTGTCAAATATTTTACTATTCTAGCTTAGTGGCCACGGCGGCACGGCCCACAGGCACAATGAGGGACGACGTTGGGGAAATTGCGGATTATTTATTGGTGTTAACGCAATGGGCGATGATATTGTGATGTGGATAATAATTTTAGGAAATTGCAAGGGAGATTCAATGGGCGACTATAGCTAAAAGTTCATTATGCGTCAATGGCAATACACAAATTTGATAAAGTTAATATAATTTAAAATTATTTCGATACAATCTAATCAACTAGTATTATATGTCAATGCTAATTGTGACTCAAAAGGATATAAATGACTATGGGATAAGGTGCATATATAATGTTTAGTTATGTATTTGTGCATAATCAAATCAAGTCATTTAGTTATGAATCATGGTGAGAATTTTTTTTTAATGAATTTGTATATTGTTCGTTGTAACTCGATTTTTGAAATTTGTTGCACACATTGAACGAGTTCATATCATTCTATTACCATTCTGTACACCTTCATTTTTAACTCACATTTCCAACTATAAAATTATATTAGTTAATGACATTATTTCAAGACAACATTTCGTACCATCCATTACCACTCGTTACTAGTTATCACCGTATTCCACTTTATGCAACCTTCATTTTTAACTAAAAGTTTGAAATTTGTGCATAAAAGAAAAGGTTTATCATGATTTATATAATTGGATATATTTATGAGAATTTTTTTAGTACCAATTAAAAATTGATATAAAATTGAAATTTGAATTAAATGATAAATATAGCCCGTCAAACTCATTATCAATTGGTCCTATTAAAAAAAAAAAAATGGTCCTGAGTTGGAGTACTTGATAAGGCCAATCCACAGTAATGACCATTATTTTTGGGCTTACCCTTACCGTAAATGGTAGACCACCCTTCGTTATCCGGCAAAGTGAAGGAGAAAACAAGGGTTGGGGTCCAATCTAAAGCCCGAACTTCCTTCAAATTTACGGCGGAGGTTAATCTGCAAATTGATATCGATTCATCCGCAAATAACCCAATTCGTACACAGTAGGTAATTGATGTGGGTGGATTGCGAATTAGTAAATCTCTCACCCGCACTTATGTGGGTGGATGGTGGGTTAATTGCGGGTCACTCATATGACCCGCATCCTATTTTTACATGAAAAAATGTTGTTCCTTATAGTATCGAATACTCATCATATTTTCGAACTACACTACAGTCTGATCATATACTTCAAAGTGAAGAACAAATAATAGTTTTGACTACTATTATTGGTCATTGTGCTAAATATCCATTAGTTATTGGAAATTAGTATGCAGATTATTGTTAATAACCATTAAATATTGGGATGCAAACTATAAATTATTAGTTGTATCAAAATCACAAATTAATGATACAGTCTTACTAATTTTGCTTTGAACTTATTATAAATGTTAGTCAACTTTCTAAAGGGCTAGTTGAAGAATTGCTTTTACGGGTTGACCCACAACCCAACCGCATTCATCCGTCACCCACCCAATCCAACCTGCATAAATATGTGGATGAATTGCGGGTCACAATTATTTCACCCGCTAGTAAGTGAGTGAGTCAATTTGAAAGCAAAACCCACCAACCCGAACATTGTCCACACCTATTCAAATTCCTAAAATGCTAAATGTTTAATTTGTGAAAGTAGGCGTCCCAGTTGGAGAGTTTCGGGATAGGATTAGGATAGACCGGCAGGCGGCAACAACGACAGTCCCCGCCGATCAAAGAGGGCGGACGACGTTTAGTACTTTTTCCTTTTCCATAGGGATTTATCCAATCCATCGAACAGTCAGAGAAGCAGAATCAGCAAATTCCCCGGAAAACTCCAGCAGGAGAATAATCCCCTCCACCTCCTCTTTTCTTCCACTATGGCGGCTTCTATATCCACATTCAGTTCTCATCTCGATAACCCTTCTTCTTCTTCTTCTTCCACCAGCGGCGGGGCTCACGGAGATAAGCTATCTTCGTCTCTGTTTGGCGCCGGCATCAGTAGCTTGTCTTCCCACTCCCGTGGCTCTCTTCAATTCTTCCGTAGCTCACCCTCCCGTCTCTCTCCCAGGCCCCTCTCTCTGCGAGCAATGGCTCCCCCGAAACCCGCCGGCGGCAAGGCTAAGAAAGGTGAGATTATCTGTTCCCTTGGTGTCCATTTCTTCGCTACTCGTTATTTTTGTACGTATGTGGGTAATGTGACTTACTGGTTTCATCTCGTTTTCCGCCCGGCAGTGGTTGGTATCATCAAGTTGGCCCTGGAGGCAGGAAAGGCTACTCCGGCGCCTCCAGTTGGCCCAGCACTGGGTTCCAAAGGAGTCAACATTATGGCCTTCTGCAAGGATTACAATGCCCGAACTGCTGATAAAGCTGGCTATGTCATTCCTGTTGAGATTACTGTATTCGATGTCAGTTCCCCAATTCTAACTCTCTCTGGATTGTCACTTTCAAATTCCACCCAAATCAATATTGGGTCCTTAGAAGTCCTTAACCTGAATTGTTGCCAATTTGCAGGACAAGAGCTTCACTTTCATTTTGAAGACGCCCCCTGCTTCAGTTCTGTTGCTCAAGGCCGCAGGTTCCTTTCCACATCCTTTAATTCCCCCACATAGAATTTGCTGACCAGAAATGACAAACTGCGGAAAGAAAAACATTACTTGAGAATGCTTGCACAACATTTTCAGCACATTGTTACAGTTTTGCTCACTTGTTAATTGAGTCTGCTTGATTGAGTTTTACAGGATGATATGCTTTTTTTTATGGTTCATTCTAGCTTCGCTTTGTCTTCTCTTCCATTTGGGTTGGTGGTGTGTGAATTGCGACTATGGTTCAAGCATATTATCATCTTCAACTCAATGCATGTCTCATGTTTCTCTTTGAATGTTGTGAATCTTGCGCATAATAACTCATAGCACTGCCCTCCCATCTCCCATTGCATTTGGTGAGTACCATTCCATCTTCAACAGAATCATTCTCCCTTCCTTGCATTGTACTTGTCCGGTTTTCTTACTGATTTCGCTACAAGCTCATCTATGAGCGTGCTGCTGAGGTTCATAAATTAACCGTAATTTTGAGTTGTCAGTGACAGTTTGTTGTTACCTTACCTTTCTGTTTCTTGGTTAGGAGCGGAGAAAGGTTCCAAGGACCCGAAGAATGAGAAAGTGGGTATGATAACCATCGACCAACTGCGGACAATTGCTGCAGAAAAGCTGCCAGACTTGAACTGCACAAACATTGAGTCTGCAATGAGAATCATAGCGGGAACAGCAGCTAATATGGGTATTGATATTGATCCCCCTGTTCTAGAACCCAAACTGAAGGTACTAGTGTAGTAGTTCTCTGTGAGCCCTACTTGGGGACTTGTAATTGTTTTACTGTCTGTATTCAGAAGTCATTTGAGATAGGAAACCATCCGCCTGAGGCCTACAGGTGTGTGACAGAAGTAGGGAATTCATCGGAATGGCTTTGTTTAAATTTTCATTGTATGATTATAAGGAGATTTCTTGCTCGAATGCGTGCGTTAGCCATTTTTGTTAAGATACTACCTTTTCTGCCATATCCAGGTTAGCACTGTCTCTGCCACATTCAATATGTGAACAATGCCATCCTTCCCGCTCTACGATACATGAAGCTGCAAACGCAAATTGTATGGACTTTAACTCATACATGCACATTGCCAAACAGCGAGACCAGAGTATTATGTTAAGAGGAATGGCCCCAAGGGTTCACATGACAGAACTCGTTTCTTCAAAGACCGCAAATTGTCAGGTAGAATCCACCAAAAAGGCACAAAAAGAGGAACAATGGGAGGGCGAGGAGATGTGATTTTGAGTTGTGAATTCAGGAAACATTAAGGCTTTCTTCATTGGTTAGCTTTGAAGAGAGCTCTGCTGACGATTCCGGTGGCTTCAATGTAGCGGTCCACACACCTTGAGACGCAGCTGCTTTCGCTCCCACTCAGGCTTGATCCTGGCTTCGTCACGCACTTGTCGAAGCACTTCCCTCCTAGCGTCTGAAATTGGAACACCACCACCACAAATCAGGCCACCCAACTTTAGTTAAATCAAACCCAAACCCAAACCATACTCAATTGTGTTCCATCAAGAGCTAAAGTAAGCAAAACGCTGGAGATTATTGATTTCCCAATCACAAAAACCTAACATGGAAGAATTCCCATGGAAGTTCATGAATGACTGATAACTTGACTGACTGATTGAAGTTAAAAACAAGCACATCCAATCATAACTCCGGCACCAATTAGACGAATGAATAAATAAGAGGGAATCAAAGAGAGAGAGAGAGAGAGCCATGGAAGTTCTTCCATAAAATTTTATCAAATGTAAGCTGCAGTCAAACTTCGAAACGAAGAGGAACGAACTCCATCCCGACCCAGCTAATTGCAAGTAGGAAACTTTTACTGCTAGTGGGTTCATGAGGCTGAGGAAAAATCGAAGTTGTTTACCAGTAGGAAGAAGCATAACACATATAATCATAGAGAACGCGAACGGAGAAGGGAGAGATAGTAGTAGTACGGTGAAATAAAACTGAGAGAGAGAGAGAGAGAGAGAGAGAGAGAGCGAGACCTCGAGGAACTCCTGGGCATACGCCTGGGCGAGTTGAGACTTGAACTGATCCATAAATTCCTCCGTCGAAATTTTCGGATTTGATCCCTGCTGCCCTGCCATCGATGAGAAATCCATCTTCAATTGATCCCTCTTTCTCCCTCTCCCTCTCCCTCTCTGTCTCTGTTCTTCTCCTCTCTCTTCCGCTCTCTGTAGTGTAAAGCAATACCAGCGTCGTCACCACCGCTAGGTCAGGGTGTAAATAGAAGTGACTGATTGAACCCTAACCAGTCTCAGGGCTGGCCCTGCTTTCCTCCTCCATTCGAACCCAGAAGCCTGTCTTCTCCGTCGAGAAAGGCCCAATCATCTGGCCCAGTAACTCAATGGGCAGCCCACACGTATTACGGCCCGGAAAGAGGCCTCATTGGTCCATTTTGATTGTTAGTTTCGTTAGTTAGTTTAGCCGGCTATCTCTACAATTAGGCAATGTATGCTTTACTTATCATGGTAATTTAGATGTATTAATTAATACATATATAAAGCTGAGCTAATTAAATGCTACTTAATACTTATGTCTGTCTCTTTTATTAACTTCTTTACAAGTACACATCAGACATGCACGTACGATAACAAATATATACATTTACATATGGATAATCTCATAATTCAACACAGAGAAACTGAAGAAGGGAATAATAACTAAAAGCTGACGCATATATAATAGCAATACTCGATCTATATAATAATGGAATTATATGTATAATTGATCATATTAGAGCTGATACTAGCTAGGCTAGGCTAGGCTAGCTACATGAGGGAGCAGGTGGCGTTGACGTTGTCGTCGTTGAACATGTTGCTGACCTTGTCGTCGCCGCGGTGGGTGACGGGGACGTTGCCGTGGCGGTCGGCGAGGTTGTAGCCGTGGCGGTAGTAGTTGTAGCTCTCCTTGAAGTCGGCGGTGGTGTCCTTGAAATAATTGTTACTGGTGGTGAAGTAGAGCGGCGGGTTCGGGTACGGCCAGAACTCCGCCCTCTTGCCGGACCTCCGCACGGCCTTGAGCACCTTGTTCCTTTCCACGTACCCCACCACCGTCACTTTTTCCATCGCCAGCTCCACCTCCACCGAATCCACACCTGCGATCGAGCACATAGATGTCAGTTTTTATCTATCTCTATAGATAAGTTAATATATCTCTTTTCCGAAAGGATATAGACAAGTATCTTTCTCAATGGAATGTGAATGTGGTGGGTTTCTTAGTTATGAATAAAGGAATTAATGTGAATATTTATTTATTATGCAAACGTAACGTACCTCTAAGCTTGTATATGGCGTTCTTTACGACTCTTTCGCAACCACTGCAGCACATCCTGACTTTCAGCTCAACAGTCTGCATGCAATTAACGAGTTTAGTTACTTTTTACAGGTTCCATGCATAAAGGAAGAAGAAGAAGAAGGTTAGGAGAAGATGACATCAATTGTTGAACCTGGAGGGAAAGTGGGCGGGACTTGTTAGGCATGTTGTTGTTTTTGGTTCTTCGGCTGTTGCTGTTGTTGGAGGAGGATTTGATGATGGGGACGGCAGAGTGAAGACCACCGTGATCTTCTCGAAAGTGGAAGTAGCAGTAGGAGATGGCAGATATTAAGGACTTGAACGTTGCGGCGAAGATCTTGGTGCCCATAATACTTGTCCTCTGCCGGCTTCTATATATAGGCCCACCAAAGCCAAGCTATCTATAGCTCGTGCAAAGTAATACCAAACCCTTAAGGAACAGAAAGCATGCAGATTTCCTGCGGATGGAGGAGATCGATCAGATCGAATAAGAGGAATATATGTTTCCGCGGCAGAGGGGGATGAAGCTTAACAACTAATCCAAATCCCAAAAGAGGAAAAAGGGAATTAGGAAGATGGGTCGAGGAGGAGGAGGGATGAAAGGGAGTAATTAAGTAGACTGTTTAGTCACGTTTTCTATCTTATTAGTTGCAGAGGAGATTGATTCATTTGGTTTCCTTTTTCTTGCTTTTATTTGTTCGGTTCTGGTCGGGGATATATAGATAAATATAATCGGAAGTTGAGTACGTAATCGACGGTATAAGGGGAATACAAGAGATATTATATATTCGTTCCGCGTGCCATCCGCGCATCGCTTCGATCCCTTTGGATTAATTCCTTTCCGATCAAATACATAATTTTTGATTGATTTTACTGTCGGCCTTGTTGATATAATGTTATATTCTCCACCCATACAAGCATTTATAAATTAGGAGGGTGACTTAGTCTTAGAGTTTGGCTATTCAATTTTGTCGTTAATGAATAATACTGTTGGAATTAATTATGGTGAGACGGAAACAACGACCACGGCCATATCAGTGTTTGAATGCGATTAACAAAAAGCAGTCCATCTGTATAGGACAAAGTGATCGACCAATATAACAAAAACTTGTTTGTTTAGATTAGACATCACGCTTTAAAATTTTTCGTCCTGCAAAATAAAATGTCGACAACAGAACGATCAATCATCTAGTATTAAGATCGACTTCCACATGTCATATTATATAGGGATACAAATTTTTGTTAATGTAGAGACATCTTTCTTTAAAATCACAGTAGGCCAATGGAATAACGCAGTCGACCGTTTAAAGTATACAAACATATAAACAACATATTGAACGTACTATATATTCGACTCAGTTTGTTTGTCAGACTCTAAACCATCGTGATTTGGAGTTTTGAAAAAATCGCCATAAATATGTCCATAAAACAAGAGTTTTACACCCGATATTGAGACCCAGAACTATTCGTTTCCTATTATGTTCGGTTATGTATAGATGTTATTCCAGGTACTGCTGATGCTTTGATATTTTAGTGTCGACGCTCGATCGAGGTATATATGTAAATAGCAACATATAGAATAGAATAGTGCATGTGGGGATGTATGCAGTACTACTTCTTCTTTAGCCTTTTTCAGACGTGGCATTGGCATTGGCATATATCCCAAATAGGATGCACGTTGATGCCCTGTCTCTGCTGCAACTGCTTCTGCTGCTCTTTTCGTTGCAATTGCTTGCTGTGAGGGTCAAGCTACCCAGCCTATGGATGCATTATTATTATGAATAGCCCATAACCAAAACAAGGGGGGAACATAATTGGCTTTGCCTGCAGCTGATCCATACATTCCCCAAATCCTCCCTATATGATATGTCCCATCCCCTGAGGTATCGAATATATGTGTCATGTGCTCGTTTCTTAATGCCACGGGAATCATTAGATCATATTGATATAGGGTCGGACTTAAATGACCCATATACATTTTTAGTGGTTTGGTGTTTGAGTTGCGTTTCAATTGGGTCTAATTCAAATGGGTCTATTTGGATACAGATAATCGTACGCACAAAAAGAGGTAATAACCAACTATCTCATTAATGACTTTCAAGTTTCAACCCAATTACATCTTTAATGTAGGTTATTCTACCTTTCTGTTTGTTTCATAACAAAAAATAGGCCCAAAATTGCATTTGAATAGGGTATCAATTTTTTTTGAGCACCCAATTTTCTTTTGAGCGCCCCATAAACTACTTCAAGTGCAAGTGTGAAAGTGACAAGACCTTCTTTTACCCCACTCTCTCATTTTATTTATTGTCCGTTGGGTGTACATATATTACCCATTAGGTTTCTCATAGTAGTTATTATCTACTAAGTTTGTTCATTGCTTTCCCTGTTGCATCAATTATCCATTAGGTTTTCGTCTATGATCTTCCGCCCAAGTCATCGCATTGGTTCACCAATTCGCAACCCATCTCGAACCACTACGATGGGTATGGATGTGCAGTAGCGGCCGTGGCAAGACCACTACCGAAAATCCATACGAATATGCTTTGTGTTGCCGAGTTTTGTATTGGGACCGAATTTTATATTCTTTAGTGGTTTCTTATTTCTCTTTTTCTATTGGTTAAACATGACAATTGAACTCAATCTCATGGGTATCCAACCTAATTCGACTAGGTCAAAGCGACTTGAACCTGACTTTAGTAATTTTAAATTACCATTTTTTCTTTTTGTTGAGAATGATAATTGAACCCAAACCCATTGTATTGGCGAGTTTTGTATCGAGAACGCGTTTTATCCGCTTTTGTAGTTGCAAGTGGGGAAGTGGCATGTCCTTCTTTTACCTCACTCTCTCATTTTATTTATTGTCCGTTGGTTAACATCTATTGCTCATTAGGTTTCTCGTTGTAGTTATTGTCTACTAAGTTGTTCATTGCTTTCCCTGTTGCATCAATTTTCCTTTTCGTTGAGAATGACAATTGAAGCAAGACTCGGTACTGGCGAGTTTTGTATCAAGAGCGAATTTTATATGCTTTTAGAATTGGCATGTTCAGCCAAGTGTGAATCGTTAAAAACTCAGGTTCGAACTAGTGAAGGCAAGTTGAACTTGGTGTATAGAGTTTGTGGTGGGGAACGAGCTCTATCCGCTTTAGTGTTTTTTATTTATCTTTTCCCTTTGGTTGAGAACCCAAACCTATGGGTATCCAACCTAATCTAACTTGATAAAAATGACTTGAACCCGGTGTTTACAAGCTTTCAGGAAGGAGTGAGTTTTGTTCGCTTTTGTACTTTTTGGGTCGAGTTGGTTGTGAATTTGTTACAAACTCGGTTCAACCCGATCAAAGAGAGTTGAACATGATGTTGCCGAGTTTTGGGTCGTGAGAGTGTTTTATGAGCTTTAGTGTTTGTTAATTTCTCGGGCGGGAGTGAGTTTTATTCGCTTTTATAATTGTTTGGTCGGGTCGGTTGTGAATTTGTTACAAACTTGATTCAACTCGGTCAAAGAGAGTTAAACATGATGTTGTCGAGTTTGGGGTTATGAGCGAGTTTTATCCGCTTTAGTGTTTGTTAAATTTTCTTTTTCTTTTTGGTTGATAATGAACTTGATAATAATAAAAACAAAGCAAAAAGAATACAAACTATCAATGGTATTACGAGAGAAGATTTAACATAGGAATCATTTGCTCAATGTCCCTTCTCGCTTATTAAAGTTAATCATTACATCGACTACATGAAGTTGTATATGACAAGCTCTTTACGTTTTGGTCAAAATTCAAACTATTAATGTTTAAAATATCATATGTCCAATTTATATCCAAACTAAAAAGTTGATATGAATCAGCCCAAAAGTAAAATCATCCAAACCACCCATAATAAGTTGGTTTGGGCAATACCCAAATATCGATTTTTCTTACAACCCTAAATATAATAGCACCTAATTTTTTTTTATTTATAGGAAGCACCTAATTAATTGAGGACTCCTATGCTTAAAAAATTAAGGACTCCATGCTAAATATTAATTAAACCACACATCAGTTACCATTAATGTTTTTTACACGCCAATAATGTTCGGGTGGGGCTTTAAACTAATAAGCAGTAATAATGTATGTGATTACAATGATGATGATGATGGGTCGATGATATCAAATGCAATGACAGAACCACTCGTGTCATGCTTGCATGGATGCATATTCGATTTCATCAGTTAGTATATATCTAACAAGCAAGTAAGTACTGCATATTATTTATGCATGGTGGGGTGGGGCTTTAATTAATAGTGCATGAAGAATATTAGTCGATGGTTCGTCCCTTCATTATCTGCCCTTAAAAAGGGAATTTTCGATGAGTACTTATATATATTCTGATTCGCCATCGCCAAGTCTGGGCAGTGCTCTGGTAGTTGATACTCATCAATACCACGTAATTGTGGTGGATATGATATGTATATAGGAATCGACACAGTTTTTTCTTATAGTTTTTTCTGAAATGAAACCTCCATCTGGTCAGAATATATGCCCTTGCAAATAATGGAGGAGTGATGTGATATTGTTTTTATCAAGTTGAAGTAAAAGTGTGTTTGGTTGGGTTTTTAGTTTTTACCAAAAGTTGAGTTAATAGGACAAGAGATTTGGGATGATATGATAGTACTTACACAGACCTACAAAATATTTTTGCCTCGAAGAATATCATAGGAATTAGTCTATAGCATTTAGTCCGACATTAAACAGAGGATTCCAACAAAGTAGAACAAATTGGTCTGGTCGAAATAAATTTTGGCTTCATCAAATTTAGCAACCACGTCGCGATAATACAGTGAAAACATCGTTATGACGTTGGGGCCACATTATAGGCCACACTGTCTAACTCGTTCGCTCGCAGTGCTAGAGATACAATGCATCCTTAGTGCAGAGTCGTGAGCTTGTCATGCGTAGTGACATGTCGAGACAACACAGTGTAAACATCGTTATGGCATTGGGGCCAGGTTGTAGGCCACACCGTCTAGCTCGTTCGCCGTGCTAGAGATACAATGCAACTTTAGTGCAGTGTCGTGAGCTTGCCATGCGTAGTGACATGGTTGTAGCCTTAACCATACCATATGATCGTGCATAGATCAAAGGTGGACCCAGAGTTTGAGGGATACCATGAGATGAGACCATGGTTGTCACGCCGGCCGGCGTGCCACCGGTCATACCGAGTTCAACCGGTATCGGTCATAAAACCGGCGTGACATCATCGGTATGACCGGTATGATCGATATACGAATCTCTAAGTAAAATGATCTTATTTTAGAGAATTTAATTGATAAAAATTATTTTATTATTTATTTTATGAGTATAAAAGTTAAATATTGATGTTATTTGCTAGATTCAAATATAAATGTTTAGGTATTGACGTTAAATGTCATGTTTAAATATGAGTATTTATAATTTTATTTGTAATATTGATCGGCATGAATCGGCACAAACCGGTATATGCCACTGGTTGAACCATTCCACTTGCTAAACTGGCACATTGGCATAAACCGGTTTGACAACTTTGGATGAGACACTTCTAAATTTCAAAAAATATATTCAAATATGAGTCCTGTTTCTTCGGGTGAATGAGAAAATCTTTGGTTCACGTCGTTATCCATCATTCGCTAATAATCTATTTGACATTTTATTCCCAAAATTATCTGTTGTTAGATAGCGATTGGCTGCGGAACATTACACACATCTCCATAAGATAGCTCGAAAAATGAAGCCAAAACAAGCACCAAAGAAGCTGGCATTTACTTTCATCGTTACAATTTACATTAACAACCCTCCTAAATCACTAGCTAATCACAGTTAAACTCAAACCACCAAAAGATTCTAACAAAACTCTTTTTTCATTATTAATATACAACTTCTCATAACAAAAGGCAACACATAGGAAACGGCCCCGTATCAATCTATCTCCCCGTATTGATACGGTCCAATCAGTTTTACATCCTCAACAAATCGACACTATCGGAAAACGAAACCCGGCCGGTCGGCGACAACTAAAACCCCACGGCGAGACGAACGGAACGAAAACAACGGAAATTGGTGGGAAGGAAAGGGGGGGGGGAAACACTAGCTCGAAAGAAAAATTGAATCAAATTGTACAGTGGAAATTAATTAATTAACTAGTTAGAGCGTACGCCGGAGGAGGAGGAGGAGGAGGAGAAGGGGAGACGAAAGGAAGGCGGCGGAGGATGAGAAATCGAACCCGGCGGGGGAAAGGAGCGTCGTGAAGCAGGTGCTCCAGCACCCTCGCCACCACCACCGTGTACTCCTCCAGCAGCTCCGCCACCACGGCCACCAGTATCATCTCTGTGTTTCCGAGCTGATCCAAATACTCCCAAGGAAAACAAATTCTGATTCCCTCTTATCTTTTTTTTTTTTTTTCTGGGTAATTCGGAATAGATAATTTGTGATATGACTAACTATAGTCTGTTTATATACACCGAGTAGATCTGGTGTGCGATGGCTGTATCTGCCAAATTGCTTTAAAAAAAAAAAGCTTTTGATGGTAGTTTCGAGAATACCCAATTCACTTCCCACGGGCGCCACCTATTAACGATTCGTCGTCACATGATTAATTATTAATTAGTATAATCCCCTCTTACTACATTAAAAATGCCCCATTATTTGTCAAAAAGGAAATTCGGGAAGACCAACTTGCCGGAGCCTCTGACTCTGACTCTGGCGGTGGCTCCTAGAATCAACCAAACCTTAACCAAACGGCGCCCCGGAATCCCAATACCATTTTTAATTTCCACCATAAAATAATTAGCAATCACAGGTACCTCCCTCTTTCACGAATTTGTTACGTGCTACTGAAAGGAATTACGAGCTGAAAACTAGCCGTAATACTGCTATTAATTAGATCAAATCCTCGTTTCACGATTTTTCGTTTCTCTCTTCTTTGTACTATTTTGTATTTTCTCTCTAGCTGCAGCAGAATACATGGTTGCGTAAAACTGGCAGGTAGGTCAGTGGAATTGATGATTACTTTGGGTTGGGATTACTAATTCACCTTTTGAACATTATAGCAAAAACTCAAAAAAACTGAATCTGCTAATAGTATCACTTTCACTTGTTAATGAGGTTAGGTTGTGCTCCAAATCCAAATCCAAATCCAAATTTGCCGAAAAGGAGATATGTCTGCTACCTGACCTGAGTGCCTTGGCCAAAACGGCAAAATCCCGCCCCCAGTTCCCACCCGGGCCTCATCCTTATCCCATTGCATTGCATGCATCATCTTCTTAGCTTTTCCTCTTTCCATCCATATTTCAGTGGGGGTGTATGCTTTCTAGTTTCTAGTTTCCAAATTTGATCAAATCTAAACTATTAGTTGGGTTCCATATAATGCTCCTATTACATTTTTTTGTTGTGGTTTACAGGAGTTAAGGCGGTTTGTAGAACAGAGTGCTTATAGACATTTTAGTCCACTTATGAAATCTTACATAAATCAAACATATTCAATTCAAATCCTTGATTTTTTTCCCGGGTAGAAGACCTGTATACATTCGACGATTGGTACCTGCTGATAGGGATGGCAATTTGGTCCAGGACTGTTTGGTTTTACTCGAAACCAGACCGTATAATCCAGACAGGGACCGGACTGGGACCGGATAGCAAACAATCCAATCTCATATTCGAGCTTAGATTTGAGGTGAAAAACCCGGATAAAGAACGGATAAGAGACCCCAACACTCAAATCCCCACAAGCTCAATCTAAAATCAAAATCAAATTGGGACCAGACCGGACCGGATCAAGACCGGAGTGTATCCAATCCAATTTTTGGTCCTTATATTCCCGAAAAGACCAGACTGGGACCGGATCAATTTGGTCCAATTTAACCGGACCGTATAGCCACCCCTACCTGCTGAGGTTGTGTGACTACTATTTAGTTTGTTAACATTTCGTGCCATACAATTTGTTAGTACTTGAACTATTACATGTAAATATTATAATTTTAAGTGTCGAAATTATCTTGTAACACCGGAACAAGCTGGAACTTAGAGAACAAACTTATGAGTTATGATGCTTATCGGACAAGGAATACTTGCACATAACCAAGTGAGGCGAGTCAGATAGTGCAAGATCCCTAGTTAAACTTGATATACACACATTTATTCATTCTAAAGCTGATCAGTCAGTCTACAACCATAAAGATCTTTAGATTGTCAAGTCGGAATCATCAAAGAAAGAACAACAAAACCCCGAGAAAACTAGTCAACTGTCGACGGGTCCTAAAACACAACATCATCTGTTTTGGACTAAACCATACTATACTATGCCCTGCTGCATCAAATCCACATCTTACCACTACAAATCACAAAAGCAAACTACTACATTGACTATGGGCCTCGCTAGACTGCAACAACGTCCACACTGACTTCCTTAACAGGCTCCTGGCTTCCCCCTCCCAGGCCAGCATATACCATCATGACCACAGGCATCTGCATATCCCAACCAAACCCACAGCCAAAAACAGGACTCCAGATACACCAATCACCCAGGCTGATCTAAACCCACCCTTCCCGTAAGTCACAGAAACTGAACCTGCATTTGCGTCTCCCGGGGAACCATTCTCGCCATCCAGCTCACCATTCCCTTTCACCCTCTGCCTCAACTTCACATTCCTCCTGCTGCTATTGCTCTTGTCAAAATCACCGCCTTCTTTCAGTTGCTCATCAGTAGTCACATCTTGGTCCTGAAATCGACACTTAATGCACTAAGTGAATTTGAAACAACTCAACTAATAATATAGTTTCATATTAGATATATCTATAGCTGCAGGATGGGAAGTTGGTACTCTAGTGGGTAAGAGGTTTACCTCGGTCAATGTTGATTGCACTTCATCTTCATCCTCCACGGAGCATGTGTCTTTCGTTTGGGCAGTTTCACTTTGCCCTGTTGAAAGTTTCGCCTGCAGACGTAGTCTCCTTGGAGCAATACCCTGACCGGAGAAGTTGTCTGACGATGATCGAACTTGGGGTTGCCGTGTTCTAATCTTGATTCCAGTACTCCCCCCAACTCCATTGCTAAAGCTTACAGAGTTCTCTACTGGGTGGAACATTCCAAAGGATGTGGTTGTTGTAGAGTCAGCACCACGAGCAGCAGCTTGCCTCATAAAACCATCTCCGAGGTCAACAACGTTTCTGCTTCCAACTTCCCTATCAAAGAATGGTGTTTGTGCGCCAAAAGACCCAAAAGACGGTTGCATCTGCAAAATTTAACCACAATCAGAGAGACATTTTACCTTAGAAGTTCCTGCAGTGTTCCAAACTAACCAATATAGACACAAAGGGCGAAGAGCAAGCATGTAAGTAAACAAAAGGTGAAGTAAGATAACAAATCAATAAATAAAATTCAACAGTAGGAAGAGAACATGTAAATCTCTATCAATCCAAAGGCCTCGTGGGTTCACCTGTGCTTGAGTCATTTTTGCACCAACATCGTTGTATGCATGATTACCGTCCATCACATGGAAGTTATCGAGTGGTAAGCCTGGTTTCTTCTCACTGGAGGCTTCCTCACAAGACCACTCATCGTTACCATTGAACACCTCATCCAACAAATCAGTGAGTGATACATCTTGTTCACTTGTGCCATCCTGAAAATGGAGTCCATTAAGGTCGTCACCGAAGTCATTGGCATACTGTGAGTCAAAGTTAAGTCCTAGGTCCCCATAAGGATGTGGCTGCATTGGGGAGAACACGTTAAAATCGCCCCTGCCATATGTGAGCTCATCAGGAAGAGAACTTCCATCCATCACCAATCCATTTCCCTAAAACAAACGCATTGCAAATAAAGTAAGCTATTGTTGTTGAAAACATTGGAAGAAAGAAAGTAAAAACGAGACCACATACAAACTCCACCTCCTCAGCATTTGTGTCAGCTCCATGATCTTCCACATCTGAATTCATAAGGCTATTGTTGCAGCTGCTATCAGTAGCAGGTACCAAAGCAGTAGGGGTCATGTTATCGCACGAAGCATCCGACTGTTTCCCCACCCGGAAAAAAGATGTCGCCGTCTCTTGAACCACATCGGACGATGTATCCTCAGGGGAAGACTTGGTAGTGGTAGGAGAATAACCAGTTTGCTCCACTTCATCATACTTCACAACATTGATCTTCTCCTCCGACTTCCGGAACAAGCGACAAAGGACAAACGGACTCTGACAGTAGGACAAATAAAAAGAAAGGAACTTCAGAGAAACATCTACAAGTGAACTGCAGCCCACGTAACAAAACTACACAAACAAAGAAGAGGGAGCTAAGAAGGAAGACCTGGCCGGGTGCTGTCCCATCAAGATCTTTCTCAGTAGGACGGTACTCGTGCATAATCCAGTGAGTGCGCTCGCCCTTGGGGGCACGGCCCCTGTAAAACACCAAGGTCTTCTTCATACCAATGGAGACTGGGTGGAAGCCGGGCTTTCTAGACTTGATAGTACGGTCCTTGCCCGTGGCTTTCCAGTAGCCAGCTTCAGTTGCCCTGTTTGAACGATGCCCATTTGGGTACTTGCGGTCGCGGGGGCAGAAGAAGAACCACTCTGGATCATCCGTCTTGATCACGGATAGACCTACAAGAACATGATCGGGACAGAGAGTGAAGAAAATTGAGCAGTCAGCAACTTACACTTAAAACTCTGTAGGGTAAATAGTTGGCAAGGAAGAATCTGCTGAGCTATGTATAGCGAAATTTATTCCCACCCACCAACCACAGAACGCATAAAGAGCAGGAATCATTCGATTTCCCCTTCGCATCAATTGACATAGATAAAAAAGGGGATAAAGAAAGAGAACGAACCAGGAAGATCCCAGGGCTCCCATTTGCAAACATCTATTTCAGGGATGACCTCGACCTCGGAATCACGGCCGTTGATCTTCAACCTAAGATAGTGATTGACGAGTTCTTCGTCAGTAGGCCGGAATCGAAACCCCAGCGGCAGCGACTGCATCGACATCACCGCCATTTTCATTTCTTCTCCCTCCAGTCTAAGACCACCGGGGCTATTATCTTCGGCCAGAAGTCGTAAGAGTAGAAATCTTTGCACGCACGGATCTCTGCCAGCCAAGAGAGCAGGTGAAGCGAATTGTGTGCGAGAGCTTGAATTGAGTTAGGTTTTGGGGTGGGATGAGGATGGAAATTGGGAAATTGGGAAAGGGCAAAAGCGAAACCGGAGCCACTGAGGGGGAAAGCAAAAGAGAAGAGAAGGGATGGAGGAATGGCTGTCGAAGTGTCAATTGTCAAACTCTACGGCTAGGCAGCGGCCAACACTAGCACACGAGTCTTATTGATTAAGTTAAGGGGTAAAATAAATAATAACTAAGAAAATAATTGCCGGAAAAGGGAGAAGGTACAGTGGCAATGGCGCGTGAGTGTCGCGTTTAACACACGTGTCTGTCAGTTGCCGTCGTTTCTTTCTGTATCTTATTTGCGGCCTCCGCCTTCCGGTTTAGCCGCAGACTTGTCTACTCTTTCTTGTTTGTTTCCTACTGGACTCTCCAACGTGGCAGCCACGTCCTACTAACTAAACCCAGACGTTCTATTCTTTTTTTTTACATGGATAACTGAGAAGAGAAAATAGGTATAACCAAAGCCAATTTCACTAATCAGAAGACCACAGTTTACTTTTCTTTATCAGATGCATTCTGCTGATTATGTCACCTGTACCTTTTCCACTTCTTTTGCCTTTTTCTTTATCTCCGAGAACCGAGTTTCAACTGGTGCAAGGCGCCACCGACCCCAGTTCCAAATGAGACAACGAACTTAAGCCGCCATAATGTCAGTCATATACTCCACAACAATACAAACCTCTCATTCATACTAAAAATAGACAACGAACCGCCCTTAATTCAGCTTGCTCTTCAGGACCTTCCCCTTTCATCCATGAGAGACCTGTTTCAAGTTACATTATAGAGGTTGAGAGTTGAGACCCAGAATTCTAACAAGCACACAGTGAAAGTGTTGTTATGCATGCACATTACCAAAAACATTCTATTAACTTATCAGAGGGAAAAGAACATTGAACAAATGAGCAACCCTGCTGTATTCCTAATTCCATCTCTGCTATGAAAACGAGTTCTATAATGAACATTGAGAACAAAGAATGCTAACTGGCCGTTTATTGAAAGTAATAATCAATGTCCTAGCGAAAAGAAGACCAGCTTCACAATCTTGGCTGTTTCATCATTTACAAGGGCTTGTTCCCCAGTTGACCACCATCGCCTTTCACTGGAGCAGCCACACTCAGATTCGGGATGAGTAGTGGTGGTGCTCAAAGCATAAACAACAGATAGCATGCACGCCAGTTTCCCCTAACTATATATAGTTATATACACTGGAAAGGATGTAACAGCCGGTCCATCTGGTTCTGTGTTTCTTCTCTGTACAGGGGCCTAAGTGCTCTATAATGTGGGATGATACCCGAGGTTCACATTCGCATCAACCCTGTGAACTGCTCTCCTGAAACTCCATTCATGGCAGAATTCCAGAGCCAACCGAAGTGCTGTTCCAAGTCCAAGCAGAACAATCACTCCTGCATGTATAACCATAGCTTATGAAAAAGTTCCATAGTTCAGCAACCCTGCAAATTAATCACACCGAACTGTTCTTCTTACCAATTATTACGTTGACAGGTAGAGCAGAAACTCCAAGAGTGATGGAGATCAGCACGTCCAACAAGAGGCCACCGATAAGAATCGAGAATGCCACCCAAAGAGGACTAAAACAACCCTGTTCCCAAAACGATATCACTGCAATTTCATACTGAAAGAATGAATGAGCACCGAATGCAGAAAGAACGAAAGAAGAGAGGAGATTAACCCCCCACCACATACCCTTTCCCTGTCTCGAGGTCTGTGACTTGGATCAAGTCTCCACACCCAGTAGTTTGTCTGCTGCAAACAACACAACCTTCAGTTTCTTTGTAACATAGTTTTTTAGGCTACACAAAACTAAACGAACTGGGAATCTTAGGCATTAGCAGAAAGATCACAATGACTACCAATGGACGCTTTTGACAGACTACAGGCTTATGTCTACTTTTAGCGATTGTAAAGTTCACTCTATGAACTTTGGCATAGTTATAAGCTACACACAATCAGTGGCCAATGAAACAAATCCAAGGGAGGTATATGCACATTTCAGCCCGAGAAACAGTGCTACTCTACACAAAGGAAATCCACATTACAGGCTTTATCAATTGCAGGGGGCATCGAATACCTACACTTGGTTGAGATTCTGGAGGGGGCACATTGACTGCAATATCTCTGTAACATAAAATAAAAGGAGAACATCACGGGTGACACCGTTGCATAGGAATTTGTTTGTTCACTTCAATCGAGAAATGGATTGAGATCAGAGAATTATCGACTTACTGGCATATCTCGCACTTATTTGATCCCCTCGTCCGGAACCAAGCATCGATGCATGAACGGTGGGATTTAGCAAGCCCCCCTTTACATTTGCACCCCAAATCAATGAGAACTTCTTCCTTCTCTTGCTGACACACTCTTTGAGGTAAAGCAATTTCAAAAAAGAATCTCAGTCAACTACAGGCAGTGCAAACCGCTTTGCTCTTATCAAACTAGGCTTGTTGCAGTTATCGTGCAAAAACAGGCAATCAAAAGAAGCTACATCAAGGACATATATATATACCTGCACTGTTCATGAGAACTTGGATCCCTAGAGAGAGAGGGCTTCGTGGGAGGCTCCGGAGCAGAGGGCAAAGGCGACTCATCCTCCTCATTAACTACCACCACCACACAGCTAGGTTGAGAAGTGGCAACAGAGGGCGCAGAGCAAAATGCCGGCTTTGCTACTTCCTTTACTTCTACAGTAGAGTTGGAATGGAGATCAACGTCTTGCACCTCCAGATGGAGGTCTGCGGCAGGTTGAAGCGGAGAATTAGCAGAGCGCTGCTCATCTTCAACCTTGTTAGGCAAATGCTTCTGCATCTGATCCATCACAATAAGATTACAAGAACGGAATCAGAATTCAGCAAGGAAATGAAGAACTTGGTATCATGAAAGGAAAAAAGAAACCCTAGAACTCAGTGACAGAGGAAGACGATTGGTAGCTGGATATCAGCCGGGCTTCCAAGACCAGGCCGGCAGAATAACACCTGGCGGGGAGAGAAAACCCGACCTCGGCGCTAGTTTTTCGGCAATTCGATGGAAGAAATGACAGGGACTTTTTGCGGCGGAATTGGCAGGGGAGGAATTATGTGGATGTTGTTTTGAACTGCCTGGTTGAGTAATTCGGCGGCAATATCGGTTGGGCATTTGGATAACAGCAGTAGAATCGAAACGCAATGGAAAATACTAAGAGCTAGCAAGAAGGCAATAGAAGAAGCAAGCTTGGTTTCGCGTGAAGCAGCCATCATCGCCCATTGCGGCAGAGAAGGGCTAAAACTGGAAACCCCAGTACAGAACAGAACGGAAGATGGGAAAAGAAAGGAACGCAAAGACTAAGAAGCTAACCTGAAGAAGGTAGGTTTGGAGGATGAAGGAAGAGACTTTTTCCGTCTGACTGTCGTGTTGACGTTGGATTTGGGACTCTGTTGTGAGGGGAGTTCGGAAAATTTAGGAATGGAGTTGCAGGCGGCGGTTGTTGCTCCAGTTGCAGTAGTAGTTGATGTTGGATTGGATGGACGGATGTGGAATTGTCAATTGTGGTATGTGGATATTATCATAGTAATTGAATTTTTTTAACATATTTTCAAGGAAAACAACTAAATAAGAAATATACAAAATCTTTGCAGATAAGATCATATAAAAAAGAAAATAGGTTAGTTGTAAACAATAAAATCAAAAAATTAAAAGAGTTGTTTTGTCATGATATGAGCATACTTAATATACTTACAAGGTCTTTATGAACAACTAGAACTTAAATGAGTAGAGTGAAATCGAGTTTTGACCTTGCTTGGGCTCGACTCGTTAATAAACGAGTCGAGTTTGAGCTCAGTTAGTTTACTAAAACCATTATTTGTGTTTGACACTTTGACTTGAGCTCGGCTCATTAACGAGCTCACGAGCGGCGCTCGAGCAATCTACGTTACATAATTTATCTTTTAAATTACAAATGAGACATTTGATCACGTGCTCTAATTCTTAAACATCATATGAAGTGAGATATATAATATAACAAGTATATGAATTATCAACAAGTCAATGATGTGTTATTAATCGATTTGCTCATAAATGGCTACTTGAGGTAGGTCGCTTGCCATACTATCGAGTCTGCTGATAGTTCAAAACAAGCTAGCTCCCGAATTAAACTCAACAGCCCACCAACTCGAGCTGGCTCACGAGTCTTATTAGCCGAATAAAGCTTATCTCAAACTTAACTCGGTAATCAACTAACCAAATATCAAACAAGTTTTTTCTAAACAGAAGATGGAGTAAGCAGTGGAACAAATTCGTATTATATGTTTCCCTTACTTAATTGTGACCCCATTAAATAAAACAAGTCTTGGTTTCTTGTGTGTATTGTGAGGGCGGTTGGGTTCCTTTCCTTTGTTTTTGGCGATTAGATCTTGTCTGAAAAAGAGAGAAATAAAGATCTACAAATTTACAAGGAAATTTGTCTACAATGCAAACAAAAAACAAAGTCAAACCCCGAAAGAATTCGAAATGACAAGATCAAAGCCAAAACGATCACCAAATGAGCCACTTTGAAACCATTACTTACACCCAACGAAACCAAAAGGATCCCTCCCTGCCACCAAACCAAAATGCAGAACAGCTGTCGTCGTCCAAGTCCAAAACAAACAAAACCACCATCTCGTCCTCCATGGATGTAGCCACATCAAAGAAACCTTGCATAAGAGTGGAAGACGTTGCATCCCCCTCAAGCTGAAACCCTACAACCAACTCTTCCTTCTCATCCATTCTACAAAGGCTCTTGATTGACAATTCGAGAGGTATATCTGAAAACAAGACAAACGCATCACAACACATGACAAATAGGGGTAAACGCAACCCACAATTCTGAAGCACAAGCAAAAGAACTGAACAATCACCAACACAACATATCCAACACAGAAACATCAACCTACTGCAAGCAGTGAAAGAAGAACACAATAAACAACAGAATGAAATGAACAAACAATAGCTACAAAAACTACTACAATAAAGAGACGCACAAACAAGAAAAAAGAATGGTTAAGTCTATAACCTAGACCTTTGAAAAGATTGGAACGCCAGAGCCGAACCAAAGCCCCAACAAGTCCATGAAGGAAAAGTGAGAATGAACACTGAACACGAAAAGGAAAGGAAAACACGAAACCCAGAAATATAGAATGAAAAAATTGAACAAACAACAAGCACGAACAAGATCTATATGCGTGAGGGATACACACGACTTCCTTAGATGATTGGAACGGGGTGATGGTGGCGACTGAATATGCATGATCTCCAAACCGATTGAGACGAGAACCATTCCAACACCAATCACGTGCAACAAAACCGAAATTAGTCAACCATACATGCGTGGGTGATGCCCATAGGCCATAGCTACTAAATTACCCACAAAGCAGGTCTGGATCAAGTGGCAATGGAGAATTGCCCCATCGTCGGCAACTGCGCACCGGGAAGCACCTCCACCCACCGAAGCCGAAGTTATGGGCCGACCTTGTCCCCTGGTTGTTCAGTCTCACCTTTCTTATTTTGGGCCGAGCCCACCATTTCATATCTCCCCGCCCAGCTCCTCCCTCTCGGCCCAATTAATAATGACCATATCTTACATCCGATATCACTCACACTCAGTAAAGGGCAGAGAGAGGGAGACAGAGAGCTAGCTGCTCAACTCAAGTGATCCCTTTCTCCAGTCCCCAGCAAAGAAGAGCACAGAATAAATCCTTCGCATTTCACTCCAAGTCAAGTCATTCCCACACCTCTCTTTCTTTTCCCTCCTTAAATATGGCTGAAACTTATTCCAGCTGCAACGCCATCAATCAAAGGGCAGCCATTCCCCCCCAAATCCCAATTTCCCACACTAACATAATCAACCAATCATGGTGCCAGCAGCAGGTGGGCCGCCGACCAGCCAAAAGCCTCTGGATCGCCACGTCAGGGACATGGTCAACACCATCACCAACCGCGTCTCCGGCATCCCCACCGGCGGCGGCCACACTGTCGCGGCCGGGGACGACGATGCCGAATCGCAGCAGCAGCAACATGGAGTGAGGGTGGTGACACTCGCCGGGACAAACACCGGAGCCACCATGCGGGGCCGCTTGGACGATCAAGACCGCAATGCGAGGCCCCATCACCATTACTACTCTTCCCTCAACAAGGGCAAGGGAAAGAGCGACGAGGCGAGCAATGCTAATGATTTGAAGGATGCGGCGGAGGAAGACGACGACGAGGAGGAGGGTGTTGGGACTTACGTGAACAGCAACTTCCAGGCCGTGAATAACTCCATCATGTTCGACAGCCACTACAACACCAACGACCCCGGCGTCCATATGGACATCTCCGACCACCACCACCCCCGCCACCTTCCACTGCACCGCGGCGGTGACAGGCTTGGAAACAGGAGGGGGAAGAAGAACATTGTGGACGGTGGTGACGAGGAACGCTTCAGAAGTCGTCGTCATGAGCGAGGATCTGATGACGACGACGGATTCTTCTGATTCATCACTATATCCACCTGCGGGAATGGTAATAATTATAAAGCATCAGCCTTCCAAACTGCGGTCTATATATCTAGTTACTCCAATTGCTTGCGTTCTACGGTTGGTAATAATCCGATCAGTTTCATGATCGATATGCAGGCATAGCTCGATATCGATACCTTTGCTATATGTACTTTGATTCTGCTGCCGTGTAATATTTACAATGATATTGCCTTTCCATTTCTTTTCCTTTCAGTATTCTATATATTATTGGTACAAATACAATGGTGTCACCAAATGAACCATCTTCCGTTCATTTAAATTTTAAACCAACCACCTGCACAAGTTTGAAAAATGAACAATTACAAAACCCGAGTCGAGGAACAAAGGGGAAAGGAGACGAAAGGTATACCAATTCAAAAGCTCCCAGAAACTTCACTTCAGAACAAAAGCGACCTGGAAGAAAGGATAGCAACAGGTAAGCAGAAACAAGAAACAAGCCCACTATTGTTTGCGAGGTAGCAGTAGTATACTATACAACTTCGAAGCCATCCAATCTTATATAGCAAACCCTCCAAACCCCAATTATTAATCATCATGAGCCTCAGCAAACATTTTCTTCTTCTTCTTCCTCCTCGACAAGCCTGTACGTGCTGAAATGCTCGACCTTGAACTTCCATTCTCCCTTCGGTGCATCATACGACACGAATTCAGCACCTTGCTCCTTAGTCTTCCTCTTCAGCTGCTCGCTGTATTTTAGAGCCCTTGGCCCTTCTGTCAACACCTGCTTGGTAGCTTTGTCGACGTACCTTATGTTCAGAAGGGTGACTTCAGCAGGCTTATTCAGACCTTGTCCCACAGGTGGCTTCTTCTCTTCGTCCATGTACACAATCACCTCCCTAGTGTTGAACTGAACGAGGGAGTCCAGATCAAGCCCCCGCACGTCCGTCTCACCCAGAAACTTGATGCTTCCATAGCCTTGTCGGCCAACCACGAAGTCCCTAACACGGCGGCAGTAACCCGGTTCGGCCCTTTCTTTAGCCGCCAGTTCTTGGATGCGCGGCTCTGTGTAATAGTCGGGACGGCGGAGTTTCGGCATTTGTGCCTCGATATCTGCTCCATGCTCATACACTATTGCCGCTTCTCCAGCTCTGTGACCATTGATAGGCCTCTTGTTGTCTGATTCATCCTTCAGGCTGGAATGATCTTCGTGATGAACTCTTCCATTGAGTTTCTGATTCGGTTCCACATGCTCCTTGTTGCCAACACCATTTTCACCCGCCGGGCTCTCTGTTCATACACAGAAGAAAAAACCATTCTTAATACCTCACAAAAACACATGAACAGTCAAAAAAAATTTATTATGTAGCTGATTTTGTTCATCTCTGCAATCTCCAGTCAACAATCAAACAAAGACAAAACTACAGAATCCAATACTGCTACATTCTTATTTTTCTTTGCATAGGAGCATTTCATTTCATCCCCACATTTTTGCAATCCCGTGTTCAATATTTCATAAGATGAAACCATGAGACTCGGGAGTGGAGAAGTGATGCATCAATTTTGAATATAAAAATTCAAGGGGCAGGGAATGGATCCACTCACTATCTTTGCCATTGGCCTTGTTGGTACCATTCAAGGAAGATACATCATCTCCATCCATTGCTACTTCTGGAACTTTACCTATAGATACAAAATCATCAGTCTAAATTGAGAAGAGAACAAACGAAGAACCAAGAGAGATTAAGAGAAAAAGAGTAAATTAACCCTACGAAACAGTATAAAGAGCACACTTCACGGAGAGAGAGGTCGACAGGAAAGGAGTCAGAAACTTGCCATTTTGATGCACATCCCTAACCGGAGACACTTTGTCCACACCAGCTCTCGACGGCCATTGATCTACAGGGCGAATTACCAAAGCTCTTGGGTTTTCCCTAGGAACAAAAAGGGCATCCGCCTTGGGTGTGCTGGGAGATTCATCCTCATCACTGAAAAACGGAACCTGAAAGCAGCAAAATTATACCCAAGGAATTCAGTGATTAGATATTTTGACTATCCGAGAACAAGTTATTAAGCATGCTCAGGGCTAAGAGCCATTACGATACCTTTGGACCATCATGTTTGGGATAATATTTCCTTGCAGGCATCTTAATCCGCCTTTGCAACAGGTGTCGAGAAGTCAATAAGGAGGATACTCTGACAGGTGCAGGTTTGTCAACAACCTGAAGCCAGAACGAATCATGGTTGGTACAAACACAACGAATAATAAAGTGGCAGGTGTCAAACACCAGGATAACACTATAGCACCAGTATACAGCACAAAACAGAAACAGTGAATAAAAAAATATCCAATCACAAGATATCCAAATTCAGTAACACGTACAGGCAAGCTTGAGATCCCATACTGCACAGAAGGTGTAGTTCCAGCTCTATTAATAGATATCTGAGGCATTGCTGGGAGAGTGCCAAAAGGATTGGTCATAGGTGCTGGAAGTACAGCAGCAGAGCTCTGTCCAATAGACCTGCAAAAGTCAAAGACGGACCGGCCTTAATTTACATAGTGAAAATAAACAGAATTAATTGCTGAAGTTGCATAACTTAGTGTAATTAAGAAACAGAATCAATTGCCACAGTTGCATAACTGATGTGGAGACAACTTAAAACACGTCTCAAATTAGAGTACTTGGTACATCCCAGAATGTATGAGCAAATCTGATAACTTGGACGTACGCCAATAATAAAAGTAAGTTTATAGATAAATCCAAAAAAAGGCGAGGCACATACTGTTGTCCATAATTGTTCTGACCAGATGTGTTGGCAAACAAACTTGCGCCACCTGCAAGAAGAGCGGCTCGAACATAAATATTTCAGCACTAAGAACTAAAACCCCTTCAATATATGGGTGGGAAATGGGGATGGGGGAATGCAAGCATGCATAAATATACAATTTCCATACCTTGAGACTGGCCAAAGTTACCAAAGCTAGATTGAGGCAATTGAAAAGGTGTCGAACTAGAGACCTGTGAATAAAAATACTTAGCAGCGTATACCAGCACAAAAAGTACACACCCTGCCCACTCATATCTCGGGGCAATACTTGTTTTGGGGCAGAATAGAAACACTTCAATGGTATAAACCTAACAACAGGAAAAACACATTAGAATTACTCACTGGGTTGGTTGAGGGAAATAAAGAAGGTGTGCTTGAGAAAAGGCTTCCTTGAAGCGAGGTTCCTGAGGTATTGAAAGCATTTGAAGGACCAAATGGAGAGGTAGAACTCGGTCCAAAGGCAGAAGTAGCTGGTCCAAAACCAGAACCTGTTTGTGAAAGCGAAGGTGTGGTCGATTGAAACAATGTAGAGGAGCTATTGGGAAAAGCCATGGTAGGGTTGAATGCTGAGGTTGTTCCCTGGGCACTGGATGTAAACAGGGATGGCGTGGAAGCGAAACTTGATGAGCTTGATGGGCCAAAAAGAGATGGAGATGAGGAGGCAAATGGACCACTTGATGAGGATGGAAAGGATGTCGACTGAAAAGGGTTAGCTGCCGTAGGAGCACTAAAAGGTGAAGAACTGAAAGCTGAGGTAGCTGGTGGAGCAAAAGCCTTTGGAGCAAATGGATTAGACGCCGTCGTCGAAGAAAAAGGATTAGGAGAAGTTTGAGGGAATGTAGATGTTGGAGCAAACGGGTTTGATTGTGCTGCTGGTGCATTAAAACTGATAGCGCCAGGTTGTTGCCCAGAGGAAGGACCGCCTGCAATACAAATTATAAAAGATACATGGATTGACTCCAATATAACAAAAATAAAAATCCATATTCTTTGTGCTTTTGGTAAATCACCTTTGTCTCCCGATTGATAATCCTCCCATCGTAACTCCTCGTGGCTTTTCTCTTTGTAGGCAGGCATGGCAGATATCGACTCTAACTTCCCAGGCTGCCCCCCTGTACCAGTGGTTTCTGTGTCAGGAGTTGCTGTGTAGGGCACTGCCCTACTTCCGCCACGCTGCGTACCAAAAGGTGCTTGCCCAAAGCCTGAGCTTGCAAATGTTGGTGTTGTTGCCTGGGACCCTGATAACACCACATAAGACGAATAGAACATTGTTTTTTTAAGTTACTATAATACCATGCACGTAAACCATTATAAGAATGTTGAATACTAAGCAAATTAACCATAAATCAGGTTTCATAGACCCACCAAACCCAGAACTCTGTGCTCCAAATGGGCTGCTTCCAAATGCAGAAGTCGACTGACCGAAAGCTGAATTGGATGCAAAGGTAAATGATGGAGTGCTAGATGCACCAAAAGTTTGAGCACTGGAAGCCCCAAATGCAGGAGTGCTTGCAGCCCCAAAAGCAGAAGATGAAGCACCAAAAGACGGGTTGCTTGAGGAGCCAAAAACTGAAGTATTTGAAGATCCAAAACCTGGGGTACTAGACACACCAAAGGCTGCTCCTGTGCTACCAAAAGCTGGGCTCGCTGTTGATCCAAAAGCTGGAGTACTTGTCGCACCAAACGCAGGAGTGCTTTGAGCACCAAAAGCTGGGGTGCTTGTTGAACCAAAAGCAGGGGTGCTTGTCGAGCCAAAGGCAGGCGTGCTGGTACCACCGAATCCAGGCTGAGAGCCTGCCCCAAAAGGTGTCGTGGAACCAAACAAACTATTCCCGAACGCAGGTTGGGATTGTTGGTTAGTGCCTCCAAATGCATTAGGAGTTGTACTCGACCCAAATCCTCCAAAGGCGGGCTTTTGACCGAACACAGATGACCCTGCATCAAGAACAATGGATTGCCACGATAAAAATCAGACTGCACCAAACATGATCAAAACAACAATACAAACAAATTGGATAAACACAAGTGCAGCAGTTGCTCATAGGTCTTGCATTTAAGACCACTAAATAAACAAATAATTAGGCAAGTTAGACAACCAAGGATAAGTAACAACGAAGATAGAAATATGGAATCAATGGAGAACATCATATCCGGTGATCCAATGGATTCCCATTTAATGAAAGGATGAGAAATGAAAAGCACAGAGAAGATGAGAAACAAAATCAACAGAAAAGTGGGAAGATGCAGATGTGCACTGCCCTAGATTGCTATGCCATATAACTTCAACAAGGCTTGACACAGCCTCATTTGCTTGGATATGAGACGATGAAGCAGAGAAAACCATTGAAAAACAAGGTAAAACAATAAATCATAAGCTCAAACAGAAAAAAAAGCTGAGAACAACCAATCGTCTTTTTGCAGAGAAACAAGAAGCAGGACACGAATGGGATGGGCTTAGAATACAAAACTATACTTACCACCAAATGATGACGAAGAACTATTGAACGCAGGAGTGCTAGATGCTCCAAAAGCAGGCATTGAGCTCCCGAAAGCTGGAGATGACGAGGCCCCGAATGTTGTTGTAGATGGGAAAGGTGAGGAAGCTTGGGGTGTGCCGAACATACCCGTTGAAGTTCCCCCAAACATGGAAGTGCCAGTCTGGGAACCAAAAGGGGTTGGACTACCAAAGGGTTTGGGTGCAAAAGGATTACTGGTTGGAGCACTTGTCTGGCCAAAGCCAGTTGACCCAAAAGGGCTACTTGATGTCTGTCCAAAAGCTGGTAAATAACAGAGATCATGAAAATGTGTAATTGATAAGAAACACCAACTAGAGACAAAAATCCCTAAAACTAGACGAATATAAGAAACAGTTCCAACTGCAACTGAACTCAGCACAGATGTCAGTCGGATTCCACATCTTCAGTGGTGCAAATTTACTTTTGGGGTTCTTGTGAGGATGGGGGAGGTAGCAAATTCAGATCACAAATCACACTGCTGACCCATTGATTCGATAACAATCAATCCTCCCGACACGGGCAATCTCAGCACAAATTTAATATATAATGCAGAAAATGCATCAATACTGGCAGACAAAATTTAACACGAAGCTCCAAAAATTTAAAACAAGCTGAATTGCCTCAACCATCGCGGTAGTTTGAATGAGAAATAGTAATAGAACAGCCAATGCAAGTCCAAGGATAAAAGACTATTTATTATACAAAAGGAAATGCATTCCAACGACAGAGATTGATGGACTGATCACAACCAGGCTCGAAGCAGCTACTCAACGAGACATGAGCAATTACGCATGCTATGAGGAAATTTCCGGAATCGGCAGAAAATCACATCAAAGTGAAGGCATAGGGGACGACAAATTCAAGTCACGCTAGTCAGGAAGCAACAATAAGAAAGCAAATAGATACGCTAACTTGGAAAAAGAGAGAACACTTACGATTTGGAGAGCCGAACATCGTTATCGAACTGGACGGTACAAACTCGGAGAGGGATTAAGGAGCTCTTTGCCTGAATGGAACCAAAAGCGGATATGGAAGCAATCAGAATAAACCACGAGGTAGAAACGAAGGGGTAAAACGGAGCTCGTATGCAGAATCAGGAAATCGGAATCAAATGGAGCTAGTTCTAGGGTTGTTCGATTGTTACCTGAGAGGGAGACAAAGGGACTGACGGAGAGTGGATACAGACGGAGGCCTGGGACGAGCAGCAGCAGAGAGATTCGGGCGAAACGGCGGAAGGAAGACGGGAATGGAGCTTCGGAGAGAGAGAGGGGAAAGGGAAGGGAGAAGAGATGAACGAGATGCAGTTCGCCGAACAAGAGCGCTTATGTGTGATATGTCTATTGTCTCGTCCTCTCACACGGACACAGACTACTCCAACCCGCGCACAGACATTAAACGCCGAGAAAACGCCCCTTTGGCTGGGTTGGCCTCCTTCTTTATATTTGGAGAGAGAGTGAGCCGAGTCGCGTTGGTTTCAAGTCCGCTGCGGGGTAGTTTCGTAAATACACTATAAGGCTGCTAAAATAAGGATGAATATCGAATGAAAAGAATGATTAGGAACTGGCTTACGTTACCTAATCCGCATGTCAGTTCGGCCTAGAAACAAATACATAATTAGATTAGCTGTGGTTGCTTAATTTTAGATGGAGTTTTTTTTACAATTATAATTTTAGATGGAGTGATGGTTGAGATTTAATACTTTTTTTAATATTTTTAAAAAATTAGTATTTCCTTCATTTGACTTTAAAAAAAATAACCGAGTTTATTATAACTACAAAACATCTATTTTAGATCATTTTAATGAAATGAACTTTGAACCAATTTTATCATTATCTACCATCGTCTACTATTATTATATATTTGTACCAGAGTACCACAATTATACATTCTCATATTACCTTTATATAATCTTCTGTACTGCCATGATAGAAAAAATAGGCATAGATCATGAAATTTAATTGGTAAAAAGTTATGCATTAGTAACCAAACAAGTTAATTACTGAATCCACTTTCATGAGTGGGTGGATATATTTTTCTCACCATCCAACTCATACACTCCCGATTATATATGTATATGTATTTTACTATTTTTTATGAATAACCGATATAGGTTATGTACATGTTCGAGGTCGATTTTGGGCTCTTGTTTCGAGATCATTTCTTGATGTTGTTCTGTGCCAAGCTCGATTCCGTGTTTCCGTTGTGACTCGACGCGATGTTCTGCTGAGAGACGAAGGTGAGGGAGCGAAGACGGTGAAGGTAGGGATCGTGGATAGCGCGCACGATGGCTATGAGAAGGTCGAGGATGGCAGAATGCAGCTTGTGGAGCAGTTGGCATCGAGGAAGTGGAACAGCGAGGTTTACAAGAAGGAAGGGTTGTGTTGGTTTTATGATATGACAGGTTTTAATGACGAGGCGAATCGGTTTTCTTTCGAGTTTTGGCTGATTTGTCACTTCTATTTTGGAGTTTGCAACATTTCGTCCGATCTGGCCGGACCAAACTCATGAGAACCACGGGCCATTATTAAAAGATATATTAGGATCAAGGACCGAACCATCACTACATTCGGTCCATTTGGTCCGGTCCAAATATCAAATTCACAGGACCAAGGACCATACCACATTACACTGTGATCGGTACGATCCCGTCCAAATGTCAATTGGGTCTCAAGATTTGGGTATTACCCAAACCCAACTTATTATGGGTCAAAGCAAGTTTGAGTAATTTTGCTTTTGCTTATACCCATATCCAATTTTTTAGTTTGGGTTTAAATTGGACCCAAAATATTATAAGTCCAAAAGAAAATGAGTAACCAATTACAATTCAAAAATTTCCTTATTTTTTGTTATGAAAGTAATTGAATGATGGAAATACCTACATCAAATGTATACAATTAGGTTGAAAGTAGTTAATGAATAGTTGATATTGATTTTTGTTTATATAATCATCTCGACTCAATTAAATCCATTTGGGTATTACCCAAATGAATTGACCCAAATAGAACCCAATTCAAACCCAACCCATATCCAAAATCATTAAAAGTACATGAGTTCATTTAGTTCCGATCCAATATCAATATAGGTTATGACATTTGGGTCAAATTACCCATCTACCCATTGCCATATCTAAGAAAACTCCGTCAATTTGAGATCAATTCCATATTTTGCTAGGGGCTAGTAGGGAGGAAGGAATCGATTTAGAAAATGTGCACGAGGCAAAGTTGAACCATACAAGGCTTCGTTACATAATTTCATGCAGTAATGGGAATTTCAGATAAAAGAAATCTTTTCGCACTTCAAAACTCTTATTATTGGCGTCAGAACAAAGAGCGCATAATCCGAAATCGCTCAACTAAACCAATCCTTGTATGTTGAAGTCTATAAAACGCAACCATCTACTATCTATTTCCTAACTCTGCACATTCTCACATGAGAGCGTGTTATGCAACTATAGACGAGCACCCTACTGATTCAGAGAACAAAAAACAAAAACCAAGCACAGCGCATTGACATTTGGAGCAGATGACTGACTAGCTGGGGCTGGCAAAGAAGATGGATTAGCCGAAGATTGTGCAGATGCCGATGATGGACCAGCTGGGTTCGACTCGACTGTCGAAGCAGTTCCACCAGGAGCTTGACCAGAGAGATTCTGTCCACCTGCAATACAGTAACAAATTATAGATAGAAGTAAGACACAGAAATTCACTCCAGTATATAAACACAAATCACAATCTGCAAATTGTTTTATGTAACATCTTTACTGAGGATCACCTTTAACTCCCCATTGATAATCGTCAAATCGCAGCTCTTCATGGCTCTTCTTGTTGTAGGCAGCCATGGCGGATATAGAATGTAACTTCATAGGTTCAGGCTGCTCTCTTCCCCACTCTGCCTGATCGGTTGCCAAATAAGGTACCGTTCTAGTACCAAATGGTGTTGATAATGGGTCCTGACCAGATGCATCAGCAAACAAACTTGTCCCACCTGCAAGTAAAGAAACTTGAAGTATTAACATAACCATCTAAAACCCCTTCAATGGAAGGTTTGAAAAAATGATGGTGGGGGAAATACAAGCATGCATACATTATACATGAATGATTTCCGTACCTCGAGACAGGCAAAAGCTACATGGACCCGGTTGAAAAGGTGTTGCTGCAGCAGAGACCTGTACATATCAAACACTTAAGGCAGGGCATGAACCAACAAAACAATGCATGCTGTTGTAAAAGCTTCCCAAGGAAAATCAATGACCAAAAGAAGAAGAGATAAGAACCATAAGAAATTCGAGTGTTCAAAACTACCAGAAAACCGATTTGCAAGCGCCAAGCAGGCAGGGGCCATATTTGAACAAGAAATTCATAAAGAAAAAACCTGAAGACAGGAAGAAAAAGAAAAAGGGATTCGAAGAGTTACTAACTGGGTTGGCTGAAGGAAATAAAGATGGAGTGCTTGAGAAAAGGCGTTCTTGAAGCGAACTGGCTGGTTTACCGCAAGGACCAAATATCAAGGGGCTACTCTGTTGAATGGAAGAGGTAGTTGGTCCAAATAGAGAACCTGTTTGTGCAAGTGAAGGTGTGATTGCTTGAAACGGTGTAGGAGAACTGTTGGGAAAAGCCATGGTAGGATTAAATGCTGAAGTTGTTCCTTGAGCAGAAGAAGTAAAGCCGGATGGTATGAAACTAAAGCCTGAGGAAATGCTTCCTTGCACCGGGGTACTGAATGTGTTTGATGGACCAAATGTAGAGGTGGAACTCGGTCCATATACAGAGGTAGTTGGTCGAAATCCAGAATCTGCTTGTCCAAGCGAAGACGTGGGCACTTCAAACAATGTAGAAGAACAGTTGGGAAGAGCCACGGTAGGATATGTTGCTCTAGTAGGACAAGCAAACAGGGAGTGTGTAGAACTAAGACTCGGTGAGCTTGATGGGCCAAAGAGAGATGGAGATGTGGTAGCAAATGCACCACTTGATGTGGATGGAAATGAGGGCGAGTGAAAAGGCTTAACTTCCGTTGAAGCACTCAAAGCTGAAGAACTGAAGGCTGAGGCAGCTGATGGTCCAAAACCCTTGGGGACAAATGGATTACTCAAAGAAAGACTAGCAGATGTAGATGAAGGACCAAATGGGTTTGACTGTGCTGTTGGCGGTCTAAAACTTATTGGGCCAGATTGTTGACCAGAGGGAAGCGCCCCACCTGCAATACATAGGATTTATAAGCAAGATACAGAAATTGACTCCAAGTAACACCAGCGAATTCTACTAGTAATCACCTTTGTCTCCAGATTGATAATCCTCCCATCTTAACTCCTCGTGGCTTTTCTCTTTGTAGACAGGCATGGCTGATATTGACTCTTAACTTCTCAGGCTGCCCTCGTGTGGCTTCTGTGTCAGCAGTTCCTATATAGGGCACTGCCCTACTTCCTCCTCGCTGTGTACCAACTGGTGCTTGTCCAAAGCCTGAGCTTGCAAAGCTTGGTGTTGACGGCAGGGACCCTGATGACACCACATAAGACAAATAAACATTTTATAAAGCCACTATAATTCCATGCGCATAACCTCTTATAAGGACTTTGAATGCTCATCACCATAAATCAGGTTACAAAGACCCACCATATGTAGAACTCTGTGCTCCAAAGGGACTGCTTCCAAATGCAGCAGTTGACTGACCAAAAGCTGAATAGGGTACGAAGTTAAATGATGGAGTACTAGATGCAGCAAAGTTTTGAGGATGTGATACCCCAAATGCTGGAGTGCTTGATGAGCAAAAAATGGAAGTATTTGAAGATCCAAAACCTGGGGTACTAGACACACCAGAGGCTACCCCTGTGCTACCAAAAGCTGGTGGATTTGCTGTCGATCCAAATGATGGGGAGCCTGTCGTGCCACACGCTGGAGTGCTTGCAGCACCAAAGGCTAGGGTGTTTGTTGAGCCAAAGGCAGGGGTGCTTGCCAAACCGAAGACAGGCGTGCTAGTACCATAGAATCCAGGCTCAGGGCCTGGCCTGGAAGGTGCCATTGAAACAAACAAGCTACTCCCCTGTGATTGCTGGTTTGTGACTCCAAATGGATTTGGAGTTGTATTCGACCCAAATCCTCCAAAACCAGAATTCTGATGGAAGGCAGATGACCCTGCATTGAGGACAATAGATTGCCATGAAAAACAAAGACCATGTAAAACACAGCATACATCCGATTGCAGTCCAATGCAACAGGGATATCGTGATAGAACAACAATACATTCGTTTTTTCATAAACACAAGTAAAGCAGCAGCTTAGCTGCTGCATAGAAGGTTAAGACCACTAAACTAATTATTAAACAAGTCAGAAAACATAGGATACTGCCACAAAGAATATTGAGATATGGAATCTATTGACAACATTTGTGGTGATCAATCGGAGACCCATTTGTGCATATGAAATGAAATGTAGAGAGAAGATATAAAAACCAAAATCACAGACAAGGGGGGCCTGCAGAGATCATAAGCTCTAACAGTAAACTAGCCTGGACTGCTATGGTATACAACTTCAAAACGGATTAACACAGCCTCATTGAATTGGAGACGAAGAAATGAAAGCCATGGGGAAGCAGAAAAAACAATCGGAAAACAAGGTAAACATAATCATTGTTATACATACCATATATGTCTATGTGCACAATCACATAATACAATCATCTTATGTCACAGCAACCACAAGTAGGACACCAACAGGATGGGCTTGCTAATACAAAACTAAACTTACCCCCAACTAATGGCGGAGAATTACCGAAAGCAGGAGTGCTAGATACTCCAAAAGCAGGCATTGAGTTTCCGAATGCAGGAGATGGCGAGACATACCCAAATGTTGTAGATGGGAAGGTTGAGGATGGTGCACCGAACTTACCTGTAGAAGTTCCCCCGAACATGGAATTCCCAGCGTGAGAGCCAAAAGGGGTTGGAACACCGAAGGGTGTGGGAGCAAAAGGATTCTTGGTAGTACCACTAGCCTGGCCAAAGCCTAATGACCCAAAAGGGCTACTTGATGTCTGTCCAAAACCTGGTCAAAAAATGTGTCATTGAAAAAGAAACAGTAACTAGAGACAGAAGACTGTTACAACTGCAATTGAACTCATCATAGAGTTCCTTTACATTCCACATTCAGCATGCAAATTCAGACATAAGTTATCGAAACAATGTATCACGCCATATCAGGTTCATCAACATCAACTCTTCGGACGCCACCAATCTCAGGACAAGTTAATATGCCATGCATCAATTTTATTTGTTTTCTTCTGTAAAGAGTCATGCACCAAAGCTTGCAGGCACAGAATTAAACACATAGCTTTCAACCCTAAAAAGTCTAACAACGCTGATCTGCCTCGACCATCATGGAAGTTTGGAATGAGAAATAGCCTAAACAGCCTATCCAAGTCCAAGGATAAACAACTGTAATCGAAAAAGAAACGCATTCCGACTATCGAGATTGATGGATTGATTAGTACCGGCCCAGGAGCAGTTACCCATTCAGCCATGATAAATTAAGGAGGTAAACTTTTGGAACATCACAAAACACCGAAAACCAAATCAAAGTGCAACAGGCGACGACGAATTCAAGTGACGCTAGTCACGAAGCAACGCGAAGACAGAAGAACACTTACGATTGGGAAAGCCGGCCATTGTTACAGAATTAGACGTTACTGAACTACGAGACCACGAATAAGAAGCGCTGCCTGAAAAACGAAGGCGGGTTCGGAATCAATCAGAATAAACCGCGATTAAGACGAAGAGGAATAAGAAAACGGAGCACGTATACACTCATGCATTAAGGAGCGAATCGAAATCGATGGAGTTGTTGATCCGAGACAGAGAGACGGCGAACAAAGAATTACGTAGACGGAGGAGCAGATCAAATTCGAGTCCCTCCAGGAGCAGCAGAAAGCCGATAAGAATAAACGCCAAGAAACCCCACCCGGCTGTGTCTTTTATAGGGAGAAACCACCGACCAGTTGGTAGCTTTCTTTTCAAGCTCGTAGCCGGGGGATCTTGTTTTCCCGCCCGCTTAAGCAGGAGCGTGTAGCGTTGCTTCTAAGTTCTATAATTTGACGGTTAATTACAAATTTCGTCACTTAACTTTGGAAAGACAAACAAAATGGTGGCTTAGATTTATATTTTTTTAAAAAGATTTATACTAACCATGAGATGATCATTCTATCAATTTCTGTCAAGTTTTTCCATCCAAAATAGACGGATCAGCAAACAAACAACCCATATCATGAGTGAAAATCTGTATATGTATATCCAATAAACTTTTTTCATCCAAATTAATATGCTCTCAACATTTAAAACTTTTATTTTTAAATCCAATTCATTATAATTCAATGACTAAAATCTCAAATCATTACAAGGAAAGTATGTTTCTCTGAAAGATTTGTATGAAGCGAGTCAATCCGGGTCATCCCACATTTGACCCTTGGCTCAATTGCTCAGTCTGAGTAACAATTTTGGTAGTGATTAGGGGTGTCGGTTCGGGTCGAGTTCGGTTATCCAAATCGAAACCCGAAAAAACCCGAAAACCCAAAACCGAAAATCACTAAAATCGAACCCGAACTCGAGTTCGGTTAAAGCAAAATCGAAAACCGAAAACCCGAACGCCTAAAAATACGGGCTGAGTTCTATTATTGGATGTTTTTAGCCGGAACTCAAAAAATCGATAAGCAAAACCGAACCCAAAACCCGAAACAAACCCGAAAAACTGAAAATGTATATAATCGGGTCTGGTTCGGATAAACCCAAAAAACCAACCCGAATTGACACCCCTAGTAGTGATCCCTTCTCACGAATGGATTTTGAGTGAGGTGAATGAGGGAATGAAGGAGTAGAGTGGTTAGCAATATTCAAAATATGTATTAATATTATATTCTAATTTTAACATTAAGAGTTAGGCAAAAATATTATACAAATATAATTCTCAAAAAAATAATTCATGACTTGATGAACAAAATTCTTACAGAAAATACGAAGAAGAAAAAATATGGGTAATCTTTCTGTGCTCTGTTTTTATGATTTGGAGAGTGGACATAATTTTTGTTATTGGTAATTAGGGGTGGGATTCGGTTTGTCGGTAAACGGTTTACCGACGGTAATTACCGTTTACCGACGGTATCGGTGACCGAGCGTGGCCTGGGGTGTATCGGTTTACCGAATTCGGTATCGGTAAATCGGTAAACCGTTTACCGAACCCAAAACGAACCCAAAACAGAAGTTCTGTCATCCAAGGAGGTATTTAGATTATGCAACACTTGATGACTTGGTACAAATTGCCTTTTCTCTTGTGTTTGTTGCTGCTCTGGTTGAGACGTTCATCAAAATTGGATGATGAAAATGGCAGGTGACAAAGAGAGCGGACACCAACGGTGGGACGTGGAAGAGCTGGAACTGGAGATCACAAGGGAATTTGTTTCTGAATGGGGCATACTTCAGAGCATCAGGAGCAGGAGCAGGAGCCAGCTATGCCAGAGCTTCCAGCTTAGGAGCAAAGCCATCATCCTTGGTTGGCATGTTGACTTCCACTGCCGGTGCTTTGGGTTGTCGCAGGGGCCGCTCGTGTTGATTAAACAAAACAACACCCTAGCTAACGAAACAAAATCATATAATTACACCAAAAGGGAACCCAAGTGAGAAATTCAACTCAATTTCCCTCTCTCTTCTTCTTAATTAGTATATTTCTCAATTCACCACCGTTGTTAATTAGTACTGTCACCACGAATGGGAATGTCAAAAACTGTAAATTATGGGAATGCCCACCCCCAAAAACTGTTTACCGAACCCGCCCCACGTCGCCCTTGCGGTAATTCGGTAAACCGGTTTGTAACCGTTTACCGGTAATTCGGTAATCGGTAAACCGGTTACAAACCGGTATCAGTAAACGGTAAACGGTTTTGTCAGTGTCGGTATACCGAAACCGGTAAATTCGGTAAACAATTTACCGTTTACCGACCGATTCCCACCCCTAATGGTAATTGCTCGTATGTTAAGTAATTGCTTGATAGATATATGCAGTCTATGATGATTATGCTAGAGTATAAGATTTGGATAATATACTTTGTTGAGCAATGAGGACATGCCAAAAAGAATACTATTGTATTGAGGTTGGGAGATTATGATCGATCACCCTTAGCAATGCAAAACTATTCTTATCACGTATTGATTCTTTGTCTTTTTTTCTTATTATCTTTTGACTTTCGTGGAAAAGGCGAACTTGTTTTGACGGGTTGAATGGGCCTATGCAGGAAGAAAGAAGAATAGGACGGCCCACTATATGGCTAACACTTTTTGTAGATGGAAAGAAAAAGAGTTTTGGACTTCAAGGCCTCCTATTTTTATTGTACCTCAACTAAGGATGGATATGTGAAGTAACTTTATTACTACTTAATAAAATTTCAAATGATTTTATTTATAAAAAAAAAAACTCCACTCGTAGCTTATAATTTTCCCCTCTGTCTCGTGTACTCTATCACTCCTATCGCTTTCTATCCTCTTTTACCTTCTCATACACCTCCTTCTCCGCGAGGAGCCACGTTGATGGAATGAAAAACTATGTCCATTTAACTTTTAAAGTTATGTAAATTTCACATGTAATTTTTGTATTTTTTTTAGAAATATAGTAATTTGACAAGTTTTCATTTTTATATTCGTTTTAAAAAATTAAAGCTTAAATTTTAAACTCCTTTCATTTAAATTTCTGACTTTACTACTAATCCTTTCTACTTACCCATTTGCATCATCCTTGGTTGCTACCTCTTCATCTTCTCTACCTGTCTTCATACACCTCCTCCATATTCCCTTTCGCATCCTCCTCCGGTCTTCCTTAGTCCTTACTATACGAAAGGTAGCTAGCTTTCACCAAATTCGAAGCACGTTAATGAACTATGATAATAATTGCTAAAATGAAGGGAGAACGAGAATAAATAAATAAGTGTCGAAAATCAGTTTGCTTCGATAATTCTTATTATTGGAAATGTTTTGTCATAAGTATGTTGTATGAGATAATAAGTCGCTTATTAATCAACATGGTTCAAAGTTTACGATCGAGAGGTCACGATTTCGAATCCTGATGATAACCCTCAATATAAACAATGATTTAGCACAGAGGATAATATGACCAACCTGTACAAACTGAAATCATAATGGTTTAGCAGTATAAGGGATGTATGTTCAACTTGTGCAAACGGTAAAAAAAACTTACAAATAGACTTTCGTTTGAGGAAGCGTGTAAGAGATAAAAAAAAAAAATTAACAATCACTTCCTAATAACTCGAGTTATTGGGGGTGATTGGTTTATTGTTTAATAACTAATTGATATCATGAGTATTCAAGACTCGAATTTGAAAACAGGAAAACGAGTCTAACTGTCATATTAGCAAACCAATTATCAAAGCCCCAATAAGGATTATACGATTCCTCAAGTGAGAGGGTTACCAATGGCAGAGTGTCAGATAAGCTTGAAGGAACGCACCCGGTGGTGGTGGATGCAGCAGCATCGTCATCATCGTAGCCAGTTCAGCGACATGGTAATAATTAGAATATTGGTGGCGTCGTCGTCGTATTCGTTCGTATGCATAGATAGCTAGATGGAGTAATCTAGGAGAGTAGTAGACAGACGGTGCGTAAAATCAAACTTTGTGTCATGAAACGAAACAAATCAAATGCATCGCCACGAGATAAAAAACGAATACTAATGTTGATGTTGCTTTCTTTGGCTTGCTCCTTTCGTTTGTCTTTCTCCTTTTGTCAGTTTCGTTCCAGGTTAGTTTATATGCTTAATGATAGTTATTCCAACTACTGATCCCATTCATACTTTGTTTTACTTGCCCAATTTCACTTTGTAAAAAGTTTATCCCATTTAAATGACGCTTCCCAGCTTAAATGAATCTTCGAGCCAATCCGAAGATGTTGGGGAATAAATATATTTTTTTACCTTACCAAGGAGTACTGAATCTTCCATGTTGATTTATGGTTTCTGTTTGAACCTAACTGAGTGTAGGAGTGAGGTTCGGGGAAATGGGTTGAGGAGAATAAGCAATAGAATCTGCTGTGGGTCCAAGAACAGAAAAGGAAAAGAAGGGAGTTGAGTTGAAAGGGTAATATCTTAGAGAGAGAAGTTGATAATCTTAGAAAAAGAGTCAGAAAAATCTGATCCCCTCACTCACCGGAGTAAATGCCTTATTTATAGGCTACATGGTGGTGGGTGAGTTACATGTAGTGATGGCAATGGGGCGGGGCGGGGCGGGTACCTCAATTCCCATGCCCCGCCCCACGCTACTACGGGGCGGGGCGGGTAAAACCCGCGCGGGTACGGGGCGGGGCGGGTCGACCCACTCTTACATGTTATTCGAAAAAAATACCAATAAATTTTACTTTTTACGATAAAACGAAGGGTAAAACAATTTAAGAATGAAAAATAGTGATAATAGAATGGGTAATTGAGTCTAACAAGTTGAAAGAGCGACTCTAACTAGTTGAAGAAAAGTCAAAATAGGAGAAATATATATAAAAATTGTAAGAAATTGAGATAAAATGAGTCTAGAACGGGGCGGGGCAGAGCAGAGCGGGTCGGAAGTAGATACCCATGCCCCGCCCCACGCTACTGCGGGTCGGGTAATACCCGCCCCATCGCGGGTCAGGTCGGGTAATACCCGCGGGGCGGATTGAAATTGCCATCACTAGTTACATGGTGACCTGTCATAGTGACATGACTACTGACATGTCAGAAGACTAGGACATATCCCTACCTAGGACAAGTACACTTAGCCTTTCATTATACATAGGACTATGATGTGACTACCCGATAGGTGGGACACGACGTCGCTTCCCATTCTCGCTAATTTAGTCAATACTGGACTCGGGCTGCCCTCGAACGCGCTGGCGCTAATGCGCCCATCTCTAGGTATTCGCGCTCGCCTATGTGTTCGCTCGCGCCGGTGCTGGCGCGCCCGCCTCTTGGTATTTGGCGCTCGGCGGTGCGCTTGCTCGCGCCGATGCTGGTGCGTCCGTCTCCTGGTGTCTGTATTTCGTTGGCGCGGCGGAATCCGAGTCACATGCCCAACAATTGCCCCCCATCAGGGGGTGTTCTGCGAACGCCGCCTGTTTGACTTCCGCGCGATTGACTCGTGTCCGCGTGATCTTCGGGATCTTCGTGCGCGATTGACTCTGAATTCTGCGCGATCCTCATGGGATCAGAACTAGTGTTTTTCTCTTCTCTTTTTTTTATTGTTGCGCGCGATCGTCTTGTCTACGCGCGACACTTTCTGATAAGCTTGGGCTTCTGAGGGTGTGTCATGCCCCCCTGGTGTTATTTAGAGCTGGCGCCATTCGGTTTCCGCGCGATTGACTCGGTTCTGTTTGATTCTTGAGGAGTTTTTTGGGCTGGTGGTTTTTGTTGTTGCGCGCGATTTACTTGACTGCGCGTGACGCTTTCTGCTAAGCTTGGACTTTTGTGGGTTTTGTTTCTATCCGCGGGTGTGCCATGTGCACGTGACACTTTCTGATAAGCTTGGACTTCTGAGGGTGTGTAATGCCCCCCTGGTGTTATTTAGAGCTGGCGCCATTCGGTTTCCGCGCGATTGACTCGGTTCTGTTTGATTCTTGAGGAGTTTTTTGGGCTGATGGTTTTTGTTGTTGCGCGCGATTGACTTGACTGCGCGTGATGCTTTCTACTAAGCTTGGACTTTTGTGGGTTTTGTTTCTCTCCGCGGGCGTGCCATGCCCCCCAGGCGATGCGCGGAGCTTGCGACGTCATCGACTAGTGCCTAATGCCTATGCCTATGTTAGGTGTCCATGAGGTGATGGGCGGCAGTTTCTGGGGTGAGGTCTCTCACGGCCATTGCCACCCTGGACCATCTGGCATAGAATGCTCGCAAGCTTTCTCCGTCCTTCTACCTGATATCTATTAGCGCTTTGAGGTGAAGCGGCCTTCTTTTCTGGGATGCGAACTTTGTGGTGAACAGGAGTATGAACTCCTCGAATGAGCGGATGATTCCGTTTGGGAGGCGGTTGTCCCAATCGAGGCATATTCTAGAGAATGTTGATGGGAAGGTTCTGCATAGCGACGCGTTGGAGTTAGTCTGGAGTTGCATCCTCAGGCAGAAGGTGCTGACGTGATCCTTTGGATCAGTCGTTCCATTGTAAGTTGGGAGGGTGGGCGGCGTTCCGCTTAAGTGCTCCACCATTATTTCCGCGCTCAGCGGTTGATGTAGGATTTTTCTGGGTGGGTTAGGACGGAATTGCGGAGTCAGATGTTGCTCCAAGAAACTGAGGTCCGCCCTCCCTGGCGGTTCGATTTGTTGCGCTTCAGATGCGGACAACGCGCCCTCCGCCTGTTGTGGTGGCGCTGCTGCGCCTGACGCCTCTCCTTGTTGTGGTGGGAAAGGCGCAACACTTGGTGCTGTCGCGGCTTCCTTGCTCATCATGAGCACGAGGACTTGGCTCATCTGCTTTTGCATATCAGCTATGACACTGTTTTGCTTTACCACCAACTGCCTCATTTCCTTGGCTGTCAGCTCGGGCTCTTCTTCCTCAACGAGCACCGCGTTGAGGTTACTCCCTTCGGCGAACGCCCTCGGGGTTGTCATAGCCTTGATGGGTGTCACCTCGTCGGGAAAGTTGGAGTTGGGCTCTGCCATTGGTTGGATTTCTGTTACTTTTTCTACTCAGCCCCACGGTGGGCGCCAATTGTTTGAACCTAACTGAGTGTAGGAGTGAGGTTCGGGGAAATGGGTTGAGGAGAATAAGCAATGAGAATCTGCCGTGGATCCAAGAACAGAGAAGGAAAAGAAGGGAGTTGAGTTGAAAGGGTAATATCTTAGAGAGAGAAGTTGATAATCTTAGAGAAAGAGTCAGAAAAATCCGATCCCCTCACCCACCGGAGTAAATGCCTTATTTATAGGCTACATGGTGACCTGTCATAGTGACATGACTACTGACATGTCAGAAGACTAGGCCATATCTCTACCTAGGACAAGTACACTTAGCCTTTCATTATACCTAGGACTATGATGTGACTACCCGATAGGTGGGACACGACGTCGCTTCCCATTCTCGCTAATTTAGTCAATACTGGACTCGGGCTGCCCTCGGACGCGCTGGCGCTGATGCGCCCATCTCTAGGTATTCGCGCTCGCCTATGTGTTCGCTCGTGCCGGTGCTGGCGCGCCCGCCTCTTGGTATTTGGCGCTCGGCGATGCGCTTGCTCGCGCCGATGCTTGTGCGTCCGTCTCTTGGTGTCTGTATTTCGTTAGCGCGGCGGAATCCGAGTCACATGCCCAACAGTTTCGATTTAGCAAAATCATCCGGTATATATGTAACTTTATAAGCAATTTTGACATAAAGAAATGAGTTTTTTTTGGTATATAGTCCTCTATCATCCAATCATAAACGAAGTAGTCGTTAACAGTGGCGGATTCATAAAATTTTCACAGGGGTGTCCTCTTCAAAAATTAAATTTAATTATATAATAAATTAAATAATTCGTATATTAAAAATATCATACTTGTATAATTTGTATAATTTTTTTATTAAATAATAAATTAAAATTCATATTTTGAAAAAAATATAAATAAACTCTGTGTCTGCACTGTTCAAAAAAAATCTACATATCCTACTAGACAATACTTCACGAACTTATCACATATTCGATTTTTAACCTTGTTCTTAATGTAGCTCAAAGTAGAAAAGACTCTTTCAACACTTGCCGTGTAACCATAAAATCATTTCAAAATTAAGGGTAGCGTGTACGTAGTTTAATTATTAGGTATTGAAAATAGTTGGGGATAAAGAAATAGCGTTTTACTGTTGCCTGATGTTTAAAATAGAATAACAAATGAGTAGCAACATAATTGGAATATGTTTGATAATAGTAGTGTCATAGGTTGGAATAACATGGACTACCACTTATATTTTGTTAATCATAAGCAAACTATTATCGAGGGTAGGATAATCATTTTTTCAAACGTTAGGGTGTCCCAGATTACCAATTATATTTTGTATACCCATACGAAACTACTACCGGAGGTTGGATAATCATTTCTCCAAATTTTAGGGGTGTCCCGGGACACCCCTAGTGGCCCATGTATCCGCCCCTGGTCGTTAACATTGGGTTTGTGTTATAGATTCACAAGATATCTTAGGAAAATATTATCAGAGATAAGTGATGAAGATGCTATTCAATGATACACACTTGAAAAATACATTTCATTGTTTTGATGCACATGAAAGAAATAAATGTTTGACGAAACATGACTGAAAGTTTGACCTACACGATAAATAAGTTTTGTGATAATATCATCCGAGCGACTCACATGATGTCAGCCATTATGAACCATGTTGTGAATTATGTCCATTAAATGGTCCATCAAACTACTCATAGTACCCCAATTCCAAATCACCATAAAGATACCTCACTGGTAGGGATACTGTCATCTTTTTTTAAGTATGCATCATGTATGATTAACGGCCTAACCTATGTCTTTTAATAAAGAAACATAAATCCAGAAGAAAGTATGGAAACAACCCTTAGCTAATTAGGAATTAGTTTTTGTCCTTTTTCATCTTGGTTCCCAGTAGGATTGATTGTAACGTTTTCTTTTTTTACAGCTTTCACAAGAAAATTTATTACTAATAATAATATAGTTTCTTAGCGTATGGTTTATTTATTTATTTTTTTTTTTCGTTTCCTTTGGTTTGGTCTCTTTAATCGTCGATATCATCAACACGGCCTGCAGCAAGGCAGGCAAGGCAATATTGTTGGCAATGTCCCTTCTTAACTATAGTCTATATGAATCAAAATAAATAATTAACATATTTATTTAAATCCTCATAAAAATAATTGAAATACTAATTTATGAAAGCTGCTGATATTGGCCACTTCGGTTGTCCTTAATCGCTCCCCTCGGTTGCCATTAATATAGTCCCGCATCTTCGAAAATTCATTCATTCCCCTTCCCAGAAATTTACAAATCCTCTTAATCCCTCCCTCTCTTTCCCATCAATTATATAGCCTAATCGATCCCGTCACGCGCGATCGCCAGAATGGGGGCGCCGTCGCCGAGCGATTCGACGCGCGGGAAGAAGAAGACGACGGGGCGTGGCCACCAGCGCTTCGTCGGGGTCCGGCAGCGGCCGTCGGGGCGGTGGGTGGCTGAGATCAAGGACTCACTCCAAAAAGTGCGCCTCTGGCTCGGCACCTTCGACACCGCCGAGGACGCCGCACGCGCCTACGACGACGCGGCCCGCGCCCTGCGTGGGGACAACGCGCGCACGAACTTCGAGCTTCCCAACCCTTCGTCCAACGCCGGGGGCCGCGGTGGGGCCGACAGCATCGAGCCTTTCTCGTTCGAGGAGGTGTGTGGGACCGGGAGCGAGTCCGACGGGATTCTCGGCGCCCTCAAGGCCAAGCTGCTCGACGGGAAAGGTCTCCGAATCAACCCAAACAACAAGAATAACAACAGCAACAGCAACAACGCGTCCAGCTCAGCTCCCGCCGCCGGCGGGAGTACTAAGAAAGACAATGAGAAGACCTTACCGGCCAACACAATCCCTATGAATAATAATACTGGTCATGTAGCCGGCCCACCAGCGGCTCACATTGGCAGTAGTAGTAGTAGGCCACCCAAGCCCCCGAAACCAAACCACCTGACCGGTTTTGCTGGTTTTGCTGGTGGTTCGACCGGGATGGAGGCTCGGGCGAAGGGGGATGGTCGGCGTGATCATCATGTTATGGATCATAACATGTTCACGACTGACAATCATCATCAACCGCAGCAACAACAACATCAAGATCAAATACTCCATGATCAAGATCATTCCCGACGTTACCGTCAAGATACGACGACGAACGAAGCAATTAATCTCAACGACTCGAACTACTGGAAAAAAGCCAAGGGTCCAATGTCGTCACAGTGGCAACAGACTGCCCCTACGGGAGCATGGCCTAGTCAACACAATCATCACGAATTTCCCGCCGCAGCGACGTCGTATCACGGAGATCACCAAATGGCGTGGCCACCGGCGTCACAGCTGAACAACAACCACCACCAACAACACCTCCAACAAGTTTCAGCCGACATGGTGGTTAATAATTTGTTCGACGGCAGCAGTAGTAGCGGGGCGACGACCAGCTCATCGTGGTCTCTGCATGATCAATCCAGCAACTTCCGGTCGTCGTCGGCGTACTCTGGCGCCGGCATGGATGTATCGACGGCTAACGGGAATTACACGACTCACGGTAATAATTTGGATAGGACGCGCGCTCTAGAGCTAGGGATGGGAATGGATCATCATCATCATCATCACCAACACCAACACCAAAATCAAAATCCGGATGTTTGGACGGCGCCGTCGTCGGAGCACCAGTTTATGCACTACGATCTCAACAACAACAACAATAATAATAATAGTACTGGTTGGACGCCGCCTCCCACCGGCGCCGGCGGTTCTTCTTGGGATCCTCTCCTCTACGTCTCCTCGGTGCTAGGCTGATGATATGATGTATTAATCCATGGATATTGCAGCATGCCACGTGCAATAAATCCATCGGTCCTTTTGATTTTCATTATTATATTTTAGCCGTGAAATCGACATTCACGGTATAAGATCAACAACATCCAAGCCACTGTGTGCTGAACCAAAATGTCAGGCATAGTAGCTATATATAATATCCGGCAGTAACTTTGAGTTCTCTTAATTTTTAATGTATAATATTTTCTGACAACTCCAAATTATATCGAGGCAAAAACGAAGTTTCCTGCTATTTCTTGTTTTGGTCTCCGGTTAATAATTTTGCCGGCGGGCCCCTTTCGGCTCCCTCCGGCCAACACATAATACATGCTGACGTCGGATGGGATGGTACATAATACGTATGTACGTATAGTTGGAGCTAACGCAGGTTCCAAACGAGTTAAGGATAAAAATGTGTTGAATCTGCACATGGATTGGACTACTGGCCATTTCCTTGTTGTTATGACACGGCAAATACGTTCCATTTCTGCCTTCTTATTTTCTTGTTGTTGTCTCACAGCTCAAATTACAAACATTTTCTTTTAAATTCTGCATAAAAATAATGATTCATTGTGTCCTGTTAATTTGATTTTTGTATTGTAACTATTACTTAAGTTAACACGTACAGATCATGCAAATATTAATTTGCATATTTTATTGTGAAAACTGTTATATATATTATACAACATATCTAGATTTCATATCACATTGGGGGTACAAGCAACATAAATTCGTTTTCAGGGGTAAGACTAGTGTATATACTATACTCCAGATATTTTTAGTGAAATATCTCTATCTAGATAAGAAATTAAACCGAGTTTGGGGTATAATACTATACTCTAATCTATAAGGGATAAACCTCAGACTCTGATTCTCTAAACTCACACTTGAAGTTCAATTTAATAAATTTGACCGTTGAGATTGACCGGATCTTAAAAAATAAGATCTAACGATCATATCACATGGAATATGATATACTCCTCGAGTATACTAGTTATTATCATTTTAAGGTGTAGCTATTAAGATAAGTCATTTACGAATATTCAAAGTAACATTTGCAAAATTGTCTAACTTCGTCGAATTGACAAAGACCCTTGACCTTGAGTGATCAGGTGGGGTTATCAACATAAAATGTCACACCTCACACGAACTCCAGTATAGAAATATATATGAGTTATCAAACTTATTGTGAGGAAATACACAATAATGAAACAATCTCTTTCTTCCTTACTCATACTTTTACCTACTCGTCTATATGCATATATATATTGCTTGCCTAGGTAGCTGACATGTTGAGTGTACACACTGTTGTCAATCCATATTGATCCGTCAGCCCGATCAAGCAATTGAGTTTCGAGTCAGTGGTTGAATCAGGGTCAACTCGATTTGGCCTAATAATGAACTTTTATTTCAATCATTCCTCCCCTTCATCCTCCTTGTCTTCTTGACCGGATTTGACAAATTTCAGTGCAACTACTAACGGGATTCATGTCTCTCGTTCAGAACATTAAGTTCATCTTGAAGCGGTTGACTGACCAATCAACTCACGGGTATACAACCTTGATTTTACAAGTTGCCTAGCTAGACTATTATTCGATCTATCTCTGTTTGAAATTTATATTCTAATATATATGCTCAATCCGTTCTCTCTAGGAATTTACTCAATGAGGAAAAACTTATAATACTAATATCAAGTTGTCAAGGTTCTAGGGTTCCCTCGATTGAAACCCACTTGTTCATTTTCATCTGTTTTTTACGGAAAGTACATTACAGTAAACTAGTATGTATAGTAACTTAGCTATGAATTTGCAAGTGTCTGCAGCCAGCTGATTTGATTTGTACTAATTGTAAAAGCCCCCGGGAAGTGCTGTAATTAAAAAGGACTTCCTGTCGTCGAGATGATCAATCAATGACAAAGACAACCAAAGTATAGAGAATAAAAACTAGTATACATCTGGACAATTCGATGCTCATTGTCAAACCGATATTTTATCTTATCTTATTATTCTTTAGAGAAAAAAAAAATGCTATTATAGTTGATGGTGAGTGGGTGTATAACAAATCAAAGGAAAATACTTGATCACATATATATGACTCGTGATCCTGGAGCATACTATGCTCCATGTATTTATAGTGCGATATCTCTATATAGATTATGAATTAAACCAAATTTGGAGCTGATACTATACCCTAACCCCAAATGGATAAACCCCATGCCCCAATTCCAAACCCAAAAGTTCAATTTAAGAGAAAAGAAGATATATATATATATATACTGTTATGATCCTATAAAATTAGGGTGAAAATCGGTACGGTATCGGTATCCCAATACCAAATATCAAAATTCCGAATACCGAATTATACCCTATAATCAATTCCAATCTCAATCCTTAAATAATTTCGGTATCCCAATCCCTAAATATTTCGGTATACCAATCGGTATAATCGAATACAAAATTAATGATCTTTGTCATTAATAATTATATATAAATTAGATTTGATTGTTTAATTTAGGGCAAAGAGACTAAGCGATGAATCTTGAGATTGTTAGAGCTAAGATATAGATAAAGAGAATGGAGGAGAGGTGACATCTCAAATTCTTGTCATTGGTAATCTTTAATTTGACAAATTGGAGGCTGAGAGACTACTAATACTATTGTTTGTTTTTTGGTGTTACGAAAATAACAAGAGATTAGGTGAGAGACGAGAGTGAATTAAACGAGAAAGTCAAAATTGAGTTGGATGAGGGCTTCTAAGTTGTGAAAGAGTGAGGAATATGACCAAAGGTTGTGTGCTATATTTTATTAATTTTAATTTTTTGTATTTCTCGGTATTTCGGTATATACCGACCCAAGCACTCCAAAATGAATCCCAACCTCTAAAAAATAAACCGGTATTTGGTAATACCAAATAATGATAAATTCGGTATGGTATTCGATATATCCCAAATTCCAATACCAAACTTTCACATTATATAAAATATATTTTTGTAAGAGAATCGTCATAGACGATATACTTCACCCTTCTCTCAACATATAATTAGGTGCTATTGGAATTGAATCGTTACAACTTACAATACTCACTTTTTTAACTGCGAATTTTCGTGGTCGAATTTCATCGCCTACAATTCAATTAAGTTTTAGTTTGGTCTTTAAAGATCGCAATAGCGGTCAGATAAAACAACAGTGGAAATGAGATCGTGATTCAATCCTCATCAAAGATCATTTCATACCTAAATTTCAACAACCAATTTCCAGTATTAGTTATTGATTCACATATAAGATATAGAAGTCTGGTTGTTGTTTTCAACCATGGCGATGACGACGGGGACATGTAACTGTGCAAATGTTTGTGATAGCCTCGACCAGACATAAAATTAAAAGAAAAAAGAAAGAAAGAATGACTTACTAATAAAATATCACGTAATTAATTTGTTAATTTATAAGCTCATTGATAATCACTTTTATTTGACCTATGCTGTCCAAACCACAATATGGGGTTTTCCTTTTTAATTTCCTGTTTTCATAATTCTCTTGTTTAACTTGGCATCCTTGTCCTCGCGTGAACGATGATGTCTTCCTTATAATCAATCTCCGGAATACATCTGGAAAACCGAATATTTACATGTATGCTGAATTGGTATAAATTATAAGAATAATAACATAGTAATCAACTTTCTAATTGGCTAGCTTGCAGCTTTTCCAACCCATTTTCCAACTTTTTCTGCATAGTTTCTTGCCCTTGGCTTTATCTATTTTTAACATTATTCATAAAATTTTCCGCCACGGAACCCTTCTTAATGAATCATCGATGCATATAATGTATGTATTAGTTGTCGTTTTGGTCCTTATCTATTATAGTTCCCATAAGAGCCCAACAAATGGTACCCTAAGCCCATTTGGAAGTGAGGACAAAACGAAATTTGGGATTCTGTAATTAGAATTTTGCAGGGAACCTACCCGGCGTTACAATTCATGATACCAATCAATCTCCATGAACTATATATAGCTAAGTTGGTTCTAACGACTGAAAGAGTCTTTGAATAACATATATATGCTGAAGAAATTAAATAATATAGAAGTTCATCGAATCAAATAGGGAGTTTGCAAATTTCATAATTCTTACTTTCCTCATCACAAGTAGGACAAATGGATGGTAGACGAATAACAAAGGAACAAATATTTCATTTTCGAGAAGAGAAAGATCAATGATTTCTAAAATTAGTGAGTTTACATATTGGACATCGTCCAGGGCGGGAAAAATAGAATACCCAGCAGGACTCATAATTTGAATGGCCTAAGGTCTGAAAGGGTGAGGAGTTGGTTAAGTTTTGTACTAAGTGCAAAAATTTGTGACCGTTTATGCAAATTACCCTTAAGTTTTGGGTGTTCAGCTCTCTTATCCTGTCATTATCCAGTTTTCGATCCGGTCCCGAACGGTTTTATCTCAAATCTAAGCCCAAAGATTGGATTGGATTGTTTACTATCCGGTCCCGGTCCGGTCTCGGTTCGGATTATACGATCCGATTTCAAATAAAACAAAAAAACCAACCCTAAAAAATTAGGTGAATTATAAATTATCTTTGATTTTTAGTAGAGTAAAATGAAGAAAGAGTAATTGAAAATTCTGATCATATACATTTATTTATACAATAAATCTATCAATTATATTCCCAAAACCAAGATAGCAAGTCATCCGATTAGAAAAATTACTCTTGGGTAAATATGATAAGAGTTTAGAATCCAAAGTCAACAGAGAAATTATTGATTTCACTGGACTAAAAGTTTTAAATAACCTGCCTTCCATCTCACGGGTCTTGTTCTTGTTTGAAGCTATATTTTTTTTAGGAAATAACATCATTTTATTACTTTCGTAATCTTCACACATCTGCTATGGTATAGAAACAAACAAGAGAACTCAAACAAAATACATAAACTATGGAGCTCTGTACACAGTACATCCACCCGCCATGGAATTATTTTTATTATCATTTTCAGAGTACAGACAGTATAATACACACACATAAAAGAGAGACTCCGATCGATGGTTAATAGTTGTGATGGGTGCCAGTGACTTTGTCCTTGATCTTCTCCATCACTCCCTTCTTGTGATGAGGCTCGTCGGCGGAATGGTAGCCGCCGGGCGTGGTGGTGGAAGTAGCCTGTGGATGATCATGTTCCCCACTGTGCACCCCTGGGATCTTCTCCTTAATCTTCTGCTTCAGTCCCTTCTTCTTCCTCCTCCCTCCGTACCCGTCGTCCTCCGAAGAGCTGGAGCTGGATGAGCTGCCGCCGGAGCGATGGAGCTTCCCGGCGATTCCATGATGGCCTTCTTTTCCATGATGAAGTCCAACACCTGTAGTAGTACCGGCGGCGCCATAGCCGGGTGCAGCCGAGGGATTAATTATCGGGTTGCCGTACTCGTCTACCTGCTGGCCCACCACTGGGTCGGTGTGGCTGCCGTACTCGCCGGTGGTACGGCGGGTTGCTCCGTACTGGTTCTGATAATTCTCCATGCCTTGAAAACACTGTCTCAAAACTGTCTCAAAGATATGAAGCTCTCGTTTTTCTTCTTTCTATTTTTTTGGTACACTGCAGAGCCGCGTATTTATGATGGCCAGCACCGCCATTGCTAGTCGGTTAAACCGACTTTGACGTGATGATGATAAGGGTTATCGGCTTTGCCGACTCTGAGCTGCATGCGGCCATTGTTGTTGTTTTCTGCTTCGTGCTTATCTCTGCATTTACTACCGCTTGAAAAATTCTTATCTATTAATATCGGAAAAAATGGAAGAAAGTAATATGAGGAAATTAATAATTTTTTTATGATTAAGGCACAAAATGTTACTCGACATAATCATATCACCCTAATCTAATTTTTTTTTGTCGTGTTATGCTTAAAATCAATAGTGTAGTTCAGTGTGTATTGTGTGGTATGCTTTTTAATATTGTCATGTTTGGAAAACAAATGCCTTGTTTCTCATAAATTACGTCTGTACAAAATAATTAATTATATAATCAAGAGAATCATTAAACGCGCAAATGTATAATTTAAAGAACTTAATTAATCTAGTTTGTAAGTACATGGTTTGCAAAGAAAAATGTGAAAAACATAGGACTTAAATTGAAAAAACTTATAGAATTGGCAGATATCTGTCGATGAACTACTGCGTTCAAATCTTCTGTTGTGAGTGAGAAGACCGATTTGCTTGATGTGCTTGAATTAAATAATGTATCCTCAACTGTTAGCTTTAAGATCCTGTTTAACGGGTCACTGACAGAGGAATTCATTTCCTCTAGAGGAATCAGACAGGGAGACCCTCTGTCTCCTCTCCTTTTTCATTCTCATGACAAATGCTCTCGTTTCTGGTTGAAAAGTCGATCGAGCTAAAACAGTTGAAAGGGTTGAAGCTAAATCAGAACTGTCCGAGGCTCACTCATTGCCTCTTCGCAGATGATACAGTCTTCTTTGGAGAGGCTTCACTGACAGAAGCCTCCAGCCTTATGATGAGGATTATCAGGGACTATGGGGCTTTTACAGGTCAAGAGATCAATACGAACAAATCGTCTGTTTTTTTCAGCTTCAAATGATGAGGAAAGACAGATCATCAGAAACTTTTTGGGGTTTGAAGTGGAGTTCACTCATGATAAGTATCTTGGAATCCCGACGATTTGGGGGCGCTCAAAGAAGGAAATGTTCCATTTTCTGATTGAAAAAATGGAAAAGAAGGGTGAATGTTGGCAGAGCCTCTTATTATCGCCAAGGGGGAAAGAGGTTCTGCTCAAAGCGGTGTTTCAGGCAATCCCTTCTTATCTGATGACCGTTTTCCTTTTCCCTAAATCCATCACGAACAAAATGGATAGTATGCTTAGACGATTTTTCTGGTCGCGTTCGACGACAAAGAAAACCATCCACTGGAGGGCTGGGAATGTGTTGTATGTGTCATGAACCAGTTGATCCCAATAACTCGAGTTGTTGGGAGAGGTTCAATCGTGGATCATATACCATACACTAACACGCCCCCTCAAACGAAAGCCACTCACAAGACCTCTTGGTCACAGAAGGCTCTGATACCATGTCATGAACCAGTTGATCCCAATAACTCGAGTTGTTGGGAGAGGTTCAATCGTGGATCATATACCATACACTAACAGTATGCTCCAAAACAGGAAGGTCGCCTGGGCTTCAGACCTTTCTCGGTTGTCAACCTTGCTCTCCTAGCTAAGCAAGCATGGAGGATTGTCACCTTTCTAGAGGCCCTCTGGGTCAAGCTGTTGAAAGGCTTGTACTTCCCAGGGGGGGAGTTCATGACAGCTAAAAAAGGGAGCAGAGCTTCATGGATTTGGGGAAGCCTTTGTGAAGCCGGGAAATGGATAAAATTGGGAATGGTTAAGGTTATTGGAAATGGAAACAATACGGATGTATTCAAGGTCCATGGATCCCTTCGATCCCGGGATTTTGCATCCAGGGAACGAGCCATGAAAGACGAAGCGTGGTTGATTTGATTGACCAGGAAGAAAGAACCTGGAATTTTACAGGAATTGATGGAATTCTCTATCAAGCAAGAAATTAGGAGAATCCCAATTGGATCCCAGGATATGGAGGATTTCTGGGCATGGAGGTTCACGAACAATGGGGAGTTCACCGTTACCTCGGCGTTCCATGCTTTTCATGATAAGGTACGGTTTGGAAGCTCAGGGAGCTCGGGAATTGCACAAGCTGAAAAAGATAAGTGAAAATGGCTTTGGAGTTTGTCTCTCCCGCCGAAGATTACTTTCTTCATTTGGAAAGCTTCGAGAGGTGCCTTGGCAACTAAGGAAAACCTCTTCGACAGACACTGCTCAGGATCAAAGACATTCTCGTTATGTGGTCACGCGAAGGAATCCATCTTCCATGTCCTATTTGATTGCCCTCATATGCTAAGGAGACATGGAGAAAGTCCGCCCCCACCCTCCCTCTCCCGCCTCCCTCAGTCAAGGTCAATTTTTGGCTATGGGAAGTGGGAGAAGCTTTACCGCAAGAAGGGGCTCAGACGACTATCTTTATCCTCTGGAATATTTGGAAAGCTCGGAATGAGATGATCTTCAGAAACCACCCTCCTTGGCCCCCTCATACCATTTCCTAAGCAATGAATGAGTTCCATTTCTGGAAAAACTGTCCAAGGAAAAGAAGAGAGGACCCCCTTCTGGTAAATCGACCTATTCCATCACCTTCTCACCCCCCACCACCGCCAAGCAATCTCTTCGGGGAGATTCACTATGATGGATCATTTTTCAACGATTCCCGGGAGGCGGCTTATGGGATTGTTGTCACTAATTCCCATGGTGAGATTTGTGAAGGAAATACTGATTCCCTCCTCTGCGATTCAGCCACGAAGGATACTTGTTTGCGATGAACCATCCATCCCCCTTTGTGATCAAATCTGACTGCAAGGTTCTGGTGGATGCGATTTGTGGACCTAGGCATAGATGGCCTTGGAATGTTGCAGCGCGAATTGACTCTATCAGAGCTATCATTAGCCGTTTGCAGGATGTTAGGATGTTGTTTGTGCGTCGTGAACAGAATGCCTTGGCGAACTGGGTAGCTAGATCGCAGGCAAAGAACCAGCTTCCGCAGGAATGGATTCGTGTCCTTAATGTTTTGCTACTACTTTTGTAACCTTGGTTTGACGTTTGGGATTGATGCAGAGTCTTTTGTAAAAAAAAAAAAAATATATTGATGGTATAGTTGAACGGTGTCGTTTCTCAACCTACATCTAGCAAAATAAACCAGACGATCGAACCCCCCTGCAGCATGGTATTGGGGCTCTGGGTTGAACCAACAGGATTGGTTTTTCACATAGCCTATGCCTACCCATGTGCACGTCACTTAATGAAAACTGGATGCATGTATTGCTAATGCTTATTGGCTCAAGAGGACGTGAACAAGTATACAGAGATTCTTAAAATAACAGTTGTTCTCATATGCAAGTGTAATTAGAAAAATGGTGAGTTAGGTAGACAATCGTAATGTATGCATGCGTCTCTCTTTTTGAGCATATTGCTTTGCTGATTCTGAATTCCACGACCTACCTATTAGACACTTCCTCCTGCATTTTCCCTCTTATTTTACCGATGAAGTTCCAGTGGAATGAAAAAGCTTGTTTGTTAGTTTCCATTTCTGTTAGTTACTTAGGCTAGTGTAAGCCAGCCCTTTCTTCTCTCGACCTCTGTTTTCCCCTGTTCTTTCTTGCCTCACTCTCTCTCTCTCTAAATGGGAATTAGCAGATGGAGATGGTATGTGGCTATGCTCTTCATCCAACTGGCCTATGGTATATCCAACATCCTCATCAAGATCTCCCTCGACAAAGGACTCAACCCATTTGTGCTGGTGGTTTACCGCCACGCTATTGCTTTCCTACTGCTAGCTCCCTTCGCTTATGTACTCGAAAGGTAAAGACTATTATAAAGCTGCAGCCGATAACCATGTATATTTGTACTCGTGCAATGAATCAATCAATCTGCAATGCAACTATGGGTGCAGGAAACAGAGGCCTGCACTCAGCTTGTCTGTGATGGTCAAGATACTGGCGCTCTCATCACTCGGGACTACGTTACACCTCAACATCTACTATGCAGGATTGACATACACAACGGCCACAGTTGCCAGTGCTCTCAGTAATGTCATCCCTAGCCTCACCTTCGCCATGGCACTTCTACTCGGGTACGTAGTACGAATTTACAACCTTAATCGGGGCAAAAGAATGAATACACGTACCGATTGTGAACGATGTGTCTGATTTGATCAGAATGGAGCAAGTGAAGGTAGGCTGTGGAAGAGGGCGGGCCAAGGTGTTGGGGACGATGATCTGCGTTGCTGGATCACTTGTTTTTACTTTCTGGAAAGGAGGTTCTCTGTTTCAGGGTCATCTTGCCCTGCAGCAGCCTCTCCTAGAGATCTCGTACAGCGCAAACCAGGACGGAGCTGATCATGACAAGAATCGAAGTTCGATCAAAGGCTCTGCTCTGATCCTTACTAGCTACATTGCTTGGAGTGGCTGGTTGATTCTACAGGTATGAAGCGTAGAAGCATTCCTCGTTGCAGCAGCGTCAGTCTTTGTATATGGTAGCTCTGCCTCTGCAGTTAGACCGTACTTGACAAGACCGTTGCTTTGGCATTCATGCTTGAGTCAGGGGATTGTCTGTAAGGTCTACCCTGCGCGTTTGTCGCTCAACGCTTGGATCTGCTTCTTTGCGTCAATCCAATCATCTATGCTCGCACTTTTATTCGCGAGAGATCCTGCCCTATGGAAGTTGAAGCTGGAGTGGAACGTGGAGCTCGCGACTATCATGTACTGTGTCAGTTTTTCTCCTACCCTACCTTACCCTCCATACGTCAGAATTATCACATAAATGTTGGGCTGTTATCTGAATCAAGATTGAGGTGAGTGCAGGGGGTGGTGATATCGACATTGGTGTACTACCTGCAGACATTGTGTATCAGCAAAAAAGGTCCTGTATTTGCTGCAATGTTCAGTCCTCTGCTTCTTGTGATCGTAGGGGCATTCTCTTCCATTGCTTTCGCGGAGCAACTTCATCTTGGCAGGTGAGTCTTGCCTTTGTACCTGTATTTTTCTTTTCTGGCAGTTCCTCTCAGCAACTTCGTGATATTGATGAAGCAACTGTTTTGTTTGTGCTCTGGTGGCCTTAGCTTGGTAGGGGCACTGATAATCATTCTAGGGCTATACAGTGTGCTATGGGGAAAAAGTGGAGACCATACAGCTTTGTCCACAACAGCAGGAGCAGGGCAGAAAGGAAACGCAGTTGGTATAGATGGTACTGTTAGCACAACACAAAATAGCTCCGCCCCCCACAGAAACCAACAGAAGTCGGCAGAATACATGGCAGTTATGAACTGAGATCAGATAAGATGACAGCCGAAATTCGCTTACCAGCCAATGTATATGTACATTCCCTGCATCAAATTCAATCAAACTAAAAACATATATAACTCCTCCGGGGTTGATACTGAGAGGAAGAGGAGGGAGAAGGCGAACATTGGATGTCTGTGTATAACTTAAACGCAGCAACTGCAGACCTATCTGTTATTTGTACTTTAAAAATCTGTAAAAAGAGAAGGCCTGTTTGTTCCCCATAAGATAATTGACTTTACCACACAACATACGGTGAAATCTATCTGGGACTGGCCCTTATTATTCCTTCTGTTTATTTCTTTTAAATTTCCTCTACTTCATGGTGATTACTTCAACGAGTTCGCGATATCTATCACAAACCGGTACTTCACATCTCTCTTTATCAGCCTCTCCAGCGCTTCATTGACATACTGGATTGGAATCACCTCTGTTTTGGGGTAAATTTTATGTTCAGCACAGAACTCCAGCATCTCCTGTGTCACTCTCGTTCCACCAGTTACACTACCAGCTACAGTTCTTGTACCTACAACCCACAGGAACGAGATTTCCTTAATATCAGTAAGAATGTCAGCTAATTTTACATCAGCAAAAATATATTTTGACCTTAAAGTTAATGACTGCTAAATTAGTCAAGAGAAGAAGAGAACTACCAAGTATGAGGCTTGCTGGACTAAATTTCACTTCACTTGGGAAGCCCACAAGGACAAGAACACCCCCAGTCTTCAGAATAGACATGTACGGATCGAATGGGTGATCACCAGATGCAGTGTCGATTATGAAGTCCAGAGATTTAGATAAGGCCTGCATGAAAATTTTCGTGTTAACCGCAGTAGCATTTGCCATCAGGGATCTTTTGGGTGCAGTTTAGTCTAATAGCTTCACTTGTAGTAGTAGATAATAGCACCCACCTTCATCTGCTCTCCGTCCGAGGAGACAACAAACCTGTCTGCACCAAGGACGCTCAAGGCTTCCTCTTTCTTTGACTCACTTGTGCTGAAAATTGTGACATTCAGGCCAAAAGCCTTCCCAAACTTTACAGCCATGTGGCCAAGACCACCAAGCCCAATGACTCCCAAGGATTTACCAGGCTCATTCATTTTATGACGAATCATGGGATTGTAAACAGTAACTCCAGCACAAAGCAAAGGAGCAGCACATTCCAAAGGATAGCCGTCTGGTATTCTGTAGCAGTATCTGTAGACAAAAAGCTTACATTGTTGTTTCAATATAAACAGGTAATACATAGTTCAAGAAGGTGAAGCCAAACCCTATAAAAACAGGAAACGTTGCCTGCTTTAAAACTTAAGGTACAACACACATGTTGGATATCTGCATATTTCTCACCGATTTGTCTTTTTCATCAAGCGTAAATCTAACAGCAGTGGTTTCTTCATAGGTTACCAAGACATGCTGGTGAATTTAAACTTCTATTGTTGTGAAAGATCTAGTTTACCCCATAAAGATAGGATCTTTACATGGTAGTGATAGCAGCTTTGGAGTCGGCACACACCACCCTCTACTTTAGCTAAAGCTTTTTGATGAATGATATTTTGAAAGTATGTGGGCCGAGCAACAGAAAGTTTCACAAAATTTCAAAGCTTGACCTTTCTAACAAAGACATATTGTCAGTTGTTATTAAAAGCTATATGAAATACCACAAACCAAACTAATGCTAGCATGTCAGCCGCAAGACCTTATATCACTGAATTGGGTCAGGTCATCTGAATTGGCACGAATGCAGAAAGCAGTGAACTTTAAGCAGAAGATAGCCGGAGATGAATCTACAGCCAAAGTTTAAACAGCTAGCGAGGATATAATTTTGCCTATTCCTCGCAATGAATGAACTAATATTAGAAACGCTTGAAGCAGTGACCTTGAGGAGGGAGAAAAAAGGACCGAATGAGGAAAAGACTGGATAGCCATGCGAAATGATGATTTCTTACCTTTGGTGCACCACAATGTAGCTTGAATATCCCCCTTTGGTGATTGTACCATCGGAATCAACACCATTAAAGGTGAATACAGATCCTTTAGCACAGTTGACTTCATCTCTGTCATTGCAAGAGTCACAATCCCTGCAAGAGTTAACATAAGTGCCTACTCCAACATGATCACCAGGTTTGACATGGCTCACATTGGGACCAACCTCTTGGACAATTCCAACAATTTCGTGCCTGTTTGGTGAGAAAGCTGGTCTATTAGCTCAAGCAATTAGGCAATAACTAATGCTAGCTTCAAAGAGCAGGAAGCATACCCTGGCACCAATGGATACTTAGAATCATGGTGTTTATTCCTAGTCCAGACGACATCAGCATAGCATACTCCACAGTGAGTTATTCTGAGGGAAATATCATCCACCCTGATTGACCTGTATAATATAATCCCATATATTTGTTACTACTTTCAAGCAAAGAGGAACCCATAATATCAAATGACATGGTCATGTTGATATAAACATCATACGAAACCTAACATCTTGGATAAGTTAAAAGATAAGGAAAGGGAGTTGCTGCGAAGTATCTGCTCATGGAGAATCATTCAGAACATGGAGGACGGAGCATGAATAACGGAACGGGATGCTGCACTTGCTGCCAAAGTGAATCAGCCAATGTAAAAACTACTGTCCCTATCAAGTGGTCAAACATACATACCTACGGCTGAACTTGTAGGGGGATAGAACTCCAGATGGATCTCTGGCTGCCCATGCAAGGCAATCCTCTTTAGCACTCTCGGAACTCATTGATCGGATATACTGCAAACCAGCAACTGTAAAGCCACCAGGAAAATGGAGGCCCAGAAAACAAGCAACACGAGAATAGAAAATGAGAATCCCCTGACAAAATTTATAATTGAAACCAAGATCCATCAAGACGGAAACGAAATTCATCAAAACCCAAGTAGCTACTGCATACTAGCTACCTGACTGTGGATATGGAAGCAGAGAGGCAAAACTGATTTGGCGATCTCGGTGCTCTCGCAATTGCTGGCGTAACCGAAAGATGGTATGAATTTATAATTGAGAGATGAGAGAGGAGTACTGGAGGTTGGCTCACCACTCACCAGTCTCAAGCAGCGACGAAAAAGAGAAAGAGTCACGAGTCTGAGAGGCAAAGTCACCGCAGAACTAGGTTAATTGCCCTGGATGCCATTTAAGTTTCAGCTTGGTTGCAAGTTAGCCACTTAAATTTGTTTGGCAGCAACTAAAGCACTTAAGCTCTATTTTTGTTGCATTGTTATCTTTTTCATCCAAAAAGTTAACATCAAGTATGAACACGTAATTTTCTAGCCACGCAAACAATACCAGCTCAAATCTAAATTTGTTTGGTTATCAACTGAAACTTAAATGACATCAATTAACCCTGCATTTTATATCGTCTTCCTCTCATTCCCTTTCAGTCTCTATCTCTTTTTGTCTCCTTAGGCCAATCACTGTGCAGTCCACTCCTTCTCCCCCAAGCTCCAAATCTAGTCCTACATCAACAATGTCCATCAGGCCATTCGCCGCCAACCTCGAGTGCCCACTAAGTGAGCTCATCTCCCAACTTAGAAATTCCGACATGCGCTCCACCGCCTGTGAGATCTTCCTCGCCCTCACCTGCACTTCATCCGCCAAGCTCCTCTCCACTGCCACCTCACCTGAACACCACTACAACCAATCTGGTACATCAGACAAGCCTAGATAGAAAGACTATAGCCTCAATTTGCTACCTCTATAAGTTCCAACATCTACTGTGGATAAATATAACTCATTCGTTGAATCTTTGTTGCCCACTACCTCATTGATCAGATCACCTACTCCAACCAACCATCTCACCTCGCCAATCACCAATTCATCTCTTCGCCCACTGTTGTCGATAACCCTACTCCTGACCAGAATAGTTCGTCGATAGCTACTCTATCGAGTGAGCCCCATCCATGTTGATATCTACCGTTCTCCTGCAACGTTTCCGTTGCTTAGAATTATCTACAGCGCATTCGAGATTCTAAGCTGCATTCTATCGACCGATGAAAATAGCAACAACAAGACAGTGATCTTGCTGGTTCCTCTCGGTGAGGGTTTCGACTGGAATAGAAAATTTCTTTACACAGGGTCGTGATTGAGTATATGTTGATACTATGTTTCTTCTGTATAGAAACAAGGGAACTTTGCAGTGACCACAATTATTCTGGTCATGAAAGTTTGGGTGTCCTTGGGCTTTATCTTCATTCGAAAGAGGATGAGCTTTAGATTTTCTTTTTCAATTTCAATTTTACGAAATAGGAGAAGAGTGGAAGAGAGCTAGGTCAATTCTTCATTTTATTTTGATTTCTGGTTTAATCTTCTTTGGATGGAAATATTTTACTATGTGAATCAGTAATTTAGACCGAGCTTGCAATATTTGTATGGCTGGAAAATTACGTTTTCATACTAGACATTAACTTTTTGGATGGAAAAGATAACAATGGAACAAAAATAGGGCTTAAGTGCTTTAGTTGCAACCAAACAAATTTAAGTGGCTAACTTGCAACCAAGCTGACACTTAAATGGTATCTATTGCAATTAACCCGCAGAACTACGAGGCGGAGGAGAGGCCACGATACTGTCGACGAGTTCTCTAACAGTGGAAATAATTTCCTGCGTGACGGCCGGACTCCGATTCTTTATTTTTTTTAACCAAAGATAGCTTGCATTACCAAGAGAAAAATAGATCAAACGTTTACAACTCCGACCGAAACCAAGCGCAAAAATCAAAACCTAGCACAGCACTAGCGGACAATTCTAGGGCCTTCCTTACCACCAACTGGGCAACCCTATTGTTCTGCCTACCAACAAACTCCGATTCATCTCTTCACAGGAAAAAAAGTAATTGTTTATTCTAAGCATCGGAAGACCTACCCGGGAGAACAAAGCTATCAAATGGGTTCAGCCCAAATGGCAAATGGTAACACACAGAGATGTGCAAGAAGATAATGAGTTTGACAGCCGGCCGGGATCAGTCGAGCTCAACAATACAATAAGGATCATTTGATTTCAAGTGGAAGACAGAGATATCAACGTTCTTGTTTTGTTTCATTAAATGCATAATTGTGTGTCCCCAATTATTGATGCACGAGACATCGTAATTATCTGATCCTGGTTGTAACTTTTTCTTCTTATTCTTCCATCTGCAACTGCAATAGAGCCCAAAGACCCAAAATTTGCAGAGTTTAAGGTTTGGAACGAGCTTCTCTGTCTAGAGGTTGCAGGCACTGCAACTCTAGAAGACTGACAACATTCCTCCATAAGTCACTCTCTGTCACTTGCAGTAAGATTGACAGAAACAGAAGAATTGACAAGAAAAAGGGACAGTTTAACTCTGGAAATTCGACAACAGTATCTCATATTTTCCCTTCCTTGTGCAACTAATATTTTCACATGCCCTACTAGCAGCTAATTAACTAAAAACCCACTCCAATGGGGGACGGGATACAACCATATAAAATATGAGAAACATCAGACCTACTGGCCAAGCAATCCAACCCCAACTAAAACACTGCTCCCATAACCAAAATATCCCAACACATATCCACGCCCTACATTGTCATAAATAAGTGCTTATTATATGATGTTTATACTACTAGTAGATTCTCAAGGCGGGGAATTTGCAGCCAATTTACCACCAAGGAGGACTGGACATGGCCCTTCCCTGCCAAAATTGGGGAGCGGCAGTTCAAACCAACAATGATCAAAGCATCTGCATCCAAGCCGTGAGAAGAAATGGGGGTGGCCTCGAGCTGGTGCAAATGCAATCTAGATGCGCTTCTTTTTCTGCTTCCTGACGATGGGTTTCTTGGTGCTAAGGCTCAAACCATCCGAATCGGGAGTCGGATTACTTTGCGGTTCCTCAGGTAGAGTGCAGTGCATAAACTTCTTGTTGGATCCAACCTGGGTGCACAGCAGCTTCAACATCTTTCGTCCCCTCATCCACTTCAGCATGATTTTCATGTGTGTTTTGCTGTTCAATCCACTTATATTAGCTTCCTGTTACGAAGTAACGAAAATGCATTACCATATGGTTCAGTCCCATCTTTTGTTTCAACCATCCTGCCATGTTATGTACTTGAATAAGCTAACAGTCACCATCCTTTACATTACTAATGCATTGGCGACCAAACATGGCAGGAGACTTCACAGCCATTATAGATGAGCTGTTTTATCTCAGCTCATAAGTGAACACTTTAATTAGAAGAAAAGAATTCAAGAATGAGAAGAAAGTAAACCAACAACAGGAACCGTATGTAGTAACTGAGCGTTCGAGATATGCAGACTTGAAGTCGAGAGGGTTCGAATCAACAAGCTGCAGCTTTCTTAACCATGAATATCTCAGCTTAATAATGCGAAGGTTAATGTGAAATGCCAAATGAAATCAGCAGAACAAACAAGATCAGGGTTCCACCGGATGCAGACGAATAGCTATATGATCACAAGACAGCCCGAAACGCAGGATACATAGAATTTAGCCCAACCCCAGAGACTGGCAGCAGCATAAACATGGCCATGGAATGGGTACCATACCAAAATGAGCAAAAATGTTGAATGGACAAGGAAGCTTAGGATGTTGCAGACAGATAAGAGCTCAAACAATCATCAAAATCCATTGCATAATTGAGGCAATCGATCATCATCTCCATGAAAAAGAACTTCTTTCCCTTTCCGAATGAATAGTTGGGCACACACACGCGCGAAATGAATCAAGTAGGAAAGGGGAAATGCACCTTAGCGAAGTTCCATGTATTGGGGACGGTGAGGGGGCCATTCTGCTTGATGATGTTGTACAGTGACTCGGAAATCGCAAAAGCTTCCGGGAAAGGGACCTTAGGGTTTATCTTCCTCACGTTGACGGCGCGCTCTTTCGAGAAGTATCTAACCAACGCATTCTTAATCAAACCGCCGGTACTTCCACCGCCGGTGAAGCCCCACCTCATCTTTCTTCTGTACTTCCTCCTCGCGCTCTTCCTCGCTCGCAACAACCAGCCGGCGGCCAAGAGTGGGTCTGAGACCTGCGTTGCCCTGTTTCGCCTGCTCGGGGTTTGCACTTGCAGTTGGAGCCTGAAGGTCAGGGGAGACTGATTCTCGTTTCCTCAAATTCGATAGACATGGGTCAGTGGCCCAATGTAGAACCCAAATATAAATATGGGCTCTAGCTCAATTATCATTACCGCGCTGGATTTATAATTTGGGCTGTTAGTGGGACTGGATCCGCTTTGCACATGCATACATGTGATTCACGGGTACATGGAAAGAATGAGATTCAGGTATGACGAGGATAGAAATAGCATACTACAATCCAAAGACTATCAATTAATTTATTCACTCAATAATATTTCCCTAATTCAAATTTAAATGGATCAAATCCATTATATTGATAGGTTCATGAGTTGGGCTAGTGAATTTATATGAATTTACAATTCAATACCTACATTTTTCTTCTCGACTTATGCTACTTAAACTTACATCTACGGATTTTGAGAGTTGGGATAAACCATGCTCAGCTTGTTTACTTTTCGAATTCTTCTGGTTATAAGTGGTACTCTTTGAATTGCTTGATTGAATGTATACCTTATGAAATGTCATTGTTTGTGGGATTATACGGGTTGAAGAGGATTTTGAATATGAAAGTGAACTGTAAAGTCATAACATCTCTTACAACAATACTTTGGAGTAACAAAGATGAGTATTTTTTTTTGAATGAAATCTGAGCGAAGATCTTCTCCGTTAAAAAGGTCCTCCCTACAATCCACTTGGAATGCATAATTTTTTTTATTAATATGACCTCTTCGGGATCCTTATACGATTTGTAGCGAGCTTCAATGCCTGGCATAGTCGAAACTGTCAAGAAACCATTGATCCCTAAATAACTCGAGTTGTTGAGGTTCAATTATGGATCATATACCACTTACAACACAACCTCTCAAACGAATGCCAGCTCAATAGGGCTTGAAGTTTGTACAGACATCATAATGTCATATGCTTAACAAAGGGTCAACGAGATTTGAATAAAAAATATTTGAGTCACAGTAGACTCTGTACCATGTGAAGACCGAATTGATCTCAATAGATCGAATCGTTAATATTGAGAGAGACTGATCTACCACCGCTCCAACTCTACTTTTCGGAGTTTTTTTATAATATTACATAGGGCTCATAGGTAAAGACTAAAGAGGTAGCATTTTGTAGTTTATGAAAAAATGAGGCACTTGTTTATAATTGATTTTTTCGTTTGGACAAAAAGTGGTACGTAAAAAAAAGTGGTGCGTAAGTGACGGTTAGTAGTCAATTCTAATTTCAAATTCGGGGAAGAGAAAGGAAAGGAACCGACTTTTCGTTCTTAAGGAAAGGGAAAGAGAGCACCCAGATGTTGACGTGGTAGCATTTCTGTCCCCGCCGTCGCGACTAAAAAAAAAAATCGGAAACGAAAACCATCGACCACCAATTTCCTTAACCGCCTGAAACCTAATTTCTGGTACCGTCTCCGCCACCTCACAATTTGCAGACTGTGCCCTCACACTCTCTCCACTTACTTCCTCCGTCAACTTGTTATCTGTTCCTTCTCCTTAACACAGTCAGGCCGCCGCGCCGCCGCCGCATTCTTAACAACTTGCTCTTTTTCTTCTTTCTCCTCCAGTTTTCACCCGCCAATTTCTTAACAATCCAGTGTCCAGATTCTGCTCCGTGAACTCTCTCTGGTCGCCTTCGACGACGGAGATGATTCGAGCGGCCGCAGATGGCCATCAGCTTCACCGATTGCTCCATTCCTTCTTCCCTTCAAAACCTTAACGCCGCCAAAACCCCCTTGAGACTGCCGCTCGCCCGACCCCGCGGCCGCCGATGGGGCCACGGCCCTCTCGCCACCGCCGTGCTTGTGGTCGCCACTCTCATCGTTGCTACCTCCGCCTGGCTCTCTCTCGTCTCCTCCGGCACCACCGCCCCCTGCTGGCACCGCCGCTCGTCCCTAATTTTCCAAACTACCACCGCCGCCGATTCCGCCGCGGCGGCCCCCACACCACTTCCCTCTTCGCTCCCGGGGTTGCCCAGCCGCAATGCCCTCCTCTCCGACGAGAACCGCGGCGGGAGTGAAGATCAATTGACGCTGGAACACTTGGTGTTCGGCATAGCCGGATCTTCGCAGCTGTGGGAGCGGCGCAAGGAGTTTCTGCGGCTGTGGTGGCGTCCCAACGAGATGCGGGGCCACGTGTGGCTCGATGAGCAGGTCGCCGCCGAGACGGACGATTCCCTGCCGCCGTTCATGATTTCCGAGGACGCCTCCCGCTTCCGCTACACCAATCCCACCGGCCACCCTTCGGGGCTACGAATCTCTCGAATCGTCTCCGAGAGCTTCCGCCTCGGACTCCCCAATGTGCGGTGGTTCGTTCTCTGCGACGATGACACCATTTTCAACCCCCATAACCTTGTAGCAGTACTCAGCAAGTACGATTCCTCGGAGATGGTTTACATTGGTGGCCCTTCCGAGAGCCATTCCGCCAACAGCTACTTCAGTCATTCCATGGCCTACGGCGGCGGTGGAATCGCCATTAGCCGTCCCCTGGCTGAGGCCCTTTCCAACATTCTAGACGATTGTATTGACAGATACCAGGGCTTCTACGGCAGCGATGATCGACTCCATGCCTGCATTACCGAGCTTGGGGTTCCTTTATCCAGAGAGCATGGCTTCCACCAGGTTCCTTTCTCCATCCTTCTTCCTTTTCCCCGATTGCCAAATCCTTCTATTGTTTGAATGTGAACGAAATTCCTTATGAACATCAATGCCTTGGCAGTGGGACATAAGAGGAAATGCGCGGGGCCTTTTATCTGCACACCCAATTGCGCCCTTTGTCTCGATCCACCATGTTGAAGCTGTCGAACCATTTTACCCTGGGTTAACCACTTTAGAGAGTCTCAGGCTTTTCACCAAAGCCATGAGCATTGATCCCATGAGCTTCTTGCAGAGATCGATATGCTATGACCATACTCGACACCTTTCGTTTGCTGTCTCACTTGGGTACGCTGTTCAAGTTTTCCCAACCATTGTGCTGCCTCGAGTGCTCGAGCGATCTGAAAAGACCTACTCGGCTTGGAATGGTATCAGCAAACGAGATGAGTTCGATGTGGATACCCGAGATCCCTACAGGTCTTTGTGTAAGAAGCCTATTTTCTTTTTCTTGAAAGATGCAGCAAAACAGGACAACAATGGTACTACCTTGGGATCGTATGGACGAGGCTGGGTGAATGAAGGTCTGAAAAGAAGGGTCTTTTGCTTTTTCCATTCCCGTCCTCTGCCAAATGTGGCTGATATTGAGGTGGTAGGACATCCGTTGAGGAAGAATTGGCACCTGGTGAGTTGAGTTTGAAACTATGCAATGGGTACATAAATTTTGCTCTGAATTTGTTCAGATTCTGCTTCTTTTAAATGATCTTTTGAGGAACCGGATTGGAACAGGTTCCACGACGCCTCTGCTGTAGAGTTAATCATACAACTAGTCAACACCTGACTATTACAGTTGCAGAGTGCGACAAGGGATCGTCTGGTGCTTTTACTGATTCAACATGAATTCGTTGGTGAACGTACATGGATATCATATCGACAGATATGGCTTGTTGAGGAAGGGAGTGCTAGTTCCATGGTGATTCTTATTGGTGTCTATAGGTACCATGGGCCTAGCTTCCTACTTGCAAGATCTTAACTGTTCCTTGGCACACACAGACGGTTTGTGACTTATGAGCTCATTGAACGTCTGACGCTCATCTCTGCATCATCGATATAGAGCTAGCACGCATCTGCCAAGTGGAAACTGTGTGGAAGGTACGAGGCTCATCTCGTTTTATACAGTCTCGAGTCTTGAGCTTAATTTGTCATGCTACGTGCTAATCCCACCGCTGGAAGCATGCCTCTTCTGCCTTTAATTTTGCTTTGGAAGGACAGTACTTATGAGGAGAATTATGGCTTTGATGTACATCGATTGGCTTGATTTTTGTTGTGCCGCTTGAGTTTACGCCGAACGTTTTGAAACACAGAACTGTTGATGCCTTGTGCAGAAGCCCTGCCGAGTAGCTCAGCCCTTCTTCGAGCAGGAAAATGGAAGAAGGGTCAAACGGATGCAGTGATGCTGCTTTTCTGGAACTAAATGTCATTGAATACCAAACTTAGTTTGCTTCTTCCATGTTCTTCCATATAATCTGAATTGGCGGGCGAGAACTGTTCTCATCTACCGAGGTTGAAACTCACGTTTCACTTCATTGTGAACAAGAATGAAAATCTCCATTCATTGAGATAGGATAGGCGTCCAGAAATTGTATCATTGGTATGGTAAGCTAAAATTATTTGTTTCCCCACCAATGGCGCATGGCAGACTGAATCAGCTTTCATTGTCAATGGCTCAACGCATCTCGCAGCGACACTGTCTTCTCTTCCAAGCGACCACCTTCAACTAGTTTTCCCCCTTCCGTCTTCATCTTCGAGAGGGGACTATGGGAATGAAAGACACTGAGAGAGCCATTTTCACAATACCTTAAGAAACGAACAGGTGGAGGTGGCGGCGGCAACAAGGACGACAGTAGAGTAAAAAAGGATTTAATGCACACATATATCGAAACACGATTTCATCTCAAATTATGGCTGATCTCAAATTTACACGTTAAAAATATCAATTCAACATTTGAAACCGATGATTAGATTCGTACGATCAGGATAACCTGCTGATAGTGTAGTACCCTATTGTCATCCTTAAAAAAGATCTATTTGTATAGCTTCTTTGGTCGAATGACTAAACAATAAGGGGAAATCTCCAAATGTCAACTTTCAGAAGTCTAACCTGTCTCGCAGCTTTGATTGGAAGCTACGTTTCTTGTTGCTTAAGACAGACAGAGCCCCCTAACCCTAAGGGACACTCTTTCCAAATCCCAAAATTGTTCACATTGTTTGTTATTCAATCGCCAACCCAGCACCAACCCACCTGACCAACATGGACAGGTGTCAAAACTAGCCACCTCAAGTCCTCAACTGTAAACAAGACCAAAACCGAACCAACTGGACCTGAAGAAGCTAAACCCCATCAGACAAAAAAAATACGACCTATAAACAGCGACTCTGGTGGATCAACTTATCCGCTCATTCTATCATTTTCCCCACCCAACTCTCTTACCTTCCTTTTCCAAGCTTCTCTTCAGGCAAACATGAGAAAAGCACATCCGAGCGCAGATGGCATGTTCACAACAAGAACCTTATAAGAAGATATTTCCAACACGTTTGCAGAAACCTAAAGAGGGGGGAAAACGTCACAAATGACATCTCATGGCTTGCTTTCGCCACCACAAAGTAGAAATCCTACCAATCTTACTAGCTTTTGCATTCAATCCAACTCTGGCTTACTCTTAACCCTCTTCATTTTGGCTTTGAACCTCGACTTTGTCAGCAATGTCTGAACCGTGTTCAAGAAGTTCCCCACGGCCATCAGGACCAGAAGGAATCCGCAGAAAATTACCTGTCCATCACATTCTCGGCGATCACTTAAACTGCATTATGGTAAAATGGCAACTCATGAATTTTTTCTGGTTTCTCTAGGCAGAAAATTACCTGCCACTCAGTGACGACCCTCACAAATGCAGTCCTCAGCAACTGCAGCCCAACATATGCCTCAAAACCCTAAAAGCAAAACCCAGTGTTGTCAAAGCACTATCAGTTAGGACCTTGTCAATTTCTGTGCTCTATTATACGGTAAAAAGTGGAGTTCTTTCATTCTCAAATTTTAACAAAGTCGAGCCATAACTAATAAACTTGCCTGCAAAATGAAGAGGATGGGGCACAACAACCACAATTGGCCATCTACACCTGCAGTTTCGCCCCAGACGACGTCCATTCTCTTGGCCTGCAAAAACCAACACAGGAACGTTCATAAACAGTGTGAAAAATGTTTGTAGATGAATTGGATGAGTGTAGCCCATGACGCACAAATCATCCTTGAATAAGACACTTCTCTAGCAATACCTTCCCCAGTGCAATTCGAGTATAAAGTCTCTGGCGCTGATATCTATTCTGTAAAAGCATCGCCACTCCTTGCATCATAGCCCATTGCAAGAAAAGTTGGACCCCTCTCTGTAAAAACACTGTAATTATTACTAGGATAACTAAATGTGATAAGCACACTGCAGAAGAAGTAGGAACCTGTTTGGCGGCGCAATTGGGCTGTCCTTTAATCTCCCATGTAAGACTTACAAGGGCCATTATCATTGCGCAATAGTGATGTTTTATCCACCTGAAGAAAGAATACCAGTATACTTTTAGAGTTCTCATGTAAAAGGTGAAGGAGCTATTAATCACATCTCAAGTTGTTTTACGTGCAACCTTGTGAGGACAGTTGCTTATAATATAAAAGCAGGAAGCACAAAAGTACCTTTCGAAAGGGAAATTTAGCTAAATTGGTAATTGACAGGATGCATGCAAATAGTGAATGATTTAATGTTATGTAGTCATCTTTATAAGATCACAACTGATATCTTTTACATCCTCCAAATAGTCCAACAAAGCTCGCATAGGAGGCAGTCCTAACACTATAGCTGAGAATTGACAGAAGTTCAAACAATCCCCACCCCCGTGCGTGCGAACACGCACAAACACACAAATTTGTTAAACCACTTTTATAACAGCGATCTGCCGATCTCTGAGGGATGCAAACCAAAAATAATAAGAAAAACTAGACAACCAACTTTTGTGCTTTATCCAACTCTAAACCACCGTGCACAAGCATATCTATCATACTAATTATAAAAAATAAAAATAAAAAAACATATCCCCACCACCGTGCAACACAAATTTGTTAAACCACTTTTATAACAACGATCTCTGAGGGATGCAAACCACAAATAATAAGAAAAAAGAAAAACTAGACAATCTGGAAGACTTTCCCCGGTAGGAGAAAGGGGAAAGTCATGATATTCTTAAACAGATGACAGTTCCTGGACCCACTTTTGTGCTTTATCCAACTCTAAACCACCGTGCACAAACATATCTATCATACTAAGTTACAGCAATAAAAATAGCTTCTGAGCGAAGGAACTAGTCAATTGTATCCTTATTAACATACTCTCATGGTATAAATTATTGATCAAAAATAGTTCACCAAACAGTTACAAGCTACCAAATCTCAACTACCATCACTTATTGATCATCACCTAATAAAGACCATTGTGAAACCACAAATACTGGCTATACCATATCAGTCATCAGCCACCAAAAATTAGCCAAGACTACTCAGTGAAGCAAGCCTGAGGAATGGGAAGAACAATCTAATATGAAAATTACATTCTGACACCATGGATAACACCTAAAGTGATTGCATGAAGTGGTCAGGCTCAAGCATGTTATCAGCCCAAAAGTGAAACCATAGCAAACAACTCTTAATAGCTTTTCTATGATATGGGTCATATAAGTATATAACAATCAATAGGAATTGAGTGAAGACATCTGAGATGGTGATGCTGTTTCGTTTTGTACCTCTGTTCCATTTTTTTTTTTTTTTTACTTGTACCCCTTAAACTTGTTTTTTTAATAATTGATGTCACCCTTATAAAAAAAAGATATGGGTCATATAATCTTACATTCAGTTCTGTGTCAAATTTCGAATATTGGATACAACTTAAACAAGTGAATGCTGCAACTTTCTTCAAGTCATCAAGAGTCAAGACTGTAGACTGGAGTCTCACAGTATTAGAGTTACATTCATTTTGGAAGAGCTCCCAACTCTTCGTGTACGGAACTAATTTATATATCTGCCTATCCTACTTTCAAAATTTCTCAACTCTTAACAGGATTACCTCACCCATGCTGAAGATAGTGTCAAAAGGGAGAAACTAGAATTTAGTAAACTAATGTGACATCAAAATAGCTCTAGATAGTAGGACTTCTATCTCTGTTAAAAAGTAGGCTAGTAGGCTACCCAATTTCGGACAAAATTTTATGTTGAAGAAAGAATGCCCTTCGCCAACCATTACCCCTGTCCACACAGGAGGGAAAGTGAAAGCTTAAAACCATGATTTGAAGCTATAAAACATCAAGAATCCATTATGGGGATGAAAGCTAGTACTTTAAGAATGACAAGAAGCCAATCCTTGGAAACAGAGGAAATTTTATGCAGAGAATAGGACATCGATTTCAAAAGGCCGTGAAGCTTATGTTCCCTCCACGTAAAGGAAGGTATCACAAACAAGAAACACCATATTCGGGGACGGAAGGTGTATATTCATGGTTGTTTCCCTAGAAAGCTGCACTTCTTTGTATAGTTGGCATATTGGTATTTCCCTCAGAGGCTGTCATAAGAGAATTTCAAACACCAGAACGCCACACTTACTCTAAAATGTGTCTGATGGTAAAGCACTCATCCACAGCTAAAAATTTGAAATCTAGGGAATAATGCAGGTAAATTGTGTCATTCCTGATCAAACATAAGTTACTTGATGAAGGTATTCTCTAACCTGTCACCGATAGCCTATATCACTGCCTTCTCCAATAAGTAAAGGAAGGTATTTTCTTCAAAGCTTTTGGGAGTAAAAACTAAAACTGAGAAGATGGTTTATTTCACATCCAAATGCATAACGCCATGAAGACTTGTAATAAGAAAATCATAGGCACTAAGGAGTTTGACTGGAAGTGAGATGAGAGGAGACAGAAAACATAACAGCATCCGAAACTATACTCCGACAGAAGTAATCTTAGTACTTTGTCTCCTAGACCCGCATGCAGTAACTGAAACTCCTAATTTGTGCAGTTACATCAGGACTTGGTGCTAAACAATACTGAAATCGTAATGGTTAATTTCACATCCATTTTTATCAGTTATTGTTCATGGCACACTTTTCCTCCATGGTCGTGAGGACAATTTAGATAATGTAAAAGAAATTCTACAACTCTAATCATGCCAAAGAATTTAGTTTTTGCCAACAAGGGATTTAGAGAGGGAAAAAAGTGCTCTACTGTAAAATAACTCTGATTATGGTTTCCATTATTCCGCGAAAGTTAAATAATAGGTTAACGCCAAAAAGAACACACAAAAAATAACAGATCTAAGTTGGTCTAACAGGTTCAAGAAATGGAAAAGTATGATGCAATTACCATGGACGAATGTCACTTCCATTGGCCCTCAGAATGTTTTCTCGCAATGCCAATCCGGTGTAAAGGAACAATAACCATGCCTGAAGAGGGGATGGAACAAAAGAAAATATGTAAATATTGGTCAATGAAGATCAAATCTCATAAACTAGGTAAAATGGGATTACCTGATATAGTTGAACAGGGAACGCTGGCAAGCACCCATTCCACAGCCAAGACCTTAGAATTAGTAGAGCTGATGGGAAAAGAAGAAATAAAAGGGCGGTCCTATCCTGCTCAAAACAGAGGGAGCATTATGAGTGAACGGTAGGCTCGAGAAACCAACTAATGACATCGATTCGTTGCAAACAATCCAGATTCGAATAGGACATACCCTGTAACTGTTATACTCTTCTTTAACTTTCAACTGGACATCTTTGCGAGATGCACGCACGTTAATTGGACCCAGAAACATCCTGAGAAAGCCACCTGCAAGGATAAACGGGGTACTTGCATAAGCTTAGTACAGTAATAAGGACATGCAGTTCTTTGAAATAGATCAAACCCACAACAGGATTCATGGAAGCACTGATTTGGCTATCAAACCCACAACGGTAACCAGATGGGAATGAAACCTTTCGGGCGAAAAAAGGAATAAACAAATTGCAGTGGCAGAAGGACAAAGTACCTTGGGACTTGGTAGGGAGGAAAGAAGCAGCATCCCCATCGGAAACGACACACTTGGCTCTCTGCAACTCGTCTTCCAGCTGTTACAAGGAATCAGCCGGATCAAAAAACACATCATCATTATCAATCCCGAAGAGAGAGTGAACAGGAATGAACTAATCAATTGCCTTGTCAGCTAGTTTGGCGTCGATGAGGCGGCGGGAGAGGACGGAGTGAAGGAGAGAACGGCAGCGACGGATGGAAGAGTCGATGGAATTAGCGCGCTGGCGAAGTGTCTGCTCTTCGTTGAAGCTCCTGGAGATGTGAGAGGCAGCCGATTCCTGCAGCTGCCTCGCCTCTTCCACTACTCTTCCTATCTCTTCTTCCACCTGGCTAGCGGACTCCTCCGCCGCTGAATTGCCGCCGTCCATTTTGACTCTGTCGTCTTCTGTTTCTTAATTTTTCGACTCCCTTCTTCCCCGTCTCCCTCTCTCCGGTAAACGGTGGCGTCGTGGATCTGAATCGGTGATCAGCAAACAGAGTAGCGGAAAGCCCCGCGAAAATGGAGACAGGAGACACAAGGAGAGAGCCCTTTGCGCTTGCTTTTCCGCCTTTCGCCCCTTCTTCTCCCAGCGGTAAATTTATTCCCCAGTTGGCCAGTTCCCACCCTTGTCCTTGTGTATATTTCTTTTCTGGCTGGCTGCGCTCGCTCCCACATGAGCCTTTCTGCTAACCCTTTTTAAGTTTTTAATTTATTATTTTGCATTCGTATTTTCTTAATTAAATTATTTTGTATTTTTGTATTTGCATGTTACTATCCTGTTTTTTGTGTGTGTAAATGAATTATCCTTATTTTTAGTTTGTAGGCTCCAGATAAATCTAGGAATCATAGTCCTTTTTCTTAATAGAGGAGATCATAGCTCTTTTTTTTTTAATAGAGGAATCCTAATTTTGAATAAAGAAAAAAGAGTATATCAAAGGAGTGGGGATGTTGATTTTTATGAATTAATATATGTGTTAGTTATTTGAAACTAAAATGTATGACTAATCGATGCGAGCTATTTTTAGACGGTAGTTCAAGTGTATCATAGTGTAACATATTGTATCAATAACTAGATGGTCGAATTTCAATGACTTCAATGAAAAATGCTATATTTTTCTTTTTCTATCTTAGACGTAGTAGTTGTTCTATTTTCTCCCTCACCATAAAAAAATACTTATTGGATATCACAAACGCTTCTAATAAATTTTGTAATTTAAGATTCGTAACGACATTTTGATATCTCAATTGCTCTTCTATTAACAAATCTCAATGATTACATCTTTTAAGTATATAATTATTTCACGCCCACAAAAGTCATAATCATATATTATGATTTAATTCATAGAATTGCAGTTCATTAAAAGAAATACATACTCTCAAAAACTTGTACACATTAGTAAACCATAAGTTTTCAAAGCAACTCGGGATTTTTTTTGAGAATATAGTACTTGTAGATATTTATTGAGTTCTTAAACAACTCATCATTTGTATGTTCTATCGTATCTAGGTTTATTTCCCTGTAATTGTCCTTTGTCAGGATGAGAAATCAATGTTGTATTTTGTATTGATTTTTGATATCAATCCCTTCGTGCACCTCATGTCGATAAGAAAGTTATTATTTCCTCATAAATTTGTCATTAGTAATTTTCACATATACAATATGTCTCAAATGACTATCGTGGTCGATTTTCCGCCACCAACCAAGCCGACGAAATTCCAGTGACTAGTCTTTGGAATATATTAGCAATCTCTGAATCCGCCGCCGGTGAATGTGATGGCAATTCTTTGCCGGCCACCGGTAAACGACCCTGGCGGCTGAGACAAGTCCGTCACTGAAATTCGCCCGCCGGACGCCAAAGTCTGACCGTTAGTCACTTGTTCTCCTCACTTTCAAGTTCCAGTTCAGTGTTTGAGCGGTTAAATATCACGATGGTGACTCGTCAGAAACCCACACACCGCCACCGGTAGTCTTTCCACGTCGATCCCACCATCCAGATGGTTCCCTTTCTCTGTGACATATGGTTCGCCAGTCGGCAATTAAATGCCAAAAGACTTTCTCAAAGTAACGAAATCCACAGTAGTAAGGAAGGAAAAAAATGGCCGACTAGAGCCATCAAATTAATGATGTGCGAAGTGCGTGCGATCGACCCATTCGTCTTTCCCGAAACGTATTTAACACCCGCCTGCGTCCTTTTCCTGAGCTGTTGGGCCAGTTCTGCTTGATCTAGGACCAGAAATTCACCAAGAATCCTAAATAATCACATTTTGTGGTCTCCGATCGGCGGTCTGTCAACGTCTCCTCTATCTTCAATCCTGAATCCTCCTATGACCTATCTCACACCTTACAAATATTCGATTGGATTCTCGTGTCTTCCTATTTTATATCTTGACTTCTTTCCGACTTTAATTACGAATCCTTGAATAAAAGAATTCGCGATAATTGATCGCTGAGATCATTTTCGATTTTCAACTCAGTAAAATGTAAATATTGAATCGTACTAAAAATACTTTTTACGTTCGCTACCACTTTACCAACACAACCTCCATGTGAAAGTCTTCATTTATCATTATAAAAAAAAAAGTCTTCATTTATCACGAGGAACTTGTTGAGCCTCGTGTTCGGATGCCCAATTATTAATTACGCAAAATTTTCAACTTCTAAAATCGCTCCAAAAACTTTCAAAATTTGCTTAATGCGTGAAATGTAAGTGTCCAGTTATCTAATTGAAATACTGACAAAGTTCACACCCTGGCAGTATCTAGGACGAAACATACTTCTGATGACTGCATCGAGGTAGGGGTGGGAGTTCGTTACCGGTTATCGGATATCAGAGGGTGGACGAAATGATTTATAGTCTTAAAAGTGGTTCGATTAACTGATAACCGAGAAATCGAAGCCTGTTTCGATCGATTTTCGGTAGGAGGTGGTTATTTCGGTTAACCGATAACTGAACTGCCACCCTTACATTGAGGTTAAGTGCAAGGTTAGCCACTCCTATAACCAAAGCGAAGTAACTAATATCTTGAGAGACAACGCCATAAGAAAAGGGGAAGCAGCAAGTGCAGAGACAAAATTTTGATTGATTTTGTAACCAGTTACATGCCTAATATGTGTATGCAGAAAGTAAGGGCATAAGTTGATACTACTAATTCTGTTTCGGTAACTCTTGACCTTGAGCTGTCCAATAAGTCTTGACAGCAACTAAGATTTTCTCTGGATTAAACGGTCCACTCTCATGGTCCATAATCTGGCTCGTCCATCTCATTCTATTTGTTATGCCCTGAACTTTCACCAACACATCCACCGTATCCCTAATTATCACCGTCCCTTCTGGCCTCAGGATCCTGTCCATCTCCAGTAGAATCATAGTAATGTCACACCTGAAAGAAGAAGAAGAAGAAAAAAAAAACGACGAATTCAACCCATCAGAGTCGCACCATCACATTCCGCAGCTTGAATTCGTGTTAATTACTTACCTGTCCTGGTAAATGCTTAAAACGCCAGCTGCGTGGATGAGATCGTACGTCCTCGGGTACGTGGAGAAGGCCTCGCACCAGTCCTGATACGTCCCGATGAACCCTCGCTCGTAGATCGCACCGAGAGTGTCGCGATCCGAACCGGCGGGGACGACGTTCATAACCCACACGGGGTACTTGATCAACGCGGCGGCGAATCCACCGAGGTACGCGTTCATGTCCATGACGTTGCGGTACCGCCCTTGAGCCAGAGGGTTGATGATCTGCTTGTAGTGACTCAATCTCCCCTTCCACGCCTCGTTGTCTTCGTTGAATTTCTCGACTGTGATTCCCTGTATCGAGCCGCTCGCGATTCTCGGCGGGACGGCAACGGCCCTCTCCGGCCATTTCTCTATCGCGCCGCCGGCTACTTCGTCGGGTCCGTTCACATTCGGCAGTGGAGTTATGCATGTTTCCATGTTCTTGTACCTGCGTTTTTTTTTTATCAACCCAACATTTTTATTTATTTTTTTCAACTAAAGAAATATTAGACATTCGAGCTTTCAGAACCATTAGATCGACACATTATGAAATTCACGATTCAACGATCACCAATGCGGCCTAACGTGAAATCATAATGCTATACAACATATGAAAGTAGATACGTACCATGATGCATCCGGGTTGTCGGACTTGCACATATGAGGAGTCTTGTAGACCTTCCTATTCTGGACACACTCAAAGTGGTTCATAGGCTTTTGCCATATCGAGAGATCGTTTTTCTCAGCCACTTTCTTCCAGCACAATCGTTTGGCTACATCCTCAATCGCATCCTGCTCTTGCTTCAAATCCTGCTTGCTTCTCTCCCACCCTTTCCAATACCTCTTCCAGTTGATTGGAGGCCCAGACAGGATCCAGTACCCACCGGGCCTCAATACTCTATCCACTTCGATCAGGTACAGCCCATCTGTCATAGGCCCACAAACACATCCAAAGTCAACTTCTATGTCTTTTTGTCTCGGGTCTAGGATTAGTTGACATAAAGGGATAGGAATTTAGTACCATATTGAAACCAAGGTATTAAGCAGCGAGAGCAGTGAGCCATGTCAAAAGCTCTTGCTGGGTAAGGAAGCCTCTGGGAGCCCATTACACCAATCATAGCTGGAACTCCTCTTTCCAGTGCGAATTGGACTTGGGCTTCATGTGTGTCCCTTGGAGCAAACGACATTGCCAAGATGTTCCTCTTCAACAGGTACGCGCCCCAACTCGCAACCTATACATGAGCAAATTAAAACGAGCGAACAGACACAAATCAATCAATGAATCACATGTTCGAGTCTTAACGATGATGATACTTACTCCGCAGCCTGTGTCGATGGCGGTTCTGATGCTGCCATCGGTGAGCGGGATGAGTTTACCGATGTCGTCAATGTAGGCATCGGCACCACGGGGGAACATGGTCCCTCCCCCAGGGAACCTGAACCGCTCGCCCTCGACCTGGATCCAGTGCTGCACGGCCTTCTCGATGCTCAGCTCCTTGTGCGGGATGTTGTCGTACCACGCGTAGTCACGGCTCTCTGGCCACTTGAATGGAGTCTTGTACTTTGGCGGAGCGGGGATCATGCAGAACAAGAGCTCTTCTTTTGTAGGGCAGTGCCTCTCCCTGTATTTCAACATGTCCCTGTCGAATTTTCTTCCCCTCGGAGGGTGCTGGCAGGGAGTGTACTCGCTGTAGGCCATCTCGCAGGGCGGGAAATCTTTATTCGTCGCGCTCGAATCGCTGATCTCGATCTGGTGATGGCTCTCAAAATCCAGTTCCGTTGGTGATGTTAACGGTGACGTGGAGGCTGTGAGATTGTTGTTGTTCTTGTTTGCTGCCGAGTTTTCGCAATCTTCTCTGGTTTTCACTCCGACGCGAGCCTTGGGAGGGCCTGCGGTGTTCTGCCAGGCGCCCATGATGTAGAAGAGCACGCAGAGGCCGCTAACGCCTAGGATCCATGTCAGGCGCCTTCTTTTCGACTCGAGCTGGTGGGCTTTCGGCGATCCACCGTAGTCCTTCGCCATTTTTCTTTCTTTTTGTTAAGAGATGCACCAAACCGACTAAATGATGGAATTGATCAACAAAAGATTGAACCTTTATGAAGACGGGAGGAGATCGAGCTACGCTAAGATCACCTTAGTAGCAAAGGCATCCAGTCCGGGAGATGATTGCTGATGTCATCGCATCGGCAATTGGCTCTACTGCGCTGGGGATTTACCTCGGCGAGCGACTGATGCTTCATCAATGGTGGTCGTTAAAAGAAGAAATGGCGATTATAGGCAGCAAAAGTCGCAAACTTTACTACAATGGGGAGCAAGATAAGTGGAAAGCGAAAGTGGAAGATGGAAAGTTGATATATAATATATCGATCTTATTGTCCTTTCCTTTTTTCTTTTAGTTCATTTTTCTTCAAGAATCAGAAGAAGAAAAGAAGTGTGTAGTGAATTTCTCACTAGTTTAGCAGGAGGAATCGCTGGGAGAGGTTAGAGAAGTTTTGTTAATTCCACCAAAACAGAGCTCTCCATTTCTTTGCCAAAAATAGTGAGGGAGGAGATTGGAAATGAAGCTTGGACTGAGTCTAATGGAGGACACAAGGGGGGACGTTGTGAGTTTTGGGAGAGACGACTAATTAGCCTGTTTTCACTCATCATTCCCCGTCTATTTTTCTCTCTTCTTTCGTTAAACACAAAGCATGAGTTTGACCACCTCAAATAATAGATGTTCCTTCTTTAGTACGGGACCCCTTTGATTTTGAATTTCCTATTTGTGGGACTCCAATTCCAAAAGAACTCTTCTTCATTGTGTCCAACGCCTGTCTGGAAAAAGAGAAGGCAACTAACTAGGTTGGTTTAGGTATGACTGAGTGGTATATTTTTAACATTATGATTTTTTTTAATCAACAATGTGAAATTTTAAGGAAGTCATTCTGTTAAAACAAATCCAGATAACCAACAATGAAAAAAAAAAAAGATTTACGTGATTTACTAAAACAATTGTGTTAGTTAGTCTACGGACAGAAAAGAGTCAGTTTCACTATATTTGAGAAGATACAGATTATAGGGTTGAGATGCAATGAGAGTACGACGGAGTTAGGAAGAGAGAAAAATAAAATGCAAATTATATTGATTGTGTCTCTCCACGTTATATAGATCTAATCTCTTGTTCTATGTTAAAATTGAATTTTAGTTTCAATTGAATAGGAAAAATACAAACTATCGAATTATAACAAACAATGCTTATATTATTTGTACATAAAATAAATAAATATACTAAGCCTTGACAAAATTCGTAACAATATAAACCAAAACCAAACAACTTTATCAGATGTATCCGAAGGGGGCTTGGATAGGGTGCATAACGCATAATTATGTAAGTGTGCATAAGCATAACCAGATCTGGCCTCTTAGTTGAGTGAGGCAAGAAAGGCTCACATCTAAGGGGTGAGAATTAATAACTTTTTATTTTCATAGTTTTTTAAATTGACTATCTTCCTTGTGAGCGGATTAAGGTGGCGCATGGGCAATGGATCGCAGGTGAGGGTATGGGGTGATCGTTGGATCCCCACTACCCCTGGTTTCATAGTCCAATCGCCTCCTATGGGTATCCCGGTTGACTCGACTGTCCAGGAGTTGATTGATGAGGAGTCCGAGCAATGGGATAGGGACTTAATTGAAAGCTGTTTTACAACAACAATGGCAGAAGCCATCGTTCGTATTCCCTTGCGTGGACATCTTGAGAAAGATCAACTAATTTGGGCGGAGAGTAAAGGCGGAGTGATTGATGAGGAGTCCGAGCAATGGGATAGGGACTTAATTGAAAGCTGTTTTACAACAACAATGGCAGAAGCCATCGTTCGTATTCCCTTGCGTGGAAATCTTGAGAAAGATCAACTAATTTGGGCGGAGAGTAAAGGCGGAGATTACTCAGCGCGGGAAGGTTACAGGAAATGGTTGCGGGACTACCGAGCCGACAGTGGACAGGTGCCGACGGGGGATCCAAGGCTATGGAAACAGTTGTGGGGAATGAACGTGCCACCAAAGGCGAAACACTTTATGTGGCATTTTGCTCGAGACTCTTTAGCGACAGGGGATCATGTGAGTGCTCGTAGCCAAAGACGAGGAGATGCTTGTCCGTTTTGTAACATGAAGGAGACCCAAGTACATATTTTTTGGAGAATGCGCATGGGTATGCAGGCTGTGGAGAGCATCTCATGTGGTGCATTGTTTTGACATGAGAAGCGACTTACATAGCTTGGACTGGGTGACGAAGGTGGCGCAGTCAGTATCGGAGAAGGATTTCGAAGATTGGAGTATGCTCTTGTGGATGCTATGGAAAGAGAGGAATGCGCATATGTTCAACGGAACAAAGTTGCCAGAAGCTGATTATATACCACGAGCGGTGTCATTATTGGAGGAGTATAGGCAGCAGCAAGGTGTTAGCTTGCCGATGCAATTACGGCCAGTGGAGAGACGATGGAAAAGACCAGACGTGGGGCGCATAAAAATCAATACTGATGCTGGCGTGTTTGCAGGTGGTTGCGGCTTAGGGGTGGTGGCTCGCGACTCGAACGGAAACTTCTTGGTGGCGACAACGAAAGGGATAAAAGGAGAACATGATACTCATATTGGTGAGGCGCTAGCAGCCGAGTTTGGCCTGCAGCTTGCCCGACAGCATCAGCTGGGAGTCCCCGTACTTGAGACGGATTGCTTGTCGGTGGTTAACTGCGTAAAAAATGCGGCTAATGATCAGACGAAGTTTGGAGTGGCATGTAGGAGCATTCATCGACTGCTCGAGGAGACAATAGATGGAGAGTGTAAGCATGTTTCTCGGACAACGAACAAAGCGACACATATAATGGCGCATTTGGACACGAACTGGAATGTAGTTGAGGTTTGGTTCGACTGACCTCCTATATGTTTACTTGACCAGTTGGAGCTGGATTCTGTAATGGTTGATCATAATTAATACTACAGCAGATTTCTATAAAAAAAACTTGGATTCATTTTATTTTGCACTTATGGAAAGAGTTCGTTGTGATCTACAAAATGAGATACATTTTTTATATATTTCGATAAAATTTCATACCCCTCTTATTACTCAATACCACCTTGATATCACCTTCATTTTTAACTTGAATTTTCAAATTTTGTACATAGATTGAACGAGTTCATTATGATTTATTCAATCTACAAATTATGAAAAAAAATACTAGACCAAGCTAGATTCGGGAATGTGAAAAATTGAAGGTGGTATCAGCTGGGTTGGGGAATTTGAAATTTTTTACATAGATGTGGACACACATTCGTGTTCATTAAAAAAATTTCTCTTTCCCCCATAAAATATATTAAAGTGGATATCATTTTGAAGATCACAATTAATTTTGTTTTATCTATGAAAAATGAAAATAAAACATTTTAAAACAAAAGAGATACATCCCGTTAAAATTTTAAAAAAATTTGTTAATCACATTCGTCATTCCATAAATAATAACTAGCTTATACCCGTCCGTTGGTCGGAATATTTTGAGATATCTATTTCGATGATATATCTTGATTAGGGGTGTCCATTCGGGTTCGGTTTTTTGGGTTTACCCGAAACCGACCGATTATAATTTTTGGTTTTACGGGTTCGGGTTTGTTTCGGGTTTCGGGTTTTTTGGTTTCGGGTTCGGTTTTTCTTATCGATTTTTTGGGTTCTGGCTAAAAACCTCCAATGAATAGAACTCAACCCGTATTCTTAGGTGTTTGGGTTTTCGGGTTTCGGTTTTGCTTTAACCGAACCCGATAAGGAATTTTCAGGTTTCGGGTAACCGGGACCCGCAAGTCCTTATCGGTTTCGGATTCAGTTTTAGTGATTTTTGGTTTCGAGTTTTTGGTTTTTTCGGGTTTCGGTTCGGGTAACCGAAACCGACCCGAACTGACACCCCTAATCTTGATAAATAGTTAAATAGATTTTGTTTGGAACTAATAGTTGACTTTTATAATCGAGATTGATATTATTAAAACATGATAAATAAAACTCAATTCTTAGTATTAAAGCAATCATATGAATTAATATATTGAGAGTTTAATTTGTATACCTTGAACCTTATTGATGAATGGTGTTCTCACTTATCATAATCAATTCCTTGATGAAAAGTTTTATACTTGATTGGGATTTTTTTTCTCAATTAATAGGTTTGTACATGATTCCCTTTGGAGTTTGGACAGATAACATGAAGAGTGAATACTTTGAAGTCAGGACATATAGACTGGAAATAAGAACAATGTAAACACCATATAGCAAGGAAGACAGAAGCTCTGGGGAGCTGTCAATTACTATTTTTGAAGAATAGCTTAGATAGAAGGAAAAAGGTTTGCTCTGCTAAATCCACAAATCCCCTCAAATGATACCAAGGTGAGAAAAACAATTCTAATGAATGAAAGCATGGAAGAAAACTAACTGAACTCGAATGAATTTATTTGGCTAAATATGGTTGCATTCACAATTACGCTAATCATTATTAACCACCATCACATGTAGGTGGAGTGTAATTAGTCTCCAAACTATGCAGCATTTTGTGTACTCTCACAATCCACGTCGAATTTTTTACCCCATTAATTATATAAACCCTTTACCCAACACATAAATTCCACTTTGAAACTCATATATCCCCTGAACGGTTTGACAGCTCACTCACAAATTATCCAAATTAACTACAATTACACACATGCATGTCTCCATCCCCCTTTTAGTTCCCTCGCTGCTTGCATATATAGCACCAACAACACTACATCTACATGGACCATACTTTGAGCTTTTTAGCGAGCATTCCACTGACTACACTTTCACCCACCTAAGTTGCTTACCCTTACAGTTCTCATAGCGGCAGCAGAAACATTAGGTATCACTGCAAGCACGCGGCACAATTCAATAGACAACACATGAATCTGAGTAACATAAGATTAAGAGTTTGCCAGTTTGGTGAACCATGTTTATCAGCATAAACATACATTCAACCATTCTAAGTATTATGTATCATCACAAACGAACAAAAAAAGCATTGTATTATGTTCCATAACAACTCAATAGAGGAATGTATTTACTCAAAATTTCCCATTAACAAATGCAAACTGACAAAGAGGAACCTAGATTAAGGAGTCTAACAATCGAGGGATTTCAATTATAAAACTATAGGTTAGATAGAATCATCAACTTCAAGGGAAAAGTCATTGTTGTATTAAGCCCCAAATCTTCTGAAACATACCAAAATGAGAGAAACAAATCACAAACTATGAAGCCCTGAAAATCTATCTAACATCCAATTACTTTATGGGGTTAAATTTGGTTTGTTTCATAAATATGTTATATTATTCATGGAATTGATTGATTCCTGTTGGTTGGTGTAATTAAGGAAACATAATCATCTCACAACAACCATCCCTTTTACTGGTTCTTCCTTCGGCTCTCCACTCTTTCACCTGTAAAGTAAAATTAGTGTTCACCTAGAATCATGGAGTTTTAATGTTTTTCATAAACACCCCATTTGAATTTTTCTTTGGCATGCTGCGTTCTCGCAAAAAAAAAAAAAAAAAACTGAAATAGCCATATAAAGCTTGAAGTAGCAGCACAAAACCAAAATGAAAAATATAGTGACCAAAGTGATTATTAACACCAAACAAAAAACGAACAAAAGCAAACATTACCATAAACTCATTTTAATCTATCATACCGCAACACCATAGCAAACTGGCACCTAAGACATTAGCAAATAAATTATGTAATCCACCGGATTAGAATGAAAACGCAAACCATAAACCCAAACGCAATTGATGAGACTCAAATTACAGCAAACAACCAAAAAGAATGGAACAATTGTAGCAGGATAAAAAGGCAGAGTGGAATGACCTCATCAAATAGAGGTCAAGGTCTCCGCATCAAATTGGTGGAGGCAGCTCTCAGCGAACAGAAGCCACCGGTAGCTGCTCTTTCGCCAGTTTCAAGAGATTGAGTGTTCAAGAATAACGAAAATACATAAGCAAACTCAGTATATTGTTTCTACTCTATACTCATTATTCACACAGAGTTCGAAAACAATATATAGTGGAAGATGTACTTATTTCGCCTAATCTGTCTTCCAAACTGCTTTATTGTCTTTTCTACTGCAGAAGGTTCTTCAGCGGTTCACCTGCACCATGAAAATGATACGGGTGCACTTATCGACAGCCTGCAACCCCATAGAAAACCAACATTATCCCCTTAACCTTTTGTCCCATCGATCCCTCTCCTTCCAACCTCCAAGGAACAACTTTGAGTCTTTGAGTTGCGTCATGAAAAGGATACTGTTGCTTGTACGTACGCGTTGACCTGTGAACTCACAATGGTAATCATAGACCAACTAACCAAGAGAGAAGCTTAGAGAGTGAGTCCATTATTTGGACAAACCTCATTTTAAAATGTGTATCTTTAATCCAACAACTCTAATCAATTAGTTCTCTTTTCTTTACCTGTGATTCTCGTCCATGACCAAAGAGCTCAAAGAAGGCAGCTCAAGCCTCAAAGGATACAAAACTACTAATGCTGCTCCAAAGAGAATAATAAAATGTAATGCGTGTTCATTTCTCTTACCACTCTTTGAAGAATAGGCTATAAGGATGAGCAAAAGCAGAATAAGTAAAGGCTCTAAAATGGGTTATTTGTTCTCCAACTTTAATTGTCAGATAGAACTCAAATCTGATATAGATCTTGAAATTGTCATTGAAAAGACAAACAAAAAGAATCACCATTTTCATCAGCTATGATCTTCGATTTCCTCCTTTCATCAAGATGCAACACAGCAAGACTCTGTTAGCATATTTAAAAAAAACATGATGAATAAATACGGCATAAACGATTTTAGTTAGGTACTCATCTTCCCAATGATCAGGAAACCATAAGCCAAATTCCCATCTTGAGGCTGCTTTGAAACAGTCATAGTTCTGAGTTCTGACAGCTATCTCACCGTGGGAGGCCTCATCTACAACAAAACTTACCAGAAATTAGTTTCCAACAATCACGATAAGCCCTGGTGATTTTCATGGAATCTAACACTCCTTCATCACAACACGAATCTCCATTGCTGGTCCAATGGGTTCATCACCCACCACTACTAACAGCTTCCTAAAAAGAGGCTAAATAATGTCATATGTGGAGGAAAATAGAGAGAACCCAAAGAAACTTAGCTAACAGCAGAGTAAACTGGCAAGAATAAAATGGAAATCTACAAACTCAATCACAAAATAATTGGAGGGACCACTGCTTATAGGGCTTATGGTTCCTTTTCTATTTGTTTGATTTGGGTTCGTCGCCTCCACCATGAATCTCCAACGAAAATCTATGTTGTTTGAACCTGAAGCATCCATTCTCCCCCTGAATGATATATGGGACAAAGAAGAGGAAGACCGTGAGATACTCTCTGTGAAGTAAACAAAAAAAAAAAAATCGAGATGACATACTTAAGGAATTCCTCGGGCCTAATTCGGATCCACAACTTCATATTCTCTATTTCCTTGGAAAGATCCATCTTCTTCATCCACAATCAGCAAGCCTTACAGCCACAAAGAGAGTCCTTCCCCAGGAGAATACTTGGTATGCATCACCTGATCGCTACTGTCAGATCCCCGTGGAATCCAATGAATCAGAATGAAAACTTAAATCAAAACCTAAGTAAACAGAGAGATAAACACATGTGTTTCTAACTTTCTATAGTTCAAAACTTTTCTCACCATCGAAGAGAGGAATTTGACAATCCGCCAATCACCATGGGACGAACACCTTTATGGTGTCTCTTCTCTCCTCTTCTTTCTTATTACTTCCAATGCCACATTGCCCACTTCTTCTTCCCCTAAACCGCAGCGCCACCATTCTCAATCTTCCGCTTACCCTGATTCCACCTCCGCTGGACAAAAGTAACTTCAACTCCGTCCTTGTCTCCCTCCTCGACTCCCACTACACCGAGCTCGGTGACCTTGTTGAGAAAGCACTCCCCACGCTCTAGAGTAATCCGTCGGCAACCACACATAACCACCCCACACAATGGAGCCCTCGAGCGTCGCCTCGACTCCGAGTTCAAGCGCTTCCTCCTAAAGCCTCGCAACCTCCACTCCCTCTGCAGAACAACCTTCGTTGGCAGTGACGGAAGATGATTTCAGCCGCAAAAAAAGTAGTGGGAACCAACGGTTTCTTATCTCTCCTGTCACGCGGGGATTTCTAATTTAATCCCATGTAACCACCCTGCCACGTCAGACTCCTAAAATCACTCTATGCGCAGGAAAATTTGAATGGAGGTTGCAGTTTTACTTTTCAGCTATAAATTATATTGTTGATGTGGCAAGTTATGAATAATTATTCACCTTTAAATTTAAATTAAATTATACAAGGTCCCTTGCATCAAAACCAAACAACTCGATTGTTACTTGGTACTCACCCAAATCCAACCAGCAACCGCACCCTTAAACCACGAAAGAAACTGCAGTGGTCTTGGCTCTTGGCCAATCTAGTACCGGAAATTTTGGCAATCAGAGGGAGAGTTTTGTCAGAACTTACGAGTGAACAATGATCAACAGGTTACAGTTGCAACTCGCAGAAGCTTTCTTCTCTTTCCTCGACTGATGAGTGATGAACGTAATTTCGACCGCAGCGTCTTGTGATTTGATGCAGCTAGCGGCTTTGCTGAAAGTGCCCGTCAGACGGTGCTCGTTCGTGACTTGCGCATCCATTTTGACTGTCCCAATTTTCTACATTTCGACTGAATCAAATATCCAGGGTGCCGGATTTGCTGCTACATAGGAGCTCAAATTAGATATAGTCTGGCTTGCCCGGAATGTCGGGATCCTCTTCTTCGGATACTCCTTCTTCATCATCGTCGTCGTCTTCGGCAATAAGAGCTTGGAGGACTGCCTTTCTGACTCTCCGGGACGAAACCCTAACGAGCAGCCCTAAATCGAAGTCAATAACGCAACTTCTCAATGATCTCATTTTCTCTCATTCCCGGGCTCTCATGTCTGCCGCCCCCGACCTTCCTCCTCACGAGGTACACTGCAATTTGATGCTGTTCATGTTACTGTACAAGTGCTCATTGGGTAATCAATATAGAATTTAGTCGACCACTTCATCTTTGTAATTGCTCCCGGCACTCCATCATAGAAAGGAATAAAGACAAAGCTTAATGTGGAACCTCATTACTAATTTTGAATTTTCAGGTGACCTCTGATCTGGTGTTCTTAATGGAACTGGCTGCAAGTTCTCCAAGCGGCCAAGATCTTTCACCTATCTATGTTCATGTTTCCTCTTTGGTACTCTTCGTTTTCTCCTGGCTCTATTGGTTTCTCCATTTCAGGTTTAGCATATTCAATGTTGCATGGTTTGTTTGCTGCTATCCAGGTGCATGATATTTGCAAGCTTCAACGTATTCCTCTTCAATTGAATTCTTCTTCTTGGTTTGTTGTGATCAACTGTTTCTCCGCTATGGTGCAATTCTTCCTCGGCCAAGCTGGTTCCAGACCCCAATTTTCGTTGGGGCACACTGTGGAATGCTTGGGGACCGTAAGGTATTAGTTCTTGGTTCTTCACTCTGTCAGCTTGTGCTCGCACTTGGCCTATTTTCCAATAACTTCATCTATTACTGTGACTAGGTTTGAGCTTTTCTGTTTGACAATAGTGTCTACATTTGTCTTCTCATTTATTATTTGATATGTTATGTGACTGGCGTGCTAAACTTTGAATACTTTATGCTGTTTCTTGAATCCCCAGATGTCTGGCCTCCATCTATCAGCCGAAAAGTTTGCTATCAGATGATGTCCAGTTGGCAAAGTTTCTTCTCGGAGTAATTGAAAGTTATCATGCTCAGTGCCTGCTGTCAACTTGCACAAGCACCAGTGAAAATGTTGTTGTCTCAACTGGCAAGAGGTTATCTAAAAGCAGTCAGTTGTGGGAAGTTCCAACAGCCGCATTTGCTTTGCTCAGTGAAGCATTCACAAGAATCGGGTCTTCGTTCCCCACTTATATTTGGCAATCTGCTATGGAGGTATGTTGTGGGCTTGACTGATTTAATGGTTTTTGGGAAAAGAGACTGATATACTTTTTTTCCTCCGATCCATAACCAGGTGATTAGGAAAGTGATGGACGTCTTACTGTCTCAGAATTTCCTTGTTGAAGGTGTTCCTGCGACAAGGTTTTTAGAATTTTTCCGTCTGAACCTAATAGCAATAGATGCACTTAAACACACATTACAGTGCACAACCTTATGGGTTTGATTCTGTAATTCATGTGCACTACAAGTATGATGATGCACGTCTTCTTTGCAGGTTTTATGCTGCGCTTCTTGGATGTCTACATCTGGTTCTTACCAATGCTAAGGGTTTTCAAAATGACCATGTATGTGAATCTTTGCTGTCAGGTTTGAGGATTATTTTCCTGATATTAGGAATGTTGTGTGCCTTATAGTATGGATACTTGTCATTCTCACAGGTTCCTGCTTTTGTGGCAACTTTGCGAATGTTCTTTACGTATGGCCTGTCACAACCCTTATACTCCACTAGTGCTGGCACACATAAGAATGCTGCTAAATTGATTTCAGAAGACACTAAGAAACAGCGTATTCCGTATCGCCCTCCTCACCTGCGCAGAAAGGAAAATGTAAACATGAAGCAGCTTAAAGCTCAGGAATTATCTTGTTCCTCTGATCAAGAGTCTTTTGCATTGGAACTTATTTCATCAGATTCAGATTGCAGTGACAGTGATGGATCTGTTAAAGATAATGATACTATTAAAAATTCAAAAGTCAGGACTGCTGCTATAGTTTGCCTACAAGTAAGTATATTCTGCTATCCTCTCATCATCGCTTGTGATGAAAATGCATATGTATAATGTATTTGTCACCATGTTTGTAATTAAAGGAATGCTAATACTCTCAACATTTTGCTTGTTTCTTGGAGGATCTTTGTCAAGCTGATCCCAGATCATTTACCAATCAGTGGACTATGATTTTGCCAACAACTGACGTACTAGAAGCAAGGTAAGATCATCAAACTTCCCATAGAAAATGGGGAAAAGGTCATCACAGGATCACTTAGGTTATTTCTTGTGAGTTAATTGTTCCTTGAGTAATTGAGCGTTCATTTTATGTGCAGGAAGTTTGAAGCTACTCTGTTGACTTGCTTGCTGTTTGATCCTTATTTGAAGGTATTTACTGGGTAGTTTATTGAACTTGGATTGTTTTCCAGCAGAGATGAAACATGCTGGCCCCGCTTCAAATTCTTAGAATCTTGATATGCATAATTCTTCTTACAATTAGGATTAAGGTGTGATGATCGACTTCCTTTACTGTTGGTATGATACAGGTACGGATAGCATCTGCATCCACTCTGGCAGTGATGCTGGATGGCCCTTCATCAGTTTTCCTGCAGGTAGCTGAGTACAAAGAGTCCAGCAAGCGGGGGTCGTTTATGGCCCTGTCAAGCTCACTTGGACTTATACTTATGCAACTTCATACTGGTAACAGAGAGAATTCTGTCGTGGTTGAGTTACATTTGTGCTGACTGTGATTTTTGACATTTGTTGCTTGCTGCTTACATGCTTCGTTCTGGTTTGCTGTGTTTCAGGCTTGCTGTATTCAATCCAGCAAGAAACTCATAGTAGATTGCTAGCATCCCTGTTGAAGATTCTTGTGCTTTTAATATCAGCCACACCGTATGTATTCTGTAACTCAACCTGGAAGAATTAAATTCCGGTTATGATTTTGGAGTCAAGCTTACTTCTTGCTGGTTACCTGTGTCTCTCTTCCAAGAGGAATTCATGTAAAGCTTGGCCAGAGATGGATGGAGAGAAGCTTTAATTTCAAGTTTGAAACTGAAACGTGATTTTTTGTGTGTGTGGCAACTATGTCAACTCAAGGCTATCTGATGAGTTATGTAAAAGAAGAGCTGACTCTTCCTTCAAAACCAAATAGTCCTGCCCTCGGATCTCCTAGCTGAATGATTTCTTAGTTCTTTTGTCATTGGAGGTTGAGAAACAAACCTTAGGACTCTTCCTCTGTTGGGGAAAAACCATTTCACTAAAGATTTTGGAGATGTGCCCCTGTTATCCGTTTCAGCATGTTCTTGGTTTAAAGGGGAATTTTCTGCAAGTGAGATCTAAAATGGCTGGCAATTGCTACAGTCTTAAGAAATGAGAGGGGTGTCTGTTCTTTCTGATAATATAGTTGGGCTTACATGAACCAGTATTGACAGGGTCCTGATTGCGTATGTATTGGATTTGAACATAATATTCCTCTTCGTGGTGAAATTTAAGTTGGACGCCAGTAGGGCCTGTGACCACAATGTTGCAAACCCAAAGATGCAAAAAAATTCATGCTGACAAGGATGCTACTCTTTAAAGCTTTCTCTGAGTACTTTTTAATGCGACTGTTATTTGACAATGGATTACACTTCCATGTATATTCTGCTCTACCAATCCGTGTTTGTAATTTTCTCGTTATTTTCCTTCAGGTACTCAAGAATGCCAGATGAGTTGTTGCCCAGAATAATTACATCTCTTTTGGCAGGGATGGAGCATGGGCTCTCTTCCAAGGGCGACCAGATTGGTTTATTGGTTAGTGTGCTCTGTGGTATATTAGAATGTTTGAGGATCTCTGGTTTTATTGGTCCAGGGGTGGGGATGGGACGTCATAGTGAAGATGAAGCTTGTACTCTGACATACTTGCTCACAGACGATCTTGTTTTACAGGCTGCCTCTATGAATTGCTTGATAGCTGCTCTATCCACCTCACCTTCATCACTGGTTGTTAAAAAAATGCTTGCGGAAGAAATAGCAAAAGGTTAGAGTTCCTCCTCCTCCACATTGTACTGCTTTTGAAAGGCAGGTCCTATCTATTTCATCCTTTTCATTGGCTGAGTTGGAGAAATGGAAGAATGCTTCCACAATCAATGTGCGACATTAACGATACGTAGAGGATTTAGTTGTATATCTGAAGTTCGCTGAGTTTATTTCTTATTTTCCCTTGCTCAATCTCAAATACACGTACTTTTGATTGGAGGCTTCTTCAGGTGTTTATGTAGATAAGAAAGCGTCAGGCGTTCTTTCAACAATATTTCGGTTCTCTGATAGACTGAACAGCCCATCAATATGCTTTGAGGCTCTGCAGGTAAATTTTCATAAATTTAAGGTGTTCTGTCTTCATTATGAAGGTCTTGGTTATAGTGTTTTAATGTGCTTCCTGTCAGTCAGTTGCTGTATCTAGCAACCTATGGATCCATGCCTGCATCTTCTTTGCTTATGTTGTGGTGCGGGTGTTGTCGCCTTGTGTTACCATTGTGTTTTCAAATAATTACTTATTGCTTGGTTGTTTTAGTTAGAAACTGGAGATTCACTGGTTCAGTGAATGGGAAGATATCAGAGATCTCGCGCGGCAGATTTTATTGCCTAAAATTATTCTGTGGCATGAGTGTGGTTATATCCAGCTGTTGCACACCACCCTTAATTTATATTTCGTTCGTCCTGCTAACCATTGTCTTCTTCCTGCTGTTCTTGTTTCTGTAATTAGTCCGAAAAATTAAATTTCCACATTATTTGGTGTAGGCTCTTAGGGCTGTGATACACAACTACCCTAGTACAGCACCAGCATGTTGGGAGCACACCACCAACTTAGTCTCTGATATCTTGAGAGCCTCCACTGTAGAAGTGTCCTCGACAAATTGCCAAGCTGGTGGCGAGTACAATATTGGATTTGTTGGAGAGAAGGTCATAACCTCAGTCATCAAGGTAAAAGGATTGAGAGGCTCATTATATTTATATCTTTCACAGGTTTGATGACAGATTCATTTCTCCGTTTCCTATGGCCTTGTCAGGGATTCACATTCTTAACCTTGGATTAATGCAGTTTCTGTCTGCTTGGTGGTTCTTATCTTCTGGAGAACACATATAAATTTGTTTTATGCTAAAAGCCATTAATCCTCTGCTCCGCTCTTTGTTACCTCTTTTAGGTTATGGATGAATGCTTACGTGCATTTTCTGGATTTAAAGGAACAGAGGAGCCTGATGAAAAAGTATCGGATATGCCTTTTACTAATGACTGTGTAAGGGAAAAAAAGGTTTCTTCTGCACCATTGTATGAATTAGAGAGTGCTGCAGATAATGAAGTTAAATCAGAAGCAAATGAAACTGGAAGTGAGCACTGGTCACAGACAATAGAATGGCTTATGCCTCAGATACTACAGCACTATTCTTCCATGGTAGGTTTTAGCTTTTTGGATTCAGGTTTTTTATTTGGTATTTGAGAAACACGTGCATTGTTTGTGTATGTGGTATCTCGAATCAAATTGTCGTCTCAGATGAATGTAGTATGATATGCAAGTCACCAGAGTGATTACCTTCTGCTGGCACATGACGGTTTTCTAAGTTGACGAGTCATCAAAATCAAGCATATTTCTCTCTTTGTAGAAATGATTTTTTGGATTAAATTTCTGGGAAGAAACACCAGTGCTCAAGGGATAAACTTGTTACTTTTATAATTTTACTCGAGCAAAAGCTAGGTATGTGGCTTTCCCCTTTCCATCTTTATCGGGTAAAGTAGGATCATGCTCAACTGTGGTCTTATCTAGAGCTCTTATAGTGTAATTTCACAAAGAAACCTCGGCAGTCTATTATGGATCCCAGAACTTATAGTGCTGACCTTTCTGTTATGGATATTTTGATTTAAATGCATTTGTTGGACTTGTGTTTCTTCGCCATTATTTATGTTCAGCATTAGGATAGTGAACCAAGTGATGGGAATGTGTTCCCTATGTAGTCTTACTCTTTGCCAAGGGAAAGGTTTCTTGTACTTTGGCAAAAACAATTTTGAATTGATTATGCAACAGATCAACCGTACCACTCTACACATTATCAGTTTGTCAATTAATCTAGTCATAATACAAATGATCGGAGCTGTTGTAGGTGCATTACCAATGCCTTCAGTCTTGAAATGCAAATCTTGTGATTTTATGTTAGTTCTTCTGTTCCTCTTATGGGTAGCTGAATTGTGTTGTTCTTCATTCAAAGGTGAGAACTGCATCAATCACTTGTTTCGCTGGTATTACTTCTTTCGTGTTTGGAACTCTCTCAAAGGAGAAGCGGGATTTTGTCGTACAGTCTTGTGTAAGTTATTTTGATCAAAAGCCTGAGCACTGGCTTCTTATGCCATGTATACAATTTTTTTTTTATCTTGTTCTAGTCAAAGTTTCTTATTACTATTCAATGGAAAGAAAGTTAACTTATTACATCTGCTAAATCTTTTAGATCAGTGCTGCTGTGCACGACAAAGTTTCTTCAGTTAGGTCAGCTGCTTGTCGAGCAATTGGCGTGATTTCTTGTTTTCCAATGATTTCTCATAGGTAATTTAATGTTTGTTTTCTGGTCGCAATTTTTGGGATGTTCTTATGTTATTGTGCTGCCTCTCACGTTTACTCGGTACATTTTTAAGATCAGGAATAAGAGATGGGGTATTTACGAAATTTTCTAAATCTTTTAGTGCAGAGATCCTTGATAAATTCATCAATGCTATTGGGATGAATACTAGTGATCCTCTGGCCTCGGTATGCTATTGTCAGTTTAATACCCTTTTCAGTTCAGATTTTCATGTGTCCATGTGCTCCCTTATTGACCACAGTTTATTGCAGGTGAGAATCGCAGGTTCTTGGGCTTTGGCAAATATATGTGATTCTCTGCGTCATTGTGTTGATGATTTCCCCCTGAGACAGTCTGCAGGTTGGTTTATGGCAACTGGTGGGAAACATGACTTTGTTATCATTGCTTAAGAGCTTTTTCTTTTTTTATAGGTTCAAACTCCAACTCCAATGTAGTTGTCTTCCTGATGGAGTCTGCCTTGCGTCTGACGAAAGACGGAGAAAAGGTAATTGTAGGCCGCAGACAAACTATATCCACTGTTTCATGATGTTCCATGGATTGCTTCACAAATTAGTATCTAGTTGGATGGAATCGATGAGTGGTGTGCAACTGCAAAATATAACTGCAAGGTGTCATTTTCAGTATTACCTATATATTGTCATAATGATAATTTTGTCCAATGTATGACATTATTATGGTTTTGATTGTTGGGTGCATTGGTTTGGTGTATTTACAAATTGATGTTATATATTTGTTACTCATGCTATCATGTGAAATATATTTGCAAAATTTTGATTCAATGCATCTGTGTAAAAAAGTTGTCAGAAAAAGGCTCATGGGACCAATTTTATAGAATGATTTTCAGTTACTTCCTACATCCAAATATTTGAGATCGCATCCACTCAAAACCATCAAAAGTGTCAACAGAAAACAATGCATTTGTTTAATTGCATCTTTCATCGTCCGAATTACATCTAACCAAGTGATTTCATTTTGATTTAGCTATATGATTTTTTGTGCATTGTGCACTCTATTTATTTAACACTAGAGCTTCGTATGTGAAAAGTTAGCGTTTCACATTAATCTTTTTTTGTCTCATCTTTCATGACAATCAGATAAAGTCGAATGCTGTGAGGGCTCTTGGGAACCTTTCAAGATTTGTCCAATGTATTGATACTTGTGGGGGTGATGATCGACCTGTGAAATATAACAATTTGTCTGCCAATAAAGAGAGCATCAGAGGAAGAAGTACTCGACTAGCAGGTCATGGCTCTGGAAGTTCTTGTTATTGTGCCTCATCAGGAGATGCATGTTTGTTGCAGAGAATTGTTCAAGCTTTCCTTTCTTGCGTTACTACTGGGAATGTTAAGGTACTTTTTGTCTGTGTTAGTAAATAGAAATTTCAATTTGCAGACCTGATACACATGTTATTCTTTCTTTCTCATCTTTACTAAAGCTTTAAATACCTTCATTAGGTCCAATGGAATGTCTGCCATGCTATCAGCAATCTGTTCTTAAATGAGTCTTTGAGGCTGCAGGATAGGGATTGGTGAGCACATACTCAGATATGCGTGAGACCTGTCTTCTTGATGATTATGTATAATCAATTATGTATCACCTTCAGCAGCGCTGCAAACTCCCAAGAAAATGTCTCACATGTACTCCTGCTTTGGCTATTCTTGTCTGCCTAAGTTGGTCCCGTAAATGTCATAGTTAATGAAATCCTATCATCCGCGATACTGGCAAAATTTCTATCATGTTTCATTTCTCTCATTTGGATTCTTATTTGTGCGTTTGTTATAGTTTCCTTCCTTTCCAGATTGCCATATTACTTTTTGGGGTTCATTATTCTTGCTTTCTTTGACTGACAGGGCTCCGTCAGTTTTTAGCATCCTTCTACTGCTATTACGTGATTCTTCTAACTTCAAGATCAGGATACAAGCTGCTGCTGCTCTGGCTGTTCCAGCCTCGGTAATTGGTCAGTAGTTGCCATTATACTATGTTTTCATGGTTACATGTGACCTGGTCTTTCTTGGTCATAATATAGCCCATTTAACTGCAATGTATTTCTCAGCTTGTGGACTGATTGTCGATTGTAGGCTTAATTGCTGGTGATGCTTTGAATTGGAACCGTGGTTCATTCCGAAAATTGTTGAAGTCTATTATCAGTTCGATTGACAATTCCATCTCATCTTTGATTTAATGTAGATTATGGGGAATCTTTTCCTGATGTGGTCCAAGGCTTGGAACATGTGTTGGAGAATCTAAGTTCAGACCAGATTTCAGCACCGTCAAGTTTTAAGTATAGGGTTGCACTAGAGAAACAGGTGCGATAACTCTTTACAGCTTACACAGAACCATTACGAAAATCTTAAGTTTGCATTTTAGGTCTCAGGACTGCCTCCTAACATGGTTATGGGCAATTATCACTGGAAGCAAAGGTTTTGAGTGGCACCTCTTTAGGAAATTCTATTAGATGGTTAGCATAGGTTTTGAGTGGTTATGAGATGTAGAAGATTGGGTTGAGATGCAGTAGCTCATTATGGCAAAGCCTTGATCTGGGCAAAAGAAAATGTGACATAGCGTCTGATTCAACTTCCTTGCTTAGCTTGCTAGTTCTAATATGCATATTTGAGTTATGGATGGCAATGGGTAGCATCTGTATGGCTTGATTTAATGGGCTGCTAACGTAGATTCATAAATCGGTGTGGTATGTATCAAATACAATATTCAATTCTCCAGATGGGTCGGAAGGCGATGGATCTATTGTAGTTTACCAAGATGGGTGAATGGGTAGGTTGTTCACACCTGATTTATGGTGGACGTGGACGTGTCATAATTTCCCCACTTATGGTGGATAGGATATCATTACCTAATGGATAGGACTCCATGTCATCCGTAATTTGATTCCCATAGTATTGTCATTTTTCCATTTATTTGTTTATTTTGTAACTGTGTTGTTCTTGCTGTAACAGGTAACGGCAACCATGTTGCATGTCATTAGCCTTACATCCAGCGGTGATCACCAATCCGTGAAGGATTTTCTTGTCAAAGTAAGAATTTTATCTCGTAGGGCATTGAGAACGTGTCCAGAGATTCTATTGCTAACTCTCAGTCTCTAATCAGATAGGCAATTGTGGGAACTTTGGCAAAGCGGACAATAAGATGAAAGTTTTTTTTTCTTTTTCTTCCCAAAGGGTCTCCGCAGATTTTAAAATTTGTACACAACTATACAGTGGAATGTGTAGGGGGTCTAAGGCAGTGATGCAGTCAATTTTGCCTTACAAATTTTTAGATTTTAATTTCTCTTTCTTGTCAAAAGGAACTGAGTTCTAAGCGTTCCTTGAATTGATATTTGTTAATGCTCTTTGTAGTTCCTTATTGTGCTTCTAGTGGACTGTTTACAAGTGTTCATAATCATTCTTTTTTGTGTTTTCAGAAGGGATCGTATCTAGAGGAGTGGTTTAAACTTCTATGCTCCTCCTTAATGGAGAAAGGCTCTCAACTTGAGGATGAGAATGCCATTGCCAGGCGAAAGAAACTGATGATATTCAAGGCAATCCATTCTTTGATTCAAGTGTACGAGAGCAGTAATCATCACGCAGTTGCTGAGAAATTTAAGAAGCTGGAAAGAGGATAGCCATTGATAACGGACCTAATGATGATTTGGTTCGTTGCATTCGGTCTTAATCTGTTGTATATTAATATTTGATGATGCTGGTTTCAGCTAGGTGAACCAAGCTGCAGAGTGTGGTCTGATTTCCTTGGTAACTGCCCCAGACCGTCTCATCATCTGGACTATGGGATGCTTGGATAATACGATCAGTCCAGAAGTAAGAAGAAACTACATCGATCGTAGACCGTCTCATCATCTGGGTGATGGGATACTACAGTCCATATCAGACACCATGCCTATACAGCGACGAGGATCTGCAATGGGAGGCTTAAGTTATCAGTGGAATATGAGTCTGATTGGTCTCATTGAGTCGACAGCAGAGTCTATACAATTTGGTTCTTCTTCTGCGTTGCCTCAAATTTGTGCTAATCCTTTTCAGTAGACATCATGTTTTTAGCTTTTCACGACGAGTGAAATAGTAAGGTGAATCACTATTCCCTTCATTGGACTACATGATCTTCCTTGACCCGATGCCAGATATACACGACCAGACATAGCCTGTGAATGCCTGCAGGCTGCAGCCTTGTAGCAATACATGCTGATGGCGACTTGATTAGCATGCAAGTTAGTGTTTGTTAAGTACACATGATGGCATGATCATTTGCCCTGCAGCAACGTGATTACAATATGCTTAGCACGCTAATCATCAAAGTGTTAACCGGAGGCATCTTTCTGGCTACTTGGTGTCCAAGTGTTTTTTTTTTCTTCCTTGGAGTAAGCCTCTTTGTTATCACTGACAGTTTGTCACGCAAGCGTTTACTGAGGCCCATAAAGCTATGACCACTGTGGCAAAAGATTATATTCAATTTTGTTTGTTGATCAAATTGACGAAAATTTTGACGGATGCACTTATTATCGAGTTCCATGGTATGTACAGTCCGATTTTCGAGTTATTTCTCCTTAAACGTTGGACTTAATGCTTCATAATTGAGTACAGGCCATGGGAAGTCGTTACGGAGAATAGTGGTTGATAGTAGACTACACTATTGGCATTGGGTGGAATATGTAATTGTGAAAGGTGGAGTGACAACTGACATGAATGAAACATAACAAGACACAACACTAAACACTGCAGAGTGGTGGGCGGTTGGGTTGTGGTCAACTGAACCTGTGGCAAGGAACCAAACTTAGTACAATAATTGCACATATGTATGGTATGATGTCTGAGGTCGATTGAATAACATATATATAGTGAGTGCTATATACTATTTGAGCCTGTTTGGTCATTCATACTGATCATACAAGAAAAGCTATGTGCTGCTGGAAACCATGTATTTTTCAGAAAACAACAAGGAAAAATCTCTACAAAACAAAAAGAACAAGCCGTTAACGAAGTGATTGGGCTCTGTTTGGGCCGTCCGGCTGCAGGTTTTTCCAAATAGAGCTTTGGCAGACTTGGAAGGAATTATCTTTGTGAGGGAGAACATGCATGCAATCAATCAATTTCACTGTTTCAGTATATAGGGTGACGGGGGTAATTACCTATTTTCTTTTCTATGAATTGGGTGGTGGGAGAATATAGTTCGCTGGCCTCCCACTTGCGGTCGCATGCAGGGTTTCCATTTCAGCGGAAAATATGTGATTGTATGCACAATTACGAATTATATATGATTCACTAACACATATTTAAAAAAAAAAAAAAATCAGATGTGTTTGAAGTTTGTACATGTTCGGACATCATATGCTTAATAGAAACAAATGAGGGGCATCTGGATTCAAATCAAAGAATCTTTCGGTTATAGAGAACTATGGTACCATGTCAACAACAAGTTGCTCTCAATATGTCAAGTTGCTGGGAGAGGTTCAATTAAGAATCATATGCTATTTACTAACAATTGACAACTGGCCGGCTTGTCGCAGTGCAAAGCAACGCAACTGAATGACGAGTCGATCAGCAGGCCGAGCTCGCTAAATGCCCAATATGCACACAATTAACTATTGAACTCGTTAGCTAGCTAGCGCTTACAATATTGATACATGCACGAGGGAGCGAGCGAGCGAGCAATTTGCTCGTTGGAAGTTGGACCCCCAAGCTCCATCATCAATAATTGATGAAGCTTCCTTCCTTTCTTCCTTCTTCTGCACCCAGACCATAAATAACACATAATATAATAAGAAGTAGACCAGATTCGAACAAATGGTTGAATTATGAATAAAAAAAGAAGAAGAAGAGCATAGGGTGATTGGAGGGAAGAGGTGCGGCGTCATTATTAAGTTGACGCACAGCCATAGCCAGAGCCACAGCACAGTACCATTGAATTGGAGAAAACCCAAAACAGAGAGAACAAGAAAGATAAACATGACAGCGGCTCGTACGAAGAAACATGGAGTGAGTGGATGAGGTAACACCCGCCCACATCCCACGGCTGAAATCGTGCCTGCCAGAAGATGCGAAATCTGCACCATCACTTTTTGAGCTTTTACTTTCAACAATGATGGAGAAGATGATATGATAATGATAACAATAATAATATTGAGAATGTCATGTGATGTATTAACCGAAAGAGGCCAGGGTTGTTAGAGAAGAGAAGAGCAGAGAGGTAGCGATGGTGGATGGGATATGGCCATTGACTTTCTTTTCTAATTATTCTCCGTTAGAGGTGAGATGAGAGACAGGGAGAGCTAGCTAGCTACCCCTTCACTTCACCATCTTGGCCCTTTCCTACCCCTATTTTTGTTTTTATTATCACGATAATTGCACTTTAGTCGCCTTATACAACCAAATAAGAAGAAGAAAAGAAAAGAAACAAGATTGATGGTTCTGACTATTTTGAATATGAAATTCATTTTAAGGAGATAGTAAACCATTAAGAGATATTCAATCTATAGATTGTTTGTCTAGCATACATACTTTATTTTCAGCATATTATTTTTGTTATGTCAATGTAACTGTTCGTGAGAGTTTTGATAATATAATAATGTACGTATTCGTGTGATGTTATTCACGGTTATATCTATACATTTATTAGTAACTTTTCGAGTAAGATATGAGTACAGCTTTTCATAATTCTCCGAGTATTTCACTATTTTTTTTTTGTGCATCCAAATGATTTGAATACAGCCATACAGGTTTGGGGATACTCGACACAAGTTCCAAACAACCTTGTCATTCTTGACTCCAACTAACTTATGAGGCAAACCAAACACATTCGACCGCGTTTGATGCAGGGCTACTCGACATGGTCTCGTTTTCGATTGAATCGAATGTCTTTTACATACATATAAAAAAGTCAACTTTGTGATAAGATCACGGTGCTCAACAAATCGATAATTATATGTTTAGACTCCATATAGTTTTACACAATTTTAACCTACCATAAATTTTTTTTAAAGAAAACCTACTATAACTCAATCTTTACAGAGTAATTAACTTATTATCCTTTCATATAAATTATAATGCTGGTTTGCCATCTATAATTAAAAAGAATTGTATATAGATGACACCATTTATTGAAATCCTTGATTGAATAACAACAAAGGAAAGGAACTCGCTGACATGTAGAGCTTAACAAACACCGCCTAAGTTCGACGTACCTTTCTCCTCCATAGTCTAAATATAAATATAGACGTCACCCATCTCCTATATTGATTTGCGTTTTTCTAATACCTCAATTTAATTTCCCCTCTCCTCTCCTCTCCTCCCCTGCCCCTTCCCTGAAAAACCTCTGCATATTTTCTCCCCTGTAAACACCTTCCACACTTCGTACAACCCACCTGCATTCGAATCCAATCCACAGCCAGCAACTTGTTCTTTCTTTCTCCCCTATTTCCCTCTCTTCAGCTCTGTGAGATAGCTGCGAATCCTGTTCTCTTCTCTCCCTCATCATCCATCAATTTCAGTCCATTGATCTAATTTTGTGTTCCACTCTGGCTCCCGTCCTTCCTCTGCCTTAGCTCAACTTCTATAAAAACCCTTCCAACTATGTAAGCTTCACTTTTTCCTCTACAATTCACTAAACCCACAAAAAAAAAAACCCCAAAAAAAAGTTTCTTTGTTTTATGTTTATGCATCGATTCTAGTTGTAGCCATCGTTTGGATCGTGGCAAAGGTTGAGATTATCACCCTGTAGAGAGAGCATCATAAAAACCTTCAAATTATGTAATCTCGGTTCATCTTAGTACCCACCAATCCCATTAAAAAAAACCCAAAAAAATTTATTTGGTTTCAATTATCAAAAAAGAAAAAAAAGAAAAAAAGAGGTCGGAGGAGGGAAGAAGGATGCCGGAATCGGAAGGAGGGACGCCGGTGGCGTCGGCGCCGGCGACTCCGGGGACTCCGGGGGGTCCCCTGTTTTCGGCGCAGAGGGTGGATTCGATGTCGTACGATCGGAAGTCGATGGCGGCGAGATGCAAGTGCTTGCCGGTGACGGTGCCAGCGTGGAGTCAACCCGACACTCCCACCTGCTTCACTGATTTCCCCACTCCCGATATTTCGCTCACTCGCAAGGTACGAATTCGTATTTCATACCCCACCCCCACTTACTTCTTCCTCTTCGCTGCTTCAATTATTGCTATTATCCATTTACATCATTACAATCTGAATTATGAACAATCGAGTCCACTCTTTGATTCACTTGCTATGATCAGTTTGGTAACTTTACTTGAAGCATATGAATTATGCATCCGTTTGCAGGGATGGAGTTAGATAAGGGATCATCAATATTAATATTCGTAATTGTGAGTAGATTGATTGATTTAATTTTATAATAATGAGAGAATACAGAGGAATTATGAATAAGTAAAAAAATGTATCCATTTAATTTGTAAAAAATTTATATTAGGTCTTCATCATTTCAATGAGGGTTATTCACCACTCTTAACAATCGAGATATGTTAAGACTCATAATCATTATGGAAGTTAAAAAATGTATAGGTCTCAAATAAGATGACTTGTTGAATTATACGGTCTAGGTGGTGCAAGCAAGCAGAACAACGCCGAGAATAATTTAGTCTTTCAAAACATAATTTGTCGAGTAATCTCTTTTTCAAAGATGTTGAAGTTAAATAGCTTATTTGGTAAAAGTACAGAAACAAAAGGGCCAATGTAGGCAATAACATTTGAATAAAATCCAAATAATAAAGTCCGGAGACACATATACAGAGAAGAGAAGTGAAGTTTCTAAAGCCAAATGATCCGCTTTCCTTCATATTACATTAGATGAACAAATTCGTATAGAAAGTTAGAAATGAGCCCTTGCAATAGTACAAAGCAAAACTTTATACTACAGAATGGAATAAAGAAAAGGTGAGTCCGCCGGATCCGGTTGCTTGCGTCGCGTGCAGTAGTTAAGGGGAAAAAAAGGTCTATCATTACCTTATTTTTACATGTCCATGTGCTTAAGTTCAACATTGCTACTGCAATTTAATGTCGGCGTCCCTTTTTTCTATTTCCCCTGCAACAATGGGCGGTGGTGGTGCAATGAAATGATCATACTGCACAGCAACCGCACAACCTGCGAAGGAGAATAATGCTCGTGTTTCCTTCCTTCAATTATATATCCACTACTATTAATTAAGTACTAATATTAGTATTACTGAAAAAGGAAAATTTCAGTTTTGCCCTTGTGTATACGAATCCTTTCACTCAGCCGCATGATTGGACTTTCGCGAAAATGTATAGGAGAGACGAACCAATTAACAAATCTTTTTACTGGAATTTATTGATTAACACTATTTAATCTATCATTATGCACAACTTAACTTGTACAAACATGGGATTCTATTTAATTTTTTTAACTTAGTTTTTCATCCCATTTTCTTCAATGAATAATCATATTCTATTTAAAAGAGAAATGAAGATTCCCTCCCAATCTTCCCCTCATTGACAGCACTATAGTGATTCCAGAAACAGCGAAACAAATAGGAAGAAAATGCCCTGTCCAAGTACAACCTGAGCCCAAACAGGCAACAACACATGGCCATGATGGAAGAAAAGGAGGAAGAAAAAAAAAAAAAAAAAAGGAAAACTCATCAATCATCAATATACTGGGAAAAAGATAGTTCAATTCCTTAATTATATTGTCTACCCTTTTCTGCAGTTTTATACCTATGAAAAATTCCAAGCTTTTTATCTGAATAGTGTTCAATCAAATATGTATAATGCTTAATCACGATCACATTATTTTCGAATAATCTATCATTTTGTGGTTTAGCACACTCTGAAAAATGAGTTGGATTTATGAATTGATAGATTGGATCAAATAGATTTGTGGAATGGATTATAAATCTGAGTAACATAAAAACATTAAACCCATATGCGAATTTTAAAAAATTTATGTACTAAAAAATTATTTTTTGGTAAGATTTTTCATTAAAAAAATTAACTTTAGATACCAAATTGTATAGTATAAAAGATATAGGTAATAAAACATAATTTATCAATAATTCATGAATCAACCAATCAATTGAATATTGAATCAAATAATGGGTTGTTACAATTACTATCCCTAAGTGATTATGTGGGGAACGGCTACGGTGCTAATTGTATAATAGTTAGCACCGTCCTAACCAAGGGAAAAACTATTACTAGTTTGAATTAGGAGTGATTTAGCTTAGATGTTGTATTGATTTTATAATAATCCGTAGTGATTTCGTTATTTTTAGTAGCGTTTTTTGCTAGTTATCACGGTGCTAACCCCTATAAGGATTAGCACCTAATCCCATCCCGATTATGTGGTAGCCATGCATGCATCAAGCTCTAAACCAACCAACGGGGAAAATTAAAATTGATGACGTGTTTGACACCTGCGTACGGCTGCAGCTAGGGGCGGAGTTCGTGGGAACATTCATACTGATCTTCGCGGCGACGGCGGGGCCCATAGTGAACCAGAAGTACGACGGCGCCGAGACCCTGATCGGCAACGCGGCCTGCTCGGGTTTGGCCGTGATGATCATCATCCTGTCGACGGGCCACATCTCGGGGGCCCACTTGAACCCGTCGCTGACCATCGCGTTCGCCTTCCTCCGCCACTTCCCTTGGGTCCACGTCCCGGCCTACATCGCCGCCCAGGTCTCCGCCTCCATCTGCGCCTCCTTCGCCCTCAAGGGCGTCTTCCACCCCTTCATGTCCGGCGGCGTCACCGTGCCTTCCGTCACCACCGGCCAGGCCTTCGCCCTCGAGTTCATCATCACTTTCGTCCTCCTCTTTGTTGTCACCGCCGTTGCCACCGACACCCGCGCGGTAATTATTTATGCATTAACCCGCGCTGTTGACTTATTATTAGCATCTCTCTTTTGTTCTTTCTACTGAATCTTTTTTTTATGGCGATTCAGGTGGGAGAGTTGGCGGGAATAGCAGTTGGCGCCACCGTTATGCTCAACATTCTTGTTGCAGGGTGAGTGACTTACTTTCTCTCTCTATATAGTCTTAAACCGATGGTAGAGTTCTCTAAGAATCATGTCTGACTCGTCTTTGTAGGGTTAATTTATAAAATTGGTTCGTCTCGTCAGAAAATTTTGGTGGTAAAATCATGTTCCAGTACGTTTATATTATAGTACTTGAGATCCCGAACTTTCGAAATTTTACAAACAGGTCTGATCTGTTGGATCATACGACTAAAGTCTAGAAAGTCACTAGTTTTTGCTATGGATCACAGGACGAAAAATTGACCTAGCCCTAAACTCTTTCAATTTCATTATGGATCATAGGATAACAAATTAAATTGACCTTAATTTGATCCGACCCAGCCCGACTCTTATAAAATAAAAAAGATAAACCATCTCTGAGTTAACCCTACTCAAAATTGGATCGGGTCAGGGTCATGCTTGCAGCCCTAACTATTGGAGGGTGCGTATTCATGCAGGACATCAACCGGTGCGTCGATGAACCCGGTGAGGACGCTAGGGCCGGCAGTCGCATCAGGGAATTACAGGAAGCTTTGGATATACCTGGTCGCACCAACCCTCGGCGCTCTCGCCGGAGCTGGTACCTACACCGTCGTGAAGCTGCGAGACACCGAATCCGACCCACCTCGTCCGGTTAGGAGCTTCCGTCGCTAAGCCTATCCACCTCCATCATCGCATCCACTGCCGATGGACGCCGGCCAGCCTCCGGCGACTTTATCCGTCTAGTCTTTAGACTAGACAAAAGTATCCATTATATTATATACTACGTACTACTATGTTCGAGTGTTTGTTTTGTAATAAACGCGATGTGACGACTGAATGTCCACGCCTGAACTTTTACCCTACTACGTACGTACGTTTTACTATATATGTGTGCTGTAATATTTGGACGTAACTGCATGCAGGTCCGATGTAGCATGTTTGAGTTTACTTCTTATCGATCGAGTCATATGTACGTTATATGGTTGGTTTCCTGTTGTGATCAGGACGCCTTTGTACTTGTGTGCATGTTTTCCGTTTGGTATACAAATAAATAAATGTTGTGAGTTGTTTTGTACACATCGATCCATTTCTACATTGATTACTTGCTGCTGTTAAATTTTTTGTTGGTTACTTTCATCGTTTTACGTATTTGATTCTTGTTGAATTACTGTTGATTTTAGGGTATTGAATTGTCATTGACTATCCTATGATCTTATATATGAGAACAAGTTCGTCAATCGTCATGGTTATTACAACAAATATATAGATCAATCTAAGGACATGAACAAAATTGTACAATGAAATTTTGGAGCCGATTTCTGCATAAACTTTTTTATCACTATCTTTGACCGTACAACGTAACTTCCGATATAATTTTACAATCCTTCATGCCTGCATATCCCCTGAAGTAAGCTCAGCTACTAAAGCATCCCGACAGCAATCTCATATATAATTGAGACTTTGCTTTTTCAACCAAGATCACATGCACCTTCTTCATTGTAAATAAATTCTTAGTTTCAGCAGGACAAGAATGCCAGTCAATGAGGACCCCAATCACCCAAAGAAATACTAATAAGTAATAACCATTTAAGTTGCAGAACATAAAATTTTATAGAAAGAAGATAATGAGAGGCAGCCATGAAAGGGAGGGAGGTATGTCTGCTAGTTCTCGTCCTCGTTCAGCTGGTTGATATAATATTACTACTTGTATATTTGATATAGAAGCTAGCTAACTACATGACGAAAGCCATGACTCATTTTTCATAACTTAAAATTTATATATTCGAATGCTGTCATGGTGTGAAGCCGGCTCCCAATTGCTTAGCTTGCTGTCACAGTCGTATAGGCCTAGCTAGCTATAGTACCCTTGCATTTAGCTGGTTTTCCATGCTGAAAAATCACTCAAATAATTTTGATTTCATCCACAAGACTCGGTTGTAGGAATACCATATAATTAAATACTTTATTTTCATACCAGAACCCTAAGAATATATAAGATTTCGTAAACAACATAGAGAAAGAATGAAAAAAATATCTTATCGAGGCAACCGTATTTGTTTCGGCAGATATATATATATATAGTTTCCAAACGCTTCAACTCACTTGAATTGCATGTGTCCTCCATAATTAGATATCGTTTTGATCCAACAATTTCATATAATGAATTTTGTGTTTTCCTTACTAAATAACACGCCTCTAATTCTAATTATGAAGAAGAAGAAGAAAATTCATTGATTGTCCGTTAGAGGATTGAACAGTTCGAGATAGTACTACCATGCATCTTTTCACGGACAAGTTTATACACATTGAGACTTCTCTGTTCTCACTAATTACTTGATCTGCTAACAAATGTAAAGGAACTCATGATGATTTCTCGTTTCTAGGAGTTCGAATAAAAGTTGGAAATGTATAACTTTTGTTGTCAACAGGATTAAGAGGATTGTTAGAAGACTCAACATATTTAATCGTTTCGAACTATATATCTAGCTATTCTATTAAGGGACTAGAGATATAAACCGGCCCTTCCCACCATTGTGAGAACACACGATAACGTAAACTGTGGGCTGTGGCAAGATACGATACGATGGGGTTTCCCGCGGAATTCAACTGTTCAAGATTGAAAGGGAAAGGGAGGCAGGTTTACCAAAAAAATATTAAGGATGGAAGGCAGAGTAATTTTCTAAAAAATTTATTACTAATTTGATCAAATTATAAAAACCAGAAAATTAGGAGAAGCTGACAAATGCTAAATACATTGGAACTGTACTTCTTTGTGTAATTTGATTCCGTCGCCTCCTTCTCCTTCTCATTTCCTCACTACCTTACACAATAATTCCCCTTACATGCTTGCTTTCAACAATCTTCTTTTTTTTTTTTTTTTCTTTCTTGTGCCTTTTGCTGGGCCTGCAACTGCACAAATTAGTCAACTCGCAGCTGCCAACTCAAAATCAGTTCGATTCATCTTACTTTAGCTTGGGTTTTGAAAGAACTGGTCAGTTTGTATCTGTTGCAGTTTTTTTCTGCCCAGAAACTTACTTCCTTTCTGCTCTGAATTGCTAGCTTGTCAAGTCTGCAACTGAACAGTTTCTTCGTGTGTTCAGTTTGTTGTGGATTATTAAAGTAGTGATCTTTTGATTACTCAGCCAATTTCAGATTCTGGGTTGTTGATTTCTTTCTTACCCTTTTGATCATTTTTTTGTAGTTCTTGAATTGGAACTTGGAAGTAATGGTTGGCTGGGTTTTGTGAAGGGTGGGGGGATGATAGAGTAATATTATGGTCAATGGTGGAAGCAAAGGAGGGAGTTCATCAATTGTGAGGGATGCAGAAAGAGATGAGATTTTGAATTTGTATAGTGGTAGTGGTAGTCAACAGCAACACAAGGGTGAAGGATCATCAGAAAGAAGAGTGATGGAGACTAGTGAAGGAAGAGGGTTTTCTTCAGATTTGTATAGGAACACAAGTGAGGAGTTGTTCATCAAGTCCTTGATGGAAAGCTCTATTGGGATGCCAGCAGCACCAACCATGGAGATGCTAGGGTTTAAGAATCTCCACCACAATTTTCGCACCGATAGCGAGGAGCTCTTCAAGAGCTGGCTTACTACTGGAGAGGCAAGCACTCAAAAAGATATCTATTCTGTTCTTCTACATTTTACAGCCTTCTCTTTCAGAATTGTGGCTTTTGATCACCTCTGTTTGCTTTGAGGGTTTTAGTTGTTGCTCTTTGAGCTGATGGGAGTTTGGTGAGACATGAAAATTCCCAGTTGTGAAAAATTCACACGGAGGAAAAGAGTGGATCCCATCAAACCCTATCTGTTGTCTGATTTGTTTTGGTGATATGACTTTAAATCAAGGAGAGTCAGGATCATGAGCTTTGGCTTTCAGATGCAAAGTTCTGTCTTCTGGATTTCTTTGTCTTTATTTCCCTGATGATCAACTTGGATTTTTTTCACATAGTTATGAAAGGTGATCTATTATCTCTGCAGAATCATAGCTATGGAACACCAAGCATTGCACATCGAACGCGACAATCATCTAAGAGGTGAGTGTACAGTGCCTTCATACTTCTGTTGTTTGTGTAAATGCAATCTTGTACTAAGATCGAAGCAAAGAGACTACAGAAAGACGATTCAAGTGCAGAGTCGCCAAACATCATCAGCAAATGTGCACTAGATTCAATGAGGTGCTAGATGAGATATAATCGAAAGAGGTCACTTCTTTTTGATGATTGCAGGATGTCCACTGAAATCTCAAATTTGTCAAATCAGCAACAAGGGCAGGCAACTTTGCAACAGAAAAGAAGTACTGATGTGCTGTTTACACAACATAATCATCCAACAGCATACGATGTCTCGAATAGACAATCAAACAAGTAAGAAACTGCAGCCTTCCCTTGTTGCCCTCCTTGCAATTATTTAGGGCTAGTGCCAAACTCAGTTTCCCTCACACTGCTTTCTTTTTCTTTAACTTTCAGTAAGGGGGCTGTTGACAGAAACATCCAGTCCAGTAACTTATACATGGCCAAGGTCTGCCACATTTTACAGCTTTCTGAAAAAAGATCTCATAGTGTTGAAACGCTTCATGACTTCAGATAGTATCTGTCTCCTTCTATGCAGGCCTGGTTTCAAAGTTCTCAACCCATGACACGGAGCAGATCTTCTGAACTAAGGTGATCATTCTTTACCATCTCTTCTTGCTAAGGATTTCAATAACTTGTCTAACAAGTAATTTTGGTTTGTTTGTACAGAAGGAGATACGTAGCCATGCAAACTACTGGAGAGAACGATGAAAGTGGATTATTGAAACAAGAGTTTTCAAATCCAAGTGGACTCGGCAGTGATCTCTCTATGCATGATGCAACGAATCATTTCGGAGCATTCAACACTCCACACACAGGAAACATGGATAATGTCTCTTCAGTAGTGAGCATGCTGAAGGGTACCCTCGAACGCAAGAAGCAGCTTGGAAATCATGAAACCGTGGAAGACAGCTCAAATTCGATCTATCATAACGGTCATGGTCAAGAAGTTATGATGATGAATAGCTTCAATCAAGGAAATGGGGGTGGGATGGATAGCTTACAAGAGCTTGCATCTGCAATAGCTAAGAACCCCATGTCTACTGGGCTCTTAGAGACTGTTCAGGAGGTTGTGGATTTTGAAATGGAAGGATATGCAAATCATCCGGTGAACCCAATGCAGATGAACACGGTCTCTCGAGAGCCTTCTTCTCTGAGTGAATCTTCAGCTGCTGCACCAGTCATTTCATCTGGGTTCGATGCATGTGATGGTCCTAGTATTTCGAGTCAAAATGTGACCACCTGTGAGAGCTCAAAGAAATCTATTGGGAAAGATTCAGAACAAGGTGGTAGAGCCAAAGGTATATACATTCCACATATACAATAACTCTATGCTTGTCTGTTTCATTTTGCTTTTGAAACTTGAAAATTCGCATTGCTAAACTATCACTATTGTTTTTGTAATGCAGAGTTCAGAGAAAGGATCATTGACAATCTGAAGGATGATAGAAAGGTAAATAGACCTAACTGTCTTATATTGCTTGCCCATCAAGCTACTCCTGGCACTGTCTCAATTGATTCACTTTCTGGATCCCCATTTTATTGTAGAGAGGCAAAGGGCTTGTCCGGTATGGGTCAGTGACATCTGCTAGTTCAGGTATGCCAAGCTTCTGTTATTGGAAAAATTCAGTAGCAAAAGACACAATTACTTGCATCCTAAGAAACTAATAGTTCTGTTGTGTTGCAGTAGAGACAGGAGACCCAACTAAGAAGCGTAGAGTGGAGCGTTCCCGCAAGTAACTTCTCCTCCCATTTTCCTCTCTATTCTTTCATTGAAACAGGTCTCTGATATGATGAAATTTGTTTTAATGCAATTGTTAGGATGGCTGAAGCAAAGGAAAGGAATTTGACACCTGTGGTGCCCTCTGATATGCAGTCGGTGATGAAAAGGTGTGAGAACCTTGAGAAGGAAGTAAGATCACTCAAGCTCAACTTGTCTTTCATGAACAGGTGAGACCATAGACAAAACTCCTATAAGGATGGACTATTCAAAGCTCTGCTTTGATGAATGATGGATAACAATCAACTGTTTGTTTGCTGCAACTTCCAGGAAGGATTCTGAGCAGACTAAGCAGATCGAAGAACTTCAGAAACGGAACGAGGATTTGGTAGACGAGAAAGAACGCCTGCTAGAGGAGATTGAGAGGATAATGTCTGAAACCGGGAAGGTCTGAAGCGTTAAATTTAATCTCACAGATGATGGATGCTGACATATGGTTCTTTCTGCAGCCAACAGTCTAAACTACCTTTTCTTTTTGTGTTGGTAGAGAAGAACACATCTGAATTAGGAGTACAGAACCTAGCAACCTTGTGCTTTTGATTCACACTTGTCTTCCACATTCTAATGTCATAAAAAAGATACTTAGGACCGACCATTTGTGAAGAGGTTCTGATGGGAGGAAGAATGATTGATATATATTTCTTCAGCAATTGTATCTCTACTTGCAATTTCAAATATTTGCAGATATAACGCTTGATAAATTTTCAAGTGTTATATATCAATGAATTCTTTCGGCTTCTAAGTTATTGTTTTCCCCTTTTTCGGTGACACCTTTAATGTATTCGAGTATATTTGAGACAATAAATGAAATCTCAAAACTAGCAAGAACTTGAGTGTATATGAAAGCTGCAACCAATTCAATCAGCCATAATCTCAATTTATCAACAACAAAAAAAAGTAATGGGTTACAGAATGCTATTCACATCACTTACACTATTTGTTTGTTTCAATTGTACAGTTTCCCTGTGCAATACAAGTGCTTCCCAATTACAAAACAGGAGCCATATTTCGTTCCAGCGTTTCTCTTCTAACTACCATGAATTTGATGATACATTTCACTAACCTGGCTCACAGGAGTTCTGTCAACTAGTAGATTAAATATAACCAACTCGAATCTCAGGCATGCCAAGCCGTTTCCCGTACTGGATGGTTAACCAGCCCATGAAGGAGAAGTATGCCACAAAAAAACAAGCACGCTTCAAGACTACCAAGTTGATAGCCCGAGTAAGAACCCTTACTATGTATGTCCATGTCTGGGGTACCCACGACATCAACTTCCACACCACTGAGAAGAAGAAGATGGTGATCAAGGAAGTCAAGAAACCGGCAACAGCTCCAGCTACAGCTTCCCACTTCCAGAATTTGGTGGCATTTCCCATCTTCAGGATGAACAAGGAGCTCGGAGCATCGATCAACCTGACAACACAGAAGCATGGGAAACCACCATTTGGTACCATTAATTGGAAATCCACATCAATTTTGTTTCAGAAGAAAAATAAAACCTCTTACAGTTCAAACGTATAAGTTCTAGTTAGACATTACGTCTGACATGTGTAAAATGAAGATCTGCAATAGCAGGCATATAGATTGACAGCCATCAGGAAAGACAATTTACTCATATGGACCCAACCAGATTGTAGAGTCCACAAAGATTCCCAAGGCTGGGGGATTTCCTACCACATGTTCTTCAAACTCTCCATGAATTGACGACGCCTTGATACTCTACAACCTCAGGCCCGATGAATATATTTCCCCTAAATGTAATCTGTTTACACATCAGCCTTCCCATTTAGCCTAAGATAGCACCCAGGAACCATAATACATAACTAGCTGCAACAAATCAGCTTGTAGAGCCTATTTTCTCCAAACACAAGTCGTTCTACATACTATGCTGTCCCTATAAATTTAAACCCCTAGTCCACTTAGTTACAAAACCTGTTTAAGTGATATTCATACTTCAATGAAACATAATGACAGATTAAGAACATGTTTCATGCAAAAAGAATGAATGAATGACCTACCCTGTTAAGTACCTTGCAACTTGCAAACAGACAAGCCGCAATGGTACACTTGGTCAAAGAGCTACAAGCCACAGAACTTGTAAAGGCAGTTAAAGTAGCAACTTCTTATCCTATTCGGTGGTTGCTTGATCCACGTTTGTCAGCCAGAGGGTTTGGTACTATAGACTTGTATGATACTAAACGAAGGCTGTGAAAGGCTATAAACATTCAAGAACCTGTTTCTGCTTACCATATATATAATGCTGACTAGGTATGTTCCCTCGAGCAACACTACTGCCTCGGATATATATAACCTATAACTCTTTCCATAATCAACATGGCAAACCAATTTCTTTGACAAAGGGATGACTTCAATTATTATTTTTAGTTATGTTCTTCAGATGGCTAAATAATCATATGTTAGGTGTTTCTCGACACCAAAGAGAAAAAACTATAGGGCTTTTAGATGACAAAGTAGGGACGCAAACTAGGAGGAAAAACTCACAGAAAAACGAAACAAGAGGAAGGAACAAGCCTGTACAGGAATAAGGGGACACAAAGAATAAGGAACCTTCTTACCATAAAAATTAAAAAAAGAAAGAATAAGGAACCTATATACTCACAACTTGATATATCGATTTATCATCTCAAGAACAGAAGGATCTCTGGTATTGCAGTGGAGGAAGTCATCAACATATAAGCTCACTTTAGAGATCCCAGCTCTGTGCCAGCAATTGTAAGTTTCGTTGACCTGCAAATTCAAAAGTTACAGGAAATGTTAAGGAACATCAGAATCCCCTTAAACTTCTCTGCATCATGACTAATGGTGAGAGGCTAATCTCATTAAATTTCAAACTATCTCCGTACATAGTGAATAAGAGGATACAGATTTAAACCTTAAATTTATCTTTGGCCATCCATGCACCAGCAAAGTTAGGCCTGCAATTTAGGGGAAGCGCCTCACTTGGAGCCTCAGCTAAAGCATGATGTGTACGACCCGAGGAGTGATCTTCATATTCCACCTGTAATGGTAAAGCGAAACATGATCTAAATGCACCAACTTTTTAGGTTGAAGATACAAAATGTAAACACATCCATGGTTTGGCCATGCTCTAATCAGATGCTTGTATCACATGGGCTAAGAGTAGGAACTCAGTAACAAGAGGCACAAGATAAGCAATTATTCACAATAATACTAGCAGATTTACTCGGAGATTCCATAATAACATTACCATGGATTCTATTCCTCACAACTGCAATCTGGAGTAGGCAAGGCGTTTCTTCTCAAGCAAAAACACTCTATAGCTCCGACTCAAAATTCATTTCCAAAACTAATTCGCATATCAATATAGCCTGAACAAAACTTCTTAAGGCAGAGTAATTAAGTCGACGACATTCAGAATGAATTTCCGGTGTCCATTCAAAATAGGTCTCCTTTTAAATACCATATATTTTTTTTTATAATGATGATGAACTTTATTAAATAAACAAGCCAAATCCCACAAGGCGTGAGAAGAGGAAATAAACAAACCATATATTAGAATATGAAAAGTTTTCTTTTAAGGGTCTATGCAAAAATAATAGAAATATCAATAGCACGTTAAAAAGGATGCCAACATAAAGCTCCATAGTAGTTTGATTCTTGTTCGTTTATCCTCTCTTCTTATATGAATCAAAGTTAGCTCAGTGTGAATTTTAATAATCTAACTTCATTAATGGCCCATTCTGAATTGGGAGATCAAGTAAGGGAAAGAGGGTACTAAGACAGCCCACTCTAGAATTGTTTTTGGTATTAAACTTTCTTCTGGCTGGGAGCCTCAAAATAACTTTCAGAAACAAGGAATTAGAACTTAAACCCAGGCTCGCATAACCAAATATAGAGAGGCTTCACAAAGATTCCTGTGTGTAAGGTCTTAGGTACATCATTTAACATATTTTACGCCTATCCGCCTAGTACAGACTCTATCCTAATGAGAGAAGACCAACACATGTTTATTTGCAAGTTCATCGATGCCAACTGCTTAATGATTTAGTCTTACAAGAAAAATTCTAATATTAAGAAATCCTAACGATAACATATTTGAAGAGGACACAATTGGACTTCTAGATCGGAAGTCAATTGTTTGCAAAAATATTGTACACCGCTAAACAAGTACTGGACAATATTGAAAACTTTGGATCACTTTGTTCATCTGTATATCACCTTCTAACAACTCTCCAAACTTCCATCACTTCCAAAGACAAAACAGTAGCCTTTATCTTGTCAGCAGCATAGCATGGTAGATTTCTAACTAGTAAGGTTCCCACTGACTTGTCAATTGGAACACTAGTCGGTAAATAATACAGCGGATAAGTTCACAAATCTGAAGTATTTTATGTAATGAATGTAGCAATACAGGAATCATCAAATATAATTCCTCAAATAAACCATATAGAGCCACATACTTTTATGAAAACCATGCCAAAACAATACCAATGAGAATCACCTGGGGAAAAAAAATCCTCAAGGGCATACCTATCAGGTCCTAAACAATGTTTGTCCAGCCTACATAACAGAGCCACATTGATAATTCAAATCTAGGACAGGGATAGTTTAGATGGACATATGACATATCAAGGGATGGCCTGATGGGACTTATTATTGGATTCCCGAATGAGTGATGAACGTACTGTGTTTTAGACAATGTGGTAGCAAAATTTGAAAGAGTAACACACGGAAAAAATAGAAGAGAAATGAAAGCCACGAGAATCACCTCAAACACTGAAGCCCAGTAATAATCATAGCGACATCGAAACTTGTTTCTGTCAAAAGGATGAAAGACATTCTTGGTCTTGTACTTCAACAACCCCAGTTCGCAAACTTTAGATGATCTGAGATCAACACCTGAAAAGGTCCAAACAAAAACATTTACCTCCTCGAAGACGAGCAAAACTTGACTGATAACAGAAGTTTCTGTGTGCTTCACAACATCCATATAGTAACTTATGCTAAGTTTTAAACCAAAGTGAGGTAATTCGGGAATACTAATAGCATCATGCGTTTATCATCACAATAACATGAGAAATGCAAACCGTCGATTACCCATACCAAGCATGAGCAGAGCAGACAGGAATTCTAAGTAAGATCAGAACCAAGTGAACAAAACCCAAATAAGAACTACAATCCCACATCTGCAGCTCCAAACGAATAAACTTAATGGCAGAACTTCGACCATGGATACTGTGGACAAGCAGTGTGAAACCCTAAGACGAACTCTTCCCAACACACACAAGGTCTCGATTTGAAGCAGGTCTCTCCCTCACCGTTCAATAACAATTATCATATTCTATAATAAAAATAAAAACAATTATCATAATTCTACCTTTTCCGATTCTTTCTGTAACGATTCAAACTCAGCAATTCAATCATTTCGATTCCGTTCTACTTCCTATACTTATTCATAGCCGGAAACCAATGAACAAAGCGAAATCAAATTCGAAACAGAGACAGGGGCGCAAAGAAGAACTTGCCACTGGAGACTATCCGGCACCGAGAGGGAACAGAGACGGGCGTCGCGATAGATAATTGCCCCGACAGCAGGGCTATGAAGACCATGGATATTGACAAGAGTAGGAAAGCAAAGAAGGGGAAAAGCAAAAGCAGAACAAATCGCAGGAACAGACGGAAACAGGAACTTGTCCTTCTGCTCTCAGAGATTTCCACCACCTCTGGTTCCTTTGGAGAATCCATCATTCGCGACAACGGATCAATCGATAAAAGGTGGGAGGAAGAAGAGAGATTTATACGTAGACAAACACTTCGGTTCCCGTCCACCGGAAGCATTTATCCGGTGATCGGACAAAATTCTCGATGCCGAGAATGGGGGGAGGAAGGCGGCGATATTTTTCTCTTTGTGGTCTTCATTCTCTATCTTCGATTTTATTCTCTACATTGAAAATTGCGTTTTTGTTTCCTAAAATTTCTTCGCCGAAATGACCTAACGGCTAAAACTAATTAATTTCCAAGTCCCACTGAATTGCAAAAAGAAAAAACATTCTCACTCACCCACATCAAATGAACATGGAATGCAACAAACAAATAGTGGGAGACTTAATTGTGACATAAAGTTTTGAAATCTAGAATTTTAAATTTCAATGTACAATTCTATTCTTCTTCTCCTTTTCACTATTGAGTAGACACAAATTAAATTATGAATACACATAAAAAGCAAAATTGCAACCATTTGTCAATTACGATAGCAGTCTTGTGATGTTTTTGTTCCTGTCATTATTTGATTCAACGGATTGATATGTTTCGCTATAACAAAATTATCGTTTCCTAACAATTCTTTCAACGTGTTGGATTGTTGGCCTGGTGGCAAAATATAAAATCTACTCCCAGCAAAAGAGTTACTATGTAGAAGCCCTACTAACTCGAAAATAATCAATGATATAACCTAACAAATTAACTAATTAGTCACGTTTTCCTTATCTCTCTTTTTCCTGTCCAACATTGCTACGAAAAGAGATACGATAAAATCAGATAAATCCTAACGGCAAAATTTAACTCGTAAATGTGTCATACCAAAACACATGTGTAATGTATAACCAAACAATACATCATGCATGCCAAGTGTTTTGGTCGAATTTCACAAGTCTAACGAGCTTGGGTGTTGTGGCATTTGTTAATTTCTTAGCAGAAGATAAGAGATACCTATCTATCTTAACGAGTAAATTGAACCGAGAGAGGTTTTTCAAATCCTTGGAATTTGGAAACCAAGCAAAAAGTATCACCAGCTAACGATCACCAACTTGTTGACCTAAGCTAAAACAGATTAGAGTTCCTCATCTAATCATTGCGGACCCAACGTGAGAAAATCCGTCGACATTTCACCCTCCCAATTAATGTCACTTCGTCGGCTCAATCGACAGAACCAGCAATCAATGCACCAGTCCGAAATCGACCCAACGACTGACCTAGCACTTGCGCCACATAAGATCCCGCAAGACAAATCCGTGTTCGCGCAACGAAAGAAAAAAACAACCGAAATGTATTCTTATTATTCCAGACACAAAGGGCATATCATTCACTGTAACGGACAGAACGAACAGTGGTACAGGATAGCCAAAGCCATAGCTGTGTGTTTGTCGTTCTGCCAAACAAAGTTCCAGCGCATCCACCACACACACACAATTCACACCTTGTTCAAAAGTTGAGGTAAGCCACAAAGATCTCATCCAAAGAAACAAAACCGTAGATATATATTTTTATTATTCATGGTCATCAACTTGTTACCCAGCAACTTTCCTCGTCATACTTTTGCCAGATTGGAGTTTTGCTGCTGATCGCAGAAACATGTCACTGTTTCCTCCGTTCCACTGCCCACCAGTCTTCATTGGAGGTGCTTTGGTGCTACCTGGACCAATTGTCTGCTTGCGAGCCCCCATGTTCATGCTTCCAAACTTATCTGCCAACTCCGAGTTCGCACCAGCACCAGCACCTGCTCTGCCCCTGAGCGTCGAAGCTGTGTAAACAAAACAGTGTCATTTCCCAAAAGTTTCATCAAAAGTGTGCATCATTTGTTTAACTCGACGAGTCCAAGAATCTTACTAGGGCTTTTCCTCGCAGGAGGACGGTATTTTGGCTGTCTGTCTGCGCTCTTCAATGTTTTGGAATCCTTGTTCTCATCCTGACACACACACACACACAAAAAAAGATGAATTTATAACAGATGAACGACCAAACTCAATCCGTGCAATTGGACACAAGAAATACCGTCTTAACCTACAATAGTAAAATCTAGAGATTTAAAGCCAATAGACCATATTCGATTTTCTTTGCCTAGTGCCTAATGGTCAAGAAGACGAACGCAAGATATAAAGGCACTGTCAATACAAACAGTGTGTTCAACATTGTAGTGGGCTGAGGTTAACAAGATCAAGAAAAACAGCAACAGAAAGTGCTGGTTGTTTTACCTGATTAACAAGATCAAGTTTCCGCTGGACACCTGCAAACATATAAACAAGGATAGATTATTCAGTTGATCAAATACTTTGAACATATGTCAAATGTACAAGGCATTTAATACTGTTCGCGTAAGGCATTTCCACTGAATACCATGGTTTAAACTAGATTACATTACATATAAACTCAAACATCAGATATGATACTATCAAATAATTAAACTTGTTTCGTAATCATGTGTAACAGGAGTTTCCACCAGTTATGCAATAAACACAATCATATTCAACTCCATATGAACAATTGCCAGACAGACCATTAGTACAAGTGATGATGGCTAACTGCGAGCCACAATAAAGTCAAGAAAACCATTTGCTTTATTGGCACCACAAATTGAATAGAACTGACCAGGGCTCAACGAAGCGTGCAACTTCACAGTAGCGCAATTTGGAATCAGTTTAGAGCTAGGCAAAGTGGAAGAGTATCTTCTAGCGCACTGTTGCTCCACGGAACTCTTCATTGCAGCTGATAAATGCCAACCCAATCAGGACACCTGATAGTAAGTAACATTCCAATCCAATACAGCATGAATTGAACGTACCAGAAGGAGGCGTCCTAGTAATAGAAGATTTCGAACGGAGAGATGGTGGAACATAGAAGCAGCTCTGAAACAGAGAATTGAGTGTGATTAGAGGAGAAAAGACTTGGGAGTCCTTGGGCTAGAAAAAGAATGATAAGAAGAATACCTGGAAGAAAGGATGTTGAAGGGCCTCTGCAGCTGTTGGCCTCTTGCGAGGATCCCACATACACAGAGACTACATGACCAAAAAAGAGGAGGTAAAAACACTGGTTATACTCAATACATCTTCAACCAACAGGATACCATAACACTGTCAATGTAAAACTATAACAGAAACAGAAGGAACAACAACATACAGTGATAAGTTTAATCGCATCGTCACTAGCTGAAGGTATCAGTGAAGAAAGGTGCACACCAGGAAACTGCAATGTTAACCACATAATTGATCAGCAACAAAGCGAGTACAGTTCTAAAAAGCTGTTACAGTTTTGACAAATCTTGCCCTTGAGAATTGGTAGTTACAAAAGCTGTGATCAAGTAGTAACAAGCTCGCACAAAAGTAGTTGAGTTTTGACAAATCTTACCCTTGGGAATTGGTAGTTTATACTGCCTGCAAGTTTTAGACCCTCAGCCCATGTGTCCACTGTTGGAGTTCCTATAACACCACAAATTTTGTGGATCTCATCTGCTTCACTGCACGAGACAATGGTCAAGGCGCAAGCCAGATACAATGTTAGCAACTTCCAAATGCCCATCCCAGCTTTATAAATCTTAACCAAGAACATGATATCTATACCTGCTACCAGGGAAAAGCGGTCGCAAACTGAAGAGCTCTGCCATGATAGCACCCATTGCCCACATATCTGCGAAAAGAGAAGAAACTGCATCATACTTTCTGCTGTATTCAGTGCTTAAATCACAAACTCGATTGTTCCAATCTGCCAAGACCACATACCAACTTTAGAACCATATAGAGATGACTGAAGCAGAACCTCAGGGGCCCGATACCTGTCGTATGTATAAAAGGAATGTTATCACAGGAGCAAGAAACCATTCCTTCAACACAAGAGTAGCATAACTAAAGCACAACAAACCATCGTGTTGAGACATATTCAGTGTATGGTGGTTGTGAATTGATTTCTCGTGCAAGACCGAAATCAGCAACCTTGATTACAGCTTTTGTAACTAACAAATTTTCTGAAACAATGCACAAGAGAACAACAATATAAGCCAAATAGGATAGCAAGAAACATAAGAAGCATACAAGCAAAGAACAATCTCCAGATCGTAAACAATTAAGCAACAAATTGTGAAAAATATAGACAATAAACAAACCGAGGGGTTGCATACAAACTTTAACCGAAGGTAAAGAAGAATCAGTTAACAAGTACCTGGCTTCAGATCACGATGGAAGTACCCACGTTGATGCATATAAACAAGAGCCTGGAATACCTGGAAACACCAGTTCCTTATTTCAGCTTCAGAGAACAACTTTTCCCTGTCCTTCATTAGCTGGTAAAGATTGCACTCCTGGAAGTGAAAAACCAAAGCAAGAAATATCAGATAACCAGAAACCCACACGATTTGAAATTGACAGGACAAAGTTAAATACTATACCATGTACTCAAAGATAAAAAACAATATGTCATTTTCTCTAATAACTTCCTTGAGCTTCACGATATTGGGATGATTCATCCTACGCAGCGACTGCAAGATGAAAGCTTTCGTTATAAGAGTTAATACTTAATTGTAAAAACAAAGAAGAAAGGAAGAAATGTATCAAGCAGGTAACCTTCACTTCTCTGAGATTTACACATTCCTCCCAGGTGTAATACTTTTTCTTCATCTTTTTAATAGCAACCTTTACACAGAGATAACTGGTCAGTAACATGTACATGAAATACAATTTCCAGTGAGTCAGACAAGGAAAGGATATGGTAAAATGTTCTTACAACTTCACCGTTGTGTCTATTAATTGCTCGCCACACAGTTCCAAACGTTCCATCACCAACTTCCTTGATTAACTTGTACCTATATCACATGCATGAAGAGGTTAACAAAATCAATAATTCACAAAACCTTCCCCATGAAAGAAGTTTGCGGGATTGATATTCACCTCTCCATTCTTGCTATCCTGAGACGAAGGATCCTTTGCTATATTTCAGGGAAGTACTTGACTGACTAAAACAAAAGGGGGGACTGAGGAGACCTTGCTTTATTCATGGACTGACACGGACCCACAGCTTTTAGAGAGAAGGACATGAACAATAGAGAAAAATAAATGCTAGAGACCATATTAAGACTATACGACACACTAAGACCTCAGATAGCTTGACTTGACATGAAGGGTTGATGGCAGGTTTTAAACGACAGGAAGGGGCTACCTCATCTATAACCTATGGCAATTCTTCAATGAGCTGCTGGCTTGACAGTTTACAGTATGAATCGGGAATAAGAAGAGAGACTACAGGCACAAAAACGATCTGTGGAGACTTGAGGCAACAATTAATCTAAAGAGAACTAAATTGACAGCTCAAGATTGTTCCCCTGAAGGCTTCGGCCCGGTTACTCTTCTTGTATTCCAGCTGATTTGCTGGCAAAACTTTGGAACAGTATATGCTTTTGTGTCAGCAATTCACTGTGAACATAAGAAGGATTTGTCAGACAACATAACGAGTTCCAGAGGAAGAGAGAGCGAGAGAAAGAAAAAGACATATTGACTTACTTTAACCAGTGCACTAGCGATCCAACACCAATTTCAGAAAAACTTTGCATCACACCTCCAGCACTGTTTATTAACGAGAGTCCTTCCACTAAGTGCAATTGACAAAGGAAACCAAAAGAAAATCTCCAAGGACAAGGAACCGCCAGTCGAGCACTTCTTGGAATGTAAAAGCCCGAAACTGGTAGCATTTAGACCAGATGTGCACTTGCTCCATGCCTTATCGAAGGGAACAAAGCCGTTTAGGTCTAAGTCTGGCAAAACCTAACCAAAAAAGGAAAAGAGAGGAGGATTATGAATTTTGATACAGATTAGAGCAACAATCATAGATACAGATTAATACAAGTTCAAATACACATACACAAAACAAAACATCATAAACGGCCAACAAAAACTTCATCGAAGTCCGTACATGGCAAAATAAACACCATTATGGCTCAAACTACCTTGTGTAACAATGAGAAGATGAAGTCCCTAGAAAGATGGTAGAATTTGTCAAAATAATAGTTCATTGTCCTGCCTAATAGAAAATTGTTTATGTATACAGATATATAAATATACATGAATTCTACACGGACACAAATTGTCTTTCAGCTAGTGGATGCATTGTGTTCCAGTTTGCAAATAGGTTCACGACAAAAAAAAAAAATCAAGCAAGCAGAGACCACCCCTCATTATAATCCTGATCACCCAAGATAAGAATCAATTGGCCTTCGGCCAATGCAGGCAGGACAGATTCCAGAGATAAAGATGGTATAGCTAAGTTCACTACCAGGACATTAATCAATACATCCTTCTTATTAGTACATGCAACCATAGCAAATGTCCAAATCCAAGCATCATGATGACTGAGACCATACAGAACCCGGGTGAATATCCTTTCAGGACACAGCAACAACAGATATCAGCACCGAATTCAACAAGGGAACCTACAGAAACTCCAATACCGCTGTAACATGGTAGCCGCAGCAAGAATACACGTTCACATCACATGCGAGAGAAAAGCCCCAAATCCCGCGTCCAAATTAGATATCTCCGATTCACACCGATCGAACAACCCTAACCCTAACCAGATAGCCAATTGGAAATATCCCACAATTCGTTGAGCACACCAGACGATCTCAAAACCCTAATTCAGACTCATCGCCGAACACGACGAAACTAAATTGAGACCCCGCGAAACGAATCAACTCCGATCCGATGGTATCAGATCCAGTTCCAGATCCACAATCGAACGACGGAATAACATAACACGCAGAGGAGAGAGAGAGAGAGAGAGAGAGAGAGAGAGAGAGAGAGAGAGAGGAAGCTGACCTGAGAAGGGAGCGGCATAAGAGGGACCGTCGCCCAGGACGGGAAGAGAGGAATCCAGAGCTCCTCTGTCGTCCAACTTTTACTCTTGGTATTTGTTTATGGGTTCCTTTGGCGCAAAGGGGAGAGGAATATAGAAGAGACGAAGAAGAAGAAACACCTAATGAGGTGGGAATGAGAGATAAAAGGCAGCTGCTAGCTTCTTACGCCCTTCGCCCATCCATCCCCAAACCCGCGTCGTTTTATATATTCCTTTCTCTCTCTAGATTCCATTTCTCTCTCTGTACCGGTCTTTCTGTCCGCCTGTCGTCTGGGTTCTGTTCAGCTCCGCTGTTAGTTTTCTCGTGCGGACCAAGGCGGTACCTAACTTTCCCCATCACATTGCCACCTCAGTGGGCCCGTCGGTCACCCAACCTCCACAACCTCTATCCATCTCTTCTTTTTTTTTTGTACAATACATTTAACAAATTGCAAATGGGCCTTGTGTAAACGGGCTTAACCGCGGCCTGGTTGGATTCAGCCCTCACGAACCGAAAAAGATATTGGGCCAATCAACTGCCGTAATTTTTTGCTAAAAGGAGTCCATATGAAACCCTAATTGTGGATTAATAAAAATGCAAGGTTAATACTTAATTAATACAATAAAGCTTTTGAATTGTGATAAGGGAAAATGTCTAATTGTTATACAACTGGTCAAAACTATACTTTGAAACTTCTTCTGTAGGCCGGGTGGAAGAAAACAAGTCACGATTGTAATGGGTAGGGTCTCGAATCATAAGTACGTTTGGGATTTGGGAGTTTCGTAAATTTTAACATAGCTTTTATAGCAAGCTAGGCTAGATTAACATGGTTTTCAAGCTAGTTCATGTTTGGATGATTTGAATTGGATACCAAACCAACCGAAACGTCACTATTTTGCAACAACAATCAAAATCAATGAAATCGCATGGTCTGACTGAACGATCGAGAACAAGCCCGTAAAAAAAACATCTAAGTTTCTAATAACAGTATGATAAAAGCATTTTTTGAACTATTTGCCAAAGTTTTTGGAGCTATATGTCGGATTATTCAAATATGGAGGGTGAGGTTTTGGTTCGCAGCCTCTTAATAGGTGGTCTTTCTTGGCTATGGAGGTGCTCTATATGGATTGTTAGTATTGTGGTTATTCCAAAGCAAGCTTTCTTCTATAGATAAAAGCTGGGTACGCTTTTCACCAAAGAGCTCTTTTTACTGTTTCACTTCTTGGCATTTAGTGAATTTCATCTAGAGAGTTTTGCTCTTTCCCCTTTCTCAATCCCTCACGCAAGAAGACTCCAGTCATGGCCTGTCAAAAAGGGGGGTGGGGGAAGAGATGACTTCCCAAGATACTACTACTGCCCTTCACCTTACCTCTGCCTTTTGACCATCGATTAAACTTCACCTTCCCTCCCTCTTCCTGGAAAATCCATCTCCCATACTCTTCCCTCCCAGTCACATCTCCTTTTTTCTCTCATAACTTCTCTTTCCAGACATCCAAACTTCCATTATCATATCCATACCAATCCCTTTTGTCCTTCCGCTCTCTTTCGACTCCACCCACCTAGCCAAAAATTGCAGCGGCAGCAAGAGTGAGAATCCACCATTGACACCAAAGAGAGCACCTCAATTGGGTTCACTTTTGATTTCTCTGTTGGAGTTTTCACTCCCTACAAATATGAGAGTAGTGCTTTGGTAGTATGCCCAGCCACGCAATTGAGAAGAGCAAAGCAAGTGGAACGATGATGAGCATGAACTCTTCTGCTGCTGCCGCTAATCGGGAAGAGCTGCAGGATCAGCGTGATGCCAACATGCCGATGGCGGAGAAATTATTGAACTGGTTGTGGTGGGATTATGTATGTCAGCTCAGGTACTACTGATGTTCAAGAACCCCCAGGCCAACAGTTTCCGCAGATGATGACTGGAAGAATGTGATGTTCGTTGGGGATTCGATTTCGCGGAATCAGTTCGAATCGTTGATTTGTATGATTGTGCCATCGCTGCCTCGGAGGACGACTCAGTTGAACGGCGGAGATCCTCTCTCATCCATCAAGTTCTGGGTAAGTAAATACAGCAGTGTATGACGGTAACAATCCTTTAATCGTTCAGTTTCAATTTGAATACTTTTTTTGTACTAAATCCCTATAGAATCGTTCTATGTCCTAAAGTGTTCACTCTGCTGCAGAACAAATCCAGATGCATACACATCAGTTGCAGCAGAGAGTTCTGGTGCCGAATTTGGATCTTTGAAAGCTATAATGGCCAAGCTTACCATGTCAGACACCAAAGTTGAAAAAGAGAGCAAGCTGTAAGGAATTTGACATCTCCACATTTTCTTCAAATCATCATTATCGTAGTGGATAATGCTTTGTATGTGTATATCACTGCAATTGAATATGCAGACAAATATTAGTGGATGAAAATAGGGAATAGGGAAGGAATTACTTGACTTTTGGATCTTACATTTTGTGAGATGAAATACTCAAGATTAGTTTGTTCTCTATTTTCTCTAATTGCTTCCTAGCATTCCTGTGTGTTGATTGCTGATATCAAATACCCTTTATCTACAAAATAAAACCTCAAAAGTTGACAAAGTTTTGGCAACCAGATTCTGACAGCTTTTCATTTAGTTACATCGCTTCTGTTTTCTTGCTTTGTGAATGGTAGTTTCGGAGAGGTAATTAGAATCAATGATCAATGTATTTAGAGCACTAAACTAGAATACTAGAAGCCCTTTTCTTTGGAAAGAACTTAACTAGAAGGCAAGGCTGAGTAGAGTGGAAGAAATTGGAGTACCAAAATGTTGAGCAAACTATTCAGTACCGGAAAACCTGCTTCCTGGAGCATACTCTACTAATTCACTTCTTCATATCTTAATTATGCTTCCTTGCTCTAGGTTTTGGTCCATTGTTTAGACATGGTCCAAATTATAGGAAGGAATTTTTTTATTCAAATGCAAATGAATAATGGTTTCATTGACGCACAAACAATTACATGAATCTGTAGTTTCTTCTGTTTCCTTTTTTCGTAGAGGTGTTTTGATAAAATTTATTTCTAATATGGATGATAGAGGCTAAGTTGAGCAAACTATTCAGTACCGGAAAACCTGCTTCCTGGAGCATACTCTACTAATTCGCTTCTTCATATCTTAATTATGCTTCCTTGCTCTAGGTTTTGGTCCATTGTTTAGACATGGTCCAAATTATAGAAAGGAATTTTTTATTCAAATGCAAATGAATAATGGTTTCATTCACGCACAAACAATTGCATGAATCTGTAGTTTCTTCTGTTTCCTTTTTCGTACAGGTATTTTGATAAAAATTTATTTCTAATATGGATGATAGAGGCTAAGATTGATGCCATTGCTTTTATTGTACATTTATTAAAAAACAGAAGTGCCCTTAGGGTTTAATGAATTCTGCATACACTAATTTCCAGGAGATTTCAATTTCTTTTTATGTGAATTCTTATAAATTGTGTGCATCTCTTTTTTCGTTGTAAGTTGTGTAGAGAAGTTGTAGAACATTCATTGTTAGCAACGATCATACTCCAAACAAGGCAACATGGGATCGTTCTGCCAATAGAGCAAATCAACACAAACAATACACCTCTCTTAAAGCTACTGATACTGCATTGGATATCACATTCATAAGCTTTTGGCTATTGCAACTTGATCGAACTTTTTGCAAAGGACAGGTTGTTCTTGCCTCTTAGATACAAGGTGTCATCTTGCCTCTTTTACTGAATTCTAAACTGTAAACTGTAACCATAAATAATTATGAGAGTTAAATGTGTTATTTTTTGACCATGGTGTATATGATCACCATCCTTAGATACGAAGGGGAAAAAATCATTTGCTTGAGTATGTTTGCAGGCTACAAGGAACCATACTGATATCTCCTGTTGTATGAGTGTTATATAGAAAGGATTCATTGAATTTAAAAACAACGGCACGACAAGCTTGCTCTTACTAACTCTGTTCCTGCGGTGTAGCCCAGAGACTAATTCGTTAGTGCTTGGTAATTAGAAGATGTAGTTTGAATTCCTTTCCAAATAAGTAGCAGGGAAAGAACAAAAACCCTTCAGTTTAGAACAACCAATAGAGGTTGCATGCAACTTTGCTTTCTTTAACCTTCTACTATGAAATGGGATTTCCTCGACCTATATATGATTCATTTTTTGTTGTTGAACGGGAAGTAGGGGTTTAAACATTTGTGTTGTCGACTGCGGGTCTAATGTTGCCTAATGCATAGCCACTTTTGGCTGTTGCATTTTGCAGGTGTAGCACCATCACCAGAGCCTGCAAGGGTTTACTGCAATTTCGTAAATTCATGTTTAAAACAGCAAACCTACAGCTGCAAGGGTTTACTAAAAAGGAAGTCCACCCCTCCAAAACTGGAGAAAGATACGGAAAAAGGCTAAACTATCCCAACATAAATAAAAGTACAAAGCCTTCTCCGTCCCCTCTTTTTTTACCCCCCTCTCCCTGAAAAATACTTCTCGACACTCTTCTCAATCCATTCACATCATTCCCAATTTTCTTCCATCCTCTGCACCCCTTCTCAAATAATTGATTTTACATCTGGGGGTATGGGTTCGAAATTGAGATTGAACTCTATATGTCTTTCCCAAGCACATTGCTTTAGTACATGGAACAAGGTAAGGCCAAAGAAATATGTATATTTTTCCTATGATTTGTAGATTGATGACACATATGGCATTTGATTTGGTGTTTAGATTCCAATCAGCACATTTAGGAAGTCTTCACACACCGACTCAAGTTTTCAGCTAAAACACTAAATATGTACTGCCAACTTTTGTTCATGGTGGCTTGAATGTGATTGGATGCATTTTGTTGTTTTGTTTTTCTCCTCACATAACTATAATGGGTTCCAATCATAGGAGTGCCCTGTATTGGTTGAGTAGTTAGATCATACTTCTACTTTATCTTCGCAGCCTCTACCATCCACCTCATGTTGTTGTACTTTCCAGAGGTTGTGTATTTTTTTAGGACCAAGGTAGAGATCAAAGAAGAGAGGTAGAGAAGGGCGATGAATCAATGATAGAGATGCAGATGTCAGAGTTACTCAAGGAGAAGTCGAGGAGGTAAATGCATGTCCTCATCTCACATAAATCAATAATCATTCTTATGTTGAATTGAACCATGATCTTGAACTGTAGCTTTCCCAAGGCAACTCTGTGGTTAAGTTTCTACAAGGCTGTTGTAGTTTGCTTAGTGATTGTCATGTAGTTTATACTTAACTGATGGATTCTTAAGACTGTTGTTATAGTTTACTTCGTAGATTTATACCAGTAGGTTATACTGCACTGGTTTCATCATGGGATTTCTTTGTTTTTGTTGGTTTGCTTATGTAGTATTTGGATCGACTTTGAAATTTTGGTTATCTATTGAATGGATGTGGTGCATAGAGATGCAGGTGATGCTTGCCTCCGATGAACCAGGACCTGGAGTAACTGTAAAGTAGCTGCCGGGGAGGAGAATTGACCGCGAGCCGTGAATCAGCAAAGCAAGTATGTGGTTTTTCCAAATCTCCGGGTCAGGTGTTGATCTCTGTGAATTTTCACTGTTGTCCTTTGATTTAGCAGCTCGACTTTGGTGCTGCTGAATACTTTCGGATTTTGTAGTTTGTGCTTACTTTATTGAAAGAATCGGACTTATGATTCAAGACTGAGTTAAAGTTGGAGATACTTTCTGATAATCTCCCGCTTATAAGTATTAAAGTCCACTTGAATGATTGAATTCATTTTCTTTGATTGGGTTGTTTATGGAGTTAGAAAATCAGTGCAATCTGGAGGAATGCCAATCACTATTCAATTCCTATTATGTGGTACCTTCAAGCTAAAGGAAAAAAAAGCATTTCAGTTCTAGAGTTGTTCATTTGTCACTTGGAAGTTTGTTTGTAGCAGAAGTGTAAATTTGTTACTTAGAAGTCTGCTTTTTAGTAGAAGCATGTTCCTTTATGTTTTCTATTCACTAACACTCAAATCTCACAGGTCAAGTGGGAGAACAAAATGATGCTGCTCAGTGGGATCCAAAAATTCTTCTAATAGCATGACAGGTAGTTCGGTTAGTTAGTAGGGATCAAGAGCTTCACCAGTAAGGGTCATTGTTTGAGTAACTGATAGACAAGTTGCTGAACAAGCCATTTACTAAGTTGAAGACCAACTCTTTCTGTATGAATCTTTTGGTTTGTTTTTTTTTTTTTTCTAATGAAGGTTGCTCAAATAAGACAACTTGGGTATGGATTGAATTAGTATATGAGATAATGAGTTTCACCTATATAATAATGTATTACTTTGGTGTAGTTTTATTGTAGATTTCGAAAGATGAAAGATGAGGAAGAGTAAACATCGCTAAATTTCCCGCGGCGTAGCCGTGGGTATTGATACTAGTTGTTCATTAAAGTTGAAGCTATCTGCCAAGACCATAGGCTTTAATATGAGGGCCGGGCCAACTGGATGGCCTGTACATTAACATAATATCTCTATCTAGCAATTAGATTGTGGTACTCAATTTAGTTTCAGATTACTGACATAACCAAGCCTAAAAATGGGCATGGTCCAAGAAATTCCGTCGAAGATATGTATCAAAAAATTCCCTCGCCAATTTCTCATCATATGGTCCCGACTCCTGACAGAGAAAAGAAGAGACAAACTGTGGATCCCTCACCATAAGATAAGAGGCTACCGTTGCAACCTCTGGAAAGATGGATGTGTTAAAGAAGAAACATGCATGTAAACTTTGTAAAGAAGAGATAGATCTACATTCTACAATGGGTGGCATGGAATGCGTCTATCCACACAAGTCGACTATTGAGACAAGAAAAGACCAGATATTTGAATCTCATTTTACTCTCATAATATTCAAGATACAACAGAGCAGAATGCCCAAAAGGGTAGGCAAAATAACAGAGAAATAGGAACAAAAAGAAGAGCAGAGTAGCCAAGAATGTGAAGGGAGAGGGAAGCAGCAGCAAAGTACTAGTTAGCTGCAGTTTTTTGCCTTCCAAACCAAAGAATAAAATGATGCAGATTGGCTATTCATCTCCATTGAGGAGATCAAGATTCAAGGATTCTTGGCTTCTATTTTTAATCTCATTCGGAAAGTGGGAAAAGACAAAAAATAACAAAAACAAAAAAAGAATAGCTGCTGTTGTTGGTCTGTGTCCTTTTAGGTGGCTGGTATTTTGAAACTTACTTATACCTATGCTCTTCTCTTTCTGTCCAGATTACAAAATAATACAAACTCTTGAGTGGGATGGGGTAACTGCTGTGCTATGATGCGGTTGCATTATCCATTTTTGCCGTTGAAAAAATAGGACAAGGAACTTGTTGATAACAGAGCTCGTCTCCATCATGAAGTCTGGTTCGAGGAATACCAGAGCTTCTTCTGGCAAACCAATATCTTCTCCTTCTCAACCCCGTACTCTGTGTCTTCCTTCCTGCAACTCCATTTCATCCCCTTCGTAATCGTAGCTATTGCATCAACATAGTAGCTGGATTCCCGGATTATGGCATAACCCATCGGCCGAAGGATCCTATCCATCTCCAGCAGCACATACTTCATCTCGCACCTGCATAATTCCAATCCACCCAAAATCCCAAATGAACAAAGGAGCAAAGCAAAGTCTGATTTTTATTTTGCCGGCCCACAACCTGTTCTCCTATTTGAAGTCTGGGCTAACTGACATGACTACTTAATTGAGAATTCTAACTCAGCCTTTTGCACTTCAATTTACAGGTCATAGTAAATGAAAATGTGGATGCAAGCAAATAACATACATGCTTATGTACCCTACAACGCACAGTGTCAGTACCATGAAGAACAATGACAGGTAACCAATCCCATGTGACATTATTGGATCCCCCATGTGACCTCGTGGTTTCATTTTCAACACTTCAATTATTCAACTAACGTCCAACACTGTGGTCTTGTCTTTCATCCTTAATTTCTTTCGCATTGCAAGTTGCTGTCATGAAAGATACTTTATTCGAGAAGCTAAGATGGGGATCAAGAGTTCTTCTTACCTGTGGCTTTCGGCAGTGAAGAGGCCATCAACGTGGAGGAGATCGTAGGTTCTGGGATATGTTGAGAACGCTTCACACCTACCAAAGAACGGCAAAAATTAATTAACGGAAAAGATTACAACAGACCAAACAGAAATAGAACTGGTTTTCCATATTTTCAGCATAATGGAATGGGATGTCTAGACCCACTACTCACCAATCCTGATAAGTTCCAATGAGCCCTCTGTCGTAGATCACTGGAAGCGTATTGGGGGCATAAGAAGATACCACGTTCATGACCCACAGCGGGCTATCGATGAAGGCTGCTGCAAACCCACCATAAACCGTGTTCATATCCATCACATTCCTGATCTTGTCCGTACCGATTGCAGGAAGCAACTTCTTGTAGTGCTTTGCCCTGACCTTCCATTTCCCAATATCATGCTTGAAAGCATTGGCATTCCCACCATGCACGTCTGAGATGCGCTCGGACGCAACCTGGAGGCGTTCGGGCCACTTGGGGATGGATTCAAGAACAGACTTTTTGATCTTAGGACCTGGAGCAACCACACAGGGCCTGAGTGGGGTATACCATGCTGAATCTGGTTCGATACTGTCATCACATTTGGGTGGATATACATCAGGGTTCACAAGCTTCTTGTAGCAAGTGTCGTCCGAATCCTTCTGCCAAACAGCAATGTCTCCCTTCTTGTTGTACAGTTTGAAGCACATTGAAGTCAGCAAGTCCTGCAGCTTCTCATAATCAGATTTCTGATCTTCAATTGTTGTGTTCCAGCCTCTCCATCGGTTTTCGTAGTTGACGGGTGGGCCAGAAAGAACCCAGAAACCTCCAGGGCGCAGGATCCGGTGAACTTCTAGGAGATAGACACCCCCTGAAAGAAATTACAGCAGTTGGGAAACTGGATTAATTACATAGCAATATCACATTCAACAGCAACAGATCTTAGTTGTTTTCACTTCAGCTTATAACAGTGAACTGGAAACCTTTAAAGAAACACACACTTTCTTTCGCTTAAAAAAGTAACTGTTAACCACCCAAAAAAAGTGACTGTTTTTTACATTGTCGTAAAAGTGAAGATAAAGCGTGATAAGGGTATAGAAAAACTTGAGTGACATAGTATATAGTTTTAGTAAGAACAAATAATTGATGGGACTACTAGATGTTTGTTTCGTAATTAAAAAATGAGTGAACATTAAGAAATGAGGGTATGCATGAGATTACCAAATTCAGTCCATGGGATAAGGCATCTGGAGCAATGAGCCATATCAAAGGAGTTGGAAGGGAAGGGAAGGCGTTGTGTAGAAATGATGCCGAGAATTGCAGGAATTCCACGCTCCAGAGCAAATTGCACTTGGGCCTCGTGATTGTCTCTTGGAGCCAGAGAAAGAGTTAGGATCCCACGATCCAATAGATCACCACCCCAACTAGCAACCTGTATCAGCGTTTATGAAAAAATTTCAGATATAAGAACAAGTAATACAAAGTTAGTCAATAGTAGATGCTAAGAACAACACTCACCCCACAACCAGTATCAATGGCAGTCCGAATAGTTCCATCCTTCATTTCTGGGATCAGCTCTACCATGTGATCGACATACTCACCAACTCCATTGGGGAACATAGTACCCCCTCCAGGGAAAAGGAATTTTTCACCTTCCTTGATCAGCCAATGCTGATTCGATTTTTGTTTGTTGATCCAGTCATATGGCACATTCCTGAATCAAGATCACATCCAAGTTCAGTTGAATGCCAATTGGGACACAAAGAAGTAGAATCCAATCCACAATGGAGAATGTAAAATTACCTGTACCAACATTCATCCCTGCTCTTGGGCCACTTAATTGGTGACTTGTAGCCATCTGGAGGTGGAACTAGGCATTCCTTCCTCTCAAATGCTGGAGGACAATGGCGTTCCATGAAAGTAAGGCGATGAACGCCATACTTCTTCCACCTCTGAGAACAAATACAAATTCACATTCTAAGATTAAGAAAAACATAAGAGCCTTAGATGTAGTTAAAACATAAAATGAGTAAATCCAGATTCTCACCCTTGGATCTGTGCAAGGAGTGTAATCCTGATAGTCAGCACTGCATTCAGAGAAAGAGGAGGATTTGACTTGAAGAGGCGCAACAGATGTTTCTTTGGGAGATGGGATTGACACCTTCACTTCATTGGTCTCCGCCTCCTCAATCGTGTTCTTCTCAGAACAGAAGATTCCACCCAGGTAAAAGGAGAGTCCACAAAGAACGATGCAAGTTATGATCACGGTACCAAGCCTTGGATTTTTATCCGATGAGTATCCCGGTTTCCCATCTTTATGATGCTTCATGATGAACTCTCTTCTCTAGAGACTATCTGCAAACAAACTAAGACGTCTAAGGCAATCTCATATTTTCAAGCCAATCTTAACTGATAACAGCAGTCTAGCTACAAGGAGGCGGAGGGAACACTTCAAAAGTAGACAACATAAATTCCGTTACATGGGCAAATGTGAAACTAAACTAGCCAAGGGATGCACGTGGAGTTCCCAAAATGTCAAATCAATTACCAGATAAGTTTATTGTTAGCAGGCTGGAGTAGGCAGATCAAGGATGTGAAAAAGGTCCTAGCTACCTAAGCTCTGTTAGATCCAGCTCATAGGGGAAGAACAAAAAATGGAAATCGGCTACAACAGACTTGCAGACAGAAAAAGCAAAACCAAGGAATGGGTGAAAGGAAAGAGTAAAGAGGTTGATGAAGATATTAGAGAGAACAAGGTGAGCACAGAAGCTACCCAACTACCCAAGCCGGCCTTTATGAATATGTATGCATACTACTACAAGATCTGGCAGCAACTTAGAGACGAGTAGGTCTACTATCTACATCTGACTTTTAAACGTTGTTCGTTTTCCCACATGACAATGGGACCCATCTCCATCAATTACAGCCGTCCTAAAAGCTCCAATCCGTTCATCGTCCTCCTCTCCCGCTATCTCTCTACATCCCCACCACACCAAAAAGGCACAAAAGATAAATGAAGCACTAGATCTTTTGTACCAAACACCAATGATAGAGGAAAGAATACGAGTGCCAGCTTATAGTAAATCATACAATTCCAACAACTTCCTTGCAAATAAAGAAATCATTCATTATTCAGGCCTCGATTTGTTCCAACCAATGGACCTAGAATTCCCATGCAAGATCATGATGGTGAGACCGCAAATTTTGACAAAAGCAAAAGGCGAGAAAAGCACTAAATTCCAAATAGCTTTGACGAAAGCATAACAACAAGAGAAGAGGATAGCACTCTCCAGCTATCCCACCTAAAAAAGAAAGACCACCACGGACTGAGGAAGTGAAAGGCGTAGTAAAAGAAACTGCAATTTGGTGAAGCTTCAAGAACCATTCCAAGGAGCAAAAAAGGACCAAGCGAGACAAAAACAAAAATGGGTAGCATAGCAAGAAACCAAGACAGGGCAGATCTACTTCTGCTTCCAAATTACGCAACAAAAATGGAAGGAACCCATTAAAGAAGCGATGAGGATGAAGATGGCCTCGAGGAGGGGGAATCGGGAAGGGTTTGTTGTCTTTGTATAGATAGGCTAAAGAATTTGGGTCTACCAATTTAATTCCTGCCAAAATGAAGAACTTTCACCGGTTGAAAGAATTCAATCACCGAGTTGAAGGTTTGTGAAGCTTAACCATGGATTGTATGACAGAAGAAAAACTCGAAAAGGTACGAACTGGAAAGCACAAAGCAGGAAAAGAAAAGGTCAGTAATGTTGCTCAGAATTGTACCTTTCTCTTGCCTTGAAGCCCCAGAGGAAGGGGAGGAAAAAAACAGCAACACCTTTATGTTTCCACAGCAGAGTCGCTGAACCCCCTCAATGAGAATAGAGATCTGTTGCTCTAAGAGGCATTAACGCAAACACCAAGAGTGCAATCTATACAAAGGACGAAGAAGAAGAAGAGAAACAAAGAGGGAGGGAGAGGGAGTTGGGGCCCTGAGGGACACAGAGGGGAAGTGTCCCAGAACCGAACTCTCTCTAAAATTTTCTCAATCTGGATCTTCAACTCTCAATCTCTCTTCCTCTACAAATTGACACCCATACATGGGAACCTCCATCTTCCTTATAAACAAAAAGGAAGGAGGGAGAAGATGGAAGGGAGAAAAAAAACAAAAAAAGATTTAGCCATTTGTTCTGTTATTTGGCCAGCTGAGCTGTCTCCCTTCCTTTTCTTTTTCTTTTCCTTTCCTTTCCTTTTCTTTTCCCTCTTCTCTAATTATTTTTGACGGTTTCCGCCATTTTTCTTTTTTGGGTGGTTAACGGGATTCGCAACTCGATCCACAGCCTTCCATAGTTATGCCATCTACGTGACGGTGAAGGAAATTTCCCAGAAAAACAAATTACAAAATAAATAAATAAAAACAGAAAAGGGAGGGCACTGGTCCACATGGAGAGAGTGTGTGTGCCGACACTCATTACTATTTCCTGCCAAAAAAGCAATGATTTAATACACCATGTTCTTTCAAAAAAAAAAAAAAAAATACACCATGTTCTACCCTCTTGCTGCAAGAAAAATATAAACGACCACGTTCCACCCCTCATTTTCTCCCTATTAATTAAGCACCGCAATTTGTAGATTCTTGCTATTTGCTAGTAGTACACGACTACATGTACGTTGTATAATTCATGAAAATGTGGGTTGGATATTTCTTTTTTGTTTTTGCTTGGTTTTTTTATAAGAGTGACATTCATTTAACTTAATTAAAAAATTAATGAGCAAGCCTTTGACAGAGAGATCGTTTCGATTCTTATTTAATACTCCGTCATAAAAACTCAGGTTAATTGGTTCGTTCTAACAAATTTAGTGAGAATAAGATTTTTTAGGTTGGATGCATATTTGTAGTAAAAAAATTATTTGGTTCGTTCCGCCGAATTAAGTGGAAGAATATTTTCAAGTCTTCATGCTTATTTTCAATAAGAAATAGTTTATATGGTTCATTCTAACAAATTTAATGGAAGAAGATTTCTGTATGCGTAGTTTTAGTGAGAAATATGTTAATTATTTGGTTTCATTCTAACAAATATTGAACGAAACTACGAAAACAAAGGATGTAATCTGAGTATATATATCTTTGTAGCTAAAAAGTAGACCATTAGTTAAATTTACACGTGGTGATTACTACGTATTATGATTTCACGCATGATCTACAATTAAACATATTTTCCGTGATTAAAATGTCTCCAAAGTAAATTTAGCAAAATACAACTAAATTTAAATCCGAATCCTGTAATTACGGACTCAATACTGCATAATGGTTTGTTGCATTTTTGTATTTTTTTTGTTCAACATAAGTTTGTTGCACACATAGCTAGGCTGTACAACGTGCGAGGCATAATTAGTAAACTTTTATTACTGGAAGGCTGCAACCCTTTTAAGCAGTGGTTTGATTGAGTTTAGTGAGCTAGAAATAGGAAGACAAGATTGGGTTCCCTGGCGAGGCGCTAAAATACAATGGTACCTTGCTTATAAGATAGGACAACCCATGGCAGGCAGGCAGGGCGCTTTCTTCTCCATTCCTCCTTTTCCCATCTGCTCTTTAGCACTTATAAGTTGTTAGTATATACTAACTAATATTCAAAATGTATGAACTAGTATTCAAGTCTGTTGATTTTACTAAAGTATCTAAATAACACAAACTAGTATTCAAAACATCACAAACTAGTATCCAAATAGCAGATACCAACTAATATCCACAATCAACTAACTAGTATTCAATATGAATACTCTTATGGGTTATCTGGATACTCTTATGGGTTATCTGGATACTAATTATGTGATGTATTGATACTAATTATGTGTTGTATGGATATTATTTTGTGAATTTGGGATAATAGTTGATTCATGGTGGATATCAGTTAGCAAACCTTGAATACTAGTCTGTGCTCTCTAGATACTTTAGTACTTGGATACTGGTTCTTGTATTTTGGATATCAGTTAGTATCTGCTAACGAATCTTCAAATTAGCATATTAACTTTTTTATATTCCTTAGACTATGATTAGTGGTGCCGGCGTACCGCATCAGATCATTTATTCATTTTTACCACTAAATCCTATTTAGTAACTTGATTGATACAATCCATGATTAGTTTCACAACCCATAAAATCAGTGATTGAATTCTCTCAATCCGTGCCTTCCCTTTCACTACACTCTCAACATCTTAAAAGTCAATTATTTATTTTGTTTTAACGCTTTGATTAAAACGATTTATAATTATAATAATAAGTAATAATTAAGACATTGGAGATAAGTAGATAGCAAAAAGTAGAGGAGCTCACGTCTGTTCTTGTCTGAATGCGAAAGGGGCCGGCCGTTGGATTCTTGAGAAACGTCGGTGGGTATATATTTTATAAGTTTCCGCCTACAGTACAGAACAGTTATGGCGCATTACATGCTGATGAAACGACGACCAATTCTCAGCGTTATCGATTTTATTATTTATATTAATTAATTAATTAGTGGGGATGATCCAGGGTAGGTAACGTCTTAGGATATGAACCTTAATTTTGTAGGGCGAGGGCATGGCATAATGCATGCGGTGTGGAGGACAAAACAGGTTAATTATGGAGGGAACACAGAGTGGACTTCTGGAAACAGAAAAATGAAGAACCCATGGAGATTGGAGAGGCTTATTCTACTCTGGACTCTGAAGCCGAGTTAATTCAGAGAATTACAACTTGGTTTAACATCAACAAGCTCGTGTGAGCTGGAAAATTGCTCGAACTTCATTACAAGAAGACTGAATTCGAGTCTAGGTTCGTGGCTCTGTTCTACTACCATCAGGCAGAGCAGCGGCGGGTGTTTTCATGAAGGTTTGGCTATGGCGTGGAACAAGCTACTAGGGTTATAGGGAAGGTCAATTGAAATTGGATTCTACAACTGTCAATCTGTCATCGACATAACCAGAGAGGAACTGGGAAGAGGTCAAGAGGATGATCACAAGCAATCAGGAATAGCTAATAGCTCGACCGATTAGAAGCTATTTGTGTAATGAGTTGGAAGTTAAAGTCTCACTTGTGTAAGGAGTAGGAGAGAGAGAGCAATTTTGTGGTCGATTTTATTGGATTGTGAATGTCGTGTCTTTTCTTTTGACGCACATATTTTTGTAGTGAGCGCCCAAATTTAGTATTTTTGTTCTCTTATGATGTAATGGTATCATTTATTATCGTTTAGTTAATGCTAATTAAGGCGTTGAACTTCCGTCTTTTATCAATAAAGAAGATCGTGATTGGCCGCGGCCAGTGGCACGAGGATGAGTTCGAGTCACTATAGATCGGCGGGTGTTCCACACTAAACCTGCTGTATGGATACGAAGTTTTAGGTTTGGATGAAGAAATTAGATAGTGTCTTTGAATACTAGATCTAGATTTGGGTCCGCCCATTAACCGGATGTACTTCATGGATGCTATAAGTAACAAGAGCAATTTGTACAAGAAGTGTTGGGTTTGGATGAAAAAAATCGCCCCATGGGATAGAAAGTGTTAGGTTTAGATGAAGAAATTGAATGTTGTCGTTCTTGTATACTATATTTAGGTCCACCTATTGACCAGATGCATTTTATCAATGGTATAAGCAATTCTACAAAAGTAATAGGTATGGAAGACGAAATTTGCAGCATTGGATAGAAAGTTTTAGGGTTGGACAAAGAGATTGAATGGTGTCGTTGTTAACAATATTTGAGCTCGCACGTTGACTATATGCATTTCATCGAAACTATTTCTTTGTTCGACCTCTGTATTGGATTATGATTTTTGTGGTTGCACCAATGTTCTACCTTTGGGCTTTGATGTCTTGATATTTTTTTCACCAATTGAATCCTTGACCACTATCACTAAAATTAAGTCATTTCCAGAATAATAAAAAATTAAACTATTGTATCAACCGCACCCCTAGTTCTAACCTTCAATGCAACAATCATTATGTGGTCCATTAATGGCGATGGTGGCAATTAAATAACTTCCTTAAATGATAATTTAGTATAAAGAATATTGGGTTTTCAACGTAGATTTAGGAATATGACAAACCGGATCATATATCGCGCTGAATATAATTTGTACTCATAGTTGTTGTTGTACAAATTTAAATGAGGAAAATGATGTGATACATAACTCAAAATTACAAATCATATATACTGTGATACGATAATATTAGAAAATGATATTATTTTGTAGTAAGAACGATAAGATACGTTTTTTAAGGTTTTATAACCCCTGGATTTGTATAGTAACAGGGCCTTTTTTATTTTTATATAAGTTATATCATTTCAAAATTCAATCTATAATTTTAATTTTCTGAAAAATCTACGCATAAAATTAAACTGGCCGGTTAAGAAAAAGATAAAAGTACTGGCCGGTGAAAGTTCTTCATTTGGGCCGGAATTAAATTGGTAGGCCCAAATTCTTTAGCCTATCGCAAACGCAAAGACAACAAAGAACAAACCCTCCTTCACCTACGCCCAAGGAACCGGGTGAGCCTTCCCCACCGGAATCCCATATCCCTAACCTAGCAACCGCTACCTCTGACCCTCTGCCTCCGCCACCGCCTGTCGCACCCGACCACCGCCACCGCCTTTCTTAACCACCCACCGCCACCGAGTCTTCCCCTCTGATTTGCGTCTATCTCAATCAGCTACCGCCACCAGCCCACCCCCACCCCGAGAACACAAAACCCCAAGTAAGCTTCCCCTGATTCTCCCTCTTCGTTTTCTTCTTAGCTTCCGATGAACCGCTACCATCTTCAATTTGCACCTTGTCGTGTAGTTTTTGTCTGATTTCTTATGTGAAAAACCGAATGAGCCAGGTTTAGAAGTGTATCCTGATCAACTTTTATTTGGGATCCCTCTACGGGCAGACTGTGCAGATCCTGTTTGTCTAATTGCATTTTTGTAATTGTATGCCAACTTTTGTCTAATTTTGTTACTGAATTTAGTAGTTACAGAACGCAATCAAAGTCTGCAGATGTGAAATAACTTCAACTATCCATCACTACATGTTCAAGTTGTAAGCGAAGCATCTTGCAAAATAACCGGAGAAATGATGGTGTTTTGTTTTCCGCAACAGGTTCTCTTTAGACATGGAAGATGTCATCACAGAAATCCCACCGCCTTCAAGATTCTTCCAGGAAGATCTCAATAACTTTGCACCTCCTTCGCAGCCTCTTCCTTCCCCTTTTCTCTTGTTCTCTGACCCTAAAACTGAACCACTCCGCCCATCTCTTTTGATCATTGCAATATCGCCTCCATCCTTGTATCTCTTCGATAATCTGTGCACCAAGACTCTGATTGGAAGCCTCATACTACCAGAGATCCCTTTCTCAGGAAACTCTATCGAACCAACTCCTGCCGACAAGTGCTGCAATATCTACGAGCTCAACGGTGCTGCAAATTTGACTCTGCTTGTGTCCCTGAAGTGTCCCGTGAGTGCTGAGAGGTTCAACATAGTTGCAAAACTGCTTGTTGGTAAGCAAATCATCCCCGAGAGGGTTCTGATTTTGGGTTCAGTTCAGAGCCAGAATTTCCGCGGGAAGCTATCACCGGATGAGACTTACGCATTCAAGCTGGAGACATTAGCAGAGAGAGGAAAAGGATCAGATAGTGGAGCTTCATCTTTACTGGAGGGACTAGACTACTTTCCATCTGGTAGCATGGTTGATGGCTTGGCAGCTGCACTATTGAGTCAATGCCAGATGAGGAACATCAGAGGAACTCTGTGTGTTTCATGGCCCGACCATGGCAGTTCAGTTGTAGCTCAGGTTAGGTCACTATTGCAGAAGAATGTATTACATGGATTTGACCTGAGTTCATCAGCGGGAGTCGAAGATAAGCATTTGAGGATAACCCAGATCAAAGATTATCCTTTTGATTCCGAGCTCTACACTTGATGCCCTAGGTTCGTTTTTAGTTTGGAAACTACTAAGTTTCAGTTTCGTTCTCTCTTCAAGTTCTACTAAAGATTACCCATCTTCTCTATAACTTGAAATTTCAGCTTGTTGATTCAAAGGATCCTAGTTCCGTCTGAACAAATTTCATACACTCATTGCAGTCATTATTTACAGTGTTCAGCAAATGGTGATTTGGGTTAATTTTAAGTAAAGGTTGATTGGAGAACTTCATTGATAGAAGGACTTGGTCTCGTTTTGTGGTAAATAAATGCTGGTTGTGACTGAGCGAGTACATCAAGAAATCAACCACAACAGAAAGCAAGCAAATGATGTAGTAAACCATCTTAATGTTGGGAAATCATTAACAGTAACTGTCATATACAGTGACAACAAATACTGTGTGAAACTATGCTTACAAGAGGGAGAAAGCCGAGATAAAGCAACAAGCTGCTAACTTCTTCAACTGCAGCCAGGGATGGGAACCAAAGTTTGTGCAAATATATGGAAGCTTCAATCTCTTCCCATTGTTGTAATTGCAGGCACTGCCGTTGATATAGAGTAAGAATGAACTTTGGGCGTCGACTCTCCATATGGCCTCCGGCATGCAAGGCGGACCCATGGTGGAGATGGTGAATAAGATAGACCATGATGACGATAATTCTCCTCCTCCTCCGTCATTGAACAACCAAAGACTAAGCAACGAGTCTTGCCGAATTTCATGTTGTACAAGAATAGCTAATGATCCTTTCCAAGCACAGATGCTCCTCTGGATAGACCATGGAAGTGATGCCTCGGGAGTTGACACCCACTCGAACTTCTCATCGTGTGGTTTGAAGGAAAGCACCATACCAGAACTGCTCTCCATCCAATGCACTCTCCCGTTGTTGGTTGTGACTGGAGGTTTGTGAAAGTGTGGCTCCCGGTACTCAGTAGCAGTAAAGATGGCGTGGAAGCTCTCGTCTTGGATTTCTGTCCAACGCCTTTCAGCCCAGTTTAGAACCTGCTGCAGAATCGTAACCAAATCCAGCAATCGTGTGATTGCGAGGAAGATTTTTTCCGGCTGGTGAACGTCAAAGCAGAATTGGTCCGTGGCTGGATTCCACAGCACCCAGTATCCTCGTGTGCCGAGGATGAAACAGACTAGGCCGTTGAAGGATCCGGATACGGAAACGGTTTAGAAATTTTCCCCTAAGCATTTTGGAATTACTTTGTTGTTTGTACATAGAGTGTACAAGGTTAAGCAGTAGCACTTCTACTATAACTTAAGAGCACTTCTACTATGCTATATAGTATTGGTGCTTTAATGTACAATTTAAAATTGTATCATAACATTAAATGTATAAGTTTAGGTTGTACCATAAAGCAATTTGTACCATTATGTTATGGTACAACTTTACAACTTGAAGTTGTATCATCACATAAAGGTACAAGTTCAAGTTGTACCATAAAAGAATTTGTATAAAAAGTATAGGTACAATCTGAAGTTGTACCATAACATAAATGTACGATTTTAAGTTGTACCATAAAGAAAAATCCTATAGCACCAATACTATATAGCATTGTAAAATTTCTCATAACTTAAATGTACAAGTTTTGTTTATACTATAAAGAGATCTATAAAAAAAATATATATGGGTACAACCTTATAAAGAGATTTCTAAAAAAAAAGTATATAAGTAGAACTTGAAATTGAACATCTATCTTATAGTAAAAAGAACGAGGCAATCAACCACCATTGCACCGTAACAATATGTTAGTTGACATTAACTAGTACGGTAATAACGAACAATCAAACATATGTCTAACGAGGCCTATAACCATAAAAATATTGATCATGAGAAGTTAAAATTTCCACTTTTATTTTTCCTTCTTATAAATCCTGCTGTCACCCGGCCTTAGCATACCCGGATCCAGAACGATACTGACTGTTTTAAAGAGGTACACCTCTTTTACTGTCTCACTAATTACCTTCACTCTTTTACAGTTCCTCTCTTGTATGGAGCTCTTCATATTAGCAATTTTGTCCTTCAATGAAGAAGTGAGGTTTTCTCCTAAGCTGATTGGCCGCATCTCCAGCTTGGATGACCTCAAAGGCTAGCAGGGCAAACTATATCAAAATGTTGGATAGAAGTCATTTGCAACTCAGTTACACGATGCATAGACACATCAATCGAAACTGGTTTGACACAACAACCGAAACTCAGAAAACACAAGCCTAGACAGCCTGCAACACAAACATGACTACAGGATTTGTGATTCATCATTCACTGCAGAAACGTTTCCAGGAGAGAAAGATCAACAAATATGCAGAGTCATAGTTCAGTCGACAAAAGCCACCAAACATAACTTAGCACACATTTCCACCACTCGAGGCTCGCACATAAAAGAAGTATCAATCTAATCCCACACGTGTATTGCGGGGTTCAGGTTTTACATCTTTACACAAGGTAACACCATACTCAGCTTGATTCAGCAGGGGGATTCTCCTTTGGATGTTTAGCCCCATAATGATCCCTAAGCTGATTTTGATTGGCTAGCTGTACCTGCACACGTCACAGCATCACACAATAATGAGACGAGAAGAAACGGATATTGATTATGCTGTCGTATAACGTATGACATGTGTTCTAGATGAGAGTAAGCAAAACAATCAGTAAATGTAGATAATACTCAACATCTGAAGTGTTTCTGGAAGATGTAGACTCTGAAGCTGATACAACGTTGAACCGTTAGTTTCAGTTTGTGACACTCTCATAAAATACTAGTTAGATCGATGATTAAATGGTTTACAAACTTCGTCAATGTTAGAGAGGAAATAGCGTGACAGGAGGAGGACAAAAATACATCATTTTCATAAAATTATTCTCAAGCAACAAGGTACTATAAACCAATGCAGTCAAAATCGCGATTCTACGCAGAAGCATTTGGTGACCTAGAGACGTAAAAACTTGGCCATAGAATAAGAAAGCAACTTGATCACACAGGTACAATATTTCTGCCTCAATATTATTTGGTAAGCATTACAAGTCAGCTTTTAAATCTTCATAATCATGAAAGAAAACAGCTGAGCTGATATAAAGTGTAAACAATTTTCCGTCCAACAATCATACCAATGATTCATTTAATAACTTCTGACCATACAGAAGCATGAATAAGCATGTTTCTACACAATGGTCATTTGCAGCATAATGTAGAAGTTGTCACACAACTTAGGGCAAAAGGAAGAGGGCGAAAGGGGGGGAGGTTAGAGTTGATGTTCATGGTGTTCAGCCATGCTATGGTACTGTCAATTTTGGGTTTCGCTACAAAAGGCCAATCAAGTTCCCAATCCAGACTTGAGGTACTTTCTACATCAAATCTACAACCCTCAACTTCTGACAGTAAAAACTTATTGAGGTACTAAACTACTAATAGACGACTGATCCACAAGCAGAATCTTATGTCTGAGCTACTCCAAATCCAATAAGACGGGGGGAAGTGCAAGCAGGAAGTTCGCTCCTTTAATAACCAATATATACAAAGCCCAAGCACAATTCACAAGGTTTTTTTAATCCAGAATTTGCTTCCTAAAAAAAGCAGAATGTCAGGGGCTGGAATTGTACGAGTGAAGCATTGTTTCTGAGGAGTATCACGTCTATCCCATTCACGGAATCACAAAGATGAATAGTTTCGTACGCTCATCTCAATCCCTACTATGAGCACCATTCCAATATCATGGGATCCAAGTCCTACCTAACGTCTGCCGGAGGCGACAATCCGCGAGTTTGAGAAATACGATCATGAAGAAAGACGACTCGGAGGCGCACACACGAGCAGATTAATAACAATGACGTTGTATCCACCACCGGAAGGAATTCGAGGGAAAAAAAACCTTAAACAGCCTAGGATCGGGAAGTGCCGACAACGATCGGACAAGCGCTCAAAATTCTCAGCATCAGCAGGGAAAGAAAAAGGGACATCAGTCGACCAAATAGCGTACCTTACAGATGGGGCATGTTACTTTGAGAGCAACGACTCTGGCTTCAAACTGAGAACCTTTGGATTTCTGATTCTTCTCTGCGTTCTTCCGCTGCGCTTCTATCTTCTGCTTTCCTCGAGTCATCTCGTCGCAAACTCTTCCTCCCTCTTTCTTCTCGGCTTGTTCCTCGATAGTCGATTCCCTTCCCAGCTCCACTCCCCACAGGCCACTATGTGCAAAGCCCACGAACTGACGAACGGCTTCCTTACTTAGCATCGTTTGCTTGTTGGATTTTATAAAGTGAGCGATTTGGATAAAACCTTGAATTTTGAAAGTACATGATTATATTGGATTTTGTTATTTTTGATTTGTGTTAGATTTTAGAAATTGCATATTTACTTGTTAGATTTCAAAATGAATTATAGTATAATGGATTTATGGGTTACATAATCATATCCTTATTCATATCATTAATAAAGTATTTTTATATTTTAGTTAATGATACTTTGATCATTTCATCATTAGTGAGGTTCATGAATTTTGACTTCTCTCAAAATTGATTTTATAACCTGTGGGGTCCACGGATTTGGAGCAAAAAACAATTTCACATCTATGGGCCCCACGGATTTAGGTCATTTTAGTCAACAAACATGAATTTAAACATAATCCATCATATGTGAGATTTTGAGACAAAAACCATTATCAAAATCCTATAAGCAAAGACCTCTTAGTTACTTACTTTCACTATATTTCTTTCTCGCTGTTTTTAAATAGATAAAATTATTCTTTTTTTAATGGGTGAGCCAAGTTAACATAGAGATGAAGAGGAAGAAAGTTGTTGCACATTACAAGTTCTGAAATTTAGCTTTCTGCAATCAGGATGATGTGCCACAGGCATTCAATCAAATCAAATCGGTGCGAATTGGTAGATTATTCTTTGGCAGGGTTAAAGACCCTCTTTTTAGTTTAAGCTACTTAACATAATTTTTTAGTTGGCGCGAAATATAATTCGAATCGATCAACAAAATATTAAGAAATTTGAAAACCTTAGCAAAAGCTCTCCTCAATTAGACGTAGCATAACATGTGACCGACCACCATTATCAAACTTATTGAAAAGGAAAAGAAAAAATGAAAATGGACTTCACTCAGCCAAGTAACACTACATACTGGTCAGTACCAAATACGCCTCTAATATCAGCATCATATTTACCAACTGAGCTAATGTACAAAAAGCTCGGCTAATTAGATCAGGCATCTGATGATATCACTACTAGCACTTAGTTAAGGGAATGCCTACTGAGCAAAGGGATACCGAGCAGTATAGTAATCCCTAACACGCGAAGCCCCATCTCTCGCAAGAATCCCTTCCAGATCACCGATGATCCTTGCCAACCAGATCTCAAGATTCCTCTGAACTTCCTTCAAGTTGTTTCTAATGGAGCTCAAGGAACTTCTCATTGCGAGTTTCGAGTACTGCTGCTGCTGCCTTCCTAAATCATTGTCGTCCTCACCACTCTTCCCAATCTCTGTTTGGAGTGCCATTAGCTTCTGTCCTGTTTCGGATGCACGCTCCTGAAACCGAAATGCTTCCAGCAAAAACTCTGTCTGCCTTTGTGTGCGGAACTCAGGACTCAGCGTGGGTTCACAAGGATCGCTAGTATGCTGTAGAAGGGGGGATATTAGGGTTCTTAGCATAACACATATTATAAGAATCTACGGTTGACAAGATGGGAGCAACTGCATCATGCCAAGTGGAGTAACATAATATGTTAAGGAAATGCTAGTGGCAACAACAATAGATGCATTACCATTCTTCTACAGAGATCATCAATCTTTCCAGCAAGAGCTTGGTATCTCTTAGTCTGCTTCCTAAGAAGTGATGGGACCTTTAGTAGATCACCCTTTCCAACCTTTTCCAGATTCAGAAGTTCTTGTTCAAGTGATTTTAATTTGGAGGAGACCCCATTTGACTCACCATCTACCTTCCAAGGTGACTCCCTTCTGAACCAGAAATACATATCACTCATGTGTCTCAAACTTCAGCGAGGAAAACCAACAAGAATTGAGACTAACCTTGCTATAAAAGGCTTTGCTTGATAGTGCGATTCAACGGGTTCATATTGTACATCCTGCAAGATAAAAAAAAAATTGCATTAAAACCGGCAAGAATAAACACAAAACTTGAAATAAATTGAAAGCTCTACTGCAGTGTAAGGGAGGTGCTTTCTTGGTGAGAGCACTGCACAATACAATGTCAGAAAATGAGAGATTGATGAATGAATTGAAGTATAAAACACGCAGAAAGACGATGAAATTTTAACGACCAGAAAAATCTAGTAGAACTATAGAAATACTGATTTTAATCATCTTTATCCATTTTGACAGAGCTCATTTGGTAAAAGGTCAAACAAAGCAGATAACACAAAAAGTTACTAGAACTCGAAAGGCAAAAAGGCATGTTGAGTCCCCAAACTCCTTTCTTTAGGTTGACAAATTTCCAACCTTTGTCAATTAAAAAGTAAGCACCAGTAAAGCAAATGTGGATTTCTTTTATAAAATCACAAACAGAGAAAGCGATCTCAGAAAACTACAAAAAGAAACAAACTAAACAAGCAAGAAGAATATAAAGAAGACAAGAAAGAGTTACTCGTCCAGGATGGTGCGGCTGTGGGGATCCAGCTTGCTTACTATAAATTAACACAACCACAACTAATTTGTCATGTCAAACACAATGGACTGGCCCTGTGGCCCATTTGATCAGTTTTCTAACTTCATACCTACTGAAAGGTGGTCATCCCATTTCATCAAATAGAAATAACAAAGAGATAAAGAAAGAAGGCGACCATCTTAACAGAAATAAAATTTGATCAGGCGCTGATACTTGGAGAACTACAAACTATGCTAGTTGTCAGTTGTCACGGTTAATGTTGCCTCCAGAGAATAAATTGACTGTCGAATTGGGTAGCACGATCGACTGTTTGACTAGGTTCACCACCAAAAAATTCCTCACAGGCTCCTTTAAAGGTTGATACGATTAGTATCTGGTATAGAAATGAGCAAGATAACATATAAGATGGGAGCATGTCAGAATGTCAAAAGAATATTCACAGTATCTTGGACATAGCTGTGAATTTCAATTCATATAGACTGGCTTGGGTGTAAAGTAATACATACCCAACTCTGATTTTGAAGTTTATAATGGTTGAGAGAAGCCTTTTCATTATATCCAACTTTTCCTACTAACTTCTAAACCCAACTTCTCCTAAGCACCTCCTACTGGTTGAAACAAATGAAGCATTAATTCACCATTGACTATTTCCAGCCTAGAGAAATTCTCAGCAAGACAACCCAACCAATGCATCGAAACAAAGAACTCAATTGTTCACTGCTTGAGGGTCAAGTTTAGCATTGACTTAAAACTTCACAGATAGAATGAGTGAATTTCAAGACGCAACAGCAAGTGTTCACAAACAAAAGTCGAAGTCTAAGCCAATCCAAAGTGATGTTAACTCACAACGCAGATGGAAGACCTGGAATTTCAACAAGAAATGCAGAGTCAATGATAATGGAATTAAAGCAAACCTGCCAGTGATGTGGTCCATCAGGCCAAAACCTGGAAGCTGAAGCAGCGAATTCAGGACCCAAACCTCCATAGCCCCCCAGTGACTGATGGCGCAGCTGCTGCGGCTGTTGATGATGGAGGGAGCCACCGTACACGAAATTACCATTACCATTCAGATTCAAATACTCTTCTTCCCCACCACAACACTCCCTATTCCTGAACACACCAGCTTCTTCCTCCGCCCCATCCTCCTCTTCCTCCACGGGAAAACCGTTCGACGCAACGGCGCTTCTGGACATGAATCCGAGCATCTCTTCCCTCTCGTCGACCTCCCTCTCCAAATCGTGAACCCTGGCACCCCACTCTTGCTTCTCCTTCTCCAAATCTTGAATTCTAGACCTCAGCATCGCCATTTCCTCACTGGCGGCGTCGATCTGCTGCAGGAGGCGCTTCTCCTCCGCCTGCCAGGCGTTCCGGTTACCGGCGAAGATCTCAACAACCCTGGCGTTGGCCTTGGAGTCCTCTTGCCGCCTGGATTTCATCTGCTTGAGCTGCTCTTCGGCTTGGAAAAGCCGCAGGGAGAGGTCGCGGATGCGGGATTGGAGAGCCGGAAGCAAAGTGAGGGAGTTGGCTGGGAGTAGCGCCAGGAAAACGGAAAAGCTGAGGCCTAAGTAGGAAGAGAGAAGCTTGTCACTGCTAGGAGTTTGCTGCTGAAGCTCTTCCGTACTGGCGCCCAGTGGTGGAGGTTGCTGTCGGAGCTTGCCTCCTTCTGCCGCTGCGTACTCTGCTGCTTCTTCTTCAGCTGCCATTTCTCGACTGGGGAACGCAAGGGGAAGTTTGGCTTATCTGTGATGAGAGTTTATGGGAGATTTGGAGATCGCTGCGAAGACGACAGATTTCCGACTACTACCAGTCTCGGCAATGGAGGCCCCACGGCCACCACGCCTTAATGGTGTGCCCTATCCAAATTTCAAATAATTACTAGCACTATGTTTGGCAACAAGGGGTGCAAGTTCGAGGGGGTACAAGTTGAGGGGTAAATTGTTGGGGGTGCAACTTGGTGGAGGGTGTAAGTGGAGGGGTAAATTGTTGTTTGGATGAAAAAGTAGGAGGGTGCAAATAGAGTAAAAAGTAAGTAATTATATTATTATAAAATAGATTTATCAATTTATAAAATATTATCACAAAATAATAACATGAAAATTCAATATATAATAATAAAAATAATTTTAATAAAAATAATTTTAATAAAAATAATTATTATATAATAATGCTCAAATATAATTATTTATAACAACAATAATAATCATTGGTCGAGCAACCTCGAAACTCGAAATCCAACTCGTAACTGGTCATCCTAAGGGGGTTCTCGTGCCTAACTTTAAATTGAATATGGTCAAACTTAGTCAAACACGTTCGAATCTGTAAGGTTTAACTACTTATTAAAGTAAATCGAGTTAACTAAACTGTTCCTCTCTATCTTTTCAACAAATGCTTCTTATCTCTAATTTTCAATGCAAATTCGGGTCAACTAAGAGATATCGATTTGACGAGGCGAACATTGACAAACTTGCTCTCTTAGTCAAACGGTCAACCCCAAACAACTTCTACACTAATATAGATATAAGAAAAAATTAATAATATTAATTATTATGTAATTATAATCTAATTAAAAATTCATAATTCCCCTCCTCCTCCTTCCCCCTCCCTTCCTTCCTTTCCTTGCACCCCAATTTGGGGGGTAAGCCGAAACAGTGAATTTACGCTCACGTTTTGCACCCCCCTACTGTTACAAAATAACCAAACGGGGGTAAACACCTTGGAACTTGTGTTTACCCCTCCAAACTTGCACCCCCTTCCATTTGCACCCCTTCCCAAACATAGTGTACGTGATCTTGAATGGTCTAAACTAGCGATTAACGAGATTTACAAATTAATTGTAACCAACATTTATAGATTGCGATTGTTAAACAGATGTATTGTTGAGAATGCATGTATAATATTATATATGTATTGTCGAATTTGATGCATTGTAGAATATAACGTTTGGTATGTGTGATTATGTATGCCGCATCAGCTAAAAGTTGAGACAAAACAATCTCAACTCAAATATCTCAACAATTACAACTAAAAGTTGAGATATAACAATCACTTAAAATGAGTGATAGTTTCTGTCACATCACAGAAACAATCCATGTATTGTTTCTGCTAAAAAAACAAAAAAAAAACGATGCAGTGTAAACAATACATGCATAATGACAATCTCAACAAAATAATCGCAACTTCCAAACGACTTAGATTGTGTGTTAGTTTCCTAAAAAAATTTGTGTTAGGGATGATAATTGAATCTGAACCCACGTATATCTAATACGACCTAATTCGATCGAAAATCGATAAAATGAAGTACTGGCGAGTTTTAGGTCAGGTGATTGATTTATCCATTTTTTAAATTTGTGGGTTGGGTTTGGCTTTTGTCAAAACCCAACTCCTACCCGACCCGCACTAATAAAGTAGATCAATGTAATTTTTTCTTTAACTAGAACAATATTAATAATGTATTAATCTTATTAGTCTCTTTGACATTATATAAACCTAATACTATGGATACTTTATGATTGTTAGTAGTCTCTATAGAGATATATTTGTAGAAAAAATTGACTAACATTTTGATGTGGGTGTTTGAAAAATTAATATATAGTTATATATGTGAACTCATATATACAGTCAATTTCGTGAATAACTGAATATTCATTATATTGGATTGGATTTTTACTTTTAAAACTCATAAGTATTTTACCAAATTTTTTATAAGTACACCCACTGTGATAATTTGGATTTCAAAAAAACCGACCAAGCTAACCTATTGTCATTCCTAATTGTGTTAGCTGGCATTCTATATCTATCTAGCTAACGGAAATGTGGATGAAATTTTTCAAACGAATGAATGGTGGAAGGACTTAAAAGTTAATTGATTTTAGTTTGACAATGTAATTGTAATATTTGCATAATAAGGTGCAAAAGTGCTAAAAGAAGAGTGACAGTGAAACCGAATCGCCCTTGTTGTAACCTTTTGTTTCTGGTAGTCCATTTTTTTTTTCTTTTTTGAAATGGATGTTTTGAATTGGATTGTCTGGTTTGGTATAATAGAAGATGTTCCATGGTAAAAAATAGGCAAAATACACTTCTATATCAATAACTTTCACGTTTGTGACAAATATATCCATAACTATCGAAATACACGAAATACCCAGAAAAGCGTACTATCGTGTGACAAATCTATCCATTTCCGTTACAAACTTTAATGCCGTTTGTTACGGCGTCAGTAAATGTGACGGAACGCTGACTAGGACCATAACCATGCCACACCTAAGCTCCAGGCCAGCAAAATTTGACATGTGGACGCCCTGTCAGCAAAAAAAAAAAAAAATTATCTCCCCCACATTGATTTCTTCTCTCTCCCTTGCTCCAACATCAAACAAAAGGAGGAAAGGGGAAAATCGAGTTCTGGGGATTTTGAGAAGAAGTTGGCTCTTCCCCTGCCAACTGCTACCACTGAGAAGAAGCTTATTAGGCAAAAGAGATTTGGATCCACAACCGCTAGCGGAAGCTCTTCACCACATCAATTTCGAGTATCAGCGGCAATGGTTGCATCCACATGCGTCTTCTCCTCCTGCTGCTACTTCCTCCCAACCGCACGCCTGAGAAAATCGGCGAATCCCATTGCGGGAATCGGCGAGTTGGAGAAACACGCCGGCGATTATAGCTTTTTAAACTCTCGTAGACAGAAGACGAGGAGGATAAGGTTTGTGGTCGGGTCGAGTTCGGGCAAGAAACCAGACGAACCATCATCGTCATCGATACCGTCTTGGACAGACCCCAATTCAGACGAACCGCCGCCGAGGGCTACGGGAGAAGCCGCCAAAGTGACGACCGGCGGGGAAGAATTTAAGATCCCCTTCTTCGCTTATCTCCTCGCCTCCGCAATCACTGCAATCGCCGTCGTAATCTTCAGAAAAGAATACCCAAATTGAAATTCAATCCTCTGCCAAGTCCTTTAATTTCTTGCAGAAATCTCACGATTGTGGTGCTGCTGGTGATGCAGATTGGGTCGGTGTTCGAGTACGTGAACCAGAAGCCGGTTTTCGGGGTGCTTGACCGACAGTTATGAATCCGAGTTGAAGGTTAGGAGAGAGATTGACGGGGGGATTCGAAGAAGAAAGGGGGAGATCGAAGGTTGGGACTGAGATGCAGAGAAGAAGAAGGGTAGATATGAGGTTGGAAGAGAGATTGATGGGGAGATTCAAAGAAGAAGGGGGAAGATGGAAGGTCGCGTCTCTTTCTCTTTTTGTTTTTGTATTTTAATTTTTGTTATTTTTTCTTTACAATCCACGTCATTTGGTGGGGTAAATCAATCGCCAACTCAGCTTCTACCGTTAGTATTGTTGCCTGTTTTTGTTTTCTGTTGTGGTTTTCAAGATTGGAGAAACCAAGAAAAAAAAACATGTTTGGTTGGGTTTCTATTTTTTGTTGTGAATCATATTTGCACAACAGGGCCCAAATTTGAGAAACGACAATTTATTGCTTTGGATTTGATTCTTGTACATGTTTTACAAGGGATTCCCGTTTGTTTTCATTAAAACAACCCTCAATTCGAATCCCACCTAAAGCAAAAAAATTTCTCATTTTTGTAACTCTCAAACCCACCTCCAAACCCTAGTCGGCCAACCCTACCCTCATTTTCTTCCAAACCCGCCGCCCAACAGCTCTTTCCCTCTCTCAACTTCTTCCTCTCGAGACCCAGGCCGCCGATATCGTCCATCTCCCCCCTCGCCGCCGATTTCGTCCCTTTGCCCCCGCCGTCTCCCTTTCCCATGTCGCCCGACCTCGCAACCCCTGCCGCCCTCCTCTCGATTCCCGTCACCTCCCTTTCCTTCCGCCACCTCCTCTCGATTCCCCGTCGCCGACTTTGAATCGTTTCCCCCCACCGTCGCCTCCTCTCTTTTCTGATTTTTAGTTCTAATAGTAGTAACTGAACGTTTTTGTTTCTTGTTGTCTGTTTCATTATTTTTCAGATTATCAACTAAATATGTTGTGTTTTCTGTTTTTTTCCTGTTGTGGTTGTACATCTGTTTACACAACACCACTGCAACCACAACATCAACAAACTAAACGGGGCCTTTCTCTTTTTGTTTCTGTTTTTGTATTTTAATTTTTGTTATTTTAATTTTTGTTATTTTTTTCTTTACAATCCACGTCATTTGGTAGGGTAAATCAATCGCCAACTCAGCTTCTACCGTTAGTCTAGTTATACCATCAACTGACGCCGTTAACAAAATGGATGGAATTGAGTATTTTGTGTTTTTCTATAGTTATGGATATATTTGTCACAAACGTGAAAGTTATGGATATACAAGTGTATTCTATTTTGCCTATAAAAAAAAAACCGAATCGCCCAAGGCATTTAGTACAAACTACAACCAAAGAAAATTAAAAAGGAGCGAGCAGTCAAAGCAAAAGTCGGGAGGTAACCCGCGCGCAGTTCACTGCAGACATGGAATTCGAACTGGATTCACCCTCATCGCCACTTGCAGCTCCACAAGAACCTCCGCAGATCCGCCGTCTGGAGGAGTGTGTCGTAAACCGAATTGCGGCTGGCGAGGTGATTCAGCGGCCAGTCTCCGCTGTCAAAGAGCTAGTGGAGAACAGTTTAGACGCTCACTCCACCTCCATCAACGTGGTCGTCAAGGACGGCGGCCTCAAGCTCATTCAAGTCTCCGATGATGGCCACGGGATTCGAGTAAGTCCAGAAGATTCTCAACTACTAAAATGGAATCCCGTATCGGCTTTGTTCTTTGTAGCTGTAGCTTTCCCGTATTATAGTTATTTTCCCCCATTCTTGTAGTTCGAAGATTTGCCGATACTCTGCGAGCGGCACACTACGTCGAAGCTTTCTACTTACGAGGACTTGCAGACGATAAAATCGATGGGTTTTAGAGGAGAGGCGCTGGCTAGCATGACTCATGTGGCCCATGTTACGGTCACAACCATCACAAAAGGCCAGTTGCATGGCTACAGGTTGGTGCATTCCACTTGTTTGATCAAATGTGTCTGTTAAGAAGATGCTGTAATTTTGCCTACGATGTTGATTAGCGATTGATCTTGCTTCATGACTACTTTTTCAAATGTGCTTTGACTGTTAGTTTCTAAGATATTTGCTCAGTCATGAGTAGGTGAAGTGCAAAAAATCGGCTGATATGATCTCTGGAAATAGACTCTAGAATGAATCCAATGCCAATTCATGACTCGCTTTGTAACCATTTTCATTAGTTTAACGAAAATGAGATTCAATATGTTTGCCTGTTTTGCAAATGGTTTCCCGGTACATTCCTGACCAGACTTTGTTCATTGTATCTATTGTTCAGGGTATCCTATAAAGACGGTGTCATGGAGCACCAACCAAAGGCTTGTGCCGCTGTCAAAGGAACTCAGATAATGGTACAAATTATGACTTTGACTAGGTCATGTACAAACTTGAGTTTTAAGAGTACTATTGCTAACCAAAGATCTAGTACCAGAAGAGAGGCTGAACAAAGGGTTTCTAGAACCTTTCTTAAAGGGATTCGGACATGTGTGAAAGCAAGGGCTAGAAATCGGAAGATGTAGAGATGTCCACAAATGATGTTGTAACTGGATAAACAATAAATCAGCATCTATTGTTTCCTATTTATTCTCTAATTTATGTTTATTACGGCACCTACATGAATGGCTGATGTTGGCATATAGCAGCTGCCCTCTCTCATCCCGCTGCTTCTCTGTACCTGTCAAGCAAATATACAAACTTTAGGAAAGGATCTGACTGTTAGAGAAATGCCTGTTAGTGGTTTTACAGTACGGTGACATCGCTGTGATACATTATGTAAGCATAGGATGTAGCAACTATTTATATAGACTGCACTAGCGTTTGGGATTCTGACTTCTAAGATCAGTTTTTCTACAGATAGATGTAACTCACTTTTTACCTCCTTCATAGCAATTCCTTGCACATGCTCTTTAAGTTTTTTAGTGAATGTTTCTCCTGTCAGGTAGAGAATTTGTTCTACAACATGGTTGCCAGGAAGAAGACGCTCCAGAGTACTGTTGATGATTACTCAAAAATTGTAGACGTGATAAGTCGATTTGCCATTCATCACACATCTGTGAGCTTTTCTTGCAGAAAGGTTAGCTAATAATATTCTGGAAGTGGTTTTCCTGGATGAGGTAAGGGATGTTGCATTTTCGGTTGGAATTAAAAAGATTCTTTTGTTATGGTCAGCATGGAGCTGTTAGAGCAGATGTCCACTCCGTAGCAACCTCATCAAGACTTGATGTGATCAGATCGGTTTATGGGCCATCAGTATCCTGCAATCTGATGAAACTAGAAACCTCTGACAGTGACCCTGTTGGATCTATCTTTTCCATGGATGGATTTATCTCATCTTCAAATTACATGGCAAAGAAAACAACAATGGTGCTTTTTATCAATGGTTTGTAGTTTTGTACTTTGGCTGAAACCTAAAAGTGCTAACTGCTAAGGGTCAGCGCTCTGGAGTATAGTTCTGCAGTTATAATGACACATTTTGTTTCTCTTGGTGGCTACTTTTCTTCTCTTCCGGACTGCGTGTTGGTGTGAATTTTGTTTTGTACATCCGTAGAAGATACAAATCCTGGTGGTGTAGTGGTTGATGTTACCATATTTTGCAATGATCTCAGCTTGTTAATGGGGAAATGAGATGTCTTCAGATGAATAGTCGAGTGTCTTTGTTTGTGCTTATCTTTCTGTTTGTCAAGAGCTTGTGAACTCTCTGAGATCTTCCTCGATCTTTTATTCCTCCCATCTTTATTTACTCAAAGTTTCATGTTTAGAATGAGGTAGATACATGCAGGCCTTTCTGCTGTTTCTGATATATCCATCAGTAGGCATCTCTAATCTTCTTCAACACTACTCATTTCATATGATGTGGTACGTGGTCATGATGCTTTTAGCTTACACTCAATGTGCAAATGTCTTATACCTAACTCTTCTTTATGGGTTAGGTTTAAGAGATAATTCTATTCCGTTTGAACTAGAACTGCATAAATGAAACAAGGATTAAAGGAATAACACCCTCGTCGGACTTCTGATTCTGGTTTAACCTGGATATATCCTGTTCTGTTCATTATACTATTGATTGTTTGGTACTTATAATATGGACTGTATCCCTGAATCTTCTGATGCATCTTCCATTTGCTCCAGATAGATTGGTGGAATGTACTGCTTTGAAGAGAGCTCTTGAAATTGTTTATGCTGCCACCTTACCCAAAGCATCAAAGCCTTTTATTTACATGTCTATACAACTTCCACCTGAGCATGTCGATGTGAATGTCCATCCAACAAAAAGAGAGGTAATTTTTGTGGCTGCTTAGGGGCGAGGACTGACTCTGTAGTTATTGACCAGTTAAAAACTGTAGTTGATAATATTATAATTTGTAATTCTTACCTGCTTAAAAAGTTTACCTTTGACCATATAATTTAAGACTACAATATCTCCATATAATTTGCCTCAAGGCTTGGAAAATTATCTAATACATGGTTACTACTTTCTCTGTTCAGTTTACTTCCGCACTCTGTTGCTGACATACTCTGTTGCCAATTTGAACTGCATAAAAAATAGTTCCTAACATAAAAGAAAGTGGGTAGGTTTAAGAAATGTGGAACTTACGGGAAAGTCATTTTAGTAAGTTCTAAAAACTTGTTTGGTACAACTTCAGAAATTAATCTAATGACCAGTATAAAGGATACATTTATTGGTGTTGTGTCTTGAAGATTACTATGTAGCTCTTTACTAAAGGGCAGTACTAGAAGCCTTAGAAATCTCTGATTTCTTTCGATTCAACTAAGCCCCATAGACAGCCATCCTGAGGATAGTAAGAGTTGAAGATATTGTTATGCTTGGCTCTCCTAAATGAAACGAAGTAGCAAAACTCTTAACATGTTCTGTTATGCTTTTTTTTCCTGGTTTCCTGCTTATTTTTGTCTGTTCACCACTTCAAAGAGAATGGTTTTCTTGACCGCGAAAGAATAAAGGTATGCTTTAAGAGTCCATGAGAATATTTAGTATAAAGATTCTCTGTTCAGGCTAGAATTGTATGCATTCAATAGAATGCGTGATACTTAGTTGATGATAAAGGACACTAAACATTTTATGTTTTCCAATCTATTTATTTAGTCTATGGTTCTGATGGAAGGAGCACTTGACTGCGGGTGCTAACTTGTCAATTATGTAAATGAAATCTGGTTTGGGCTCTTTTCTATGGTTGTGTTCGTCTTCGTCTTTTTTCTGATGTGACGGATTACCTGTATCTTCTCTTCTTATTTTATAAAGTTTCCATCAGTTTGTTCTAATACAGTTACAATTTTGCTCTACTATGCAGGTCAGCCTCCTAAATCAAGAAAGGATCATTGAGAAGATACAGTCTGTTGCTGAATCAAAATTGCGGAGTTCAAACACGTCGAGGGTGTTTCCAGAACAGGTATAAACGGCACATAGCAACTAGCAAGAAGCTGCAGCTGCAGCTTCTGACACCTATTCCCGTTTTCCGTTATGTGTGATAAAGTAGATGTTTGAGGTCAGTCTTGTTTCTTGAAAAAAAAATAATGTTTCAGTGTTCTTATCCACTTATCCTAGCACTATTTTTTTTTTTTTTGCATTTAATGGTTTCTTCAACTGCGTCATACCCTAAGCTATATATAGTGATTTGATTGGTTTGCATCACCCATGTATACCGCGAAGGGAATAGAGTCGCGGACTGGCTCTCGAAGCGCAGTCTCGTCTATCCCTACCGTATGCATGAGGTTGCGAACCCGCCGCCGGGTCTAGTTCCTCTTCTTAGAGATGATTCCATGGGTTTGACCTTTGAGCGACGGATTGTGGATCGATCCTCCCGTCATCCCTCTGCTTCCTCTTATCCGTTGTAACTCTCTTTGTTCTTGACCTTTTGGTCTCCCCTTATGCAAAAATATATATATATATATAGTGATTTGATGAATTTAGTAGCCTCATTCGTATTCCGTATTTTAATTTCTGTAATCATAGATCTGCTTACTTTTACCGACTAGATTCATTAGCACACTCTATTGTTTCGCTTCTCTTTCGTTCTCTCTCTCACAATTCACTCATGTGAAAAGTATTTGCATCTCCCAGGGTTGAGTAGGCCGAATTCTTCATGATATGGAGAAAACTGAATTTTATATGAAAAGGGTTTGGATTGTCAAGATCCATCCTAATGTAAGATTGCAACTGATTTCATGAACTTTGGCAATTTAAATAAACTCTAGATGGCATTTTAAAGAACTTGAAGTGACTCACTGGCTATCTGTAGATTGCTAATCCTTTCACAAGTATAATGCTCCAAGTCTTGCTGCTTCTGCTGTTCCTCTATGATACTACTGAGCACTTTCTTGTCATCTTTCACTTGTCCATCTAACAGACACTTGATCCCTCCCAACTCAGTCCATTTAGCTCAAGTAAAGACTCACAAACAGATTCCCCACCCACTGGTTCGAAACTTACACTTTGCTATTTGGATCTTTTTCACTATTCTTCCATTCAGTTTTAAGAGGTCCTGTGAAATCATCTTATGTTCTTTTCTTTTGCTAGCATCAAAATCACAGAAGACTCCAGTTAATAAAATAGTGAGGACTGATGCAATGGATCCAGCAGGGAGGTTGGATGCCTACTTAAAAGCTAAGCCTCTTGAGGGCCTTGAAAGGAATCCTAGTTTGACAGCTGTAAGGTAGGATCTCGAAGTGGAAACATATGTGGATGTGGTGAGAAAGTATTGGATATCTGAAACCAGTGTCTAACTTTTCATGTCAGCCTTGCCTTCACATTACTCCTACCTGAAACTCCTACACATTGATCCTGTTTCCTGATCAAGTTTAAGTGGCCTCCTAAGCGCTAAAGATCTCTGGTTACTCCTATTTGTAGTCTGTTTGTTATGTTTGAAGTAGCTTCTACTATCTTGGAGTCATTACGCAAGTGGTCTGAAGCATTGGGGACATTATCCCTCTTACATCCTTCTTACTTAGCATATTGTTCGTTTTAAGTCATGCTCGTCTCTCTGTTCTTTTAATGAGCGCCTATTTATCATACAATGAAGTGCTCATTCCCTGGCTTCTTGGCACGACATAATTGGTGACTTTGGGATGACTTGGTGACTTTGGCTTGACTTCAGATAGTTTGTTAGTATATTTAGGCTTAAAAATCTCGTGGATGAATTCTTATAGAAAGTAGCAATACATTGAAACAATCCTGGTTATTTGGTATTTAAACTCTGCCTGGTAACAATCTATTAGTAGTTCCTCGGTATTCAAAGTTCAATAGTTTTTCCAGCACTCATCATCAGTGTTTCAAAACAGTATTGAAGAATAATTACTATATTATTCTCACATGTATATATATTTTTTAATTTCTAACTTTTATAAATTCTACTATTGCAGGTCTGCTGTTAGACTAAGAAGAAATCCAAAGGAAACTGCAGATCTTACTAGCTTACAGGAACTCATTGATGACGTGGAACGCAACTGTCATTCTGGTAATCCCATTGTAAATGACATCACAACTATTGACAAATAAACTTCTTTGGTCTGAATTTTATGTGTCAACCCTGCTGAGAACCTTTTGATTTTATTTAGATTTGCTGGATGTTGTTAGACATTGCACCTTTATTGGAATGGCTGATGAAATTCTGGCATTGCTTCAGCATGGTACTCACCTGTATCTTGCAAATGTGGTGAACTTAAGGTAACAACTGTTCACCTCCAGTTTTTCAAGATGTCACAACTTATACTTTCTTACTATGGATCAAACTACAGGGCTAATCAAGATAGTCTGATTTCCCTAAGCAAAGTAGTTTGTTTGTACTTTGTAGCATGCTTGGAAGATTGGATCCTGGGAATGTTTGGTTGGTTGGTTATATAATATTAACATTCGTTTGTTTATGTATTCTTGTTCAAATTCACAACACCTTTGTCAATTTTGTTTATTTTGCACTTTATGTAAACTGTTGATAAATGGCCACTGAATCTCTTGGGAATAGTTTTTTTATAAGGGTAAAATAGGTTTAGTTTTAATGTTAGGTGCTACTGAAGGGACTTGAACTTTGGACCTACAGGTCGGAGACCAACAGTGTAACAGCTAGACCAATCTTTTGGGAATAGTTCAAAAACGTCTTTTGTTCCTCACCAACAACATATTTGAGAAGATAATGATACCCATGTGTTCACTTTAAAATGTCAGCAGCACCTCTTAACAAGCTGCTAACTTGTCTGTTCAGCAAAGAGATAATGTATCAGCAAGTTCTCAGGCGGTTTGCACATTTTAATGCGATACAGCTAAGTGAACCAGCCCCAGTATCAGATCTAATCATGTTGGCGCTGCAAGAAGAAGATCTTAACTCAGAATCCACTGACGGCGACGAGCTGAAACAGAATATTGCAAAAGTAGCTTCTTGACTTCTTGCTTTAATATTGTATCAGCATTTTTGTCTGCTTGAAAATGTCTCCACTGTCATGAGTTGGCTGCTCCATCTTGGGGTCCACTATGTGGCGATGCTGAGTGGTTCAATTCAGTTGTTTGAATTCAGATGGTTGTTGGGCTTGGCCTAATTCTTCCTGCCATGGACCTATTAATATTGGCTATTGCCACCAGCTTGCATTTTATACACACGTGGGATGAACATATTCCCTTGTATATGATACTTCCGGTACAAGATGCCAGCGTTTCTCTGTTTTCAGTTGGACAAGTGAGGCTGACTTTATGGTTCCGGTCACTAAGTTTCACTGCAATGCACTATGAGATGTCAGACAAGTTACAATTTTCGGAACTGATAGCTCAGTAGTAATTTTATCCAGTATGTTTCTGTACGGACATCTATTGTTTCATCAACAAAACCATTTCATTTTGATATTATTGTTGACACTTAAATTGCATGTCTGGAGGATAATATTGGGTCCATCTTATTGGGTGTTTGTGATGTCTACTATTCTTTCCTTATTTTTGCAGCATTTCATTTTACAGGGCCTTTCTTAATTCTCGGCCCCTTCCATTCATGATCTAGTCTCATGAAGTTTTCTCCAGCATACGTGAATTTTCCAGAACTGTAATCTAACCGCTAATTGTCAGCTTATCTCAGTGTTTGATCTTTTTCAGCTGAATTCGGAATTGCTCAAGGAAAAAATGGAGATGCTCGAGGAGTACTTTGGCATTTCCATAAACTCAGAGGGTTATTTGTCCATGCTTCCTGTCATCCTTGACCAACATACTCCTGATATGGATCGAATTCCTGATTTCTTGCTTACCTTGGGGAATGATGTAAGTTCTGCCTCCTGAATACGACTTTCCAGTGGTATTAGATACTGGAAGCTGTAGTTTGTTTAATGTTTTCCAGAAGGCACGAAATGTTATTGGTTCTTCTCTTGTATATCCTGTCTATTTAAATGTAGTGGCTTGTTCTCACAATAATGCATAGTGCTATTTGTTTGGCAAATGTCAATTATTTTTCTAGAACTTGCTTGCACACAGAAGAAATTAGTCAATAAGTAAGGTCATCAATAATATTCTGGGTTATAAAAGTCTATAAAGTTCAGGGCAGTTAGATACCTATGCAATTTTAAAGTGATCTTATGATTTTCTCTATCTAGGAGTCCTTGCTTTGTGGCGGCAACTGGGATAGTCATATTAACAGCGCTCTTTTTGAATTCAGAATGAAAATGTTGAAGTAACTAATTCGTTGCTTATGGTTGTTGTTCGATCCTTAATCCACAGATTGAATGGCTGGATGAAAAGAACTGCTTTCAAGGGATTGCTGCTGCCATTGCAAACTTTTATGCCATGCATCCCCCTCTGCTGCCGAACCCATCGGGTGATGGTATGCACTTCTACAAGAGAAAAGCCACAGACAATCGTGATGACGAAGGAAATACCATTGAGAAAGGTACGCCTTATATAATGGTTTACCAGTTTTGGAGTTGGAGCAACTGGCATGATTACTATCATGTTCTACAAGTCACTTTTTGGATTCTGCATGATTTCTTAGTTCCAGACTTCCAGCCGGAGCTATTTGTTAGGTTTAGAGCATGCAAGTTACTTGCCACGTTAAGCAAATATAGTAGGAAACTTGGAGATTGGTGAATCAAAGAAAGAACAAGGATGCTTGTCTGAACGGTGACAGTCTAGGAGACTGTATTGCGACAAGAATAGTAATGTAAGATCTAGGATGAAACAAAAGATATTAGCTTTCATGAGCAAGCATGCTTGCATCCTTAATCATGTGAAATTCCTGGAAAACAGGCTATCGGGGGTAGTATTAGTAAACCGTCATTTCAAATTCATATAGATTTGATTTTCGTGGGGAGGGGGCCTGAAATCAAATTGTTTACCAGTGCCGACAAATAGCCCTAATATTTAACGTATATCCAGGACGTGAGTTCTTAGGATGGCAAGCTTATTGTATATGCAAGTAACACTATCAGTAATCACCTGATCTTGCTGATAAGTGATCGGCCTTTCATGACTTTCTCCTACACATCGTCCCTATTGTTCTATTCCTTACAAGCTCCTGTACAGTTTTTATATTTAAGAATACCCAGCATTGTGAATGAAATAAGACAGGCATGCCCCTTTTGACATTTTGCAGCGGATATACAAGTGGAGGAGAAGGACGAAATCGACAATGACCTGATCTCAGAGGCAGAGACTGCGTGGGCACAGCGTGAATGGTCGATCCAGCACGTCTTGTTTCCATCAATGAGATTGTTTCTGAAGCCGCCAGCTTCCATGGCCACCAATGGAACGTTTGTAAAGGTAAAAAGCGCCCGACCTTCTATTCAACTACTGCTTGTCTCTTATATGCCGATGTCCTCCCTGGATTTATGTGTGCTTCCCCTTGAACCTGCATCAAAACTCCATATTTCGAAACATCAGCCTTCTCGGTTTCTATTCTTCAGTTCGTCCATTTCCAAATGCAATTTACTTTTCCTATTGTTTTGGTTTAAATGTGTTTTGCCTGTTTGTTTAATACTCTGATGCTTGCAAGTTGCTCTTTCAAACAGGTTGCTTCCCTGGAGAAGCTCTACAAGGTTTTCGAAAGATGCTGATGAAGAAAGTCAGTTTGTTCAGCTGTTCGTCATTCGTCCATCAGACGGTTTTGCTAAGAAGTCTGGAGGTTGCTAATCAGCATAAGAGAGAAGACAAGGGTGAGATGCTCTCTGATACACCCTCGATGCTTGTCGAATATGATCGGCCCCATCTTGTACAAATGAAAACAATGTCATTCGCCTTCTTTCTTTGCCTCCTTTTGTCCAGATCAAAATGTCGTCCCAATTCCCCTCTGGCATCTTATTAGAATGTAGAATGAGCTGGTTCTCAAAGTACATCCATACTCCTAGACTTCTCAAGCAAGCTACTGGGTATCAACGTGGACTGTGAAAGCAAACTGTCAAAAATCTTAGCTCGATCTTGATTGATCTTTTTCTCCTGATATGCGAAACCATATCGGGCGTTGTACATATCAAGTTAGCGTTGTACATATCAAGTGTAATAGTATTTAGCAATATAATTGTCGTTTAACTGGTAGTGTACCCATATAATATTATTGTTAAATATAATTAAAATAATTTGGAAAACATAAGATATCTAATTGACAATATAGCATTGTACAAGACAAGTTAGTGGGAAAGTATTCAGTGATAGTGATTCACTTATTGTTAAAAATAATCTGATTGTATTAATCCAAAATACCGGCTGATATAAGGCCGATGACCAGTTTGATGCAACCAATGATGCGGAATCACTTATAGAAGTGATACGGCTCGAATATCATTAGAAATCAAAACATGAATTAGCTAATTGCCAAAAGAGTTTACTGAAAATTTGATTCAATTTTAGTCAAAATTGTTAATCACTTGTCTATTTTTATCCATTTAAGAGAAATCTATTAGTTGCTAAAATCAGCTCAATTTGGATTATAAGTTATAACGGAGAAAACTAAAAGCTAACCACCGACTTTTTTTTTTTCTTTTTCCTCACAAAGAGAAAGAAAAGAATTTTTTTTTTTTTTCATTTTGCGCTTCGTTTCGTTTCTATTCCTCGCCGTTTCCCTTTTCAGCATTTTCAAAAAAAAATTCCTATTTTCTTTTTTATATGATTCCTTTTCCTTTTCCTATACTGAAACGGAGGTCTCGACTTATATTATATGTTCCCCGGCCTATAAATAGCCACACTTCTAAGACACACGAGGCTTGTTGTAGTCTAACGGAACTGAAGCCACTACTGCACAGTTCAGGTCACGTGTTCGAAACTCCCAGGAAACAAACATTACATAGAAAATAAATAGAAACCTCCCTCTCCTCATCGCCGTCAAAGACACTCCTCGGCGTTCGACTTTACCACCTCCGACTTCCGATCCACTCTCCCTCTCTACAACATGAAAGCGAACCAAGCCGAAGATCTCTCCAAGCGCCCTTCCGGCCTCGTTCCCACACTACAGAACGTCGTCTCCACAGTAAACTTGGGCTGCAAGTTAGACCTCAAGCGAATCGCCCAGCAAGCACGCAACGCAGAATACAACCCTAAGCGTTTCGCCGCTGTCATCATGAGGATGCGGGAACCCAAAACCACGGCGCTCGTCTTCTCCTCAGGCAAGATGGTATGCGCGGGTGCCACAAGTGAACTGCAGTCGAAGCTGGCCGCCAGAAGGTACGCGAGAGCAGTTCAGAAGCTTGGGTTTCCGGCCAAGTTCAAGGGTTTCAAGATCCAGAACATAGTGGCCTCGTGCGATGTGAAGTTCCCGATCTGGCTCGAGGGTTTTGCATCGTCGCACGGCGCTTGCTCGAATTACGAGCCCGAGCTGTTCCCGGCGGTGAAATACAGAATGAAGCAGCCGAAGGTTGGGCTCAACATTTTTGCCTCCGGGAAGATCGTGATCACGGGAGCTAAGGTGAGGGAGGAGACGTACGCAGCGTTTGAGAAGATATACCCTGTGGTTAAGGAGTTTAGGAAAGTCCAGCAATGATGCATGCATGGCGGCGGGAGTTGATAATATTGGATTCTGAAATTCGCGGGTTTCTTGAAGTACATCCATCGTCCTAGGGACCTAGACTGTTCGAAAGCAAGCTATCTAGTTGGCCGCAGCAGGATATCAACGAAGAGTACTGAGCAAGAAACCTGCCAGAAAACCCTAGTTCGATCTTGATTTCTTGATCTCATAGTTTGTGGAACAGTACTGAATATTGATTGTTGGGTGGTTATGCAAAGTATTAATATGAATATATAATATATATTAGATATATGACTAATACTTAACTGGTTAATTTGATTTGATTGGTAAAGTGTCTGAAACCATGTTAACCATACCATTATCCAAATTAACCAAACCTAATTAGCCAAATACTACCGGTTAAAACAGTTACCATGTTAACCATATCGTTTGAACATCCATATCGGATACGGTGCTATTCCTATAGTGATATAACCATAAGTTTTAGAAACCGTACTAGTGGTCGGATAAAAAATATTGGGTATCGAACTTGAAACCGATTGATAGTTTTAACGGTAAGAAACTGTTGAACCACAGTTAAAACACATAATTTTAATACAAAAATACTATATCACTTACTTTTTCATTATAACTTCCGGGTCACTAATATATCTTTTTGATGACTATTATTCTGCCTCCGTATCAAAAGTTAAAGACATAAATATTAGTCTCCAAAATTATATGCAAAGACAAATAATTTTATTTATAAAAAAAAACTTCTAATACGATTTCACAATCTTCTTAATACACAACTAAAAAACAATGTCTACAAGACTACAAAGGTAAGCTCTCCGTTATTTCTCCTTTGGGCATTTTCTTTTTCCTTTTCGCATGTTATTTTTTCTTTTCTTTTTGGGAGTTGAGACGATTCCTGTTCCTATATTGATTCCGATGACGTGAAGGAGTTATTTTCACCGGCCTATAAAATATAGATATAGGTTAGTTCCTGTCACGGCGTGTTCGATCGAAACTCTCCGTAAACAAACTGTACATAGAAGCCGCTCTCTCATCACCGCCGTCAAGAAAATCGTCGCCATTTTACTAGCTAGCAACTTCGATTTCCCCTCTCTGTCTCTTTAACATGGAAGGAAGCCAACAAGCGGTGGATCTCTCCAAGCACCCTTCCGGCCTCGTTCCCACCCTACAGAACATCGTCGCCACAGTAAACTTGGGCTGCGAGTTAAACCTAAAGCAAATCGCTTTACGAGCCCGCAACGCAGAATACAACCCTAAACGTTTCGCCGCCGTCATCATGAGGATCAGGGAACCCAAAACGACGGCGCTCATCTTCGCCTCCGGCAAGATGGTGTGCACGGGTGCCAAAAGCGAAGCGCAGTCGAAGATGGCTGCGAGAAAGTACGCTCGTATAATTCAGAAGCTGGGCTTTTCAGCCCAGTTCAAGGACTTCAAGATCCAGAACATAGTGGGCTCGTGCGATGTGAAGTTCCCGATCAGGCTCGAGAGCCTGGATTCGGCCCATGGGCCTTATTCCAAATACGAGCCCGAGCTGTTCCCGGGGCTGGTTTACAGAATGAAGAAGCCCAAAGTTGTGTTACTCATTTTTGTGTCGGGGAAGATTGTGATCACGGGAGCTAAGGAGAGGAAGGAGACTTACGCGGCGTTTGAGAACATATACCCTGTGCTTGCCGAGTTCAGGAAAGTTCAGCTATGATATATATATATGGCTTCTTCTGATCCTTTGAAATTTTGCAACTGTGCACATCGAAACAAGTGGAGAACAATGGGGTTCTTGGGATTAAAGAGGGAATTTAGGTGGCTGGGAGTGTTGATGTTTGTAGTTAGGTGAATCTGAGTGTACACAGACACGATCCTAGGAGGACAGAGGAAGAGATTAAAGAAATGGGTTGCGATTTTCCAGTTTTCTGTTGCAATGCTATAGTGTCACTTGTTCCATCCATATGAACTGCTGCTTTGTTGGTACTAGGGCTAGGAAACAGTCCGGCTTGGTGTAAATCGGATTGGATTGATCCGCGTTTTTAAGACGGTATTGGACAACCTCACAATCAAAGATGGAATTGAATTGTTACTTGGTTTTGACCAAATCGGATTGGATGCAATATGGTTTGGTCTGGTTTTAACTAAAAACCCGGAAACACGGAGACCTCTGCATACTTTTGGCGACTGGCAAGATTCGTTGTCGGCCAACGGGAGTCACCTGACGGGGATTTAGGGAGTCGATTTGAGAAAAGATGGGGGCATATGTGACGAATTGACTTCTTCTTTTTTAGTTGGATGTACGTGAATTTAATACATTATATGGAGGATTGTTCGGGTCATGTGTTGAGGTCTTAAGAAGGGTAGTTGGATGTGCGTGAATTTAATACATTATATGGAGGATTGTTCAGGTCATGTGTTGAGGTCTAGAGAAGGGTGGGAGGGAGAGAACATATATAGAAAGATCAAGAGGAAAAGAAGAGTATATCATATTTTTGCAGTTCTTGTTTGTGTTTCACAGGAGATAGAGTGAAGATAGGCGACATTGGTTTCGACTTTGGAGAGATCAAGAGGGGTCCCTGGAAAATTGGGGATTAGTAGGGATGGCAATGGGTCGGGGACGGAATTGCATATCCGTTACCCTACTCAAAGTAGTTCGGGTTTTATCCATACCCATACTCACATATGAAACGGGTAGAAAATTAAAACCATGTCCATACCCGTTCGGGTTTCGGTTATCCACGGTTATCCATGAGTAATGATTTCTCTTCATAACTCCAACTAATATGTTAACATTCACACGTATTCTCACATTACGCAAGAGGAAAAGTATGACAATAATTCACTAGAATGGAGAAAATTAATTAAAATAACACAATTTCATGAAAATATTATATTTATATACTAAATATAAAATATGTTAGAGAAAAATAATAATTATTTCTAGACAAAATACATATGTATGTGTATAATCGAGCTGGTTCGGGTTGGATACTGAGAAACTCATGCCCACCCATTACCTGCAATATTCGGGTTCGGGGTTTACCAGTACCCACTAAATATCCTTCGGATTCGGGTTTTACCCTACCCGATTAGGCAAGATTCGAGCGGATATCCACGATTACAGATATTTTTGCCATCACTAGGGATTAGAGTTAGGACTTAGGATCGTCAATCGTGATGGGCCGCTTGAATTTGGGTTGCCGCTGGGTTGGGCCTCGACAACCACTAAGTTTTGGACTGTGGTGGGGAGCTAGCAGGCTTGGTTTTGGGCTGGAGTGGGTTTCCTTTTGGACTATCCAGTCTTTTCGGTTTTAACTGGATTGGATTACCATTTTTTGTGTGTGCAGTACAATCGCAAATTGGATTGGATTCAATGAAAAATGCTAAATATCTATTTTTGCTCTTTCTTTCTTCTCTCTATCATCGATGAAATCCAGGAAGAAGTTTCGGTCATCGTCCTTAGCTTCAGTGACGAAGGTAGGATTTGAAATTACCTCTATCCTCTTTTCATATTATAAATATATAAATATTTAATAAATATAATTAAATTAATATCTAAATAATTTATTTTTATATATAAAAAATAGCGACTAATGCAATCGGTATTTTCATAAACAACAACGATGAGTTTTCATATTCTGAAAGAATCACAAAATACATTCATTGTCTACACTCTTAAGTAAGTCCTTTTCAATGGATCTCACTAAACAACCATTAGCAAACTGGTCGTGAATTCGACTTCGAAGTTCGTTTTTATATAGCTCAAAAAAGGAAATATTCTATCTACACTTGTCGTCAAAACTAGTGGAATTGGCGCTGCCACCGGACTGCTTTAAGATTGTTGTGCAAATAATCGAATATGCATATAAAGAAAAGAGATATGTTCCAATTGAGATTTCGTTTATGGTATATTAAATTAATTTAATGCCAATCTATGATCAAATAATGAGTTGTGATATAATAACAAAATAAATTATATTCGGTGTTGTGTTCCATCCTTAATATAAACATATATGGAGTATTTTTTGTTCCTACCAAACTTTACCCCTGTTCCGGGACAATGCCCAAGAGGACTGCCTCCACCTATGCTTAGCTCCCATTGTCATCCTCGCAACCCCTCCCCTTAGTCCCATGCAACAAATCTTCTGTAACAAAAACCCAGCAAGTCTTTGATGCCTAACCAACTGGAGTGATTGAGGAGTTGGATTGAAGCGACTGGGGGATTTGGATCTGGCGGAGAAAATTTTGCAAACGGCTGGATCTTATGCATAGTTGTGATAATACAAAGCACTCCCCACTCTCCTCGAGTTCGGAAGCTTGACGTCGGCAACTAGAAAGAAGAAGAATCATCACCAAAAACTCATCCCAGGGAAAAGCGATTTGGTCTTATTTGAGCTAGAAAGGCGCGTCTCTTCGCCATCGATAAAGTTGGTAGGTCGAATATGTAGATGTGAGCTTCCCGATAGAGTTATGGTTCCACATATTGCATCACAACTCACATAAATATAGTATGATGTTGTGGCATATGATCTCGTCTTGATGTAGATCGTTTTCATAACACTCTCTGTTTTTGAATTATCGTGTGATAATTGGATTCTCAAGAATTTAAAGTTCTATTACTTATAGTAATACTAATACCTTAAAGTGTCACCAAAACATTTTTCACTACATTTTTAAATTGTTGTGAACTAAACGGCTGAAATGTTTAGGATCTTATTCTTATTTCAAATCCGTAATAAGATGGAATTGGACACTAGTAAGTAAATGTGTAATTTTGTGAAGATCGGGAGCTGATTCCGAATGAATTCAAATAATCTAATTTTCATGGCTTCGTTTTTTATTCCAGAAGACCAGGACCGTATCAAGGATTTCTAATCGTTAGGAGTTTACTGTTTAATACTCTTCTGACTTCTCATTCTCAACTCAAACTCCTTCAAAATTTCAAAATTCCGCGTCTCTTCTCTTCCTCCTTAACCCGTTCGTTAGCTCTCCGCTCCCCTGCTTGCTCATAGTCTTCATTCCACCGTTTGATTTCTTCCCCATTCCACTGATTCCTTTCGAATCCATCTGTTTGTTTGGCCGCTGAGAAACCGGATTTCAGTCACCACTGATTTTGCCTCCGGTTCAGGGCAGAGGGAGAGAAAAAAATTGAAATTTGTCCGCTTCCTCCTAGTTGAGTTCTCCGAAATCTGCTGTTTCCATTTCGTCTGGTGTATCTGAAACCCGTTCCCAGAAGAAATGTCGCTCCTCAGTAGATTCTTCTACAGAAGGCCGCCCGATGGGTTGCTCGAGTTTGTCGAGAGAGTATACGGTAAACTCCATTTACCATTTCTGCCACCCATTGCCGAATGAATGAATTGCAGTTTCTAGGGTTGCAAAAAATTTATACTTCCTGTCTGCTAGGTTATGCGATTGTGTGATTGTCTCGGTTCCTTTTGGTTTGCAGTGTTCGATTCTTGCTTTTCTACTGAAGTTCTGCCCGATGAATTGTACCACATGTATTTACACGAAACAATTGGGGAACTGTACGAAGAGTTTCCCGACTCTTCCATTCTTGCTTTCAATTTCCGCGAGGGCGACAAGCGGAGCCAGTTCGCTGAGATTTTGTGCAAGTATGATGTTACTGTTATGGATTATCCGCGCCAGTACGAGGGCTGCCCGCTCCTGCCCTTGTCCTTGGTGCAACATTTCCTTCAAGCTTGCGAGAGTTGGCTTTCACTTGGGAACCGTCAGAATGTTATCCTCTTCCACTGCGAGAGAGGGGGCTGGCCCCTCATGGCCTTCCTATTGGCTAGTTTCTTGATTTTTAAGAAGCTCCATCGAGGTGAACGAAGAACCCTTGAAAGTGTTCATCGAGAGGCTCCGAAGGGCTACCTGCAGCTCTTGTCGCCACTTAATCCTTTCCCTTCTCAGCTGCGGTACCTTCAATATGTTGCAAGAAGAAACATTGCGCCAGAGTGGCCGCCTCCTGAACGATTCCTTTCGTTAGATTGTGTCATTCTTCGTGCCATTCCTAGCTTCGACTCGGACAATGGCTGCAGACCTGTCATACGTATTTTTGGTAGGAATCTCCGCTCAAGGGGTGGACTTTCGACCCAGATGCTGTTCTCCATGTCTAAGAAGAAGAAATCTTCCATTAAACATTACCGACAGGTAAAGGTTGTGTTTGTTGTTCTGCAGGAATTTGTTCTAACTACCTCATATATTTTGTATTTAATCTCTTTGCTATTTTTGCAGGCAGACTGTGATGTGATCAAAATTGACATCCAGTGTTTGGTACAAGGAGATGTTGTCTTGGAGTGTGTGCATTTGGACTTGGATCCTGAAAGGGAAGTCATGATGTTTCGCGTAATGTTCAACACAGCATTTATTCGATCCAACATACTAATGCTGAACTCTGACAACCTTGACATTCTTTGGGATTCAAAGGAACGATATCCAAAAGGATTTCGAGCAGAGGTGGGTAGCATGAACGATCAATTTCATTTTTTACATTTTTTCGTTGGGTGGGGAGGGGGGAATAGTTATATCTGTACACATTCATGGTTTCTGGATTAATTGTGCTTCTTGGATTCAGATTCTATTTGGTGAAGTTGAGAGTGCCTCACCACCAAAAGGCCCAAGTCCAACTTCAGTGTTGAACGTGGAAGAGAAGGGTGGATTACCAATTGAAGCTTTTTCTAAGGTTCAAGAACTCTTCAATGGTGCAGAATGGGTTGATAACAGTGATGCTTTGTGGCTACTTAAGCAACTTTCCGTCTTCAATGATGCAAGAGAACTTTCAAGATTTCAAGCTAGAGGTAGTTCATATGCTTCACCTTTTGACTCTGAAGAAGATAATAACGCTTCCAGCACTGCAGATAGTTCAGATGAAGCTTTTGATTTTGTTCCAAAGTCTTCAGTAGATTCTATGGAGTCATTTGTGCGTGGTACTGTTAATTCCGTAGACATACCACCACCATTTGATGATCCAGTTGATCCAGACATTGGTTCAGAATCCACAGGTGCAATTTCAGTTCACCCTGAAACTGCTCCATCCTCTCTTAAGCAACAACTGGCTTCAACTGAGGAAATGAAACCTTCTTCAGAAGCTTCTCTACAGTGTAAACCTTCTGTTGGACAAGTACCAACACAACCACCACAACCTGGAATCCTTGCTTCCCCACCACCACCACCTCCTCCCCCTCCTCCGCTTCCTACAACTACTAGTGTCCAAAGTCCTGTTTCAATTTTTGCACCACCTCCACCAACACCGCCTCCACCTCCTCCTGCAGAGTCTCTGAACAATACTACTAGTCCATCTCTACCGGCGTCATCTATTCCTGCTAGTACAGTTTCTTCATTCTATAGTTCTCCTGCCACAAGTAAAGTTCCCACTCCACCACCACCCCCTTCTAACTTATCACATATAGCTCCGCCACCGCCACCGCCACCGCCACCGCCACCGCCTCCTCCACCTCCTCCGTTTGGCAGAATGTGTTCAGGTTTAAGTACAAGTCTGGAGCTGCATTCTGGACCCAGTACTCTTGACTCTTTTCAAAAGCAAGCACCACCTGCACCTCCGCCACCTCCACCACCTCCTCCTTCCAGCTTACATTCATCACTTCCATCATTGTTACCTCCACCTCCACCTCCGCCACCTCCACCTCTTCCTTCTTGCTTACATTCATCATTGTTATCTCCACCTCCACCTCCACCTCCACCTCCTCCTCCTCCTCCTCCTTCCAGCTCGCATTCATCATTTTTACCACCACCACCACCACCACCACCTCCTCGTCCTCCTTCTGGTTCGTATTCATCACCTTCAGCACCACCGCCACCGCCACCACCTTCATTTCCCTCAAAAACCAATAATATCAAGCAGCTACCACCAGCCCCTCCCCCTCCGCCTCCACATTCTACTTTGTCATCTTCAACATCTATCACAAGTGCTAGAAGTGGTCCTCCACCTCCACCTCCAGTTCCACCTCCACTCCCTGCTGGTGGCAACCCTGGTGCTGCCCCGGGGCCACCTTCCCGTCCTCCTCCCCCTCCTCCAGCACCTCCTTTGGGTCCTACACGCTCTAGTTCGATCTCATCACCTGCCCTCCCCACTCCACCACCACCACCGAGGCCTCCCGCTCCACCTCCAGTACCTGGTCGTGGTGGCCCTCCAGGTCCGCCACCATTGCCAGGAACAAAGAGCTCCAGTGTGCCACCTCCTCCGCCTCCTTCCATTGGCAGGGCAAAAGGTTCTTCTGGTTCAAGTGGTCATGGCAGAGGTCGAGGAATCGCCCCAACTGGCGTTGCCACTAAAAGAACTTCTTTGAAGCCCTTGCATTGGGTGAAAGTTACTCGAGCAGTGCAAGGAAGTCTGTGGGCTGATTCACAAAGGCAGGAGAGTCAATCAAGGTGTGTGATATGATATTCAATTGTCACCCTTGGATTTCACTCTTTTGTCTGCATACTTTATCATGATAAAGGTTTAGGGTTCACTGCGATATTTTTTTTTTTTACCACCAAGAATATCTGCTGATTCTGTGTGGTTTTGAGGAACAGTATGTTTGATTGTTTATTTTTCTTATTCATCCATTGCCTAAAATATTTCCATCTAATTGTAGTCTGGGCACATGGTTCTCTTGGTCTTTCTTCGGCTACCATTCTGCATTTCTGCTGTCCTTCCTTTAAGAGAACAACTATAGTTTTTCTTTCTTGTCTCCCAGTTTTCATGCCATTTGATGGCTTGTTTTGCTAGGGCCCCTGAAATTGATATATCAGAACTTGAGAGTTTGTTCTCAGCTGCATCAGTGTCAGAAGGTAGTGCTGCTAGTAGAATTGGTGCTAGACGTGGCTCTAACATCAATAAGCCTGAGAAAGTACAGTTGGTAAGATGTTGGCACCAACTTTCGTTGTTTGTCATGTATATTGCTTGTGGAAAATTTTTGTTCGTTTTTGTTGTTTCTCCAGTAGTTGGTACCAGGGTACTGTACAAGCTCATTTCTTTGTAAACTTATTTGTAGTTCTCTCAATAGTAAGTTGCTGTATGTTCTAGCGTATCTTCACTTACTTTCGCTTTTATTTGCAGGTTGACTTGCGTAGAGCATATAATTGTGAAATAATGCTTTCAAAAATCAAGATTCCGTTGCCTGAAATGATTGTAAGTCCATTATGGTCCTTCTGATAAAGATGGTATAATTTTTGAAAGAAACTCCTGAGTCTGAATTTGGTCTGCCGTAATTTAATACCCCACATGGCTTCTCTGTGTGGATAAAGATGCACTTTTTTGTAGGTTCAAAATTATACCATTTGATCATTATCTTACTTCTACAACTAATCTTATGTTTTTTCTTTGAACAATTTACTAATCTTATCTATACCTCTCGAATTTTTTCTTTTGTAGAATGCAATTCTAGCTTTAGATTCTTCAGTGTTGGATATTGATCAGGTTGAAAATCTGATCAAATTTTGTCCAACTAAGGAGGAAATTGAAACATTAAAGGTAAATCTATGTTTCTTCAGCTTCACTCTGTTATGCGTTTGTTCAGTAAGCTTTGCAGAGTTGGTTTTGCAGTTCAGTGAAATTAATAAGTGTACAACAATTTTCCTGCACCAGTCATAGATTTTGGGAAACTAAACATGAACTGTGTTTCTTGCTGGTTGTTCCTTGTTCTTTCCCTAGGTGACTTTGCTTGATGACTTACCTTTGAGACACAGTTTCGTACTCTGTGTGAGAGTTAACATTGGGGAAAAAAATAGTTTCAATTGAACTTTGTGAACGAGTGAATGTTAATTTGGATTTGTTCTTAAATATTTATGCATCAAAACTGGAGCCTATTCGTGGGAAAAAGGAATCCTTCTGGTAACCACGTTGCTAACAAATTCAGAGCAATGGTTATATAATAGAATATAATATAATATTCTAACTTGACTGTGTAGGTATCTTAATAATGGCTGAACCATGGGTTGACAAAAAAGAATTCTCTTTATTTTGAAAGGAAGATGGCAATTTCTTTACATTATTTGCGATATTGTTGGGTTTCGTTTGCAGAACTTTACCGGCAATAAGGAAACGCTTGGAAGATGCGAACAGGTGAGCTTGAATTGTGTGCTATTGAGTATTTGCATACAACATATTTATAACCTGCTAACTGGCTGCTTGATTTCAGTTCTTCATGGTGCTGATGACTGTTCCAAGAGTGGAAGCCAAATTACGAGTATTTGCTTTCAGGATCACTTTCTCAAGTCAGGTGTGGCGTGGGTTTATTCCTCATGGTTCTGCATTACATTACTTATAGTTATTCATTGTGCTCTTTTTGTTTTTCTCCTTTGTTTCTGGCCCAGGTGAATGATTTGAGAGGTAACCTCAATACCGTGAATGATGCTGCCAGAGAGGTAAAGTAGACTATAAAATTCTTATACAGAATAATGAGAGAATTCAGTAGTTTGGCTTTTTAATGTTCGCATTGTTTTTCAGGTGAAAGAATCTGAAAAGTTACGGCAGATAATGCAAACAATTCTTACGTTGGGGAATGCTTTAAATCAAGGCACTGCACGAGGTATCATTATGTTATGTTCCCTTCCGGAGTTAACTTCTGTACAGTCTTATGTTGAATGCTCAAAGTAACATTTATTTTAAAATGTGATTGTTTTTGGGGACTTAAACAATGAAATAGATAAATTACAGATATGGAGACAGTTTGGGTATGCCTTATAGATTCAAATCCCGCTGACATGGCTTTATCTGTGATGACATTATCAACAAGGATTGGGATGAAACTTACCGGCTGTATATCTCGAATTCCTTATTTTGCTAGAAATTCTGAATATGGAAAAATCTATTATCGACAAAATGCAGCAACATCTTTCGGCTTGTATACCTTTGTTGGAATATGACCAAGTTCGATAGACAAAGTCAGTCTTAGAAAGTTGTTTTCCATGCTTGTTCATTGTCCCAAGCTGCTTGCATAGCTTGAAGTTCTCCTAGTGTAAGCTTGATCTTGATTTCTGTGGGGAATAGCTTATGATCCATTCACCATCATATTGGAGGTGGCCTATCAGTTCAACTTAGCACAGAGTCTTCTCCCATTAAATTCTCATTTTGGGCTGTTTAAATTCTCTGAGCCTTATGTTTCTTCCTGAACACATTCTAATCAATGTGGCTCCCAACTTTTGTGTAGGATCTGCTGTGGGATTCAAATTGGACAGCCTTCTTAAGTTGTCTGATACTCGTGCAAGAAACAACAAAATGACTTTAATGCACTATTTATGCAAGGTAGATTTAGCCTACTTTGAAATTGTTTAATGAGCTTCATAGTTTTTGTAATCTGGAGCTTCGTTATGCTTGCCTTGGAAATTATCTTTTGTTGTCAAGCTTTCTTTTTTGACTTGTCATAGACAATGCAACCTTGAATTTTCTTTGCTTTCATCTTGATTGCGAGTGAGATGACTGCCAAGCATCAACTAAGAGTGATTACATATTTTGTTTCTCCTGTATTTCTTCGTTTCCTAGAATGCATGTTAATTGAAGTCACAGTCATGCTTGTTTGATCTGTTCTATTAGAAAAAAACAATTCATGTGAGGGTTGAATAAGCAAATTTAAATGTTCTTGGGTGAGCCAATAGTTGATATCTAATATTTGCATTTTGCAGAGACAACTTGCAAATGTTTGTCTGTTCACTTAATGGATGCACATTGTATTGTTGATCACTGAAATAGTTACAAGGACAGTTGTATAGTATGTTTCTAATAAACCATGTTATCCGATGCTCATTGTGCATGGTTCATTGGAATTCTGATTAATCCTAGTTTATAGCTTGTTTGTCGAAGTGAGTAACCCATGATTCGTCTAAAGTCCCTCTAGTGTTATAATTGGTTTTGTGTTTGGTTCTTGTGCTAATCCTTTTCCTTTTGCTAACGGTTTCATTATCTGCACTTAAATAGCTCCTAGCTGAGAAAATGCCAACATTGCTTGATTTTGGCAAAGACCTTGCTCATTTGGAAGCTGCTTCTAAGGTATGTTACAAAAGTAGTTCATAGGATATTCTGTTATTTGTATATTTTTTGTACTTCAAATGATTAGCCTCATTTATCTAATTTTATTCAACTTTGGATTTCCAGATTCAACTTAAAACTCTAGCTGAAGAAATGCAGGCTGTTAGCAAAGGTCTTGAGAAGGTTGAGCAGGAACTCGCTGCTTCAGAAAACGATGGTGCTATATCTGCCGGTTTCCAAAAGGTAAGTCAGAGTGATTGTCTCTTGGTTAACTCTATTCATTTTTGCTTGTAAGGATGATCTTGAATAATATTCTTTCAATGCTCTGGTTAAGCTATATGTATATTACTTTATCACTTGGTTTTCTGGCATTTATTTGGAGCTATCCTCATTCTTGAGAGTTGGTTAATTTTCGGTTTAGTAATTGCTGATCAGTTTGAATCTCGGCTGTCCAAGATAGAGGTTTTTTGCTTGTTTGTTTTTCCTTCCCTTGAGGTATGGACGAGATAGAGGTTTTTATTAATCATTTCTCATTTTAAACAACGACTTCTGAAGGCCTCTCAGTTTAATGTGCCTTCGTTGCATGATAAGTAATAAACCTTGTTGGGTTAACCAGGTACTGAAGAACTTCCTTCATACTGCTGAAGCTGAAGTAAGGTCACTTATTTCGTTGTACTCAGAAGTGGTGAGTCTCCTTTGTTCCTAAAAAGTCTTCTTACAACCTTATATGGTCAGGCATGTGATGCTGGCCAGTGGCTGTCTTAAATTTTTTGTGATGCATCATCTTGCAGGGAAGAAATGCAGATGGATTGTCCCAGTATTTTGGAGAGGATCCAGCTCGGTGCCCCTTTGAGCAAGGTCTAGTTGTTAAATGCTGTCACTTTCCTTGGCCTTAGTTATTTCCACCTGAGACCATAATATCGTGTTATTTGATTAAGTTGATTGTGACCAGGAACTCTAGTACATGTTTCCTTTTTTTTATGCAAAATTGGGTTGCTGAGTATGGTTCTCTCCACTCCCCTGCAGTGACACAAATCTTGGCCGTCTTCGTGAAGATGTTCAACAAGGCACGGGACGAAAATGAGAAGCTGGCTGAGGCTGAAAAGAAGAAACTCGAGAAGGAAGCCTTGAAAGAGAAGTCTGCTGCAAACTTGTCCGCGAAGAAAGATGAGAACGACAAGATGAAACTCGAGTTTCAACTCCAGAGAAATGCTGTAAGGCTGAAAAATGAAGACTGATTCAGTGGAAGATGGGGTTAACGTTACCAGTCATTTTTTGGGTGGCCGAAATCTGGACTTCACTCCCCTCATGATCATAGGTCTGGTTACTTGATTGTAACTGGTCTCTGAATTCTGATAATGTGTTGCATTGATTCAGTACCGGAGCGTATTACTGATAGGATACCGGGCGATGACCTTTTTGTATAGTATAGTCTGCAGGCAAGGCATTGTACAACATACTCGGAACTGATTCTGCAGTGTGGATCTCTCAAACGAAACCATGATTCTCCTGTAAGAACTCCATCTGCAACTTTGTAGTTTGTACAGAGTATAAATTAGATGAAATTTTCTTCCACTTCCGTTTGCTACTTTCTTGGGAATATAGATTGGACAATGGATACTCGTGGTAAAACAACACATTCTCATATCAACTCAATTGTTTTGGAGATCTCAATTCCACTCATCACCACTGAATTGACGAAACATTGCCCTAATGGTATAATGCTGTTAAATTAGATCCGGCAACCCTTTTATTACAGTCAAATGTTAATCCCATTATTCTTTTACTACCTAAACCCAATCGAGAAACTCGAGAACCCAGCCATGGCTGTAACTGATGAAGCAGAGCACTGTTCTCTGTACAATGCACGAAACCGCTTTCACTCGAGATACTTCTTCTTCTTCCCACCAAACACCTTCACCATAGAATCACTCGCCTTCCTTCCCGCCGGAACAGAAAGTGCTCTGCAGAAGACCAAACCCACCGCCGCAGCCAGCTGCGCGAAGAACAAGACGATGCCGAGCAACACATAAACAACCCTCCTCCACTGCCACAGCAGCATCTTCATTCGAGGAAGTTCGCAATTGAGCTTCAACGTTGCTGCATACACTTGTGGGATTCCGGCTCCCGGTGATTGAAACTCGGCTCGTTGTTCGAGCAACACTCTCATTGAAGCGGCGGTTTGCGGGAGTAGTTGGTCGTCCATTTTTAGGTCGACGAGTTGGGACTCGGAGGCCATGCCGGCCAAGAGCGGCAAGGCTTTGATGACGGACTCGGCCAGGCGGAATGGGTGGCTCTTGAATGGTAGCATGCATGGACGGCTCGTGGATGTTGTCACTTCGCCGCTGGCTGACAGTAACTCCACCTTTACCTTCATTGAATAAAAACATAAACAATGATTGACGTCATTGTATGAATGGTTGAAGGAATCAACAATACCACAAACAAGACTTTAGCGACCCAAAACGTTCGTCGCCAAAGGTCCCATTTGAAAAATAATTATATATGTAAACAATTTGAAGTATTTAGGAAGAATTTGTTTAATGCCTGTGCAATACACGCATACGTCTTAAATCCGTTCAAAATTTATGTTCTTGTAAGATTGTAAAATTAAAAATTGTCTTATTTTCCCGTTTGTGATGCTTCCCATGTTAAATGTGCATACCACGTTTAATGCACATATTTTAAACAATTATATTCATAACTTAGTAATTGTATATTCGGTTGTAAATTATAAAATCTTAATAATTTATAATTGATACCAAAATTTTAAACATAATGTTATATTGAAATGATATTAGTATGTATATATTATCATATTACACTGTACCGTATTTTACTAACTCGACCATATAATAAAAAACCTAAAAATGATGATGATTGGTTAGGTATTTTATTTATCAACTCAACATGGGCAGACTTGTCATTTTCGTGATGTAGCTAGGTAAGGATGGTACAACTTGCAACTTTAGTTCAGTGTATTGGACGTCCAACTTGTTGATTAAAATACTGACTTGATAATTAATGATATCCCATCCTATCCTTCCAGCCAATGCTATCTATATGTTATTCCATGGAGATGAGGCTGCAGAAAGTCGTTGACGGATGGTCCCTTATTCATTTTAGAGTCTGTAACATGGATGTGGGATAACGAGAATACCTGGAACATGCCAAGGTTGCGATTGTACTCCGACTCCGGCATCATCAACGACACAGTCACCTCCATTTTCCGATTGTGCGGAACAACACGACCTTGATTCCCCAACAATGTCCCCGAGCCAGAGTATGAAGGAGCTAACGGGAGTAAAGCCACCGGAGAAGCCTTTGTGTAATCAAAATTCAAGGCAACTTTCCCCTGAAACGGCGGTTCCAGTACCCAACCCAAAATCAAGCTGCCCATCAAAAACCCAGACGCCAGCATTGCGAAAAGCACCAAACCCAGAAAGCAACAGCAGATAACAGCTCGCCCCAACTTCACACCCACATCCCTCGTCCTCTTCTTCGCGTCGGTGATGGCTCTGTTGGCGACAGCGCCGCAAAGGGTCATCACCGGGTTCTTGATCGCCGAATTCCCCAACACCGCGCGCTTCAGAGCCCTGGTGGAGACCCGTATGGGGAATGTGAGGAAAGAGGCCAGGAGATGGAATTGGAAGGCGATGAGCTTCATCATGAGTAATTGTGGAATTTTCAGTAGGTTGAGAGTGAGACAGAGTCCGTTCTGATTTGGATTCATCCATCGGTTCTGCTTCTTCACCAGCATTAGCATTTGAGAGGCAGAGGATTGCAGAGTCGAAACAGGGGATGCTCTGTTTCCCAGAGGAGCGGCGGCGAAAGCAGCGCTCGCGTTCTCGCGTTTGCGGCCATCGATCATCAGCTTTTCGGCGCCTTTGATGGCAACTTTGACGAGGCAGCGTCTGATTGCGGCAGATAGAGTGATGGGTTGGGAAGGAAACCCGCCATTTTGCTGTGGGTATGATGCTTCGTCCATGGTGGGAGGAACAGAGCTATGAGTTGCTGCTGCAGAAGTGGGCTGTTGGGTTATGTTATTATAGAGCGGACCAAATCATGGATGGATTGATTTATGGTGGTTGGCATTTTTTCTTGGAATGCTAAAGGAAGATTGAGAATGGGTTTTTTTGTGGTGCATTAACCAATGAGATTTCTTTGTTTATAGACAATAGGGAGAATAAAAATTTACATTCTGAAACAGAGAAATGAAGAAGACAAGCAACTCTGCAGGCTGTGTAGTGTTGGCAGTGGGGAGGATTCCCTCAGGAATCAGGATAGCTATTTCAGTCTGTGAAGCACACATTTCAATGATTATCCTTCCTGGTTAAGGGGAGAAGAAAGCTGGAGCTTTCATTAATATCACTAATGGAACATTAGTCACAATCTATTTTGTTTTAGATTTGTACAAGGTATAGAAGAAACTAATGGTTTTCAAGTTATACTCATGAGATTCATGAAATAATTGGCAGTTTTCAAGTAGATTCCTACTCTAGAGACACGAGGAGACAAGTTTGAGGATATTGTTAAGCAACTGAAATTAGTTTGCAAGAAACTTATTCTGGGATTTCTTATGGTAAATTGAAGTAAACTTAATTAATTACCCATTATAGCAGATTTCACTGGTTGCATTATGTAAAATACAATAGGCATTACGTAATCGATAGACCTATACATATATTATTTATCTCTATTGCCATTTTGGTAAACGTTCTGTTGGTCGATATGATATGAGATATTTTTTCCATACATTTGGTTGTCTTTAGATGAGGATTAGGATTTTTGTCTGGCCTATTGGTAAGATATGAGTATATCATACTGAACGTTGTCAAGACTTTACCATAATTGAGTTAAAATCAAATCTCTCATAATCAGAGAGATTTTATATATTGATTTGTAATTCTTATATTTTTTTCTCCTTTCTTTATACCTTTTTTTTACTTATCCCCCTAAATACACTTGTCAATAAACTATCAATATTTCTCGAACCACTTTGGTTTTTGATTAATGGTAAACATGTCATTTCATATATTCTTAGAATTTATATTTTCATTAAATGCTAACAATAATGAATTTTTTTTATTTTTTTTTCAACCGTCGAGAGAATTATAATATTTTTTTTATAAGGGTAATACATATATATACTTTTTGTGGCTAGATACAAACCTAATATATGAAGTGATTCAAACCTAAGACCTTCAGGTTCTATACTAGTGATATTACCACCAGACCAATCCATTATTGGCGAGAATTGAAATCTTTTAATTATTTAAAATCTAGAGATTTAGACTCCAATTCTCCAAACGAGCCCTTAGAGCAATATTTGGTAATAGAAATTTTAATATTTGGTGCACTCGATAAATACCTATACCGTACTAATTTCCACCCGCAAAATGGGTCACGATTGTGATTGCGGGAAAATATTATGACCTCTGTTGTAAATAGTCGGCCTTTCTCGGAAAACTCTCTCCTCTAGGGTTTTCTGGAGTATTTATTTCATAACCCAACTCAACAAGTACCCAACAAATCGTCCGCCAGCCCGCGTTCCCTTCCTCTTTAGTCTTTCCCCCCCTTCTTAATTAATTACTACTGCTGCTAGGGTAGAGTACTTTTTTACGGGTCCAACAATGGCGGATCTAACACAAGGCGCCATCGCCCTTATTGCCGGAGGCGCTACTTCGGGGGAACTGCAGCCGACCTTGCAAGTGACGGAACTGAGGGAGGTCCAGGCGAAACAGCAACAGAAGCAGCAGCACGGCGACCGGTTCAGGCTTATTCTGTCCGATGGTTCGCACTTGCAGCAGGCCATGCTCGGCATTCAGCTTAATCCCTTGGTGCAACAAGGAAAGTTGCGAGCTGGTTCCATTGTCCACATGAAACACTACTCTCACACCATCATCCAAGAGAGAATGTGAGTTTATTTCCATCCATCCCTCGTTCTGAATTTGTCATTTGATGGTTTTTACTTGCGGTCCCTTGATTTGTTCTGATACGTACGTAGAAACTAGAATGCTAGTTGTCTGAGATTTTCATTTGGGACATCACATGAGCATGGTTGTTTGAACTTTTCGATATTGACATTGTTGGTTGTGTTCAAATATGAATATGGATCATAGGGAAATTGTTTTGAGATATGTTATATATATAATGTATTTGGCGTCAGTAATTTTTTACTTTTCTTACATACTAAAACCAGCTAAGCTAGTAATAAGAACTCGGTTGAACACTAGTCGGATCATACTACTCATTTTCCCATAATATAGGCCCAAACATTGTTGATGTATAAAACATGAGTTTCACATCGAAGGTTTTCCTTATTGTCATCAAATTTAGTGGCATTACACTAAGAGCACATATTTGTATAATTTTTATTTCTTTTGTCATTTTTCCTTCATTTACAAGTGGACACATATATATCTCAATTCTCTTTTTCATTTCTTTTATACATATGGGTATGGGAACCTTTTAATAATCCTCTAAATTATTTATTTTATTTTATCATTTTGTTTTTTTATCATTAGATCGAAATCTTTGTTCGTATTTTACCATATTTCGGTATGTATTTTTCATTTTCAAATTCTTATTTATTAGCATGTTCTGAGTTTTTTACACTATTCAACTAAAAACCGACCGATCTCCAATATTTAGATCGCGTGTATATAGATGATGCATTTTTCATTTTCAAATTCATATAGATTGAAAATCTTTGTAAGTTTTCTTGCTATTCAACTAAAGGTTAGTTTATCACGTGTATTTCAATCACGTGTATTTTGGTGAACCATTTTTCATTTTGATTGACAATCATTGAGAGATTTTCAACTGTTCAAATAATTCTTTTCTTTCCTAGAGTTCTATTTTCGAATATGAAGCCTAATTGGCTATTGAGTCAAATTTGAAGTGTAGTATTTTAATACTAGTTTGACGATCAATAACTTCAACCTTGGGTTATATGTAATTGAACACTCACTTTCTTGAATCAATCTTAGGTTATATTGTTTCATTTACCGCGCAAATCACACAATTAAAATTTGTGTTGTATGAGTTTTTATTTTTTGTTTAACATTTCGTATTTACCAAAATACCAATCTTAATAATTGAATATCCCATGTGGAGCACGAGCTTTTTACCTAGTTAATCTCTAAAGTACCCTAGTTTACTTCAAATGGTGAATTATTGCAATCCCATTTAAACGGTTCGAGGCCTTTCATTTTCGGATTTTCCTCTATTAGAATTTGACCCTATTTATTGAGCACATGATATTTGAATGAATATGTGCAAATTTAAATCTCATATATAGTGGTTTTCGTAATTCGAGTTATATTGAGACTAACTGATTATTGACGTCATATTAGAAACTTTTATAAGTTAGATGTCTTCTATTCGAATAGTGATTCTTGACATTGTATAAAACCTTTTATGATTTGAATATTTTGTTTTTGTTTCTTGTATCCAGGGTTATCATCGTACTTGAATTGGCTGTGGTGGTGGAAGAATCTGCTTTGATTGGCCTTCCTTCCTTACTGAAAATGGCTTTACCGAGACACCATATGCCGCCAACAGCGCAACCAACGGCGGCGAATGCTTCTGCAAATCCTCAATCGTCAGGCTCGAGCTCTGCACCACTGGATGACGAGTCATGTGCACAGCTTAGGGAGCAGATTCAGAGGCTGACAGAAGAAAACACTCGTCTGCAGCAGAGATGTGGTAACCAAGACAAAGTCGTGAGCACAGTCGTTGAGCAGAATAAGAGGCTGACAGAAGAGAACAAGCGTTTGTACGAGAAATACAATCATCTAGAGGAGAACTTAAGCCGGATCATTGAGCAAAACAGAAGCCTGACGGAACAAAACACTCGCTTGCATGAGAGGCGCGGCCACCTCGAAAAGACTTTGGGCCAAGTCGTCGAGAGCTGCAACCGAAGTTTGAACAATTGATTAGTTCTCGTGCTCGTGCATGCAAGTTGCAACAAATGGTAGCGAAAGCAGTGAAATTGAGACTATTTCTAATCACTTTGTTTCTCTTTATCGTAAATTGCAGATCGATGGAGTTCCTCGGATCTTTTAATTAGCATGCATGACCATTATTCCTAGCTAGAGGCTAGCTGGCTAGGTATAGCTAGTATGGATTAAGTTTGTCATTTGGAAATTATATCTCAAAATTGGTGACTTGTTACTTATTACTGTTGATTTCAAACTATTGGTGTTTGCATGTTGAATTTTAGAGTGTGAACATAGATTTTGTTTTCAAAATGTGAAACACCTTATCGTAATTTATCTAATTTTGCTTTTTTGAACAATGTTGAGGATATTTTGAAACGGAGTATGTGAAGTGTAAGAATTTGGACTCGGATAGAAAACACGAGTTCTTTGTTATGAATTGGGAAATTGTTTTGGTTATGGAATGGAATATAATGCAAATTTGAATAATGATTTTACACTTCTAATTGTATGGTAAGATGAGATGGGGTTTTTCCAAAACATTGATGTGACAAAATAATAATAATCTGATATGCTATTAGTTTTGCAATTGTATTAATGTGTATGCTCTAAAGAAAGAGGTATCAAAATCGTGATTACAAAAAAGACTGCCGTACACATGTAGACATAACAACACGTTAGGAGAACTATATATAACACCAACATAAGTTTGACAAATACCACTAAAAAAATGTTTGACAAATACTCTATTTAGTTTACAAAATTTGTTATTCAAAATCATATGGCAAAAAAACCAAGCTTCTCATACCGTAATAGACTTTCCTAGATCACAAGGTGTAGAATGGTAAAATAAAAATAAAAATTAATAGTGGCTAGCAATGACAATTTTTGATCTCACTCGCACCACCTGACTTGCTCTGACATGTTTGGAGTATGTATTATCCGACCCGCAATAATACGCGGTGTGTATGGTATACTTTTGAACTGTCCTTCCTCGTTCTGCCCCTTTCTATCATGATTTGTATTAATATCTACTTATATTTCTCATCTTTTGATCATATTCTAAAATCATAGTTTCATCTAAAAAAATTAAAACTTTATCTTTCAACCATTAAAATTCAATTATTCATTCAATTATTCATAATTCACACGAATACACACTATCACTCAATCTAACTCGCACTTAACGTGGGATAAATATGAGTGCTGATGTACCAGGCCCGACCCGCCCATTGCCATCAGCCCATCACTAGTAATGGTCTTTTACAGGTTGTTACACCCAATTTTAAAAATAAAAATAAGGCACGCCACGACGACTCACTACGGCTAGCGTATTAAAGAAGCACATCTAGGACGTGGGCGAGAAAAACTGCAACGCATCCTTTGGCTAGTGTGGGATCCGATTGTGATTGATGGAAAATATGATGACCTAAGATGTAAATATTCGGCCTTTCTAGACTAGTTTTGTTTGAGTTTCCCTCTCAGAAAAGCAGTTAAATTCGAAATGGCGCCTCAACCTCTCTCTCCTCTAGGGTTTTCTTAATTTTTATTTTTTGCTTCGAGTTCCAGATTTCAGAAAGCAACCCAAAAATTTGTCCGAGTTCCCTTTCTCTTCCTCTCCTCCGTCGATTGCCCAGTGACTGTTCTTGCCCTTTCGCTCTCGCTATCTCAGAATCTGAATACCCGATTTCACTTCTTGATTCCTGCTCCTGCTAGGGTAGAGTGTTGCGGCTCCAGCAATGGCGGATCTAACACAAGGCGCCATCGCCCTTATTGCCGGAGGCGTTAATTCGGGGGAACTGCAGCCGACGTTGCAAGTGACGGAGCTGAGGAAGGTCCAGGCGAAACAGCAACAGAAGCAGCAAGGCGACCGGTTCAGGCTTCTGCTGTCCGATGGTTCGCACTTGCAGCAGGCAATGCTCGGCACTCAGCTTAATCCCTTGGTGCAAGAAGGAAAGTTGCGAGCTGGTTCCATAGTCCACATGAAACAGTACTCTTGCTCCATCATCCAAGAGAGAATGTGAGTTTTCCATCCCTATCCCTGTTCTAAATTTGTCATTTGATGGGTTTTTCCTTGCAGCACTTGATTTGCTCTGATACTTACGAATTAGAATGCTAGATGTGTGAGATTTTCATTTGGGACATCACATGAGTATTATGGGTACGAGAGATTACTATCGGAGGAAGAAAACTAATAGCCTGTGTCGCAACAAATATCTGAATTCGTTAAAATTGTCTCCTTTTGGTCGAAAAATCTGGTATTTGATTTGGTGACACTTATTTTTCTTGTGAAGGATTATTATTATACTTGACTTGGCTGTGGTGATTGAAGAATGCCCTCCAATTGGCCAACCTGTCTCATTGCAAAAGTCGTCAGGGACACCAAATACACCAGCCCACCAGCCAACAAATACTTTCTCAAGCCCTCAACCATCTGGCAGCAGTGCCCTTCCTGGTCGGGCAGTTTCAAACCTAAATATACCTGCCAACTCTGTGCAATATCCTAGGGTTAATCAACCAAACAGTGGTCTTTATTCTATGGGTTATGATTCCACAAGAAATGCAGGTGGTTCCACTGTGTCTTCATTCGGCATTAAATCTGACGGTGGTGCTACATCAGTAGGGTCATTGCCATCAGGAATGCCATATGCTAACAAGTCTCCAGGTTTCCGGGATTCCAGTCAGGAAGGAACTGGGGTTTCTCCGGGTAACATGTCTAGGCCAGCATATCAGCAACCGCCTCCAATGTACAACAACAGGGGACCAGTGACAAGGAATGAAGCTCCCGCGAGGATCATTCCAATTACTGCTTTGAATCCATACCAGGGAAGGTGGACTATTAAAGCTAGGGTGACAGCAAAAGCAGAAATGAGGCACTATAACAATACTCGTGGCGACGGGAAAGTATTTTCTTTTGATCTTCTTGATTCTGATGGAGGTGAAATTAGAGTGACCTGCTTTAATGCTGTTGCCGATCAGTTCTACTCCCAGATTGAAGTTGGCAGGGTGTATTTAATTTCCAAAGGGACCTTAAAACCTGCCCAAAAGAACTTCAATCACCTTCATAATGATCTAGAGATTTTCCTGGAGAGTGGCTCAACTGTACAGCAGTGTCATGATGATGACAACTCGATTCCGAGGCAGCAATTTCATTTTCGTCAAATAAGTGAGATTGAGGGGATGGATAACAACAGTATTGTGGATGTAATAGGCATGGTATTCTCCGTTAGTCCAGCATCCTCGATAATGAGAAAAAATGGCACAGAAACTCGGAAGAGAAGTCTACAGCTGAAAGATATGTCTGGCCGTAGTGTTGAATTGACATTGTGGGGAAACTTCTGTAATGCAGAAGGGCAAGAACTGCAAAATATGTGTGACTCAGGTCACTTCCCTGTTCTGGCAGTCAAATCTGGCAGGGTAAATGACTTTAATGGCAAGGCTGTGGGTACTATTTCTACAAGTCAGCTACTTATCGAGCCTGATTTTGTGGAGGCTAATAATCTGAAACAATGGTTTGACAAGGATGGTAAAAATACACCTTCAATTTCTATTTCCAGGGAAAGCTCTGGTGCAGGAAGGACTGATGCTGTGAAGACTATCTCTCAAATCAAAGATGAGAACCTTGGGACTTCTGAAAAACCAGATTGGATTAGTGTCAATGCATCTGTGATATACATAAAGGTGGATAATTTTTGCTATACATCTTGCCCTCTAATGATTGGGGACCGACAATGTAACAAAAAGGTTACAAACAATGGAGATGGGAGGTGGCGGTGTGACCGGTGTGATCAATCTGTTGATGAATGTGATTATAGGTACATACTCTCGCTTCAGATACAAGATCACACGGGCTTAACATGGGTAACTGTTTTCCAGGAATCAGGTGAGGAGCTTATGGGAATATCCGCTAAAGATCTTCATTTTATGAAGTTTGAGAAACAAGATGACGATGGGTTTCTGAAAGTTCTTCGTCAAGTTATGTTTAACAGATATATATTCAAGTTGAAAGTGAAAGAAGAAACATTCAGTGATGAGCAACGAGTGAAGTCTAGTGTTGTCAAGGCAGAGAGGGTGAACTATGGATCCCTATCCAAAACCCTTCTGCGTTTGATGGAAAACTTCAAATCTGGGAACCTGACTGCTCCAGCCCCCAAGGTAGAAAGTAGTTACACAAATTCTTTGCTGAGTAGTCCTGGAAAGGGGAATTTTGGAAGTGGGCAAACAGGATTGAGTTCAATGGGCTTGCCGGCTAATCAAGTCAGCCAGCACGGTAACAAATATAACTCGAGGTTTCCTACATCGAATTCATCTGGGGGACCTATCATATGTAGCAGCTGTGGAGCCACAGGCCATACAGCTTCAAATTGCCCTAGCACCTTTACTAGTCCCCAGCAGCCAGTAGGAGGGGCTTATGCCAATAGAACGTTGTATGGAATTGATGCAGGGGGCGGCAGAAGAGGCGGAGGTGGAGACGAATGCTATAAGTGTCACCAGTCTGGGCATTGGGCTAAAGACTGTCCAGGGTCAGGCACTGGTCCTCAATCATATGGTAACAGGTATGGTGGTGGTTATTCAAACCAACAGATTTGGTAATTTCTGAACCGTCCAAAGCACAAGCCAAGCCAGCTAAGGTAACTATTAAGTAGTTCATAGAAATAGAGGCGCCAAGTTGCTAATAAGCCGTCATCCTGTATAGTTTTGCTGAATGTAGTTTTCTTTTTGCCTTTGTTAAGTTTGTGTTGTACAGGATCAGGGGGTCTGAATGTTGCAAACTACAGCTTCATTTACTTATGGAGCTGGGTGTTATCTTTTTTGGCTTTTTTATGGTTTGTTTCTTGATTCTGTTTGCCTGACACATAAAGAAATGTATGGTCTGGTATTATATGGTCCTTTCATTGTTTGATCTATCAGGTTCCTGATCCTTGATGATACTTTGTGCTTATGGTAACTAAGAATACCCATTCAAATTTCTGGAATTCTTGCATTGATGATGGTAGAAACCAGGGGCAGGATCCGGTCACAACCCCCTTAGGGATTGTGAGTTTCACTTCCCACATTAGAGCTGCCCATCTCCCTTCCAAATCCGACGACTATCAACACAAAAAGGGTGTTTTGGGAAGTCTTGAGTAACCTTTAAAATAAAAAGGAAAGAAAAAGTGATAATAAATATAATTTCAATGCTGAATTGACGGAATTTAAAAAAATAGTAAATGCATGGGGAATATTGGTATGCGTGATTTGTGGGATTTGATTAGCACTAACCGTAACCGCCCACGATGGTTCCCCTACCATTTTCGGATTCTTCATCTTTCAGCAGAGGCAACGTAGGTAGCCTAACGGACTGGAAGCAACGTCGGAGCAACTTCTCGTTGACGTCGACATAATGGACGATGATAAAGATTTGGGGGGATCCGACGGGATTGATTTATTTGGCTTCATCGCGAATGGCGACAACATCGCGAACGACGAGGATTGCGTGCCTCTCTTGGTCGAGTACGCTGAAGATGACGACGACATGAGGAATGCCCCCGGAGGCAATAATCGCGAACGACGAGGATTGTGTGCCTCTCCCAGTCGAGCACGCTGAAGAAGATGACGACATGAGGAATGCTGCCGTAGGCAATAATCTCGGTAGGGTTAACTAGTGTGATTTCGTTGTACTGGTATTAGGATTTTTAATGTTACGACTGATGGAAAGAGAGAACGATACCAATAGTATGCTTGTGCTATTATGTTAGTATTGGTAGTGGTAGCTTTGTACTGGTACACTTGTAGTGGTAATTTTGTACTAGTACAATTATATTGGTACGCATGTAGTGGTAGTTTTGTACTGGTAGGAAATTGTCAATTGTGACAGATGTTTCATTATTCTGATGAGATTTTCTTACCCGTAGAGTTTTGTAGTGAACCAGTGCTGCTTACTTGTACCACTATTATTGATTCCTACTGGTAATAATATCCAGTAGTGGTACGAACTTCTGGTCTCTAATCCCTACTAGTAATAGTTACTGGCACATATAAAACTGTTAGGAAAATTTGCCAAGAGTGGTTTCCGATCCCCAACTTGTGGTCTCTGATCCCTACCTTTACTAATTACCTGTACAGATACAATAATCAATAGTGGTACTTGTACATGAACCACTATTGTTACTGGTACAATAATCATTAGTCGTACTGGTACTAAGAACCAGTAGAGGCTTTTGATACCAATACCACAACTATTACTTGTACCACTATTAGTACTTGTACCACTACTAGTCACTTTGTGATTAGAAAAACAAGTTAACTACTATTGTAACACAACACCATATTAACTGATTCAACAACAATCCTAGTTTTCAACAACACATCTGGTTCAATTTCAAATTTGGAATGCAACTAAAAGGCATACCACTACTAGTTTCACAACGTCTAAAACTTTGTTCTTACTCCATAATGAACATAAACCAAACACATACTACGAAGACTGTGGGAACAAACTACTGCTGGGTTTGCTTGGTATATCCATGGAGTAAACCCTCCTTTATCTGCAAAGCTCTACCAGTCACCTCCTCCACCATCATATTACTTGGGTCATCAATTATGGTATGGAACCTTTGTTCTCGCCATTCTTGGTAGCAAAATAACACAAATATATTTGTTAAACATGTTGATTAAAAATTACAATTCCAACTCCATATAAAGCCTGTGATACACTAACGGTGGTAGTTGTACCGGTACCTCTCCAAGATATACCAATATTACTAGTGGTACTTGTATCTCTTCAATATGAACCAGTATCACTAGTGGTAGTGGTACAACGATCACTAGTGATACTTGTTCATGTACAACTATTGGTACTGGTACACAAATTAGTTAGCGTACTGGTACAAGAACCAGTTTTGGTAGTGATACCACTACCACTGGCAATAAAACAATCAATTCTAACTACCACTAGCGCATCGATACCAATTCCAAGTACCACTAAATATACACAAACAAACACGGTACACAAGAAACGAAGGTCTGCATCTTCGATTCCAACGTGCGGATTGGAAATCAAAAACTTCAGGGATGAAGAACCTCACATGTTCTCTATTCAAACGCCGTAGCAAGGGTCGATGTCGGTAGTCAGTCAGGCAAAGCACTGAAAGAACAAGCGAGCAATGTTAGGGCTTGTGGATTCTAGCGTGGAAGGTCACTGGGGAACGGCCAATTTAAACTAGTTAATGGAAATTTAACCGAACGGAATTCCAAACGACATGTATCAGAGAGAAGCAAACAAATGAGTGGACTTACCTCTACTCTCAAAGAACAAGCCTTCAATCCAGCAGAGGTACGTCGCGAGATGATGCAGGGGAGAGGCGGCAACAATGGCTCGGTTTTTTTTTTTTGGTTTCGTGATGAGAATGAGGGAAGAGGGAAGATTGCTAGGCGAAGGATTTCTCTGTGGGGAAGGTGGCCGAATGGTCTCCAGAATATTTCCCTTTCAATCCCGAAGATTGCGTCTCAGCAAACGTGGCTTGGGTAGGGAGCTGATCCAGTCCGGCACCTCCCTTTTTTGCCCCTGATGAATATCAGCCGCCAGATGAAGATGTGGGAAGGGAGAAGGGGAATCTAGAGATGGGAAGAGGGAAGCGAAAATCACTTCCCCTCTAGAGGAAGTGACGGTATCTAAACCCTAGAAACCAAGCCTTCGGAAAATAATTATTTTCGCTTACTGCTTTTGTGAGATGTTAGTGGCCTGCATTGCCAATCACATCATTCTGAAATGCCGAGCTTGACAATTAGACCCAAGTTTCCCAAATAGTGGGAATAGCCTGCTGCTGTCAAGCCTCTGCATTTAGAGGCGTCAAAGGTGATGTCGTATCCTAGTTGACATGCAGCAGTAGTACCCACAATCTTCCTCAAATTATGTTGTCTGCCAAACTTGACCACTCAGCCAACAGAATAGTATTTCCTCTCGGCCCTGTGCTCTGTACTCTTTTTCTCCAATGCCTTCCCTTTCCATATTGGAGTTGCCAATGATAGTGTCACCAGTCACCACCACTTCACATCACTTTACCATGCTTACACTAATCTCCCTCTATATATACGTTCTGAAGGCACTTACTTTTCCTACACCATGAAGTAACTCTAACTGCAAAAGAAAAGAAAAAAAAGAATGGAGGATCTTGTAGTAACCGTAACCGCAAAAACAGTTGTGAAAGCAGCAACCACTGATTCTTCCCAAAACCCGACGTTGGCTCTCTCAAACCTCGACCTCCTCTCTGGCCGTTTCCCTGTCACATACCTCTACTTCTACACTAACTCTCAGTCTCACAACATCGACTTCCCCTGCATCATGGACTCCCTCAAGCTCTCCCTTGCCAAGACTCTCCACTACTACTACCCATTCTCCGGTCGGATTGTTGCTAATCCGTCCACCGCCGAGCTGGTGATCATCTGTGACAACCAAGGCACCCTCGTCGTCGAGGCGCATGCCAATGTCCCATTGAAGATGCTTGATTTCTACAACCTCGACAAACTTGTGACGCAAGGTAAACTGGTCTCCCTGTCCCCTGACTTCCTATTCCAGGTCCAAGTCACGCGCTACACCTGTGGAGGTGTCTCTATGACGTTCACCTTCGATCACGCCCTGGGCGACGCCGCCTCGTTCAGCAAGTTTCTCCGCTCCTGGTCGGAGATTTCACGGCACAAATCCCTGTCCTGCATCCCAGACCATCGGAGGAGGGAACTGCTTAAGCCGCGAGACCCACCTAGATACCAATCGTCCATGGACCGCACCTTTGTGAGATGCACCATCGATGAGATCCTCAACATGCCTACCTCCACCTCCACCTCCACCATGGTAAAGCGCCTGTACCATATCGATGCACCTTGCATCGATAGGCTGCAAGTGATGGCATCTGCAGGAGGGATCAAAAGAACGAAGATCGAAGCTTTCTCCGCATACATATGGAAGGCGATGGTGAAAGCTGTTGATGGGAATGAATGCAAGATGGGTTGGCTGGTGGATGGCCGTGGAAGGATGGGAGGGAGCCTTAAGAACGATCCCATGTCCAATTACATAGGAAATGTGTTGTCTTTGGCTGTGGGAGAAGCCAACGTGGATGAGTTGGAGAGAGACTCTGTTGCTGAAGTGGCTACGAGGGTTCATGAGGCTATCTTCGATGCGACGAGGGAGGAGCATTTCTTGGAGCTGATGGATTGGATCGAGTGCCACCGGCCTGGGCTGGTGATGGCAAGGATTGTGCTGGGAGGAGGAGGGAGTGGTGCTCCGGCGGCGGTGGTTGTTTCATCGGGGAGAAAATTCCCAGTGGCTGAACTGGAGTTTGGGTTTGGGAGTCCGGTTCTGGGGACGGTGAGTTCCACGATTGAGAAGATCGGAGTTGGGTATTTGAATCAGAGGGAGAGCGGGAGGAATGATGGTTCATGGACTGTTTCAGCTATCTTGTGGCCGCAGCTTGTGCAGGTCTTGGAGTCTGATTCTGTTTTGCAGCCCATTTCAGTTGCTCAGCATTTACTCCTATGAGTTGTGAGAATTGATGGTACCATGTTGAGATGCAACTAGTTTTCATGAATAAGATTATGATGTAAGTGGACTTAAGTAATTTGTTATTGCATTCATGAAATAATACAAAACATCATATAGCAATAGGTGACAACTAAAGCTTGATTCATCTGTCCTATAAACGGAATTGGTTGCTAGTAAAGGCGAACCCTGTCCAAGCAAGACTTGCCATCCAACTGGTTGCTCTGCTGAAGGCGCATGTAGTCTCTGTATTCATCCCCATGTACCTCGGCCGGCTCTGCATCACGGACATCAACTCCGGCGCCGGCTTCATCACCGCATCAAGCGACGGTCCGTTAGCGATGGCCACTGATATTCTCGTCGCCTTGTTGTTCACCACGGCTCTGTGCACCACGCTCTTGTACTTTCCATTGCTTAGAATCAGCAACAACCCAAATCCCAAACCAATAAGATAGTATTATCTCAGCTAATTTTACAATTAACTAGTGTTTATAAAAATTACTGTATCACTAGGGATAGGGATGACAATGGATCGGGTCGAGGGCGGATAGTGCATATCTGTTACTCTACCTAAAGTAGTTCGGATTTTGGACTTTTGGCAAGCATCGGCGAGGTCTCGGATGGCTTTGGAGCGCTGATGGGTAGTGCTATTTCCAGCAGAAGCCGACAGCAAGGAGAAATCGATGACAGAAATTTGGTCCGACAGAGTCGAATTAGAAGATGATGCGTGAAAGTCGTCATCACCAGCAGTGGTAGCGCGAGTGTAAATGTGGGAGGCGGGAAGGCGAGTGAGGTTGGCTGATTCCGCTAGTGTTCTAATGCTGTCCGGAAACGGTGTAGCGATTGCCATCGCTGTTGAACCAGTTGAAGCCATGGCAGGGGAATCAATGGGGAAAGAAAAGGGAACGGTGAATTTCTGGGAGAGGAGTTAATCACTTTGCTAGTGCAAGTGATTTGAACTTATGGTGTCCGGATTTATATAGGAAAAGGGTGTGATCATTTAATCTACAGATAATATGCGGTGGGCCCGAACCCAGTAAACTGATTCTTGTTATCAAAATTGGACTTTTATTGGGCCAAGATGGACTTTGATTGGGCCGGACTTACTTTTCTCCAAATCCGTTCAAGTAACCAACTTGGATCTGTTTTCCTGTTTCAGACAAAATCTCACTGTTGCACAACTATCCAGCGGGCGGGCTACCGGGGTCGCCCCAATCCCTATTTCAGATGGGCTGAGTGACTACTTTTTTTTGGTGAGAACATCAATGCTAATAATCAATGTAATGAAATACAATGGACAATATCACTTGAAACTTGAAATAAATATTTAATGATTAAAATGTAATTTTACTATAATACAAACACAGTGTATTGAATACTTTTAAAATCAAGGGCATTATTATAGACACATCTCTTTTTAAGAGATTTCTTATTTTAACATGCATCGAGAAGAACAAGCCATTTTAAATATAAGAGTTTCCTGAAAAAGAAAGTTTTAATGACGGTCTAATATGAAATTTTTTTCAGGATTTATCTAAAAAAGTGCAATGTTTTTGTTCATTACAATTGGGACGAGAATTCCATGGTTAATTTTTTTTTAGCATTTGTAAAAGAAAATCTCCCACGTAAACTTTTTTATTATTATCATGGTGAAATAGTATTACAGAGAAGAATAAACAGACAGAACAAGGAAAGGAAACAAAATTAAACAGAAGACAAACATGATAAAACTGTATAGCCAAAGATGATAAACTGTAAATATGTTTTTTTTTAATTGGATGTTAATTTTTATTTTATGAGTAATTGTATATCACGGCGTCGAGGAAGAAGAAGCATTGTCGGCGGCGACCACTTTGACGAGCTCATCATGATCATCACCACCACCAAGATTCAAATTAAAAAAATATTGGTTATTGCGCGTAGCGTTAACAAGCCGCCGTGTGGCTACTACTACTCCAGCTCCACCAGTTTCAGCAACTTGATAATTACTTTGATGACCATAATTACCAGAAGGAAGAGGAGGAGAAGGATCCAGCTGTGAAGGACATTGGTACCAACAACGATCTTTGCCACAGTAATCGTCACCGTCGCCGCAGTAGAGTTCGATACTACAACAGCGCCCCGAGTCGCAAAATTCCCATGTCCCGTTGGCGTATCGTCCGCACCCGTGATTGTCCCGCTCAGCTGCAGAGCATGAAGATGGAGCCATCAGAGCTACATGCACTACTACTATTATTAATATGGTTGTAGCCACGGCTGCCAACGACATTCTCCTCTCCATATTTATATTTCTGATCATCATGTGCAAATTCCTTTTTATCTATGTATGTTTTTTAAGCATAAAGGATTCACTGAGCACATGCTTATATAAGAGATGTAGATGTGCAATGTTGCGGCCGGCCATGGTCGAGAGTTTGGATACGTACATAAGAGAAGAAAGCCAGTCTTGGCTGAAGCTAAGAAACAAGTAGGGCAGAACGAGGGGGAAATAATAGAAAAAGGCTATCACCATTGGTTGCAACGAGAGAGAGAGAGAAGGCGGATTGTCTATCCATCTTTTCACATAATTTGGTGTGGTGTGTGATATGTTTGTTTTAATTTCTAGCAAATTTTATGGATATGTAAACGTATATATTCCGTCTAGCTTATATTTAAAAATAAAAAAGGTAAAAAAAATCATCACTTGTGATTGTAAATTAACCTTTTATGAATCTAATCATTCCACTTCCGGATGATTCCTCCTCAATCAAATCGAAAGAGAGAAGAGGTGTTTGAACTCACCCATTCTTTTTTGAATTATTCCTTTATTGTGTTCCATAACTACTTTATAAATTTGATACCTTGCAAGTTGTTCAATTATTCATCCGCAAATGGATATATTCTTATTATTTTTTTTATTTGTTTATTTTTACGGAAAATTGTGTTGTTGTGCCTTTCATAAATGTGCATTGCACGATCCTTATAGAAGGGTCCAAATAAGATCCAAAACTGCGATCCAATTATTTTATAATACATTATGGGGTCGTTTGGATCAAGAATTTAGTTAAATAGAGATTTGTCCCACAATCACTCAATTAAAATACCTAGTATTTTAAACCCAGATTTTGTGTTAAATATGTTGTTTGTTTAAGAATGGGTATTTATTAGTTAGGAAATTTAATTCTGAAAGCAATAGTGAAAATTACAGTCATACCCTTCACACTTTCCTCGCCATTACGCCCCAACCTTCCAACCAATCCCTTCCGCCGCGGCCCAATCATGACCCCGGGGCTCCACGCCGCCGACCTCCGCCGGATCTTCCACCAGCTCGACCGCAACGGCGACGGCCTCCTCAGCATCGACGAGCTCGGCTGGCTCCTCGACCGGATCGGATCATCATCCCTCCACTTCACCAGCGACGAGCTCGAGTCCTCCGTCGGAAAATCCACCCTCGACTTCGACGAGTTCCTCGCCTTCTACTGCTCCATCGACGGCGGCGACAGCGGGGAGTCGGGGGCTTCCAGTCTCCGTCGTGGGCGGTCGATTAGGGTCCGATCGAAGCTCCCCCATTCTTGACGATCGATTCTAGATCTGAATCTTCGCTGACTGGTGCAGGGGAAGAAGAGCAGAGTGCGGCGGAAGAAGAACAGAAAGGAGATGTGGCGTGGCGGGGCGGCGGTGGAGGAGGATGCGGTGGTGGTCGGAGAGCTTGCGTCGTCTTCTCCGATCTCCTTCTCTCTCGCGGCCAACTCTGGCGAGCAGTGCCTGCAGCCAAGCAGGGATACGCTGGGAAGAAACAAAAAAAATAGGGCAGAATTTTAAAATACTTGGGGTATAGTAGATATTTCTAATTTCCGAGTGGGCCGGATTTAGAAATCTCTGTGGCCCAAATCTCTTCCATTTTTATTGCTATCCAAACAAGGAAATTGATTAAATTCCTGGATGGGCCGGAATTGGGGCCAAATCCCTGCCCACTTTTCTGGATCCAAACGACCCCTATGAGTGCAACATCGAGCAACCCAATCAACTCTATAATTGAATTTTCTTATAAAAAATCCGTCGAGATGAGTAGGTTTTCCTGAAGAATACCCACCATGATTCCACCATATATGGAGATTTTGCAAGGCCATTTGATTGGGCTGAGCTTAATGGCGTCAGCCAGTGATTGGAAGAAGAACAAGAAAGGCCACGAAGAAGCGGACTTGTTTGTTGTGCTTGGCGTGTGGTGTGGTGTGGTGTGGTGATGGTGCACATGAATTATGGGCCCAACTTTAGACTAGGCTTCCTCTCTGGGCTTTTGAAATCCGCTGTAGCTTGTGCGGGTCAGTTTCGAAGGTTCGGCCCACGAACACATGTAGCTTTTGTTGGCGCCTGCAATGCAAGGCTGCAACTAACTAATCGGGCTCGAGTCAAGGATTCTTTTTTATAAATTTTAAAGAAAATTTCATCATTTAAGCTTATTTCAATGAGCCAAATAGATCAATTAATGGACGACACTTATGCTCTATGTATAGGTGAAAGGAAAAGTTTCCTGATCTGATTTCATGTTGAGACAAAACAACTAATGCAACTCCAAACTTTTTCTTTCTAAAAATTTGTATGGGCATTGGGCAATATATAATTTGTGGAGTTAAACTTAGTTTTCCAATATTTTGTAAAAAATGAGTTGCATTAATTATAATCTACACAATTGCTTTTACTTTGATATATTTCAAAATCTAAAATTAATTTTTTGAAACACTATAATGATACGAATAAATAATATGCGTGAATAAACATCGATAACAAAGAATCTTTCGCTATATAAAAAAATATGTACGCAAATCAACTGCCCAATCAACTGTCTCCACACCGCATGCAGGCTGGAGGTCGAAGTAATTTGGAGTGCATGTTATCTTAAGAAAATGATGGAAAATGAAGAATGTATAACTAGCTTCATCGAACCACTTATATATTTAGAAGTAACTAAGCGTATAACTTTTATCGTATGTAGAGATTTATAGGTTTATCACCATACATTCTTGTGTTTATAGCAAGGTTGAAAAAGGCGCTAGGCGTAAGGCAGACATTGAGACTTTGCTTAGTGCCTAGCTCGCCTAAGGCTAGACTAAGCATCCTAGGCGTTGGAAGAAAAATAACTATTCATATTGCATGATGAATGAAATAATAATCTACAACACTTTCTCACTTCAATTAAAATGCTTAATAACTTACTCGACATTTATGACGAGAACATAGTTCACGAATTCATAGAATAATATATTAACAATTCACAAAGTTCTTGAGTTATTGAAAATATTGATATAGAAAATTGATTTCGTAGTTGTTGTTAATTTTCTCCTTTAATATTGACTTCCCAGATCCATCCAGTTATGTTTAGGAGAGACTTATATGTCGCCTTACTCCATTGATGTGTTCCAGTATCCAGCTAGGCGCGAAACCCCTAGACGAGGCATTTTGTCATTGCCTTACGCCTAGGCGTGCCTAAGCGCAAGGTTAAGCGTGTCTTTTTGAACCATATATGGTTTATAGAGATTAGAACCAGGCAATTAAGTAAACGTGTCGAAAAACCAGATAATTAAACTATAAACGTAGACCTATGTAGTACAGATTCATCGACTTTTATTGTATATAGAGATTCGTCATTGGCTTTTGGTGTTATGAGTAGCGGATATACGTAGCCTTCAACAGTTCTCAAACTGATACTTCACCAAAAGATGACCTTTAGTAATTCCATTGCCATCTGTATCGAGTTTATTGAAAGCATCGAGATCCAATTCAAGTCCTTCATTGTTATGCTCGTGAACAATACGAACCTTCACGTGATTAGGAAGTCCTCTAACACCAACATTCGTTACCTGGACATGAATAACACCCAATTTCTATTTGCATTAGTTCACATATAGATTTAAGCAGTAGTGGTACATAGATAGGGGAAATCCGTTAATTAGTTACGGAGTTTTACTAATTACCTTCAAGCAGCGCCCGCAGCGAGTAGTAGTAACATTAATGTTTTGACTCTGCGGGGCACGTAGAGCAGCGAAAGGATACTTGTGACGAGAAGCTAGAGGCAGCCGGGAGAGAGAAGTCGCACATGATAACGGCGGCGACGCCGACGACGAAGAAGAAGCATTATTGGCGGGCGCTACATTGACGAGCTGATCATCACCACCACCACCATCATCAACGTTCAAAGAGTGGTTATTAATATGAGTAGCATAAACGACATGGCGTGTTCGTACTACTACCACTCCAGGTCTTTCCGGTGGTTGGTGACCAAGAAAAGGAGGAGGAGTAGGAGCGGCACAGCTGAACCAGCAAGTAAAACTGCTGCAGTACTCGCCGGTGCTGCCGCAGCCATGATAAACACTACAGCAGCGTCCCGGGTCGCAATAAGCCCATGATCCGTCTGAATACTGGCCGCACCAGTGGTCGGACCGCTCAACGCTGGTTTGGGACCGAGCAGTCTGCTGCAGGGCTGGCAGTAGTAGTATCAGTATAAAGGCAGCCACAACCAGTACCATCATTCTCCCCTCTCTATATATCTTCATCACCATGATATCGATACGCTGTTTCTTTCAAAAGTTGGGGGGCTGTGGATCAGGTGTATTAATTCATTATATATGTTTTATGTAGCTAGCTTGTAGCACATGCATATTTATAATATATAGAGACAGATGTAGATCCATATGGTTAGCACAGGATACTGAAACTCTCCCGACAATATAATTCGAGTTATTGAAGTCAACGGTTCCTTGACATGATATCATAACTTTTTGTTCGGTTAATCCCGCCGACTCTGTTTGTTTAAATGTACATATGGTATTCCGAATCTGTGCAAATTTCAAGGTCATCATACTTCATACGAGTAGCTTTCGTCGGAAAGGGGTATTATTCGTGTACATATCTTGTATAGATCTATTATTGAAACTTTTCTTGTGGTTCGAGTTATTGAGATCAAATGGTTCTAAATGTTAGTGGCGTGGTATTGTTTGTATATGACATTGGTGGCCACGAGAGAAGGGTAATTGTCGTTTAAATTTGGAAAATCAGCCTTGTCCTTTAATTTGTCGTTTAAGTTAATTTCAACTAGTAGTGCAAGAGGCAATCTACTTTGGTACATGTAAACAAAGATTTGTTTTATAGATAACTGTAGTATATTATGAGAGTACCCTGCGACTCTCCCTTCCTTATTCTGATCTTTATGGATATTTCAATTCACCTTTTCGACTGTAGTTAACCTTTCTGCATGCCATCATCCTTCCTCGTCGGCCAAAGAGAGATGCGGTGCAGGAGCTAATTAAGGGTTAGTTTGCTTGTTGGATTTGGGTCATGGATTTGGTATTCAAATCCCAAGTTTGATGGATTTAACATAAGTTCATTGTTTGTTGAAGGGTGCTAAATCCGTGGGGTCCACGGATTTCTTTATTTTGGAACCAAATCCGTGGACCCCACGGACTTGTAAATCCCACATATTGATTTGGGATTTGTAAATCCTTGATGGTTAGTTATTTATTTAACAAATCCATCATCAAATCTATCATGCAAACATTAGACTCTTCAAATCCATAATCCAATAAATGCAACATAAATCCCAAGGTTTTTATTGGCCAAAACCCTCATTTTTCAAATCCAACAAGCAAACGATCCCTAAGTCAATAACTTTATTTTCTTTGTTGTGGATTTTTGTTGCAACTCGATACCGATCATCCGGCATACTCCGTTGAAGGAAATTATACTCGCTGGCGGAACTATTGTGGAGATGTTGGGTTTGTGTTTTTGTTTTATTTCCCCGTCGGTGTCGTGTCTTTGCTCCTCGAAGCTTCTTCAGAGCGGCCCAAGTAGTGGCTTAACATGCTCTTTCATCGTAGTCTGGTTGCATACGGACTAACGTATTTATTTTGAGTCAGTTTTGTAATTGTGTCGAGTTTTTGTCCCATTGCTTTTGGGCTTGCCTTGAAAAAAACAAACATAATATTGGCATTATATCTGAAACTAGGGAGCCTTCTCTGAGTTTGCGAGTGGGGGAAATTGGTACCAGAACAACCTTGAATTCAAAGTAGCAGGCCAACAATGATGGGCTTGCGACTGGGCTCTTGATGCAGGCTCGTCAAGCCCGTTGTAATCTCGATTGACCAACACATCTGACTCCTTAGTGAGGCAGGTTCACTTTGGGTAAAGGACTAAAGTTTGTTCACCACCAGTCACCACCGCCAATAATAATAATAATAAGAAGAAGAAATGAAGTTTTCTCCAAAGAGAGTTTAGTCCAAATATTTCTAAGGAAGTGTATTTTTTTAGAACGAGAATGCAATATTTGAAACTTTGTTATTAAATTATATACATTATTTCAAAACTAAAATAGATTGGTTAAGGGAAAGAATAAGGTAAAAAAAATCTATAAATACAAAACCACTACAAAAGTCAATCTTAATCCATCAATTTTAATAACATCTAATGGTCCATATTAATTATCAACAAAAAATATCAGGACTATCATATCAACATTATAGAACTATAATATCATACTAGTCCCAGTGATAATACCGTGATATGCCACTGGTAAAACAACGTAAAAAAAATTTATCTTAAAAATATTAAAATGAATAACATCGTGTAGATCACAAAAAAATTATAATTTTCCTGTGCAAATGTTTTTGAAATCTAATGAAAAATTAATAAGATAGGTTTCGTTAAATTTTTGTAGGAAATTTGAAAATATTATAACAACCGTTTATAACTTCGTGCTAGCCCCCTTCCCACACAATCTAGTCAACTCTCTTTCCAAACTCTTAATTAGTTTCCATCTTTATCCCTCTAAAAAAATCATTAGATCACTTTCCTATCAATCTCAATCTATCTGTTATACTTTTATATTTTAACCCAAACCTTAGTTAACAGTGTTTGGGCCCGATTCCTATAAATGACTAAAGGGCCAACCTTTGTGACATGTACAGCTAGTTGTACACACGTACATTTTTTTTTTGGTCGAATTGTACACACGTACATTGACGTGCAGGTGAACAATAAATAATAATTGAAAGAGAAATACGAACAAGGCAAAATATATTGGTCACTTATATTATATCTTATATATATAAACGCGTGTCTTTTTCATTGATCATTACACGTATAAAACTATTGATGATTTTATCATAAGGCATTCATGTATCTATTGATATATAGTATATCCAGACAAGGCAAACGGTAAATTTTATATGTTAAATAACTATTGATCTTTATTTTGTGGGTAGTTGTATATTTCTGATGGATATATATACGGACATGTATAAAACTTCAACAGCTTTCGAATTGATACTTGACCAAAAGCATGTCCTTAGTAATTCCATGTCCATCGCCGACAAGCTGCTTGAAGCTATTGAGATCCAATACGAGTCGTCTCTTTGCTATGTTCGTGAATAATACGAACTCTCACTTGACGATGAAGTTCTCCAACTCCAAGATTTGTTACCTACGTACGATACCCAATAAAATGTTCTAGTTATTTGAGTTAATTTACATACTTAATTAACGATGCTAGCTAGCAATGACGATGAAACAAATTAAATTAATTAATTCACCTTTAAGCAGCGACCGCAACGAGTAGCAGTGATGTTGTTTTGAGGTTGAGGGGCACGCAGAGCAGCGAACGGATACTTGTAACGAGAAGCTAACGGCAGGCGGGAGAGAGACCTTGCACATGATAACGACGACGACGGCGGCGAGGAGGAGGAAGAAGAAGCATTGTCGGCTGCCACTTTACCGAGCTCATCACCACCACCACCACCAATGTTAAAATTGAAGTAGTGGTTATTGTGCGTAGCGTTAACAAGACGTGTGATGAGTACTCCTCCTCCCGCTCCTCCGGCTTCATAATTATTGCTCTGATCATAACCACCACCAGCTGGCGGAGGAGGAACCGTAGTACATTGGAACCGGCAATAATCAGGGGAACAGTACTTGTAACCGTCACCGCAGTAATAGTTGAGACCACAACAGTGTCCCGGCCGGCTGCATGTGGCCCATGTCCCGTCTTGATATTGGCCGCACCAGTGCTCGTCCCACTCATCAGCTGCACATGAAGATGGAGGAATCAGTACTGTTTGTATAACTGTAGCTGCCGCTACCAAAAACAGTATTCTCATCTCCCTATGAAGATGAAGCAGATTTCTTCTCTTGTCTTTGTATAATATGTTTGTTTCGCTGTAATAGGGTTGTGACTTGTGAAGCAGATATGCATTATTGATAGCATAGGAGATGCATATTATATAACGAGTTTGCTTTAATTAATTATATGCCATTGGATTGGATGGCCGGTGGCAACGAGAGGTCAGATCGACAAGGCTAATTCTGTGTCCATCTATGGGAGGCTCGCCGGAATCATTCCTATCCGGCAGGATATATATATATTATTGAACGAAAGAGACAAAGAGTGGATGTCCCAATTAGCCCATTCTCTCTTAAACTAATTAATTCCTTCTTTCTTAAATTAATAAACACTAATTACTACTCACTTGTTAAAATTTTAAAAATAATTGTCGTGTTTTTCTTAAAAATAAAAATAATATATACTTGCTTCTTATGTCCTCGTCTCATACATGATACATCCAAATTCAACCCGGTTCCGTATAACCTTGAAATAGCCCTTTCTAGATGTTTTTTTTTATTTTTTTATTATTATTCTATTTTTATTAGGTTTGAGAATCTTAAAGCATCTCCATTGGTGCAATTGCATTTGTTTTTTTTTATTGTTACTTCATTTTTTTTAATTCAACTCATCGAATTAAGGATTAGTTAACGTCTTTTTCCCCTTTCTCCCGTCTATATATATCATCACCATAGTGTCAATAAGATCCACTAACTTTTTATCGATTTATCATTTATCATTTTGGTGAAATATCCATTAAGGTGGTCCTCTGGGTCTCCAGTTCCATCATAGGCAGGTAGTGGGGGAATGTTCGTTCCTGCGGGCTCCGATAGTATGCAACGTGCCTGAGGCTGCCTCACGGGGCAATGGCGTGATAGGCGTCCCAAGATTCCTCCGTTCCACCCACTGGCGTCCGGCGCCCCGTGATCGCGTTGGCGCCATAGGCTGGGGCGCCTCAGACACCCTGATTCGCTCTCCGTCTCCTCCATCCTTTCCCTTTTTTTCGTCGGGCTGGGCGTCATCCCTTCACTCCTCTTTAGGGCGTCCACTTCCCGCCGCAACGCCTCTATTGCCTCCTCCTGATCTTCGATGATCCGGAACAATTCTTTTTTCGTGACCGAGGCGCCCTCGGATCCCCGAAACACGCCCTCACTTTCCTCACCCCCTTCCGTCTCGGGCGTCTGTCCTCTCATTCGCTCCGATTGTTCCTCCGTGATTTCTTCCCTTTCTTCATTCATCGGCGCCTCTTCACTCATGATTGCTGGCTATACTCCCCTTCCTGGCGCGCCAATTGTTTAAGACACGCCACCCTCGCACGATCCTCTGGAATCCCTTCTCACTAGGCGCCGCTCTGCACACACGAACAAGGAGGGGGCGCCTGGGCCCGTTAATCCTCCGACGCCCAAGTTAGTTCCTTTTCAGAGAAAAGTGTCTCAAGCTAGGGTTTAGAGAGAGAGAGAGAGTCCAACCTGTGTAAATGCTACCAACTGCCCCTATTTATACTCACCAGAGTTCGAGGTTGATCTTCTCTACCTCTCTGCCTTCATTTAATGCTTTGTCCCTTTCTGGTCAGACACCCCAACCGCCTTGTCAGACTCCTGGCACGTGACAGGCGCCCGCAGACGCTGGCCCACATGACAGTCTGACCCTCTTTGGCTTCTAGTGTCTTGTCCTTATGTCCCCTCCCTTTTGCTTGGGCCTTGCCCCCCCCAAATGGGCTGTTTGTGAGCCCACACTGTCGCCTATTGGGCTTTGTTCACGATACCCCCAACAATAATGGAGATGTAATCGGGTGTATTATGTTTAATGTAGCTGTGTAGCACATGCATATATAGAGAGATATATCTAGATATTTTTAGTATTTAATTAGTATAAGATTCATTGAATCTCTCTTGATAACTCGAGTTATTGAGATTTATTGTTCCTTTATATGATATCAGAGATTTTTGTGATCGATCAAGAGGTCTTCTGTTCGATTAATTTCAAAGACTTTGTTTGTTAAACACATGGTATTCCAGATCTGTGCAAACTTTAATCTCATATGATGAGTAGCTTTCGTTTGAAAGTTAATATGTTGTATAAGATCCATTATTATAGAAACTTTTCTAACAACTCAAATTATTGAGACTAATAAATCTTAGATAGAATTTAGCTGCTAATAAGGTATTGTTTGTATATGACATTGGTGGCCACGAGAGAAGGGTAACTGTTTGTCCAACTTATACATCATAGTTCCTATACTAATTTGGAAATCAGCCCTGTCCTTTAATTTGTCGTTTAAGTTTTTTTAAACTTTCATTGATCATTACATATATAGAGAACTGTTGGCTTTATCACCATACATTCATGTATTTAAATTGAGAGTATAACCAGATAAGGTAAACCATAAATTTAGATATTCTTAATAGGATATTAATTATTGATATCCCTGACAAACACACGCACATGTTTCAACAACTTTTTGAATTGATACTTCACCAAAATGAAGCCTTTAGTAATTTCACTTCCGTCGATGTCAAGTTGCTTGAAGATATTGGGGGTAGGATACTATGCTAACCCCTAAAGGGGTAGTGATTTTTGACACCCCCTTTATGATTGGCCAATTTTATTTTCAATCATTGGCAAGTATTAATTAAACTGGTTTTTTATTTTTTTTAATCTTGTAATTTGGGGTCTCTCACCACATTGGAAAAGAGAAAGAATCTGGGGAAAAACGAAATCACCCCCATTAATTACATAATTAATTTCTCTCACTGGTACATTAATTACACGTACCACTCTACTGGTACACGTACCACTCCACTGGTATACGTACCACTCCACTGGTACACGTACCACTCCACTGGTACACGTACCACTCCACTGGTACACGTACCACTCCACTGGTACACGTACCACTCCACTGGTGCGAGCAATCCACAAGGTAGGTTAGAGTGAGAACAATACCAGTGCAATGATATTTTTCATAACAATGATAAACAATAACGGAGCAACAATGCAGTACCACTTCAATGATACAAATACCACTCCACTGGTACGTGTACCAGTGGAGTGGTACGTGTACCAGTAGAGTGGTACGTGTAATTAATGTAGCAGTGAGAGAAATTAATTATGTAATTAATGGGGGTGATTTCGTTTTTCCCCAGATTCTTTCTCTTTTCCAATGTGGTGAGAGACCCCAAATTACAAGATTAAAAAAAATAAAAAATCAGTTTAATTAATACTTGCCAATGATTGGAAATAAAATTGGCCAATCATAAAGGGGGTGTCAAAAATCACTACCCCTTTAGGGGTAGTCAAGCTAACCGATCCCAAGATATTGATATCCAGTTCAAGTCCCTCGTAGCTAGGCTCGTGAATGATACAGACTTTCACTTGACTATGAAGTTCTCCAACTCCAAGATTGGTTACCTACACATATGTTTGACACCCAACGTTTATTTGCGTAGCTTTACATAATTATCAATGATGATGGAACAAATTAATTTACCTTTAAGCCGCGACCGCAATGAGTAGTGGTAACATTGTTTTGATGCAGCTTAACAACGAGAGCAGCGAAAGGATATATACTTGTAACGAGAAGCTAGAGGCAGGCCAGACAGAGACCTGGCGCATGATAAGAAGGACGACGCCGGTGGCGAGGAAGAAGAAGAAGCATTACAATCGGCGGCCACTTTGACTAGCTCATCTTTCAAATATTGGTTATTAATGAGCGTAGCGTTAACAATAAGTGTTCGAAATGAATAGCTTTGAGAGCTATAGAGCATCAAGGAGGAATAGTTTTACTTTCGTGAAATGTGTATAAAGATAGGAGCATCTCTCCATATAGGGGATCGGATGCCCCTTGGAGTGATCCACTTTTTGGATTGGTGGTTCAACTTTAGACTATATTTTTGGAGAAATTCCAAACGAAATTAATTATTAATCGGTTATTTTGTATCCTAGATAAATACGAGTTGGAAGAGGATAATCGATTAAAAGAACTATTCGAAGGATAATCCAGCAGAATTTATCTTAACCGACTCGGTTTTAATTAAGGAGTGATTATCTCCTTAATTACCATGACTTATTCCTCACGAAAGAGGAATATTCTTGGGAGAATCGGCTTCTATAAATAGCCGACCCCCTCAGATCCTCTAAACACACAACAAACGAGCAGAAACACAATAGAGAGAGTGCTCATAGAGCTCTGGTTTTTTCGCACAAAACCGCCGAGCATACGAGATGAGCTGTTTTATCCTGTAGACTTATTTATTGAGATTGACAACTAGATAAGTAAACTGTAAATATAGATACTTTTATTTTATTGACCTTTATTTATGAGTAGTTCTTTTAGTTGCACATCCCTGACAAGCGTACATGTACATATATGTAGTTTTCAACAGATGTCAAACTGATACTTCACCAAAATACGACCTGTAGCAGTTCCGCTACCATTTATGTCGAGCTTCTTAAAAGTATTGAAATCCAATTCAAGTCCTTCCTTGTTATGCTCGTGAGCAATGCGAACCTTCACTTTATTAGGAACTCCTCCAACTCCAAGATTTGTTACCTGTATATAATGTATATACACCCAGTTTTCATTTGCTTTAGTTCATAAAACACATATATAGGTGACGGAGAAACCATATTTAGGCTAAGGTCGTGAAAATATTTGGAACTTGCATGCTGCATGCACTATATATACATCATCCATGCATGGATGCGCATCAAGGTTAGTTGATTACCTTTAAGCAGCGGCCACAACGAGTAGCAGCAGCGGTGTTGTTTTGAGGCTGTGGAGCACGTAGAGCAGCGAAAGGATACTTGTAACGCGAAGCCAGCGGTAGGCGGTTGAGAGACCTTGCACACGATAAAAAGGACGACGACAGCGGCGAGGTAGAAGAAGAAGAAGAAGCATTGTCGTCGGCGGCCACTTTGACGAGCTTACCATGATCATGATCACCACCACCACCACCACTAATATTCAAATTCAAATAGTGGTTATCATTGTACGTAGCGTTAACGAGACGTGTGAGTACTACGAGTACTCCAGCTCCTCCTCCCGTTTCAGCTACTAATTCATCAGCAGCAAGAGGAGGAGAAGGAATTGGAACCTCATGACATTGGAACTCGCAAAACCCAGTGCTGCAGTGCTCGTAAGTGTCGCCGCAGTAAGTAGAGAGGCTGCAACAGCGTCCCGAGTCGCATTTAGCCCATGTCCCGTCTTTGTATTGGCCGCACCGATGATCGTCCCGCTCAACTGATGAGCATGAGATTGAGGATGGAGTAATCAGAGCTATTGTAGCTGATGCAGCAGCTACCAGCAATATCCTCCTCTCCATATATCGATCGCCGAAGATAAAAGTTTTTTTTTTTTCTGACTATGTTTGTTTCGCTGTAAAATTATAGGTAATTAGTAGATAGCTTGTGACACAGAATTGCATTGGTAGCAGATAGATGCATATATATAGAGATGAAGATATGCGGCGCGGGCGGCGGCCACAGGTCGAGTTTGCATACGTACGTACGTAAGTAAGTTTCCAATATATATAAATATGCCATTGGGGGCAACCAGAGAGAGAAGTCGTCTATGTATGCATGGCTCTCCCTTCTTGCTGTAATGGTTTAACCTTTGTGCATGTAGTTATTCCACGACCCGGATCATATTCCTCATCCATCGTCAAAGAAAGAAAGAGGCGTACGACTTAACTCATTCATTTATATATGTAAGAAAAAAAATGTGCAATGAAAGTTAATCCTTGTCTGTTGTGTATTTTTGTTCGGAAACTTTAATTCATCAGTATAGAACAAACCGGGTCACTGTTATTTTATGTGTGTGCCGAACAAAACGAAAGTCTGGTATTTTGTAATTGGATGAGCATTAATATACAAATATGAAGGAAAAATATTGATGGGGTGAGGCGTCACTCAATGAGTAAATAATAACCTAATATAAATATTAATACGAAAATGATATAAGGCTATATTGTGACTCGGAGTGTCTTCCGTCCATTATACTCAATGTATATCTAATAACTTAATAACTTTACTTAGGTCTCACCTATGTAGATTCATACGAAATTTCTCCCCTCGTTCACTCGACCTATCACATATACGTTATGGGTCATTCATATAGGTCATATATCCTTCGTTTAAGGTTTCTCCTTTACTTTACCCTACCTGGTGTTGCATATGGTTTGTATTTATTCTTATATCCCATACGAAATTTTCCTTCACATATCACACGTAAGGGTTCGCATTCTATACCTCAGATATGGCAAATACTAATATTGTCATCTCAATCATATATCACACAAAGATGACATATATCGTTTGAGTGAGCGTGTTAGAGAGTGGTATAAGATTATTCAGCTTAACTTCCCAACAACTCGAGTTATTGGAACCAACTGGTTTATGACATATATGTACAATAAAGATTTGAGCACGTTTTATGGGGGAAAAATACCATGTACTAGTTATATAGAAGATATGTATTCGCTATACAGAAAAAATTTGTGCATGCACAGATTTTACAAAATTGATAACATACGCACGTAACTTTTTTTTGCTAAAAAATATATCAAAATAAATGTTATTAATTAAAATAGTCTATGTATGCACTAGTCACTACTCTCCCTTTTCCTTATATTTCACTTAGCCTTTCTTACTGTAATGGTTTAAAATTTATGCATCTAGTTATTCTTGCACCACAGGATCATATTCCTAATCGATCGTTGATTTTGAAGAAAGAAAGAAAAGGTGTAAGAATTAACTCATTCATTTAAAAAAAAAATTATGGAAGTTAATCCTTGTTGTTGTATATTTGCGTTGGAATATTTCACGTCATCAATGATCCTGAGAACGAATCGTGTAACGGCTGTTATTGGACGAGCACCAGCACAAGTGAATGTGTTGAACAAAATTATATTGTTATCGAAATTCATATTTCGGTGTAATGATGGTCTCAGTTCACTTCAGATCCAGTTTAATTCCTTTTTTTCCACTTACAAAATGCATCAATTTCTTGAGATTAACAACTAGCTAGATAAGTAACGATAAACGTAGGTATTTTTATTTGGGCTAAATTACACGTTTGGTCACTTAAATTATACAAATCTTTCACGTTTGCCACCCGAATTACTTTTCTTTTTTATTCGCCACTAACTTTACGAATCGTTTCACGGTTGGTCACCGGCCGTTACACTCCGTTAAGTTTGTCCTACGTGGCAGTCAACTATAAAGTTTGACCGTTAACTAGATGACGTGGAAATTAAATTTTTTTTTTCTTTCCACCTCATCATTGCCGCCGCCGCCCACACGCTTCTCCTTCTCCTCGTTAAACTGGCCGAGAATCAGCGGGCTCGGGCAGCGGACACGATCGGAGTCGAATGAGTGGGAGACCAAGCAGTAGGAGAATCGGTTCCCGAGCTGAGGCGAATCGGCGGCGAGCTGAGCTGGCAAGGATAGCACTCCCCGGCCGAACCCTGCTACTCCGACGGGCTCCGCCAACGCCGTGTGGGCGCATCCGAAAGTGAAATTGCGGAGCTTCAGTGACGGAGACGCTAACGGGAGGGTAACGACGTCTGTGTAAAGCCGGGCCACCAAGCTTCCGTCGCCGTAAGCGTAGTAGAAGGAAGCGCAATTGTAGGACTGACAATCGAAGGTTTCGATTAAGTCCAAGGGGCAATTAGCGATTGCGCAGAGGTCGGAGGAGGGGAGATTGGAATGAGCGGCGGAGCAGGCGGCCGATTTACAGGGTACGACGGCGGCGCCGGAGGAAAGATTGGCAAGAATTGCGGCGGTGGCGGAGGATTGGGTTTCGGTCTTGCCCTCGCAGAGAATGCACAAATGGAACTGATAACGATGTAATTGCACATATTTGCGCCCCTAGTTCTTATCCGTTTGAGGGGCATGGTCGTGTATTTTTGGCCTATTTTACGCCGGGTTGTGCTATTTTGTCATATTTCATGTCCCAGGGGTCAAAGGAAAGGCTAAGCACGAGTTTCGGGGCGTTCGGAAGTCATTTCGTCAAGCTGGAGCCAAAACACGGGCACACCTAAAACAGAACACGGCCGTGTTCTGTGGCCGTGCTTTTACTGCCGAGAGCTAATTGAGTTTGGCAAATTCAAGCTGAAAACACGGGCTGAAAGCACGGGCGTGTTCTCCCAAAGCACGGCCGTGTTTTCACCAACACAATGGCCTTGTAATTAACCCTAGCCAAAGCACGGGCGGGCTGAGGCAAAGCACGGCCGTGCCCTCGACCGTGCTTTGGCCTCTGATGCCTTTTTAAGCAGATTTTCAGCCAAAGAGAAGGGGGATTCGAGTTTGAGAGAGAGAGATCAGTTCCTAGAGAGAGAAAGCGACGAACAAGAGTCTCCAAGCGCCCTAGCTTGATCTTCAACACCATTGGAGGCCAGTTTGAGCTTGGAGAAGTGCCGATCAACGTCCAGAAGCAGGAATCCATCCTTCACAGTATGAATTCCGCGTCTGATTTTGCTTTTGCTTCTTTCTCCATGGAGTAGTTCTCCCATTCATCTGGGTATGGAGAACCCTAGATTTGTATGTTAGGCTTTGATTGTATGAACCCAAGTACTGATTCTATGATTTGATTATGTTCAATTGAGGTTTGATTGATTGAATGACTTGAATCCTGATCAAATTCCTGTTGTTTCTGCTTTAACCTAGAATGAGAATATCTGCCTAGGTTGATAGAGCATCCTTGATTGAAGGTAGGGAGTTGGTGACTTTAGTCGAGGAGCCAACTCACTATTCTGTACCGGATTTACTCCGGTAGTGGAGGTTTTGTTTGTTAAGGCCTCAATCTGTTTACTCCGGTGGAGGTTAGTCGCCCGCTAGAGGCTCAGATTGAGAGGGTCTGAAGACCTTTAGTCGAGACTTCAGGCTGTTTAAGAACCTTCCGCAGTATAACTATCATAGAAACTGAACTTGGTAATTACAATCCGGCTTAACTGCAGTCTAGGGGGAACCATATCCGGGTGACCTCTCTTAACCTGAATACAACAGTTTACTTGCTTTGTTAGTTTGTTAGTTTAGACTTGCATTAAAGTTTCATTGCTAGATAACAAGAATTCACTGAGTAGTCATCAAATCTAGGACCCGGGTTGATAATTAAACCTAAACCCGCTATACTACGCTTTAGGAAGTGGTTTCACTTGGCCAATTCCTAAGGTGACAGTAGAAGTGAGTCAGGCACCCATCACCACCTTTTTCCTCTGCCTCTGTTCATGTCTAGACCTTCTGATCAACCCATCACCTTGGCTACTCCAACTCCATGTTCACCATTCCTCCTTCTCGTCGTCTTCTGATCAGCGGCGGCAAATCTCACCGGCGTCGCCGCTCACCCTTTCTGCTGTCGGAATGGGATACATTTTTCTTGATGTTTATTGATCTTCAATTCCTCAGCCACATGAGGTTAATTGCAGTTAGCAGCTTTATGATGCATCTCCAGTGGCAGCTTTAATTCTGATGGCTGGCTGGCTGGAGAAGAAGAAGACTCTTTTCTTCTGTTCATCTGAGGGCCCATAAAAACTGTGTATGTAGCACATAATTTTAGTTTCTTTGCTTTTATCCCCCGTTTCTTTATTGAATTTTCCGGTCATTTTTGTAATTTATTAAATTTTATTAAATTATTAATATGATAAATTATATAGACAAAATAAGTGCAATGATGAGGTGGAAAGAAAAAAAAAATTTATTATTTTTTTTAATTTCCACGAATTTTTTTTAATAATTTCCACGTCATATAGTTAACGGTCAAACTTTATAGTTGACTGCCACGTAGGACAAACTTAACGGAGTGTAACGGCCGGTGACCAACGGTGAAACGATTCGTAAAGTTAGTGGCAAATAAGAAAGAAAAGTAATTCGAGTGGCAAACGTGAAAGATTTGTATAATTTGAGTGACCAAACGTGTAATTTAGCCTTTTTATTTGATTGATTTTTATTTATTTTTAGCTTTTTATAAGTATATTATGAGTAGTTGCACGTCACTCGCGAACAACATACACGTACATATATTTGTAGTTTTCAACAACTGTCAAACTGATAGTTCACCAGAAGATGGCCTTCAGCAATTCCAGTACTACCATTTATGTCGAGCTTCTTGAAAGTATTGAAATCCAATTCAAGTCCTTGCTTGTTATGCTCGTGAGCAATACAAACCTTCACTTGATTAGGAAGACCTCTAACTCCAAGATTAGTGACCTATATACGCATAGCACCCAGATATTTATTTGCGTGCGTTAGTAAATAAAACACATATATATGAGAAGGTAAGAAACTCTATTTAGGCTATGGTCGTGAAATATATGGAACGTGCATGGTGGGGCTGACCCAAGGAGACACCCCTAAATTTTGGGAAAACGATTATCCAACCCAGGTGGTAATTTACGTATGGACAAAAAAAAATTGATAGTGAGGGACACCCCTTAAATTTGAAAAAATGATTATCCTATTGTCATTTGTGTATATGAATATAAGTGGTAGGTTTGATAATTCAAATCTAGAACACTATTATTATTAATAAACTTAATTTCCGTTGAGCTAAACTCATTTGTTGTTCGATTTTGAACAATGTGTAATAGTAAAATGGCATTCCCTATCTCTAATTATTTTAAAAACCTAACAATTAAACTAATTTCAAACTACCCTTAATTTGTATTGATTTTATGATTGTACGACAAGTGTTGAAAGAGTCTTTCAGCTTTGGGTTACATAAAAAACAAGTTTACAAATCGAATATGCGATAAGTTCGTGAATGATTGTCTAGTAGTGTATATAGAGACAATTTTTTTTAACACTGTAGACATCAAGTGTATTCTACAATTATTTTCGAATATGAAAACACATCATGTACTTTTTTAACCTGTACGAGTAAGTTATTTTCATATTTACAATTTTATTTTTATTAATTATTTTTATTTAATTTATTTTTTAAAAGAGGACACCCCTATGAAAAATTTCTGGATCCGCCACGGCATGATGCACTATACATCACCCATATGGATGTGCAACATGGTTAGTTGATTTATAACTTACAAGAGACAGCAGTTTATGTATAATGAGTTCTACTAATTACCTTCAAGCAGCGACCACAACGAGTAACAGTAGTAATATTGTTTTGAAGCTGCGGGGCACGCAGAGCAGCGAAAGGATACTTGTAACGAGAAGCAAGCGGCAGGCGGGAGAGAGACCTTGCACATGACAACAAGGACGACGACGATGGCGAGGAAGAAGAAGAAGAAGCATTGTCGGCTGCTTGCACTTTGAGGAGCTCGTGATCACCATCACTAACATTCAAATTCAGATAGGGGTTATCATTGTACGTAGCGTTGACGAGACGTGTGAGTGTTCCTCCTCAGGTTTCAGCTACTTGATCATAATGATCACTTTGACGATCAGAATCAGGAGAAGGAACCTCGCGGCATTGATACCAACAATAACCGTGGTGGCAGTGCCTGTAAGTGTCGCCGCAGTAAAGAGCCCTACTGCAACAGCGTCCCGAGTCGCATGGAGACCATCTCCGGTCTGGGTATTGGCCGCAACGGTGGTCGGCCCGCTCAGCTGTGCATGAAGATGCAACAATCTGCAGGATAATGAGCGCAATATTTGTAGCTGCTATATGATCAATCGCATGTAGCCCATGTCTCCTCTCCATATCTTTCTGTCTGTGTTTGTTTCGCTGTACGATAATTGACCAGATAGTTTGTCGAAGCTTATTATATAGGGATGAAGATATGCGGCGCGGGCGGCGGCCACAGGTCGAGTTTGGATACCTACGTACGTAAGTAAGTTTCCAATATATATAAATATGCCATTGGGGGCAACCAGAGAGAGAAGTCGTCTATGTATGCATGGCTCTCCCTTCTTGCTGTAATGGTTTAACCTTTGTGCATGTAGTTATTCCACGACCCGGATCATATTCCTCATCCATCGTCAAAGAAAGAAAGAAAGAGGCGTACGACTTAACTCATTAATTTATATATGTAAGAAACGAAATGTGCAATGAAAGTTAATCCTTGTCTGTTGTGTATTTTTGTTCGAAAACTTTAATTCATCAGTATAGAACAAACCGGGTCACTGTTATTATGTGTGTGTGCCGAACAAAACGAAAAGTCTGGTATTTTATAATTGGGTGAGCATTAATATACAAACATAGGTTTCTTGTATGAATTGATGATGATGGACAAAGTCCACTTCAGATCCCGTTAATTTCTTCTTCATTTTCTTTTACAAATTATTTCATTGACCAAATTATTAATTATTTTACCACTTATTAAAGAAAGGTAAATAACTTTTATTTTATATACCTCTCATATTAAAATAACAATTGGAAATACATACGAAATAGAAATTGCATTTCACTGAAGTAGACGGTGTTCTTACTAATCAAAATAAAAATACCCTCTTATTAAACCTATCTTCAATACAAAATGCTTAAATTGAACCAAAAAATATAAAAATTGCATAAAATAAAGAGAAAAATATACAAATACAAATATTCGGTGATAGAAATATTTCTCTTCGTACATAATGTTTCCATTTCTTTCTCTTCGTACATTATCTTATCATCCTCTGCAATATATCATCATTAACACAGACTTGATGATTGATGATTATGCGCTACTCTCCTTCAACACTGTGGTACCGTTTATCATGGCTGACTTGTTGTAGCTGCTCATGAATTTGGCTATGAGTATTGTGATAATCAGGAAGTTATTCATATCGCTGCTAATTCTTTCATAAGAGTATAATACCCAACTGTTTTTCTCCATTTAAAACCCATAAAAATGTATTCACATAGTCAACTATTTACCAAAATCCTCAAACTCTTGGTTAATATTTTTTTTCTGGGAAGAACCTATCTTCGAATTTCCTGTAGAAAACATTGTGGAGAGTTCAGCCTTCCGCCCACCTCATCGATGTCAAACTCTAACTTTCTTCGCCCCATGGCCTTCACCCATTCTAGCTATTCATCTGGGAAAAATATTGACGGGGTGAGACGTCACTCAATGAGTAAATAATAACCTAATATAAATATTAATACGAAAATGATATAAGGATATGTTGTGACTCAGAGTATCTTTCGTCCATTATACTCAATGTATATCTAATAACTTAATAACTTTACTTAGGTCTCACCTATGTAGATTCATACAAAATTTCTTCCCTCGTTCACTCGACCTATCACATATACGTTATGGGTCATTCATATATGTCATATATCCTTCGTTTAAGGTTTCTCCTTTACTTTACCCTACCTGGTGTTGCATATGGTTTGTATTTATTCTTATATCCCATACGAAATTTTCCTTCATATTTTACACTTCTATCAACGCGTACAACATCAAGGGATGTATTGTAGACTCATAACATTATACACGTCGATATCTCATGGCACTACCATAATGAAATTAGTATATCATTACTACTTAAGTCACAGTTTCTTGATCAATAGTTGTACTACTCATCATAGGAGATCATCATAACATGTACCTCATATCACTTGATATGACATATAAACACATCAACCTTCACATACCACACGTAAGGGTCACATTCTATACCTCAAATATGGCAAATACTAATATTGTCATCTCAATCATATATCACACAAAGATGACATATATCAAGCTTGGCATTCACATACTCATGTTGTATCCAATATCAACAATGAATCAGCATCCAATCATACACATACATATAGTTAGCTAGATTCAATAGCTTTTGTTCTTTAATTTGCCAAGTCATGCACTCCCCGGGATCTCGTGAACTCGTAATCTCGTAGGCACAAAGTGCCAGATCTCATATACCCGTGAACTGGTGGGTACAGAGTGCCATATCTCATGAACTCGTAAACTCGTGGGACACAGAGTGCCATATCTCATAAACTCGTAGCCAGGCCTGACATTGCTCCTTAAAAGGAGTTCTCATATAACTCTTTCATCTCTTAGGCTTGAAACCTCTTTTCACTTATAATGAGTGCATGACAGGGCGTCATTACGTTTGCTTTAGGTGACCATGCAATTCTTATACAACTCAGTTACCTTCTCAGTCTAGGGGTTCCCGTTTCAACACTGAACCACCGCCCTGTACCTGAGTGATGTTTAATGATGGGTCGTTCATCTCAGACTCGAGTCCGACGGCATATGGGAATACTATTGCTAACTCTCAGGGTCACGTGTACGACGGCAAGACTGAGACCTTCCTTTGTTCTCATCCGATTCAGGCGGAAGCTTTTGGTCTTCTCAATGCTATTAGGGTTGCTTCTCACGATTACATCCCAACCTGTATTCGTACAGATTGTCCGGTGCTTTCCCTTGCGCTGCATCAGGAACCCTCGGCATGGCCTTAGATGTGTCGGGCTACCATTGCGCAGATGGTTCTCCTTCTCAGACTTGCACCATCGATTCGTGTTGAGTTTGTTCCTCGACGTTTGAATCGATTAGCGGATTGGGTGGCATGACATGCTAGGGCGGGATCTTTACTAGTGTATTGGATTTTAATTGTCAATATTATTGCTCCACTCTTATAATGTGACCACGGTTTTCCCGGTTTCGGATGGAATAAAAGGTTGCTTATTGTAAAAAAAAAAGCACAAGTGAATTTGTTGAACAAAATTATATTGTTATCGAAATTCATAGTTCGGTGTAATGATGGTCTCAGTCCAATTCATATCCCGTTTAAGTCCTTTTTTTCCACTTACAAAATGCATCAATTTCTTGAGATTAACAACTAGCTAGATAAGTAACGATAAACGTAGGTATTTTTATTTTATTGACTTTTATTTATTTTTAGCTTTTTATAAGTATATTATGAGTAGTTGCACGTCACTCGCGAACAACATACACGTACATATATATGTAGTTTTCAACAACTGTCAAACTGATACTTCACCAGAAGACGGCCTTCAGCAATTCCAGTACTACCATTTATGTCGAGCTTCTTGAAAGTATTGAAATCCAATTCAAGTCCTTGCTTGTTATGCTCGTGAGCAATACGAACCTTCACTTGATTAGGAAGACCTCTAACTCCAAGATTAGTGACCTATATACGCATAGCACCCAGATATTTATTTGCGTGCGTTAGTAAATAAAACACATATATATATGAGAAGCTAAGAACCACTATTTAGGCTATGGTCGTGAAATATATGGAACGTGCATGCTGCACTATACATCACCCATATGGATGTGCAACATGGATAATTAGTTGATTTATAACTTACAAGAGACAGCAGTTTATGTGTAATGAGTTCTACTAATTACCTTCAAGCAGCGACCGCAACGAGTAGCAGTAGTAATATTGTTTTGAAGCTGCGGGGCACGCAGAGCAGCGAAAGGATACTTGTAACGAGAAGCCAGCGGCAGGCGGGAGAGAGACCTTTCACATGACAACAAGGACGACGACGATGGCGAGGAAGAAGAAGAAGAAGAAGAAGCATTGTCGGCTGCTTGCACTTTGAGGAGCTCGTGATCACCATCACTAACATTCAAATTCAGATAGGGGTTATCATTGTACGTAGCGTTGACGAGACGTGTGAGTGCTCCTCCTCCGGTTTCAGCTACTTGATCATAAAGATCACTTTGACGATCAGAATCAGGAGAAGGAACCTCGCGGCATTGATACCAACAAAAACCAAGGTTGCAGTGCTTGTAAGTGTCGCCGCAGTAAAGAGCCCTACTGCAACAGCGTCCCGAGTCGCATGTAGCCCATGTCTGGTTTGGGTATTGGCCGCAACGGTGGTCGGCCCGCTCAGCTGTGCATGAAGATGCAACAATCTGCAGGATAATGAACGCAATAATTGTAGCTGCTATATGATCAATCGCATGTAGCCCAAGCCCATGTCTCCTCTCCATAACCATATCTTTCTGTCTATGTTTGTTTCGCTGTACGATAATTAACCAGATAGTTTGTAGATGCTTATTATATAGGGATGAAGATATGCGGCGCGGGCGGCGGGCATAGGTCGAGTTTAAGTTTGAAACAAAACATATGCATGTCATTGGGGGCAACGAGAGAAGGCTAATTGTGTGTCCAATCCATCTTTAATGTGATAATATTTGTTTCGTAGCCAATTATATGGACACGCGAACGTATATTTTTATTTTTCTGGATTAATTAAGTAGTAGTCTATGTAAGCATGGCTCTCCTTTAATTTGTTGTTTCCTATATATATTTTAATTAGCCTTTCGTACTGTCATGGTTTAACCTTTCTGTGACTAGTTAGTTATTCCCGCCACAGGATCATATTCATCATCGATTGTTAATTTTGAAAGAAAGAAAGAAAGAAAGAGGCGTACGAAATTACGAATTAATTCATTCATTTATATAAATGAAAAACATCATGAAAATTAATTTTTGTCGATTGTACCTAGCTATTTTTTGTTTGAAAATTTTAGGTCATCGATATGAGAATGAATCGGGTCATTGTTATTATAGGATGGGAACCATCACAAGTGGGTGGGTGTGTCCAACAAAAGTGTCATTGAAATTCCTAGTTCGATGTAACGAAAAGTCTGGTGTAATGTAATTAGGTGAACATTATTATACAAACACAGACTTCTCATATGAATTGATGATGATGGTGTAAGTCCAGTTCAGATCCCATTTAATTTCTTCTTCTTTTTAAAAAAATTATTTCATTAACCAAATGATTATTTATTTAACATTCATTAGGGAAAAGCAAATAATTTGTATTTTCTATACCTCTCATATTGATTAATATGACAATCGGAACCACATACGAGATAAAAATTCGATTTTACTGCAGTAGACCGTGTTCTTACTTATCAAAAATAAAAATACACTCTTATTGAACTTACCTTCAACACGAAATGCATCCATTTCTTAATCGAACTGGGAAAATATACAAATTGCGTAAAAATAACGAGGAAAATATACAAATATTTCGGAGAAAGAGATTTCGCAATCTGAGAAAATAGTATATAGTAGTGCAGCCGCTTGTGAAGCCTCCTTCACATAATGTTTCCGTTTTTTTCTCTTCATACATTATCTTATCATCTCTGTGCAATCATCATCAACGCAGCATTGATGATTGATGATTATGCGCTACTCTCCTTCGACACCGTGGTGCCGTTTGTCATGGCTGACTTGTAGCAGCTCATGAATTTGGCTATGAACTCTGCCCACACAAAGTAATCAAAACGACACAGTTTGGTTGGTTCAACATATCCTGGTAATGCCACAGTACGTTGGGTGATTGACTAGTGTGTAAAAGTTAATTATACGTACCTTCAATCCTCATGAATTGATGAACTCTGAGCCTTGCAGGATCACACCGCTGCTTCCCGCCTACTTCGTCGAGCTGGTGACCCCAAGAAACTCCGAATTGGTTTGCACAGTCTATTTTGCCGCCGCTGTTATTCCTCTGAGATCATCAACCAACAATTAATCGATCAATAAGCAAATTTATATTACCTGCTACCATCGATCTTCACTATGGCTTACTTGGTTATATATGTACGTACGTTGTAATCTTTGTATAAATTGTCGACTTGGCTCGTAAATGATTCGTGCAGTCGGCTTTTCAGTTCCTCCTTCAGCGACTGTACGTACGTTGCAAACACATGTAATAGTAGTTAGTAGTTCTGAGTTGTGTATTGAGTTATGGATTGGCATGTATAGTTACGTACCATGAAGATGAATTCAGGAGATACATCGTGCTCTATCAGATTCTGAAGCTTCCCACGAATGATGTACAACCTGCATATATATAATGAATTGTCACATATGATCGATTAGTAGAGTCTTAATTTTCTGCATGCAGATTTGGATTAACAGGGGATTTTGGTAGGCAGATGGTAATTAATTACTGTTTAGGGCTTTGTTCCTGGATGATGTTCTTAGCAATGTTTGCAATATCGTCCTCCCATCCTGTTAATATCACTTGGTCCTCGCTGAACGGGTAACTGCCACACCCACAATCATTAAGCTACAGCTGTTACAAAGATGAAAGGACAAAGAAAAGAAGTATATATGCATGGTATTGATACGTATATATAGAAATAGAATTACCTCTTACGCCAGCATGCCTCGAAAGAGCGGATGGCTTGGCGGAGATTATTGCTAGAGTTTCCGGCTATCCTAGCAGCCAATTTATGGGGCAACTCTATCCCTTCTCCCTTTGCTATAAACTCCAGGACTTCAACAATCTGAGCCAGAACCGAAACCATGCATGCATGTGTAATCTGATCCATAATAATAGTTATGATTTAATTAATTACGAACGTATACCTCTTGGTGGGATGGTGGGAAAAGCTGAACAAAAGTGCAGAGCCTCCTGATGGGCTGGAGCTTGGAGACATCGCCGCCGCAGCTGAAGAAGAACTTGCTAAACCCTTTATACCTTTCCAGCATCCATTTTATGTATAGAACCCCGTCCGCCGATAGCTTGTCTGCCTCGTGTAATATGATCGCTGCAAGCATGCAACAACCAATCCATGCATGTAAAGTTATGGACTGGAAGCAGACAGACTATACTAAACAATTGATAAATCGATCGAGTTATTGGAGGTACATCGTTTGTCTATTAACGTAATATTAGTGTCTTTAATTGAGAGATCCCGTGTTCGAATTATTATGGCCGGCGACCTCCATGGGATGATATGTTTTAATTTTAGTTGTGCAAATTGAGAAGCCACAAAGTATGTTTTTGTTTAACGTTATGTGTCCATAAATAAATCAATATCAACGTACAACTCGAAATGTTGAGAGAGGTTTCACCCCTGTATCGATTTAAACCACTTCTTTACGCGTAGTACCTCGACAACTATCGTGTTTGGAAGGGGAAGTAGTAGCAGTAGTACTATCGGCAGCTCTCTGATGCGATTCCTTCATAAGTTCCACGATGATATGTTTTTCATAGCCTTTCATGTCCGACACATTCACTTCCACATGCTGGCTAGACGCCTTCACATTCACTGTTATGCTCTTAATCGATTCCCCCTGCATAGAGATGATATATATAAATACAACGCATTTAGTACAGTCATTGAATTAGTACCGAAATTCCTAGCTAGCACTTGTGTATTTTCTACATACCTTTAAATTAAATGTCATTCGTTCTTCTTTAGTCTGCAATCAAGTTCAAATGTGACAAAGTGTCATTATGATATTAAAAAAGTACTGTAAGTAATATATTAATAAAAGTATGTTAATTTCATGAAATTCGGAAAAAATGTCATTTAATTTCATGAAAACAAAGCTGAATGGCTAAACATCGCCCTGTATTTTCTGTTATCGCTCTATTTTAAAGTAAAAAATTACAAAACTGTCCTTCATTAAAGAAATAAATTAAAGAAAAAACCCTCATTCATATTCGTGGATAAAAATTTAAAAACTCCAAATTGTTGCCGCGTCACCCATCATTAATCCGGCCACCATTGTCGCTCCACTGTCGTTGCCTCCTCTCTTCTCACCCACTGTGTTTCTTTTGTATGAAAATTCAATCCCTTCCATTGGAATAAACTCCTCCCTGCAGTCTGTTGTCTGAATCATCTTGCCCCAAAAATCTGTCAAGAACCAGTTGATCCCAATAACTCGAGTTGTTGGGAGAGGTTCAATCGTGGATCATATACCGTTTACTAACACCCCCCTTCAAACTCAAGCCATTCAGATAGGCTTGGAGTTTGGACATGCACAGGTCCGGACACTGTGTGCTTAACAGAAACAGATGGGGGCTACCGGGAATCGAACAGAAGACCTCACGGTCACAGAAGGCTCTGATACCATGTCAAGAACCAGTTGATCCCAATAACTCGAGTTGTTGGGAGAGGTTCAATCGTGGATCATATACCGTTTACTAACAAAATCAACTCCCAGTCTCATCTTTCCTTTCTCCCCACCTCCAGAATCAACTCTGATCCCGATCTATCCCTTCTCCCCATCCTCAGAATCAACTCACCTCATATGTCCCGGGTGCAACTGTCCCTTCTCCCTATTGTGATTATCATAATAATGATATTGTTGGAGGCGATTAATTGACGATGGGAATCGGCAATGATCAGCTGTCGGTAGTGGGAATTAGTGGCCAGCGATAATGGCGACAACCGTGATGGGGTGGGTCTAGTTATTTTATGGATTGTGTTTTTCGAATTAAATTATCTTTTTAAAAATAAAAATGAGAAAAGTGTAAAAATATAATTTTCAACATTTAAATTAGGGCGATTAGAGATAATTAGGGCGACATCTAGCAACCCTCAAACAAAGAGGCTCATGCGTATTGGGGAAAAAAGGAGACTCGTACATTTGGGCAACCAATTGAAATGATGTAGACGAACTCGGGCCACGCCAAGTGGCCTTTTGTTTTGACATAGGTGGGCTAGGTTAGGGTTACCTGGACTCTCTCGGGCCCAAAAGCTTCTTGGAGCATAGCCCATATCATGGTTCGCTTCCCGACCCCAGCTGGGCCTTGGAATATGAAGTGATTGCAATTCACCTCCCCCATCTTGCAAACAAAACATGTACACAGCCTTATAAGTTATATATGCATGCATGGCAATATAATTGTGATTATAACAACATACTTAACTATAATTAGGCATACAATAGACTGGAGGTGAGTAGCCTTGTCACGGTTGCAGATGAAGTCTTTCAAAGCCCTAGGCCGATATTTATTCGCCCACCGGAACAACAATTCCCTTTCATCAACCCCCGCCGCCACCTTATTCCCACCACCACCACCAACAATATTCTCATCGCCACTACTACTCTCGTCACTCTCGTCGTCGCTACTATCCCGCACAGCAACGAATCCTCTCGGCGACGGCAATACCGTCGACGTCGATGATGACGGCAGTGCTGCATCATCGTCAACAACATGAACCACAAATCTCTCCCTCATGGGCTTCACCTCCGTTGCGCCAACCGCAACAAAGGTCCAAGCGTCCCTCTCAATCTCCGGCGGGGCTAAGGCCGGTGGAGGGAGCTCCTCTTCCATATTATTCTCCATCTTGGAAGAGAAGGAGAGGCGGCGGCGCCACTCCTTCATCCTGGAGACGAAAGTAGGGAGCTGTGCCGCCGACGTCACCACCACGACATCCTCCGCCACGTGGCGGTCATCCTCGTGGGCGGCGGGGGGAGGAGAGTAGAAGCTGTGCTGGCGCTCCCTGCTGATGACGAGCGAGGAGTCAGTGAGTCCCTTGTAGTAAGGGCTGCTGTACTTGTTGTTGTTGTTGATGGCCACCTGGCGGTTGTGCGCCGCCAGCCTGGCCTCCGTCAACTTGGCCGGATAGTTCGGGTCGTCATTCAACGGATTGGTGTCGGCTTTGCTGGCGCTAGTAGTGCCGCTTCCGCCGCCGGCGCCGCCGCGGACGATGAAGGTGCCGAGCTTGTTGATGTTGCTCCAGGCCTGCCAGTAGGGGGACTTGCCGGAGGGGGAGCCGGTGGAGCGGACGGAGCGGTGGGAGGAAGGGAGGTGGCGGCTGCCGGGGGCGGTGGTGACGAATGACTCGGTGGAGGAAGTTCTTCGGATCGTGGCTGAACCCGGCATATTCGGATTCGGATCCACCGGCCCAATATGTGGCAAAGCTGATGATGATTAGGTAAAGCGGGAAAGTATGGGTAATGGAAATGGATGGAGGAGGAGATAAGAACTATGGGGATGAGAGGGTTTAAGCTAGCTTTAGGGGGACCGGGCCGGCCGGAGGTGATTTCGAGGGAGGGAAACGGTGAATCCAATGGAGCCGAAACGTTTTTGATTCGGCGGTTTGGGGAGGAATATTAGGGCGTGATGAGCTAGGTGGCCTTTTTGGCTCGGCTCTCTGTATGATATGTTATGTGGCATTTGATTGGATTAAGATTTGGAATATGGAGGCTCATTGGCTCAGCTGAACCGAGAGCTATAGCCTCCGGTTGGTGGAAATTTAACGTGACATTTTTGTTCATTCTCTACGACCAACTATCCTCGGCTGAATGGTGTTTCAACTTATGTAGATTTTGACCTCCTCGGGAAGTTTTTTTCTCTAGGCGAAGAGGAGATATCCTTCGTCAGCCCGAGGTTACCACGATTAGCATTCGGCAGATTAGAATTGATTGTAAAATCATACGGTAGGTTGTATCGAAAAATTAGTAATAAGCTTTCACAACAACAAAAAAAATTAGTAATAAGCTATTTTGTGGTGAAATCATGTTTCGTGTGGAAAATTCTAAATAATAGATTTACTTGACTAGATAATGGATTTATAGTAATGTCTCACCTCTTCACATGGAATTTGCAAGCTCATGGGATACACGAATTTGGACCCTCAAAATTCATATACTTCACAAATTTGATCCCCCAACAAACTTCAAGAAAACAATGACTTTGTGCAAAGTCGATAATGGATTGAATTTGAGTCCAAATCAACAGTGAATCCAGAATACAGTAGGGTACTATTTAAATAGAAAAATTAAATATTGAATAACACTGGATAGTAAAATTAGATACTAACCATGGATCCAACTTGGAAGCAAGCATGTTTGCTAGCTATAGTAACTCTGGACTGAGAGATATTTGTTATGGTCACCAAAATTCACTCGTGGCCTAGGTTTGATGTCATCTCTGGTGTTTGGTGGCCTTTCATCGCCACTGCAATTCGGTCCCCGGATACATTTTTTTTTTCTCTCTATTCATTAGATAATTTATGGTGTGGAATTTTCACTATAATTTTTTAAATCTCTGGTATATATCACATTGTTCTATTTATGCATTGGTAGACTAGGACTTGTTATTGATTTTTACTAGTGTGGATAATCGAATTTCTGGCATCGGTTAGATGATATATGATATTATGGATAAATATTGTATGGTATTGATTTTCTACTAGTATGGATTTGCAAGTTTCCAGTACGACCTAGCAATTTCTTACATACATTAGACAATTGTGTGGTATGAATTGTTGTTATTATCACTTTTTTTTTTTGGTGGGAATGTTGTTATTATCACTAGGTTGCATTTTCCAATTTTCAAGTACGGAGAGATGTTACATTTTGCAAAGATTATGCAACTTTTCTGGTAGCGATTTTGTACGTCTGTAGTATATATTAGGCAACTTTTAGTAGCGTTTTAATAGATCTTTGAGCATGTTAATATTAAATCGTATTATGCATTTAGATCTTCTACCTAAAACTTTGTTATCCTTGAGAATAGAACTATATTCATTTTCCACAATTTGCCTAATTTGAAAATACCGACTCTAAATTTATGCATTCAAATACTACTTCTTAAAAAAAACCATGAAACTAATTTCCCAAATTTTAACAGCAATTCCGCAGTGAAACCAACTAACCAAGAATCATTGTAGAACGAATGATTTGAAGCACACGTTCAATTTGCTGTTTCTATTTTTCCTAACAATGATACTCTGTCTGACATTCAAGAGCAGTGATGGTTTTTCATGTGAATAAGAGGAGAAGTTTCGTTTTGTCGCTTCAATGAAATTAAAATTTAGGGTTACACTAATTAATGCCGGCGATATTACTTAGTAACTGATCGGCTGGAATTCCATTGGGCCACATGACGATCATCATCATGTATATAATGGGAATTTAATGAGCTGGTGGAGTCGGCCATCATTATTTGCTTAAGGGACCCTTCTATACGTGACATGGATTTTGTTATTGGTCGAACTCGGTTCGCTTAACCAAATTGTTCACTATTACAAAATGGAAATACGAAATAGACAAATAGTTAAGTTTCCCAAAAAAATTGGTTTTGGTATGGTTTGAACATATAAAAAATTGGATTGTCTTTCACTTGTAATGATCACAATATGACTTTCATTTCTTATTTGTTTCTTATCGATTTTACAATTTATCTAAACGAGATATCTAAAAAATTTCGTACTAGGTGTACACAAACTGTCGTCATACAAAATAAAATAAAAAAATCGTTTCCGTTTGTTTCCCCTACTGAACAAACTAGTCATGGAAGACGATTATGGGCTAGTTTGGCCCTACTATACCTTTTGCAGAAGCAGCTTCTGGTTGGAGTTTTTAGAGCGATACTTAAAAAAAATGGTTGAGGGGTTTGCCCATGCTTCAAGCCGAAAAAACACTTCAAAAAACAGGGTCAAACATAGGCAATATAGTTTGGACACGTCTCTGGTGATGACCCGGGTCTGTCCATGATATTCAAAGCCCTTGTTCGAAAATTAAAAATGTGGCCCTCAAATTTTTACTCCACAAATTTATTGAGAGTAAAACTTATTAACCGATAATAAAAGTATTATTTGCAACAAATCCAAATTTCTCTGCCAAAAAAAAAACAACAAATTGGTTAGAATTTCGGCCAACCATTCCAATTTCAATTTCAAAACAAATCAGGGCAGCAACTTCCTCTCCAATTTCGGCCCAAAAAAATTGGGCAATAGGCAGTCCATTCCAATTTCGGCCAGCCCATTGCTTCTCCAACAGTCCAACTCCATGGCTCCATTCGAAAAAAGAGGCAGTTGTATATACATATTAGTGCATGGTCAAGTTGAGGCCCCCAAATATTTTGATGCCCTGTGTTGTGAGTCAGGTCTGGGCTGGGCCTGGTGGTGACTCCACATGATGCCACCAGAAAACAGTTAGTGACGTATTTGCAACCATGTTGCCATCCATCTTAATTTCGACGATCAAGCAAACAAGCAACGACGGAAGAAAACCATAATAAATGAAGCCTGGACCTGGGCCTCATAAAACCCATCCAAATTGCCGTCATCCTTATCGCAACCATCCCAGTCTGGTAGGGCTTGGGCTTAATACCTACTTCCTTTTTAGGTCTCAGCCCTGCGGCTGCGAGTGAGATAACTAACCAGTTTGTATTTACGAACTTAGCCCTGCGAGGTAACTAACTAACTAACTAACTACTGAAAATGACGAATACTGCCCTGCGAGTTGTGCGATCTTTCTGGAAAACTTAATGAGAGACAAAAAAACCCTAAAAAAAAATAAAAAATGAGACAAACGGGGACACCAAGACAGATCCCGCCAGGCGCCAGCTACAAAACAATTAAGCAAAACCGGTAGCGGCATTATTCTTTTTGCCTTTCTCCTCCACGACGTCCCGTTCCCGTCTAAATTCCCAGACTCTCAAGCCTCACGCATCAATCATCGGACGTAGATGGGGCCCACCGCGACGCAAAAAATAAAGAAGAAGAAAAAATGAAAGATTATTTCGTCATTCCCTATATATAAATAATAAGGCCACGTAGAGACGCAGGCAAACGCAAATCCCCTCCTTCCCAAACCACCACCACCGCGGCCGCAGCAGCAGGCAACGACTTCGACCAACACCGCCGCTCTGCCCCGAGGCCGCAGGCGGGAGGCCACGAGACCACCACCACCAACCTCTCGCCGCCGGTAGGTCCTTATCAGCACCTGACGCTACTCGCGGAGCTGTTCATGGCCGGGCAATCGAGGAAGTGGATGATACTGGTGGCCACGATATGGATTCAGGCGTTCACGGGAACGAATTTCGATTTCTCGGCCTACTCCTCGCAATTGAAATCAGTGCTGGGGATCTCGCAGGTCCAATTGAATTACCTCGCCGTGGCGTCCGATTTGGGGAAGGTTTTCGGCTGGTCGTCTGGCCTGGCTCTGATGTACTTCCCGCTGTGGACGGTCCTGTTCTCGGCTGCGTTCATGGGGCTTTTCGGCTACGGGATGCAGTGGCTTGTGATTCGGAATGTCATCTCTCTGCCTTACATTCTGGTACGCACGCTTTCCTCCCTCCGTTTCTCTCTCGCTCGCTTTCCCCCCCCCCCCCCCCCCCCCCCCCCCCCTCTTTCGCCTTTTTCTGGGGGCTCAATTGAATCTTGTTTTCAGTTTTCCCGGCTGCCAAACAGAACAATTGTCATCTCTCTGCCTTACAAAATGCGTGTGGTAGCCGGTACGATTACGAAGGAAAGGATTGTTTGGTTAATCGGTTTGTGCAGTCTTTTCTTTCACTCCTTATCTTTTTGGTGACCCTCTTTATTTTCTGGGCCTAACTTTTTCCAGGCCCATCCTTTTTGCACCAATATCTGCTCGACTCGTGCCTACTCCAGAGAGCTCGCTTTTTTTTTTTTTTTGGTTTCGTTTCTGGTTATCAAATAACCAATCGTTAACCGGCACCGTCCTGGACCGGTTGGTAGAAACGGAAAACCGTATGACACCTGCCAAATAGATGGCTGGAGTATGGAGATTGGAGAGTTGGATTCATACTAATTCAGTTGATTTTTTCAATATACTAATATTATTAGTACATCAAATATTGCTACTGAATTAGCATTAAGTTGAATGACTTCTGTAATAAATTGTCTGACTTGGTTCACGTGACTTCTGTAATAAATTGTCTGACCACCACGTTTTCAAGCCACTAATTAGCATTGTAGCTACCAGTCCGCCACCTTACCGTTTGGATTTTAGTTTATTGATATGATGATTATGTAAATTTCCCAGAAAACACTTGAACCATCCAGAAAGTCTCAGTGTCTCACCATAAATGCCACTATGAAATGACATGTTCAACAGTTTCATCTATGTCAATCGTCTCTGCTTGTCTTGGCCCCTTAATATGGCTGAAGAGAGAGTTAGATCATCACTGACTTCCTTTACTAATGTAGCACTTAGCCAAGTTAAAAACTAACTAACCCTTTTCATTTGCTTGTCTGGGATGCATTCTATTGCTAGCTGGTTAAGAACGGAAGTCAGTACACTAGTTAGTTCTTCAGTTTTGTCCAGTAAACAACAGCGGAAAGAAACATTTGATTGCCTTGCCCTGAATCTACAATTCCTTATCTCTTCCAGCTTCACTTTCTTTTGACAAGGATATCTATCTCTCTGGCACCGTTCATCTTATACTCTCATGGCTGCATAGCTGTCAGGGGACGGGAAGCTTCCTCGCTTTCTTTTTCTGGGCATGAGAAGCTTCCTCATTGTAGTCGTTGGTGCATTGAATGGTTTTGTCTGCTAAGTGTACTAATGATGTGGGCCTTATGACTCCCATCCACCCTCGAATGTAGTCTAGCTCTGTCTTGCCTTTTGGCTTATCTTTTATTAAGTAAGTTTTTGGATGCCGTTTTAACCTTCTATAATCCCATCAGCCTAATTGTTGTTGCTAATTGACTGCAGGTATTCATTCTCTGCCTGCTGGCAGGATGCAGCATATGTTGGTTCAACACGGTATGCTTCGTTCTCTGCATCCAAAACTTCCCATCTAACCGAGCCTTGGCTCTATCCCTCACAGTAAGCTTCAACGGGGTAAGTGCAGCCCTCTACACCCTTGCTGCCAATGCCATAGATTCATCATCAAACGAGGTCTATCTTCTCTTAAACTCCCTTTTCCCCCTCATCACCTCCATCGTAGCATTAGTCCCCATTCTCCGCCAGCCAACTCTAGATCCCCTGCCTCCTGACGGTGTCCGCCGTGACTCAGTCGTATTCCTCATCCTCTACTCTTTAGCCATCCTCAACGGCATTTACCTTCTCCTCTTCGGCTCAAACACAAATGACACAACAGTAGCTCACCTACGATTCGCCGGAGCCATATTCCTCCTCGTCCTTCCACTCTGCATCCCTGGAATCGTCTTCGCCAGGCAGTGGTTTCACCATGCAATCAATTCCAGCTTCCAGATCCCTGAAGGTTCCGCCTTCATGCTTGTCGAAGTCGATGACCTTGAACTTCACAAGGAGCTTCTCTCCCGGGACACCAGTAACAATAATGGAGATGGGGATTTCACCTGGAACGATTCAACCCTCGTCCTGAAAAGTATCGATGATGATGAGATCGATATTGATCGAAAGGGAAAATTCTGTGAAGGTGTGGTTGGGAGAGATAAGTTGGCTATGCTGGGGGAAGAGCACACGGCTTGGCTGCTCGTGAGAAGGTTGGATTTCTGGCTCTACTTTCTTGCCTATTTCTGTGGAGGAACGATTGGACTTGTGTACAGCAACAATCTTGGCCAAATTGCGCAGTCCCTTGGGCAGGACTCTTCGACCACATCTCTCGTCACTGTGTACTCGTCCTTCTCGTTCTTCGGCCGCCTGCTTTCTGCTGCACCAGACTTCATACGCACGTAAGTGGAATTAGAATCCTTCCATCATCATCACTACTAGTCCAATTCATCTTTGAAGCGTGCCTCTAATATTACGATGGATCGTTTTGGTACAGGAAGGTCTACTTTGCGAGGACAGCGTGGCTGACAATCGCCCTTCTGCCAACGCCACTTGCTTTCTTCCTGCTCGCTGCGTCAGGTGACAAGGTGGGGCTGTACATGGCCACTGGACTACTGGGATTGAGCTCTGGTTTCATCTTCGCCGCGGCCGTGTCCATAACTTCGGAGCTCTTCGGTCCCAACAGTGTGAGCGTGAATCACAACATTCTTATAACAAACATCCCCATTGGCTCGCTCATCTACGGCTTCCTCGCCGCCGTTGTCTACGACGCCAATGCAAGGTCTGGGAACATGGTAAGCTCGGACTCCATTGTGTGCATGGGGAAGGACTGTTATTTCCTGACATTCGTGTGGTGGGGATGCCTGGCGATTATTGGGTTGGGTTCTAGTATGCTGCTCTTCTTGAGGACTAAACACGCTTATGACCAATTTGAGAAGAAACGTGCTTTGACGCAGGTTGATTAGAGAAGAAGATTTTTAACTTCGAGGGGGGAGGGGGAGAACTTTTTTGTGTTTGTTAGACGACAAAGATTTAGCAGTGTGCCAAAATGTGCATATGTGTGTATAGCTGTTTCTGTTCCTGTAGGAATTGAAAATGGGGCATATGTGAATTTGATTAACAGACTGGTATTCAATTCGTACTGATAATCTCTTGCTCGAATAGTGATAACTCAATGACATTATCATTCAAGGGTAGTTACAGAAAGTTTGGTTCTGAACACAAAGGAACAGCCTCTCATAAGCCAAAGCCATCTTGGTCGCAGTGAACATGGAAGCAGCGTACTTTCTACAAGCCACCCCTCTCTCGGCCAGCCTCTCCGCCCCTTCTCCGGCAACCACCTCCAAAGCCTCCACCAGCGACTCCACGTTGGGAGAGAACATGAACCCAAACTCGTCATCCACAACCACAGTTCCCTTTATACTGGGAAACCTCGACGCCATCACGGGCTTCCCGCTCATCATGGCCTCCATCAGAGTCAGATCCAGCCCTTGCGGCCTCAGCGTCGGATTCACAAACACATCAATCGCGTTGTAGAAAGCCCGCAACTCCAAGGGGCCCATGGAGCCCAGTACCAGAACCCTCGGGCCCAGCTCCCTGTACCTCTGCTCCCACGGCCCGGACCCAGCCACGATCAGGTAGACATCCCGATGCGAAGCCATGAATTCGGAGAAGGCCTCGTAGAGAATCGGATGACCTTTGTCCTTCACCAGCCTCCCCGCCACTCCCAGCACCAGGCTGGCGTTGGGTGGGACGCCGATTGTGGACCTGAACTCTCGGCCCATTTGTACATCCGGCCCAAACGAATTCTCGTCCACCCCGTTCACGATCACGTGGACCCTCCTCCGTGGGATTTGGTACACGTCACGCAGGATTTCCCCGCAGCTGTCGCTGATCGCCACGTGGTGCGCGTAGCTATGGAAGAAACGTATCTCGTCGATCAGGCCGTGGAGGGAGCGGTTGAGGCCGGGTGGGCTGGGCTCGTTGGGATTTTGGGCCAGGGCCTGGTAGATGCTGGACTGCAGGCTCTCGTAGGCGATCCCGTGCCAGGTCACCACAAGGTTGGAGACGTTGTGGGCCTTCCGATGGGGGAGCGCCACGCTCTCCGAGTGGACCACGTGGAACGGTGAGCGGTGGTTCTCGTGCTGGAAGAGGTCCCACGCTTTGGGGAAACGAAACTTGAAGGCTTCGCCGGCGTGGGAGTGGACTGCCAGTGCCACGTTGGAAGAAGAAGAAGATGGGAAGGGTTGGTCACGTGACGGGGAGGTGAACACGTGGACTTCGTGGCCGCGTTCGGCGAGGGCGGAGTGGAGGGTGAAAGCGTGGCGCTCCATGCCGCCGGGAGCGGTGGCGACGGGCCATTTGCGGGAGAAGACGGCGATCTTGAGCTTGAGGTTGGGAGGAGGAGGGAGGGTGAAGTTGAGGTGGTTCCATGAGAAGTCCGCTGCGCGGAGGTCGCCGGACCAAGGAGGGTGGTGGTCGGCGTGGAGAGTGGAGCAAAAAGTGGTGGTGGGGTGGCGGAGGAGGAAGAGGGCCGGGATGGTGAAGAGGACGACGAAGAAGAGGATGGTGGCGAGGTTGGAATGGAGGAAATGATGCTTTGTTGGGTAGGCGGTGGTGCTGAATGCCATAATGATGAAGCTAGATATGAGCCAGCTGGTTGGTCGCTGGTTTTGAAGGTTGGGAAACTGTGAAACCGATGATTAGTATATACGGGTTTTTCTTCTTCTTCGTTTTGTCGTTTGTTTGGGTGGATGCTGAAAATAGAAGGAAAGTGGAGGGGATGGGTCGGCAAGCACTTAAGCAAGTGAGTTATCAAAGTGGGTTAGTGGTTTTTTCTTTGGTCAGGAATATAATGCTGCAGCTTTCAAAGTTAGGCGTTGAGCAATAAGGATTCTTCTTGTGAGTCGCTGACACAGTGTGTAAACTATAGGTATGGGCAACGTGTCATCATGGGTATAATGTTTGCATATTTAAAGCAGCTGGAGCACTTTTTGCAGGAGGAGGAGCAAATCTGAAGACAACAATTACGACGATCGACTTTCAACGAGGGGAGGAAATTAAATCTTCTCTCGAAATCCCCAAGCTCTTTGTGATTTGCTTAATTAGCACCCCCAAGCAATTGGAGGAAGGCATATTCTCCGTAATCTGCCTGTTGGTTGATGTTTTGACATCTGTTGTTGTTCCGGCCCAGGTTGAGCTTAATTACCTTTGAGTAGACCATCAGACATGGTTGCATGCATTCTTCGAATCATTTTGAGGATGACTTTCTAGTTTCTACCTTTTTTTTTAGGATGACAGGAGAGGTGATCATGTCCCGAAGACACATGTGCACTTTCTCGATTTCTAGATACATATCGGTCATATAAACAATTTGAGTAATCATTACATCAACATTTAGAATTCCAAAACATGGCATCAAAATCAAAATGATACATGTTAAAGAGAGCACAATAAAATGAATGTTGATTTTAGACGTGATAGAGCAAGACAAGAGATCACAAGAATATGTATGATCACTATGATATGCTAATGCTACAATCTCACACACCCAACAAAGACTAAAAAAAATTCATATAAATATAAATGATATCTCTCAATTTTTAAACCAGTTTAGAAGATAAAATCTATAAAACGTATAATTAGAAGTAGTATACATCCTCCTCCTCCCAAACATATATGTACATTCTCCGGCAGAACCCACCTTTTTCAATTTTTCCTTTGTTGTGCGCATAGCACGGAAGCCGGAAGGACTCACCGGTCCTTTTGCTTGATTAATAGACGGAGTTAATTAAATAAAAAGGCATCGGAAATATATTACTGGAAGAGGAAGAAACTTGACCCATCGGTCCTTTTGTTTAATTATTGGAAGGAGTTAATTAAATAAATGCCTAGGTTAAGTTATAAACCCCCGATCGCGTATCACGTTTTGTGTGATACGATGATACGACACGATTATATTTTATATCATCGTATTACGATATCGTGAAGTGATTATATTGTTAGGCCAAATATTGAGGCACACGGCCCCCAAGCCCATAGTCACCAAAAGCCCATAAAAGAAACAAATCAAGCCCAAGTAGAGGCAAAAACACAGCCCGGAGGCGGTCCACATTCATCCTCGAGAAGACCGCCCGACAGTTCGGTCAGTACGTAGTAAGCGAACCGCCCGACACTACGGTCTAACGGACTCATGTCCTTCAGGTACGGAGACTGACAAAGGTACGATCCGAATGAAAATTTAATAAAGCCAGAGGCGACCTCGAGCGCACGACAGGCTATTAAATGCGCACAACTCCACCACAACTAGTATAAATACCCAATGATGGGGTTCATTTATGTGAATACTCTGAATTCTCTCTCTTATTTACTTTATATTCACTTCTCTCTCTAACTTTAGCATCGGAGGAGGTCCTAGGTTTCCCCTGGGGGCCTTTCTTGTAGGATTTCGGAGGACGCCCTCGACCATCGTAGCCGCCCGAGAACCGTGAGACCTCACAAAACCGCCTGGTACGATCCAAGTACAAACATATATGACTCGATTTTCAGATCGGGGTTTGTACCATATCCGCTCCCTTAAATGAAAAGTCATAAGAAAATATATTACTTTGAAGCAAGTCAGTAATCTAAATATGGCATTATTCAAATTGAGTTATATGGATTAGGTAGTCTAAAGGGTAAAAAGCCATGCAACCCATATGTATATACCTCTACAGTGAAGGCGTGAACGTTTGAAGTTTGAACGAGATAGAGAAAAAAATAAAAATAGTATTTAAATATGTTTATTCAATCTCAACTAATAGATATCTTTAGATCAATTGTTGTGAGTGAGCAATGCACATTTTTTATACATAGATAATATGTTCTTCAATCCTTACTATCTCACCAGTTCCATTTAGGGATAGCAACGGGGCGGATCGGGGGCGGGTACAAGCCTCCCGATCCCCGCCCGTCAACCTTGACGGTTTTCCCCATCGCCTTTCCCGGCGACTAAACGAGGATAGCCTAGCTACCGTCACCGTCCGTCGACGGGTTCGGGGAACCCACGGATCCCCACGGCCAGTGTCCACTATTGAGAGGAAGTTGGGGAGAACCTTGCGGAAAACTGCTGCCGACGACGTACAGAGAACTTACCTTTCCCATCGCCCCCGAATACACAGGTCTTCTTGATGGCCGATGATCAGGGCAAAGTCGATGGCCAACGATCGCTATATTGAGGAGAAAGAGGAGGGGATTTTTCGTTGGCGGTGGAATTGGTTGATGGGTGATTAGGGATTGCAGTGAAATAGTGATCAATGTTGCTTTCTTCTGCGCGTGTGAATGGAAGTTTGGTTGGGAGGGTTTTTAAATGGGATAAGTTGCTTGAATGAAAACGACGTCGTTTTGGGGACGGGCGGGGACGGGGCGGATACTACGAGATCCATCCCCACCCGTTGCCCGCTACTATCGGGTTTCGGGTATACCCGGATCCGTGCTTTACCCATGATGGACGGATTTTTTGACCTCTGTCCGGGCGGGTTACGGATGGATATCCGGCGGGCTGGGCAGGGTTGCCATCCCTAGTTCCATTATAATACATAGAGGATATGTCATGACTTAGTGACTTATCAGACAAAATTTGAGGCCTACTCTAAAAGAATTAGTAAATTTTGAAATTTTAAGTGTTGGAGGTTAAAAATCGTCAAACATGGAGTCAATAAAAACTTGATTAAACAAAGTACATCCAAAATAAGATTTATTGTACATTGAGTTTGAACATGCATATGATCGAATAAGACTAAAAAGTTAGATTTCTTTTGTACCATTACTTAGCTACCCGCGTAGAAAATACAATAATGTATCAAATTAACCGAGAATCATATATATCACATAGGTATACAAAAAATAATAATAGGATTCTGTATTGTTTTGAATAAAGACATTATATATTCTTGGTTTTTACTGAATTTTCACTAATATTTTTGAATTGACATGAATGTTCATCTCTTATTTCAAATGAATAAAGCATCATGATAGTCTTTATTATATTGGAAATAGAAAGATAAGATAAATATTCAAAATTACTAGCAAGAAGTGTATTGATAATCAAAATATTCATTTTATTTTTAATATATTACTAAGAAAAAAAAATTTAAAATTGTCAATATTATACTATACAATAAATAAAATTATTAATTTTTTTATTTCATCCGGCCAACGAGCCGGACCCTAATCTAGTAATGTATTAAAAATATGTATGATATCACACTTTTTGAATTATAAATGTACCCTCTTTTTCTCGTTTATTCACTTTAACTTATCTTCATGGAAAAAAGTTATGGGTTATAGGTATAATATACCCCTCTACTATGACGTTTTATCAAACATGCCCCTCTACTATTTTTTACATCAAATATGCCCCTGTACTTTATAAAAAGGGTTAATATTTTCGTATGGCCTGAACTTTGACCAAAACAAACATCCTGGCCAATCTTTTCGATCTATAACATCCTGGCCCGAACTATACACCAAAATAAACAATTTGGCCAAATCCAACTTTTGACCGTTAACTTGGACGGTCAAACGCGTTGACCGTTAGTCAACACGCCATGTCACTGCCAAGTCAGCATAAAAGATTTAAAATAATTCACAATTTCCACACATTCCCTAATTTTAAATTATTATAAATTAAAAAAATCATCTAATACCTTAGTTAAACCAAAAATAAAAAAACGAAAAAAATTAAATATTTATCAGATCTTCTGACTTGGCACTGACGTGGCGCGTTGACCGTTAGTCAACGCGTTTGACCGTCTAAGTTAACGGTCAAACATCGGGTTTGGCCAAATTGTTTATTTTGGTGTATAGTTCGGGCCAGGATGTTATAGATCGAAAAGATTGGTCAGGATGTTTATTTTGGTCAAAGTTAAGGTCATACGAAAATATTAACCTTTATAAAAATGATCAAACATGCCCTTTTGTTAAAATTTTCATCCAAAAACTCGTAACCAAGGCCGAACTTTAGTTTGGGCGACACAAATGACTAAAATATCCCTAATAAATTCACTTTAGAATTTTTTGGTTCTTTTGTATAATCAAATCATTCAAATAATTTCACTTTGAAAAGACCCAGGAAAATAAAACAGGGTACAAAACTGATATTTTTCCTTCCATTTGCCGATGTCGGGTCGTCTAAATCTCGGTTCAACCATGATTGACGATTTTTTCAATGGAAATTTTAACAGAAGGGCATGTTTAATAATTTTTTCAAAGTACAGTGACATATTTGATGTAAAAAATAGTAAAAGGGTATATTTGATAAAACGTCATAATAGAAAAGCATATTATACCTATAACCCAAAAGTTATTGTTTCAATCGGAAAATTGAATTAGTAGTCTATGTACAAACTATAGAGTTAGTTGATCAATGTATCCCTAAATTAAAATTTAGGTGATGCCAAGTGTAATTTACCCTGAATTTCGGCTGAAGGCCAAACAAAATCTAGAGAAGGAGAAGACCGATTCCATAAAGTGGGAAAAAGGGGATTGTCGCCTTCGATCGAAGCAGGAGAGGAGATTCAGCCGTACGTCGCTACCGCCGGTGGCCACATCCGTCACCTTTTCTACGCGTTCGATCGATCAGCAATCGCCTGCGTCTTCCGGTCTTTTCTGGCCACCGTCCATTACCGCCGCCCGCTACTGCTGCAGGACCGTCCGCCGCCTGATACTTTTGGGTCTGTGTCACCGCCAGTCCGCCACGATTCTGGCTCTCGTCATTGACCACCTGAAATTAAAAGAGGGAAAGCACGGAAGAGGTGCTTAGTGGGTCTTGGAGGGAGAGAGAGGCCGGGATCGAAGAGGCTCCCTGCCGATCAGTATTTTAACTGTGAGCCCGCTGTAGGCCCGAGAAGAGAAAGAGGATTTTTCGGAAGAAGAACACCTAGAGAAAGCAAATTTATCTTCCCTTGCGCGTCTATTTCCACTTCTGGCGGTCTTCCTTCCAGGTAAACTAGGCCTAATTGATGCTGAAATATTATCACGGCCTGAATGTGTTGATTGTTTGTTTGCTGCCTTGTTTGATAAATTCAACTAAATCAAAATTATGACTTAGGGGTTCTTATTATTGCCTTTGGGTTTGAAGGAAGCTGGGTGTGATGATGGTAATGATTTTCAATAATTGTGAATTTTTTTCTGTCTTGCTCTGCGGAGAACTGGGTTATTGGCACTATATATTAGTTTCCAAGACCCATTACTCTGAATGGGGCGTTTGTTCCTCAGTTCAGGTGAGCTGTTTTTCAATTGATCGCCTTTATGGGGCTTACTAGGCTAGATATGAGTACTGGATAACTGACACTAGATATTAGTTTCCAAGACGCATTCCTCTGAATGCAGTATTTGTACCTCAGTTCAGGTGAGCTGTCTGTCAATTGATCACCATTATGGGGTTTACTAGGCTAGATATGAGGACTGCTCCCTGCTTTTTGAAACTATACTTACATTGTTAACTCCTTTTGAGAAAGGACAAGTGTGATCTTTTCGGTTTGCCAATAATATGCTTTCGTAATTCATTATCATTGTGGCTGGCTATCGATGAGTCGAGGAGGGAAATATTCAATATGATATGATAGGTCTAAATCTCCATGACTATTTTTGTTTAGATGATGTGATCGAAGCTTTCTATCTGTTGTTAATGGTTGAGCTTTTGATCCTTGATTGGGCATAAAGATTCTCACTTTGTCAGATATTTTAGTTGAAGGTTGAGATCTCTATATCCATCGAATTCCCTACTGAATTGTAGGCCATACATTGGGGGGAAATATTCTGATATGAATGTGAAGGGCTACTGTTTCAAAATGTTAATCTTTGAGCTAACTGTTTTCCCACCTTTGTTTCGAGCTCGAATATGTGTGATGTGGAGAAGATGTTCAGTTTATCACAACTTGTTGTTTTAGTCTTTCATTTGTGCTTAACTGCTCGCCATTGATGACTGTGTCTGTTGCTGGATGAATAAGAATATTGGCAGGTTGAACTCATGTTTTTCCTTGGATAGGTAAAGAATATCAGAGTCACTTGGCAAGGTCCTTCTGGGGTACTGATTTGTGTTTTCCTTTGAATGTTTGAGATGATTATGATGAATGCTGATGAGTAAGGTTATAGGGATAAAATGTTAGGTGGCTGAACCCATTGTTTTGTGGAAAGCCTTCTATGCGTAAGACTAGTTCGATGAAATGGCAAACGGCTTGAGGGGATTTTTTTCCATATGCTTGATGATGATTCAATGAAGGGTAAAATTCTTGATGTTGTTCTGATATTGAATTGTATAGAGGAATTACCATCCTTTGCCTTTCCCCCGTTAGCTAGTTTAAGTCCTGTATATTTGACATAACTGGGGATTAGGAGCGGTCGAGTCCTGATGTAGCACCGTCCTTGATATCTCTTGAGATTGCATGCAGATTTCCAGGGTTGAATAACAAAATGTTGACTGCTTGTCAATTTGGTTGTCACGAACTTGTTGTCACACTTTAATGATTGTTGGAACCCCCCCCCCCCCCCCCCCCCCCACCCACCTTTATAATCACAAATTGCCTATCTAACTATTAAACACCATGCGTTCTTGTTTTCCTATTCTTGCAGTTGATGGTTCTTGTAATGGATGATATGGTGGATAACCTGAACAATGCGTATCAGGAGTTTGTGGCTGCAGCAGCGAGTGTGCTCGAGATCAAAGAGTTGGCCAGTGCTCAGAAAACAATAGCTACCGACAACTCATTGGAGAACTTCAAGCAGAAATGGGAACTGTTTAGGGTGGCTTGTGATCAAGCGGAGGAGCTTGTGGAGTCGGTGAGGCAAAGGATAGGGAGTGAGTGCTTGGTGGATGAAGCTACAGGAACAGGGAGCGGAACTGTTAGCGGGAAGCTTGGCCAGAGTGGGCCAGCTGGTCTACCTCCAATAAGTGCAGTTCGGTTGGAGCAGATGAGCAAGGCTGTAAGATGGCTAGTCATTGAACTGCAACATGGTTCTGGAGCTGCATCTGCTGGGCATCATCCTCACACTCCTCCACCACCTTTTGATGCCAGGTTTCCTGATGATGCCGCCCAGTAGAGGAAATGGTATTGTGCATATTAGCTTCCCTGTAATCCGTTTCCCCTCATAGACTGTTGAGTGTTGATCACTTAGGGATTGGACTCACTTTTCTGCAGATGAACCGTTGGTTCCTAGATTGCAGATTGTCATGGTAACTGTTGTGTAGCAAAAGAGAAGTGACATGATCTGTTACTAATCTTGATTATTATTATTACGAACGTGTAATGTTTTTTAAAGTAATCTTGATGACAGAAATGATAAATTGACGAGCTTGGCCCGATGACGAGTCTGCCCTGTTTTTTTCCCTCGTGAGAAAAGAAGCGCTAAAGGGTGTCCCGGTCTAAATATTTAACTAAATGAAGATTGGACTAAGACCATAGCGTTGTGTAGGTGGTCAACCTGGCTCGGAGCAATCAATGAAGTGTGAGTATACATTTATTGACCTTTGCTCAAGAGGTGATTAAGGAAAAAGACTTTTACTTGGTTAAGTTGTTGCATTTTCTGAATGTATAGAAAATTCTTACTTCCGAACTTGTATTATGCCTCTATTGGATTAATTATTTCCTAGTAAGTTAGAGTAAATTCCTTTGGTTGATCAGAATGCTAGATTGAATTTCTGCCACTCTGTACAAGGGCTTAATTAAATTTTACGTATGAATGATTGCTACTTTTGATAATAGAATTTAGTTCTTTAAAAAATAAAAAAAAATTGTCTTCTCTTTCTTTGTAGCTTAAATGTGTTTGGCTTAGGAGTTGCCAATCAGTGTCAGAACTAAGAAGAAGAAAATGGTTTTGTGTCAGGTTGTAATTACGATTTTATTTACTATTTTAACGGTTCTTTGTTTTGTTTTCTGGTTTCTAAATGTAGAAGTAGAAAATGATTCCTCGATTATTATTATCATATCTAACATTAAAATTATATTAAAACCCTGTAATAATATGTCACTTGATTGAGTATCCAAAGTGAGAGCATCCTAATTTCTTTGCTTATTAGACCAAGAAATTAAGTAATTAGAATAACAGAAGATAATGATATTTGGTTGACAAAGTGGAGTAGAGAAACAGTATATAAGCACAAAAATGTAGACATCATATCCCTTCATGCCGCCCAAATTTATCCGCAACTGCTCCAGAAAAAAAAACATACTTCGGCTTTGCTATTTGGGCTGTTCTTTGGATTAGGTAGGGAGTTGCAGTTCGTGTGAGTGACCATTCACGGTGAAGAACACATATTCCTTCCTTTCTCCTATCAATGTGAGCTCATGATGATGCCTATAGTAGTACTATATTTGCACATAATATATACTAGCTAGTTCGGCTAAGTCCAATGCTAGTCCCCAAATTTGGGAACCTTCATCCCCAAATTTGGGGATCATCTCTATTTTCTCTTTTTTTCTCCAATGTTACATTCTTCAAATTTGGAGATCTATTTTTTTTTCATTTACTTAATTGTATTTATTGGAGTTTTAATACAATTTTTTCATGTTAATTTTGATATAGTTCGTCATCATTTTTAAATACAATTTATATGATAGAATTGTTTTAAATTCCGAGAGCAATTTTTTTTGAAAAAAAATGATTGACCTAATTTGGGTTTACACCTAACTAAATTAAAACATTCATAAATGTCCTAATTAAACCTAACTAAATCCCTAACCAATCACATAATTAAACCACAATGTAAACCCTAATCAATACATTAATTAAATTACAAAAAAAAGTGGTGGCGAGACAACCGCCAGCCCCTGGCGGTGCGCCGAAGAGCCTCTCTCCCTCCCGCGTGCGGCACACCGCCCGGGGCTGGCAATTGTCCGCCACAACTTTTTCCAGTCTGCATAAATGGGGAAATCGGTATACCCAACCCCAAATTTGCCGCATGAGATGCCGACCGCCTCCAAATGTAGCGTCGATCGCCATTATTGCTCCCGCGTTGGAGCAAGACTTCCCCCATAAATGGAGACTTCCCCATTTATAGCGCCCCGTTGGACTTGGCCTTAGATGCAGAAAAGGGTTTGCACTCCAATATCGCCTTCTGTCTTTGTAATGGGATTTCAATTTTCCATTAAAAATTTAATCGAAGCTTTCATTTTATATTTATGCATTTAATGATTGACGTAACAAAAATAATATAAATTTAGGGGGTTTGATATGAAGCGTAGAAATTCATATATACTTGCATCTTAATCTTATCCAAATGTGTAATGTGACAATTTTGATATGGATGCTTAGCTTAAGAGATGTGGGGCACAGCTTCCTGCCCAATTGCAGCAAAAGCTATAGCCTCCTCTAAATGTCTCTATTGGTTTTGTTTTTGCATGAAAAGATATGTCTTTGTTTGTTGATGGGAATGCGATGGTGGTGGTCAAACAACCTGCAATTTTAATTTCCGCATCAAGACAACACCTTACATTACATGACAATTCCATATGCATATAGAAGAATACCGCTAGCTAGCTACCAAAGCTTTTAGAGGAAGAGGATTGAATACGTTACGCCATTCACAGAATAATAATTATTATTCTCCCTTTTAGTAGAGTTGTTGGAGCAGTTGCAGAAAAGATGCGAACTCTTGTGAATTCTACTATTTCTTTATTCATGCACACACTTGTTTAATTATTTGTCATATTTTTTTTCTCATGTTTTAGCAAGAGATCAATATCCTCTCTCTATATATTTTTTATTTGGTGCTATAGCTCTAATGATTAAGAAAATAATAGAGTAGCAGAAAAATCTACATTGTCAATAAAATGGGAATTAAGGTGATTGAGAGAACTGAATTCACATAAGTGATGATCAAGCTTCAAATTTGATGCATTTTGTCCTTCTCATTTATTTATAACAAAAAAAAAACTAAAAAAAAAACTAAAATAGCGTTCAAACTTTTATGTCTTAATAGATATACTCTCGAATTTGATTCTCATAGTTTATCATTTTGAGGAAAATCACCTGATCATCAATGGTGAATATGTAAATTTAAATGACTTTCTCCTATGAAATTGTTGAATATTTCATTGGAATTATGCATTGTTATTGAATGATCAAACTATAAATCTCTAGTAACTTCTTTCATTCATAAAATGAAAGAATTCTATAGAAATTGTGGTCCACTATATTGCCAAAAAAGAAAAAAGATATTTTCGGAAACTACGAAAACAATTTATTGTAACAAATACAAACATTAATATGTTTGATTAGTGGGAAAAAAAAAAATTATACCTACTCTCCCATACACATAAGATATGGATCTTCCCCTACCCCCATCAACATATATTAATAGACAGCAAGCATTATTACCAAATCCAAACCACCTGCACCCACCATTCACACCCTTGCATCCTCCCCAAAACCTTACTCACAAAGCTACGGTTAGAAACTGAAACAATGAAGGAGAATGACTCCAACTCCAAGCCCATGTGGCGCCCTCTGACGGCGAAATCGTGCTGCGCAGTGGACGAAGGCCAGACCCTCTTCTGCGGCAACTTCAGCCGATGCCGGCCCTCGCGGTCGGAGTTCTCCAAGAATGTGGCCCCGCTGCCGTCGTTCAGGAAGCTGTCCTTCTCGGACCTGAGCAGGTCGTCGTCGGTCAGGATCGCGGAGGATCTGGCCCAGTCGTTTGGGCCGGACCTTCTGGACTTCCAACTCTGCGAGCTCCGGGCCGTGACACAGAACTTCTCGGCCCATTTCCTCCTCGGCGAAGGCGGGTTCGGGAGGGTGCATAAGGGATACGTGGACGAGAATCTGAGGCAAGGGCTCAAGCCTCAGCCGGTTGCCGTTAAGCTCCTCGACATTGAAGGCCTCCAAGGTCACCGTGAGTGGCTGGTACGTACGTAATTAAGTGCGTGCTTAATTTCTTTCCTTAGTTTAATTACCAATTTAGTAGATGAATATTAATCAATCCTCGCTCTCTCTGCGTGTAATGTCAAACCGACACATTAGACTTTCAGAGCTGACATTTACCAACTGGGTTTACTAATTAACTAATGATTAGCAGTTAGTATGTAATTTTGACTCATTTCGGTGGCGCAATTGATGGCTTCAATTGCAGGCGGAAGTAATCTTTCTGGGGCAGCTTCGACACCAAAACTTGGTGAAGTTGATTGGTTACTGTTGCGAGGAGGAAGATCGTCTCTTGGTCTACGAGTTCATGCCTCGAGGCAGCTTGGAGAATCATTTGTTCAAAAGTACTACTAATTACCCTGTTTGGTACTCATAGAATTAGGTCAAGTCCTAATCAGCTCCATTCTTAAACATACCTATATATACATCGTACAATTGCAGGACTATCAGTGACCCTGCCATGGGGGACAAGGTTGAAGATAGCGATAGGTGCAGCCAAGGGTTTGGCCTTCTTGCACGGCGCTGAAAGTCCGGTCATCTATCGTGATTTCAAAACCTCCAACGTCCTCCTTGACTCCGTATGCATTACTACCTATTCTCATATAACATTACACATTTGCATAGCTATTACTATACATCAAGTGCAAAGTAATTAAAACAAAAAAAAAATTAATCATTCACATGGTACTAGTTTGTTAAAGAAAGAAACATATAGTACTGGAAAGCAACTATATTTATCGTATGTTACTTGGACTTGGCGGCAGGATTTTACTGCCAAGCTATCAGATTTTGGGCTGGCGAAGATGGGCCCAGAAGGATCAAAATCCCACGTCACTACCCGAGTCATGGGAACCTACGGCTACGCCGCACCTGAGTACGTCTCCACGGGCCACTTGACGACCAAGAGCGACGTCTACAGCTTCGGCGTCGTTTTGCTCGAGCTTCTCACGGGGAGGCGGGCCATGGACAAGTCGAGGCCCAAGCCTGAGCAAAACCTGATCGATTGGGCCAAGCCGTACCTCAGCGGCGGGAGCAGCAGGCGGCTCCGCTACATCGTGGACCCAAGATTTGCCGGGCAGTACTCGGTGAAAGGAGCCAAGCAGCTGGCCCATCTGGCAACCCAGTGCGTCAGCTTAAACCCAAAGGACAGGCCCAAAATGCCTGCCGTTGTCGACACTCTCCTAGCTATCCAGCAGTACAGTGACATGGCAGTGAGCTGCGGTCAGTGGCCGCCGTCTCCCAAGTCTTCTTCCAGGTTTGGGGTCTCCCCAAATACCAAAGGTAGGAAGGTGGTGGATGGTGGCCGGGGATCTGGTTACCGGAGATCAGCTCCGGCCGCCGCGGCCAAAAAGGTGTAGGAAGGGTTTGTTTTGGAGTTTGATTGGAAGGACGTCAAGGTGTGAAACTGTAAATTATTATGGTACTTAATTTGAGTGTGGGGTGGGTGGACCGTGGATGTATGGGCGTTTTGGTGATGGCATGGAGAAGTTGGGGCAGGACTACTTGCGTGATCCTCCTACTTTTCCTTTGTAAATTATGTAGGGAACCATGGAGTGCCTAAATATGTACGTATTTAGTAGTAATTTTGGGTGGTATCAAGAATTGAAATACCGTACCGGAGGTCGTACTGTAAAAGTCAGTTGTAGGGTATTTTACACTAAAACAATGGTTCAATCGTATTATACCGCTAAATAACGCCTACCAATTTTGCTTCTGGTAGAAGCTTTTTTAAGTCAAACTGCCGGTACGGTACAGTATTTTAACCACTTATTTTTTATCGACTATCTTTTATTTACTAATGTTTCTAAGTTGGGGGTTTGAAACTTATGATCCTAGTAAATGCGATCTTACCATTATTGTAAGAACTAATACTACCATCAAAACTAGCGGGACCCATCTAAGATTGTGAAAGCGGGGTAACATTTGGAATTGGAAGGAAGTCAGCAAAAAGCCAAAAGGAGCAATTAGAATTCAGAAAAGCACGATTTCTTTCTAGGAGCTAGCCGTTAAACCAGCCACTGTAATCACAGCAGCAGGGGAACGCTCCCCCTTTCCCTAACCATCCATGATCATCGTCTTCCCTTTCACACCCACCGCCCCAGCACCACACATGGTTTCCTAGAAAACCTCGCCAAAAAAAACCCACTAAAACCCACTCTCACTCACTCTTACCTTGCGACTCTGTTCTCTGAAAAAATAGAGATGTCTGATTTCGGCTTCGGGAACCTCTCCGACACCGACGATTCCGCCGTCGAGGAGCTCATCTCCCAGACCCGAGACCTCTGCGTCCTCGAACAAGTCTCCAAAATCAACTGCTCCGACTTCAACGATTCGCTTCTCCCCTCCGATTTGGAAACCCGCTTCCGCAAGCTCAAATCTTTCCCTGTTTCCTCAACCAGACCCGCCGCCTCTGCTTCTACTGGTGTCGTCCCCAAATCCCTCTCTAATTCAAAGAGCGAGCTTCATCGTCGTGGCGGAAGAGGGTTTGATGAGGGATTTGAGAGCCCTTCTGACGATCCCAGAGTGAACACAAGCGATGGGCAAGTGCCAAAAATTGCTGCTGCCGCTGCGGCGAATGTTTCTTCTCCCCTGAATTCTTTGGCGGATGAAGAGGGTTTCTCTGAGGATCCGGGTCCGTGGAAGGGTTCCAAGAAGAAGCAATCGAAACTTGGGTCTGTTTCCTCTCCTTCTGATTCCTCGAATTCCTGTATTGAAGATGTTATTTACTCGCAATCTGAAGAAAGGGCGGCTGTTGGGATGACGAGGAAGAGCTCGAATTCGAACTCAAAATTGAAGTCCAAGCCTTTTATTGGTTCTCCTTTGGGCTCGTCCAATTGCTCCAGGGATTCGCCTTCTCCTCCACGGAGACCAGGATGCTTTTGGTGCTCTCCGAAGAAACCCACCAGTAAGAAGAGTAAAGAGAATTGGGATTTGGGAAACGATGGAGGAGACGAGTTGTTGACTGATTTAGGGATCTTTTCAGAGAAAGAACAGGAGAAGATACTGAGGAAGGCGATGAAAGAAGAAGAGAGAATCAACAAGGAGGCAGTGAAAATTGTAAAGTGGGCAAAACAGGCTTCAGCCAGGAGGAGCTATCATGGGACTGAAGATGATGATGATCTCAGTGATGATAATGCGACTTCAAAATAGTTTTGCTAAATGTTTTCCCTTTCCATTTGGCTTGCATATCGTATCAGTTCATACATGGAAGAAATGGTGGACACGTTATACATATATAGTAGTGTTAGTATATTAATGTGGTTGGAACAAACATATAGAAGTACTTGCGTTCTATTCTTTCTTTTGGCTGTAATGCTTGCTTACTACAAACTGGATGTCTTTTATTGTGTTGGTGATCTTCTTGTGCCAATTTTGCTGTATATAGCAACAAGCTAAGTAGGGTGGGTGCTGATTGATTTGTCCGTCCTTCCAAAACTTGGTTACTGAATTGGTTGCTTTGGGACTCTTTAAGTTCTAACACCCAAGCTCTGTTTTACCTCTGTTGCGGTATGTTTGTGGTGGCAAGCAATTACATTGCTTTTTTTTTTTATAACCAATCTAAATATTATTGATTAAGGTGGCAAAATGGCATTACAGTCCTTCAGCAGTTACTGAACAATGAAAATAGAAGGTCTATCCACCCACATTTCTGTTTCTTCCCACCTACAACTCTCCCTAGCCATCTCATAGGCAACCACATTTCCTTCTCTCCCAGAACCTCCATCGAACCTCACACATTTCTGACCTAATTACATTGCTTTCTTGAATTTACTATCCTTGGAACCCATTTATTGGAGGCCAGTTGATGCTTCCTCTCAAGTATTACTTAGAGCTCTTTTACATCGGTAATTTTGCTTGCACTTTGTGGGGATCTTGCTTCTGTAATTAGTGTGAAGAAGAGTTGTACTGCAAATTTTTTGTGAATGCCAGGCGACAGGAGTTGCTTACTGATAACCATGGAGATATGCAGAGTGTTTAACAAAGACCACATTGATGCAAAGACCACATTGATGCAAATATGAGAATGCATTTCATCAATCTAACAAAATATTAAATATCCACTGATGATTCATTGACTGGGCGCCTACTGAAGCAGAAAACAAACAAAAAACCATTTTATTTATTCACTGCGTAACTTAACCCCCCAAAAAGCAATTTTTTTTCCTACCACATCCGTAAACCTAAAAAAACTAATGCTTGGAGCAATCCGCAGGCAGGAAGGAAACCGTCCTCTTCTCCAGATCATACCCGACCACGAAATCCATCTGCGCCAGGTTCCCAAATATCCCCACATCCTTCGTTGGCACCATCGTGAAACACAACAGCCCCTCCTCCGCCTTGACGAACGTATTCACCGGCTTCAGCTCCACGTCAGCCCCGCCGCCGAAATGCACCTTCAGAACCGGCAGCCTAACCTCCTTGCCCTCACCGCCGCTCTTAAAGCAAAGGCTGAACAGATTCTTCGGGTCGCTGGCCCGCTCCAGCTGGATCTCCTCCACCAGCGCCGCCTCCAGCCCGCTGTAGAACTCCGAGTCCAAAAATGTCAGCGTGGTCCCGGAGTCAATTATAATGTTCCCTTCCTCCACCTTCTTCCCCCTCCCCGCCACGTCAGCACCCTCATTAAACCGGGACCCACCAGAAGTCTCGTACGACGTCATCGCGTACCGCATCTTCCGCCACCCCACCGTGATTGCTTCCAGCGTCAGGTAGTAGTACGTGGCGGGAGACTTGGACGCCAAGGGAGTCGACACCACTGACGAAGCGACGCCGTTTGAAGACAGCAATAACGGGTCGTCCCCGAACACGATCCGGCTCGTTGCCGATACGGCGCCGGACTGTTCCTGGAGAGGGACCAAGCAGTAGGAGAACTTCCCTCCTATTTGGGCCCCCAGCTGGTTGACGAACGAGATGGGCCCGCCGCCCAGCCCGACGATTCCGGACCCGGACTCGTCGAATGTGCCGCCGTTTCTCATCCCGCAGCCGAAACCCACGTGGCTGATGGAAGTGGGCCCCAGGGAGAACATGTCGGTGGCGAGGTAGCCCGTGGTGTAGGAGTGGTCCCCGTAGGAGTAGGCGTAGGCGCAGGTGTTGGTGCCATCTTGGGAGCAGGAGCGGGAGTCGTCGTCGAGGGAGTTGCAGAGTTGGGCCCCGCACTGGATCCGATGGAAGGTGGAGGATTGGGCCGGGTCGAAGATAGGCCCTTTTTGGTGGTAGCATTGGTAGCAGGGCTTGGACTGGACCCAAGTGAGGTCGCTGCCGGTGTCGGCGATGGCGAGGACGTTGAAGGGCGGGGTGCCGATGGAGAGGTTCATGAAGTACTCGCCGCCGCTGGGGAGGATGTTGGTGTGGAAGTGGGATGAGTCGGAGTTGGTGGTGGTGGTGCGAGGGGTGTGGCGGCAGAGGCGGTGGTTGCGGCGGGAGATGGAGCGGAGGAAGGCGGCGTGGAGGCGGTCGAAGGCGGTGTGGTTTGGGTTGTAGAGTGGGGAGAGTGGGGAGTCGCGGTGGATGAGGTCGAGGGTTATGGTTGTGGTGGCGGATGAAAGGGAGGATAGGAATGGTAGGAGTAGTAATAAGAAGGTGAAGTGGGAAGCCGCCATTGTTGTTTGAGTTTGTTTTCTCTGTGAGTTGTTGAGCAAGGTGATGAGGATGAGAAGCCGATGGGAGGGAACATGCATGGAGGTGGCTAGTTTATATATGTGTGTCAGTGTGTGTATAGGATGGAGGAGAGTTATTGATCAAATGAACCAACGTAAGGAAGGATGGTAATGATGGGGCGACTGATGGGATTATGAGGATTCAATGGGGTTTCGGTTATGAAAGTGGTGTGTGTGTATGGCCGGAGGTAAGGGGAAAGGTCATCGGCGTTTTGAATGTGGATATTATTGTGAGAAGAAGGTTATCAATAACTACCGGTAGTCTTGAAAAAGATGGGAGGGTAAATGAAAAGATTATGATGGCGTAGTTGATTAGAATGTTCATCATTTACAATATTAGTGATTTGGTTTAAAAATTAATTAATTAAAAGCACAAGTTACCTCTAATTATTTTTACTGTTCCTCACGAAAAACACGGTAAACCCAAGCTCTTTATCGAAAACACTGTTCATAGATATTTATTGTATTTTTTAATTGTAGTTCTAACCTACGGCCGGATGTATAGTGCACACAAGCATAAAAGGATTTACACACAAAGATGCAGCGAGGTGTACTATTATATTCCCATTCCCATTGCCATGCAACTATAAATATAACTGATTGAGTTTTTACACTTTACATGATCAATTGTGCTTAATCAATTTGTATTACACAAACCTTTCATTAGTTCATAGAGTAAACTTTTATTGTTAACTATAATTTTTACCATGTCACTATAGCAAAGTCCAATAGTTTAATCAAATGTGATATTTCCATAATTTTATTTTATTATTGGACCACAAATTATGAAAAATTTACGTAACAATATTCTTTAAAAGTTACGTAAATTACAAATATGTTATGTCAAACTTATATAGAGGTAGTTATTTATTATGTATCAAATAATCAAAACATAATGTGCTAAGTCTTCTTAATAATTAAGACAATACATAAATCTTATAGATAGTGGATAGTCATTTATTATGTATAAATTAAAAAAAATATTACATCATGCTTCCGTACATCAATTTTTAACGAAAATGTCAATATTACTAACCAAATGGTTGATCATCTCATTAATTTGCATTATACAAAGGTTCTATAAGGTTAGTTATATTTTACATAATAATTTAATCAAATGCGATACTTTTCTAATTTTAATTCTTATATTACTAATTTGAATTTTCATTATACTATGTCATTAATTTGCATTACGCAAATCCATAAGATAAGCCAACTTTTACATTATAATTTAATCAAATGTGATTTTTTTAATTTGATTTTATTATTAGACCACACAGTACGGAAAATTTAAGTAACACTATTCTGAAAAGTTTCATAAATTATGAATAAATTACATAAAAAATTTAAAGTGATAATTATTTTTACGTATCATTTAAACAAATATATTACAAAAGTCTTACCGCCGCGAAGCGCGAGCCAAAAAACTAGTTATTTTTATAGTATTAATTGTAAAGACGAAGTGCCTAACGAGTTCATCGAAGGTAAACCCAAACTGGAGTCGAATCTCATTGGTGAGCACCTTCTCCTGATATTTTTTTGAGTAAAAGTGAGCACTTGGAACCGCTCTCCGAGCTAGGATACGGCTTCTGATCATTATAAGTGGCTTGTTTGTAGCATGCAGATGAGCAGTGATGATGGTCTAGCTAAATTGATCAGTAGATTACAAAATATGGTATGTTGTCTGCCATTCATCAAACTTTTGGTACGAAAGAAGCAGCACTCAGGGTCATAGTCAGTACATACATGTACATAATTCAACATTATATTAACGAGCCTCTCAAGAATCACAGTTGCCAAATCTTGATGATTCAGTCACCTTTTAGTCCCAAGATGTGGACCCTGCAGTGCAGAATCTATTCGTACTAAACTTTGGGTCACAACGGTCTCAAAAGGCAATCATAAATGATGTGGCCGGGTAATTGTCGTAGGGTAACTGACAACAACAAAAAAAGTTCATCTTTTACCTTGTACAGCAATGCTATAAACCACGAAACGTCGGAAATTTGAACATGTGATTAGTCTTGATGTATAAGTGATTAAAGTTGAGTTATACATTCCGAGTTCTCGTCTTGATGCAAATACCTTGAGCATGACAATGACAATCACCACTTGCTATGTGATTGTTATTTGATTTTGATTATGGCACAAAAATATGTGAAAAGATAATTGTTGTTATTGACACTCCAATTCAGCTCGCATAAGAGAGGGTTTTACTTAGTAGGGCTACCTAAATATGTGTTGAACTAAAAAAACAGTTTAATGTGTTAGTTTGACCTAATATAATTAAAGTTCCTATCTAATGATATGTTTTTGCTTATTGCAAGCAGTGATGCTCCGTAACCAGGAATGGGTGAAGACACGATAATATGGGAAGCTGAGATAATGGAAGATTCAACGGATAATTAGCATGAACGATTACACATAATTGTACTTAGTACAATATGATTACAAATCTTTAATTTATAATTATACAATAATAAAAGTTTGTATTTACACATAATTTCCTTCTATAGGGCTCTATAGAACAATAACTTCTATGGAAATATTCCATCTGAATTGGGAAATTGCACAGAGTTACAGGGATTGTAAGTAGCTCTACTTACATTCACTTCTGTTGTCTTAATGGCTTTTTTTTGTTGTTGCTAAATATGGAATATATTGAACGTTGCTGGGTCACCTAGCCGGTGAATACTATTTCTATCTAATAAGTTGTTTATCCGAGAGTTTACCTGTAGCTTAGTATAGCAGTAGCTGCAGATCATTCAGAAACTAAAAGTCTAAAATGAGGTTTGAGAATCTTTGATGTGCCAATGGCTATGGTGAATCCGTCCAAATAGCTCTGTTCTGGTGCAAACACTTACCGGGCTTCGAGCTGCTGGTGGAAACTATAGTCTTTTCTGAACATGCCTCTCCCTTGAATTTAAACCCCAAATCCAGTTTCAGAATTTGTGGATTCCTTTTCTTTTTGTGTGTTGCTACT